AAATTAAGTATCTACTCCCCGTATATTTTATATGTTACATTTTAAAATTCGCGAGAAAAGTGCATGTAAACTGCTTTTGATTTTGACACTTAGAGTATATAGATAAAAGGTACCCCCCTATTTATTATATAGTAGTAAAGTAGAAATAAGTATTGACCGTCTACTAGTCCGAAATAGATAGTGATTTAAAGCAATCTAGCTATTTTTATTTTTAATTTTTACAAAGTAAAGCTTGAAGATACCTGGATATATTGAGGTTTTAATAGTATTAGAATTTAATGCTAATTTTGTGGTAGTAACTCCTGCACTATACTCTATTTGGTAGATCCAACGCTGATCACTAGATTCATGCCTTGATGCGCCATGAATCTCAACATACTAAATAGGGAAGTATTCATATCAAGGCCGACGAGGTTGTTTAAGCCTAGTCTTTTTTTATAAGTGAAAAACTGTCCAGATCTGAGCCCAGTTAGATAGCTAGCTTGGAGAGCAGGACTTCTTCCCCTCTCCGTCCTTTTCCCGTGAATGATATCATCGTATTATTGCCGATTCTCTCCTTTGTCAAGAAAAACGCCACATAAATAAGAACTATTCTCCTAATCTATACTCTACTTAGTAGGTCTAATACTGATCACCGTATTTAAACCTAATATATTAGGAATCTAGACTCGATACGCTATAAATCTCAATATTACTCAAAGATCTAGATCTAATAAGTGAAGACGAGGAGAATAATTTAGCTATATTTAATATATAGCCTATAAACTAGGAGCTTCTAGAGCGTGCCATAGGGAGAATACTCTGGAGTGTAGTATCTAATATAGAGAATAAAGATCGGGATTAGACTTCCGCAGAACCCATTAACCCGGCACTGGGTCTGGGGGCCCAACTTGGGTTAGAAATGTGCAAAAATAGATCATGCAAAATTACACGTGTTTAAGGGCCGTTTTAACCCTCTTATAGAAGGTAATTTTAGTACTTAATTTGAATTATACTATAGATATATTATATTATTGCAGCCTATAACCTAATATATCTAGACTTCGCTAATGCCCACGATTGGGCCCACGACCTAACCCGCGTGGGCTTTGGGCTCGGGCCCTCCGACCCACAGCCTACCGTGGGCCCCTAATAGGCCCCCACGAAGGCCCAACTTTTCATAAAATCTAGCTCTTGGCGATTATAAAGCGTCTGATTCACCCAAATAAAATACTATTTCTTACGCCCATTTTAGTCGCTACTATGAATTCGTTGAAATTCAACCTATTAATGTCCTAAAATTAAGAGAAATTCAATTATAATCTGATATGATAGTTTTGGTAATAATTTAATTACTAGATATAAAGGTCAAATAAACATAGAGTAGTGTTATTAGTAGTTATAGGCTGTTTATAGACTTTTATAGACTTTACACTCTAAAACAAGTAAGTATTAAATAATTATATTATATCAACTGAGTTTAGCATAGGCCTAAGCTTACGATATATCAATTTCCTTACTCAATCATTATTTAAGAGCTCTATAGATACCTATTGTCTTAGTGAGTGGAATGTATTTTAGATCTCTAAATTCTCACTTCCCCCTTACCTTCTTTTTGCCTAATAGCTATATCTTAGAGTTAGAACTCCGAGGCTCCTCCTTATCTGTCTATATAAGTAAAATGAATAAGATTTCTTACCTTATTCCTAAGAACGCGTATTTATTTATATCTAATCCTTTAAGTAGTTAAATAAATTTTTGATTCTTTCGATGCTAAGTTTCTTTGACTACCACCTCTACCTCCTCCTACGATACCTCCCTCTCTTACCCTTATTAGTCTTAGAAGAAAGCCTTTGCTCTTTATATTATAGAAATATATTCTAAGTAGGTGAATTAGTAGCTCGAGACTAGGTGTAGGAAGCTAAGTAAGATACAATAGGACTTAGTCTATCTATTAGACACCTATAAATAATTTTACCAAGTAGCTAATACCTCTAATAGTGCACCGAAGGTTATATATAAACGCTATACTTAGATTCTTAAGTATCCCTATTCTTCTAAGCTACCGGGAGCTTAGTATAAAAACCTTTATAGTGGGGTATATTAAAAGTGCTAGCTATCTAAGATCTTCTAATAATAGCGTATTAAAAACTAGCCTAATAAAGTTTATATAACTAAAGGGAAGTGATCTCCTAATGCTAATGTTATCTAACTCACCTCGAGGGTTTAATGATAGCGAATAAGAAAAATTTCACCTAAGAGGCCTAGGAAGAAAAACTTCTTATCTTTCTTATTATTTCTCGTCTTCTAATTGAGCTCATTAAATATTCCAGGTTTTCTCGCATGATTTAACTTGCCTAATCCGTTCTATTAATACTGGATAATCCCTCCGCAAAAACTATTCGCTATTAGCTATAAAGCTCTATTTAGTTAAGATAGTAGGATATCCTCTAAAAGGTTCCTAATAATATAAGGCTTTTAATTGCACTTAACAACTAGACGTCCCTATTTTCTTGAGTATTTATAGTAAATTACTAATAATATTTTAGTAACTAATCTATAGTCACTCCTAGAGGATACTACGCGAATTGGGGCTTACATATATTATTTAATTAAGTTTAAATAACTTACTTAGATACATAAAAGTAGATCCGACAAATAATACTACTAATATCTAGTAGATAAAGTAATAATCTTAGTCTACCTAGGCAAACACAAAACAGGAGATATTATTACTTAGCCCTTGACATTACCATGGGACGCCTCCCATGGGGCTGTAAACAATGCAAACATCAGCTATCTCGTGACATATATAAATTATGCATTTCTTGGCGATTCCGAACGGTATCTCATTTACAATAGCTTTTCATTAAAGATATACTAAATAATCACAAAACTATGGTCGGAATATATCAAAAGTAATAAATATATGTTAGTCTTAATACTCGCTAAAACATATTTAAATTACCGTATTTTATTATGATAACTCAGCGATTTATCCATCATTATTATGAAAATAATGTAAAGATGGTAAATTCTTTTAGTCCAATGGGAAATATCAAGGTCTAGTAGTAAGAGAGGAAAAGGAAGATATACTAGATTAGTTTAAACTTGACCTAATTAGTGATAATAAGGAGGGCGCCTAGGAAGAAGAGAGAGAGGGAGATACTGGTGACTTTTCTAAAAATATAGTTCTTACTCTACTAGTCCCTTGGGAGGGAAGCACTTAAACTCGTCAATTAGTTCGATCGCGGAAGCGTCCTCGATAGGAGGATAATTAATCGTTATATTATTAGAGTTTTACACTATAACGAAATTCGAGTGCGCCAAAAACCGCAAAACCGCAAAATCGAACCAACCCAAACCGCAAATGGGTCAGTTTTTGGGGCCAGTTCTAGGAACCATTGCGGTTTTTGGTTTTTTGGGTTCAAACCGCAATGATTCTTGGGGCCCCAATGGGTTGTTGTCAGGACCCTCGACTACTTATGTTGGTACCTGAGGCACGAGTGGTGCCTCAGGAATCGTGGCAGTATAGTACTGCTCACCGCCCGGAAGCTGGGCCAGCCTGTATTTAGTTCATCCCCGCTGACCCTGGGAAGGGTCAGCGTTCAGTCTCTTCTACAATAGAACCATATTGTACTACACGTCAGCTGAGGCTTCTACTTCGCTTACCTAACTAAACCGGAGACTCTGCGTGGTCTCACAGTAACCCTACCCCTAATTCTACCCCTCCCTCCCGGCGCCTCCCGCCTATTACCTTAATATTATACTAGTTAAGTACACACTTTTTATGAAATTTATCTTATAAATAATATTTTTATTATTAAAAGTAATAATTTCTACCTTATTAAGATAGTTAAATTATTAAATTATGTCTATGAATAAGTAGATAGCATAAAAAAAAGCTAAAGTTTAATATAAAAAAGGGAGAAAAGTGATAATTGTATAGTAGAGATGAGTTATACTTGTGGATTCTTTTTGCCGTTAAGAGGTATTAGTATAACAATACCACTAAATTTCGGATCAATTTTCAACTGTGGCCCGAGAGGGTGGACCCACATCCAACTGACCAGGTCACAGTTGCTCTCCGCTGCCACAAAAGCCGCCAAAAAACGTGGTATAGGTAAGATCAATACAATGACAGCAAATCATTGTGTACAAAGAATCCGTGGAATGCATTATCCAGTCGTCCAAAGCCCTATGTACAATTTAAGTGAAAACTCCGCATTGAAAGCCTACATGATTATTAACGTAGCAAGATCAGGCTCCGTTTGCAAAATTCGCACCATCCAGCGATGCCACGCGTATTTAAATCGGCATTCAATCATCAAAATCGGTCATATGCCAAGAGGTCCGCCATTATCAATCTAATCTGATCTTGGCCCACGTCTAGACCAGACCCGTTTTGGCGCCACCTCACTAGAATTTTGGGGGCCATTTGTTCAATCGACTAGAATTTTGTAAACTTCGGTGTGCCCCAATATATCTGCATTGACCCTATACACTAGTATAGCTCGGGAACTTGCCACCCTCGCGCATGGCCTTTCTACTAGTTTGACTAATTTGATAGGCCTTGGGCCACATACATAAGCCCTTCACCTCTCATTATAAGGATTTCCTATACTTGTGCTTTCTATCTCGTGCTTCGAAATGCCAGCCCTCTCCAGAATTCAGAGGATTTTCGGTAGCAAATCTGTCACCGAGCGGGTTCTCCTGATGGTTACGATTTTGCATTCTGGGTATAGTTCCTTTGGCTGCATCGCATAATATCCTTACCTAATGTGTTGGAGAGGTGAGACGCCAACGGCCACCAGTCTCACTACTGCAGCTTTGCTCATGCAGACCAAGGTTTTTATTCGGTCGGTATCGGAGGTCTTACGTATAGCTGGGAAGTGCTCGCAACCGATGTCACGAACTTGAGAACTGAGGCATCGCATTTGCAGTTACCTCGTCACCGACGTTGATCTCGGCATTTGCTGGTACTAGGCCGCTGTAGAATTGTTAGGCCACGTCAACTGGCGATGGGATGGGGCCATGGAATTGGGGCAATCATCCTGCCGGTATTCGCAATGCCCATATATGGCTTGCTGGCCTATAACCTGCGCCGAGCCGAGAAGGAAGGTATTATCACCTAGGAAACCACCCCCAAAACGTTCAATGTGCAACAACTTTGGTGGGGTATCATAGATTTTGTCCGTGAGTGATACTATTCTTAACATTCGTCCATTTTTCAACAGGATATACAGTCCCAGGGGGGTTTTCTGTTCGCTGGTGGCTTCGTCATACTTCTCCTTCCCTGTACATCAGCCAGTACTGCTCCCCATGGCTATCAGTCGGGCTATATCATTACCATAACTGTGGTGGGTTGGATTATTATTATTGGATTTGGATTATATGAGGTTTGCCTCGCTCCCGTGCCGTTCCTGAAATACAAGATTCTCACCGACAGAATTATCCTGAGTGCATGCCTTCTGGATATGACATATCAGATATCTTGCTATTGCTATGCCAGTTACCTCTCATCCTTTCTGCAGGTGGTGTATGAGCTAGACGTTACCACAGCTAGATATGTCGGCAACACCTTCAGCGTGGTCTCCTTTGTCTTCTGATTTCTTGCTGGATGACTTGTCCGTATGACAGGTCGATTCGAATGGATGCTATGGGGGCGTGTATCCCTTAACACATTTGGATTGAGCCTGGTGGTTCATTTCCGCCAACCGGGTGGATATATTGGCTACCTTGTCTTGTGCCAGATCATTTTCTCAGTCGCTGGAAGAGTCTTTTTTATACTTTGCGTGCAGCTTGCCATACTTGCCTTACCTTTCGTGATGGGGGAGTATTGGCGACGCTGTAGGAAGTGCAATCTGTGGAGCGATCTGGACAAACACTGTCTTGAAGCAACTTGAGCAAAACCTTCCAGAGTCAGCTATACCCGATCTGACTCTAATTTACGAACGTCTTCTGGCGCAGCTCAGTTACCCAGTCGGTAGCCTAACGCGGGATGCCATCGTGAAAGCCTGCGGCTCCGCCCAAATAAGAGTGCTTGCTTCTGGGGCCGAGTTTATGGGCTTCATCTGGGTAGCTATGACGAGGAATCTGAACGTCAAGAACATGGGTCAAACCAAAGGTACTGTCTTCTAAAATGAAATGCCTATCTTGAGATATCGCCAAAGAAGTACATACAGTATCACCTGAGCGTGTGATGATAGAGTTAGGACTAAAGATATTGATCAAAGTTAGCCCAGCCATTAGGTAGTTCTCCGTATACATGTATACATGTACCGTACAAGTCACACGGGGGACATTTGTACTAATCCAACAATCGCAAGACTTGCGGATCAGAGCTCAATTAGGGCTACCGGTTTCCTAAGGGAGCGCATGAATGCAGTGGACAGGCCAATGGCTATCCCATTAAAAGTCTAAGTTATTGCTTCAAAGCACATAAACGTTGTATTAAATACATTATCACATTTGATAGGCCATCCTCAAGATGGTATCATGAGAGCCTTCACGATTGCCCGTTGCCAGCTGGACAACAAATCAAATCAGGCCAAGAGGGGAAAAAAGAATATGAGCAACCAAAGTCTGCTTTACTGCGCCTTGTTTGAAACCTTGGCCTTGTTCTCCCTCCGGCGCTTCAGAGCATCCGGAGTGTACTCGGTGTCAAGGACGTAATCCCACCAGCGGAAGCTGCTAGCATAGTTGCCAATGAACTTCTCATGGTGAAGATCATGATGATCAGCACCAGCCCAGAAGGGAAGGAAGTGGTGAAGACTCCAGGGGAATTCATAGCCGCTGTGTGCATCGATGGCCTGGAACAGACGCAGCACAATCCAGATGTACATGGTGAGAATATGCAAATCACCAGTCACGGCACACCAAAGGATAGGGCAGCCGACGGTTCCAAAGCCTAGGATCATCACCTCAATAGGAGACGCGTACTCTGCAGCCAAGCCGAAAGGCGCCGAGTATTGGTGGTGGATCTTGTGAATGGCCTTGTAGAGAGGTCCCCAGTGAAGAGCACGGTGAGAGAAGTAATGCCAAGTATCCTCCATCACGAAAAAAACGGCAATCTGGTATGCCATGGTCCAAAGGGTGGGGAACGGGATCGAGGTTGAGAGACCGCAGAATTGTGCCATGGGGTGGAAGAGCCTGGAGATTGTCAGATGAGATTTCATGGCCAGAAAATCCAACTGTCTTACCAAATCTGAGGTAGTTCAACCGTGAAGTGACTGAGAAGGACGAACTTTGCGCAGTCCCACTGCTCGCGGAGCGAGGGAATTTTGTTCTAGATGGTGTTAGAAATGGAAAAGATACCCTTTTATGAAGCAGATCGCTTACTCCTTGAATCTTGTAGCGATTGAACAGGCCCAGAGTATCGATGAAAATCCAGGGAAGCGACCGACCGAAGTATACTGCTTCGTGCATCACGAACGACATGATGCCAGTGGCGAGAACATCGTTCTGCATCCAGGCATACCAGGCAGCCCACAGTCTCTCGGCCACATTGAGCTGGGTGTTGTACTTGGAGATTTCCTCGAATTGGCCCCAGTACGTCCCTGAGGACAAGACTGTTGAGTTCCTAAAACCAAAAAAATTAGGGGAGAGTGGAAGAAGTCAAAGGGAAAGAGAGCGTACATGATGTGTTTCCAATGAGTGAAAGTAGAAAGGTGAAGAAATGGAAAACAAGAAGTCTAGCGGTTCCTTATAAAAGAACGAATAGAAAGGGGGGGAATGGAAAATGGTTCAAAAAAAAAAAAAAGACGATCAGGGACAATCGAATCCCGACGTGGCGAGACCCCCTGAAGGGGGGACATAAGGCCACTGGCAGGCCGGCATCCGAGGTCACCCCACCTGCATAATGCGGAATTGCCTCGTCTGTGTATGGCTGAATCGTACGATCTTAATCTATACTTGACCTTTGAAGAAGTCTAGGCTCCAGTCTATCATATTAACTATGAAGTAGAGTAAATACAGTATCATAGTGTTCTTCTTACTTGTTAACTTACTTAGAAATACATGTACCTGTAGTGAAGTCAGTATGTTCTGTACACGCGTAGACGCGAGTACACTTTGACTTGTTTGACTGGTTTGTGCTGTTTGCTGTTTGCTGTTTGCTGTGTTTGTGTATGACGGCATCCCCTTCTTCCTCTCGAGCTTCATTCTTTCTACACCGGAGTTATGTCGGTCATACGAGAGTGAGTGTAATGGGACCACAGATCCACGTCAATTTTACTAATTGTTTTGCAGAACAGTTTGTGGCGTCAATACACAGCTAGACCGCCTCCAGCAGATTACAACTCAACAACTTGAGGCCGCTTCTCTTCCTGATCAGTCTCAAGAACATATCGACCAGTTGCAAGATGTCATCCACGCTATTTCAGTGACATCAAAGACACAACCTCTTCTATCCCCCACTCGATTGGCAGCCTTGCTTTCTGACCCGGCTATATCTCGCCTCCAATCCAGTCCTAGTATATCTGGGGTCTCTGCTGGAAATGCCTCTGACTACGTATGGATAATAGCAGCAAAGGCTGCCGTCCAGACATCTGGCTTGCTCATGAGCACTGTTCTGGACCAAACGCTTGAACTCCACGATGAAGCTTATTATTGGGGAGAGATGCTGGGTTCAGTCTGGCACAGCGGCCTGTATACGATCCAGACCTCCCCAGTAGAGTTGTTTCGATGGACTAAGAACACATATCTGACACAAACTCAAGGCACCTCGTCCATTGTAGACAGGTGGATTCAATTTTACCAGGTTGCCCAACAAAGTGTCTGGAAATTAGGAGGACACTCCATACGTGGCCATTTGCTTGCTCCCATCAGGTCGTCGCGCGCGGAGATGCGGCAAAAAAGAGACTTGATATTCGCGATGAAGGATCTTCACACCAGCAGCCTTGGCCTTCTGATGGAAGGGTGGCATTCGTTCGAGGCCGATGAATCCACTGCGAGTGCCACCTCTATGGACCTAGGCAAGCAATGGCGCGATGAAGTATGCAGGGCAGTAGTTCTAATCGAAGCTGTCTGTCACCAGATAAGACTTGAGCCCAGCATCCAGGCATTGGAGGGGTGCGTATTTGCAGCTCTGAAGAGAGAAACTGATAGCATGCAATTGCAAGCACAGAGTGAACCCCGCGTCCAGCAGCCCCTCGAATTAATCGAACGACTTGTGCATGTGCTCCGACAGAAGTTGCCACAACATAAAGCTTCAGTTTCAATATTTGTTGGTCACCATGGACGGCCTTCGGGCATGGTCCGCTACTGGTTACCAATCTCAGCTGCCATCCTTTTCGGCAGTGTGTCGATGAGGTTCTTGTCCAACAGACAGGAGGAAATCATCCAGGGGATCATGGACATTGGTGCCACAACCATCGACTTTTGGGGCAACTGGGTTGTGCACCCCATCCGAAAGCTCATTGGGACCATCAGGCATGATGAAAAAAGCGAAATCGCTATCATGAGCAAGAATAGTCTGCTGGCTGATCGAGCCAGCTTGGAAAGAATGGTGGTTGATTTTGTTCAAGATCGCCCGGACCTTCACGAAGGAGTAGCAGACACCACCACCATCGTGAACGCAGTTAAGGAGGGTGACTTGACCCCCGTTCTGAAAGCGTACGAAAGAGACTTGCGGTCACCACTGGTTGGAACCGTTCGGGGCGATCTAATCCGTGCCCTCTTGATTCAAATCCAGAAAACCAAGGTTGACGTGGAGATTGCCATCAGCGGTATTGATGCTCTACTGAAGAGCCAAGAACTTGTCTTTGGGTATGTGCTCCCGATTTGAAAACCATGAGCATTATTGATTGAAATTTGCTAGGTTCGTTGGATTAACCCCAGGGATCTTGGTCTCTTTTGCAGCCCTGAGATGGCTGGGCACCCTTTTGGGTAGCCGACGAGGCCTGCAAAAGGGCAAGCATCGACATGAACTCAAGCGTGGATTGCGGTATGCGGCCCCTAACCGTTCAAACTACACTTCAAATGCTAATTACGATGGCTGTAGGAATGTGGCTCGGATTCTGACATCCTCTGGGATTTCTGCAAATGGAAAGATCCCATACAAAGACTCCGGTCAATTGATCTGCGAGGCGGAGGCTCTACTGCAGCAGATGAGGGCGGTTTCTAGCAGTATGAAGTATCAAGAGTTCCGGGAAGATATCCAAGATCTGCTCAACGTACAGAATGGAGTTGACAAGCAACTTCGTGTGATTGAGAGGATGAGATGGTCATACTTTCAATGAAAGACAATATATACCGTACTTCGTCTCTGTACTCCATAGATATAGACTGAACACATGATGCTTACATAATGCACTTGCGTACCGTCATCACCTCCACTCAGGTCATCGACCTCCTTTCCTAAAAGTCTAGTCATACGCTTGTGTAAACGCCCTTACACTCTTACATTCGAGTTTTGTCGCATCGTTCCTCTTCTCTATCCTTTGATACCTCCGGGGAAAGATACTCGGCTCTAATTTATCCACGCTGCTTCTCCGCTTCTCTCCAAACACCCCCATTCCATCTACCTTTCTTTACAACCCAAGATTTGAACGGGGTTTGATCTGAGGATTGTTTACCTTGCCACCTTTTACCCCCTCTTCACAAATATCACGACCATCCAATATGGCCGGCACACGGAATTATGACTTCCTGGTCAGTATCCACTGCCTTAGATCCAGATACGCAATCTGACTTTGTTATAGATCAAACTACTGCTGATCGGAGACTCCGGTGTGGGCAAGTCATGTTGTCTCCTACGATTCAGCGAAGACTCCTTCACCCCATCATTCATCACTACCATCGGCATCGATTTCAAGATCCGCACGATCGAACTGGACGGAAAGAGAGTGAAACTGCAAATCTGGGACACAGCAGGCCAGGAGCGCTTTCGCACGATCACGACGGCGTACTATAGAGGCGCCATGGGTATTCTCCTTGTCTATGATGTGACAGACGAGCGATCATTCCAAAGTCAGTCCTTTCTTTTCTTTCCCCGTGGAAAGTGCCTAACACTGTTCTCCCTCTAGACATTCGGACGTGGTTTTCAAACGTCGAGCAGCACGCTAGCGAAGGTGTACACAAGATCCTTATTGGAAACAAGTGTGACTGGGAAGAGAAACGAGCGGTTACTACCGAGCAAGGCCAGCAGCTTGCCGATGAACTCGGTATTCCTTTCCTTGAGGTGTCGGCTAAGAACAACATCAACATTGAGAAGGCGTTCTACAGCCTTGCATCGGATATCAAGAAGGGGATGGACACATCCAAGACTGAACAATCGGGTTCCCAGGGGGTGAGTATAGACCAGCAGGGCTCGGGTGTGAACGGTAACTCCGGAGGAAAGTGCTGTTAGTTGTATTACCATTGTCTTTGAGCTATTATTCTATTATTTTCTGGGTTTCTTCATGTCTGAATGTCCAAGTGCAGTGTATATGTTTCGTAGTCTAGATGCCTATCAGCGGCCCACTTTCTGGGGTACATTGATTTCTGTTGTGTACCGTTCCCGAAGTTGCCCCTCCAAAAAAAATCTCTCTTGATACTTGCACCTCTTTCTCCCGAAAACTAGTTAATCTCCAGGGAAAAAGATCTTTGGGGTCTTTGCCATCTTCTAACTAATTTATACATGAGGGGAAAAAAACTCACCCTCACCATTCTTGAATCACAACCCACCCTTCAACATGGCCGAGGTTCGCAGTTTTACTGCTCGACCTTTGTCGAAACAAACGGCAAGGAAGGATTTGAAAGATGCATTTCGAATCTATCTTAATTCTGCATCGCTAGCTGCTTTGAGGCTTCAAACCGAGAGTATCTGCATCTTAAGGCAAGCGGATGGGCCACCGAAGACTGCCATAGCATGGTATGCAGCAGAAAATATTCAAAATACTGTCATGCAAACATCAAGGACTCTGCAAGATTGCTACGGTATCAAAGTTGGAGAAAAAGTTTCTATCACCAAGGTCGATGGCTCCCTGGAGGATATCGAACTGGTGACATTAGAGGATTCTTCCGATGCCGACAAGATTGACAAGTACGGTGCCATCTCGGACACCGATAGACCTCACTGGGAATGGGCCTTGGATGAAAAGCTTCTCAGATGCGGCTCTCTGGCTACGGGACTGACATTTGAACTGGAGCTCAAGGGTCAACCCAGGAGTTTCCGAGTGGTTAACATCCGCTCTAAAAATCCCAACTCTAGCCACACACTGTTTCAGTTCACAGATACTTCCAGGATCTCCCTTGGAGCAGAAACGGGTGTGTCTATGGCAAAAACGTTCTCTGATCTCCAAGTCCAGTCCGTTGGCCTTGGAGGTTTATCCCGCCAGATTGAGGACATTAATGAGAGCCTATCCGATTTCAATATCGATCCGCGGAAACCGGAGATGCCATCATTCTACGAGAACAACCGAGGTATCCTACTCTATGGACCGAAAGGCACCGGCAAAACAAGTCTTTTGGAACAGATCGAGAAGGCTGGCTGGAGACAAGTCTTCAGAATTGGCACCTCTTCTTTGGGAAGAAGTACCAGCGAAGGCGAGGGCAAGCTGCGCAATCTCTTCCAGGAGGCAGCTCGCTCTAAACCCAGTGTGATAATCATCGACCAGCTGGAATTCATTGCCCCAAAGCGAACCTCGTTCGAATCCCAGTCTCTTGCATCTGTCTTGTGTGAAAATTTGGATGCGCTCCGAGGTACATCAACACTAGTGGTAGCTGCAACCCGACACCCCAACCAGGTCGATGATGCCCTCAGAACTCCCCAGCGACTTGGGACGGAAATTGAACTGCAAGTTCCAACCGCACAGGACCGAGCCGAAATTTTACGAGCCATTCGTGGGCCAGTTTCTGCTGGCTTGACCGATGAACTTGTGGAGCTCTTGGCCGAAAAGACACACGGATATGTAGGAGCCGACCTTTTCGCCCTCCTGCAACTAGTGTGTCGCAAAGCTCGACAGCGTCAACTGATGGAGAAGAGCTCCCTCGTGACATCCGCCAACTCCACAATTGAGCCCTATAGCTCACACCTTGATGGTGATAACGAAGGTGACATGGCTATCCCGCTGGTGATCCAAGAGCCAGATATCATGTCCTCTCTGCAAGAGATTCGTCCTACTGCCATGCGGGAGGTTTTCCTAGAGACACCCAAGGTCAGATGGTCGGATATTGGTGGACAGCATGAGATCAAAAGACGTCTTCAACAAGCAGTCGAGCGACCTTTGAAGGTGAGAAGAATCCCAAACTCAACAATTTGGAGTCAAACTGACATTGCATACTAGTATCCTCAACGGATGCGCAGACTCAATGTCAATAGCAAAAAGGGTGTTCTCCTCTACGGACCACCTGGATGTTCAAAGACATTGACGGTCAAGGCACTGGCTACCGAAGCTGGGTTGAACTTTTTGGCAGTCAAGGGCGCCGAGATCCTCAGCATGTATGTTGGAGAATCCGAGCGGTCATTGCGAGAGATTTTCCGAAAAGCTCGGGCCGCAAGGCCTAGCATCATATTTTTCGATGAGATTGATGCTATTGCTGCACGACGTGGCAGCTCCCAAGGAGGTGTGAATGTTTTGACGACTTTGCTGAACGAAATGGACGGCATTGAAGAGCTCCGAAACGTACTGGTCATTGCGGCCACCAACAAGCCCGATGTTCTAGACCCGGCTTTGATGCGTCCTGGAAGATTGGATAACATCCTCTATATCGGTCCGCCGGATGTTGAAGCGCGCAAGGAAATCCTACGCATCTGGGCCAGCAAGTCCGTGGTGAATCCGGAGGTTGACTTGGATGACCTGGCAGTTTTGACTGAGGGATATTCAGGCGCAGAGATAGTCAGCATCTGTGAAACTGCCGGAGATGCTGCACTCGATGAAGAAGAGGAGATTCAGCAGGAACTAGATGTGAAGTGGAAGCACTTTGAATATGCCCTGGGACAAGTGAGGCGCCAAATTACGGATGCTGTCATCAAAGAGTATGAACAGTGGAGGGATGGCTAAGAGGACGCTTGAAGATGCTGTACAATAAAAGACCAAAATCAAGAGTAAATGCAAAATCAAAAGCAAAAGCGAAGGTGAAGGGAAACTATATACTTGAGAGGTGATTACTAGATCGGGTTAGCGCGGCTTAGAATGCATCCCTTCCGAGCTTCCTTTCTTCTTCAACTGCGAGAATTCAAGTCTCTGCTATCTGCGCTTTGCATCTGACATTGCCTCTGATTTTTCGAAATTCAAAATCCCTGGACTCTTACCATACTTGACAAAATCGTCGTGCGCCCTGAGCGCCTAGTCTTCAACATGTCCATGAGATCACCTCGCGGTCCTTCACCACAGCGCTCACTCGACCAAGACCGACCACGATCGCGATCGCGTTCTGCGCGTCGCTCGAGGCCCCTAAGTGAAACTCCCCGTAGTACTAGTCGGAGTCCTTCCCATGGACATCGCGACCGCCATCGCTCAAGAACCCGATCCCCCTCTCGTGGCAGAACCCGATCCCGCAGTCGCAGCCGAGGTGGTCGTCGTTATCATAGCAAGAGTGACAGTCGCTCACTCACTCCGAATCAAAGCCCCCCAAGAAGTTCCAAGGTCAGTGCTGATGCAATTCCACGCAAAGTCCCCCCGAGACTGCACGAGTATGAAGCATGTGCTAACGTCCATCTCAATAAAAGATTGTGGTAGAAAAATTAACCAAAAACGTTACGCAAAATCACATTCGAGAAATCTTTGGGGACTTTGGAGACATTGAGTATCTCGACCTTCCGATCAACAAGGCTTGTAAGTCTTGCCTCTCGTCCAATCCTCGATGTACAAGTTCTAACTCCTCTTGTTTTAGTCATGACCAATCGTGGAACGGCATATATTCTCTATTATGATCCTGCCGATGCAGAGGCTGCCATCGCTCACATGCACGAGGCTCAACTTGATGGGGCCATCCTGAATGTTTCAATTGTTCTTCCCCGACGGAAATTCTCACAATCGCCGCCCCCTGCATCAAACCGAGGGAATGGTGGCCGCCCTAGATATGGCCGGGGACCATATGCAGGCCAACAATCTTCGCCAAGAAGACACGGCGGTGGACGGCCGACGGAACGTCATGATGTCTACAGACCAAGGTCTCTGTCACGTTCACGATCTCCCGTTCGTTCGCGGTCATATTCCTCTCGATCACGGTCTCCCCCACCCCGACGAGGTAGTATTCGCGCAGACTCGCATCACCACAGGCGCCGTAGCCCAAGCTATAGCAGTTATGGTGGCAGCAGTCGAAGCCGCAGCCCAGCCAGAAGCCGGGGTCGAAACCGCCATTGAGCACTCGATGTGTCGGAATATCATTTCACTGTCTTCATGGAGTGGATCCTTGGTGTGCAACTTTACCACATCTACTTGGCCTTCTGTTGCAGGCAACCGATTGTCTTTCGCAGGATATCCACAATCAATGTATTGAAAACAAAAATGAAACCTGAGTTATGAAGTAGCGGCTGAAGCAAGAACAGTGTCCTTCGAGTACCAATATTTTGTTATTTCTCATTTTCTTAGACCGTATTTTCTGACTATGGATCAAAGCAGTGGAATCGTATTGACAGTTCAGAAGAACGAACACCATCCGATATACATCGACGCTAGCTTCTTCTTGTCTGTTGCTTGCACGATCAACTCATCTACCTGGCCATCCACGGAAAGGGCAATGGGCTGCTTAGACATGTAGCCGCGAAGTTTGTTTCGCACATCTTCCAAAACACCGGCTGGTGTATCGGGAACATTAACATGAGTGCGGCGCTGAGGGGGAAATTGTGCATGTTAGCGGCAGCTCATCGAGACATGTCAAGTTGTACTCACCCTCTTGCCAATGAAATCCGTTGTTGGATCATGCAAAAAGGTCTCAAGAACAGTCATCAAAGCATCCTCGTTCTGTCGTAAAAGACTGAGAGTGATTTCACAGGTCCGTCTGAACGGACCTATATCTCTAGGATTAGTACGGAACCAACACGGAGGTTTCATCCAAACACACCGTTGTATCCATAAGCGCCAAACGCATCGACCATGTTATGAGTCAGTCGGAATGGTACCACCTCGGGCTTTTCGAATGTTTGACCTTTGTCAAACAGACAGTTGAAATCCACATGTAGTAGGCCACCTGTGCCTTCCTCGAACGAGAGGTTCTCGCCATGTCGATCGCCTAGACTATAAGGTAGTAGCAGATGTTAGTTTCACAGAGGTAGGAGTAGGAGAAGTCCTCTATGGGCAATGGAATGGCGATCTAACATACCCCAGGACATATCCCACCATTGACATAACGGCAGAAGATCGTGTATACCGCAGTCTGGCTGTGAACCAGGCTTCTGTCTCGGGGAACATCTCGATGAACCACTCATGAAGAACTGGGGGAAGCCTGTTGTCTGTCAGTACGGCAGAACACCGACCAAAACAGCGATCTTGGAACATACTTAGCCAAGATTTTGGTTGTGAACAACGGCAGCTTTGAGAATGACTGGTCGGCGCAGATATCTTCCAAATAGTGCCTGATCTCATTGTACTATTGCACTCGTCAACAAACCAATATAAAAATTCCGGGATAGGTTTCATAAGCTTACATTTGGCGTGATTCCTTTTTCGCGTAGGCCTTTCATGATAATCTCCCTCAGCGTGCGGAGGTTGTCAACCCACTCGATGAGACCACATTCCTCGTTCAAAGGCGTCACGGCGTATGTTTTGATGTCTAATCTGCGTCAGCTTTGGGCCTGGATGCATATAAACCAGAAGTACTCACACATGCGCCGCTTGCTTGATTCAACGTCTCTCTTGAGAAACCTGTTGATCATGTTATTAAACTCCATGAGACGTTGGTCCTTCCGCAAGTCATCCTTGGGTTTGCACAGTGCGTTGTAGATCTTTCCATCAGACCCTCGTATGCTAATCTTGCGTGGCTTTTGGAGCGAATTCAAAATCTGGGCATCATCAAGAACGGCCTCGATGGTTGTCGGATCTCGAGGGAAAGCTCTAAATCCTTTGATGTATTCGAGGTTTTGGCTGGCAGGAAGACTTGGAATCAACATCGCCTGGAAAGGAACTACCAGCCGACACGGTGCCACTTTATGGTTGAATCCTAGATTGCGACCCAATTGGACCTTGGATACCTTGTTCTCAACTCGAGCAAGACATAGTTGAAGTAGTTCCTCGGAAAACTTCTGGCCTTGGTTTATCATGCGGCGAATTTCGGATGCCGAGGATGAGTCTCCCTTGGACTTGTTACCATAATCCTAGGCAGGTCAGTGAGTGTGTGAGCTGGTTGAATAAGTAGCTACTTACCATTATTTTTTGCAGACAGGTGAAGCCCTTAGTGGCTCGCTCTTTGTTGGATGATTTGACAACAGCAAGAACAGTCCAGAGACCCTGCTGTGGGAAATTGTGAACCGCTTTGGCTACAATCCGCGTCAATAGATCGTAGACTGTGCTGTTGGGATGGCAGATCCGGGCAACAACTTGGGGTAGGATTGTGAACAAGAGAGCTGCTTGCAATCGTTTTTCGATGTATTTCTTCAGCTGTGCATGCATTTCATCCAGACTCTTCTGTCGTTGGGCTTTTGTGTGTCTCTGGAAATCTTCATTGTCGCCCCTTTTAGGATCAAGTGGCTGTTCAACGATAGAAGCATGTTCAAGCCAGAGTGTAAGAAGTTTGGGCAGCGTCTGAAAGACATATTTGGTCCCGTATGTCAATGAGCGAAGATAATTGTCAATGACAAGCTTTGTTGCTTCTCCACTCAAGTATATCTGGGCCTCTCTTCCCATGGGTTTAGCCTTTTCAGACTCCAGGATTTTGTTGTAATGTTTTCCCAGGTAATAATGTGCCCTTTCCCACTTTGGATAGAGCTTGATAGCTTCTCGGTATCTCTGAACGATGGCCTGAGAATGTGTCTGACCAGCTCTGTCTGTCCATTTAGCCAGCATGAGATGCGCGAGGGCAGTGGATTCATTTTGATGTTGCCCACGGCTCGAGAGGAATGACATGGCTTCAACGTCACTTGAAGAGGACGTGGTTTGGGTGGCTTCATTGGCAGATATGGCACCCTCAAGAGTTTGAATAGCCTTTCGATGATGTCCGTCTTTCCAGAGGAGTCGTGCATGTTCAATGGTAGCAGACCTGTCTTTCAACCGTGCAGCGTTCAGCATTGAGTGATACGCTTGGCTGCTAAAGTTGCCCTTGCGTGATAGACGTGCACTAGTCAGCCACGCCGCAGAGATGTCAGAATCGGCAAATTCGCCCCTTAATACGAGTTAGTCAAATTCTAGATGTTCCTAAGGCGCAACTCACGCTAGCTCCATGGTGGCACGTCTCAACCCCAAAAGGTATTGTTTGTCAGACAGGTAACCTCCCAACACATCCAGCCGTCTGTCCAGCGTATCAAGTAAGCCAGAATGAGAGCGATCAGACTCGACCCTGGCAATAGATTCGACCTCTGATAAAGCATGCAATCGAAGCATGTCATCATGGCATGACTGTAGTGACGCGACTGAGTTGGCGGTCAGTGATCGAGCAACATTGAGCCTGAGCTCATTAATCTTGTCTGTGAATGAACTTGATTGCTTTTGGCGAAGAGCATCAAGAGCCGACCCGATGCCAACATTGAACTCTTCGGTGCCTTGTTCAGCACACAGTCTAAGGTATCCTTCTAGCTTATCCCATCTGCCCATGATCCACGTTGCTTCAACTGCGAACGGAAGGAATCGCGAAGCCGCTGATTCACTTTCTTTTAGAACCTCGAAGCGAGTAAGAATGGCATCTTGTTGACCTGATTCTTTGAGACATGTCACGAGATTCCATTGAGCATCGACATTGTTGGGCTCTTTTTCAAGTTGCAGTTCATACCAACTCTGTGCCGTGGCCCATCTTCCTGCTTTCCTATGTTCAAGGACTTGCTGGTCAATGTTTAAGGCGGACAAGTGGCTTGAGATGCCCTCAATGCCATCCGGTTCATCGATTTGACTGTAGATGTCTTGTAATCGTTGGTACAGAGGCTCAAGACTGCCGCAGTCCTGCTCTCCTCCATTTGATTTGGTCTTTCGAATGTACTGCTCCCAATGAAAGAGTGCTTTGGAGAATGATTTACATTCAACCGCCCGTTTGGAAATGATTTCAGGAGGTATGGAAGATAGTAGTGTTTCCACAGACTTGATCTGTGACGAATATTTGTCGATGAGCGCGTCACGGCTCAAATCTTTATTGGAACGACTCGAATGGTTGGAATTTTGTGCCAGGCCGTTCAGGTGCTTCTTCTTTCCTTGTAACCACCTGGAAAGGTAATCGAGCACTTCAAACACACTTTGACTACTGCTGATTATGGTCTCACGGGCATTGTTGTTTGTCTCAGGGACAGGATGTGAAAGGACTCTCATCAATTCGCGTTGAAGATCCTGTTTCTCATGTTCAGTCCCTCCCACAATACGGTTCAGAACCGCGAAGGGTAGAAGGAAAGAAGATATGGAGATATCTTGACCTTTCACAACACGACTGGATATGGAGAAGACCATTTTTGCGTTATCTCCGTTGCCTGTTTGCAGAAGGTCTTGCACAAACGTTCGAAGCCACTCGCTGTGAGTCAATTTAGGGGAGAACAGCGGATATCTGACTTCGGCATGATTGGTAACCACAGTGACCGTGTACGTAGATGTGAGAAATGGCGTGAGAGTGTTCCGAACACTTTCCGGAAGCTCCATCCAGCGCTGAAGCTTTTCGTCGCCTTGAAGATCGCGAGACCGCTGATTAAACACCGAATTGAGTTTGCAGAACTTGAGAAGACCCTGCATGGCCCATGCTAGAAAGCCCTGGGCTCTGGTATTGGAAGCAGACAGGAATGCCTCGACTAGCACGTGCTGGAGAAAGAAAAGAATAAAGGCAACCGTTTCCTCCATTCTGTCGAAGTTGGACAAAACAAGTATGTCTTTTTTCTCTTTTATGGTCTCTACTCGGTTAGGATCAAGGCAGCCGACAAGCCCCAAGCATCGCGCCGACAGCAATGTAATGTTGTCTGAGGTAGTGTTGAATTTCACGCAACAGTCCAGCAGCGACCTGGTCAGATGGGCAATAACAGGATCTGGTTGTTCGCTCAGAACAGAGTCGTGGAGGAACTCCTCATTTGCGGACAGAAAAGGTGCCAATTCAATCAATGCTTGTTCAACAACGGTGGCATTCTCGCTTTGGCAGCGGCGTATGAGCGCCAGGAACTGGCTGCGCACATCCATTTGAGCCCTAAGGTCATTGATCTTGGCATCGAAAGGGGCCAATTCTGGGATGGATGCAAGCGAAGGCATTGTGTTGAATGTATCTCTCACAAGACTCTGATGATTTATCAATATGTGATCAATGAGCTCGCAGGCACGGTTTCTGCTCTCTTCGGTCAAATTATCCCAGTATCTAATCACAATTGCCAGTGTTTGGTCAATTATCGGTTCAAGGTCTTCTTCGCTAAGTGAGCTAACCAAGGTCTTCCATGCTGAGAATGCACAGTCGCTAAGTTCCTCAATCTCAAGAGCTGAGCGAAGACAGGCACAGACCTGGGGCAAAGCACTGCTAACGTGACCCTGGGCAATGTTGATCATTTCTTCAATGGCTTTGATGTTTCTCCTCTTTTCTGCCAACGTTTGTCTCACTTGGAAGTCGTTGATAGCATTTGCGAATTGGGTGATAATGCCGAGAACATGCTCCTCAATGAAGTGACTCAGATCCGCCTTTTTTGACGTGTTTCCATGCGTAATCTTTCGTGGGACGAACGTGGCCAGACGATGGAGGGCTTGATAAAACCTTTCTTTTTTCTGCTCGCCCGCATCACCAAGACTTTTCAGCAGATCACAGGTGATGAGAATTGGCTCGATTCTGACTAACTCTGCCAATGATCGGCCCTTGAAAGCGGGATCTATCTCTGCCAAGAGGGACATGATCATGGCTTCTGGGTTATCTGATTGCTGTGACAAGAGAAACGCAAGGATTGCGGCTAGGTTGTTTTTTTCTGAGCAGACATCAAAAGCAGATTCGCCCTCATTGCGACTAGCTCCAATTCTGCAAATAATGTCTCGTTTCCGAGTCAAAACTAAGTAGGGCAAGACATGAACTTCCGTCAGCCGAAGGAAGCCATCCACCTTCATGCCAAGCAAGTCACATAGCTGCTCAGCCATATGTGGGCGAGATTGAAGGTTCTTGACAACCGTCACTGAGAGAGTTCTCCAGTAAGGCCGAAACAGGCCAGCAGGCGTCAAAGAAAAGTGCTGTGCAAGTTTTGACAACTCATTATAGGCCACAGCACAAACGTAGGGGTTTGGATGTGCGAGATACTCCAATAGCCGTAAAAGAATGATGTTTTTTTCTTCATCCTCTGAGACAGTTGCTAGCCGACAAAGTGTCATAATACAGGCTTCCTGCACTGGCATGTCGTCCTTTTCTGAGAGATTCTTAACCCACTCGAGTATAACGACAAAATTGGCGCGACGAACATCTTCTGGAAGACCTGGACGCACAAAAGCCACCACGGTATGCCCAGTCGCAACGCGTAATTCCCTTATTGAACTTCGAAGTGAATGAAGACAGAACTCCCCAGAGGCGGAAGTTGAAAGATACATTTGATTCGAGTTTGGGGCATGCATTAGAATTCGTCTCAAGGCAACCATTGCAGATATCCGAGGACCGGGTGTGCGTGTCAGCCTTGGTAGAATGAGATTAAACAATGTCCAAATTTCGCCGTACTCAGGATACTCTGCGTCTGCGTCATTGTGCGGACCTATTTCCATATCGCATTTCTGGCAGAAGAAGGTGTCTTGCTCTATGATATCAGAAGGCTTCCTCCGAAGCATTCTTGTTACTGCACATGCGATTTTGCCAAGAATGTCCAACATTTCAATTTTCTGAGGATCGGAAAGTTCTTCGTGCGATTTTTGGATGAAGGTAAGCAGTTCTGGGATTGATTTGCCACAGTCAGAGTGAAGAACGGAAGAAAATCTTCCTTCTAGAACTTGGAGCAAGTCCTGAATGTCGGATTCACTCGGCAGTCCTGGAAGACACAACCGCTTCGGTGCTCGGGTATCTTCATTTGGCTCATCTTGCGGTAAATCGCTAGGTCTCTGGAAAGCGGAATCTGATTCCATCGGGGCATCAGCTGAGGAAGTTTCCAACTTGGCATGTAATCTCCTGAGGGAGCTCCATAGATGTGACTCAAAGAACTGGTCGTTTGAATGAACCGATTTGATATCTTCCAAAGCTGGCAGGGTTTCTCTCAACTGTTTAACCAGTGAATTTGAGTTGGCTGCTGCTCGTGAAAGATCATCCAGGAAGCAACTCAGAAGCGCTTGAACAGAAGGCAATTGATCTAGAATACCTAGACCCAAAAGTCCACGTAGGCATTGACACCATGTAGAAATCAGGCTTGTGTTTGAAAGTAGACTTGAATCATGAGATCCCGAGACCCAGCAACGCTGCAAACAAGCCAGATATTGCAAAGACATAGTCTCGTCATCTGGAGCTGGCTGGGCTCCAGAGAGGTACAACCACTCGACAATGACCCTTCGTAGGCGATGATATCCGTTCAGCGTCCACGAAAGGTTGAACTCGTGATGCTTTGCACGGGACACCACATCATTGTTAGGACTGAACGAATCTAGCAATCGACAGGCCAGTGAAAATGATTGGTGGAAATCACCAAGGACTGTACAATTACTGAACAAACCAGGGGAGAGACCTAGGTTTTCGATGTCTTCAATGAGGGTCCCACTTTCCGCGGGCATTGTCAGTTTTTTGTGGCGTGACGACCAGGAAGTATTGAATTGGAACTTTTCAAGTGAAAGCAATATATCTGCTAAATTTGTAAGCCTTGCCCGAGGTCAGATATGAAGAAAGAAACAGACCTGACGTGCAAGCACGCAGAAACGCAGAAACCGCATAGCTTGAAGGCAGTGACCGGGCTTGCCTTTGGCTGCAGTAAACTAAACTAGACCATACAAGCTGTATCCTATCGCGTACGATCTCAGAGGTCCAGATGTTGGCAAGTCGAATCAGGCGTATGATTAGCCATGAAAACAGAGGCGCATGTACATCCTCGCCCAATATGAGTGGGTCAGATGGTGCCCATAGAGCCTGGGGAGCTTTCTCAATACTAGCTTGAATAATGTCTAAGCAGTCAAGTACTTGCCCTTCTAAGCTTTGCTCCGGAGAGTTGCTTTTTGGGCTGATATCGAGCCCAGCCTTTAAGACAATGCATATGAGTTTGTTAACATCGGTGACATCTTCATCCACACGTAATTGATTATGAACTTCACCAAGAAGTTCCTGTCGTAGCTGAGAGAAAGTCTCTCTTGTGAGCTGAGCATCGTGCCCTTGGGAGGCAAGACGCGGTGCAAAATGCGCAGCAAGGATTGACGAGGCGGGCTCAGGTCTCCAAATGTTCCCAGGTACGGCGACCCGTTCATTGTCTCCCTCGGCAGCCATATGGGACATACATGTTCAGGCAAAAGTCAAGAACTAAAGTGCGCGAACAAGATGTCCGGAGTTGCGTGAAGGAGGTGCAGATACGCGAAGAGTTGATATGTCGTCGACACCTGAGGCACCATTACCCACCACCGCGTATACATTTTTACATTGAATAATTCTCATGATCCTACGGGTTCAATACCATCCCGGATCTTCAAATAAATTGATGAATTTGGCTGACTAGAAATGACATGAGCTCAGCTTTGCCATGAATGGTTGACCTCATTTGAAATTTCGCTTGCCACTATCATTTCCTTCTAACGTCTTTCATCCCTTTAGCCTGTGCTCTGGCATAGAGAATTTATTCAACTAGAACCATCTTCCCCAAAACAATGCAGACCCCAGAGACCTCTCAAATGCCCGCCGTGGAGTTTACGGGTAACCCCGCGGTGGCAGAGGATTCAAGGCATGGCTATTTTATGAGACAGGCTTTGCTGATGGTATGATGCTCCTACACGGCGAGAACTCATACTGAATCCGATGACAGGGCGAGAAGGCACTCCAGTCAGGAGAAACCCCCGTGGGCTGTGTTCTGGTGCACAATGATCAGATTGTGGGGTATGGCATGAACGATACGAATAGATCCATGAATGTACGTGGTTTGATGGAACAGCCTTTCTACATGAGAAAAAACCTGCTAACCATACTAAGGGTACCCGGCACGCTGAGTTCATAGCGATTGCAGAAATGCTCCAATCCTACCCCAGATCAGCATTGCAACATACGGATCTCTATGTGACAGTCGAGCCCTGTGTGATGTGTGCATCTGCCTTGAAGCAGTACCGCATACGCTGTGTGTACTTCGGTTGTGCGAATGATCGTTTTGGGGGCACTGGCGGCGTGTTGTCTTTACATTCCGAGTGAGTAGGCCCAGAAGCTGCTCAGAATCAGTGCAAAAGACTGACCCAAGATAGCTCCTCAATTGACCCACCATTTCCTGTGTACGGTGGTTTGTTCGAGAAGGAAGCAATTATGCTGCTCCGTCGGTTCTACATCCAGGAGAACGAGAAAGGTAATTAGGAGTTATTAGACTTGGATGCCGTCCACCTGCTAACATCATGCCAGCTCCCAACCCAAGACCAAAGAAGAATCGCGAGTTGAATACTAAATTTGAGGATGGCAGTGAAGAAGCATCAACACCATTGTAGGTGTGCACTTTCTCAAAAATGGCACGTATTACTACGACTGAATATTGTCTTACCAAGTCCTATGTACTCTCAAATGAAACCATTTCAAGGTTGATCAGAATGGGAATCTGTATTGTAAATAGCAATTGCGCCCCAAAAACACACACGAAAGCGGATATGTGTACAAGTCTGCACCGGAAAGGCTCTCCATCATTTTTGCTGGGTGATTCATGAGGAGCCAGTCCGCTCTGCCTCCAATTCCCGCTCAGCCTGCTGGTAGTACTTGGCTGTGTCGACACCATGCTGCAAAACAGTCAATATCATGGACTGCCCAATGAGGCAGAATATGAACGTACCTGGTCATGGTTGACAACATTGATCCATGGGAGGATATGGATAAAGAGTTCCGAGTAGCGCGAGTTCCGGGCTGCGACACCTTGTAGGTAGGATGACACCTTGGAAGCGCCGTACAAAGGCTCGCCCTTCTTGACCTTGTCGACCATCTCGCGAGTGTCCATCTCAACCTCCCTCGAGTTCTCAGTGAAGCCGTAGAAACGTCCTGCGAAGGTGTAAGCGGCGACATTAAAAACCTCGCGAAAGCATCCGGGAATATAGGTTGACATACTGCAGGAGCGCTGGTAGAGCACATGGAGACCACCGATCAGACCGACAGCTGTAGCGAGACGCATAACGGGCGCAAAGCCACCGCGGCCCACATGCGACGGGCTGGTTCTCTCCATGACCCAGAAGGCAATGGGAGAAACTGAGGCCATTCCACCAGCCATGGCGTAGTCGGAAGGCCGGGCATATCCGAACACCCGTTTCAAATGCCTGTCAATGGTGTGAGCTCCAAGTCAATATTCTAAAATCCGGGGTAAATCGTACGGGTCGGAATCGATCAACTGTGGGATATGTTAGCACAAGAGCCAAAAGGCGCACAGGGAAGCAAAATGCGGTTCCCAGAGATTGTGCAGGAAATCATACTGGGTAATCAGTGCTGGCCCGCTTAGGGGGCACAATGGCCGTCTTGGTGTCTGTCGCCATGTTGGGACTTGAGGGTTGAATGTGCAGTTGAGGTTGAAGTTCTGGGAGTTGGAGGAGAGGAGGGTACACTAGCCCAATTAGGGATAGCGCATTGAAGGCGGGCAGAATTACCGGCAGCCAATCAGAGCACCGAGAACTTGCTACTCGCGTCACGCGTCAAGGCGGCCTCTGATTGATTGCGTTTGATGTTGAACACTTGAAACCATTGAGCACCTCAAGTACAGCAATTGAGCGAATCAAGGACCTTCCTGAGATCCTGTAAGTGTCCGGCATCCAACACAATACATACAAACTCAATTTCCAGCGTTATATCGTATTGGAACTATGGCCGACGCGAACATTTCAGAGCATGGAAGTCCAGCAAATGATTTGAACGATCTTTTTGATTATGATGTCGGACTGGATGAGATTGTCCCAGCGAACAACCATGCCAACAATACCAAAATCGCTACCGCAGGGGATTCTGCACTTGGTCTTGGCCTCGACGAAGAGGTTAAGGTCACAAAGCAACGGCAACCCGTCGCGAAACTCGATGAAAGCCGGTGAGCATGTCTACCCTCGCAGCAAGTATGGTGATGCTGATTAGGCTAGTCTACTCTCACAAGCGGGGATTCCCAAGCTACGGCAATCTGCAAGACGCAAACTGAAGTTCAAAGGCAAAGGGCACGAGGTTTGTTCTCCAACGCATCCCAAGGAGCCTGTCCCCACTAACCACTTACGACTTAAGTTTTCGGATGCCGCACGCCTTCTCAACTTCTACCAACTATGGCTTGACGATCTATACCCACGCGCAAAGTTCGTCGATGGCCTGGCAATGATCGAGAAACTGGGACATTCAAAAAGAATTCAGGTCATGCGAAGAGAATGGATTGATGAGGAGAAACCAAGGCCTTTTGACAGCTCCGAGCCTACGCGAGAAATGCTTGAGGGTCTTCAGATTCTCAAAAATGCAACCCATCATAGTGACAGTAATGCTTCGGCTTCCACAGAGCAAGAGAAGAGTGGTGACGGGGACCTATTCATTCCAGATCACGAAGGCACACGACAGACTGCCAGCTACCCCGAGCCTGACGACGACGATCTAGATGATCTACTCAGGGAGCAAGATGAGCCAATGGCCGATCATCCCTCTAATGTGGCTGCATCATCTTCACGGCCACCGCCTGATAATCTTGACGACTACGACGCTGAATATGAAGCCATGAAGGAACTTGGATTGTAGTTGCAGAGATACCTTTTACGATAGATTTCAATGACAGCAATTGATCCATTCTATTCAATCTCAACTTATAGAACCACAACACTTTAGAAACATCGACCTTATGGTTCAGGAGTATATGCCAGTCCCGCAGTAAAGAATAGTAGTTTGACCAATGGTTCATTTGAAGCACCACCACAACTTAGACAAAAAGTAAGGGGGTGACATAAAGATAGTAGCAGGTTACATAGTAACACACAAGTGCTGGCACCGGGAGATTGCGGAAAGGGTGCAAATGCCCCAAGCAAGAGAAATCTCAGAATAAAAGGGACATTAGATGTTAAAGTACAGGAGAGAACGATCGGTTCTTTTTACGCGCTAGCAGCCTCTGTAAAAACGGAGAATTGGCCGCCGGCACCCGCCCAGTTCAACTGCTTGCCACGAACAGCAGTGTTGTCAATGATTGTGGCCACCTCGATGTCATCTTGGGTTCCTTGGCCGGTGGCATAAGTAGCTGAGAAGCCCCATGACCACGCACGGCCTTCGGCATCAATCGCAAGTGAGTGATCGGAGTTTGCAGCAACAGCCTTGGCCTTGATGCCGGGGATGGGGGTGGGCTCAATAAGAATGCGAGGATGATCACGTTCATCCTTGATAGTGGACTCGGTGGGGAGCGTGTCGACCTTCATGCCGCTTTGGAAGCCGTCCAGGCGGCCCCATACCAAGCACTCGCCATCAGCTGTTCTGGCAAGCGAGTGATGAGAGCCACCGCAAATCTGAGTGACGTTTCTTCCCGAAAGCGATTCAACGAGAGTGGGATGCACGATGGCAGCCTCAGAATCACCGGCACCCTCGCGGATAGCTGTTGCGCCAAAGCTGTTCAGTCCCCATGCAAAAACCTTGCCAGATGTGTGAACAGCGAATGAGTGGTAGCAACCACTGCCGATGTGAACAATATTCTTGGGCAATCCGAACTCGCGGGGCTGCAGACCATTGAGTCTGTTACGTTCAACGATGCGACGGCCCAGCTGGTTCTGCTGCCCTGAGCCCCAAGAGAAAACGCGACCTTGGTCACCAAGGGCTAGTACGTGGTTGGCTCCGCAACTCAAGTGCGTGATCTTCTTCAAAGACGAGATATGGAGGGGGGTCATTTGGACGTGGTGCGTCGCGTCAAACCCAAGAATTCCATCGTTGCTCTAGATTCATAGTCAGCAGATATCACAGGCATGAGACAAAGACAATGCTTACTCGGAAGGTACCCCAGCCATAGACCAGACCGTCATCAGTCAAGGCGAAACTCGAGCTATCGGCGGCAGCGACTTCGACAAAAACAGTGCCCTCGGGGAATGCGCTAGCGGGAATAGCAGTGGGTGTGGACTCGTGGGGGTTCAATCCGCTGTCATCGTCGTCCGAATCAGAGTCGTTGGCATCCATGTCCTTGTAGCCACCGTCCCACGCGGTGTCTCTGCCCAACGCTCCTTGGTCGTTCACACCCCAGCTCAGAATCTTGTTGTCATGGGTGAGAGCGACGCAGTGCATACCGCCAACAGCAACCTGCACGACACCGACTTCCTCGGCACTAAGAAGCTTATTCAAACGTGGGCGCTTGACATCGATGACATTCTTTGCCGCGCCCAAACCAAGCTCTCCAGAGCTTCCCTCGCCGCAGACAAACACATTTAATTTGGTTTTCGGTGCCTCATTGATGATCACCTTGACCTTGGACTTCGGCTTAGCCACTCTCGTCGCCTTCACTTGACGGGCTTGTGTGACGCGAGGTTTTTTGGCTTCACTGGGCTCTTCATCGTCATCGGCCTTGCGCTTCTTTGTTGCGGTCGTAGACTTGGTGGTAGCTGTGGACATGTTGCGCGACTTGGATTCCTTCACGGTCTTGGTGGTCGTTGTGACGCTTCTCTTGCTCCGACCAGTGGTCTTGGTCTCCGTTGAAGCCTTCGCAGCTGGCTTCTTCGGCGCAGCGGATGTGCTCTTTTTAGGAGGCATTGTAAATCAAGAGCTAAGAAATAATAAAGAAAGGGGATAAAGGGGGGAGGAATGTATGGGAACTGTGAAAGGGTAGGCCTGACGCGCGAAAGAAAAAAAAAGGTGCCAAGCCTAGGGCGTAAATAATGCGGCATTCTCCCCGGCCCCCCGAATTTACTCGACTTGCATTTACATGTTTTCTTATATACTTTCCTTGCTTTGTCTTTGTCTCTTATTTATACATGGCACAGGAAGTTCCAGCGCAAACGGGCCAGATATAGACAATGGATTATTTCAGTCTCTTTGTGCTTCCTCCGGTCGCGCACTTGGCCGAATCTTGCCACACATAATCACATTCTGCCCCAAGGGCATCCATTTGACTTCTCTTGGGTTGAGTGCAGCATTGGGTGCACCTCCAGGGTCTTGCTTGGAGTCTGGACTAACATTGACTCCGCCGCGTCCAAGGTAAGTGGGAGCAACCGTTACGACGATCGAGTCGATGAAGCTGGTATACTCGGGATTCAATAGTTCACTCAAGACTGTTCCGCCGCCTTCGATCATGACGCTCTTGATACCCTCGGATGCAAGAGCACGGAAGATAGCTTCCCACCTCAATCGCCAGTGTTGGTTAAACTCTACAATGCGAAGAAAGTCGCCGCCGTAGCCCTTGAGCATCATTAATGTCTGAGGATTGATCTGAGCTCCCGGGGATACAACAACCCATGGGGCTTTACCTTTGCCATCCACGGCAGTACGCAACATTCGGCATTCAGGATGGACAGGCCATCGCCCCATGGGATCAATAATCACTGGCCTGGGTTGCCACATTCTACCCAGGCCTCCAAACCCACCAGCGCCCTCTAGGCGACAGTTCAACCCGGGATTATCTGCTAGAACTGTGCCTACTCCGACAAGAATAGCATCATGCCGGGACCGTAGGTAATGAGTCATCAGTTTGGCCTCTGGTCCAGATAGCACCGTTTGCATTCCTGGTTGAAGCGAGATCTTTGAGTCCATTGAAGATGCATAAGACAATGTGACATGAGGGAACTCTCGTCGCTCGGAATTATTGGGAAGATAGGGCTGCAGGAAATCCAGCGAGAATTGAGGAAATGATAGCGTGTCTGGTGGTAATGAAGATGATGAGATCGATGGCGTTGGCTTTGATTGCGATGGGACTTCATTGACCCCATCGGTGCTTTGAGTTTTGACGATTCCGTGGCCCTTTTGGTATTCATAGCCCTCGTGCGGAACTAAATTGACCTCCGGGTTTTGGATGCGCCATTTAGCAGAGATGTTGCGGACATCTGTCACGGTGAAGAACCGCCCTCCGGCCTCGCACAGCCTATCTGGCTCTTCTTGGAATTTGGTGTAAATAGAAGAAGGAAGATATCCTTTAACGGATTCTTTTCGCGCGTATTCCATTAACCCCGAGTTTCGCTTCACCCGGTCAATATAATCCAGATCGTGCGAGTGAACGCTGCAGCTTCCTGGGGTTCTCGCGATAGTCACGGTTGAGTACGCACCCTCGAAGCGTACAACCTTGATCTGGAAATTGCAGATGCCCCCTTCGCGTACACGTTTCTTTCGAGGGCGTTTGCCTTCTGGAAGTGGCCGAGTCTCGGATGTGCGGTGGGTTGGACGTCGTAAACGGCACATGTAATAGTCTGTGGTGCAGTGGCCCTCCTTGCTGGCGTTTGATCTTTGCTTGACCCAGACATTGTCAATAAAAGGCCAATATGTCTCAAACTCCTCCAGACTGATCTCTATCGGGTCGTTGCACTCAAATAAGACCTTTCGAATTCGCGCTAGGTTCGGTGGATTGTTGAAAAGACTGAGTGTTGTCTTCACATTGAAATTTGGAGGCGCATTGCTGCTACTGGCGTCGTTCGAATCGGTTTTTGCACGAAATTGGCTCGAATCAGTTTCGTCACCGCGTAAAGCCTGCTTGTTGAGAGCACCGGATAAGTTGATCGGGGTGGCTTCGGGTTGCGGCCGGTCTTCTTCCATCGCATCTTTTCGTGTCTGTGGATGTACCAGCCCGCCTCCTCTGTCTGTCTGCAACACGTCCTCTACCTGTACAAAGCCATTGTGCGGGGACCCCGCTTCGCTGTCGGACGCCTCTATGCTCGAGCCGGACGCGTTGGAGGCATGGTCCATTCTGGGGAACTGAGAGGCAGAACACAGAAGTTCGTTCCCGGCTATGACAAAACAGCCATTTCGGTTAAGCACAAAGGTCTCGGGTGGAAGAACGGTAAGCTATAACGGAGCATGGAAGATTCCCTCAGAAGCTTGGCGGAACACATGCTCCGCTTTTAAGTTTGCTGCCAGACAGTCTACATATATCTATACATCTTTACACCTCGGTCTCATTTGTTGCCCCATTCAATTCTCTTCATTCATCGTATTAAGGCAATAAAGCAAAATGACATCACGTTGTACACATTTAGTATGCTCCGATCTCCGCTCCAGCACGAGCCAGAGTCTCATAGACTCGTGGCGGCAGCTTGTACTTGACCATACCCGAGAAGACCATGAGATCCTTGGCCATGACAAGCAGAGTGTCCGCCAAACCCTGGCGCACTTCATTCTCATAGGCCCCAGAGGTCTGTTTCTGGCGTTCATGGCCAATACAGGTAATACTCCACATGATGACATGCCCGATGTTGCGTGAGATGATCGGCGGCAAAGACGCGAAGGATTGAGCAGCAGCTCGAACCATAGGCACCGCGCCACGTGCTTGCAAGGGAAGAATATTCAAGATGTTGATCGCCTAATCTCTTCATTAGTGACTCGGATATCGTTGGGGACAAACAAGAAGACTTACATCAAGTGCCGGGGCCCATCTGCCAGCTTCGACCTGAGTCTTTGCCTCAATCATGAGCAGCAGCAACCCACAAGCGTCGCGGTTGGCTTGTCGAATCTTTCCAAAGTACATGTTGTTGGAATTGTACAGGCTAATCATGTTCTTGGCAAGCACAGCGGGATCATCCACAGCAGTCAAGCTGAGGCTGCTTCCAGCGTCGATTACATCAGGCTCGCCCTGGTGAACACGGGGGCGCAGGGGTTGCAGTTTCGGTACGATAGCACCCAAATCAACCGCAATGGCATCTGACAACGCACGGTTGATGATGTCGATAACACGGTCATAATTTTCAGCCAGGTGGTACAAAAGAACAGCATCAGTGATCAATCCCTTGTCATCTGCCACGGCGGCAGCTTGAACTGTAATGGTCTTCAAGAACTCTTGTTGATCGTCAAGCTTGATCAAATCGAGGCGCTGCTCGATTGCTCCCTTGAGCCGGGTACCGTCAGCACGAATATCACCGAGCAATTTGGCGAAGTCTCTAGTTTCCAGGATGAATTCCCGCAAGGCCTCATGGCATACCGATGCCTGTGACTTGCCCAGAGCACCTGGAAGATCTGCGTTAAGACAAATCAGGGTAAAGTAATCGATTGCTGCTTCAACAAATCCAGTACGGAACTCTCGTGTGTATTGAGTTAAGAGGTATCCGAAATTGATTTGAGGATATTGTTTCACTGTAAAGGTTACTGCAAGACAAAGTTAGCATGCTCCAGAAACCTGATGGCATATAGAGATAGGCGAGGTGATCCGCTTACAGATTTCTTCGCCAGAGGTGTAAAAGTCGGATACCCGCAAAAGTCCGTAGTAAGAAAGAGCAACGGCAAAATGGACAGCAGTAACCGGTGCATAAGTACCGAGGTAATGCACGGCCTGTTCGAACATTCCTCCCAAGATCTGGAGGAGGAAGTAAGTTCCATAGCCACCGGGTCCTTCCTGGCCCTTGGTAAATACTCGTTGGCCGATTTCTTGAATGTCAGTCTGGATGTCTTCCAGACCGAAAACGTCGCTTGCAACCTCTTCGGCACGGTCATCCTCTCTAGCAAGGCTGAACTGTAGCCACATCCAGTCCTCTACACTCTGGTTGACACCTTCCAGACGACGGCGCGAGATATCACAACGGCCGATAATCTTGTAGCATGCCATTCGGTAAGGGTCGACAGTGTTTTCGGGTGCATTTCGCGAGCGTTGTTGGAACTCGCCATTAATTTTTGACTGCAGTTCCCGGGGAAGGCGTCGGTTTTGCGCATAGGTGGTCATGTAAGTCACAAATTTGTGATCCAAAGAGCGGAACCCGCTATCCTGGCTCACGTATTCAGCTGCTTCAGTGACAAATCCGCAACGAAGGAGGTAAAATATGAGAATCCAGCAGTAGTCCTGGTTCACCATCTGCAGTTCGGTTCCGTCCGGTGCGAGATCCTTTCTTGCAGCTCGGAGTCGAATGAACGCACGGATTTTGTTGATCACAGTTGGAATTCCACCCAGCTGTGCCTCCCGGGGGTTTTTGGCGATGGCGATCTCCACTTCATCGAAGAAGGTATTCTCAAGGAAAGCCCTTGAACCTTCAAGGATTTGCTTCTTTAAATTGATGGCTTTGCGGGATTTGGGTGATTCATCAAGATAGTCCTCAGCATACTGTCGTTCTTTCACTGCGCCAGGCTCCGATGGGCTGACGATGTTTGGCTTCTCGTGGACGATTCCTATCAAAGCCTGGTATGCAGCGAAAAGTTGGGGAGGGATCTAGAATATGATTAGCTGAATATTCAACCTTGATGTGTGACAGAATATGGGTGGTTAGCTTACATCACCACCGGTGCGCATCTCAACTGTCGCAAACTCATCAAGAATTGGATAACATTTCCCTTGTAGTCTTGCAAGGTTGAGCTGCTGAACCTTTTCGGCATACTGTCCCATTTTCTCGCGATGGAATCTGAGATCGGGCGACTGGGATACACTACCCTCGCTTCGGTCGCTTTGGTCTTCAAAAATTTGACGACTTGCCAGTCCGACTCCAGGTGTTCCAATGACCGACTTTTCAAGGCCGGAACGCCCAAAGACGCTTCGGCGAGATGCGGCCGAGGGTCCATTGCCTGGGCCACCAGGTTGTTTGGATTGTCTTGCTGTCCGACCAAAAGCGCCCCTTGTAGTGGATTTAAATTCACTGGAGTCATCGTTCGAGACAAGCCCGAAATGATGGAATATGTTGTGACGCTGCTCCTCCCAGTCCATGTCAAGCTTCTCTTCCAAAAAGGCATCGAAGTCCCTATGAGCCCTCGCGAGACTTTCGTTGATCATGACCTGACGACCACGCTGCTGGATATTTCGCAAAAATCTTTGGTTGTCGGGGTCAAAGTTATCCTGTTCTTTAGCTGGGCTCGCCAGAGATGCCTGGGGGTCGAGGGATTTGAGGTCGCGCAAGGCTCGGCCAGGGGAGATACCAGAAGCTGCAAGCAGATAGTGACTGTTCGGTGGTATGTCAAAGTTAGCTAGATCCATTCAAGACGAAGGTGACTAGATGTTTAAAACTCACGCCTTGGTATTAGCGCCATTTGGAGCATCCTTTTGTCCCGCTGAGCCCAATTCGCGGGCTTTTCTGCGAATGTCATCTAAGCCCAGCTGAAGACTGGGCACGTCTTCGAAGTTGTTGTTTTGGCCAACCGATGACAATGGCCGCTTCTTGCCGCGCTCCAGCAGACTGTTGAAGAAGGCAGGCTGTGTTGACGCAATTGGAGGTTGCCCTTGAGTCTGCGCAGTACTAGCTTGTTGAGGTTGTCCCAGAAGCGAGGATTGAGCAGGTTGCTGCGTCTGGCCCATGAACGAGGACTGAGAGGGTTGTTGCTGGGTCTGGGATTGGCCTCCGAACATAGACTGAGGTTGTGCGCTCTGGGTGGATGTCGAACCCAGCCCCGAAAACGGGCTTGCGGTGGGTTTGTTTCCCGAAAAAAGACTGTTTGACTGTGTTGTCGAGGCTCCAAGACCACCACCCCCTCCGAACAAAGAGCTGCCACTGGAGGCCATGTTGGGCACGTCAATTTCGAAAGCTGCAAAAGGCACAATTAAAGCCAAAATTATGCTAAACTGGTCGCCGTGTCAGTTTGTGCTTTATTAAGAGTCAAGTGAAGATGTACTCACAAGAAAACTGGACGTCGCGCACTCGAAGCCACCCGTCGAAGAGAAACAAGGAATGCGGCGAGTATATCTCGGGCTTCAAACACAGAAGACAGAGCTTTGTGGGAGCCCAGCTTTATGTCGATTAAAATAGTCGAGCAATTGAGAGTAGGTAGATGTCGCTGAGCATCTGCAGAGGCTGAGAAGCTCTTCTAAACAATTCAACCGGCACCCCGGAACATCCATAGTCCGATCCACACCTATCATTTGCTATTCAACATGGTTTAATTGCCAAACTCTTCATCTATACACCTTTTCTCAATTGAGGTCAATTGAATTCATGTGCAGCAATGCCTGCCTTCCAATCTAAAACATTCCGGCGGGCAACCACAGAGTCATCATCACTCGGTGAACGCATTGGTGCATTGTACCGGGCGCGACTGGCACGTCACCCGTTTATTCTTTTCGGGCTTCCATTTATTACTGTGATTGTAGCAGGGTCTTTTGCACTGACACCTGCTGCCGCCCTCCGTTATGAGCGATATGACCGTAAGGTCAAGCAGTTAAGCAAGGAGGAGGCATTTGATCTTGGTCTGAAAGGCCCTGATGGAGAAGACGCTGGGATCAAACGCAATCCAAGGCGAAGGATTGTAGGTGATGAGAAGGAAGAATACTACGTATGCATCTCTATATTTGACTCACCTGAATCCCATAGACTGCATGCTGACTGCATCTTTAGAGACTCATGGCCAAAGACCTCGATCAGTGGGAGCAGAAGCGAGTAGAGCGATTCAAGGGCGAACCTGACGGAAGACTATGAAGCCATAAGCTTGAGTACCGGTGCTGCCGTTTTCTCTAGCGCGACTAAAACACGACGCACCATGATCTCACCCTGGCGCATGAGCTCATTGCATGACAGTGTAATGTGGCGAATAAAGAGCCACGGCTCCAATCTGAACTGCCTCTGCAGCTGGCACACACCGAGATGGAGTCTAGCCCTGGAAACCCCTTTCCATGCTCATCTGTGTGCAGGTCTCAATGCCGTCAAGATCATGCTCCCTTTCCTCTCGAGATTGTTTCGTCTTCTGATCATATTGACGTGCAACTTGCATAAGTGGAGCGACCACCACAGGTGAGATCACTATTAAATCGAGCCTACAAAAATCAATGCAAATCCTGTACACTGTACATTGCCCGACACCGGTGCTTACTCAGCCTGATATAGCCCCGGCTAGAGCGCTTCAGATGATCGCCGTGGAGAGACGTTGACATGTGTGTATATATTCAGAAGTCTTCTATCCTATATATGTACAAGTATATTCCTACATTCTATCAATTCTATCTAAAGTCCCAACTCTCTATATATTTTTATATCTCTTAGATCTTGGTCACGCCACGACGTCAGAACCGAGAACCCGTGATCCCCACACAACAACGTCATACCTTTCTTCTCGAAGCCCCAAATTTCTTCTTTTCGCCCATTTCCCCCCGGCTCCAGGGCTGGTTTTTATTATTCAGCAATGACACGGGTTCTCTGATATCAGACCTGTTCATCCCCCACCTTGACCTTCTTCTGGCTGGACCTGGGCTATCGTTTCTTATTGCCCCTCTTTGCGACTGCTCCCTTCTGTCATCTTTATGAGCATTTTTACTGCAACCCTGGGCCACGAAAACACCGACATCTTAGTTTTAATTCTGTGAACCATTGGATCTGTGCATACTCGGACTCCTTGAGATTGTATCTTGAGATCTGGAGTTGTGGAAGCCGGCTTCTTGGCCATGACAGGCCCAGGACGCTCGTCATCCTCGCCTTGGGTGCAGACTACCCAGGGCGGTCATCGTGATGGCGTTACGCAGTCCTTGCGCCCTAGCATGTCACCCAGCACCTCAGAACGACCGAGTCCCAACTACTTCGGCATGGCGGTGCCAACCTCCAACACACAGACGTCTAATCCAGGACTGTCCCCGCAAAAGAGCTGGGGTGCGTCACCGCACGCACAGTCTCTCCCGAGTCCCAAATTGCCAGTTTATCCCAAGGAGTCTGTATCAACGGGACTGGTGAATATGTTGAAGACTGAGCCTGAGGCCAACCGAAGACGTCGTGAATCAACCTTCCATGATACCCCCTTCAATGGTGATCCCCACGGCAGACCGTCCTGGTCCAAGTCATCAACTTCACATCCAAGCGGAAATGGGATAGGAGCTGGCGCAAGTCCAGTACTCCCACAAGGTATGGTCCCTCTATTTGATTATCGATGGCAATCTCGTTACGCTGCTGTTTATCTTAGATATAATTGATCCCATACTGACTGTATTTTCCAGGTGCCCCTCTCACTGCATTCCCCTGGGTCTCACCCGAACGCTGTGCCGATCTTCTTGGATCATCACAATCGAATGTCATGTTATTTGACGTTCGCCCATTTGCCCACTTCAGACAAGCCAATATCCAAGGATCACTGAATTTATGCATCCCAACCACTCTACTCAAACGTCGCTCATTTGACACCCAAAAACTAGAAGGCACTTTCACAGATGACAGTGATAAACAAAAATTTGCTCGATGGAGAAACTGCAACGTGATCATTGTATACGACTCTGCCGCTGCCGATTCGAAAGATGCAGCGCCTCTCTTGAACGTCCTCAATAAATTCCAGGCAGAAGATTGGAAAGGAGATGGTTTAGTCCTACAAAATGGATTTCAGGGTTTCTCGACTATGTATCCGCATTTGATTCAGCGGCCACAAACAAACACGACAGGGCCATCTCCCAAACGCCGTGCGCCGATGAGCATTGATCTGCAGTCTGTTGCTCCTGTCGTTGGTGGGTGTGCCCTGCCAGAATCATCCTCCGCTATCAACCCCTTTTTCTCTAATATTCGTCAAAATATGGATCTTCTCGGCGGAGTTGGACAGGTTCCCTTGAAACAGCCCGACAGCCTTACCGATGAAAAAAGACAGTCGCTTCCTCCCTGGTTGCGGGACGCTTCAGACACAAAGGACCAAGGGCACATCGTCTCCAACAGATTTTTGGATCTTGAAAAAACTGAACTCGAGCGCATGAAGCAAGCCCTGACCTACGAAGGTTCTGCGGCAGAGGTCACTGGTGGATCCAAGAAATATCGCGTTGCTGGGATTGAGAAAGGCACAAAGAACCGTTACAACGACATTTATCCATTCGATCATTCCCGCGTCCGACTTGAGGGGATCCCATCTGGGGCCTGTGACTATGTCAACGCAAATCACATCCAAGCGGAATTTAGTAATCGGAGATACATTGCCACGCAGGCTCCTGTCCCTGACACATTTTGTGTAAGTATCGCGGTTCTCAGTTCTCATTATCAAGTTACTCACATCATATAGGACTTCTGGCGCGTGGTTTGGGAACAGGATGTCAGACTACTTGTTTCTCTCACGGCTGAAATCGAGCGAGGACAGGTGAAATGCGACCGATATTGGGAATCTGGAAATTATGGGCCGTTCGAGGTCAAAGCATATTCGGAGAAACACATTCACATTGAATCTAAAGGCCAGCCAATCAATTCAACGATCCGCAGCCCTAATGCATCCGCCGAAAAGCCCAATGGCACAAACGAAAACCCCGTCATCGTTGTACGACATTTTAGTGTCTCTCACACAGCATTCCCCTTCCAACCACTTCGGGATATCACCCAGCTACAGTACCCTTATTGGCCCGATTTTGGAACCACGTCTCAACCTACCCATCTTCTCAATCTGATCGAGCAATGCAACAAGGTTATTCGTGCCACAAGCAACACTGGGTTTAGCAGCCAGCAACCGGAGCCGAAGGGTCAGCGGCCAATCCTCGTTCATTGCAGCGCGGGCTGTGGACGCACAGGAACATTTTGCACCGTCGATAGTGTGCTGGATATGTTGAAACGGCAACTTTCGCAGGCCAAAAATGGCGAAGCCTTGGACCAAAACCCTACCACTTCCTCGGATTGGATTCGAGACCACAGCACCGACCTAATTGCAAAGACCGTGGAGGACTTCCGGAGGCAAAGGCCAAGCATGGTGCAGAATCTGAGTCAATATGCGCTCTGCTATGAAAGCGTGCTTGAATGGCTCGTTTCGCAGATGGACCATGACAAATCATAAGATCTTGCATCTCCCCTTTTTACTTTTTCTACAAGCTATGATGATGAAACTGGGATACCCTATTCTGCCTTGCATGCTCAGAGCCATGGCTTATACATGATTTCTTTTACAATGCCATGCAACTTGCGATGATTGTCTTGCCGCATTTTCTGGTGTCCGGGTGATTCGTGGGATTTTAGGATCAGAAAAAAAAAAAAAGAATCAGATTCATTTTGTATTTCCCATCGAATATCAGCATACATTCAATAAACGACTATTTGTTTAAACAGTGGAAACCCCTTTTACTTGCCCGAGGACATCTGCAATTAGGAGTTCGACATTCTCGTTCATAACATGCCTTTTGATAGGACAAGGGGCTGTCTTGGGATTATTAGATGCTTCGGTCAATACTTGTTAAACAGGCAAAGCATTCCTGACACACAGGGCCGGGAATGTAGATCAGGTCCATTGCATCGGGTTTGATATCCGAACTGCTTATTCTCCCACACGCATGTGCTATGGAAGCCAAGCTGCGTCAAGTAGATAGGCTTTCAATATTGTACTACACCTGTCTAGCATACATCATCTGCTCTATTAGCACAGCGTTCACTGCTAAATGTTAAAAGTCCGCTCAATTTGAAAACTACAAATATCCCGTTGTATCAGCCACCACAACATATCAGAAGCTCTCAGAGACTGGTCCAAGTCCCTGTGTGTCGACACGTCGCAGACCTTGACCACTGGGGCTAACATTCAAATACATCAGCCCACGGTCAGTAATCGCAACCAGCTCGTCTTCTTTTTCGGCGAATTTCAAGTCGGAGCAGACGGCGTCTAATTGGATAACAACAGGCCGTAGCTTAATAGCACCTGAGTCAGACACCCAGGATGGTGCATAATAGCCGGTGGTGTTTCCTTCAATCACTTCCTTTGGCTCCAATGCCCAGATACGGAGTGTTTTCCAATTGGCAACGGCAATTCGAGTTCCGAGGGGTGAAGCAGCCACGCAAGAGCCTTGCGAGGTAGTCAACTCTTCAAATTCCTCAAGCTGCGCCATGATCTCCCACTGATCAAAACGCCTTCCGCGGGCAAGGTTGAAGACATGGTCGCAACGCTGGGCTCGAGGGTAAGCTTCAGATTTCAAAAGACAGGCCACTGTCCATTGTTCGACCCGATGAGTAGCAATCCCGAAGGCAAGATATTGCCAATGACAGCTTGCTCCCGGCAAACGGTCATCAAATTGGTGGGTAGCAAAGAACGGAATGTCAATAGAGAATTGCAGTGAAAGCAAATCTGAATATGGCACGAGACATTCATTCTCATTTGGCGGTTTTGTCGGTCTCAGATGTTGAGGAGAAAGTTGTTGGAAGGATCCGTAAAGAGTTTGAGCCCTGTAGTGGTAGAGTAACTGGCGCTCTCGATCGTTAAAAGCCAACCTCACCGCGGGCCCTCTGCCCTTAAATGAATCACAATTCGAGTCATGTCCATATGAGCTCGCAAGAGTGTTGCATGCATAAGAGGCATATCGAATTTTGCTTGGCTTTGGTTTGGCGTTTTGATTGACATCCACTGCTTCCAGACGTTCCTTGATGGCTTCTTCGTCACTTTCATCCTCCTCATTTCCATCGTCAAGCCAGGTGTAAAGTTCAACCTCGTGGTCATGGGGATTTGCGATCTGCTGCCAGGAGATTGCGAATCTATCAGGGGTAGCAGATAGAGCAAGAGGCCTGTAGTCATGACGGTGGGGGAAGGCACACATGCGAACAAGCGGGGAATCCAATTCATAGTGGGCCATGAAGATGTTTCCGTCAGGATGAGACTGCAGAGCATGCTTGACAAAGGGATGGTTGGGCTCGAGTTCTTGGTCCAGAAATGGCTTGAATCGATGCAGCACATAGAGTCCATTATCGTGATCGACCGCGGTGCGAAGAACTTCGATATTTCCAATGTATTTTCCCGGATATTTCAGTTCCAGCTCATGAATTAGAAACTCATCGAAGGTATGAACCAGATGAACGGTACTGCTGCCTTTGAAGACAAGCAACGCCTCTCCGAAGACAGGACCGTCCAATGTTGATGCTCGCGTATCAAGCACATGCTGGAATTTATAGAGTGTGCAATCTGCATGGAATTCAGCGCCATATAGTTGCGCCACAGATCGCTTCATCAAGATGCAAAATAGCTCTATTGTCCGGAGTTGCAGATGCTCGAAGTCATGCCCCGGGGTCTCGTGCAGATGGTGCAGGATAACATCTCTGCTACCCGTTGCAATTCTGAAAAGCTTGCGACTCGTAAACGCAGCTTGGAAATAGGCAGGAGTTTCGCAATGGCGGAGTATGAGTTGAACCAACTCAACTGGGAGACGAAGCATGATGAGGTGGAGCCTGAATGCGGTCGGAGAAGGCACGGGCTTTTGTGGACTTTGCCGGCTTTTCAAGCAAAGATGAGCATTGCAAAAGTTCTGTGGACGTGAAAGATTAATTGAATTGCTCTAGAGCCTGGTTTGCTAGGCTTTAGCGCTGGTGTCTGTAAGTATCCATGGCCAAACGCCTTTTCGACACTTTGTTTGGTGTTTATACTACGTTTGATAAAGGGAATCAAACACAACAGGGTTCATAAGCTCACAAGGCTATGAATTATTGGACAAGCTCTTTACATCCCCCAAGTGAGTGTGTCATTTCATAGATTATTTCTGTCCTCACTTGGTCTCTGTTTTTTCCACCACTTTTTCACCTCTTTTTCACCACTTTGTGGCCTATTCTCAAGCGCCTCAGATAAGCCATGGAAATCAGAGAAACATGGAGCTGTGGAAGGACTGATGGCCACTGTTGTATTCCAACTGGTCGGTATATTCAATATCACTGACCTAACTCTAGCCATTGTGGTCGACTTTCCACATAAGTATCCCCACATGCAGCGTCGACACACCGGGCAAGGTTTCCAAAATAGAAGCTCTTGCCAGTGAGTCCAGGACCATAATGAGCATATTTTCCAGAGTTGGTCATAATTGCACTCTTGGAACGGGGGATGGTTGGGTCGGTGATCATACACCAGCAGGTATCCGTGACGAATTGAACCCCAAACTCCTCCAGTTCATCAAGCAATCCGGCCGTGCAAGCTGAATTGTAAGTCAATCTGCCGCACGTCACCACAATTGCCACATTCTTGTTCTTTTTCCGGCCTCGGCAAAGACTGTGGAGTGTTTGAATTTCGTCGAGCGAGAAGTGAGGGTTTCCCAGGGACACCAGGTCAACTGGTTGGTTTTTTGACGCACTATTCAGTTCATCCCAGCACCCGATCAGATCACTCAGATGTACACTGACGGAGCGTAAGTCAGAACCTTTGGCAACCACAGCCCCAAGATCTACTGCTTCAGGAGTGACACCAAGAATGTGAAACATCGGGGCACTTGATACAGTCGCAAAGGCCGCCCCCAAGGCCTTCATATCATCCTTGGATGGGGCCAGCAATTTGATACCTACTATCACAGGAATTTCACTCGGTGCTAAAGCTCCCACATGGTATCCGAGAAGAGGATAGAATGAATCGTCAATTTTAGCGTTCTCAATGCCCTCAACATTTATGATGAGTGATGCCATTCGGTTGATATGCACGTGTGGTCCTCCTTTCGGGGCCCGGCCGGTCAGGGCAATACAGATATCGAGGAAATCAGGATATTTCATGGTTCTCGCTCCTAGCACACTGTTTGCATAGACGACGGCGTTGGACTCGGCCCAAGCAACTTGATCCCCAAACTTTGGAGCGCTGTCAAGTTGATATGGAGCACATGTAAAGGTTGAACGTGCCCCCATATCGGTATAGGCATTGGCTAGCTTACCAGCTGCTGCCGCGAATTCTTGGTTGGCCCCTTGAACTTGAAGCCGATTCATGTCGATCGATATGGAATTCAAAGAGGTTGGAACCCGCACCTTGCCTCCTCGATTCCGCAATTTTTCTGCAAAAAGAAGACAGCCTGGTCCAGTGTAGACGCATCCATCGACATGGACTTGGGTGATGTCCATCAACTCACTCACTCCTAGCATGCCTGCCATTCGTAAAACAACGTTCATTGCTGCGCGGGAAGCATCACCGAACTCGCCATTCAATAGAGCTCTGTCAATATCCGAGAGCTCTACATTATCCGATGCTTTGGTCAGACTTTGGACTTCATTGAGCCATGTCTTGGGGCCGACCGAGACTTGGCTGTTGCTGATATGAATATCAGAGCCATTGAATTGTAGGATTTCGCGAAAATCCTTCGGATCCAGCATCACAACGGGGATGGTCTTTCCAAATATCTCTTCGGCGACAATAACTCCAAGAACCAGAATGTCTTCTTGTCGTTCAAATATCATAGCTTTCGGTCCTTTGTCTATGAGAAGCAGCTCCAACATGACCGAGCTACCGGTGCAAGAGCCGCGACCACCAGGAATCGCAAGTATGTTGCCTTGAAGGTATTGGCCGCTCAATGGATGGTGGCGATCAATGATCTCGCTGGTCTTGGGGCTTACGCCCCCCCAGAAGCTCAACTCCAGGTCGCTTGCTATGAGCTTTCCTGATGCATCGCCCTTGATATGTGCGGTACCTTCGAAGACTCGCTCACTCAATTTGATTGTCATTTGTATTAGTCCTTGGCTGTGAGCTTTGATGTCTTATCAGGAAAAGTTGTAGATGAGATGCGGGATTGGCTTATGGTATTGGCAATTGAATTTATATAATGAGGAGAGTCGGATCTGTCACCCGACGTTTATATCAATCCCGATCTCATCGGCCAAGGTAGCCGGGATCCACGTAATAAAAGCTGGATAAAAGTAACCGGATGATCAGGGCTAGCGTCAACTGGCCGGTTCATCGCACCTCCGAATTTCTTGTCACTCTCAAGTTGATCACTAGCCAAAGATTTCCTATTTAAGCCCTTACTCAAAAGAAAGGCCCCGATAAGACTAAAACTCGAATTAAGTCTCCTGCTCAAGTATCAGAAATCGCTGTTGAGGGCGGTTGAAGTTCTCTTGGATATCGAAAAATATAGGCGCTGCATACCCAGCATGGCAAAGTGCAATAATAAACACAACCTCAGATAACTGTCAACGATCAATCAGGAGCTCGGTGGTATCAGTTCGGAGCAGCGCACGACTTTAGGACCTTGTCTACTCATAGGCGGGTGGTTTCATATGCGTCGTAATAGCTGCCGTGACCAGCGATAGAGTAACCAAAGTGTACAGATTGATTCATATATTATTTCTACCACCCAAGGACTGTATAAAATGCCAAAGCAACCGATCATGACTGTCCTTCGCCGCCACCAGACATGGTGAGGAAGAAGAGGATGGGCAGAAGCCACCAGTACCTAGATACCCAGCAATTAGCATTTTAGGCGACGGCGTCACAATCTAATTCCCAACTCACCTTTGCAAAAGAGATTTCTCCTCAGGCTCCTCGGCGTTTCCGCCATCAGGGTTAACAACCACTGGCCGGTTCAAGTGCGGTTGCGCTCCAAGCTCATTCGCTACAAGATCAACCTGAGCACTATTGGATGAGCCCTGGATAGCAGATGGAGCACCTAGGGAGACATGGTAGACCTCGTTGGCGGGACCAAGGTGCAGGCGAATTGTTGGTTGCCCATTGCCGGTTAAAGAGGACGCCGACACAAGACTGCCAACCCATTGCTTGTTGTTTGTAGGCGCTGAAGTGTAGAGACCGACGCGTACTAGACCATCGTCTTGGTTCTTTGGAGGAGTATACGAGAGCACGTCGGATTTCATCGAGGCCGAGTCGTAGGTGACACGCGCGAGGATGGAGGGCTGCGCAGACCCCACGGGCCAGTAGAGAATATCAGTCACGGGAGAGGAGGCATTGACGGAAACCAGGAGCGACAGAGCGCTAAGGATCATTTGTAGGAACCGCATGGCGAATGGGGGGTGAGTTGTTGACGGAGAGAGATGTTCGAGAAAGATAGGCGGTCCGAGCTCCACCTTGCAGTTATACCTGCGAGTACATACGTGTACGTTGGCCTCGTTTAACTTACCTGTACAAGTAGTTACTTATTGGCTGTGTGCATATTGTGCTTTGACTTCTAGGGTTTCATTGCCATGATTTCCACGAGTTACATGGCAGGGATACTCAACTTACAATATCCGAGCTGTATGGTACATCAGAGTACATCCCACAGCGCAGGCCGTGGCGGGGCACACATGTACCTCCAGGTATCCCTCAAGTACCCCCGAAGGTACCGGTCAGCAGGGCTCCGTCACCCCACAGAATGTGAGGCAAATCGAGGTCATGTTCAATCCCCCTCGCCTCTTTCTCTTTTTTTTTATATATATTGAGCTCAATTCGAAGCTCCAAAGAAGGTACTTTGGCCTCAGACTGACCCAGCTCCGTGATTTCCAGAGCTTTAACCCGTGGTTAGAACAATACGAGCTTAGTTCCCTACGAAGTACAGCGGACAAAATGGCCTCGCTGCCCTACCGCCGAGCATCCGTTCAAGCTTCCCGGAAAGCTTCCACCGACCCCAGGGAGGAGCTGGATGTCCATCTCGATCACTATATCGGCATTGATGTCGGAACTGGCAGTGCTCGTGCCTGTATCATCGATGCCAAGGGTGATATTGTGGGATTGGCCTCTGAAAACATTGGCCTTTGGCAGCCAGAGCATGGTTACTATGTAGGAAACCTTTCCAATTGGCACGCAATGAAGTGCAGAAGCTGACCTGCTGTCTAGGAACAATCTACCTCTGATATTTGGCGTTGCATCTGTATTGCCGTCCAGCGTGCTGTGAGCCAGCATAATATCAACCCTGACACTGTACGGGGTATCGGATTCGACGCAACATGCTCCTTGTCCGTGTTCGCCAATGATACAGATGAGCCAATCTCAGTCACTGGTCCGAACTTCGACTCGGACCGCAATGTGATCTTGTGGTTGGATCACCGTCCCGTCGAGGAAGCGGCCAAGATCAACGCCACTAACCATAACCTTTTGCGTTATGTTGGAGGCAAAATGTCCATTGAGATGGAGATCCCGAAGGTCCTTTGGCTGAAGAACCACATGCCAGCTGAGCTCTTCGAAAGATGCAAGTTTTATGATCTAGGTGATGCACTCACACACATCGCTACCGGCAACGAGAAGCGAAGCTTCTGCAGCGTTGTTTGCAAGCAGGGTTATGTTCCTGTTGGCGTCGATGGGAGCGTCAAGGGTTGGCAAGAAGACTTCCTGAACGATATTGGATTGGGCGACTTGGCCAAGGACGATTTCAAACGCATGGGCGGAGTTGACGGGGTGGTGAGCCTTCCCTAATTGATAAGTAACTAATTACTGACCTCGCCTTGAACAGAATGGTGATTACCTGAGTGCTGGTGAGTTGGTCGGCACTCTGTGTGACAAAGCTGCCGCCGAATTAGGCCTGCCAGCTGGCATTGCCATTGGCAGCGGTGTGATCGATGCTTATGCCGGCTGGATTGGTACCGTTGGATCGAAGGTCGATCTAGGATCAGGCCAATCCATCGCAGAGGCCCCCAAGCTCGATAGATCCGAGGCCTTCTCACGGCTCGCAGCTGTGGCAGGAACCTCGACCTGTCATCTTGCTATGTCGCCGGATCCCGTCTTCGTAGACGGTGTCTGGGGTCCATACCGGGATACCATTCTTCCCGGATACTGGATGGCTGAAGGTGGACAATCAGCCACAGGCGAGTTGCTCAAGCATGTCATCGAAACCCACCCGGCCTTCCAACAAGCCCACTCAATCGCCGAGTCATACCATGCCAACATCTACGAATATTTGAACGAGCATCTGAAAGAGATGGCCCACGACCAAGGTGCTCCTTGCGTCTCCTACCTAGGACGCCATTTCTTCTTCTACGGTGACTTATGGGGCAACCGTTCACCCATCGCCGATCCAAACATGACGGGGTCGATCTTCGGCCTGACCAGCGATAAATCAGTAGACGGGCTTGCAATTTACTACTACGCCACTCTCGAGTTCATCGCGCTGCAAACCAAGCAGATTGTCGAGACAATGAACAAGGCAGGCCATCGTATCACTTCAGTGTTCATGTCAGGCTCTCAGTGCCAGAACGACATCCTGGTCAACCTTGTTGCATCAGCTTGTGAAATGCCCGTGCTGATTCCTCGCTACATTCACGCTGCGGTGTGCCATGGTGCTGCCATGCTGGGTGCGAAGGCCGCCAGCGCTGATTCTCAGGGTAAGACTGAAGATCTGTGGGATATCATGAACCGGATGAGCAAGCCTGGAAAGAAAGTGTTGCCGACGGGGGATGCAAATGAAAAAGCTTTGCTCCGGGTTAAGTATGAGGTCTTCTTGGATCAGTGCTTCAAGCAGCAGAAATACCGTGGAATGGTCGACGAAGCTGTGGGCGCGTGGAAGTCCACCTAATGTTATATGACGAGCAAGACGAATTTTCTTTCATTGAAATACCAAAAAAAAAGCGAGTGATAATGTGCTGGGATTTCGAATGTCATCAGTCATTACCGCAGGATCGAATTGTTGGATAAAACCCTCAGGTACAATTTTTTCAAAATAGTGATGAGTAATGCATGTAAACGTGATATCTAAGGCAGTGAGTGGCCTGATCAATTCAGATCACATCTAAGATAGCCCCAGGGCCATCTTAGAAACGCATGACAGAACAAGATAATGTCAAAATCGCTATGCTAAATTGAATCGAGAAAAGCCTCGACAGTTTTTCTCATCAAGAAGCCACCGTCAGTATGTGCGCTAATTAGTAGGCCTCCCCGCCTCTTGTTCGGCCAATAGTGTAGAACTTCTCGGCGCTGCTTGTGCCGCCCAGAGCGAGAGTATCGAACCGGTCCACACCCATGCTGTCCATGTTGACGTAGCCTGACATGTAGAAGCCAAGAACAACGACAAAGTAGGTGAGGACGAGAATGGAGCCCTTGAAGTAGTTACTCTTGCCTTCACCGTAGACATATGACAACAGGAACACACACAGAATAACGGTGATCATATCCCATTGAGGGAAGATCAGACTGGTGAAACAAGGTCAGTCAAGGAAGACGGAAGCAGGAACAGGGAAGATGTCTTACTTGAACGAGTGGCTGACAAGCTCAGATGGATCCAGCGTGCGTCCGTAGAACGCACTGAAAAGAACCACAGCGGGCACCTGTAACAGACAGACCTGCAGTGCATAGGCCGAACCGATTTCCATAGACAATGCGATATTGCCATTCATGGCAAAGGAGATGGCGTTCTGTTCTCAAGTCAGTTAATGATTACAAGTTTCATCAAGACAAATCAACATACCAAAAACTCTGTGGTGTTGGGGACCAATGCGAAAAGAGTAATACCGAGGAACTTCTCGTCAATGTCCACGCTCTCCAAGACAACATCGACCGTATTGACGAGAATCTCAGCGATGACTGCATAGAGGAATGTTGCTCCGAGAAGGATAATAGAACTCTTGGCCTTGCTCCAGTTGGGTGCATCATGTCCTCCACCAGCCTGGGCGGCCTCGACATTCAAACCAATATCCTCGAGCTCTTCTCCAGGGGTTCGTGGTTGTTCTGCTGCTGGACGGCTAGCCTGTCGGTTGACAGAACTTTGAGCAGGGGGCTTGCGGCTTCGGGTTGCATCTCGCGCAGCAACTGCCGCAGCTGTCGCTGCCACTTCGGTGACTTGACGTACAAGGCGTTCGTTTTCTTCTTTGGACAGACCACCGACAGCATTTGGGCCACTGTTGTCGTCGCCGCTAGACCGCGGTGGTACCAAGTGCGGAATATTGTTTCTGGATTCAGTCCTTGCTTCACCGTCCGCCAGCTCCCAGTTTCCTGTGCCGTTGTCCTCGAACCCATAATGCCTCAAGGATTGGCCTAGAATTCGCTTGTACAACTGGGATTCACGGATTGAGTCCTTGCTTCCGGAAACTGCACCGGATGCCTCGGGCTGACCACTTGGGAATAGTAGGTGCCTTGGCTCATAAAAGGATGACTCTTGGGTTGCTTGAGCATTCTTCTTCTCTTCCATTTCAGTAGCCCAGATAAGAGCGGCATGGGTTCTGAGAGTGAACCATAGACCGATGATGTACGATAGAAATAGGAATACAGCGGCGAACCACGCATATGGTTGCACAGCCTTTTGGAAGAACTGGTCATTAATGGCCGCCGTCTGAGAGAAATAACAGCGGCGACAATCCCGACTCTCCGAATCAATGGAGCTGACGCACGAGTGGCAATTCAGTTCGTGCTATGCAACTGTCAGTTTTAGTCTCGTTTGAAGAAAGGAAATCGAAACTCACACTGCCATAAACCTGATAAAAGAGAGTGGGCCCGAACGCAGCAATCACCGCAAACAACAGCATTGTCGAGGTGACACCCGCTGATTTCACATTGAACCGTTGAGTCTTGCGCTTGATAGCACCAAAGCACATGGACAATCCAGGGAGGAACAAAATGCCAGCAAAAATACTGCCGATAATGCTTCCCTCCACAAGCTGGGCTTTACCCTCGGTCAAAGCAACACAATACAGATACACTTCTACAACAGTGGAGAAGAAAGCGTTGATGGCAGCACCTAGACCCATCGAAGACTGGGCAGAGATCGAAGCAACGGCTTGCCCAATGAAGTAGGCTAGAGGGATAATGGAAAGCAGAGCCAGAGTAAAAATCAACCCTGGATGCGTGATCCAGCTCTGCAGGCCCAAAAACTTCCCAAGCAGGAAATAGTCGACAATCACGAAGACGACCACGCCAAGCAGATTGATTAGGAAGATGTTCGTTCCATCAACAGTATACTTCCAGTACCTGGTTCCTGCTGCTCGGTAGGTGCAAAGCAGGATCGAAGACGAGGAGGTTGTGCTCAGTCTAGCATAGGTGGTATCGGAATGGAAGGACAGCGCCAAAGGATGCCTGCGTAGATGGCTCACTAGAGTGAGCGTGACGCGCCCCATGGGAATCCAGAAAACCAGTAGCCAGCATGTGAGGGACACCAGAAGCATCAGTGGCCCGACGAGGAAATAGAAGAACACGAAAAACACGACCCGACCCAAGGTCCATTCGCCACGCCCAAAAAGGCGGCGTTTGGAGTGGGCCAACTGAGATTCATCTTGTTGTCCACGCTGTGGTCGTCCCAGCAGACTGTCCTGCTCACCGGCCGAATCAACGCTGTTCCTGCGTCTGCCGACGAGCGATCGATCCCTGCGAGGCCCGAAGAACAGACGCCCATGTTCCAGATCACCATTCTGCCATTGCTCATATTCACTGATACTGCGTCCTTCGCCCTCGTCTTCTTCGGCATAATGCTCGTTGGTCTCTAAAAGGACAAATGACCCAAAGGGGTAGAGCAGATATCGTGAAAGACCCGCAAATACCCTTCCATAAGCCATGGCACTCGACGAGTAGGCAAAGAAAAAGCATGCGACCGCGGCAAGCAAAGAAATTAGGGCAAGCCACCATCCAAAGAACAAAGACCATAACAGGTTGGTCAAAAATAGCATGGGGCTGACACGGCCACCTGGTGAAGAATGAATATCTCCCTCGGCGGTCTTCTCTACAGAACGACTCTTTTTATACAAGGCAGGCTTCCAAATCCTGATACCGAATGGGTGAGTTTCGTTGATGGCCTGCTGACGATCTTTGAGGGTGAAGCTCTCTGCATCACTGGCAACGTCTTCGTCGTCTTCCAGTGTGTCTGTGTCCTCACCCTCATCACTTTCCATACCACTATTTTCATCAGCCTGGTTGAATGAAGGGATTTCGTCGTCGACCTCCAACCCTGGTTCAGGCAACGCGCCGTCATCAGGATTGTTACTCTCCGACTCCCCTCTTGCAAGGGGACTGGGTCGGGCACTGGGACGTCGCCTGAGGGTCGAGCTTTGTGTTCGCAATGGTCGTATTCTAGGGGACGTTTGTGTGTTGGGGCCCTTCATGGCCATGTATTGCTGGACCTCGGTGACATCATCGTCCGTCGAGAATTCCTGCCCCTTGTGGGGGATTTGACGCTTGGAAGACATGCGGCGCGAGACTGATGGTTTGCGAGGCCTTTCGGGGTCGGCAGACGATTGGTTTGTAATTACGCGACTCATAGTTTCTTCTTGGCCGTCATCGAAACGCGCCTCTAGATTTGGCGGTTCAAGTGAAGATGAGTCGAGTGTACCTGCAAATCTGGATCAGTACAGGTCATGGCCGCAGGTTACACCAAGTCAAACGCACCGTATGTTCTCCGGCTAGGTGCAGATGGTCTCATTGGAGGCGCCCCGGAGGTAGGGTTCTCACTTCCTGTCGATGCAGATATCGTTGCAGATGGTCGCGTTGACTCGGAAGAGTCATTCTTCCCTTTATCTGCCATGGCCAAGCAACTTGGCAGAACCACAGGCAGCAAACAAAGACAAACTCAAGACACCAAAGTTGCGTTGTCAAAATCAAGAGGGAAAAAACGACTAAGCACTTGGAATCACCAGTGACATCGTTCAAGTAGATCTAATTGAAACACAAAACTTGAGATGAAAGTTCCATTAGCTGAGATTCATACAGGGTCAGGGCCAGATAGGATAGAGCCCGAGAGAAATAAGAAGAGGAGAATGGTTCTTTGACCGTTGCCTTATTGCACTTTCGCAAGCAAATGACCCGATCATCAGGCAGCTCCGCGCCCAATCAGACTGACAGCTGACTCAGCTGATGGTGAGCTCTCAACCGTGGGTCGTGGTGGCTATTTGTCTGGTTTGTCTGGTTGGTGTAGTTTGCATCTTGATGCCTGAATTTCGAGGAGTGTTGTGTCTTAGTCAGCCGCGGCGAACAGGCGCAGCTTCACGGACAGCTGGACTGCTCAGCTCTCCAAACCCCAGCTTCAACTTCTTCGTCCCCGAACCGAGCCATACCTTCCTGACGCATCCTCGATATACTATCTTCTGGGTAGATAACCAAAGGTCTTTTCCTTTGCTGCATTCGCTCTGTGGAAGACGGACAAGCCCTTGAGTCTCCACAGCGTCATCAACCCGCTCGCCATCATGGCTTTGGATAACTACTATCGCAATAAGATCGAGGGCATGAAGCTCGAGATCATTCAAGGCCAAGCTGTTCTACGACGATTAGAAGCCCAGCGCAATGACTACAACTCCAGAGTGCGTCTACTGCGTGAGGAGCTTGGGTTGCTGCAGCAGCCCGGCTCGTACGTTGGCGAAGTGGTTAAGGTGATGAGCACCAAGAAGGTTCTGGTGAAGGTACACCCAGAGGGCAAATACGGTAGGTTTTGGCGCTATTGTCATTTCTAAATAGCCTTGTACTAACGCTATGGTCTACTTGCAGTGGTGGATATCTCCGACGGTGTGGATATTAGCAAGCTCACCGTGGGCAAGCGAGTCGCCCTTCTGTCTGATTCCTACAAGCTGGAGAAGATGCTGCCATCTTCGGTCGATCCCCTGGTGTCACTCATGATGGTTGAGAAGGTCCCCGACAGTACTTACGACATGATTGGTGGTCTGGATCAACAGATCAAGGAAATCAAGGAAGTGATCGAGCTGGGTCTCAAGCACCCCGAGTTGTTCGAGTCATTGGGTATTGCACAGCCGAAGGGTGTTCTGCTTTACGGTCCACCAGGAACCGGAAAGACCCTACTCGCTCGAGCAGTCGCTCACCACACCGACTGTCGATTCATCCGAGTCAGTGGTTCAGAACTGGTGCAGAAGTACATTGGTGAAGGTAGCCGAATGGTTCGTGAGCTGTTCGTCATGGCACGAGAGCATGCCCCTAGTATCATCTTCATGGATGAGATCGACAGCATCGGTTCAAGTCGGATAGACTCAGCAGGAGGTGGTGATTCTGAAGTTCAGCGTACCATGCTGGAATTGTTGAACCAGTTGGACGGATTCGAGCCAACAAAGAACATTAAGATTATCATGGCCACCAACCGACTGGACATTCTCGATCCGGCCCTGCTTCGGCCTGGGCGTATCGACCGGAAGATCGAGTTCCCCCCACCATCGTCAGTACCCCATCCCTTGCAGCCCGTTCTGATGCTAATTATATTCTTTCCTGTAGGGTCGAAGCTCGTGCCGACATTCTGCGGATTCACTCCCGCTCAATGAACCTGACCCGTGGTATCAACTTGACTAAGATTGCGGAGAAGATGAACGGGTGTTCTGGAGCCGAGCTCAAGGGTGTCTGCACCGAAGCAGGCATGTATGCACTGCGTGAGCGTCGGGTGCATGTCACACAAGAGGACTTTGATCTGGCCACCGCCAAGATTCTCAACAAGCACGACGACAAGGAGGTTGCGGTGTCGAAGCTATGGAAGTAGAGAAGCCTCGCAGCGGGGTGGATCTGATCGACGACATTGTATCACTAGTTCTAATCCTACCCTGATCATTCTCGCCCCAACCCTCAATGCATTGTGTGACGACGTGTCTCAATCCCATTCGGGTGTACGGAGTAAGAGGTGTAACTAGTGCCCTTGGCAGCATGCTCGCCTAGAAACGACTATCTTTAGGCAGGCCAATATTGGGACCTATGATGTCCCGGGCCCTAAAATTGGCACTAGGATAATTGCTTTTTTCTTGTGGGAAAGGAGGAAGGGATAAAGCAATCTGCCTCGGCTGGACTTGGCAGTCCTATTAGCCTATGTTCAATGGGATATACAGTAGCTCAGCCTCGATAGAAGACTTGGCAATCATGTTGCGGACCGTGTAGATCCTCAGGGAGACAGGGACCAGTATTCGCTTGGCGCGGAAATCGCAGTCCGCGAGGATCGCTATTGTCTTGGCAGACTCCTTTTTATGTCAAGGGAGGAATGAGAATACAGTATTGAGAATGTGTGGTACCCGTGGACTGTATGTGAATGTATACTGCACTTACTAAGAGGTCTGTTTGAGTGTACAATGTATTTTGCTCTATACAAGGCTAACTACCTGGACCCTTTCGATCTATAAGGCTATGATATCGGGTAATATAACCCTGTTACTCCGTACAACTTGCCACTGACGCGGCCATGCGCGTGACCAGTGGATCATTTCCCAACGTCTAGTACCTGAACCCCTTGTCCCGAGTACCGGATCCACTGAGGGTCACCCCATACTTAAACTAGGTATCTGGGACTTGATCAGATGTCCACTTTCTGGCATCCCCCTAAATGCCAATCCTCTCCCTTACAGGCCAAGATGGCAATCTTTGAATTAGACATTAAAGTTGGGTTCGAGAAGGGTTTAGTTAATTCCACTAGGTCCATACAGGCGTAGTAGACAGGCCTATAGAATCACGGACCTGCTGCATTTGGCCTTTCCGCTGACCGACAGTCCTTGTTGGGTAAAGAGTTGACAGGGAGGATTTACTCATATCTCCCCGGATCTCGTCTTCCGTTCTCCACGTTATACTTCTGAATCTGACTCTTAATTACCCGACTTCCCCATTTATCCTTCCCCACCTCTTCTTATACCTTTCTCCTGGGAGTATATAATTTATACCGGACTATGTCCGATCTTTGGTCTTCTATAGCCCTTGCCATTGACCCCAAAAGAACCCAAGCCATGCCTGCTGTCCTCCAATCTACTATCAATCTCTTGGAGAGTGAGCTGGTCAAAGCCAGAGCTGCTCTCCAGGAAATCCAACCCAATGCCTCTCCATTTGGCTTCCTAGGTGAGGAGATCGCTGTCGGTGCCATGGCCGCCTACAGGCAGAACCTCATTGGCCGTGCTCCCGATTTCTATGGCTCCCGTCGATTGACTCTAAAGGAGCTGGGATTGGAGCCTGTGGTGCACGAGCTACCAGTTGACCGGGTACCGGTGAAATCGATACCTGCACCTCGATCAACCTCGCTGGAGGATCTGCTAGGCAACAATTTGATTCTTGACCAGATGGCCCCTTATCTGTCAGTATCATCTTTGATGGCATTGGACTCAACGTCCCGCCGCCTGCATACAGTTATCACACAGACTCCATATGTCTTCCGTCATCTCGATCTATCCAACTGCCGGGGTGCCGAGCTTGCTACCACTACATCTGAGGAGAATGAGTCCCAGACTGAGGATGAGATCTATGCGGCTCCATTGAAGCGCATCTTCAGCAGTCTCGAGCGCAGAGGCATCCTACGGGATGTGCGCACCCTCATCTTAGATGGTCTGTCAGTGCCCGCAGATCTCGTGGCTGACATCCTCTTGACCGGCCGCTTTAACGTGAATATCCTGTCCATTCGCGAGTGCCGGCATCTGAATGAGCGCAAGCTCATGCAGGTTATTCAACATGCCGTTCGACCTACACGTCCTGCAGATTCGCCACGAGTCAAGGGCATCTATCACTTCTCGCCGATATATACAGCTCCGCAACCAGTTGCACGTCCCCGATACCGTGATTGGTGGGGATCCCGTGTAGGAACACGAAGCCCCAGCCAAACTCGCTCAGAGCCTGATCAGGAAGCTTCGAAGCCTGCAGTAGAGCAGCAACAAAATGAGTGGTATAGCCCAACAGGGAAGCTCTTCAAGCATAGCCTTGAGGATGGCTGGGCCCAAGTGCTCCAAAAGTGCGAGGGTATCATCGCTTTCGATGCCGCCCTCTGTCGCGGCCCGAGACACGATGCCAATCTATTCACTGGTGAGAACTCGCCAGTGGAGGTCCCGTTGCTCGGACCTGCAGTGGCCACCGTAGCTCTCGGGCCCCGCGGTTGTGACGGGTGCCACAGTTCCCCCGAGGGCCCAGCTATCTGGGGTCAAGCCCCAGATGTTCAATTCCCGATGCTCAGTCCTCCACCGCTGCACGCTTCGAATGTTGCTGCGGCGAAGCGCCCTGAGTTAATTCCAGGTGAACATCCAGTTCTCATTGCTCGGTGCGCCGACTGTCTCACTAACCGCTGGTGCCATCGGTGCAACAAGTGGTTCTGTGGTAACTGTCTGCCACATCCACAACGTGTGCGAGTAAGCCTGTCTCCACACCAGACAGCCCTTCGCTCGGACCAACATGACAGCGAGCTGCAAGAGCGAGGTGTGAGCAAGGATTGCTGGGAGTGTGGCCCAACCGTAAGTTAACTCCATCTGATAGACCTTTGGCTTTTCTGACCACCACAGTGTGCTTCTTGCAAACTAGATTGCCAATACACCTGCCAAGGTTGTCAAGGCGATTATTGTATTCAGCACAATGAAGGATGCTCGTCCACACTGGTAAGTGTCGAACCCTAATTCCATAGTTCCAACTAACCTGCCTACAGTGTGACTGGTGTAATACCAGTTCTCGCCACCGAATGCGAGGTGACTTTTATTAAGCAGATATATCCCATTTGCCAATTTTTAATATGATTTAATTACTTAATAATCCAATGGGATGTAGAAACGCAGAGTTAGACGTGGAACAGTCGAAGTATACGCGTGGAGTCTTCCAGAATTGCTTATCAACTTATCTCTCTCCGCCTCCCAATATCAAAGCTCACTTCCGCTTCTTTTGTAAATATTCATCATGGATCTAGTCTGGTCGTCTCAGCTTCTGGTCGCGCCTCCACATCGCGCCCCTAGATTACCAGGCGACAAAATCACCTTGCCGCAATCAGCACTCGAACAGCTCCTAGCTGCCGCCCCGCTTCAAGCTGTCCCCAGCAATAATCGTGCGCATACTTCGACATTCGACCCATTTAACCACCACACCTTCGCCGCCGAATCGTACGCCCGTCAGCAAGTCGAGCAGCGTCAGCAGCAGCTCCCCCACCCATTAACATTCCGAATCGTCAATCCCCAGAATGGCCGCTTCATCTACGCCGGCATCCGCGAATTTTCCGCCGAGGAAAGTGAGGTCGCACTAAGTGCACTGCTAAGGGAGTCGCTTGATATCAAGGATGAAGAATTCTCAGATAAAGATGGAGAAGCACAAACTCCCACGTCACCGGAAACCGAAGCGAACCCCCCGCGAAATGGCCCTGCTGTTACTGTGCATGCGAAACAGCTACCCAAAGGCACATACGTCCGTCTGCGTCCACTTGAAGCTGGATATGACCCGGAAGACTGGAAGGCTTTGCTGGAAAGATACCTGCGGGACAACTTCACGACTCTCACGACTGGCGAGCTTTTGACGGTGCCCGGTACGCGGAGCGAGTCGTTTAGGTTCTTGGTCGATAAAGTGTTCCCCGAGGGCGAAGGGATATGTGTGGTGGATACAGATCTTGAGGTTGATATCGTGGCACTATCGGAAGAACAAGCTCGGGAAACGTTGCAGAAGAGGCTGGAAAAGTCCACGCGCGCCCCGGGTACGAGCAGTGGCAGTTCTATCGGTGGTGTCCTCGGCCTCGGAGAGGATGTCACAGCTCAGGTCTTACCTGGGGAATATGTGGATTATGAGGTTCGAGACTGGAACCGGGAGGATACCATCCAGGTTGAGGTACACACGGACGATCCGGATCTGAGTCTCTTCGGTAGTCCTTTTGCTCCCCGCCAACGAGGTCGTCCGAGGGCGGATATGCATGTCTGGGGTGACTTTTCAGGCCAGTCACCTAAGAAGTTCCAGCTGCGGCCTACGAATGTGGCCTTGGAAGGCGCCGAGGCCCTCTATATTTCAGTTCATGCCGATTCTGCGAACGATGAATCATCCAAGTTGCCGGAGAAGTCGCCTTCACAGTATCATATTCGGATTACAGTGAAGTCATCTAACGAGTCATCTAATGTTTCTGATTCAACGGAGCAAGCGGGTGAGTCCCACGAGCCGGGCGATGTACAGTGCAAAAACTGCCAGCAATGGGTTCCTGAGCGAACACTCGTTCTGCACGAGAACTTCTGTCTCCGGAATAACATCCTTTGTCCAAAGTGCCAGACTGTGTTTCAAAAGCGATCTACAGAATGGCAGAATCACTGGCACTGTCCTCACGACTCTGGTCATGGCAACGACGCTCCCAGCAAAGAAAAACATGACACTATTTTCCATGAGATTCATCAGTGTCCCGACTGTGAATTGGCCCTGGAAGGACTCCCAGCTCTTGCCCAGCACCGCACCAGCGACTGTTCAGGAAAGCTGATTCTCTGCCAATTCTGCCACCTTCTCGTACCACAGAAAGGCGATTCCGATCCCGATTTTCACGATCCTGAGGTAATGCTTTCCGGTCTCACCCCGCACGAATTGGTAGACGGAGGGCGCACTACCGAATGCCACCTCTGCAACAAGATCATCCGACTCCGAGACATGAATACCCACCTCCGCCATCACGAACTAGAACGCCTATCTCGGCCCGCGCCTCGCACATGCTTGAACCAGAACTGCGGCCGTACATTGAACAATGCCGGGAACGACTCCCTGGGTCTATGCAATTTCTGCTTCGGTCCTTTATACGTGGACACCCACGACCCAGAAGGCAAAGCTCTACGGCGCCGCATTGAACGCAAATACCTGTCCCAGATGATGACTGGCTGTGGCAAGCCCTGGTGTCAAAATGAGTACTGCAAGACGGCGAAACAGAAAAAGGCAGATGCATCTGTTCCTCTGGCGGCCATGGCTGTGGCTGATATCATGAAGGTCACGCGGCCGCTTGTTGAAGGACTCAACACTAAGCCTGATGTGCCAAACACGGCACCTTTTTGGTTCTGCGCCGATGAGACAAGTCAACATCGTCGGACCTTGGCCGAATTGATTGCTGCTGAAAGTGCAGGCATGGAGGGCAAGGGATATGACCTTGCGTGGTGTATTGCAGGAGCTGAGGCTGCAAGTGGTGATCTGGAGAAGACAAGAGAATGGCTATGGAAATGGGCTCCGACGAAAAACTAAAAATGTCTCTTGTGATTTTGGACATTTAGAATTCGGTTCATTTACACTTGCATTTATAGCATAGGATCGGAGTAAAGAAATGGTTGAATCTAATAATGCATAATGATACATAAACAGCTGGAATTTCATAATATTCATGAGTAAAAGCAAAGTCAAGTCCAAGAACCATATACTTTGCAGTCACTAACCTGCAGACTTCATTTTGCAGGGTAGTAGAGCAGTAGCACCGTAGAGAGAACTTATACACCCCCTAGCAAACTATATTCTTTTCAAGCCGCACCTGTTTTCGCAGCCAAAGAACCCGTACCGCGCGATGAGAAAATCCCCATAATACCAAAGACAACATAGAACAAAGCCAGCGGATACGCCACCAGACCTCTCATGCCGCTCATGCGCGCCACGGAACAAAACATACCCGACGAACTGTACGTGCACCAACCAACAGCAGCTGTCGTCAAGAGATATCCGAGCAAGGTATCCATAGGAATAAGGATCCCAATAAGACTGGTAAGCACCAAGGGAAGGAAGCAGTAACCGAGAACGCTAGCGGAGCGAGGGAAAGTCAAAGTAGCAGAGAAATGGCCAGCCGCTGAGGCATTGGACATAGAGGGTTTGTGGTGAGGGTTGTAGTTTGTGGGGTCTGCGGCGTTGACGGATGGGACAGTATCAAGGGCCGGAGACATAAGGCTGAGAATGAGGTGGAGGGCGACAGTGCCGAAGACAGCCACGCCGTAGATGTATCCATAGAAGACCTTTCCTGAAAGTAGGAGGAAGGTTCCGTAGAGGACGATGTAGAGCAAGGCTCCGTAGAGATCGCTGTCGTCCATGAGGTGGTTATCGATTGAGGCGAAGGGATTCAACACGGTCAAAGTCTATATAGCGAAGTACCGTTAGCAGGCTGTTCAAATGTTTGCGCAAGGCCGATTCTATCTCAATCCAAGGCATAAACGAATCGAACGAAAAACCCGGGGTAAACAATCCACCCATGTCTCCTGAACGAAGACCCCTCAAACACCAAAGAACACAACTAACCTTCGTGCGAATATGCTCGAAATTAACACCCAATTCCTCAAGCAACGGTGGCTCGCCATCATACCCTTCCGTCCCAAACGCAGCCAACCAACCCGTCCTTAAGCCGCCCTGTTCACCCATACGTCCAGTAACACCCGCGGCCGGGGATCCAAAGCCGCCATAGCCAGCAGCGGCAGGGTAGGCCTGTGCAGAGGGATTGGGAGCACCGCTGAAGCCGCCGCCATAGGATGCTTGTGATGGAGTTGTGTGGCCGGAGACTGAGGAGTAGGAGGAGGGGAAGAACTGGAGATTCTGTGCGGAGCCTTGGGGGGCGTAGCCTTGTTGTTGGGGGTAGTATTGGGCCATTACCGCGACGGACGGCGGACAGAGTGGTGAGAAGTCGCGGGTGTTTGTTTGGCGTGCTTGGGGTGTTCTTGAGTGAGGTGTAGATTATTGGAGCTTCGGAGCTCCAAATGGCCTCAAATGGGATGACTAAGCGGTGGTTTGTCGGGGCCTGATCTATGAACTATGACGATCAGAGGACTTATAAAGGCTGGCTCTCTGGAACTGAGATAACTTTGATTTTATTTTTTACTACATGTGCTTGCCTGGAATACTGCCTCTAACGTATTTTCCTTTTCATATATTTAAAAAGGTTGTGGACCATGTCTTTACATTGACATATATATACAGTTCAACCTAAAACAATTCCCCCTTTTCATAAAATGTCTTGGTATTCCTAAACTAACACTGGCATAATAGATATACAAAGGTTCATACAGAGAGCTCATTAATGATTGTATCTCGTTCAAGAAGGCATTCCAGTTCGTCCCCCTCAGAGACTACAAATCCAGACATTGCTTCGTCCCATATAGATCGCCAGCTTAAGCCATCCGACGTCATAACAAAGAAATAATTGGCCATAACTTTTGAGACTTGTTCCCACGACTGCCACCCACAGATTATTGCAACGCGAGCCAGACGCTCCACAAACCAAGCTCGTTCAGCCTGACCTTGAGAGCCTTGAGCTCCGACGAAAAGTGCCCAAGCATACGGACCAAAGCTTTCCTTGGGTAGTCCACGAAGGAGAGATAACTTGCATTTCTCTACTGCAGTCGTAAGGTGTCTCGTAAGGGCTCGGCCCAGACCGGACGATGATGGCGAAACAATCAGAAAATGATTAAGAAAACAGATAGAAGCCACTCTGGTGACAGCTTCAATAGGATGAAGCTTGGAAACTGGAATGGGAGAGTCGTCTGTATAAATATAGCTGAGTAGTTGATGCTCTGCTTCGCAGTTAAGGACTCGGAAAAAGTCCTGATCAATGGGTTGAAGAGCCGCAGGTGCCATCTGATTCATGATGCTAAAGAAAACCATATCGCGTAGCACATACAAAATTCGTTGCAAGGGTGGACTGATACATGAATTGGCGAAGAAGCCGGATCCGACGTTGTTGAGAGGGGATGAAGCTTGTGGCCTAATGCGCTGCTGGATATCTGAAGGAACAGGCTGGGCGTCCCAAGTCAAGGGAAAGACAGGCTTGGCCATTAGGCCAGACGCTGCTTTGATGTCGGTGCTAATATTCCCAAAGTGAGCACGGGATAGTAGAAGGGTCTACTGGAGACACGCACGTAATGATAGCAGACAACATCGAAGACGAACGGATGCTGTCATCTGTTATCCCACCTCGCAGCTCAACCATACGTTTGAGTCCTTTGAGATGAATATGAGCCTCTTCAAACTCGCCGATGATAAGCTGTGGATCATTAGACCTGCACAATGGAGTTTCAGTGTCAAGTCATACCGCGCCAGTCAGGAGGTTGATGATGGTATCAAATGCCTCGTCACTAAGTCTGCGATGCGGATCTTGCATCTTCGTATTCATTTCCCCAATAGACATTGCCCTCATCATACAGTAGTCAGAGTCAGGTGACTGTTTTCGGCCATCTGAGTTGAATATAAATGTATGCTGGCTCGCGAGAACGGCTCGATGTGCAGCGCACATACTCATTAATCCAAAGAAGCTGCCCTTATCCGAGAATGAGGACCGCACCATCAGCTCCATCTCCTGTGTTGAACCTTTGCTCGTGTTGGGAAATGTCATGGGGACAAATATGGTTTTCCCTTCACCCCGTAGTCAGCTCCATTCCTGCGAGGCTGGAGTTGAAACAATGAAAATGCCAGAAGTATAGGAAGTCGAGGAGATGGCACGACTCACAGTAGTACACCAAGTGAGCAACCATCAAAGGAAGCTCACTAGTACCTGGTAAGGTAGAGAAAGGATCGAGGAACCAAGAGGTAGGTGGGTTAGGATTTGAGTGAAGTGGCAAAGGATAGCCAGCAGACCATCTCGCTGGACGTCCTCTTTGACACAAAGGATATTTGAGGCTGTCCGAATCGAGGATCGAGGAAGAGGCAGGTGACTGGGACTGAGTCCTTACCACCAATCTATGCTCGTCCTCATCCTCGGCAACCTTTGAAGCATCATGTTGAGCACGTCTGGATGTTCGTTTCAATCCTGCAAGTCTCTCACGTCGACGCACATCGCGCATGACATGAGAACGAATGGCTTTGCGAGCATTGACATCTTTGATCCTCTTGGAGGTCAGATCATCATCGTGATCGATAAAGGTAAACGAAGGCCGATCAAGCGGCGCAGGTTTCGCCTTGGGCCCTGACTAACATTTAGTACAAGCACGACTTGGACCGACCCTTCTAGTGCAACCAGGAAGACTAATGGGAGTCAAGGGAAGCCTTGAAAGAAGCATCTCCTAAACAGCGGCTGGGAACCAGGGCTCCCCCGCAGTCTGCACAAAGCACTGACCTGAGAAACGGGGGAAGGTGAACGGCTGCAGAGGATCCATCCCAGCCAAGGTTTCGGAATGCAGAGGAATAGAGGCAAAACAAGGACAGGCCCAATAAAAAAGGTGGATAGAGACTGCAGTTGGGGAGGGCGGATTAAGAAGAGAAAAAGAAGTAGTAACATTGCCAATGCGGGGTGAGCGCAAGCCCAATTCAGCGCTAATCGCCTGGGATGATCTGGTGGTCAACGGTGTAACATGCCAGACATGCATCCTCTCTAACTCCTTGCCATGCAATTCTCGCTAAAAGACAAAGGGTATTCTATCAAGCCATGTCACTCAGTAATCGCGAGATCAGGGCATAGCCAAAGAAGAGGGCCATGCCGATCCAAACTCGGTGTTGTCGAACCCAGCCTTGACCTGCCTCTCGCGCAACATTCCCACCTTCCATAACGCCACCAAATGCGGGAGCACTTCCGTTAGGTCGTCTGCGTAGGGCACTTGTATCAGGCGAACATTTGGTGGGCGCATCAGGGTCGGGTAAGATCTGACCGGTGCCGCTGTCAATGCGATGCTCTTTCATCCAAGCCCAGTTCTCTTGATCCAGTTCGGGCCATTCTGTGCGGAACTTTAAACCGCCGTCTCCTGCTTTGACATTGTTGATTCCCTTGGAGGTTCGAGTGACACCAGCGGTGGCGCTGATGTGAGATCCACCTCCCGTTGAATTCCACCACCGAGATCGCGCTGCAAGCACTCTCCGTTCGCTCTCCGAGGCAGAAACACTTCCTGTGGTCATTTCTTCGCTGGTCATGAAAGATAGTAGCCCGATGAGAATGGTCGAGACTTCCCAGGCGGGGTTAAAGGATTTCGGGTGGAAGTCGCTGATACTGAGACATAGTCGAGTGGACGGCTGGAATCGGCCGCTGGGTGTGTGCATGCGGATAGCGGGAGGGGCAAATGGGTACTCGGGAGGGAATATTAATGTGCCCCAGTATTGTCCATTCTCATAAGGGGTCCCCGGAGGTCCGGTAAGGACATAATGCCATCTATATCGATAAGTCAGATTCCGCACGTCAAGGCGGGGAGTGGAAATCAACTCACTCAAGGATGTTCTGCTCGGAGGGATGAGTGACAATAAACGGTGTGGGGTCCTTCTGAATGTTTTGGTATTCACGAGTGAGCTGTAGTATTGTTAGACATTGTTGGGCTGATGCTAGAGGTCGCCGAGAGCTCGCCACTTACCCGCTTGAAGGCTGCTTTTGTGGCCATCTTCGAAAGAGACTATCAAAGATGTGAATGGAGACAAAGACCAAAAGTTCTGACCCGAGAATGAAGCGATAGACGAGGAATGAGTGAGTTGTCAAAAGAGAGTTGCGGGTGGTCGGTCGCATAAGGCGCGGCCTGGCCGTTGGATCACGTGCCTACCGCCCGTATCTTCGCGGATTCGGCACGCGAACTCCGAGATGCTTCCCCGGAGTAGGTTCTAGCCATTCGGCGCAATAATGTCTTCCTCATTTGCTGCCGGAGACGAGAGTGTGAGTATATTGATGCACACTGTCACTGCCACAGCCCCATTGAATCACTACTGACCTCTACTTAGGTCTTCGAGCGTCTACAACAGCGCGCAGACCCAAAGGTGCTGGAAGAGCAACAAAATGCCGTGAATGAGCGCATGCAAGCTATTTACCAAAAAGCACAGAGCAGACTTGCAGAACTGGTGTGTTTCTTCACCCCCGGAAGCAGAAGATAGCTGTCAATTTGCGTTTGCTTGTCTTCGGAGCCCCCGGCTGATTGTGAATTCGACATCTAGATCGACGAAAACTCGACATTGCCCTGCACAATCTCCTCGGTCCAAGTCACGAGTGCTCCTCACACCCGTCGCAGCTTCCTTGAGCGCAGCCTGAGCCCGCTTTTGAGCGAGAACAAGGGTCGCCCATATACACTTTCGGAGGCCTTGCGGGAGGTGTCGGCTACAGCTGATAAGCTTGGTCGTTTTGGTATGGACTTCACAGAATGATACTGGTAGGATACTCGCTAACATTTACGAAGACTTGTTCCACCAGCCTATCTCCGTATACTTGGATGAGTCGCAAGGCCAGAATGGCATGCGCAACATCGACGTCTACCTGGCCACCCGGGAGAAATCCCGCGTGCTGCTGAAGACCGGAACTGACCTTGGAAATGCCGAGGGCTCAGCCTACGGAAACCTTCTTTGGCGCAATGTATTCGGCGGTGCTGAGACTCTGAACTTGAATGCTTCCCTCGGTACTCGCACGCGATCCGCTTATCAGGCTGCATTCGAGACCCCAATCATGGGTGACCCTGATTTCCGTCTGGAAGTTGGCGGTATCGCAAGCTCGACTCAAAAGTCCTGGGCTAGCCACGAAGAGGTCGTTAAGGGGGGTTGGAGCAAGCTCCGGTGGATCAGCAAATCTGGGCACCGCCATGAGTTGGGCTACAATGGTTTCTGGAGACAGCTTACTGGCCTTGCAGAGAATGCCTCCCCTACTGTACGTGCTGATGCAGGTGACAGCGTGAAGAGTAGCATCTTCCACAGCTGGGTCAATGACCAGCGCGATAATGCCCTCCTGCCTTCTCGCGGTTACTACGCCAAGGCCTTTAACGAAGTTGCTGGCATTGGCCCTTTGAAGGGCGATGTCTCTTTCTGGAAGTCGGAGATCGAAACTCAGAGTGCTATTCCCATCCCCATTCCGGGCATCAAGGGTGACAGCGGTGTCAGCTTCACCACTGGGTTCCGTGCCGGTCTTCTCTACCCCCTCGGACTGGAGCCCAGCTCTCGCCCTCAGCTTTCCCGTGTCAATGACCGCTTCCTTCTCGGAGGACCCACCGATGTTCGTGGGTTCCGTCTCTGCGGTCTTGGCCCCCGTGAGGGAGCCGACTCCCTAGGCGGTGATGTCTACGCTGCTGGAAGCGCTAACCTGCTATTCCCTCTTCCTCGTCTTGGTGCTGAGAAGCCTGTGCGCTTCCAGGCTTTCTTGAACGGCGGCCGTCTCTTGCCTCTGCGGACATCCCAAAAGGCCACTCCCGCCACCAATGGCGAGGTGCAAGATGCCATGGTCTCCACTCTGTCTGAACTACAAAACGGTCTGCCTAGCATCGCAGCTGGATTTGGTATTGTCTACGCCCACCCCGTTGCTCGGTTCGAGCTCAACTTCTCCCTGCCTCTGGTGTTGCGAAAGGGCGAAGAAGGCCGCAAAGGACTGCAGTTGGGTATTGGCATCAACTTCCTGTAGACATGTTTTAGTAGACTTATCGTGAATTCATCCATACCACTCCATTGCTTATCAACCGACTGGAGCCCATATGAATAGTATCTACAATTTAGTCACTTTACCATCGCTTTCAAATATTCTAGAAAGATGCATATAAAATGACTTGGAAATCAGCCATGTTAATAGAGTAAGATTTTCTAGGAATATGTATTCGCTTGCAGTTATACCAGACTTCTAGAGACTGCAGGTCGATCTATACGTTGCGTTATAGATCTGTTTAGATTTCACCGCTTTGGGCTAGGCCTATCACGTGGGTTCTTTATGTCATCAAAAAAAAAGTCCGCCTGCTCCGATCTTTTATCGCGTGAAGGCGATTTCTCATCTTTTCTACAACAAAAGAATTCTACAAAATGGGTTGGTTTTGGGCAGACTCTCCAAAGGTTCCTACACCACCGGCTCCCCACGGATCCTCAAGTGCCGCTCCTCCAGTTCGTCTCTCGCGCAAAACACACTTGATTGTATAGACTGACCCGTATCTCCAGCCGGGATGCCCGATGCACGAGTCTGGTGCGACGCCAGCAGCAAAGGTAGCGCCAGTCGAACTCCCTGATGCCTGCCCGATGAAATCCACCGACTCGCCATTCTATACACCCCCGAAATCATCCTCTGCGCAAACGCCGCAGCCACCCGCGCCGGCCCCGGCTCAGCCCTCTACCCTGTCGCGACTGAACCCTATGAACTATATGTTCGCGTCTATCTCCCAAGAGCGTGCTGAGAACCAGACTGTCGACCTTCCCGTTGATCGTGAGCCCTCTTCTATTCCTCGAGGTGACGCGGAAGGCAACTGGGAGTACCCATCCCCCCAGCAAATGTACAATGCGATGCTGCGCAAAGGGCATACCGACACTCCCCAGGATGCTGTCGAGTCAATGGTTGCAGTCCACAACTTCTTGAACGAAGGCGCCTGGAACGAGATTGTCGGATGGGAGCGTGTATTCGCCAAAGGCCTCATAGCTGGGTGGAAAAGGTGCCGACGCGGCGAGGAGAACCTGAGCTTCGACTTGTACCACGACGAGATGACTGGTAAACTCGATCAGTCTTCTGAGCCTCGTCTGCTCCGATTCCAGGGTCGGCCGAAGGAGTTGACTCCCAAGGCGCAGATCTTCCAGGCTCTTGGTTGGGCGTACCCAAGCAAGTTCGAGTAAGCAATCCTATAATATCCATGCAATTTCCATGAAGCAAAGACTGACTTCGCTCTCAACAGGACGAAACCTCCATTCGACCGTCACGACTGGTACGTCATCCGCAACACTCCTGCTGGCCCCAAGGAAGTTCGATACGTGATCGACTACTACTCCGGCGAGCCCGAGCCCACCGGAGAGCCTGTTTTCTTCCTTGACATTCGTCCTGCATTGGACTCGCCCACAGCCGCTGTTGAGCGATTAATGCGCTGGGGTGGCGATGTCTGGTGGAGGGCTAGCGGCGCCTCTGTTCGTGAACAGGCTGCGCAAGCTTCGCGTCAACACTGAAAGCACCAGGTTGAATACTCTCCACTCTACTTTGTACACTTTCGAAGACATGGCGCAGGCGTTCCATGATTCACCTTCGGCGCTTATGCTTGTATTATGTTCCTTTTCTTCCCACTTGTCTTATACAACCTACACGCTTGGTTTTTTCTTGCTAGGCTATGTGAGCACACGCATGATAATGATCTTTGCATTAATTTGATCCTAGCTGTCTATACTATTTATAACTTTCCTACCTTAGACTATTTCTTAACGTCAGATGTAACTCGAACGTATGTCATTTTAAGTGAATTCGTGTATTTCATCTAATCTCCCATATCAACAGTGAAGAAGTATGTCTATGGTACAGAATGGGGTGAGTGTTCTCATATATTAGGCGAGAGTTGGTCGTATTTGACGCAGTGTTCTACACTCTCGATGCTGGCCTGCAGCAACCCACGAGCTTCTAAGCCGAACCAAACCCGAAGCATCGAAGTGTCACCCGAGCGAACAGTCTGCAAGAATGTACTGCCAGATCCCAGCTGTCGTAGAATAGGAAGCGCGCTAGAATATGTCAGTCATTACAATCCTCGGAGGTAGCGGGCTGAAACCTCATGGGAAAACACTCACCTCTTAAACAGATCTAGGTCGGGGTTGAGACTGCGTCCGATGCCTTCAAGAAGAAGACAAGAAATAACGACATTGACAAAGTCTCCTTCAAACCGTACATGGTGACCCCGGACCATGGTTAAAACTTCACTGAGAACGTCGCCAATCTTGACACTTCCCAGAGCGAAGGTTCTTGACTTGATACTCAGAACTAGGTGCTGCATTTTCAGCGCAAATACTTCCGGGTCGAGTACCTCTTCTGGTGTCCGGCATCGCTCAACCATGAGCTGACCAGCCCGATAGCCGTCGAATTCAGCAATAGCCCGGAACAAATCCAAAAAATTCCGTCGGTTAAGGTCATTCAATTGGGTGACTAGCCCAGTGTCAATGAAAATAAGCTGCGGCCGATACCCCTCGTCGTTTAGCTCGGAGAGGGCAGCGTTCCAATCATCGCGGTTATGAGAGTGCGGGCGTAAGCGTTTGAGAACTGCCTCCGTCACATCAACTTCAGCCCGTGTTGGAGCATCAAATGCACGAGAATGTTTGCGGAGGGAAAGGTCCAGCTCGCTAGGTTTGTAAAATCGCACCATGATGTTTCCTGGGTGAAGGTCGGCATGGACGAAGTTGTCAATGAGGAGCATATGCAAAAAAGCATCTAGGCCTTCGTTGGCAATATCGTGCTGATACACGCCTCCCCCGATATCCAAGAAGGTAGCCAACGGGATGCCTTGGGCAAACTCTTCGACCAGTACCTCGCGAGTGGTGTACTCCAGATATGGATACGGGAACCAGGCGGTGGTACGAGACTTGAACTTCTGGCGGAACATGACCAGGTTGGTAGCTTCGATCCGGAGGTCCAGCTGGAGCTTCATCATTTCCCCGAACTGTTGGACCTCGTCCGGGAAGGAAAGCCAGTGCATTGTGGGAATAGCATTGATCATCGATGCGAAGAACGACATGATCTTCAAGTCTCTGTGAATCATCTGCTCAACCCGGGGGTGCAGCACCTTGATTGCTACATATGAGGATGGCACTCTCTGCGGTGAACTCTTGACCAGCACATCGACGTTCTTCCGAACCTTCTCGCTCAGCGTTTCCGGTTCAATGCCCATTTCTTCGTCGCTGGACGCAGCCAGGCTTGGCTTCAGCTTGGCTTTGTAGACTTGCGCAATAGCACCAACCCCAAGAGGCTCCTCCTGGAATTCCTCAAAAATATCCTCAAACGGTAGTCCATTGAATGCCCTGCGTATAATTCGTTTCGTTTGCCAGAGTGAGTGAGCGGGCGCGTTCGAATGTAGAGAAGACATGATGTTGCACATTTCAGGAGGGAAGATATCTGTTCGTGATGCGGCCCATTGCCCAAGCTGTCCAGGTTAAAATACAGTAGACAATGCCAGTCAGAAGAGCTTACCTTGATAAATGCAGGCCCAGCCCGCTCCATAGCCTTCACCAAGAAGCGGTACCACCACAGAGTGCCAGTCCGGGCACTGTCATGATCTTGGACTTTCCGTCCAATCCAAATAGCCGGCACCGCGACAACGACCGGTATGAAAATGACAGCAAGGTGCATAAATCGAAGTCCTGTGGCAATAGGATCATAGACGTAATAGTAGAAGTAGACCCATACTGTCTGGCAGAGCTTGGAGAGGCCTTGCGCGTCAGGTGAGACGGTCTTCCGGACCTCTTCGCGCGAGGCCTCTAGCATCTGCATCTCGGCGGTTTTGCCTTGGCCATCATTATCCTCTGCCAGCTTCAAGAATGCAGCTGGAGCCAGGGCAGTCATAAACAGCCCTCCTATGATGGGACCCCGGCGCGGGGTGCCCTTGGTTAATTGCCGAGGCCATGGCGGGCGACCGAAATGGTGTCGAGGTAGACGCGGAAGACCGCGCTTAAGACAGAAACGGCCGAACAGGACGGCCGTCCTCATGATTCCATGTAGAGATATGTTAACATGGAACAGAGTGTTTACTCTAAAGTAAAGAAGAGCGAGAGTGTAAGGTGAGCCTGGATGTGGATAAACACGTGCTACGACGTCATATCCGAGGAACAAGATAACTTCACTTCTCGCGACAATTATGCAGACAACATGATTCTTTGAAGTTGGAATACTTCAATTTGAATCAATTAAAACCACATTGAATCAATCTTACTTGCATTTCTCAAATAATCATGGTCCACGTTAAATCTGTACTTTATACTGGCCCACAGACATGGCATTGACTAGCACAGAGGCAGAAATGTGCATACTTGGCAGATGCATATTATCAATGGATAGCTGCATATGTTCTTCAGCTTGACTTGACTCCCTTCCGAAGTCGTCGCCCTTAACATTCCACAGCCACATTCCTCACCCTTTGTCCGCTTGCCGGCGTCAAGCATTGCCCGATCCGGCAATACACGGTTGATCCTAACTGCTTTGTCAAGAAAAAAGCGTGATATGGTCGGTCAATGGTTGACAGCGGACTCGATCAATGGTTGAGGCTGATAATCTCCCGAAAACGGGTCACAAAGCCTTATTCAAACGACCGAAACGACAGCCTTGGCCGACATTAAATGGGCCTGATACCCCAGAGTCCCACAATGGCTTGTCCAACTTCCTCAACTAACAAAACACCTGTCAGATGGCGCGAGAACTCTTAATTGTGGGTCGCACTCGCAATCTGCGCGACATCGAGTCCAACAAAGAAGAGAAGCCTTCCAACTGGCACGACTGGGTTCTGGTCTTCCTATGGAGCTTTCTGGGCTATATGTTCATCATCTTGACGGTGCTGACCTACTTCAACCCCGGCTTCTTGCCATTTGATGTCACCTCAATATTGTTCCGAAAGGAGATGTCTCCGTTCTTTGCGTTCTCACAGGGATCGAGCCATTACTCCAAACCCCAGGGTTTCAAAATAATTGCTCTGGTTCCGTTCACTGATTATGAACCTACGTCAATCTTGGACTGCTATCTGCAGGTAGGGCACATCCAATTGCTATTATGATATTGATCTAACATATAGCAGAAAAACTTGGTTCAAAACAACGGATTCCTTGATCGGGTTGTCTTTGTGCCGCAGACCAATGACGCCCTTAGCTTGGGATGGCTGAATTCGATTGTCAACCAAACACCCGAATATGATATTTCTCCAGCTGGTCAGGATATGGAGTGGAAATCCGCAATGGACAATGTGATGTACATCCGAATTGACGGCGACACCGTCTTCCTCGAAGATCACACCATTTCAACAATTGTCAAGACAAAACTCGACAATCCTAGCTCTCTTATGGTGTCAGCCAACGTCGTGAATGAGGCAGCCCTCGCATCGCTTCACAGCCACCCGGGCGTTGCAATGCCATATCTCCCAGAGTTGTTCCACCACGTCGATCAACTGTCTCTGTCAAAGCCTCAAATGCATCAAGAATGGCGAGCATCAAGTCTCCCACACTGGCAAGGTCCTATGAAATTCAAAGTCAACAAAGACTTTAAGCCACCTTTCAACGGACACCGCTGGTTGCTGCCTGCCGATAAAAGCATTGACCGAGATCCCATCTCCGCTTCCGTATACACCGACACAGGCCCAACCCTAGATGACTGGACCGTTGGTGCACAGCAGCACTATTCATTCTTACATCACCTCGAAAACAATGACCTGGGACTTTACAAGTTCCCAATCTGGGTCGACCCCACAGAGCCCATCAGCGAAAACTTTGGGTGCTTCTGGGGCAATGATGCGGTTGCTGTGCACCATATGTTCCGCCACAACAGCCAGACAACAGCTTCTCATCCAAAGCCGGATAGATCTCGCCCGCATGTCATCATTGATGGCAAGGGTCTTGTTTCGCATTATTCTTCCCGTCAAGGTGTGGCTGGTCTGGATACTACGGATCTTCTGGCTCGTTATCGAGCATACGCAGAAGAGCGAGTGTGCTTGCGGACTGAGTAAGATTGGAACAAACCAGTCAAGTGATATCATGTATATACATATACCCAATGCTTTTTGTTCGGCTATCAAGGCCTCTTAATATTCATGCTACAGATTAAGCAGATTTACTACATCATATGAACAATTAAAAAAAGGGAGAATAACTTTTTTTCATCATAACTCAAGAGCTCAAGAAAACTAGTCCTTGGGTCTCCGTCTATAAGTATTGCTCAATCTATACTGGCTTGGTATATGAGCTTGACAAAGGGTGCGTCTCAAACAAATCATGTGGAAGAACATAGCTAAGCACCCGCAATAGCTCTCAACTGGGCAGTATGAACTTTCACCAAATCTTCCAGCATGTCTCTATACCCGAGAGGAAGTGTACCAGCCTACCATTTAATTAGCAAATGCCTCTGATCATTTTGGTCAAAAACTTACCTCATTCTTCAGCAGCTCTTTCACAAGAATGAAAGCGTTGTCTCGATCCTTGTTCTCTTGGGACTTATCTGTCTCTTCCGTGGTCTCCTGACTGGAAGGTTCCGCACCCAACGTCGTCTTAAGTAACTCGGTGACCTCAGTCTTGTGCAAACAGTCTACGACTGCGGCACATCCAAGCTTATGTGTCGCCATCAGAGCAAGAGCAAACCAGCCCTCACTGCGGACAACAGGCCATTGAGTTTGTGTAATCATAGCACCCAATGGAAGGGCAAGACCCTCGTGTAGGGTGAACAGCTTGCCAAGCAAAGCATTTGCTTGTTCATCTTCATCACGAGCCTTGGGACTAACGGTTCGACAAATTGAAGCGACAGTACGTCCAATCTCTGTCTTGATCGGCGTAGAATCCGATTTTTCGAAAAGAGACAACAGCAAAGAGAGATATGTTCGCTGATTAGCTGGCGAGTCAGGGTCAATTGAAAGAGGAGCAAGAAGGTGGGAGATGTTATCAATCGAAGAAATGATAACTTGGCGCGCAATACTGGCAGCAGAGAATTGAACCTGCGGAACAGACTCATATGCCCATAACCGCGAAACGGCAGGGATTATACCGGCTTCTCCAAGAATGATTCTGTTATCACCAGCAATTGCCAGGTTCTTCAGGAAGCCAAGAGAAGAGTGCAAGACTGCGCCCCGAGACTCGCCGTTCAAAACAAAGATCAACTCTTCGTGGATCTTCAGATCCCGAACCATCACCTGACAGACCTCGTCAGACCGAGCCAGGTTGCCTAGCATGACACAGGCACAGATCTGAAGTTGGTCCTCATCTGCAACCACCCAAGACTTCAAAGTCTGTGAAAGAGAGGAGTCTAGAGGATAATGCTGAGAAAACAATGGGGATGCGGATACCTCAGACAAGGCCTGATTTATCTTGAGCCGAAGCTGGGCGATAGCCTTGACATCTTCGGCGGATGATTGATCGACCTCAATTGAGAACGAACGACGCAGGACGTCCAGTACGCCCTCCACCATGTCATTTGATACACAAACAGCCTGGAACCTTTCTTTTTCTAGGTAAGCGGCAAGGGAAGTGACCAAAGATGAGAAGTGTGAGAATTGAAGGGTTTCATCAAGAGCAAGCTCCATCAGCAACAAGATTGTGCCATCGGGAGATTTTTCAATGCCCTCGGCTGTGGATGCACCATGTCAGATCTGGACTGAATATAAAAATTTACGAAGCAAATCGTACCTTGTTCTGAAGCCAATTCAATCAAGTCATAAGAAAAGTTGAGTAGAGCCTCGTTATCTTCGATCTCTCCGTCTTTGATCAACTTCAACAGTATATAGGCAGTCCGGTTAGTGGCGATTTGAGCATGTGCGGGTTCTGATTGTGTTAGCAAAACATTTGGTATCGATTTCTGCTTCTAGTACATACCATAGTCCATGCAGATGTTGTAAATGACCGGAATGGCAATGAAGACCAACTCCGGGTCAAGGAAGTATCGGATGATAGCAAGAGTGTAGTTTCCTTTGACGATAATATCTCTGTTTTCATCTAGAGGGACATCAGTTATAAGTAAGATCAAGGAAAGAAAGGTGGCCTACCCGTATCGGCACAGGAGTTGCCAATAACACGCAAAGACTGAAGCAGCAAGCTGGTATCCACCCCATCTTTCAGGGAGATGACATCCAAAAAGAATTTCAAGATACCAGACTGGCCAAACGGAACACGCCATGATGCTTATTGGAATTAGCAACTCAATGAGTCCACAAATGATCACCTTACTCACGATCTCTGCTACCATTTGCAATAATCTCAGTAGCTTGAACCAAGTACTCCGACTTGCTGTTCCACAGCTTATTCAGAGTACCTACCACACTCTGTAAAGAGTCCGCATCTCGGCGTCCTCTCTTCGTGGTAGCATCTGCCTCTTCAAGGGAAGCATGGAGCTCCTTGAGATCGAAGTTGTTTCCACCTTCATCGACCTCTTGGGCCTTTTCGATGATGTCCCGTAAAGCATGGAACATAGCCTGTTGCTCTTCCAATTCAAAGGATTCAGAACTCTGTGCAGGTAGAAGAGAAGAAGATCCAGATAGATCTGAGACGATATCTTTGATAGGAGGTAGGTCCCAATCTCCCTGTTTCGAAACTGACTGGTTGCCAGCTCCATGGCTGGACTGGACAGTAGATATACCACCCTGGGAAGACATATTGCCAGATGAAGTTCCGATAGCTGCCTTCAGGGAGTAGTATGACTAGACGGGGTCTGCGTGGACTCAGATGAGAGTTCCTTGCCCGAACAGGAAATGGTCTTTCAAATTGTAGATGGAGCCTAGATGGCGGCCTGGTTCTGCTATTTGGAGCTTTGGGTAACAGTGGTCCACTAGATGAAAGTAGGCAACAAAGACCAGAAGTGGAGGAGGCACTTGTTGTAGGAATATCACAAATGTTTAGCTTAGTGGACCGGGGGTGCTGCCTCAGGGATTCAGGCATCCACCCAATTTAGGTTAACTTAGGCGGAGAAGGTATACATGGATGTTTCTCGCGGTTTCTCCATATTGATAAGATATTTAGAAAGACAAAAGAACTAGAATGGATTAAACAGCAGTTTCAACTCCCAAGTAGTCACCAGTTAACCCTATAGTTGCCTTGCCCCGACTGTAGACCCAGTGACCTGATCCGGGCGCCAAGCAAGCTGGCCTCTGCCGCATACAACACATCTCCAAGTCCCTCATTTTACCTACTCTGTGTTCCATTCACATTTGACCAATCTTCCCTCCTTTGTGAAAACCAACACCTCAAATCCACTCAAAATGACGCGCGCTCTTCAAGCCCTCTCCGTTCTCCTCCTCGTCTCCTCCGTACGCTCCAAGTCCTTCCCAGGAGAACCACAGCAACACGTGCACTTTACTAACAATTGATCAGCTCTACCTCGTCCTCTACCTGGGCCTCGTCCCCCTGAATGAAACCTTCCAGACCGAGGTTATCCCAGTTGTATGTCGCACGCACCGTCAACCCCCCCCCCCCCGGGCCCGCTAGACTCGCAAACTACACCACGTCAACGAACCTAAAGCTAACATTCATACCCCTACCCAGCTCCCCTTCTACGCCGTCATCGTTTTCGGATGCTATCTCCTCGGCCGTCTGGGCGTTGCGATCTTCACGTTCAACGATGTCCCCGAGGCACACGCCGAGCTACAGAAGGAGATCGAGCAGGCCAAGATCGAGCTGCGCCAGGGCAAGGTTGAGGTCGACTAAATGCGCAATTACTCTGTCTGTGTATACAATGTATACAAGCTAGCTTGGTAGCCGGATGACCTATCCCAGTCTTAAATAGGGCCCGGGGGGCTCTGTCCTGGCTTTGGATTTGGTGTTCGGACGCGGAAGGTCAACGCGGCGTTCACGTAGAAAGACGCGCCCAGACTCCGATATAATACGCTACATCAACTTTTGTTTCGCTATCAATGCAATGTTTTCTTGATACCCGTCTACAATACAATTGGTTCACGTGGAATGTGTTTGAACCCAGGTAGTCTCTAGGGGTGTGCTGCGAGGCCACGAGAAGTCTGTCGATGGCTATAAGAGCATGCTTGGGATATCTGAAGCATGGTGTATGGAGTATGGAAGTGCAGTTGAATTAAGGAGTCATTTGAGGCAATCCGCCCATGCCAGAAAGAAAGGAACTTTTCTATAAATTCATCAAGGATATCGTAAAAAGTGCATGCTCAGAGTTATGCAGGTTATGCACCTGAACCCTCAGCATGAAAGCAAAATCGACGACCCCAATGGTCGCCAATGCAGGCTTTTAGAGCGCCGCGCAAACCAGAATGCTATATGCAAATGCCCTCGTCTTTTTAGATAAGAGGGTTCTCCTTGGCCAGAGAATCGTGCTCATCAATGTCCCTGCAAGTATGTTAGTCACAGTCTAGCAGAAAATATCCGAGGAACATACTTAGCCTCCCAGGGGTAGCAGATCCAGACATCATCAGTGGTGACGGAAGCGTGGTAGCGACCACCCTCCATCATATCAGCGGGCAGAACACCCTTCTTCTCCTTGTTCTTGTTCTATTCGAATAGTCAGCACCAATATCAACCCGACACTCTCCCGGAAGTAAAAAACATACGTGAAGAACAAAGACAAAGAAGTTAGTCTTCTCGCCCTCACGACCAAGCTGCTTCTGGGCAATCTCGACATCCTTCTGGAGCTCGCGAACAGCGTACTCAAGAGTTGTACGGGTATCATCGACCTCATCGACAATCAGAATGTTCTTGCCGATCAAGTTGGCCATCTCCAGAGAGCTCATGTCGAGCCATTGGGTACGGGTAACCTTGGTACCCGGGACCTCCTCGGCATCGCCGCGGCCGAGATCCTCGTAGAGGGAGAGACCGATGGCCTGAATGGGGATGTTGGGGTCGCCGGTGCGCTTGAGGAAGGATCTGTTGGAGTGGGTGTTAGTATACTTGGACTTGAACTTGGACTTGTAGTCGTGCAGTGGCATGAGTGATGTGGCATGCAATTGTGGATTTTGCAGACTGCAGATGTGGTATAGAGGGATTTGCATACCGGAGAATACGAGCAGGGACGTAACCACCACCACCGATGGCGATCATAAGATTGGGGTGGAAGTCCTTGAGGATCTGGTCGGCCGAGGTCTGGCACAGCTTGTGGACCTAGGGTTGTTTTGTTAGTGAATGTACCTTTGGAAGAGGTTGTAGGCTGTGATAGGACTGCGCTGTCGCAAAGAACGTGAATTCCCTGCCCTTGTGCGACAGAGGAACAGGGACCATTCCATGTGGGATCATAGATCATAGATCATACCTGGTTGTAAGTGACATAGACCTTCTGCGGCATGATGGCGGTTGAGCAAGACTCGGTGAGGGGGTGAGAAGAAAAGTATAGAGACGATCTGAAGGGGAAAAAAAAGGGCCTGTCAAATGTCACCCGTTCCCACAAGAAAATGGAGGGGAATTTTTTCTCGGTATCGGCCCGCTCTTATCGCCGCCACTACATATTTTGTGTATGCCAAGATCACTTGTGAACACTCTCTTCTCTTCAACATATATTGCATTGCATTGCATTCATATACCTCACATCTAACTAAATCTAGGTATACCAACTGGGCTCCGGCACTTCATTCAACAACGCATATCGCCCCACTTCCCGGTTCTTATAAGCCACCGGGTCATGAAGCGTATGGACCCTGATATCTCTCCAGAATCGATCTAAGCCGACCTTCGATGCAGTGGCCCGAGCTCCAGTCACTTCAAAGACACCAGAGGTAACCCGCAGTCCAACATCAGTGGTAACAATTTTGACACTGGCAACCCACTCGGCAACCTCTCCACGTTCGCGGGGTGTAAGAGCCGCCTTGTCGGAAGAATAGCGAGCATACAATCCCGAAAGCTGATCACCGGCTCGGTCTGCCAGGGCTTCGGCTGCACGAAGGTGTGCGAAGAAATTACCATATCGTTCCAGGATGTAGAACTCGTCTATTGCCAATTCCTTGTTGTCGCCTCCGAAGGGCCAAGCGCGTGTCGCGGTTGCGGTATACTTCGAGGCGAATTCCAATGCGCCTAGAGAAATGCCGAGGTAAAAGTTGCTGAAGACGAGTTGGATTCTGGGAGGAAGTTAGCATTTAGCCAGCGAGCAAAATGTATAAGAAAGCTTACGTTGGCAAAAGCAAGGTCGGGAATGCAATCTTTAAGGTATTCTCACGCGGCTGCTTGGTCAATGCATCCCATCCTCATGCATCTGTCCATGGAGCTCGGACATTGTCGATCCTGACGCCCCCAGACTCGGTTAGACGCAACCCAATGTTGTGCCAGTTGTATGCAAATTGGATGCCAGGTTGTTGGGTCTTGACCAGGGCAAATATATGATCTTGGGTGCCGTCCAGAACACCCTCGAGGACTGTCAGGTCAGATACAACACCGCCAGTGTTGAAGAACTTGTTTCCGCTGAACACAATGTCGTCTCCATCCACAGTAATCTTTAGATCACTGTCGCGGGGGTTCACAGCACCACCGACGAAGTAATTGTTTTGAATTATCAACTGATGGGTTCGGTCGGCTTGTTCTGGTGTACCAACCACATTTGCGGTGGTGGACCAGAGGAGATGGTAACCAAGCAGCATACCAATAGATCTAGTTCCTTGTTAGGTTCACGTATAACTACACGTATGAGTCAATTATAATCAGACATAATCCTTACCCATCGGCCTTTGCAACCTCTCTAATCGCCTTATATCCAACGCTCCAGGGCTGCTCACCACCTCCATACTTCTTAGGACCGAGGAGTTTCAGTAGGCCCGAATGTTTGAGCAAGGCGACTTCAGCGCGCGGAGACTTGTTCACCTGGTCTCTCTGGGCAGCATCTTGGGCCAGCACATTGGCAACCTCTTGAGCTCTCGCAAGCCACGCATCTTCAGTGCTAGGGAGCTCGGACCATTTGGCCAGATACTCGGCATAGACAGCAGGGTCTGTCTCAGGGACTGGGGCCATAGTTGTAGTTGGAAGTCAAATTATCAAAATTGATTATCTGGAGTGTAGAGGAAGTAGGCAGTAAATCTATACTTATCTCTCGGGCGAGTCATTACATGCTCTCCCAGGATTATCACGCAATGAACACGCACGCCCAAGTTTCAGATAGGAGCCCTTTTCGTCAGTCGGAAAGAATATGTCGTTATTGTTCTTTAGTATCAGCCACTGGATCCAAATGGTTTATTTCTTTGGACGAAATTGTGATGAACTTTGCATCAATTTTAAGATCTTCAGATCTGCACCTTGTCTCATTCTCTCGGGTCTCGCGCCATTCTATACATTCTCTGGATCAGAAGTTCTCTGTTATAAGGGCTTCAACGATGCAACTTGTGCACGTAAAGCCTTCTATAGATTAATATTGTCAACGCACTGTGTATAACTTAGCACTAGACATATGTGTACCCATTAAATAGTGATAGTATGCCATACCCCAGCCTCAGTGTAAGCTCTAGTCCTATTTAGTTCGTCTTCTTCTTTTTAGCAAAAATTCGCGAAGTATCGCCAAGGGGTAGCTCAAGCAAAGACTCCTTCAACAGCAAATGGAAAACAATATACCAGCCCACCAATCCAGCCAAGAAACAAAACACACCTCCAGACTTTTTCAAAGTAGTCGCAGAAGCCGCTTTACCATCAGCCAAAGCAAAGTAGCTCGCCGCAACAGTAAGGAACCCAAGGTCAACAAAAAAAAAGACCAGGATATAGGCAAGGTTGCTTGGAAGCGACGCTATCAAAAACGTGAAAACGAACACCGTCCACAATATCATAAAGAACCCGACCGCATTGTTATACTCTGCTGTACTGTCACCGCCATAAGCTTGAGCGACACCAAATGCTGGAGTCAAGATTGCACCATAGCCAGCGTAGAACAAGCCTAAATCTCAATCAATCAATACTATCTCTACCAGAGAAGAGACAAGCGTTCACGTACCAAAAGCACTGAAAACAGTATACGCAAACCCATTACCAATAGACAATTCCCATTGAGCAGTAACCACCAACCCAAACGCGGCAATGAAGAAGAAATTGGCAATGAAGACATTCGCAGTGGTGACGCCTCTCCACTCCATCAGACTCAGTGACAATGTTGTTAGAGTAGTTCCGAATGCACCAAGGGCAAGGGCAGACTGTAATGAATCGGAGAGTCAGAATCTCATCACTCGAGGAATACAGGTATTAGACTTACACCTGCGCCGAGGGTTTTTGGAATCTCGACGTTCAAAGTGCCGACATTTTGCTGTTCGATGTCGATCGAGTTGTCTGTTTTCATTTCTCCGCTTAGGGATTCTTGGGCGGCTGATGAGACCATTGTTGCTTGTAGGTGGTATAGCAGTGTAGAAGTAGGTTAAGGTATAGGAAGTAGTGGTGCTGATCAAGGGGGAGGATATTTGATCTGGAAGCTTTCTCCAAATGAACTACACCTTTTTGGTGATATGTGGATCTTGCATCACATAATTGCGAATGATGATGGCGAAATATGTCGGGACTGCAACCTTCGGGGCGCACTGCTGGTCGGGTTCAGGCAGGCTCCTTGGGAAACATGAAATTAGGTCGATGTCAAAGCTTGTTAAGAGATGAACTCAGGGTTCAGTTATCGACCGAGTGGAATAAATATCACACAATCATGCCCCAGATGATGTGCTTATTTCGACTTCTAACATGTTATGCCATGTGATTTCCAATAGCCAGAAATTCCAAATATTGGTAGATCCTGAAAAAAATGCGGTCTAATAGGCAACAAGGCAATCTCTCTTGGGCCACAACCCTGTTTCTATCATCTTAGTTCTGATCCTCTTAGCCTCGGTTGTAGGCCATTGGTCATGACCCAATCTCCAGGTACCGTTTTAATATTGTCCACTCCGGAGGTCTTATTCGAATACCTCAGCGCCAAACTGATGGGTTCTGAAGATCCCAAGACCATTTCTAAACTCTGCACAGCCAACTTTGCAGTCTTTTGAACCGCTGTAATATGATGAACCGGGCTTGACATTCATAGTCTGACAATGTGTTGATTGTCTTTCAGATGGGTAAGACTCTGTAGTGCAGCCTTCCTTTGGGTCTTGGGGTGGCATTCGGGTGAGATCTCAATGTGGCTGGGATGATAGTCATATGTCAAAGCGTGAATGCTTCACCCACTATCATCGAGCAGGTTTTGCGGTGACCAGTATTCCTTTTCAGGGCCTTGGGCATCCACCCAGACCAAACCATCAGCAAGCAGGTCATCGATTACTGTTTGCGCTCGAGCTTTTTCCCACTTGAGGTTTAATCGCAACATAGAGACACTGACGAATCCTAGAACCTGGATTGCCTCTAGGACAGTCGCTTGGTCCGTGTTGAGCTCTTTCGGGACAGATCGAATATATTGCTTGCTGCCCACGTTGACAATGGAGAACCCAGAGCCTAGGGGCTCGAGAGACCGGACTGCACGTAAGATATCGTCGCTGTCAATCACGCGGTTAGCCAGTGGCACGTATCATCCTTCATACAGGCCTCATACTCAGAAACCTCAAGCCCGCTTCCGATCGCCTTGCCCTTCCCCACTCGTTTGCGACACTCTTCAACACCAATCAGTCCACCATTTTCACTCCTTGTCTCCCTGCACAGGTCCACAACTCGAGTGGCAACTTCAAAATAAAAATCATTCATATCTCCTCCCAGTATCTGGGTCCAGAAGCTACCTCCCTCGCCCAGTCCACGGCGGCCATTCTTTCCTTTGATGTTGCTTGCAGCAAGAGGATCAACTCCGATGGTATTACACATGCGCGCGAACTCGGCTCGGAAGGTTGGATCAGATTTGATTGTTGAACTATGTTCCAGCGCGAATGTATGTAGCAGGGACTGGAAGACCGAGAGCTGGGTCTGAAGGGAGGCCGTATGAGTAGAGCGTAGGTTTGCGCCATGGGTAGCGTATGACTGGCTTGTTTGAGTGCGGTTTGTAAAGGCCCCAAGGCCGACTCCACGACGCGACATGATGTGAGGTTGTTAAAGTGAGGTCCTGTTGACAGATCCAGATCCTAGATGCCCTCGGGTCGTCTAAGGTAAGTAACTAACTTATGGGGTTACCCCAATTCAGGCATATTAAGGCATCAATGAGGCGTCATCTTGGAAACCCTTATCTGGTAAGCGATAAGGGCATAGCCCACATTGGGTTAGATCAATCATGTTTTGTAGTCTAGCCACATATGGCTAGTGGATACTCCACCCGCACAAGCGAATTCCCTTTTCCTTCTTGTCTGCGAACTTTTTCTTCTCCTTCGACAACCTTCGACAACAACCTTCAAAATGGCCGCTACCACGTATGACCTCCCTTGACTTCTGGACTGCTTCAATCTCCTCGAGATTGTAAGGTTTCAGCTATAGTCGCACTTCTCGCTGGAGATGCTACAGCCATCGTCGGCCTCGATGATGGTTGCCAGGCACCAGCTCGATCCTTCCTGCCCTCTCTCTCCACCCTGGTGGCCTCGCATACATCTGTCTGCCGCAGAGTACAACATGGATGGAGAAAGAGGGTGATGGAGTCTTGAGGCTGAAAGCGCTTTGCGCCTTCTCTTCCAAAAACATTGTTGTGAGCTATCGTTCCAGTTGTTCAGATGTGGTAACAGCATCTTGCTTCTGATTCGAAGAGCGTCAACATTTATTCCTGACAACGTCGGGGTTTTGTCGGATGAAGGCATCATTTGCAGATGTGGACGGTTGGGCTGCGAGAACATTGCACTGAAATTTTTGCAACTAGTACCTGGCCGCTAACAACCCACCTCGCTGCAATGGCCCTCACTGATCAAAGACATTTCGTCGAGTTTTTATTTTTGCCTTCAGTTGAGAATGTGGCGCTATATGCTGCAATTCTTTCACTCGGCGAATTGTCTCAGTCTTGTTCCATTTGAACAGACTGTTCTAACATGTGTAATACAGCTCCGTCCCCACCCAGAACCAGGTCCTCGTTCCCGAGACCCTTCTGAAGAAGCGCAAGTCCCAGGAGGCTGCCCGCGCTGAGCGTCGCGCTGAGGCCGAGAAGGTCAAGAAGGTTGGTTAATCCTCTCCAGTTACTTCCATACCGCCTCCCCTTCGTTCATTATGATGCATAACACCATTCAACCGACTAGACCATCCTACCAGGCGGTCAATGCTGTCGATTGTTAACCATCTTTCGGGTCTGACACTGTTCATGACACTTGAAAATTTTCACACTCATGATTTTCAGAATTCAAAACTAACTGAATTTTCACAGGCCAACAAGGAGAAGCGTGGTGTTATCTTCAAGCGCGCCGAGTCCTACGTCCAGGAGTACCGCAACGCTGAGCGTGAGAAGATCCGCCTCAACCGTGTTGCCCGCAACGAGGGTAACTTCTACGTCGAGGGTGAGCCCAAGCTGGTCTTCGTTGTCCGTATCAAGGGTATCAACAAGATCGCTCCCAAGCCCCGCAAGATCCTCCAGCTGCTCCGTCTGCTCCAGATCAACAGCGGTACCTTCATCCGTCTCACCAAGGCTACCCAGGAGATGTTGACCATCGTCAACCCCTACATTGCCTACGGTTACCCCAACCTGAAGTCCGTCCGTGAGCTCCTCTACAAGCGTGGTTACGGAAAGGTCGACAAGCAGCGCACTCCCCTCACCGACAACCAGATCATTGAGGAGCACCTCGGCAAGTTCGGCATTGTCTGCATGGAGGATCTCATCCACGAGATCTACACTGTTGGCCCCAACTTCAAGCAGGCCAACAACTTCCTCTGGCCCTTCAAGCTGTCTAACCCTAACGGTGGCTTCCGCACCCGCAAGTTCAAGCACTACATTGAGGGTGGTGACACCGGTAACCGTGAGGACAACATCAACGGTCTCATCCGCCAGATGAACTAGATTGATTCTTCTCATGAGGGGTCTTGGTATGGGCGCTCTCTGAGTGCACCGCCATCAAAACTTTTACAAAATTTTACGACTTTACTGTCTTGGGTTGTTTTTTGCACGGGCTGTTTAATATCCTCCGGTCAATTTTAGCGATACGATGGTCTGGGTTTTCCGATCAATTTAATGCTTCAAGCAACCCAATTGCATGGTCGACGACCTTCCAACTGTAGTTTGTATTTCTGTAGCAGTCCCCCGTAGATTTCTAGTAGCCAGCATGGGCAAATTTTCGTCAGTGCCGCTGCACCTGGCTGCACCTGGGACTTTCGCCCTTCGGTCCATGGTTATCTTTTTCTTAGGCTGAAATTTGACCCGAGGTCCGAGTTCCGCTCACTGTACTCCGTGCTGTTCTACATGTAGACTGCTTTCAATACCATCATGTCTGTTCTATTTTTATCTATGTTCTGATCACATTCAGCTGCTGAATGGAGCTGAATGCTTGTACCTTGGAGGGAAAGAACAAAGAAAAAGAAAGTCTGATATATATTGTTCAGCTGCACAGAGTATATGCACACTACTTCATTTCTATCTACGCAATGCCGAAGACAAGATATGTCTTTTAAATAGGTCCGAGATCAGATCTTAATGACCTCTTGCACTCTCCTGTCCCGGTTGACAACAAGACGAAGCTGTCGACCTTGCCAGTCAGAGTCTGACACAGAGTTGTGTGAGGCAGGCTTGAACACGCCTTCACGGAGAGTCTCGGTGAAGAGTTCATAGGATGGATAATCTATGCATGTTAATATGATTACTCGGCAATACTCAACTGAGTCCAAGAATTGATACATACACCCGTCCACAAAATGGTTGACTTGTTCCTCCGTCATTCCAGTACCCTTAGCAGCACGGAGAGTGCGCTCCTGTTCCTGGCGCCACTCGTAAACGAAACGCGGGTTTTCAGCATCACTAGAGAATATCAGTATTCAGAGTCGAGCCTAGAAATGGAGATAGCACATACATATGAATCAATGCATCCAGCTTGCTGTAGAAGAAACATGTTAGCAATTCCAATATCGCAACCACCAATTGAAAAAACCCACCCTGTCAAAATATCATATCTCTTCAAAGCATCATTGACAGCTTTCACATCCTCGAACTGGACATGACCCAATCTCCCATTATAATCGCCCGACTCCTTCTGACGCACAGCATTCTCCCATTTCGCGCGTAGGGTGTGATCATCCCACGCCCGGAATCCAACACACCAACCCTCGAAGATGACGATCTTTACTTTATCCTGACCTTCTTCATTGACCACTTTCCATTGATCCTTCGGAACGCGATCACCCTGACCCCCGAACGCAGATTTATCGTACTGCGGGATAGCAGTGGGCTTCTCCGCAGCCAACGAAGCAAAGACCTCCTCACCCAACACAAGGTCGTGAGTGGAAGGTTGACCACGATGCTGCAAAAGCGGATTGGAAGGATGCACCTGGGTGAGAGCAACCTGATCGACGTGTGTGAGGTAAATATCGTCCAGCGACAACGTCACGACGGAGAGCGAATACGGCGCTGAACGGAGCGTGTCATTGAGAGCGGACACCTGCAAATGAGTTTAGGTTAGAACGTACTAAACTACTGTATGCAGGTCGAGCTCTTTGGCCGAGGGAGACAAAAATCCCGAGGCATCAGAACCGACCGGACCGACTTACTAGCACAGTCTTGCCGGCACCCTGCACGCCATTGAGACCTATGAAGAATGGCGGGGTAGAGGTGCCGCGGTGTCGCTCGGTGTGAACGCGCAGACGGTCGAGGAGGAAGGGGATGCAGTGCTGTGATTTGTCGTCTATGATTCCAGGCATTTTGGATTGTTTTACCTACCGACTAGGGGTGTCATGGCTGTTCTTGTACCGGCTACGGTACGCGGGAACTCTCCCCCGATCGGCCGAGTGAGGAATCTGGGGAGCGCGGGGTACAGTTCAGCCGCTACTTTTTCCATTGAGTATAGTTTGAGTATATGGTTGAGCACATAGGCTGGATCGTAGATTCATAGGTATACGTTGGATTTAGACTTAGGCTTATAGACATCATAGAGCTTTGAGTGCACATGGCAATGACGTCGGTCGTCACATGCCTTACTCGGACCCGTGATACATTGACTTGAACTTCAATATACAAGTAGTTATAAGCCTAGTAGTTACGGAGGACATTTATATTTTTACTTAGCTAGTAGATAGATCGAGTACAATAGATCTCACCCACACTGCAGATCCCCCTATTCCTTATTTCGGTGAAAGTGAATGCTTAGTCAAGTATTGTATTTTCCGTTCTCAAAGACTATACAAGAACTGGCTGTCACTCGACTGTCTAATGTGCTCGGTAGTCACATCGTACTCAATAAATACATCTGCATATATGTTACACAGGTATAAGTTACCTATTGCATTATGCATGTCGGCATGTGAAGATGGTAATCTGCCATGTAACAATACACCTCCCATTACGGTATGGGCCGAGGTCCAAACCAGCCGAGCTTGCGCTTTTAACCTCCTCTTCTTCTCCAGCTTTTCCCCTTCTTTTCTTGGTTCCATATTCTCCATACTCTTCGGACAACACACACATCATGTCCGAGCTACGATTTGATAACCAAACGGTGGTCGTCACCGGTGCCGGTGGTGGTCTGGGGAAGGCATATGCTCTCTTCTTCGCCTCAAGGGGCGCAAATGTCGTCGTCAACGACCTCGGCGGCTCTCACAAGGGTGAGGGCAAGTCAGGAAAGGTATGTACACCCCCCCCCCTCAGCTACACCGACAGAGACTAACAGCGCATAGGCCGCAGATGATGTCGTCGAAGAGATCCGGGCCGCCGGCGGTAAGGCGGTCGCCAACTACGACAGCGTCGAGAACGGTGAAGCCATTATCGAGACCGCTATTAAGAACTTCGGCCGTATCGATATCCTCCTCAACAATGCCGGTATCCTCCGCGACATCAGCTTCAAGAACATGAAGGATGCCGACTGGGATCTGATCAACCGAGTTCACACCTACGGTGCATATAAGGTGAGAATCTGTGGATATAAATACAGCTCGTGTGGCAGAGACTGATGCTCTAGTAGTGCGCAAGAGCCGCATGGCCTCACTTCCGTAAGCAGAAGTACGGTCGTGTCATCAACACGGCCTCGGCTGCTGGTCTCTTTGGTAGCTTCGGCCAGGCCAACTACTCCGCTGCCAAGCTCGGACAGGTTGGTTTCACTGAGACTCTGGCTAAGGAGGGTGCCAAGTACAACATTATTGCCAACGTTATTGCTCCCATCGGTAAGTGATTGTCGGAGTCCTAACCGGAGACCGGAAAACTAACTTCAACTAGCTGCCAGCCGTATGACCGCAACTGTCATGCCCCCCGATGTCCTCGAGAACCTTAAGCCCGACTGGGTTGTCCCTCTGGTCGCTTCCCTTGTGCACTCTTCTAACACCACTGAGACTGGTGGTATCTACGAAGTCGGCGGTGGTCACGTTGCCAAGCTCCGCTGGGAGCGAGCCAAGGGTGCTCTTCTCAAGACTGATGCTTCCCTGACTCCTGGTGCCCTCGCCCGCAAGTGGAACGATGTCAACGATTTCTCTAAGCCCGAATACCCCACTGGCCCTGCCGACTTCATGAGCTTCTTGGAGGACGGCCTTAAGATGCCCAGCGCCGCCGCTGGCGAGGAGCCCGACTTCAAGGGCCGTGTTGCCCTGGTCACTGGTGGTGGTGCCGGTCTCGGCCGCGCATACTGCTTGCAGTTCGCCAAGCTTGGTGCCTCCGTCGTTGTCAACGATCTCGTCGACCCCGAGCCTGTCGTCCAGGAGATCAAGGCTCTTGGCGGTAAGGCCGTTGGCAACAAGGCCAACTGCGAGGATGGCGACGCTGTTGTCAAGAGCGCCATCGATGCCTTTGGCCGCATTGATATCTTGGTCAACAACGCCGGTATTCTGCGCGACAAGGCTTTCACCAACATGGACGATAACCTGTGGAACTCCGTTGTCAACGTCCACCTCCGTGGTACCTACAAGGTGACCAAGGCCGCCTGGCCTTACTTCCTCAAGCAGAAGTACGGTCGTGTTGTCAACACTGCCAGCACCAGCGGTATCTACGGCAACTTCGGCCAAGCTAACTACGCTGCGGCCAAGCTCGGAATCCTCGGTCTCTCCCGCACTCTCGCTATGGAGGGTGCTAAGTACAACATCAAGGTCAACACCATTGCTCCTAATGCTGGTACCAACATGACCCGTACTATTATGCCCGAGGAGATGGTCCAGGCCTTCAAGCCTGACTACGTTGCTCCTCTTGTTGTCCTGCTCTGCTCTGATATGGCTCCTGAGCCCTCGACCAAGGGTCTGTTCGAGTGTGGTAGCGGTTGGTTCGGCCGTACCCGCTGGCAGCGCTCCGGCGGTCACGGATTCCCCGTGGACGTCAAGCTGACCCCCGAGGAGGTCCGCCGCAACTGGAAGCAGATCACCAACTTCGAGGATGGCCGTGCTGACCACCCCGAGGATGGCCAGGCTGGCGCCGAGAAGATCATGGCTAACATGTCCAACCGTGTTCACGGTGATGCGGGCGAGAGCGACATCCTCAAGAACATCGAGAAGGCCAAGGCTCTCTCCACCGAGGGTACTGCTTTCGACTACGAGGACCGCGATGTCATCCTCTACAACCTTAGCTTGGGTGCCAAGCGCACCGACTTGCCTCTGGTTTACGAGAACAACGACCACTTCCAGGCTCTTCCCTCCTACGGTGTTGTCCCCTGGTTCAACACTGCTACTCCCTGGAACATGGACGACATTGTCAAGAACTTCTCCCCTATGATGCTGTTGCACGGTGAGCAGTACATGGAGGTCCGCAAGTTCCCCATCCCCACCACCGCCAACACCTTGACCTACCCCAAGCTCATCGACGTTGTCGACAAGGGCAACGCCGCCCTCGTTGTGGCTGGCTACACCACCAAGGATGCTAAGACCGGCGAGGACCTGTTCTACAACGAGTCAACCGTCTTCATCCGCGGCAGTGGTGGCTTCGGCGGCTCCCCCAAGCCCACCGTTCCCCGCGCCAAGGCTGCCACCGCTGCCTACAAGGCTCCCCAGCGCCAGCCCGATGCCGTTATCGAGGAGAAGACCTCCGAGGACCAGGCTGCTCTCTACCGCCTGAACGGCGACCGCAACCCCCTCCACATCGACCCCGAGTTCAGCAAGGTCGGTGGCTTCAAGACCCCCATTCTCCACGGTCTGTGTTCTCTTGGTGTATCCGCCAAGCACGTCTTCTCCAAGTTCGGTGCCTACAAGAACCTCAAGGTTCGCTTCGCTGGTGTCGTCCTACCCGGTCAGACACTCAAGACGGAGATGTGGAAGGAGGGCAACACTGTCCTCTTCCAGGCCACCGTCGTTGAGACTGGCAAGCCCGCCATCACCGGCGCTGGTGCCGAGCTCCTGGAGGGCGCCAAGGCTAAGCTGTAGAGTACAAAATCTTTGGTTGAAGCGATATCCCCTGTTGGCATGCGAGCCGGATCTTTTGGAACAGATTGCTGCTTCTTGTTTGTATATACTACCTGGTTTTCTTTCTTGTTTTATTTCATAATGAGATCAATGAGATCTTTCTGAATTTCATTTCCCAGAACTAGAGCTTATAGTGTCGCCATGTTCATCCGTACAAGTGCTAACCATATTGTCCATTTCATGAAGGAATCTTGAGAGACGAAAATGCACCGGAAGTAACATACAGGCAAGTCTCCTTTCTCCCTATGTGTCAACGTTATAACTCTTGCACAGTCTTCCAAGTTTATCACCACAGCCAACATGAAACAATGCATTCCTGCATCTACTTCAACTTCCCCTGAACAAACTTAACAATTCCGTTTACCAATTCCCGAAAGAGGCAACTTGGAGGCTGTCAAGATCGTCAGTCACAACGGCCCCCACGACCAGACCCGCCACTATACTCGATCGGCCCCAAGTCCCTGGCGATCACCCCGATGTGGCATATGTGCTTATAACCTGACAAGACAAGAGACCCAATGATTGACTTGCAACAAGGTCCGATGGTAGTGCTTGTTCCAATGTACCTCGCCCTGGACTTTCCAGTGGGTCACCTGCACGGAGAGACTTCACTAGGGCTGACCGAAGGATTCCTTCAGCTGTATGAACCTTGGACCACATCCCCGATGTGACAAGAGATCATCTTTCATTTGCTTCAGGACTGGGACAACAATCTCTATAAGAGAAGGGTTATTCCATTCTCTGTCCCCCATCATACAAGCCATCCAATCCAAGCACGAAAGATGCTTCCCTCTTTAGCCCTAACGGCTATTGCCCTCCTTCCAGCCGTCCAAGCAGCACCCTCAAACCACCGGCCAATTCAACACCCCAGCGGCATCTACAGACGCTGCGGTCCAGTCTCCAAATACTACAACCAACAAACCTCTGATTGGGACACCTACAAGACAGGCGACTGGCTCAACACCTGGTGGAACAACAATGACGGTCTAATATCCAACAGTTCAGCCGGGTTCGCCGGCGCCTTTGGTCAATGGGCAATGGGCAACCCGGACTGGTCATGCCGCGACGATGGCTCGGACTCGGACTGTGATTTGCAGCTTTGTGATAACAGGGTCCTCAATGACCGCGGTGACGATATCCGCTCGACATACTATGTCTTGGAGTCTGTCAATCGTCTTCATAATTACTTTACTGGTATTGGAGAGGCATTTACTACTACTGCATTGGGGGCGGCGTTGTCGAAGGATTCTTGGGCTACGACTTTCTACAGGGACAAGGATGATAAGAGCGTTGGTGCCCTGAAGAACGTGTTGACTCTGGTCACTACCATTGTCGGTGTCGGTGCTTCATTTGCTGGGCTGGGTGGTGCTGCTGCTGACGCTATTGCTGGTGCTGGCAATGCCCTCACCAATGGTGCAGTTGGGGCAGCGAAGAATGCCATGCCTGATCAGTATGTCCAGCACTCCATTGTCGAGTTCCATCTTCCAACATGCTAACCTGAGCTAGCACGGATGACACGTTCCAAAAGTCGGCCGACCTAGGCGGCATCCTCGGCAGCATAGTTATCGACTCCCTGAAATCTTTCACAACAGCCAACAACCAACTCATGAGCGGCCAATCCTACAGCGACGCCGACGTCCGCAGCTACCTATCCGGCGGAGCCTTCCTCGCCTACCCAGGCGTGGACAAGAATGCCGTCACAGAAGCCATGACAAATATGCTAGTTGGCACCTCGATAAACCAGCTCTACCGCACACAGAAGATCTTCGTCATGGGCGGTGGTGCCTGTGGCGATAACCAGGGAATTGGCTCTGGTCCCCAGGAAGCAACTGTATGCCGTGATGACAAAGCTTGGTATCTGTATTACTGGCAGGAGAACGACGTTGTTTCGACGACTTCGCATCAATGGGGATGGGTTGCTTCGCCGCCTGGTGCGGATCAACTGGGTCAGAATGAGTATGGGGGGGTTAAAGTGGAAGTGAGTTGGATCCATATACTTCAACGATTCGCATGGGTTTGGGATGGCCTGCTAATACCAATACCATTACAGGATATCATCAACTCCTCTCTAGACGCCTACAACGTCGCCGGATACAACTATGACGCCGACACAGCCGCCAGCCGTGCCTCAGATGCCATCTCCGGGGCCTGGGCTAGTCCCGGTTCACAGGGTGCATCTTGGGAGGGTATCTTCACTGTTCCCGTGTGTGATGTTGGCGCTGCTGTCGACTCCGACTACCAGGATAAGGAATATATCTTGCAGCCGTATGGGCATAACAGTCGGCCTGTTTGGTGTGGGTCTATCTGCAGTGGTAATGCTCAGAAGACGAAGGACTTTATTAGTGCTGCCAATATGGGCGGGTTTAAGAGTCCTAAGCATTTGTGCAGCGAGGACCCAGGGTACTAAGTCCTCGTCTGAGTCTTTGGGCTTCTTTGGGATTGGTGATTGTTGGCTTGGTGTATTATCTTTTTCTTCCTGTCTTGCTTTGAAGTTGACTTTTACAATTACAATTACATCTACCTTTTCTACTCAAATGAAGAATTTGTCTGAAAATCATGCATTAAAGAGAGTAGCTCTGCACTGTATCGCAAGAGCAGAAAAAAGCGAAGAGAATGTCATCAATCATCAAGTCATCCAAAACTCCTAAGAAAAGCCAAGACGCCATCTCTTGCGAGAGTGAAAAAGCAACAGCGTCGAAGCGCAAATTCAAAACCAAAATGAGAAAGCAATCTCGAATCTTTTTTAACACAAAACAGAAAGAAAAAGTGAAAAAGAAACATCATACTTCATCGATCACGATGATGCATTCAACGACCCAATCCACAAAAGCTTGACCCTCGAGTTTCCACCTCCCATGAAACCAAACATCAAAAGCCCAATAATCCCAAGTCTTCCCGGACGGTCCAAACTGCATATCCCACATCGAAGTTGACGCACGACGGTTGGCAGGACCGTCAGTCCCAGCCGAAAGATCCTGATTGATATTCCGGAATCCAACAGCAGACGCCGTGGCATTATCAGTGCTGACACCCTGACGAATACGCCATTCGCGCTCGGCTTTCTCGCCTGCACGGCGGGCGACGGCTTCTTCGTCTTCCGCTTGGTAGAGATTACATTTCGTGCACTCAGTACAGCGGGAACCCGGGTTAATGCGGAAGTGTTCACAGAAGTGCTGGTAGCCTTCTGGTTCTTCGAACTCGTCATCGTCTGAGATGCTGCCGCCTTCATCGAAGGGGTTGGGATCATTGCCTGGTCCGTCGTAGCCGAGACCACGGGGAGGCTGGGCGTTTTCACGTCCACGGCCTGGTGTGGACTGTCGAACGGGTGGGCCTAATGCTTTCCGGCAGAGGTAGCACATGGAATACCCACAGACGCAGGTTAGTTTGTTGCAGCCTGAGGATTTGACGAAAGAAAGGCAGCAGCGGGGACAGGTGCGTTTTACGGCGGCTGTGCGGGCGGCCTCGACTGTGGCGCGTAGGTCTAGAAGGAGAGGTTCGTGGCAGACGTGTGGATCTCGCCATGGTTTTTGGCAGGTCATGCAGCTAATGCGCAGACATGAGGGGTTGACACAGATGAATCGTTTCGGACGCATTTTGAGACAGAGGTTACGTATAGAATTGCCGAAGAGTGTTGTTATAGCGGCTGGGTCCACAATGAGAAGAACGAGGACGGGTATCAAGAAGAGGGGGAGAAGATCAAGTAGAAGGAGGGTCATTAAAATCGTAGGGATGATGCCGCCATCACGGCGGATGCGCCAGCAGACACCGCGGGATGAAGGGTGGTAGAGAGGGTCGATTTCGGCATAGGAGCAGAATGGACATCGGATGAGCTTTAACTGAGATTTTAAAAGGGCCTCGGAAGAGAGCCGGTGCTCGAATTTGCGGTATGTTTCCAAGCCAGCTGTATCGAGAAGAATGGCCTGTTGGACAATCCGGGGATGAAGACATCCATCACAGGACCCAACTGACAGCGGCGCAAGACACTTCAAAGTAGAGCGCTCCATGTCCACAGATTTGCCCCAACCTTGTCCAAAGAGTGCTTCGTGGACAGTTCTTTGGATGCAGTGGTAGCAAATAATGTGAGTATTGGCCGAACACGTCGCGATCTGCTCGAATGTCACATCGGCAAAACAACACTCGCATTCATATAGAGCATCGGCAGCTTGAGCTTCTTTTTCATTCAGCTCAGAAGCAAATCTAAAGTCTTTGCCTTCCTGCTCTTCGCGGTTCTGTCGTATCAACGGGACAAGTAGCATCTCATGGAGCTCGCCATCCAGCTCACTGCAGCCTGTTTCCCTCAGACCCGGAACCATTTCTCCATCTGCTCGACGGTGCCAGAACATGAAAGGATGCTCCTCGCGATCTTTCTTTCGCCGGAACGGGAGGAGGTTGTTGATAGTTGCACGCCAGGTACGGCGCGATAGATCCCGCAGCGTCGGTCGTGCCCGGGCATAGCTGTAATTCGCTTCAGCCAGCACGGCGTCGACCACACTCCTGCTGAGACTGTTGAATTCCTTCGTCAAGGCGATCCGCACGGTAGCCTTGTATTCATCAGAGCGGAACCGCTCCTCGGGTGGGACAAGTCCACGCTGTTCGGCGTCATCCCGAGCGATTTCGTCGTCAGAGTAGCCACATGGACCTGCACGAGCATTTCCATCTGCATCGGCTTCACTGTTCTCCTCCGGGATGTTCCAGCGCCCAGAAACCCATTTTTTCTTATTCCTGAGTAGCTCCTCGATGCACACCTGTACCCGGCTCTGGCCATCAAAGTGCACCAGTAGCTCCCGGAATACCTCGACCTTCACATCGGGAAAGACGCGTACTAAAGTCTCCAGTGCCGCGTTGAGCTCCTCCTGCTCCCGCCTTTGTTCTTCAGTCTCACTGAGCGAGAGCTGGGCGGCGCCGCGGGACCGTGAACTGCCGAAGGGATTATTGCGTAGGGCTTCGAGGGTGATAGAGTGATTCGGAGAAGAGGAACTCTGGAGAGCGGGTTTCCAGCGGCTGGAGGAGCTGAAGGAGCTGGAGGATGAGGCTGAACTTCGGTGTCTGGACTGTGCGGGTGAGCCGTCAGCGGGGCGTGGGGGTGAGGCCGACGATCTATAGAAGCTGGGGACCGGCAGCGAGAGCACCATGTTTGCAGATGCAGACGTGTCTACATGGTTGGAGAAAATTTGTCTAGGTGGTGAGACCGGAGAACCTGGAAGCCTGGAGAATGAAGGATTGTTACATAAGACGCTCCGCCCGGGTGTTTTCGCTACTTTGGCCTCTCTCGATCTTGGTCTATTTGCGATTTTATACTTATTTTGACAAGGCTTTGATTTGACTCTGCTTTCAAATGATTTCAGCTCGTTGTACTTTTCAGGATTTGCCGACCGCTTCAGCTTGACCTAAAGTAGGAATGATTTGGCTACTCTGCCACCGGGCATGTCGTTGGATTGTACAATATATTTTTGTATTCTTGAGGAAATTCAGTAAAGCTTCAAGAAGATTTGGTAAATATACAGGGGTTTCCCCGAAAATTGGGCTGTCTCCCACTAAAGGTGGTGTATAGTTGGCAGACGCAGCAGAAGCTATCTCTTCTCTTCATCCAGTTCCCCTTCTATTCTCTTCTTCGCTTCCTCTTTCAGTTTCTCATCATCTGCCCTCTTCAAAGCAAGCTGCGGCATTAGCCAGACGGACAAGAGGAAGGCAAAAGCTGCAAGTGATGCACCAATGATGAAGATAATGCGAAAGCCTTTTTGATATGCTGGTGTCAGGACGTCACGCACATGCTGTGCATCCTCTGCAGACAGCTTCGAAAGATAGTTCTGTGGGCTGGATAGGAGGGACCGGGACTGACTGTCGTCGAGATCAAGGACCGAAATGGACGACGAGACAATGTTGTTGCTAAAATTGTTAGCAAAAACAAAGACGGGCGTGACAGGAACATACATGATAGTTCCAGCTATGGCAAGGCCAAGTGTACCACCAAGATTGCGTACAAAGCTGCTCTTGTTAGCAATGAAGTACTCGTATGGAAGATATACCTACTTCCTGAAAGAGGTGACTACAGCCATGTCTCGCCTTTCAACGCCAGCCTGAACGGCAATAAGAGCACTATAATGATCAGCCTGGACCTTTATACAAAACGAGTGAGACATACGGTTGCAGAGTATTTCCAACTCCAACACCTGTGAGTATACCATATCCAATCTGCTTTCCTAGTCCCGAGGTCTGATCAAGCGTCGAGAATAGCCCAAGTCCAGCGGCCCAGATCACCCATCCAAAGAGGATACATTCTCGGTAGCGGCCGACCCAGTGTACAACGAGACCAGAACAGGTACTGCTGACAGCTGCATACAGTGTTAGTAAGAAATAGAATGAGGGAGAGTTTCATACTCTGCATGAGTGTGATAGGTAGCAGCATTGCCGCAGCCTTCACCGTTGAATATCCAAACACCAACTGATAGAAGGTGGGAATATAGTAGACTTGAACCAAAAAGTTCCACCCGTTGATAAACATAGTCAAGCAGGCGCCATTTACAATCTTGCCCTTGAAAATATGCATTGGGACGAGCGGCGTTGACGTTCCCTTCCACTGCCACGCAACAAAAGCAACAGAGATAGCGAAACCAACAACTAATGTTGCAATAACGTGCGCTGAGTCCCACGAGTATTCACCACCACCCCAAGTCAAACCAAGCAGCAGGACTGAGGTTCCCCCTAGAGCTAAAAGCGCACCGAAGAAATCGATCGCCATCAGTTTGGCTTTCCAGTCACCAGTAACCTTGCGAAGAGGCATGAAAAACAAAACCGCCAGAGTGGTCAGAGCTGTCAAGGGCAGATTGAGACGGAAAATCCATCGCCAAGAGTCTTCCGATATCGAGGCTAGTGCACCGCCGATGACAGGGCCTATGCCGTTGGCAATAGCAACCACGGCACCTAGGATACCTTGATATTTGCCTCGTTCACGAAGCGGGACAACATCACTAACAATCATCTGTGCTACGGTCATAAGACCACCGCCGCCTACACCAGTGAAAGCACGGAAGACAATCAATTGGGTGGCAGTCTGAGCAAGGGAGGCTGCCAATGATCCGAAAAAGAAAATGGCCAGACCGACAAAGAGGACCAGCTTTCGAGACCAGATGTCAGAAAGTTTGCCATATAGTAACTGGAAACATGTTGATGTTCTGCAGAAGCGTTAGTATTGGCAAGCACCGACAACCGTGGGAAAGTATACACGAAATAACCGCCGGATATCCACGAAGTTTGATCACTGGCCCCTAATGCATTCCCAATGATGGATAAACTGGCCGCCAGAGTTGTCTGGTCCATCAAAGCCAGTAAATCGACCGTGGAACATGCCAGGAAGATCTAAGGGTGGCATTAGTTTGGCCATATTGCTTCTTGCCGGACACTAACCGTGATGATTGTGCGCTTAGGCACATAATTAGTTTGTTCGTTGAACTCAACTTGGGCTCCATTCTTTTCAACCGCGGCATCCGCCTGGGGTGTAGATTGCCCTGAGTTGTTTGCAAGTACCCCTGTCATTGCGGGTAGAATGTGAAGGGATGGTGAGGAACTCCCTTGAGGAACGCAGGACAGATAAAAGAGGGACGGAAGAAAGGGATCTAAACAAGTCAAATCAATCTAATCTCGCAATTCCCGAATCCGTTGAATCCGACCGATCGACACGGCCGAGCACCTTGACAGAAGATCTGCAGCAATTAGGGTTGGCAAACCTTCTCAAACACTCTCAAGGTACCCGCCCCTTTCTATACTCGCCTGAATATCGAATCGGGTATTTTCAATCAGCTAACAATTATTGATGCCAAGCAAAGTACATGCGAGAATGAAATCTCTTCACCCTGAGGACCTTGCCAAATGCCGATCTATACATGCCGGGGACGAATAATCACAGATTCTAGAACATTGCCGAGAAAGACCTCTCAAATACCGAAGAAAATACGACGCAGCTCTGTTGATCATTCCGTTTTCAATGTTATATTCAGTCCCCGTGAAGAGAGGAGAGCCAGGGCCCGATCTACAATTGGGCGCAATGACATCCCGGAGCCTGCTCCACGCGGTTTCCTTGTTCCTGGTCTGAAATTTCCGGCGCATGCAGCTTCCACAATCTGACTGGCTCCGAAGTTCAGGCCCCTCATCTCTGAGTCGTGTGGCAGGACATTCACGGGCTGTGGAGCGATTAATCTCTGTCTACCTCTCGGACGCCAAGAAAGACGCAACAGGAAGAGGGGCAAATGATAGCCATTGTAGAAGTATAACTTCTCGGAGGGGCCCGTAGTATTGTCTCTATATTCGTTCATATCACGAAAGTTGGAAGTTGGAACTACTTGGTCACTTCTTCGCCAATATGACCAACATCAATGAGTGCAATAGTTATTTTGGTCCTGACTCGTTGAAAAAGTACTTCGACCCTGACTCGCAGCCCCCCTTACCTCTTGTGGAGCTACCGCCTCATTTAAACCCCTACTATGAAGATGGAGTACGGATATATGCCAAGATGATGACCTTGCATCCAGCAAACAATGTCAAAGCTATGCCAGGTAAGAAAATTCATGGCTGTTCATCCAAATATTTACTGACGCGCGACTAGCGATGAATATGCTTGAAAACAGTGTGGTACCTGGGGAGACAGAGAGAATTCTAGAGTATAGCTCCGGCTCAACAGTCATTTCAATGTCGATGGTTGCCCGTGTCATGCACGGAGTGTACGATACCCGGGCGTTCCTGAGCAACAAGACAAGCGATGCAAAATTGAAGCTGATGCAGTTCTTCGGCCTGGATATTACATTGTTTGGTGGCCCATCTCAGCCAGAGCCACTTGACGAGAGAGGCGGCATTCAAAGTGCCCGAAGACAGGCTATGGAGTCTGACAAGATTGTCAACCCAAACCAGTATGAGAACAGCAACAACTGGCAGTCTCATATCCGGTGGACTGGTCCTCAGATCTTTAAGCAGCTGCCTGAGATTAACGTTCTTTGTGCTGGCATGGGAACTTCAGGTACTATGACAGGCCTGGGGACTTATTTCAAAGGAGTCAAACCATCTGTCCACAGACTTGGAGTCTGTACAGCCCCTGGTGACCGGGTACCTGGTCCTCGGTCATACGCCCTGATGCGCCCTGTCGAGTTTCCTTGGAAAGAGGCAGTGGATACCATTGAAGAAGTTGGGTCCTTGGAGTCGTATACTCTGTCCCTGAACCTCTGTCGAGAGGGACTGGTCTGTGGCCCATCATCTGGTTTCAATCTTCAAGGACTGTTCCAGACCCTGGAAAAGCGCAAAGCCAAGGGAACCCTATCTGAGCTTTCAGGCCCCGATGGCAAAACCCACTGCGTCTTCCTCTGCTGTGACCTGCCATATCAGTATATTGGTGAGTACTTCCAAAAGCTAGGCGATGAACAATTCCCCCCAATCCGAAATGAGGTAAGTGCCAAATCCATGACGTGTTGACGTTTTTGTGCCCACGGAGGGCTGATTCAATATACAGCGCCTGACAAAGGTCGATCTACACCGTTACGATGAGAGCTGGGAGCGTGACGCACTGGAAGTCCTACCGCAGTTCTATGGATCACCACGAACACTCGCCCAATGTCAGTTGAGCGAGATAGCACTAAAGACCCAGAATCGCGTTCTGGACCTGCGAAAGCCCCTTGACTTCTACGCGTGGAACCTCCCCGGTTCGATGAACCTTCAATTGTCCAGCGTCGGGCCTCACACCCCATCACCGTTTTCAGACCCGGGGTTGCTGGAGGCGCAATGGGTGGAACTGGAGAAGATCTTCACAGATGACGCCTTGGTTTCAGATCTGAGAAGGCATCACGTTCTCGTGGTCTGTTACGATGGGGACACGGCACGCGTGGCTACCAGCGTGCTTCGGGCCAAGGGCATCGAAGCGGATAGCGTGCGTGGAGGTCACCGTGCGCTGAAGATGTACGGCATCGGGAGCGAGAGTCCGATCCCTGCCAAGGTGCCGCTTGGGGCTACTATTTCCGTCGCGCCGGTGTCCCTTGAGTAGAAAACGCAATCGGAATGTAGGGTTGGATCTGCCATGTGAGGCGCTAGTCCCGATCCGGTCGTGGATTGCTTCCCCTGCTTTTCTTTTTCTTTTCTTTTCTTCTTTTTGTCATTTGCCATGTTTCTATTGCTTCATTGACTGGATTTTTTGTTTGGCGCATACTACCCTATGACTCTTCCAATTTGAGTGTTTTTGTTTGACCCTCTCCCCTCACTACGTCAGAGAGCCTGGTGGCTCAGGCCCGGGGTGTCCGGATGCAACTCGTATATGCGCTGAATAGCTCGAGTTCGAGCAGAAAAAAAAGATCTTGCCGGTTCAAATCAAGAAGTAATATGCGAAAGATGAGCATAGAGACACGAATCCGCCTATGAATCAAGTACGGTGGAATTCGTGTGCGGGGGGACTGCATTGCTTCGCAAATGTGCTCTACCTCCTTATATAGTGGGACCAATAGCAAAGTGATGATTGCAGCCCCGTTTCTCCAGGAAATGTGCTCAATTGTGAGCAGATCTCCCGGGGTGATCGGCGGGGCCCGGGAATGTCCAAACATGAACCCTTGAGTCCTTGATACACAATTCCCGTTTTCGGTTCCGTAACCATCCACCGAGATGGCCGTTAAGCTAATAACGTCCCCTTTTCATGTTGAGATTTGACTTGATCTCCTTCATGGTTGTCAATTTCCCTCGATCGCAAGATGATGGATATGAAGATGCCAGGGGCCCCCTGGCTGGATCAGCCGGTGACGCTGCACTCATCTCGTGCCGACAAATGCAAGCTGACCGATGCTCAATGCCGCTATCGCAATTATAGTTGGCGCTACTGGTATGCGCCTTTGCCACTGGGGAGTACTGTATACACATATGCTTATTGAAGATCTTTAGGTATGAAGCCGATCATGTCTATGCGCTAAACACGGTGTACTTTATGTGTGCCGTGATTGGTGTGTTTATGGTTTCCAATCTGCTTGTCAGATTTGCGCCTGATTGCGTAAAACGGACAAGACCATGGCGTATGTTCACTTCGGTGTCGCGATACCTTTCTTATCGCGGATTTCGAGCCCGCGCGTTGCGGTATTGGTCGCCAGCACTGGGGGTGGTGATTTTGGGTGCTCTAGGCGCTATCTTCTTCTTCGGTGGGTCTATACTGAATCAGGGAATGCAAAAGGAAGCCCACTGATGATCATAGCCATGACACTCGGCCCGAAACCCTATTACTGGCCGACAGACGCTTCTTATGGAGGAAGTCCACCCCTTGCGACTCGAGCTGGCTGGATGGCCTTAGGGCTATTACCCTTTGTGCTGTGAGTTATACCTGTAAGCTGCTTTTGATTTATTCACTAACTTTGTTTCAGTGCTCTGAGCACAAAAGCCAATATGATCTCAGCGTTGACTGGTATTCCGCATGAAAAACTCCAAGTTTTCCACCATTGGACTAGTTATGCGATGTTCGCTTTGGCCTTGGTTCACACTTTCCCTTTCATAATCTATGATATTGGACAAGGGGACATGGTGAAGAATTGGAAGACAAGTGTGGCGTACTGGACAGGAGTTGTTGCTCTTATCTCGCAGGCATATCTAACCCTCATGTCACTGCCTTTTATTCGGTAAGATTGATTTTAACACGCCGAGCAAGAAATAAACCTAACAAGTCATAGGAATCGATTCTATGAGTTCTTCAAGGCTACTCACATCTTCATGGCCGCGGTCTTTGTCGTGTTCTTCTTCATCCACTGCGATTTCCGACTTTCTTCCTGGTATGCCAATTGGGATATTCCTTGACGGAAGTCAACTAACCTATTACAGGGACTACTTTATTGCTTCCGGTACAATATATATGGCCAATCTGATCGCATCACATGCCCGTACTTATCTGAAGCACGGCCTCAATAACGCCAGTCTCGGGCTCTTACCATGTGGTCTCGTCAAAGTGTCCGTTCCATCAACTATGAAATGGACGCCCGGCCAGCATGTATTTGTGCGATTCCTAACTTCAGATTTGCACTTACTCACTGCTCATCCATTCACCATCTCTTCCACATGCCGCACGCCCAACGAATCCGGCAAATCCTCAGAACTTGTCTTCTACATCAAGCCCCGAGGCGGAGTTACAGGACGCCTGAGAGCGATGGCAGCAAAGAGCCCAGGTTGTACCAAGAAGATCCTCATAGAAGGCCCATATGGTGGTGTCAGTGAGCCTCATATGGCTCAATTCGACACTATCCTAGTCATCGCCGGTGGCTCGGGAGGCGGGTTCTCCCTGGCCATGGTAGACGAAGCACTTCGTCTCACTGGAATGGCACTGTCAGTGAGCGAAAAAGACAGAACTCACCGCCGAAATCTCCAAGTCGTTTTCTCCACTCGTGATCACGCCATGGCGGACTGGTATATCGAAGAAATCGAGTCCCGGATTTCGCAATCAACAATGCTATCAACAGACCCAGAGAACGGGTTCGAAACCTCAGTATCTGTCCACGTGACAGATCAACGTCACTCTGGCTTCTCTTCATCTTCGGAATCTGACGATGTTACGGGTACAGGTGGGAAGATGCCTCCAACCGAGGTGACGACTACCGGAAGTTTCAGTTTGAACGTCCACCGCAATGCACGGCCCGACCTGCCTGGGATGATTGCGCGCACTGTGGCTATGGCTCATGTTCAAGGGGCGCATTTGCAGAAGAAACAGCGTGTCGGAGTCCTGGTGTGTGGTCCTGCGTCTATGCTGCATGATACCCGAAACGCAGCCGCAGTAGCGCAGGGCCGTGTGTTTGGTGGCGAAGTTGAGGAGTTGTATTTGCACTCTGAACCATTTGTGTAAGTTTCCATTGATTTTGCTTTTAGGAATTTTTACTGACTGGGATTGATAGGTGGTAAATGAGACCCTCTCGGGTGCAACTATTTATCTGCTGGACTACTGACACAACTTACCTACTCATTTTATATTTATCTTTCACTTTGTGCACATTATATTGGCCGGTCCACCGCATTACTTTCTGCTGAACAATGTGCACTTATTTTCAATTGTATATCAGACATTTTCATATGAGCTACTCTCATGAGTAAGATCCTGGGCCAGACTCTGTTACACTAGTCCAACCTGGTCGACAGCTTGTTGCCCTCAAGTTACAAGACTAAATTTGTAACTCAAATTTCATACAGCATGGGCCATAAGCTGTCTAAACAAGCCGAATAATCTGACCGGGCAAGAAAAGTGTGCTGCCAAACAAAGAAAGATATAGTCAAGGTAACTAAATACTCCGCTCTATTCCACTACACAATAGGTCAGTAGCAGCCTATCGCAAACTTGGTATTTGGTTTGGATAGTCAATTCTGATGATTGGAGCAATAAGGATGGGATCTCACTAGTGGCGGACCCGATTGAGCCGCCCGGATAAGACGAGATAAGCTATTCTGGGGTAACCGGTTTATATAGTTCGAATATCTCCATTTTGCTGAGGATCCAGAACTACACCGGGTAGATTACCTCTTCTTTCCGTTCAGCATATTTCATTGACAAAATCTCACAAATGGCTTTTGGTGTTCTGGAACCAGCAACAGGGGTTCAGCCTTCTTCCACCTACAAGGTCGAAAGCGTCGACCATGCTGAAATTAAGATCCAAGTTCGAGTTCCTCGCCCATCATCCTCGCATCTCGACCCTCTTAATTGGTCTCGGCTAAAGAAAGAACTCTTATTTGCTACCATCATCCTTGGCTCCTGTTTTACGGGGTCATTGGGACCTGTCCTCGTTCCTGGATTCGCTGTTGTTGCCAAAGACTTGGATGTTAATCTGACCAATGTGACGCTGCTGAATGGGTCGTTGGTCATGGCCTTGGGTGTGAGCTCTTACTTCTCTGCCTCATTTTCCATGGTTTTCGGAAAGCGGGCAGTCTACCTGTTCACCACCGTGCTTCTGTTGGTCTCATGTTGCTGGGCTGCGGCTTCCAAATCATACGTCTCGCTGTTAGCGTCCCGTGTATTTCAAGGTAAACTGACCTATGCCTCTTTAGGGCTTTCTTCAAAGCACTAATTCGAGGCAATTGGCTTACCGTTTTCTATATACGCAGGATTGGGCATGGGCAGCTTTTTGGCTCTTGCAGGCACAGCATCGATGAATGATGTGTTCTTTGTCCAGGAACGGGGACTTCGAGTTGGCCTATGGAATCTCGGATTCATCGCCTCTGTGAACCTCACTCCGGTCATCAGTGGATACGTGATTTCCAACATGTCGTGGCGTTGGAGTTTTTGGTTTGAGGCAATCATGTACGGCATCCTTCTTGTCGCTGTCTTGATCTGTTTCCCAGAAACATCTTTCATTCGCCACAGCTGTGATGTATCAGTAACAGAGACCATTTTCAAGGAAGGGGAAGGGAAAGAGCGCATAGTGGCCATCAACCCTAATGCTCCCGAGCGATCACGACTCTGGGCTTACTGGGGCATCGGATTGGACTCTGTCATGTTTCCCGATCGACCTAATCTTATTATAGCCTGCATCAAGCCATGGTATATTCTCATTCATCCGATAGTGGCTTGGGAATGTGTGATGTGGGCAGTGGTCTTCACGTGGACTATTCTTGTCGGAGCCGTGGCTTCTCAAATTTTCACAGCAGCCCCATTTAATATGAGCACTGTCGCCGTGGGTAATCTTGCAGGCATCGCTCCCTTCCTTGGATCGGCGATTGGCACGTCTGTAGGTGGGTTGCTCTGTGACTTCTGTGGCAGAAGCCTGGCTAGACGCAATTCGGGTACATATGAACCTGAATTCCGCCTATGGGTTATGCCCCTAGCCACTGTGACCATGGCCATAGGCACGTTTGGATTGGGTGCTGCAATTGAGCAGGGGCTTTCACCAGTTGTGTGCGGGGTGTTTCTGGCAATTTTGAACTTCGCTGTGGGTATGGGCTGTACTGGGATTGTAGCGTACACCAACGATGTCGCCGCAGAGAGAGCAGGAGATGCTTTTGGGCTTGCAATGGTAAACCACAACATCTACGTCCCTTCGGGACAATATCCCATGGATCTAACATGCTTGCAGGTCATCAAAAGCGCCTTTGCGTTCGGTCTGTCTTTTGTCTTCAATCAATATCTTGCTCAGGTGGGGCCGTTAAAATTCTTTTCTACTTTTGGAGGTGTTACTGTGGCCGTCATGTTGACACACATACCAATTTATGTCTTTGGAAAACGGATTCGTGCTTGGTCAGAACATCATAATCTGTTCCATCGAACAGGCAATGCTAAGCATGGCAATGTCTTTTGGTAGAGCTGTGCCGGATTGAATTGGAAGTATACCTCACTTAATAACATGAATCATTTGCCAGCCGACTTGCGCTCATATACCGTTTCACATCTGAAGATAGACTTACATTTCAACAGTCTCATCTACCTTCGAAGGCGTCTCAAAGAGGCTATGAAATGGTCGGGATAATCACAATTAGCGTAGAAACCTAGAAGCGAATAAGAGGAACACAACCACTACATTAGGCCACGCGAATCCATGAACTTCAAAATGGCGTACAGTTTCCGACACGAAGTGAGCGTAATGATCTAAAACTCATGTCATCCCGTGGGTTCTTACAAAGGAATATTAGTCCTGTGGGAAAGTTGAAGTAAAATACGAGAGCCCTTATACGCATTAATTCCAGTCCACCCTATTGAGTATGAAATTCTGCTTCTACCCGATTCCCACTATCTTCGATTCCGAAAATTGCAGGTTTGACAAGGTCTGAATCCGAATCCTTTGTTTGCAAGCCTGACTGTGATTGGCAAATCACGTTTCCTTGGACATTGGCATGCTTCTGGATACCACCCTCGATGCCTAGCCACAGTAGATCGGGGCGACTATAGTGACCACAAACATCAAGAAACGACCGGGACTTGCAGATATCATTCAGGTCCAGGTCCGCGTAAACAATGCCCTCTTCAGTCTCAGGGAGAGGGGTGGAGACCTTACGGCCATCAGGGCCGTAAACTGCCGAGAATCCACCACCTGGTCTGTTCATGATTGCTCCAGTCTTGGTATTCATACGATCAATACCTGACTGGCTTAACACGGCTGTTGTGTGAAGAACGAAAGACTGTGACTCAATTGCATATGTTCGGGCGAGGGCGTCAGTGCCTGTTCTCACCGAGAAATGCAGATTGCATTAGCCTCTTCCTCATCTTTACAAAGCAAAGTGGGTCTCATGGGCACTGTACCTTGAGAGGACATGGAATAGAGACCACCACCTCCGTCGTGATTGAATAATGGCGGCCAAGCTGCAATATGGATCTGCTCGCGTTGCAAGTACGTGTTGTACTTGAGAAGCGGCTGAACATGTTCCCAGCATGATAAGGCACCGACACGGCCGACAGGTGTTTCCACCACGCTGTGCAGGCAGTCGCCTAGGGAATCACCGAAAATAGTGCGTTCCATATGTGTTGCCTTCATTTTCTTTCGGAGGTTGAGGATTTTCCCGTTGCTACCAATAGTGGCCTGTGCGATGTACAGGGAATGATGAATGTTTTCGGAAAAGCTGATGCAGACTGTGATTCTGTTCGTCTCTGCGCACTCTATTATCCTGGCCATTTGGGGCGATTCAACCTTGAGGGAGTTCTGCATGTACAAGGTCGTCAAGTACTGATCTATCGGCCGTGTCCTGTAAATTCCCACAGATTGTGTTAGCGCGGGAATTGAGATATCCGGTGGAGCCTTTTGATTCTCATGGAGAACAAGGTCATACCAAATCCAAGCGGGATATCCAGGTATCCAGCACTCAGGAAAAGCCACTAGCTGTGCCCCGTTCGCAGCAGCTTCTGCAATAAGAGTACAGGTTTTGTCGACCGTTGCGTCCAGGTCGAGCCAGACGGGTTCAGCCTGGGTGACAGCAACACGAACTTGTGAACTGGAAGAGACAGACATTCCGAGGGCCTGCGGCTTTGGCTGCTGATATGTTCTCGGAGAAAAGGTTCAGTTACAACGTGTATTTACTGCGGATTAAGTACACCCCATTGTTTTCGGCGTTATCACGGCGGCAGCGCGTTCTCCGCTACACCCTGGGTATGCTTGCCGGAATAAAATTTCGTTGATGTTATATCATCAGGTAAGGGTAATTATATATTTAAATATTGAATGATGTTCGATAAAGAGAGAAGTGCACTATTGCAATCTTTCCCAAGTGCTAGTACATGTCTCCTGATTGGCCGAGCCAAGAAATGACCGGCGGAACGTCCAGAGCCGCCGCGATAAGCCAAGAAAAGCAGATTCCTTTGTCTGACTCGCCCTCACGATCAAGTTCTTGACATGATTTTCCCAGAGTTCTCGGACATCTGCGCTCCTGTTACTCACACTTTCGAACTAAACTTGATCGGGCGCTATTACCGCATCTAACCCGATCCAACCGCTCTAGTTCATGTAGAATGGAGGCAGTAGACTCATCCAGGGTTCGTGTTGCTTGTGAGATGTGCCGCAAGCGTAAACGCAAGGTAAGAACTGCCAAAAAAATATCATATACAGCTTCCTGACTGGCCCACATGTGACAGTGCGATGGAGTACAGCCCATATGCCATGGGTGTCGGAGTCGAGATGTTGAGTGCCGTTACAGTTTGAGTAAAGCACCGAGGTGCAAACAACCATCATTCGATTGTTTCTTGCAGTGCTAACTGATGAGCAGGCAAAAACGTGATCCTGGGTACGTAATCGGACTAGAAGATCAAATTGAGCTGCTTAAAGATGAGTTGAACCGCCTCAAGAATTTGGGGCCGGAATTTAAAGATATTCCTCAGTTACAACATGGAAACCTGAGCCAGAATTGCATCACAGGACAAGACGAAGCTTCTGCGGCTTGTGGAAAGATATCAAGAAAGTCTACACCCATCCAGGACATCAGCTCCATGATATGGCGCATGAGCATCGAAGACTCGGGGGAACCGGCTTTTATCGGCCCATCTGGGAACGCTTGCTTCCCTACTGCGCAAAGAACACTCCCTGAGGATAAACTAGACCCCCAAAAATTGACCATGAAGAGCCCTGTTGTGCCAACAGACCCAAGCAACCCTGAAACGCTGATCACGAATCGTCTTCTCGACCTGTTTGTTGAACTGATCAATCCTTTCCATTACTTCGTGTGCCAGAACGCACTCGGTCAACTACGAGCAGAGGATATAAAGCCAGACTTGAGCTTAGTAAAGCACGCAGCCATGGCTGCCGCATCAATCTTGGACGATGATGAAGACAGCCGTGCTTTTGGAAACGATGCCGCTTCTGCAGTTGAGTCTGTTCTACTGCCAGCTTGCCGACAGTACCCTAGTATACCACTAGTTCAGGCCTTGGCCATCATGTGCTGGCGCGAACTTGGTCTAGAAAACTATAACATGGCCTGGATGTATAACTGTGCGTTTTTTTGGTTCCCTCTATCAACTCAAGAGTTAATGGATCATATTTCCTAGCCATGTGCGCCAGCATGACACTGCATCTTGGGCTTCCAGTTAGCTCGCTACATGCTCTCGAGAGACCTACGAATGGAGATGACCGTGCAGGCATAGCTGCTGCTTGGTCTGCGCTGTTAATTGATAGGTTAGCTACGCGCCCATAGACTAGCGCCTTCCCGTCAAAGCTGACTCGGGGGAACAGAATTGCGACCTCACTGCTTGGACGAAATTGCATGTTACCATGGACGAGGGTCCGAGCACCTTCATTTATCAATACAATTTCCGTACCAAGTATATGTGATCTGATTTTTGATTCACATTGTCGGCTATGGTTTCTTCATGATCAGTGGATGGACAAGATGTAAGTACTGTTTTTCCGAAACCGTTGCTTCGCAACTTAATGTGACTACAGCTACTCGTTCGACTTTGATGGCTTGAATAGCCCAGAACAACATCGACTTCTCCTGAGTGCTCGCGAGCAACTTCTTTCATTCTACCGAAATTTAGACGCGCGTGTTCACCTGAGCTCAACCAATTCGTCGCCCCCAGTCATTATTCTTCATATGACATACAATATGTCCCAAATCCTGATACATCGGCCCTTTCTCAAGCACCCCGCCGAGAGTAGTCCATTTCGTCTCTCCATGCGAGCGATGTCTATTGCCTCCGTTTCTCTGGTCAAACTGATTCGGGAGTATGAAAGGGTTGCACAATTAGACAAAGCACCACCGTACGTGGCACATAGTATTATGACGGCCGCCGTCACTACCCTTCTTAATGCGACATCGACGCAACCGACTTTAAAGGGTCAATCCATCAGACATTTCCGTGTATGTTTCAATGCTCTCATGTCAATGCAGAACAGATGGATTAAAGCAAGAAGATTTGTTCTCTCTCTCCAAGGACTGGCGCAAAGATGGGGTATAATGCAAGCTCTCCCTTTGCATGGATTTCCAGCAAGTTCTTTTATGCCCACTGGGCAAACTATGGAAATGCTTGACGGGACAAGGTCTGGAACAAAGTTGCAAGACGAGCCTCTGGAGGATTTTGAGATCGAAAATGTGTTGGAAGGTATATCATGGTCTGATTTCAGCTCGATGGACTTTTTTGCTTCCTATCAGGCCGAAATTACGGACCTGCATATGCCCTTCGAATGCCAGCTTTAGTGGTTGAGTCTACGAGCCGAGCTTACAAGCAAAACACGACCTCTGAATCCATTATTTTCATATAAAAGGATTTCAAGCTAGACAAGTGACATGCTTGGCTTTTTTTCATGCCATACATCAAGACTATTTTGCTTTGGTCACCCACACTTTCGAGATTATGTGGCACAGAACTGGTGATAGCGACAGAAATATTAATGTCTAGCAAAAGTAATAGTGCACGACAGCGAGAGACAAAATCAAAGCTCACTAGAGAACTGAGGAAACAAGAAACTTTTTGCCGCAGAACTAAATGATTTGAACCCCGTTTCATATTTCTACTGAGACCCCTGTTAAATCACATACCAAGATTTGGCAGACTATCTCCCTATTTGACTTATGCTTTTACATGTGCAATGACGCTGAGTCTTTGAGACCAGCTCTGTGATGGCATAAATTCCAACGATCTACTTCAAAACTTGATATTTGACAGAGCCCTTGCAACTTGATTTCAATGATTTAATGGAACATGAATTCGGTCTTACATGCCAAATTGCCATAGAAATTGAGGCGATAGCAAATGTTTCAATATAAACCCAGATACTGCACAGAGTTGACAGCTTCCAGGCAGCCTCATAAGCAATAATGTCCTCCAGCCCCCTATAGAACATACTGGTACCCGGGTGTCTCCCAATCAGTCCGATCTTCATTATGCAGCACGTCCAGCGGCATATCCAATCCCACCTCATTTGCTCGTTTCTTATTCTGCCACTGTAAATACAGCCGCAGACACAAGATCCAGAAAAAGCCCAGCCCAAATCCAACCAGACTAGCCGTGATACCCCTTCTATACCGCGGCGCTTCATCCACACTGAAAAAAAAACGATATTTCCCACGCAATATATAACCAAAACACACGCGTTAACCACGGCCCGCTTGGTTGCTGTCCTCTAGAGCATACATAAGCACCATTCCCACCAAGCTGATCAGCGCAAGGGCCATCATAGTCAGCGCGCGGATATCTGGGATATAAGAGCACAGCACGGCGCTTGTTATAACGAAGCATAGCTGGGCGGCACCGGTGGGCATTTGGATCAGGAGGGCCTGGAGACCTTCGTATCCGAACCCTTGCACAACCAGCGACCCGAAGGTTGTTAGGCCACCATTGGCGATGTTCACGCAGAAGCTGTAGAGGCTTAGACACCAAGTGAGCGGGTCTCGTAGGGTTTCGACTACCTGCGACATCTTGTAGGAAGCTTTCGCACCGGGCTGGCCGTCAGTCATGATATTGTGGATTGCAGTCGATCTTTCGCCGGAGGTTAGCCAAAATGTTGTGGATGGTGTGTCTAGCAGGAAGAAAAGCATGACGATGCCCCAGATAGCAGTGATGGCACCGAAAATTAGGAACAGATATTGCCATGCAGCTACGCTGCCGGCGATATGTCCGACGCCGTATGAAAGCAGTCCTCCAAATAAGGTGGCCATGGAGCCACCCGCAAACCATATCCCATATCGGAGCGGCTGCTGGCGTCGGGTGTAAAACATACCCGTTATCAGGGAGAATCCCGGGGCGATAGATGCTTCGAAGGCACCGAGGAAGAATCGGGTGATCATAAGACCTGTGAAGTTGTGGCACGCTGCGTGGCACATGAGAATAGCGGCCCAGACAATTCTATCAGATGTGGTAAGTTTAGGTTCTCTACCGGTAGTCAAAGAAGTCCGGAAAAGAGGCAATACTAACACCGTAATACCTAGATATTTTCCAATCAGCAAACGCACAGACAAGTACATGGTCGGGTACGACCAGAATATGAATCCAAAGTAGAAGATTGACCCTGTCTATGAGAATTGCTTGCCTTCTAGGTGTGTGTCTTTGATCATTCTTAGTAGACTCGCATAGCTCAGCGTCGGCTTGTCCAGGAACTGGAGAAAGTAGCAGAATCCAAGAATTGGGAGAAGAATGTAATCACTTTTTCTCCGTACTCGGCGGGACTCTCCAGGGGAGACATCGGTGATGCTCCCTATGGAAGTCGCTTGCTTCAGGTCCTCTGAGGGACCTGATTTGGTATCGAGGTCGATGGATGTCACTGTAAGTAGATGGACGGATGTTGTGGTAAATGATTCGATGAGATGATAAGTACCAAAAGTAGAGAAATCGTTATATTTAATTATTTCTGATTGTCTCTTCAACTTCTCGATGTCTATAGATTGAAAATGATAGCAAATCCGGGGAAGCTCCAGAGGTGGGTCCAGCGCAATTATCGCTGATTGGTCGCATGTCCGGGCCGGTTCCATGGCCGGCGCTGTAATAGGCGAAGGTAAAGTTGATAACATCCTAACGAATCCTGTCCCCCCTCGCTTCAGTAAAGGCATTGAGTACACTGCCGTAGAGCTCCTCGTTTACGAGTATCCTCCAGCCCGTTATCGCCATGGCTTTTCCAGTAATGATCATTCTCTCATGAGCAACGCTCGTGCCAGCTGCCGCAGTGAATTGCCGCGTATGATTCTTAGTCCCATTGTCTACTGGGATTCCAATAAGACCATGCAGAGACGGGATTAGCTGGGACACGTTCCCTTGGTCAGTGGACCCCGACATGAGAACCCCATCCTTGGCCGATATGCGTTCCCCTTGCTCGGCCATCGATTCCTGAAAGCTTTCACACAAAGGCGGGTTCACAACCAAATCGGCGAATATCTGATTCTCCTCAAACCCCACCATACACCCGGTGGCAAGGGTACCTGATTCGAGATATTTTCGTACGCGTTCACCCAGCGCTCGTGTCCCAGCCATGGTTGGGCTGTGGATCGAGTATTTAGTGCGAGTGATCTCGGGAATTGCATTGGTGACGTTGGGTGCCTCAAGAATTGCCCCGTGAACTCGTTCGTCCGGCTTGATCTGCTGACATAGCATGAAGATGGTATTGTAGCCAGTGACTAGAGCGTCAAGGGCATTGACTCCTTCCCACGGACTGGCAGACGCATGAGCGCTGACGCCGTGGTATACTGCTGTGATATCATAGCACGCAATTGAGGAGCGACCGGCGATACCAAGAACGTCTGTACTGAATTCTTCCCCTGCAATGGGGTGGCTGAGCTTGTTAGCCCAATATCCAGTTGGAGTCAAAAAGATAGAAATTCCATACATCATCAAAGATACATCCGCCATATGATATGCCCCGGCGTTTATCAGATCGAGTTTCCCACCGCCATCCTCTTCGGCTGGAGTTCCCAAGAGCTGCGCATGGCCGGAAATACCAAATTCGCGAATGGCAAATACCAGAGCTAGAAATTCAGTGATGCTGGAAATTGCGATGAGGTTGTGACCGCATGCGTGCCCAATCCCGGGGAGTGCGTCATACTCGGCGTTGAAGTTCACGCAGCGACCACTTCCATTTCCATTGCCAACTTTGGCCTCGAATGCGGTGCTGAGGCCATATGCGTGGCGTGTAAATTGGATACTTTGAGATTGGAGGAAGTCGCAAATGGCGTCGTGCGCAATGTGTTCTTCGTACGCCAATTCTGGATTCTCGTGACTCTATGACTTGGTGAGAAAAGAGCTTTTGATAGATAGCCAGGAAATTACCTTCTGATTTAGCATGCGTAAGCCATCTGCTAGACTGTCGATGTATTTGTCGATGGCTGTTTGGACGTCATCCTTGGATAGTATAGTCATGGTCGATTCTTAGGTTGGAATTGAATGATTTTGATAGACTGAACACAAAGGATGTCTAAGAGCGATGAGCTCTCTACTGCAGGAAGCAGACTAAATAGGTTCTGGCAAATAGCAAGCAAACGGCCGGCAAATAGAGGGGCCTGAACTCTCTGACATGCATGTCTAACAAATTCACTACACATGGCAGCTAGTGCTATCTTATGCAACATCAATGAAAACCAAGGCGGGCCATAAGCTACTTCACGGTACTAAGAAGTATTGGAAGAGTTCTGACAAAGCTCTTGAAGAAGTAAGGGTGCCAGTTCATGCATCATCGGTTTCCGTGGTTAGCTTTTCTTCTTTTGCCTCTTTCTACACCTCTTTTTTGTCTCATTTCTAAATGCCTCAGGCGAGCCATGAAGATCATGTAACTGTGGAAGGTGGGAGAGGGCTTTTGGCTAGCGTTGTACGTCGGCGCAAAAGTGTTTGATTGGCCTAGCCCCACCCTCCACCGGAGTATGAAGTATAAAGGCGAGGATAAACGTCCCTAAGAGTCGAATATCAAGCTTCTACAGTTCCCTTTGTTCACTTTTTACAGGAATCTATCTTTTGCACATCTCTTTTTACCCCTTTACCTCAAGTCGTCTTTGAAGACTGAGCAAGATGACCAATCTGACCTGGCAAGACAAGTGTGCTGCCAAACAGGCCGAAGCAGCCGCCAAAATCCCCATTGATTGGCGACTTTCAGCAGAAATCCTCCAACAGGTGGATAAAAACGAGCTGGACATCCTCGATGTTCCCTCGAAGTGCGTTATCCTTAGTAGGAGAGAGCTAGCTATTACCGAGCTCCCCGATGCAACTACGCTGCGAGATAAGCTCGCCACCCAAGAGCTCAGCTGCATTGATGTTACCACTGCTTTTTGCAAGCGTGCCGCTATCGCGCAACAGTTGAGTTCCTGCTTGACAGAGACGTTGTTCTCAGAGGCTCTTGTCAGAGCGAAAGATCTAGATACACATATCAAGACTACTGGAAAGCCCGTCGGACTTCTTCATGGTGTTCCGATAAGTTTGAAGGAGACCTTCAACATCAAGGGTGTACCCACTTCTCTCGGCTTTACGTCTTTCTTGGATCACGAGCCCGTCAGCCAGAACTCTGTCTTGATAGACATCCTTCTCGAAGCAGGTGCGGTGCTATATGTGAAGACCAACGTGCCTCAAACAATGATGACGGCAGACTCGCATAAAAATGTCTTTGGACGTGTGCGGAACCCACATCGAAGCACTCTCACAGCCGGTGGCAGCAGTGGGCTCTGATAGCCATGCGTGGATCCATCCTAGGAATTGGGACTGATATTGCTGGATCAATCCGCATCCCAGTATTGTGTTGCGGTATCGTGGGCTTCAAGCCAAGTGTCGGCCGCGTGCCGTATGCTGGGCAAACGAGCGCCAGCAGACCAGGAATGACCGGGATTGCTCCAAGCGCAGGGCCCCTGTGCTACTCGATTCGCGACGCAGAGATGCTTCTGAGGGCAGTTTTCAGTGCCTCATCTGATGATATGGACGATATGGCCCTGGGATTTCCCTAGATGCAGCCCGTGAAGCCGCCCATGCAGCTCACAATCGGAGTCTTGCCGGAAAACCTCGAAACTCCATTACACCCCAACATACAGCGGACTCTCAGAAGGGCCATAGAGAAGCTAGAACATGCAGGCCATCTCATCGTGGATCTGTCTAAGCAGATCGACTTCTTGGGAGCTGCAGCAGATCTGGCATTCCGCTTCTTCCGAATTGATCCAGATCAGACCGCGTTGCAACATATCCGCAATTCTGGAGAGCCGGCAATACCATCACTTCGATTCACGTACGACCTCGACGGAAAAGTAGAAGAGCCGACTTTGCGAGGATTGTTTGATTTGAATGCCTCACGTGCAGAAATCGCGGCTAAAATGCGCCGCGTGTTCCTGGACAACCATCTAGATGTTATTGTCGGACCTGGATACCAGAGTACGGCGGTTTCCCATGATACTTTTGGTTGGGGGTACATCCGGTCGGAGATTCTGAATCCGTTTTAGCTCTCGCTGATCCTTTAGATCGAATGCCAATAAGGAAAGAGAAAGAGAAAGCTTACCTCAAACACGCACAGACATATCGTCGTCGCCAGTAAACCATCTTCGTTCCCGGTGCCGGAGACATCTGCTATATGACTCTGCAGACTGCGCAGCGAGTCTAGATAGTGCTGCGTAGCGAGGTTATCATTACCAAGATCAAAAGCCGCAATAGCTATCATAATGGCCATCAGCGGAGAGAATTCCTGGGCCAGTCGGACCATGTGAGATTGGTCACTGTACATAGACGGACAATTGGGTCGCACAAGCTGCGGCATCACGGTCGTGACAGAATGTCTATACAATGCCTTTTCCCATCTATGAAGCTGGAGCTCCTAGGATTCCACTGGCGACTATCGCGCCTTCGGCCGTCTAGGAGCTGACTGGAGGTTGTGGGCCAAGTGCAGGCAGAGCCGAGGTGGACGCATCTTTGACATGTTGATCTTTGCTCGTCACATTTCTTGCGGCGCTAACGACCTGCTTTAGGTCAGTTGAGTCACTCTTGGGGTTATATTCAGCGCTGACATTCGAGACAACCGGTGCGGGTGCGCATGCGGGCTTTGGACTCCCAAGTGTTTGACATGGCGTGACTGGAGAGGGACTAATTGTGTATAGACCTCTTCAATATGAGACGACCCGATGGAGGTGAGCAATTACTGCGGATTGGTTCATTTTCAACCAGGTAAGAACAGTGAGTCCATGAGCTTAGGAAAGTCACCTGGACGTATCACTTGCTGGCTGAAGCTCCTACCTACTCAATGGAGATTCATTGCCCGAGTCTTCTATTCGTCGAAGTTATGTTGGCGTACATGGATGTGGTCCTTCGGGCTTGAATCTTAGTGAAAGCCAAAAAGGAGTATAATACAGGACAGGAATGAATAGCGTACGGCAGCCGAAGTACATACGGAAGTGTAGGGTTCACATGTGACCGATGTAAGCAAACAAGTCAAAAAGCTGGGATCCTTATCAATCTCTTTGACACATCCTCAGGCGTGTTTTTATATCAGCGACTGATTTCCCTCCCTCCCAATAATTGGAAAACATCACCAAAGTGCCACGTAATCCCAATTAGGCAACCTGGGGTAACAAAGAACTCAAAAGTCTAAGATCTAATCAAGCCATTTTTATGCACGTATATTAAAGCGGACCCTGAGGTGTCCCTGCCCCCACGGGTACTTCCTACTTTTAAACACTGGGTTTTGCTCTTCTGTGGGCAGCTTTGGTCCATGTATCTGTCGGGTGCTTCATCGCCAAACAACATGTCTTGAATGCTGAAGCGACTGGTTGAAATGAGAAAGCCACAAATTCGTTTCTTATATTCCAGATCTTGAGGCAGTACGCCCTAAACACAGCCTGGGAATCTGCAGTCTTCAACCTCACTTACCAAATGTACCGTGTCTTCGAGAGCTTCGAGACATAGTCCTGCTACCCAGTCCACCGGATCTTGACCAGATGTGGATTCGAGCGTATATGCACCCTTATAAAGCTCAGTGCTAGAGTCAGTAGCGGGATGAGCCTGCTTCCCTTTTGGTTCCACTAAGAACAAACAAGGCAAGACCCATGAGTTTTAAGTAGACATACTGATACACCTGACCAATTCTCTCGAGACATTAAAACTTCTTCCTCTCGATTTTATTTCTTATCTGGGTGCTCCAGGTGATGTCGAGCATACTTTGCGCCCCCAACCCTAATTTGGACCGTATAGACGCCAAGGAACTAATGCAACTCAATCTCAGCCTCATTTTTGGGACATGCTTGGATCTCTGCATTGCATACATGTTTAATAGTTATCAGATGACTGAAAGCCAAACCAAAAGCCACAGATCGTGTCACAGTGCTTTACCATACGTAGAAATCTAGGGTTGAGCAAAGGTCCAAATTAGTTAGCCCCAGTATGCATACTTCCGGTGTTATCAGCCCGCAGGATACTACTGACTAGCCTCGCATACCAATAACGCCATTGACAGCGTGGATTTGAGCTCAATTCATTGGTGTATCGCCACATTCACAGCTACTAACTATTCTAACATAAAAGTGAGAAATCCATAATCCAGAAAAATGCGTAGTATTAACGGCAAAGACAATCTAGCCAGTCTAAAGCCCGAGTCTGTACTTATCTAAGATGTATCACACAGTCTAGCAAAGCAAGAATAATAACACAAGGGAGAAAATGTACCCGAAAAATCAATCAACGCCACGGCCAAATGATAAAACAATGCTCGTCTCAGGCATAAACAAGGTCGAATGTGCAAACCCAGAACAAAAACAAAAACTCCAAACATAACCCCCAAATAATATATAAAGATAAATGTAAGTTTGAGTGGAGAGAGAGAGAGAGAGAGAGAGAGAGCGGCATCAAAAATGGTCCAAGCCACAAAAAAAGCAGATCTAGAGAAATGAGAAGTGAAATGAAAATATCATCAGGTCATAAGTCCGATCCGACAGCAGCACTAACACTCCCAAATAAACATAAAGAGGCAGCGCTGTAAAAGAAAAAAGAGTGACATCCAATCAAGCACGGTTCTCAACGCGCTTCATCAAATTATCTCTCAATCTAACGTTCACCACACCACCAATACCATAAGCAGGAACGATCTTTCCCATGCGCGCAAAGCAAGCGGGGACATAATCGCGACGAATGCGCGCTACACGATCCGTCCAGGGTAAACCGCCGACAGGCTGGCGGTTAAACAGATCCAAACCGAGGAGATGCATAGGTGTACTGGCGAACTGCATAAGCGCTGGACATGAAAATTGCGCGATGGCAGATTTCATGCCGGGGGTTGAGGCGACAAAGTCTGGTATCGAGGGTGCGATCAGGGCTGGGATGTTGAAGGATGCGAAGATTGTGATGCTGTCTCGGAGGCAGAAGAGGGTGTAGGAGGATTTTGGAATTGTTAATGCTGAGCCTGGCGCAGCGTGAGGATGGCACGTTGAGGGCGGTGCCTGTGCCTGTGCTGGAGTCGGGACTGGGGCGCGTAGAGCGGAGGGTGGTTGTGTTGCTGTTGTTGTGACAGCTGGATGGGATGGGGGAGGAGAGGCGCCGAAGATTTTGGCGAAGCGCGCGTCTTTGTAGACGCAGATTGCCATATTGACTGTTGTTGTGGAGATGAATTTGAGAGGGCCTGGTGTTACAGTGTCGTAGGACTGGTTGCGCATCGTTGAGGTAAGTGTGTCGATTGCATTTGCTGTGAGGTAGGTCGAGCTGTATAGGGTATAGATGAGGAGGAATGGAGTGCTGAAGAAGAAGCCGGTTGGTTTAGAGACCATTGATTTGAGGCAGTTTGTTATTGTTCGCTGGATAGGGAAGCCTTTTGATGCTTTTTCGATGATTGCACTGCTCAACGTGTTAGCGTCTTGAAAAGCTCATCTGTAGCTTGGGAGCTTACCGGTCAATGATTGTGATCAGCGGACAGGTCAGCGCGCCTGCAGTTGCTGCGCTGGCGACATCGACACCGAGTCGCTTGCCCAGGTCTTTCGTGTTCCATGTTGATGGTGTAGAGCGAGCGACGGAGCTTTGTTTTACTGTCGACATATTGAATGGATCTGCGATTGCATTCCGAGTCAAACTCCCATGGAATTATAATACGGTACAAGGATGCAGGTAATAGTGCATCACAAGGCGTAGGTACTGTACAAATAAAACCTGGGGAAGAACAAATGAGAAAAGAAGAATTACAAATGCAAGATTGAGGACTATCGCGACCCCAGCTTCGGACGAGAATGACCCGGGCGCGACCCGGCGCCGGGTCTCCGATGCCGGCCCGAGATCTACTCTCCGGATAAATGCAAGTCCAGGATGGTCATTTGTTCATTATAGCTAACATATTTTAAATCCCCAACGCCGGATATTCACCTCTAGCGAGCCTCAATTCCTTCCATAGTCACATTGACAGCACCAGCTTCCACGAGCTGTGAAAAATTAGTTTCCAAAATACTAAAATGGGGGGATATACGGGAATCATACCGCGCGGCGCAAGTCGTCAATCAAGTCGTCCACATCCTCAATTCCTACACAGAGACGAATCAAGTCCTCTGGCATGGCGCGTTCCGCCCGCGTCTTCGCGTCAATGCTGGCATGGCTCATACGGCAGGGCATACTGATCAAGCTGTTGACACAGCCAAAGCTGACACTGATCGCCCAAATCTTAGCGCTCTCGACAATGCGCTCACTGACAACAGTGTCACCGGTCTCGAAAGAGAGCACAGCACCAGCGCCCCGCGCCATGGAGTTGTGAAGTTCGTACTGCGGGTGCGACCGCAGACCGGGGTAGCGAACCTTGAAGCCGTTCGACTCCAGGAACTCGGCAATGCGCTGAGCGTTGCTCTGTTGCTGGTCCATGCGGACCTTGAGGGTCTTCACACCCCGCAGCAACAGCCAAGAGTCGAAAGGCGAGAGACCGCATCCCGAGGCGTTGATAGGGAAGTAAAGACGTTCTCCGAGGGCCAGATCATTGACCGCAATGACACCGGCCATCAGATCGTGGTGACCCGACAGGTACTTGGTACCACTCTCGTAAACGACATCAGCACCGAAGTCTAGCGGGTTAAGCAGGAGTGGAGACATCATGGTGTTATCCACTGAGACAATGCAGCTGGGATTGGCTTCGTGGGCAGCGGTAGCAATGCGGCCAATGTCAACAATCTTGATAAGGGGGTTGGTAGGGGTCTCGAGCAGGACCATGGTGGTCTTCTCGCTCAGCACTGCCTGAACCTTCTCAACATTTGTGGTGTCGACGTGGTGCACGATGATGCCGCCGTTGGTGGAGAGATACTTGAGGAGTCGGTTGGTACCGCCGTAGAGATCATCACCAGTGACAACCTCGTCACCAGGACGGAGGAGTCGGGTAATCACGTCCAAAGCAGCCATGCCGGAGGAGACCACGAGGGCACGCTGTGCCGACATGATCTTGGCCAAGTGTCGCTCGAGGTGTGTGCGGGTCGGGTTACCAGACCGTGTGTAGTCATACTCTCCACCACCACCGCCAGAGGTTTGCTTGAACGTAGCACTCTAGAGGTCAATCATGGTCAGCACTCCTGTTGGAATTGCCATTGGGTTGTTGGGGAATGTGTACCTGGTAGATCGGCACGCTGCTGGCATTGTATTGGTCACTGCCCTCGGTGAAGACCAATTCGGTGGCAATGTTGTAGCGGCGACCAGGGTGAGGGCTGGATGGGGCTGGCGAAGGTGGCAGGTCATTTCCTTCCAGATCAACAGAAGGAAATGCCTTCTTTCCAGTGCTGGTCGACCCCGACGCAGCATTGGGAACTCCGGATCCTGAGGCCGACATCGCTGCAGAGCGGGGCAGAAAGAGGGAGCGAATAGATGGAGATATGGAGTCTATGCTAATGCACAATAATCCTTGAAATGCAAGTTGAAGAGTGAGAGGGAATATATCAATGGGAGCAACAAAAATAAAGAAGAGAAGAAAAAGAAGTCACACATTCACGTCTTCTTCTCCCCCGGACGTACTGACTCTTCGGCCGCGCTGTGATTGGTCGAGAGGCCAGGATTGCGATTTCGTCATTCACTAGGCCCGATTAGGCAGTCTGGGGTGAGTCAGGCATTCTCTCACACGCTTCTAGGGATATTATATAGATAGATGATGGTGATAGAGATAGATGGATGTAGTGAGTCGGATCTATCTATAATAGGTAGGTATGTTTCAGCATAATACGCAATGGATGAAGTGTATGTGGTCAGGTAACTGCATATGTGCCACCCGTCGTAGACCAAAGCTGTCATATCTTTATACTAGCTTCCTCTTGTTCCTCTCTCTACCCCCAACTAAGATACAATGTCTATCTCCGTATACTAGGAATTTCGTTATCGCTACTTTGATAAGTCATCGACTTGACAACGGAGGCAAGCAAGTTACCCACCGCCCTGGAATTCCAGATTATCCTCATTCCGACTCCAACTCCCTGTCTCAAAATTTCAATAGGCCAAAATAGTCCCTCTATGGAGTCTACGGTCTTTGTTGAAATATATTCTTCTACTTTTGCCATGATAATTGGAACGTGTTCATCAAGCCACTGAATAAAATGGCGTCGGGATCGGAGGCAGCATTTGCTTACCACGAGCCATCCATCGAAACAGTGCTGAATTATACAGGCCTTCTATTAGTCCTCAATATAATCAAAATATGTCTCGACAATCTGCTGTATTGTGGACTCATCGGCCAGCTCTTCGTCGGCATCCTTTGGGGCACACCGGGCGCCCAATGGCTTAACCAAGAGACAGAACGCGTCATTCAGCAAATTGGCTATCTAGGATTGATCCTACTAATCTATGAAGGTATGTATATATCATTGGATTTACATAAATATATAATCTAACATAAACAGGTGGGCTATCAACCGCGATCAAATCTCTCAAGGCAAACATTCTTCTTTCAACGGCCGTTGCCCTCACTGGAATCGGTGTACCATTGGGATTGTCCTTCATCTTGACTGAGCTTGTATCAGCAACATCTCTTCAGGCATTCGCTGCGGGTGCAGCGCTCAGCGCAACAAGTCTTGGAACTACCTTTACCATCCTTTCAACCACTCAATTAACGACTACACGCCTTGGCACCGTCACAACAAGTGCTGCAATGATCGACGATGTCGTTGGCCTGGTTTTGGTTCAGATTATCTCCAACCTTGGTGGAGGCACCGCGTCGTTCAGTGCCGTGACTGTCATCCGGCCCGTTTTTGTCTCGCTCGGGTTCGCTGTTGGTCTCTTACTGCTGTGTGCTTTCTGTCTCCGGCCTGTATTGAAGAAAGTGATTGACCACGAGAGCAAGTTCCCTAAATTTTTGCGAACTGCGCAATTCGCATTCCTGGCGCACACCTGTGTTCTTGTGGGCATCGTGGCCGGTGCGACATATGCTGGTACCTCGAGTCTTTTTGCTGCTTACCTTGCCGGAGTCATTGTCTCCTGGTTTGATAGCTTGGTAGCTGAATCGAAGTTCTCAGAAAATTCTTCACGCTCTGAAACCTCTCAGTCAGCTACTGGTTCATCCCACCAGCAGGTTGACAGTCACGATAATGCTACAGTCGTTGATATAAATCAGACTTCTCGCGTTACAGAGTCGTCTGGTACACGAACCACATCAAAAAATGAACCATCGCATGACAGTACACCGACAGGTGAACTCATCTATCACAAATACTACAAAGAACCAGCCAACCGGATCCTTTTACCTCTATTCTTCGTGAGTACCCCAACTCCTGCCAACTGGCGAAACCAGCTAATTCACATAGGCATCGATTGGATTTGCAATTCCCATAACCGAAATGTTCCAAGGCCAAATCGTATGGCGAGGGATAATCTACGCTATCCTAATGGCAATTGGAAAAATCATTACAGGGTTATGGCTCGTTCGTTTCTCTGCGAATCCACTGGCTGGTCTTGTCTCGGTCCTAAAGAGACCATTTACATATGTTCATTCCTGCTGTTCTAAACATCAAGCAACCAGCAAACCTTTAAAGCTAGAGAAGAAGAGCTCAAAGAAGACAGGCGGTCAAAGTGGGACTGAGACTGGTGGTATACCGAGTCCAGATGATTCCAATCCAGAAGAAACTCTAACAACCAATGAACCACCCGCGACCAACCCCAATCCCAGATCGAAAAACAGATCTCACATGTCTCTTCCGCCCAACCCGAAATCACTATATCCCTCATCCATCCTTGGATTGGCAATGCTCGCCAGAGGTGAAGTGGGATACCTCATTGCCTCCATCGCCGAAAGCCAGGGGATATTCTCTTCTGGATCATCGTCTGAAGGCTCATCTGATGTCTACCTGGTAGTGATATGGGCAATTTCACTCTGCACACTAATCGGTCCGATCATGGTTGGAACACTGGTCAGACGAGTGAAGAAACTACAGAAATCCAGGAAAAACTCGGGCTCGGAGTCAGATCCACTGGGTGTATGGGGCATTTAGCTGTCTATATACATAGCTCAATTATGCATATGTTGAGGTACTTCTTCGCACGATAAGAGAAAGGCAATTGATTGAAAATGTACATGCTCCTACTCCTCCAACTCCCTCTGGATGCCAGTCCATGAAGTTTTACCAAATGACCAAACAAACAAGAATATAGAAAGAGAACAAACTCAGAGAGACGAGATAAGAGAGCAAGTAACAAGAAGGAAAACTTTAACCAGCATCCTCCAAGGATATCCAAGAACAGAACAACCCCAAACAAACCAATCCATCAACCAATCCCACATCCAAAACGCCACCACCTCGTAACCGTTTTGTGAAACCAACACAGACAGCAGGAAGTAAAGCTGCAAGTATTGAGATAGCGATAGAGATAGAGATAATAGTATATACCAACATAGCAAAGCATAACAAGGCATAGCAATTAGATTAAAAAACGCAAAGCGGATTGAAAGGATTCCAATCCGATGCTAAAGCCAGACCCAAGCCGCCATCCCGAAGAACCAAACGTAACTGCTTGAGCAAAGCTCGGGTGGGACATAATTACGCAGCCAAATCTCCAAAGCCACCGTTAATACCAAAGAACTGGAACCAGTCCTCGACATTCAGTGTGGTAGGTGCAGTAGGTCCACTGCGCGAACTGCTACTCCAGTTATCATCCTGGCTGGCGTTGTCCATGGCTGCACCGCTCATTGTTCCGTCGAGGCCTTGCATTGGGGGCCAGGTCTGTTGGCCGTCCATGCCGAACATTGGTTGTGGGGCTGTTGGCTGCATGCCAACGGCGCCTGGGATGCCTTGCATCATCTGTGGGCTACCCTGGGAGGCGGGCATGCTGCGGCCGCCTGGAACCGGCTGGGGTTGGTTGTTCATCATTGGGCCTGGACGCTGGGACATGTTCGGGGGTTGGAGGTTGGATGGGATATGGAGGGATGGGTCGACTGAGCCAGGTGGGGGTGGAGAGGTCAGCTCTGGGAAGAAGGCTGTGCCGTCGGGAAAGAGTTGATCTGGTTGGAAGTTTTCCCAGAGGGATGGAGAGAGGTTTGGTGACGCGCGCGTTACTAGGAAGAAATCGGGGGGCGTGGCAGGGAGAGAGAATTGGCCATTGAAGGGAGTTGTTGGCCGGGTGTTGGCTCGAGAGTTGCCTGTACCTGTCATTGGATCGTGGGGACCGCGGTGTGTGTTTGGTGATTGGTGGCCCAGAGGGGGTTGGTTCAGTTCTCGTGATGGTGTAACGGCGGGCGTCTGGGGACGAGAGCGCTCGTATGAGACAGGAGGTGTAGGGCCACCATTTGGCAGTCCGAGATCCATGTCGTCGAACTTGCGTTTCGGCGGGTCTGGCCTCTTCGAAGAGGCGGCGTTTTCGTGTCGGTTTCTTTGATGTTTCCGGCCAGCAGCTTTCTGGAGTCGCTCCTCTAGAATCTTGTTTCCTAGAATAGACTCAAAAAGCGTGTTGACCATCTTCGCCACCAGCCAAACCTTTGATACATCCTTCAGTGCCAGCATGCATGCATTGATTCTTTCCTGGCAAGTCGTCACAATCGAAGGAACCGAAGAACGCATTTGATACACGTGCATGATCAAGGCCGAGAAAAGACTGTAAACGATGAATGCAGGTGCAAATCGAATCTCTCCGTGGGCGTGCAGATTTTCGACAATTGAAGTGATCATACCTGCAGCCTGGAAGGCAATGGTACGTGATGGGTAAGCCATTTCTTCAACCCTGTAACTATTTGGCGCAGAGGAGGCAGGCGGCATGTGAGCCCTGTGAAGAAGACATAGCGTGGTACTAAAATAGTTAGTTTCAGTCGAGAATTCAGAGGGGAAACCACATACTAGTAGTTTGAATGCAAGAGAGCTGCCCAGAAATGATGTCTAGACCGTTGCCAGCAAACCTCCTTGGGGCAGTTCTGCAGCCAATCGGCCAAGGCCATATCTGAGTGGGTGAGGTCCATTGCATTCATGCGCCGTGACTTTGAAGCCACAGAGTACTGCTGTGACAGAACCAAGCCCATGATCTCACACAATTTAACATATTGGAGGAAGAAGTGGACATGGACGGGATCTGGAGGAATGTCGGCCGGGGCATCGAGCTCATCTTCAATGAAATCGTCTTCTGTGACCATCTCAACATCCGAGTCGTCTGTATTGATTCCGATTGGGCGTCCCAATGCGACAGCCACAGAACGATCACGGGTGAAAAGAGTCCACCAAATCCTCTTCCAGAGTCTCTTGTCTGGTTTGCTAAGCTGTGACATTTCGACACTGCGGTGCATTCCAGAGCCCTGTGCAACTACCATCGCGACCCGAGTCCAGTAGAACACATTCTTGGTGACATCTATAATTCATTAGAGGGTGAAATAATGGAAATAAAGGTAAATGCTGATCAATCACTCACCTTCAGGTCCTTCCCAGTACCAACCCAAGAGCACCAGTGCCTGCACGATGGTGACGCGATCATCCTCATAGTTGGCATCATATAGCGCCTTAGCACGCTTGTAGAAAGTCATGGCAGCGGGGGTGGTCGACCCATTAGCATCCATCAGCTGCTGGTTGGTGCAGACTCTCGATCCTGCCAGCAGAATCGCCTGCAAGAGAAGCAGCGAAGGTGGGTTCTTAGGGTCTCGGTATTGACGCATGAAGCGACTCTTGTTGATAATCGGCACCACTGGCGCCACCCACTTGAAGTAGGCTTCGACCAACTCATCGCACAGCGGTTTTGGAGGGAGCAAGAAAGCACCGCGCTGATGCAGAATATCGATTTCCAAATTGTCCAAGTCTGTCAAGCGTGCGCGAGATCCTCTGATATTCGGTGGGAGCGGGTAGTGCACTACATCTGTCGTGCCATGTCGATCTTGAACCAGCAGAGACAGATTTGATGACTCGCCCAGATACGCCACTCGGCCAGCGTCTTTTATCGGAGCCCGAGCAAACTTGGGCTTCATGAATTGAGCGTAGGCATTGTTGGCCGATGCTTGTTGGGCTGCCTCGGCCTCAGAAAGAGAGGTAACAGGCATGCCTTCGGTAGCCATACGGTTTCCTCTGTATCCAAAAGCATCCTTCTCGTCTGAGTCGGAGTTCCGCTCCGCTTCCCGTGGTGCCGAGACAGATCCAGACACAGATCCAGAGCGCGCTGGCTCCTCGGTGGGTCGAAATTGAGCAACGGCGGCGTCGACGAGCGAGGATGCAGTGTGTGGGGGACTGTCACCATACCGCGACTCATCCTTGCTCTTGGCTTGACTCTTCTTTCGTTTCGGCGAGGGAATCTTGCATTCGATCGAGAAGGCGACACAATTGGTGCAGGGCACTCCGAGACTCGCAGCATCACATCGGACCTATAGGCGGTGAGGGGTTAGCGACGACGAGGTACGGTGCGACGATGCAACGGTGCGACCGAGAGAAAACGCACCTTTCGAGCATGACAAGTCTAGTTCACACAGAAAAACAGTCAGCCACTTTGTCCAGTTTGAAGCTATAGTGGGGAGGAAGTATATGCAGTTCACCGATAAGCAACCGAGCCGAGGTGCGAGAGAACCTCGGCACCCCAGTCGCGTCACCCCTCGAGAATCCAGAACGTACCTCGCACGCGCGTGATGCACGTTGTCTAAATTAGATAAAACAAATCAGCAAACGCCTTTTTAAATGCTTGACCTTGCATATTCTTTCTCCAGCAACGGGGGTGTGAGACCCTGGAAAACCCAGTTCCTCACTGGGCTGCGCCCGCACACCCCCCGCGACTCCCAGCATCAACCAATATAGCATCTAGCGCACATATTGAAGACTGTATCGCCATTTCCAGCATCTCCAGTGTCTCCAGTGTCTCTCAGCATCGCATCTTGCAAAACTTACCTCCTAAAACTCAGCGGTTGGCCTTGCGGACCATTGCGCACGGTGATGCCCGACGTCCCCGTCGAGCCCGCGTTACTCGGAGCTGGGCTGGGGTGCGAGTTGTCCGAATGCTGTTCGGAGTGGAATTCGTTGGTGCTCATCGCGCAGTCTCCATGCAGCCTCTCAGGTCGAGAGGGTCGCAGGTGAAGGAGGTAAGGGCGGAGGGCGGAGGGAAGAAGCTGGCGATATAAGACTCAAGGCTGTAAGGTAGGCACCGAGAATAAGGAGGACGCCACGCGATCAAAAGAAAAAGTATCGGAACACAGAGGGGGAAGAAGAGAGAGAAGGAATATCTGGGGGAGGGCTGTGGCAATAATCATCACGGTGGAGATCTCCCCCTGGTCAGCAATTTGGGTACAACTTATAGGCTGTTTCAACGGTTTTACGTCCACACTATTATATGTTGCATTTTGGTACTGGAGCTATAAAATTGATTTCTGAATATTGAGAATATAGCCATAACCTGTAACTTAAGCTACGTACCTACTACGTACATGGCTGATACTGTAGGGTACTGCCTACAGCACAACTACCGACATATGTATATGTAGCCCTAGACACCCGATAGGTTCCAAGTAGCATATAACATATAGCCACTCTACTCGGCACTATGAGTAGTCACTGAATAGTGACAGGAAGTAGTGATCTACAGAGGGGAGATGGTGGAGAGCCGATTTCCTCTGGGGCTTTCCTATCTTGGCACGTGTGATGCCGCTTTGGGCCTGTGTATTTCTCAGTCTGTTGGTCACGTGGTCATGAAGATGCCCTAATTATTCATCTCGTACGTGGACATTTCTGTTTGATAAGTCTTGATCATGAAGTAGAAGACACGTAAGAAAGACGAAATGGATCTTGAGGAACACAGATACTTTTTACTACGGTGGTTGATGGAGGAGGAACTTAGCTAGAGCCCATGTTTGCAACACTGAATATATATCTAGCTTTCGAGTCGGGTCTCGGCCTGGACTCCCCCTAAAAGGCTACTTGTTCCTATTTTGCGTTCCGATTTGAAAGCTTTCAGAAATTATCTGTAGGTGCGTACGAAAAAGATTTGAAAGTAATTCATTCTGTTAGTTAAACCAGAGAAATTGAGTAATAAGGATATAATGCACCGTTCAAGATGGCCAACGTCCGCTTCCTAAGAGGTAGATTATAGGTATACTTGATGACCTCAACATCAATTCTTCTAGCTTTGCCCTACAGAGTTGGTGTTATAATCTGTCGTGTCCTTGCTGTAAGCATTCAGCTAAACAGGGAAAGAAGGAGAGTATAACAGCCCTGGAGCTCTGGAGACAGCCATGTCTATTATGTAATCAACCCATGCTCAGATATACAAAAAGCAGCAAGAGCCAAAGCCCAATACGGCAAGGGATAGGGGTAAAGACAAGTAACTTAGTTTCCAACGGTGTGCGTAGGCCCACCTGCACACCGTTCCCTGACTTCAGCCTCCTGGGGATCGTCCCGTATGTGGTTTTCTTGCCGACGACTTGCAATTCGTCTGTGGGATATGACGTTACCAGATGGAATAGCCACGGCCGGAGAAGCCTACAGCCACGCAGCATGCCAATGGAACGGATTGAGTCGGGGATTTTCTATTGCTCTGTACTCTGACCGGTGAGCATGTTCTTGCATTCGGAGGTATGTGTTTGCATATGGGCTATTGGGTGGCATGAGGGGAGTTCGTGTTGTGTTACCTCTATAGAAAATGGCAGCTGTATACATCTATCAACCCATAGCCATATGACTTGCTCGATACATTATAATCAAGCACATCTACATCTACGTGACTGACAAGCCAGTCGCAGAGAACTGTTTCAGAAAAATAGGTTCGCCTGTAGATCATGCTACTGCAACCGATCCCTCAAACCCTCAGACCCTCAACGCAGCCCAACCAACACCATCACCACCATCAAACCCGCCAAAAGCGATATTGCGGGGGCGGAACCCGGGAGACGAAAACACAAAGGAAAAACGCGGGGAACATCTAATCCAATCCCATCAAATGTATTCATCTCACTCCGATCCCCAGATTCCTTACAAAGAGCTGATGTTCTACAGGACATCTTGTAGCAAACCTGTGATACCTCGGCACAAAGCGCCCCAGCCAATCACAGCACAGGGCTCCACATAGGAGATGATCCTTCTGCAAGCCTCTTTGATGTTTTGGGTATAGAGCCCACTGTTTCGGTCAGGCACCATGATCCTGGACCCGTTCGCCGGGTCGAGATCCTTGTTTAGCGGATGTGCCTGTTAATTTATTATGTGGGCTAGGCTGGTTAGGGGATGATCGGAGGGGAATGGAAGTCCGATCGCCCTTGTCTCTCGGGGAGGAATTGTGGGTTCGGGGATGAGTTGCAGGGTAAGTTCTGCGGTACTCTACTATTGGACATAGTCTTGCTAGGGCGAGGGTTGATCGAATCTATATCATATTGTAGCGTTTGCGTTGCGTATTCAGGTTCGTGTTCAATACGATATTGACGAGGTAGATAAATTGTCATGTGGTACATGTAAAATACATTAAAAAGTCCCAATTAAACCTGTAGTATTCCTGCGGGTTTTCGGGGAGCAGGGTGGTCCCCGGGTTGAATTAATACTACACCCACATGTCAAGTGGGCTATGAGAACCCGGTCCTTTTGCCCTTGGCCTTGCCCTTTGATTTGGACCGGCCTTGCTTAACCCCGTTTCCATTAAGCTGGGCTTTCTTGGGTTCCGGCTCTTTGCGGTCTGCCTCGTGGCCACAGTCAGCCGCTTCATTCATGGCCTGGACCACGGCCGATCCAACAGCTGCTACTGTAGGATTCACGTCCACGCCGCTGACAAATTGCTCACTTAAGAATTCCAGACCTGCCACGAAGGTGCACAAGGCACTGGCAATGCAGAAGTGGCTGATAGTCATGCCAATGTCGAGCCAGGAGCCCTCATCTCGGACCATGAAGAAGAAGTTGAGGGTCATGATGTCTGAGATGGCCATGACAACCATAAAGAGGGCACTAGGTGGAACTTCCAGTCGCCGGTTGAGAATGCCCAGGTTGGCACTGATAATGGCGAATGGAATGAGGATTTGAAGGATGAGGAGAGCGCCTTGGCTGAAGGGGTTAAAGACGGGGACTAGACGGCGGACGCTGTCCAAGGAGAAGGTCGAGATTGAGGCGACATTTCCGGTGCTGAAAAAGGCTGCCTGCAAGAGGAAGAAGAAGAAGAGTGCCACACGGACATCGGAGAGCGTAAGAGCACGGTAATGGAAGGTTTCGCCGTCAACAGTGGCAGTGCCAGTCGAAGGCTTTTTGGCAGAGCCATTGCCGGCATGTTGCACCGTAGTATTGGTCTTTGTATGGACGTAAATTGCGTGCTCCAAACGAACCCATGTTACAATGGTCATGCAGAACACAAAGTAGAACAGTCCCTCCCATGAGATGGTGAGAATGATAAAGGTTGGTGAGAAGGTCAAGAAAATGACCATAAGACGGTGTAGATAGTGGCTGTTTGGACACAGACGGTGGAAGAATGGGAGGGAGAGAGAGGCCACTGAGCTTCATTAGTATTGCTCAGAGATATCATCCAAGATCTTTGATAAACCGAACTTACCCAGTACAATCCATCCAACAACAATGTTTCCAACGGGAACGCCTTGGCGAGCCTGCAACGAGTACACAGTTGATCTGGTCACAATCAAGGCAAGAAGAACCATGCCAATCTGAACACCCATAATCACTCGCGATCCGACACGTCCAATGGCATTGCGATTGCCGTGTCCAATGATATTATCCTCGAACAACAGGTATAAGATGCCAGTCAGGAACATGACCAGTCCACCATAAGTGCTATGAAAGTGTTAATGAGGTGCAAACTAATGAAGAAACAGGAAGCTTACATTGTGTCAACATTTTCCACCTTGATGACTGGAAGAAGAGTGAAAGTGCTCATTAATCCGCAACCAAGTGCCCAGGTTACAAAAAGCAGTGCATGGCTTCGAATGAAACCAAAGCCGTGAACCACAGGCCACAACGCACCCAGAGCAAAGCAAACGGTGAAGATCTCCCGATGGAAATAGGACTGGACCAAGGCCTCCATCACTGCGAGGAACGCCAGCAGCTGAAGACCCAACTTGAGGTATCCAGTGAAAGAGCGCACATGGCCCAATACAATCTCACGACCGGCGATCAAAGCCCTGCGACGCGCGAATACCTCTTCCCAGAAGTATACTGGGAAGAATGCGTAGACATAGTAGCGCCAGGAGGAGCCCTGGTACAGGAAGATGGAGAAGAGCGCAACCAGAATGGATGAGAAGAACGAAATACTGGCTGTCGTTCGGTGAGAGTCCGACGTTCCATGCAAGACATGCAGATCAATTACCGTAGTCAGAGCATAAGCAATCCAACCCAAGTATCCAACAGAAACAATACTTCGCAGGAACACCCAGTCGTAGGTCTGCAAATAGCGCAGACCTTCAAGGGCAGTCCGAAGAAGCTCAGAGGATACCACAATGGCCTCCTCGGGATCACCACTGGCAATGAGTTCCTCGATTCTTGCCAGTCGGCCTTCAATTGAGGTCTCATGGTATCCAGACAGAGGATCGTAAGGAACATACCGGATCACGGCGTGTCTCTTTTGCTCCTCTTTCACGCGGTACATTTCCAAAACCCCCTGCGTATTGGCCAACGAAGCCAGGGCCCTCTCCCTGGGACTGGCATTGAGATACTCAAGCGGCAACTGGCCAACCGAGTTAACGGGAAAATCAAGTCCAACCAGATAAGCCATGAGTGCGGCCACATCGGCCTGTGCTACATCGTGGCGTCGGACCTGGTCGAATCCCCAATCGGACGAAAAGCCATCTTCGTGGCCGGGGGCAATTCCGTCAATGGAAAGTTGTGGCTTCGCAACACCAGAGCCCCAGACTACCAACGGTGTACGCGTGTTATCTGGGTGACCGTCACCGTGACTGCCGGTGTCACTCATGCCATGATCCGCAGTGAACACAAATGCTGTCTTATCGTCGCCGTAGAAATCCTCCACCAGCTTTGTGACGGACTTGACTCCAGAATCAACAATCTTGATGTTGTGCAGATATTCCTTCGAATAAGGCCGGAAAGAATGACCAGTGGTATCCAATCCCAGCAGATGAAGGAAGAAGACTAACTTGTCGTCTCGCAGCTTCCGATCCACTTCGGGGTCCGTCTTTGCGGACTCGAAGAGCCCATGCACCTTATCAAAAACCCAGGTGTCCAGGTGCGTAGCATCGACAGTGAAATCCTCCGCTTCCTCACTGTACATCTCCGCATCGACTCTACCAGGTACTGCGCCCTCTTTGAACATGGGCAGAATATCAGGACTACCCCAGCTCCACGTGTGTCGGCTCTGGTTGAACACGCTGTCGAAGTTAACCGGGTTCATCTTCCACCCAGTTGTGACCGAGGACACATCCTCGTAGAGTCCGGCGATAAGCGCAACATGGCCAGGTCGTGATTCGGTGGGTACGCGGGTGTGCGAGACGCCAAATGTACCTTCGGAGAGAACTTTCGAGCGAATGAACGGAGACAGGCGAATCACGTCTTGGGATTCTGGATCGGCATCGGGAGAAGGATCGGGGAAAGCTTGGAAGGCCTTGTCGGCTCGTAGGCCGTCGGCGACAAATAGGACGAGACGCTTGGCTGGTGCCGCGACTTCAGAGGATCTTTCAACGCCATATGATCGCATGCCACTCACGATCGGGCTGACGAAGTAGATGTCGAAGATTGAATATGTATAGATCAGGTGGAATACCACCGCGAGGGCCAGGAACCCGACGCGGCCGAGACGCGCCATGATGTATTTCTTCTCAGGTCCAGCTCAAGGGGCAAAAGAGTGGAAGTGGTCCCCTGCCACAAATGATATCAAGAAGGAATTGAGCAAAGCAATTGAAAGGAGACAAGCATGATAGGCATGTCAAACGCAACACGTCAACTTTTGTCCGCATTGGGGGGAACCTTGGGGGCGGTGAGAGCCAATCATAGCGTTTCAATTGCGCACGGCAGAACCCACTGTTTACACTAAAGCGAAGTAGAGAACAAACATATAACATTGACCTGCCCCGACTTCTTGCAATGTATGAAGCACTATATAAATGTTGACTACTGAGCTGGAAGAGAGCGGCGTTTTGTCAAGGCATCGATTACCCGCGTATAGAACTTGGCCGCCTGTCCACGACTGAAGGTAATATCCTCCACCAAGAAGTTCGGCAGCATGTTCACCAAGTCGCGATCCCGGTTGGCATCCAAGAGAGGCAGGTACTGGATCTCGGTATTGTCGTAGTTAGTTGATGTCTTGGGGATGGCCAAGTGGAAATGAAGAGCTGCAAGGAGGTTAGACAAGACAAGGAGATTACCGAAAGATCTAGCAACTTACTTCCATTGATTCCGGTCTGGATGCAATCATACACATGATCTGTATCCGTGGTCTTGACATCGCGAACGATCAATCCGGTTAGGTCACTGTACAGATCTTCCTTTAGCTGTGCCAGCTGTGCAGCTTGCGCGGCTTCAGCGCTGGCTGCTGCATTGGCACGGTTGGCTGGGCCACCCTTGATGGCACTGCCGGGTACCTTGGCAGCTCCCTCAATACTGGCAGCTGTGTTGCGCGCCGCAGCAAGCTTGGTCTGTAGGGCCTTGACCTCGGTTTGGGCAGAGGCGAGTTGAGCTTGCGCCTCACCAGCTTGAGACTTGAGTGTGGCCATCTCGGCATCACGGTCACTGAGTTGCTTCTGTAATCCACGGCTCTGCTGCCCTAGCTTGCGCTGGACTTGCAGCTCTGCTCTGAGCGAGGCAACCAAATCGTTCGAAGCTATTCGTATGTCAATCGATGCATTTTGGCTGCTACAGTAACATGGGGCAATCTACCTGTAGTGATAATCTCACTCTGTCTCCGCAATTTGTCCATATTGGCATTGGCCTCGACAATTCCAATCTCCCGAAGGTTCCGATACTTGGCTTCCAATGCATCGTGCTTTTTGTTGAGTTCACCAAGCCTACGCCTTAACTCTGGATCGCCGTTCTGTTCAATTTCACCTAGCTTGCGCTTCCGAGGAGAAGAATCTGGTGGGTGGCGCAGAAGGGACGCTCGGGCGCGAGCATTCTTCACAGGTGATGTGATGTAGCGACTCGAGGCCGGTTCACTGGGAAGGATTGTCTCATCTACAAGTTCTGCGGGAGGTTCATCGGCTTGCTGTGTTTCCTCTACTTCAGGCCCCGCTCTTCGCCCTTTCGCCCGAGGATGAGGACTGAGTGAGGGATGCTCTTCAGGCTCTTCTAGAGCACTAGCTTTCTGATTGGCGCGTGGAGTGTACTCGAATCCATTGTCTGTTTGAAGCTCCTTCGCGTTGGCTGCAGCTCGTCCGCGATGGGCGGGTGCTGGCTTTGTGGCATTGGTCTTTTGCGAGTGCTGGGGATCTTCGTTTTCCTGGTCTTGAGTATGATCGTCCATCTGCATTTCTTCGGTGGCAGCTGTCTGGTTCTTTGGTTCGGGATCTTGCGACTGCGACACGCGACTGCCTCCTCTTGGCCGGCCTCTTTTCTTTGGAGCGGGGGCTTCTTCTGTAGCTTCAACTACTTCTTTCTGTTTCTTTGCTCGTGTTGCTGGTTTGGGCTTGGGCTTGGGCTTGGGTTCGGCGGTCACATTTTCATGTGAAGTACGCGGTCTGCCTCTGCGCTTTTTGGCGGGAGGCTCGTCGTGTATTTCTTGGGCTTCGGTTTGCTTGACCTGCATGAGATCTTCATCATCTGAGCCCAAAAGGCCAGAGATCTTAGAAGGCGCCTTTCGTTTGGGCATTGTGCAATGGAGTGTGCGGAGACAAACTCATGGGGGACGCGCCGAACAACAACACCTCTCCGCCTTGCGACATGTGACATTCCCCGGCTCCCGCCACAGCTGCCCGATCTTCGGGGGTTCGGTCTTCTATAATCTCATCTAATCTGCTTCTTTCTATCTTATTCAACTTCTCCGGAACTTATTTTTTGTCATTTGTCATATCTACCTATCTAATTCCCATTTTTATCACCATGGCTTCAGCCGGTGGCCGAAGATGGCAGCAGTTCTTCCAAGAGATGGTGATGATCGCAGGCACTGTGAGTTTATAGTTCTGCATTTTCAATCGCGAGGGTGTTTCTAACGCCGTTGAAAGTCCGCCTCGGCATATTTTCTAGTTCGCTACCTTCTATCACGCCTTGATTTCGACCCCGAGAGCCAGAAGAAAGAGGAACAACGGCAGAAGTCGGCAGCCATCTTGCGTCGACTTGAAGGAAATGATTCAGATGACGACTCACCGCGGCGTGAAGGGAAGCGTGGGCGAGGACAGAAAAAGAAAGAGCTCACCCTGAATCAATACGAACAAGCGGTCGCGATGGATGTTGTTGCGCCAGAGGATATTGCAGTTTCATTCGAGGATATTGGTGGTCTTGACGAAATTATTGAAGAGTTGAAAGAATCGGTCATCTATCCATTGACAATGCCTCACCTCTATGCTTCCACATCATCCCTCCTGACGGCGCCCTCCGGAGTCCTGTTGTACGGTCCGCCTGGCTGCGGAAAGACTATGCTTGCCAAAGCATTGGCATCTGAGAGTGGCGCATGCTTTATCAACTTGCACATTTCGACATTGACAGAGAAGTGGTATGGTGACTCCAACAAGCTTGTCAATGCAGTGTTTTCGCTCGCGCGCAAGTTGCAGCCCGCCATTGTCTTCATTGATGAGATTGATGCCGTTCTGGGAACCAGGAGAAGTGGTGAGCATGAGGCAAGTGGTATGGTCAAGGCCGAGTTTATGACACATTGGGATGGTCTCACCTCGGCGAATTCCACGGGAGAGCCGCAGCGCATCGTTGTTCTTGGAGCTACCAACCGCATTCAAGATATCGACGAGGCTATTTTGCGCCGAATGCCCAAGAAGTTCCCCGTGACACTTCCTCCAATTGCCCAGCGACTCCGCATTCTCAGCCTGATCCTCAAGGACACCAAGGTTGACCGCGATAACTTTGACCTGCACTATCTGGTCAAAACAATGGCCGGTATGTCAGGCAGTGATATCAAGGAAGCCTGCCGAGATGCAGCAATGGTACCTGTCCGGGAGTTGATTCGACAGAAGAAGGCGAATGGCATGCAAATGGATGCTGTGAACCCTCAAGAAGTTCGTGGTCTTCGGACAGAAGATTTCTTCTCCCGCGCTGGCGGTGTCAAGGTCATTCCCCAGCCCTCTCCAATGCCTACTGGAAAGGTCAGCGAGAAGGAAGATGGAGACTGGAGCACTGAATCTGAAGCCACATCAGAAGCCGAGGCTCGTCACTCAGCGATGACTGAGCCTCCAGAATAATAGACAGCAATTTTCATATGTTAATATTTGATTTCCCTCGCAGTGCGAAGACTGGGCGTTATCTACTGGAAGAGACCCTTGCCAGGCCATGTTGCTTATTGACGGCCCTGGAGTCTGTGTTTTGGGGTTGTCCATAGAATTTTGTGTACAATTGCTTGGATACCTAATATAAAGAGTGTTGAAGAATGTTCTAAGTGAAATTGACATAGAGTACGTAAAACATATAAGGTGCGACTTGTGAAGAGGAATGTACCGGTACCCATAATAGGTGACAGTCCCCGGGCAACGTCATGTACTGTTACTTTGCCAAGCGGCGAAGTCACCTGCCGATCAACGTACGCCCCCCGAACCTGGAACTTGCTCCTACATTACTGTGGCTGCATTCTAGTCCTTGTACAGATCGCGAGCTCTCCTTATTTTGGGTCTAATTTGCTTCACTCTCGTTGCCCATTGTCCACAAGGGTCCTGCGGGTCGTTATCATCACCTCACGCCTCCTTGACTTCCCTATCGCCAACTCTCCCTCTCCGCCGTGGAACGTTTCTTATTCTGTACTTGTTATATGAACCCTCCAGCTATATGGTCAAGTCGCTTGTCCTACGCTGTTCACATTACGAATGCGACTCCGGGGTGGACGAATGGGTTTCTAGGTTATTAATGGCTACTGGTGACTTGGCTGCACACACTACGGGAGCTCACTTGCATTCTTAGAAGAACACACCTGGTATTCACTTGGTTCTTTGTCAGGAATGAGTTCCCAAAATAGCTTTGTCAATGCTTCACCAAGCTTCAACTCCGCCAGCGCAAGCACAACGTCAACCTCTACGGTCCGATCACGCCCTCGCCGCTTAGTCTCATTCATGGACGACGAAGATGACAGCAATAATAATACGAATTGCTCCTACCAGAATGACTCCCAGCCATTCTCCTCTGCATTTTCAACGACTCTTGCACCCTCCGATGGTGGCACGACCCGATCTCGTGGAGCGACCCCCTCGCCATTGTCATCCCGGGGGGCCTCCCCACTGCCGATGAAACACCCATCGCGCGCAACCGAATCGATCAATCGTGGCTCTCGCAACGAGACAACTTCATTTGCTTGGAACGGGTCATCAAAGGCTTCATCATCGCGTGGTACTGCCGACTTTCTTGACTCATCATGGTCTTCTCTCCAGAGTCTGGCATCCTCGGTGCTTGGGAACGATACTGGACGATCCACCCCAAATAATACGACCAAATCACACACTAGAAAGCCATCTCGCTCGGACGTATGTATCAAAAGTAACCCTCGGTCGGGACTTTCAACGTGGGGGCCATCAGCGCCGAATTCGCCGCAGGTTGGAACCGGGACGAAGGAGGAACGACAAGCTTTGGTGCAGGCTAAAAAGAGAGAGGCGTTGCTCCTAGCTGAAAGTGACCCGATCACAAGTCGCACATTTACTCACAAACGACGCGACTCTGGCGATACTTCGCACCAAGCCCTGGATCCGGAACACGACGAAGATGCCCTGGCCTACATCCACAGAGTACAAGCAACAGATACCATCACCGGTGTGACAATTAAATATGGTTGCCAGGCTGCGGTTTTCCGAAAGGCGAATGGCTTCTGGCCTAACGATAATATCCAGAGTCGGAACACTGTCCTTCTCCCGGTCGATGCATGCTCCGTGAAAGGCCGGCCTGCCTCAACGAAGCCCGTGGATCTCTTGGGGCCTGATCCTGAAGATCCCAATGACAGCTCTATTGCCCCTCCGGCTACCTCTACCGATAACCCCTCTGCAGAAGATTCCCCTGCAACTACTTCTGAAACGGATGACAACCAGATTTGGAAACATGAGAAATGGGTGTACATGGATGGGTTTCCGGACCAAGTACAAATTGGTCGGGTCCCTCGAAGGGCTTTAGGATTCTTTCCGCGCACCCGGCGAAAATCAGTATCTTACACCGACGCTGAACCATTTGGCTCTTACCGCGAGACCATCACACCTCCTTCTCCCACCGGATCGCCGCCACCACCTTTATCATTGGGTGTATTCCCACGCACTCGACCCAGTGGCGATCAAGCTAAACCCAGGGCCGCGCGTCCTACTCGCCTTGGACACCGCCGTCAACGCAGTAGTCTGCATCTGTCTGGGACTGGAGTAGGAACCCTTGATCCGACCTCTACTGGACCAGGGCCCACATTGGATGGATTCACCAAGTTCTTCGCACAGCATATGCCAAATTTAGCTCCGCCCCCCCGGAAAACACTCGGAAAGCTTCTTTCGGGTCTGTGTCCAGCGCCACATCCCATGCATCGACTGGCCTCGAGAACATCGGCGGTGCGTTCGAGGGATGGATTCGCAATGTAGCAACGCGGGCCAAGGCTGGCATCAATGAACTGCAGCAAGGAACCCCCAACCAGCAGGGCCCAAATCGGGGTCGCAATAAGTGGCGGATGGACGATCTAATCGAGTTGGACGATGGGATGATAGATGGTCGAAACTCCCCCAGCCCTTTCAAGGGCACATCCCGCAGGTCTGAGCAGCAGGGCACATCCTCTTCAGCCTCATCCGTCCGATTCAACAGCCCCTCTGTAGCCGCAGCGAGCAGGTCTCGTGCGACTGGATTCGCGGCAGGCTCAGGTTCCGCACATGAGCGGGCGAAGGACGATTAACGTGTTTGATTGAATTTCCAAGCGTACATAATAAGAGTCTCCGTGTGTGGACCTCTCAAGTTCACCATTGCATTTTCATTTCCCGCCACTTTCTTTCTTTCTTTCTTTCTTTCTTTCTTTTCCCGAGCGGCTTGGCACTTTATTTCTACTTCGGCGTTGGCACTTTCCAGTGCTAGACCGCTCCAAGATTCGGCCGCACTGGAGCATCGCATACATGACAGGGTAAGATGAGCTTCGAATCCGCACTGAAGTTCTGCATACGGCTTCTTGGTCCGACTGGATAATTGGTCAATGTCTTGGATATTGAGTGATGCTTGACCTCGGACAGAGCGGAGGCAGTGTCACCCCTGTCATCTTCGTCACTAGCGCATGTTGGTGTGTACAATACTTACAATGCGCTTGTTGCTACTGCAGCAAATTTTCCTTTATCACCCCGGCCTTTCAGCCTGATAATCCACCATTTAGATCAATTGTTTTCTGAATAGAATATTATATTTGCGGTAGCTTGAAGCTTATTTTTGTCTTTCCAGATTTTTGTAGTCTCGCTGCATGTCTCATACTTTAGTCCTTGGGTTTTTGGTGGCATATCATGCGCCCACATACTAAACAATAAAGGGTCAATCTATATTGGAGAAGTCATGCTATCTTCCCCTGAAGAAGTGCAGTGAATATGTACCTTACGGTGTGGGGATCAGATACCCCTAGGTCAACATATAGAGCACCGAATTTGCCTAGCTTTATTTTCCCACCTATGAGCGCCCATAGAGGCAACGCCGAGCTACAACTTCACTAGAATCCCTCCACAGCGGGGTTGCGCTACATGTAATTTCGATTGAATTCCGAGCCCGAAGGAACAATTAAACCCATTCATTGTTTATGTGCTAAATATCTGGGCATGTAGATCCGAATCAAAGCTGGTAGCGTTACGTATAAAAGCAAGCCCCCAAGCAACGATATATACCAGTCTACAACCAACGCAAAATGAAACCAATATCAAGCACCTCCCTTCTTATCTCTACCCTCCTTTTCTCACTGATATCAGGAACAACAGCAAACCCACCAACAGCAACTCTATACAAATCAAAATTCATAGGCCGCAGCCTACCGGAGTTCAACCAAGATCTCTTCCTAGGAATAAAGTACGCCAACAAACCAACCCGCTTCACACCTACAGAACTGAAAACAGCGTATGCCTCTCACGACAGTAACTCGGGAGCATACGATCTCACCAAGGCAGGGGCTAGCACCAGTACCAAGTCGGTATACTACAATGCCACGCAGTATGGCTATGACTGCCCAGCTTATGGATCCGATACCACCACGCTGGTGAATCAGGGTCTTGCTACGTTGAACGAGGATTGTCATAATTTGAATATTATTCGGCCACAATCTAGCACGGATGAGTTGCTCCCTGTTGTCATTTGGATTTTTGGGGGTGGGTGGACTCAGGGTGCTACTGCTGATCCGAGGTATGGTTGCTGCTTCTTTGGTATATTGTCTATGACTGACTATTTATGTTGTTTCTGAGTAGGTATAACATGAGTTATTTTGTTCAGCAGAGTGATCTGAACGATAAGCCTGTTTTGGGTGTTTCTATCAACTATCGAGTATCAGCGTTTGGATTCCTTGATTCCGAGGAAGTGAGGGTACGACATTGAAATTGGACTTGAACTTATGGATTCGAGAAGTTCGAAATACTGATCAACTGTCAGGCCGAAGGGAATACCAATCTGGCATTGCGTGATCAGCGCATTGCTATGCGTTGGGTGAGGAAGAATATCAAAGCGTTTGGTGGTGATCCAAATAAGATCACTATCTGGGGCGAGTCTGCGTGTGAAACCCGGGAGATATTACCTTCTTATATCAGAGTGACACTAATGTCGTTGAAAACAGGGGTGCTTATAGTGTTGGAGCTCATCTTGTCACCAACGACGGTGATAATGAAGGACTTTTCAGGGCTGGTACGTGCAATGTCTAACACTCCTTACACAATGAGCATTTACTGAACAGAAACAGCAATCATGGACTCGGGCAATGCAGTCGGACCCCCATATAATGGAACCGAATGGCATCAGCCAATGTACGACCGTATTGTCGAAAGAGCTGGGTATGCCCTCTTACAATCCCCCAATGAAGCTGAGTTCTTTTCAAGTTGATACTGACAAATATTCATCGCGATCAGATGCACAGAGTCTTCAAACACCCTCCAGTGCCTCCGCAATCTCCCATACGCAACACTATACAGCGCTGCCTACGAAGGCCTAGAATGGTTCGCCACAGTCGACGGCACATTCATCTCCCAATACCCGCAAATAAGCTACAAGCAAGGCAAGATATCCAAAGTACCTGTACTCCTCGGCACGAACACAGACGAAGGAACCAGCTTCGGCACGACAGGGACAAATACCGATGAGGATTGCATCGACCAGCTGATATGTAAGTGTATTCAACTTTCACGCAAGAACCTACCCATCAAACTATACGTTCCATACTGATACTACCAAATAAACAGCATCAAAGCGCTGGGTCCTCACCCGCCCCCAAGCAACAGAACTCATAACCCACTACCCGAACATCTCATCCATCGGCTGTCCGTACGGATGGGGAAACACAACCTGGCCCTCGCTAGGAGTAATGTATAAGCGGTACGCCTCAATGGCCGGCGATATAACGATGGTCGCGCCGCGGCGATTGCTAGCGCAGACGATGTCCGGTTTCGCCGGTAGGGTTTACTCGTACCGGTGGGATGTTGCTGCGCAGAATAGTTCGAGTACAATTGGCGTGCAGCATTTTGCTGAGGTATGTAGATACTACGCTGTCTTTTATTCTATTTTACCTTCGTGGCTAAGTGAGGAATGATCTTTAGATCCCATTCGTCTTTGCCAATCCCGTCCAGACAATTACGCCTCTAGGCTCTGATCCTGCCCGGCTGGAGCTTGGGCAAATGGCTGCAAGGATGTGGGCTTCTTTTGTAGCTGATTTGGATCCTAATGGGCATGGTGGTATGTTTATCTACTCGGAGTCATAGTTGGAGATTGATGATGCTGACGGTTCATAGTGGACCGTATTCCCAGGTGGACTCGCTATTCGAATCGGGCTACTAATTTTGTTTTCCGTTTACCTCGGAACGAGAGTTATATTGAGGATGATGAATATCGGCTGGATGGGATTGATTATATCAATACTATTGCACGGTAAGGGGATAGGGAGGAGAATGTTTATTGATACTTGGGTTTCATAAGACTTCTTTTACGTTGGATTTGGATTCTATGGCAGTTGTTGACATTGTATTTGATGGCCCATTTTCGGTGACTATGGGGTATTTGCTTGTAGACGTTCCTCTTTGGCACGATATAATAGTTCTCACCTTGGATAGCATTCCAGTTTCCGATGAATGTTAGTTGAGCCTCGAGGCCGGAACGCCCTCGTATCAGTTACTGGGTATAGAGTCAGGCAAGCAGGAAGCCCACAATCAGAGCATTTGTCTTGGCCACATAGCAGTTCAAGTTAGAAACTTCGATGGAAAAGTATTCAAGCTGTACAGCCGTACATATCTGGACCTACATTCGCCCAAACATCTACAAAGTCTACTGCAAGCAGCACGGGAAACAATGGTAAACGCATGCCAATCCACTCGATTTTCTTCGCTGAACGAGTCTAATCGAGGGACAGCAAGAGACCGCATTTTTATTTCGGCATTGGTGTAACCTGCTCACATGAAAGTAGGAGCAGGATCAAGCCGGTATTCTCTCCACGTAGTTATTAGAGTTGCGGGTCAAGTTTTGGCGAATAGCAATTGATTTAAACGCTCTTGGTGCCGATCTTGAGGAGCTCGACCTCGCTGTGGAGAGTTAGCCCGGATGTTCTCATTCGAGGGGGAAACAGTATGACTTACAAGACGAGACGGGAGTTCTCGGGGATTAGACCGGGGAAGCCACTAAGTATTCGTTAGTATCCAGCTTATACTTAATACCCCGAGAATGCAGGAAAGCGTCGGAAGTAGTGGGTTCAGCTTATACGTACCGAGCACCGTAGCCGAAGTCACTGGGAATCGTTAGCCAAGTGTCTATAATAGGTTCGACGGGATAACTCACGGGCTGATGGTCAGGATGGCCTTCTCGCCGAGGCTCATCTGGGGAACACCCTCGTCCCAGCCTAAATCCAAAGCGAGTTAGTATGTGATCGCTCAAGGTGAACTCGTCCGCGAGTATGTTGTCATCCAGGGTATGACGAGAGAGAGGACGCACCGCGGATGAGACGACCGACACCGATGGGAGTGGCAAGGGGACCACGGCCGGGGTTGTGGGAGCTATCGAACCTGTTGGGTTGAGAATATGTTAGCAAGTAGAACGATCGAGACCGAGGGGATAGCTTACTTGGTGCCCATGAAGTGGTTGTCGGCCTTGCTCTCGTCATAAAGGCAGCCAGTGTAGTGGATGGCGACGTGCTCACCCTTCTTAGGGTAGTCAATGCCGTTGCCCTCCTTCAAAGTCAGTTTCTCGACGCCCATTTTGAATGATGTAGATGAGAATGAAGATGATTGAGGAGAGAAAAGATGTTGACGAAAACCGAGGGGCAACGGACTATCCACTTTTCTCCAAAGTGGGACACCTCTTGTCAATCCGCTACATAGCGATGCCATTGGCCTGATTGAATTCATAGTGAGAGGAGAGAGCTTTACATTCAAGGCTCGAGCTTTACCAAAACAAAGATTTGTTTTTCGGCCCACTTCAGAGATGGAGTATCAATTGCCAGCTGAGGTAATGATATAGAGCTCCAAATGCGGCTTAGTGTTCCTATTCCGGACTAGCGGGCTTCGACATATATCTCGACATCTATAGCCCGTCATGACTTGAACAACTGCATCCCAACACGGTTATGTCTCTCAAAGGAGTACAAGTCATCAGTAATCGGTTCGTGAAAGTCGCCGCTCATACTTAGACGAACGGAAGATGCCATGATATCACTTCAGTCTCAGGCTGTCAAGATGCTAGGGTCTATATTGCCACCCAGAAGCAAAAGTTAATCGTAGGGTAGGCACGGCCCACATGTCCCGCGCCGATATTTCTCGCGTCGCAATGCTGCCGGTTTAGCTTAGAATTTGTCAGTCTCAGAAGAATGGACGTTGTAAACGTTGGGTTCGAGTCGAGACCCAGTGCAGCAAGAGTCATAGATAGTGATCACCAATTTCAACCATTCCCACATGCCAGGATTTGTCATGGTCGTGATCTCATGCCTGGATATCGTACCAGTCGCACAATCTACTTGTTGACGAAGTGGATCTCCGCTAGCCCGTTGCCAACGTATTTTAAGAACTAAGTGGCACCCAGCACCTCTTCACATCAGGCGAACTGAGATATAAACAGATTGCATTCTGATGCGACAAGGGTCAAGATAAGAATGAATGGTTAAGTGGACCGTTCCATTGATCGACACCTCCATCACAGAGACCGAGCCTGCACCGACCGATCGCCGAAACCCTGCACACAGCAATCCTATTCGAACTAGGCGCCGAAAATCATTGTCATTTGCTAGGCCCAGACTGGAGAAAATGTCAGCATTGAAATCATTTAGATTTTGATCGGCCTGTTCGGCAGGAAAGAGAACCGGCGATCACTCGGTACAAACTCGGCTGAGGCATTAAAGGTTTTCAGCCCTGCACATATTTCATTTTTATTGTTAATCTTAGGTTTTTCACAGTTGACTCCATAGATATATAATAAGCCTGCTCTCGCATCTGAAAATTGAGTATATCAACTCAATCCACTCTTCCACTAGCGCCTTTCCTTGCCATCCCGCAAGCCTTCATACATCATGAGCGCCTCCACATCTATCAAGATGAGCTCTGAGGCTCTAAGCAACACTACAGATGCCTCAAAAGACGCTTCAAAACAATCCTCTACCTCCTCATCCTCCCAATCTTCTCACTTCTCTCGCTTCAAGAAGCACTTCAGCAACCTGAAGAAGGATTGGGCTCCTCTGATGGCCGCCAAGGAACACTGGGAAGACGAGTACACCTTCCCACCTGGCAGATATGCTGGCCAAGGACACCGACGTGACATTTAAATGGTGAGTGCCAGCACAGATGACCAACTACGACATGTTTTTCTGACTTTGACTCAGTTCTACAGCGCTCTAGACGGAAATAATGACTTAGACGGGAATTGGGAGAATTGGGCGCTATTCGGTATAATGAGATAGAATGGGATGTACTTAATGACCACAAAGACCTTTAATGAATGATGCTATCATACACTGAGATCTCGATGTACTCTAATTGGGCAGGATCGAGTTCTGATTTCTTACAATATGACGCCATAATTATATATTGCACTTGTTACCCTCTTGTAGTTTCCAACTTTGCAGGTATCACATTTATATATCTATGTTAGCACCACCGCATGGACTGAAAGCGCCATAACTCTGCCATTTCTGGCCTAATTCCTTTGCTTTTTAGCGCAAATCGAAAAAAAAAAAAAAAAAAATGAATCGGAAAGGAAAGAAAGCCCAACGCCGGGGTCACAGGCAACCTCAAGATAAACCTTATGTTTGAAGCAAATCTCCTCCAGGGAATCTCAAGTACCAAAGTATAAGTCTCGCGCGCTAGCCATTGTGCCCAGCTGGGCTTTTATTGTAAAGCTGTTTTCCTATTTGATTACACATAAGATTGTTACATTCAAAATCTTATGCACAGAGTCAGGTCACTTCAAATTTTGAAGCCCAATTTGGGCAGAGAAGCATGTAACATAACATTGAAGACGCTAGATGCTAGGCCCCTTCGCTTTATACCATGTAAAAAGCAATCTCAAAGGTGATGGACATTTCTATATATACCTGACTGTTTTGCACCTCACATCGCAGGGCTGGGGACGCAACACAACGACTGTGAACTAAACTCCAGAGGGCAAGGCTATGATATGCTTCTTAGCGAACTAGATGCAGATATCTATGTTTTTATTTTACACTTCCTAGATTTCTCTGGTTTATTTCACTTTCAAATTGCCTGCCGACGGTCGGGCTATCTCTGATTAGTCATCATGCCTCGATCGCCGATAAGAAAAAAAACCTTCCAAGGTCCCATCAACCTCGTTCATATCAACTTACCAGCCTAACGTCACAATGGGTGTCCAGAGGAAGACCAAAAAGTTTGCCTTGGCCAAGAGGGCCATAACTATGAAGGACAACCGCCTGTTTGTCCCCTTTGAATCCCAGTCCTGTCAAACCTGCTAACACCAACTAGGAAGCAAAATCAAGACAAGAAGGAGGAGGCTAAGAAGCCCAAGGATGATCTGATCAGAGAAGCGTGAGTAACTGCATGAAATGTCAAAAATGCAAAGGTCTAACAAATCTCCAGTCCCCAGGCTCCTTCGTCCATGTTCTTCCAATACAACACAGCTCTCGCTCCCCCGTACTCCGTCCTGGTCGATACCAACTTCATCTCCCACACCATTCAACACAAGCTCGAGGTCATCCCCAGCATGATGGACTGTCTATACGCAAAGTGTATTCCTATAGTCACAGACTGCGTGCTTGCCGAGTTGGAAAAGCTGGGCCCGAAGTACCGTCTCGCCCTGCGTGTGGCCAAGGATACCCGGTTCGAGAGAGTCAAATGTGACCACAAGGGTACCTATGCCGATGACTGTCTCGTCGACCGCGTGATCAAGCACCGTGTCTACATCATCGCCACCAACGATCGCGATCTCAAGAGACGTATTCGGTATGTTCTGCGGAGTAGGAAAAGTTGAAGTGCTTATTCTGACGTTTATAGTAAAATCCCCGGTGCTCCTATTATGAGCGTTGCTCGCGGAAAATACGTTATTGAGCGTCTCCCCGATGCCCCCGAGAAGTGAGCGCTTCTACACGATCTTCCATTGCGTTCGGCCTGGCGTCTTGTTCGTCGGTCTTTTGTTTACCATTGCGATACCCACGAATTTCTTTTTTTTTTTCATCAAAAGTTGCAACAAACCATAGATTTGTCTTGTTAGTGGTGGGCGAATTTCACATCATTCGGGACTGATAGGCGCCAAATTGAGCTGTCACATGAAACGGATCGAAGCAGTACGAGTCTGAGTTCGACGGTTTGAATTCAAACCAGCATCAGGTGCGATTCAAGGGGCCTTTCAAGGATAGCTGCGAATGAGCTTACCGCCAATGCCCTCATCTTAAATTTTACGATGGCCATCGCGATTATTCTCTGATGGCAAAGCCAATGAGTTGAGGTCCTGCTTGAAATAAGACCGATGATTGCACATAGGCTATTTGCTTCCATCCCAGTCATTCTGGCGGGCTGGACTGCAGCATGTATTATAGTTATTAAAAAAATGTTGTGAACAATCGACGAACCGCATCCTTAGCGATCCGATTGTCAGCAAAGCTCTCAATCATCCTCCGCCGCGACATCATGATATATAGCGGTGGCAACTCTGCAAGTAATGACCTGGATTCAACCGAGTCGTCATCAGGAGCTGCGATATCAAGAAGCTGCTTCAGTACCCGTAGAGAATACAATGTAGCCTGGATCTGACCGAGGAGCTGAACATCCGCCCAATCAGTCCTCTGACCCATGTACCCCTTTGCAAGGAACTTTTCTACTTGCTTTCCAGTTGGAGTCGTACTCGCATCGCGGTAGATCTCCGAAAGAGCGAACAGGACCCAGAACCTCTCTGTGGCCAGACTATGCCCGAAGGTATCTCGTGTAGATTCAAGCCGACTCCGAAGGAGCCCTAACTCCAACTTCACGTACGGTTCCTCACTGAGAGCCACCTCATCGGCAACAATCCTCCCACCGCGACGAACATACTCACGCACAATTGAGTACCGATTATCAGCAGCCCTGGAGAGATTGAAGAACGAATACCCAAGAGCACGATAATCCCTCCCATGCCTCCAAGCACATTGCCTAGCATGATCTTCACTCAAAACCCCAAGATAAACATGCGGCACACCATCCGAACAATAAATCCTAGGAAGCTGATACTGCCAAACCAACTCCGAAACCCTAGGATCCAAGTCCTGAACCAAACAGCCCGCCCCAACAGCCGGCTGCAAATGCGTATCTTGATCTTCATACTCCCTCAAAAAGTTCCGATACACATCCGAAGACTCAGTAACACCCCCATCATCCTTAGCCGCCTGCACAATTTGCGCAAACCTCAAATGCGGATTCTGCGTCAACGCAAACGCAAACCGTTGAATACTAGCAACACCCAGCTTTCGCGCAAGAACAGCCGGACAAATCCTCAACCCGCGAATATCACCCGCAACAGCATCCCACACGCCCGAAGGTGTCTGCACAGAATCAAGGAAAACAACAGAACCCTCCGGCCCAAGGTCATGAACCATCAAATCCGAATCACCGGATAGGACAGCCGACCCCGTTGCTTTCGCAACACGCGCACATTCCACGTCTGCTTCGCCGGGAACCATGACTGTCCTCTCTGCCCAGGGATATTCTTCTTGATGAATGAGAGAGGTGATATCCTCGTCGACATTGTTGCGTATGGATTCTTTGCTCCAGCGGCCTTTGAGATCTTCGTAGACGGTTGAGACCATGAATGGGTTTTCGGGCAGATTCTTTCTTCGACTAGGTAGACCACGACTGCACCATATTTGGCCTGCTTTTGGGTTTATGGGGGGTCGGGACTTTGGTGCTGTGTGGAGGGGGAGATCGCGTCGTGCGAGCTCGAGTCTTTTGCGGGATTTTTCGTTTCTGCTTAGGCGTGTTTCGCGTTTTGGGGTTGGGAGGGCGCCATCGAAGCAAATTTTATGGCTGGTTATATGTTGTTAGTGGGTTTTTGCTTATTGCAAATGTAGATGTATGCGAGGAAGTGTTAGGTGGGATGGTGGGATGGATGGTGGGGTGTGGAATGCTCACATTTCAACACCTAGTTCGTTCAATTGGAGGAGGTAGCTACATACCCCGCGACTGACCTCATCGCAGCTTGGTTGGACGTCTAGGATGTCGCAGCTTGGGTCTATCCATGAAAGTAGGCGGTGGTGCACATGGTATACTAGACTTGGACCGTCGATGACGACTCCTCGTACGCGCGGGGGGTCTTCTAGGCCTGGTGTTTGCCCATTGAGTTGGATGCTCTCGGCATACGGGAGGAGGTGTTTGGTGAGGTATTGAATTCCCATAGTGTGTAGGAATTGGAGTGTTGGCTGGCGGATATTTTCCTGGTTGTATTAGTCAGGTTGGATGGACCGCGGGTGACGGGCACTAACAGAAATATAGATGGCTTGGATGTTTATTTCAACCATAAGTCAAACTGTCATGTCTACATACCTCAGATACGGAAACGAACAAATGCACGGTTTAGGAGAGCTTGGTTATGCGGATTTTGCGGGACTATTCATATATCCCGAAAGCATAAACTATGCATATATTGAAACAAATTAGACTGCTCATTTACATACGCCAGACCCATTCAATGACTCTAGTCCTTTACCGGGCAGACCGCAAGAATCCAACAACACCACGACAGTATCCAACCAACTCAGCCAAACGCTTTCCTTCCCGCTCCTGCTCCTGAGCCCAAGAAGCCAAAACCTTCTGCAAGAGACGGAACTCGGGTCCATCTCTCTGTGAGCTGAGGGAGACAGTATCGGAGTGAATCTTCAGGAACACCGCCATCCAAGCATTGACCATTTCAAAGTCTCTCTTGGACTTCAAGCGGTTAGTGAGAGCAATGACGAAGTCGGACAATTCAGAGTGTCCAGCGCGGACGCGAGGATCCAATGACCGAATCTCGAGATCGGCCTTGGCGGGAGGGAGGGACTTGAGGTGGTCGATGAAAGAATCATAGTTGCCGGATTTGTGACCGGCTTCCAAGGACCGAGTGAAGACGGTCTGGGAGGAGGGGCCTGTTTCGCCATTTTGCAACTTGGCGATGCGTAGACGTTCGGCCTCAGCGGTTTGCGCGAGGAATCCGGCTTCAACGGCGTCATTGCTGGAGGCGGCTGGCTCAGGTCCGCTGGAGCTGAGCATGGATGGGAGGAAGAAAGGTGCCTTCTCGGGTGCCTTGGGTGCTTCCTTGGGCTTGTTACGTTCCTGTTTAATTATTAGCTTTGGAATTCTTATGATGCAAATGGTAAATAGGTCTTACCCGAATAGTATCGAGGTGGATCAGTGACTGCCATCTGCTCTTGGGAACCAGACTGAGAGTCATCATATTGTTTTGTAGTTGTTCAGTTGCCAGAACTGGGCCCTCAGCCTCGTCATCTTCAGCAACATCAACAAAGGCCGCCTCAACGAGACCAGCACCACTCTCGCCGGATGTGGCTGGGACGCCAACGTTCTCAATGACACTCTCGTCCAGGTTCTTGGTCGAGATGGGCATGAAGAGACTGCGGTTGCTCCAGAGACTAATGCCAATACTACCAGCGTGGGCAGTAGCAAGGAATTCACCAGTGGATGACATAGTCAGGGCAACACATGTGCTGGATACCCGGAAGATATCGATGAGATGTCCAGTGGGTAGATCCCAAACACGGACCACTGAGTCCATAGACGCCGCAATGACCCATCGTCCATCATTTGAGAAGATGAAGTCATTGACCTGGCCCACACATCCCCAGAACTCACGGACAAGCTTCTTGGTCTCGAGGTCGATCACACGGATCGAGAGGTCGTCACAGCTGAAGGCGACCAACTCACTGGCCTTGTTGTAGCGAAGTCCAGTAATGGCAGCCATTGGGTGCCAATCGAGCTCGTCGATGAATGATCCAGAAAGAAGATCCCAGAACTTTACTTTGCCATCCAATCCACAGCTGACGACGGTCCGGTTCAGACTGTCAATCATCAATCCGGTGACAGCCTTGGTGTGCTTTGTCGAGGGCGTAATGTTGAGCTTACTCACGCGAGACTTTGGTAGACGGGCTGGGAAGCTCTGGCGGTGTTGTCCAGATTGCATGTTAAACATGTCAATGGCACCTCCAGCTGAACCAATGACGGCGAAAGTTCCACATTGCGACATTGCCACGCTCTGTACAGAATTGTTAGTAATAAAGAACCAAATATTCCGAGTAAGTACATACCTTGACTTCCGTTCCGTCGCTAGTCTCAAACGCCCAGCGACCTGCCTTCTTCTTACCCCAGAACCAAGTACGTGCGAACTTGTCGCCCCGATGACCAGTGACCACACTTTCCCAGCCGGTTGCATTGGAAGCATCGGCGTTTGTAACCTTGGGGTTCGACCAAATAGGCCCAGAGGTTGTGATACCCATGCCAGCATCACGGTTCAGACTGGAAGCGATACAAGAAATCTCGGGAGCCTTGAGATCATCCACTGACGATTTGCTCGAGTTACTCTGGCCTGTCTTCTTGGCCTTGCTTTCCACATTGCCTTGTGATATTTCTGTATGTTGGCTATCCTTGCGCAGACTGAGTCCCCAGAGACTGCAGTCCTTGCTAGCACTCATGAGCCACTTGCCGCCGGAATCGGATCCGTCCGAAGAGGCTGGCAGGAAGTCAATGGCGCTGACAGCAGCGGAGTGACCGTTTCTTGCATGAAGAGGTCTGGGGATAGGTGAGAAGGGGGTGGCGTCAAAGATCCAAGTCCTCAGTGCGTTGTCATCACCAGAGGACACCATCACGGGCTGACCATCCAGGAATTCAACGTTGTTCGCTCCCATGGACTTCTCGCCACTCATAACCTTGTGAGCACCACGGAGAATGCCGGCAACACGGCCTCCCTCATTCAGATCCCAGAGAGTGATATCACCACTGCCGCTCGATGCAGTGGCCATGACACCTGGGGTGCGGCCTTCGGAACCAGCACCAAGACCATCACTTCGGAATGTGATAGACGTCACGGGAAGGCCCCGAGACGAGGCAGCCCGCAGAGCCAAAACTGTTAGGCCAGAGTTGACATTTTGAATCGACAATGCGCCGCTCTTATACGCAATGGCAACAAGAGACAGAGCGGGGGTTGAGCTGATAGCAGTCACAGGTCCAGCCCCTGCAGACAGAGCAGGCAGAGTGAAGAGGAGCTTTCCGCTGCGGAGGTTCCAAATATCAACCGCTCCATCGGTGCGGCCCACGAAGACCTTGTTCAGATAAGTTGGCATGTTGCACATGACACCGGTGTAGACCTGATCAGAGCCGTGAACGGGCTGCGCACGCAGACTAGCATAGTGCTCGTATGTTCCTGTCTTCCACACTTCAACACCACCAGCCCAGCAACCAACGACCCACGAACCGAACACGACTAATCGCTGGATGGGACCCGTCAGGTCCGAGGGGCTATCAAGAGCTGCGACCTTCTTTCCACGCTTGAAAACCCAGACACCACCCGGGGACCGCGGCCGGAGATGGCCCCATGACGCGAATACCTTATCCTGCCATGCGCAAGTTGCGGTGATAATCTCGGGGGTTTGAGGCCGACTCAGGAAGACAAGATTCAGTCCACGGCGCAAATCGTAAGTCTGCAGGGAATGTCCGACCGAAGTGGTAATCTGAAAGGTCGATTTGCCCAGGCGAACCGAAGTGAAAGGGACCGGTGTGGGTGACACTAATCCTAATGTCTTCACGGGACATTGTCAGCTGGATCATCGAGTTCGGAGTGTGACCTTCCACATACCCGGAAAGGAGCGAAGATCTTGGAGCCTCGCGATTGACCCTTGGACAGTTGCGATGTGCGCTTCTGCCTCTTGGCCAGAGGCGCATCGTGCTTGTCGCTAGCAGCAGGCATGCTGATAGGGAGTCTGGATATCGACTCGAGATAAATGCTGGTGAGGCAGCGGGGAATCAAGATATTAAGAGTGCCAATGTAATATTTCAATTACCATTGACTTCCAGATATCCCCCACAAACAGCACTTGCAGTACAGTATGTGTTTGAAGTCGTCTCAATCTGAGCTTCTTTTTTTTCCCGCTGTTTTTTTTCTGCCCCGCCTAATCCTGCACGGTGGAGACCGCCTGCCATTACGGGAAGAAGTACATGATCACGAAGTATCAAGTACTTGTAACAGGATCAATTATGTTGATATATTTATGTGGAGGATATCATTATCAAGCTCGATAGATAGAATTTGACGTATATCTGAATTAATTCGGTCTGGTAATCTCGAGACTCCATGTCATCAACATTTGCCTCATGGAGTTGATCACCTTACCAATGATGTATGCGTAATGAGTACGCTCAGGCAAAGTACCTGGCTATAAGTACAAAATACTCTCAATTCCAGAAGCACGGAAGAGACATAATAGCCCCAGAAGATACTCACCACTCGATACTTTCAACGGCTCGTCATGAGCGCAAATATAAAGTTGGTGAACCTCTTCACCGTCTCTCCGCCTGCGGGCCCATTCTTTGGTAATACAGTCTTTCTCTCCGAATGCGACGTTGATCAATTCTTCTCTTCTCTCTTGTCTTAGTTAAACACATCTTCTTGTCGGAGTTTCTGTTATCATATTCACCCCCACTTTGCCCCTCCTATCAGTGGGACATTCCCAGTGTCCGCTATGGATCTCGGAGGCTCTCTCAATGCCGACTCCTCGACCCCTACGGAACCTATCATGACGGCCTCCCCTCCCTCGCCGATGGAGTCCGAGAACGAGCAGACCCCTACAGGTTTGATCCCCGAGCCAACGGGATTGTCGCCAACAAAGCCTGTCCATCCAAAGACCACAGGAAAACCCGAACCGGGATCTGAATTTCGGCCCGGTGGTTTAATTGGACATTCTACACGCTCCTCGAGTCGAGCACCCAGAAGATTCAGTGGAAGCACAGCTGCCAGTACAACTGCAAGCTCTATCAGCGAGATGGAATCCAGCTCTCTCAAGCCATGGAGGATTGGAGTATGTGCTTTGGATGTCAAGGCTCGCAGCAAGCCAAGCCAGAATATCCTGACCCGTTTACAATCAAAGGGTGATTTCGAGGTGATTGTTTTTGGTGACAAAGTGATTCTTGACGAGGCCGTGGAAAATTGGCCAGTGTGTGATTTCTTGGTGGCATTTTTCTCCGACGGATTCCCCTTAGATAAGGCGATTGCGTATGCGAAGTTGCGGAAACCGCTCTGTGTCAATGACCTACCTATGCAAAAGGTGTTGTGGGATCGGAGGTTGTGTCTGCAGATCCTCGATCATATGGGTGTTCCCACCCCGAAACGGTTGGAAGTCAACCGTGATGGCGGTCCAGTTCTGGAATCGCCCGAACTGGGCCAGCATATCTATCGCCTTACGGGTGTGAAACTTCCAGGTCCGGAAGACGGGACTGGTGGTGGTGCTCCCAGAACTCAGAGTGTCTCTATGTCCGAGGACGGCGAATCATTGATTGTTGACGGCAAAGTCTTCAAGAAGCCTTTTGTCGAAAAGCCAGTCAATGGTGAAGACCATAACATTCACATCTACTTCCCCAACGACTCTCAGTATGGCGGTGGTGGAAGACGGCTCTTCCGAAAGGTTGGCAACAAGAGCTCAGAATACGATCCCAATTTGTCTGTGCCACGATCGGTTACCGAGAACGATACAAGTTATCTGTACGAGCAATTCCTCAGAGTCGACAATGCCGAGGATGTCAAGGCCTACACAGTCGGACCCGATTTCTGTCATGCAGAGACACGCAAGTCTCCCGTGGTGGATGGACTTGTCCGGCGTAACACCCACGGAAAGGAAATTCGTTACATCACGAAACTTGGCAAGGAAGAAGCGGCAATTGCTTCCAAGATCTCTAATGGATTTGGCCAGAGGATTTGCGGCTTTGACATGCTCCGTGTGGGAGACAAGAGCTACGTCATTGATGTCAATGGCTGGAGTTTTGTCAAGGACAACAATGACTATTACGACAAGTGTGCCAACATTCTGCGAGATATTTTCCTGAACGAGAGACGTAAATGTGAAGGACCAATCGATGCTTCTGAGCCCCCATCTCCGGACATCGGACCATCCAGGAGGAGCACTGCTGGGTCTCATCGCCAGGCCTTGAAAACATTGCTGAAGTCTCCTAGCCATTCCAGACTTTACGGCGTCCAAGGATCCCACAAAGCAAACGATAACCTTCCCTCGGAGGTATCTACTGCCACTCCGTCGGTGGCCTCTTCATCTGGAGTGGAGAGCGCTGATATTGGCGCTGCTCTTAGCAAGCTGAACTCCCGCGAGGGGCACTCTGCTTCTCGTGCCTACAGTCCCTCTAATGCGAAGTCACCAGCTCTCTCGGTGCAACATGCCAACGACGAAGCTCTTCCCCCTCTTCCGGCTTCCAAGCACTCTTGGAAATTGAAGGGAATGGTCGCAGTGATTCGTCATGCAGACCGAACTCCCAAGCAAAAGTTCAAATTCACCTTCCACAGTCAACCCTTTGTGAACCTTCTCAAGGGCCACCAGGAAGAGATAGTGATCAAGGGTGAGGCTGCGTTGTCCAGTGTATCTGATGCAGTCAAAGAAGCCATGGAGAAGGGCCTGGAAGATATGGAGAAGCTGAAGTTGCTCCGCACCTCTCTGGAAAAGAAGGGCGGTTGGCCCGGAACCAAGGTTCAGATCAAGCCCATGTTCAGAAAGCGGACTGCAGAGGAGATGGGTGATACTACACCTGTTGTTTCCACTCCTGGAGCTGTTATAGGCGAAGAGCCTCTTACACCTGTGCCGGAGGATCCCGAGCATGCGGAAACTGAGGAGCTGCGCCAGGCACGAAGTGATTCCATCTCTGGTGCAACATTCTCCCGCTTCTCTGCTGCTGAGAATGACTTGATCTTGGATAAGCTACAGCTTGTGATTAAATGGGGAGGAGAGCCTACTCATGCTGCCCGTTATCAATCGCAGGATCTTGGATTGAACATGCGCGATGATCTGAAGTTGATGAACAGGGAGGCACTCAACAACGTTCGTCTGTTTACCAGCTCGGAACGCAGAGTGAGCACTAGTGGTGAGTTTAAACCCACCCACCCACCTTCTTGGGAGGCAACCTCCTTGTAATCAATTGCATGCTAACAATCCTTCTAATTAGCACAAATTTGGGCCTGTTCATTCTTAGACCAGAAGGACATCCCCGAAGACTTGATTCAGGTCCGCAAGGACTTACTTGACGACTCCAATGCTGCCAAGGATGTCATGGATAAAGTCAAGAAGAAGCTTAAATTGCTCCTGAGAGAAGGATCGGCGCCTTCGCAATTCGCTTGGCCCAAGGATAGCAACATCCCAGAGCCTTCGGTTGTGCTCGCCACGGTCGTCGAACTGATGAAGTTCCACCGTAGCGTGATGCGACACAACTTTGAGAAGATTGCCAGTTCATCGCACCTCACACCTGCTACATCCAATGATATCGATGCTGCCCAGGCTGATGGTACTCCATCTGAACACCCCAGTATCGAGAACATTCAGGGTCGTTGGTGCGCGGGTGAAGATCCCCGGCTCTTCAAGGAGCGATGGGAGAAGCTCTTCGCAGAATTCTGCGACACTGAGAAGGTTGATCCTAGCAAGCTTTCTGAGTTGTACGACAGCATGAAATTCGATGCCCTCCACAATAGGCAATTCCTCGAATGGGTCTTCATGCCTCCAGATATTGCCGTTGATGAGGATGACAATGCCAGCTTGAAGGGCAAGAGCCCAAAGTCAGAAGTTGGGGAATCTAAGCAAGCGCAGGAGTCTGGAAGCGAAAAACCCGAAGAAACTCAGACATTTGCTCATCGCTTCGGGTTGAAGAAGCGTAGCGTGCTCGAGTCACTCCCCCACCTCCGGGCGCTGGATGATTCATATGATCACTACTTCAAGCTTTTCCCTGGTGCCAAGTCTTCCAAGTGCAAGATGGATGAACGACTCTCTAAGCTCCGGGAGCTGTACAAGCTGGCCAAGGTCCTGTTTGACTATGTGACACCCCAGGAATACGGTATTACCGATAGTGAGAAGCTGGAGATTGGTCTCCTAACATCCCTCCCTCTTCTGCAAGAGATTGTCCGAGACCTGGAAGAAGTGCAAGCATCACAGGATGCCAAATCTTTCTTCTACTTCACTAAGGAATCTCACATCTATACCCTCTTGAACTGCATCCTGGAAGGGGGAATCCAAACCAAGATTGCCAGGAGCGCCATACCCGAGCTAGACTATCTCTCTCAGATCTGCTTCGAACTATATGAGGCTCGGGATAGCGAGTCAGACTCCTACTCCTACTCCATCCGCATCTCCGTCAGTCCCGGCTGTCACGCCTTTGATCCTCTTGACGTGCAACTCGACTCGAGGCACGCCATCGGCTGTGCCCCGCGACGAAGCTTGACAGCTCACCAGGACTGGAAGGAGGTGATTGAAACATTGAAGGCCAAATTTAATACGTGAGTTGCCCCAATCCTTCAGGATGTGATAGAGGTTTCTAATTATGCCCAGGGTGGAACTTCCTAAAACCTTCATCGCAGTTAACCTGAGCGACAAGCATACCGCTCATCCTGATGAAGACGCCCCGCACGAGGCCTCTGGTCAATAATACGCATAAATTGACTTTACTATTTGATTATTGAATTGTGTTTGTACTCTATTGACTGTACTATCTAGAAAAGCAATTTAGAAACGGGAATGGAATCATAGTCACAAATATAAATCACATGTAGAAGGATCAAAGGACCGTAAGCGGTGCCCCGCGGCTTATCAACGCCCGAACGCCCGTGTTGACCTATTTCTTCTTGGACCGCTGGACACTTCTTTCCAAGTCTCACTCCAAAATGGTTGAATCAGCTTTCGAGGTCGACATAGCCGGCAACACGCTGAAATACACTGATGGCAACATTGACTTCGACGACATCCTGTGTATACTGCCAGGTCCAGCGCCCAACAAGCATCGCGTACTGTTCTTCGAGCAAGCCAAAAAAGACAGCGCCAAGTCAGGAGAGCACACATACCTAAAGAAACTCGATATAAAAAACTTACCGATAGAGCTTAGCAGCTTCTTAACGACGATCCCAAGCCACATTCAAAACACAGACAAGCCACCTGTGATCCAAGTGGTGATATCCATAGGCTCAGGAACAGGCAAAGCCAAAGCCGTCTTCCAAGATGCCCTCCAACCTCTATTCACCAACATCGGGCTAAAAGGCATCGAAATCTACGAAACAGAATCTGCACAGACAATCACCGAATTAGCACAAACCAAATTCATCAAGCATGCCGCCGAAGGCGTACCCCAGACCATCATCCTCCTCTCAGGAGATGGCGGCCTGATTGACATCCTCGACATATTCTACAAATCAAAGCAAACAGTGAAAGTCCCGCCTATTATCGTCCTGATCCCATGCGGGACAGGGAACGCCATGGCGAGTTCAATTGGACTACGATCTGGTCCGATACCAGGTTTGTCTACGCTACTCCGAGGCACGCCAGCTCCCATCCCAGTCTTCGGCGCTCGATTCTCACCTGGGAGTCAGTTTGTCATTGATGAGGGTCGTCAGCGGATGCCGATAGACAGTGACGGTGATCGTGACGATGCTGCTTACCGGACGGTACACTGTGCAGTCGTTGCAAGCTGGGGTCTTCATGCCGCGCTCGTTGCGGATAGTGATACATTCGAATACCGCAAATTCGGTATTGATCGTTTTAAAATGGCTGCTAATGAGCTGCTTTATCCATCGGACGGGTCGCCTTGTCATCGGTTCAAGGGGAAGATTACGATATCTCTGCGGAAGGATGGGGAAGATGGGGATATTCGTCAGGAAATTGTGGAAAGTGATGAGCATATGTATGCGCTTGCTGCTATGGTTCCGCGTCTTGAGAAGGAGTTTTTGATTTCTCCTGAGTCTGTGCCGCTTAGTGGAGATATGAGGTTCATTCGGTTTGGACCTATGTCGCCGCAGGATGCGTTGCACTTGATGGCTCTTGCTTATCAGGGTGGGAAGCATGTTGCAGAGGGCACGGTTACCTATGTTAATATTGAAGGGTTGAGGATTGATTTCCTTGAGGATGAGGAGAGATGGAGGCGGGTTTGTATTGATGGTAAGATTGTTGCTGTTGAGAGGGGTGGATGGCTGGAGTTGTATAAAGAGACTAAGCGGTTGCTTCACTTAATTCAGTAGCAGTAACACTTATACTCATGCTAGAATGCAGTCATAATATAAATATCAGAATGAAGTATAGAATGCCGAGTCGCCGATCCCAATCATGTGTCTCTCCCGCCATCTCCGATAAACACAGCCCCAACCCTTCAGGGCCTCAGATTTATTTCTCTTTTGAGATGGAATTGCCCGTCCGATTCGATGCTGATCACTGCGCGCACCTATTCCGCCTCTCAGTCCCCAGACCGAACCCTCTCCTCTGAAGGCTCCCGATACCACACCCTTTCCGGGTGGCGCAAAAGCCCCGACGCCAAACAAGCAACAGAGATGTTGATGATCCACCAAGTTGGAAGTGTGCGAGTAGGCGAAGTGGTCAGGTGAGCTTGCCAAGGAGGAAGTGCAGTTCCAAGCTTGGAGAATGGAGCATGGAGCATGGAGCATACTCACGGGGCAGTACCAACTGTCGCGTGCCCTGAGTCCAACAGACTCCTAATCTACACTCCATATGCTAACCGCGGTTGTTCAGATATACGATAACCTACACGCCTGCAGCAGATCCAATCCTCCCCATCCCCTCCGAGCTCTACGTGCGAGTGAAGAACACCTCCGCGCTCCCATTGCGCGCCGCATACCTCCACGGCCCCTACACGCTCTACGCTGCCTGCTACCCGGCGAAATTCGACCCGAATACAAAGTATGAACGACAAGATCTAGAAGGCGCCCCGCAATATGAGCCGTATCTCAAGGCTGGGGGTGGTTGGGATGCCGTCATCAAGGTCCCGTCCTACGTCCAGAATGCGCAGAATTTCGGATCATCCGGGAATGATGGGTCAAATGCGGAGCAGAGTGTTACTTGGATTGTTGAGATACAGTCGCAGGTGATATTCTCGAGTAGTGCGGCGGTGCATTTCGAGTTACTGGTTGGGCGTGATGAGAAATCGCTGGAATACTTCTCTGGTGGGGGTTGGAGTAGTGGACATGGTCCTCCTGGGAAAATGCTGGATCATTGGTCGCCTGATGCTAGGGGGAAGCAGGTGCTTGCTGCTAAGGGTGTTTATTCGAAGTCGATTGCTTTGCAGGTCGATGATACGAATAGTTTGTGGAATAGTCCGCCTTTTCCTACTGCAGAAGAGTCGGAGGGTGCAAAGCAGGAGAGCCATGATCCGAGGACTCCAACGGAAGAATATCCAGATCCGCAGAGCAGACCTGAAGCACCTGCAGATGCCAAGAAGAAGTCGAAGAAGAAGGTACATCTTGTGCTACTGACGCATGGGCTTCACAGCAATCTGGGTACGGACATGCTCTATATGAAGGAGAGCATTGATGCGGCTACGAAGAGACAGCGAAGGAGGGCAAGCCATGCCAAATCTGCTGATGGGTGCCAAGTTGATGTCGACGAAGGTGACGAAGAGCAAGTCATTGTCCGAGGCTTCTCTGGCAACGCTGTTCGCACCGAGCGTGGAATTCAATATCTCGGAAAACGTCTTGCCAAATATGTTTTGCTTCTGACATACCCTGATCAGCCCTACTTCCCCCTCAAAGGCTCCAAACCAAATCCACTCATTCGACCTTTCACTGCTCGCAAGCAGCATACCCACCAATCTAATCCTCATCATGTGGCGACTGAGAACAGCGACAACACTATTGGAAGTGAAGATCACCCTTACCAGATCACCAGTATCAGCTTCATCGGACACTCCCTCGGAGGCCTGATTCAGACATATGCAATTGCATACATCCAAAAGCACTCCCCAGAGTTCTTTGATAAGATCGAGCCAGTCAACTTCATCGCTCTCGCAACACCTTTCCTCGGCCTCAGCAATGAGAACCCAATGTATGTCCGGTTTGCGCTGGACTTGGGTCTGGTTGGTCGAACTGGACAAGATCTCGGATTGAGCTGGACAGCACCGAAAGTACGAAGCGGTTGGGGAGCTATTATTGCCGGAAGAGGAGATTCGGCAAAACATCAAGCCCAATCAGACCCTGGTTCCAAGCCTCTTCTCCGGATTCTACCCTGTGGTCCTGCGCATGAGGTTCTCAGCAAGTTCCAGCATCGGACTGTCTACTCGAATGTGGTGAATGATGGAATCGTTCCTCTGCGCACTTCTTGTCTCTTGTTTCTAGACTGGAAAGGTCTGGACCGGGTTGAGAAGGCGAGGAGGGACAACGGACTTGTTGGAACCATGGCTGAATGGGGCTGGGCAGAGTTGACTGGAGCACATTCGAAATCTCCACGTTTAGGTCGCTCTGGTGATGAATCACCTCTGACTGAATCAGCTGAGACTGGTCAGCACTCACATCCTACCATTCAAGTTCCACAAGGGCAAAACAGCGATGAGGGGAACGAGGCCGTCTCTCCGAGACCCGGCCAGTTCCTCGCACCGCCTAGTCATCATTTGTCTCACACGAGTATCCCAGAAGAGGAACCCGTGAAAGAGGATGTTTCAGCAAATGCCTCTCTTGGTCCCATTGATACCTTTATGTCACTGTTCCGCCCCAAGGAGAACAAGACTCCCCATAGTGGCAAGAATTCTCGAATCTACAAACGCAGCCAGACTCTAGGCTCTTTCGAGAATGATGGCGTGACGCCTGTTACCCACGGCCATTCCACATACGAGAACGACGGCGTTCACACACCGCCGAAAACGACCTTCTTCGAGTCTGCCGGAGACCTACTGATGCCTCCACTTCCACCGCCAGAGTTCATCTTGGATCCTGCCTCGCGACCCAGAACCATCTTCCACGACCGCATCTACCACCCAGAAGATATACCCCCTCCTATGCCAGTCAAGCGACGCACACTGGCATTCGGTTCACTGCAAAACAAGCAGTCAAAGTCAGCACCCCATACGGCGACCCAGCTACCTCCAGGCTCAAGCTCCAGTGCAAACAGCGCCGAGAGCGGCCTAAAGGTCGAAGAGAAAATCGCCAGAGCCTACCACCGCGATCTATCCTGGCGCAAGGTCCTAGTCCGACTCGAGCCGGATGCCCATAACAACATCATTGTTCGACGCATGTTCACTAATGCCCACGGGTGGCCTGTCGTGAAACACTTGGTTGATACGCATTTCGCGCATACGCCCGTGGTAGCCATTGAAGATTCGCAGAAGCGCAGTGTCGATCGAGCACGGTCTCCCAATGTCGGGCCGACCAGCTCGGGAGATGAGGTCGAAGACCAGACTAAGACGCCGGAACTGGAGACTGGTAAAGATACTGATGATTTGCCTGCTGTCTCTGGGTTGAATGTGTCTGATCCGTTGCAGGGTCATGATCATGCTCATCGGAGTGATACTTTGTCGGGGGAGAATGAATCTCAACGAACTATGAGCCCGACCGAACGTGGAAACTGTGTGTCGAGGCAGGATTCGGCTCGATGGACTGATCGAGAGGTCGACGAGGATGACTGTGAGTCTGGTTTTGAGGAGGAGGTTAATTCTGGGTTCCGGTGGTCTCGACAGTAGACTGATGTAGGGTTTACTTGCCCTTTGGATTGTACATAGTATTTTGTATTTTGGATATACCCTGTAAGTAATGAATGCATTGATGGATTTTGAATTACTGTGAATTCGCACTTTTTAACATATACCAATAAATCAGTAAACTATCTCACCCTGAATATACCCCCAAAACTCCTTCACAATCTCCTCCTGCCCACCACCGCCAGGTGACCCTCTTACCGCAAGATACTTTCTTCCATCTAACGTAGCCTCCCACTCTCCCTTATTGCCCCCAACCATCCGTCCACCAGCCTCACTCAAAATAACCCATCCAGCACAAACATCCCAAGCCCAACACCCACCCTCCCAATACAGATCCACCGTCCCCTCAGCAACAGCACAAAGATTCAACGCCGCAGAACCCAAACTCCTAAACGACCGCACCATAGCCCCCCCATTCTCCTTCGCCCGCCCAAGCATCTCAAACGTTCTAACCTTCGTATCAAAGTTCCCCCCACTCCGATCAGATCCCCACTCAATAGCAACAAGCGCATTAGACAGTCCAGTCAAGGGCTCAACTGAATCACCACGCAGGGGCAACTTCGCGGTTCGGTTCACGAACGCGCCTTGCCCCTTGATCGCTGAGTATAGTGTCTTCGTGGAGGGATTGTATACGATGCCCACGACGGGGATCCGGTTTACCGCGAAGCCTAGTGAGACACAGGCGAAGGGGAAGCTGTGGATGAAGTTGATTGTGCCGTCTATTGGGTCTACTATGAAGGTTGGGGCGTCTGTCAGGGGTTTGGATGGGTCGTAGGTTTCTTCGCCGTGGAAGGTGTAGTCGGGGTATTTTGCAGAGAGGGAGGTTGAGATCATTGTTTCGACTGCGCGGTCATATTCTGTTACGAGGTCTGCGCCTGAAGGGGTGTTAGTTCTGTTTGGTTTGGTTTGGGGATGGAGACGGACTGTTCTTCTTTGCTCCTGTGCCGCTGGTTTCGGGGAGGGCGTTGTTGATTATGTCGCCGGCCTTGAAGGCTAGCTCGATGAGGTAGTCGTGGATCTCGGTGAGGTTTGGTTCCATTGTGTACTGTGGTGTAGAGAGTTGGGAGTTGGGAGTGTAGAGAGGAAGGATGGAGGATCTCCCCGGACAACGCTAGAGGCGGGGCAACCGGAGATTAGAGCAATTGCCTGCGATTTGTAGGATTGTCTATTGAGTACTATAAATCTAAGTTGAATACTAAAATGGAGACAAAGAAATGTAAATATAGCTAGAACCTATGTATACAGTGACTTATAGATCCGCTTGGTCAGACATCTCCGCGATTCTAGTGACGTCGAAACACCCCACTTCCGAAAAAAATCTTAGGGCACACTTCAGCTGGACATTACACAAGTCAAGACTCATACACTGCTGAGTACAATATGCCGACCGAACTCGAAGAGGTAAGACTGCGCAACTCGTGTTGCGAGATCCAGAAGCTCACCAATTCTATAGCTGGTGGAATTCCTCCACCACGGAAACACCCAGATCAGACAAATCGGTACGGAACACTCCTCGCAAATACCAGCGCATGAACTGACAGTATATACTTAGCTGCCGAAAACCTCGTCGGATTCTCCACCGCGCAGCCTGACCTGTTCAAGCGCGATCAATTACTCCCCATCCGCGACCTGAAGCTTCTTGCCCGGGATTACACTGTGCGTTGAGATCGATCTAGTGGAGGACATACCAACTGATGCGCTATAGCCAATTGCGAAAAATGCATTGACAATGCTGGTCAACTTGTCCGGCGACGAAGAAGTGTTGAAGGTTCTTGCCGAGGATGACCAATTCATCGAGACCCTGCTCTTGAAGTTGACCGTGAGTGAAGCCGAAGTATGTGCGCATGATCCATACTAATACAGCTGCGCCAGAGTGTCAAGGATCCCAACGTCGACGAAGTCGCCATGCTGCTGGCCAACCTGGTCAAGTCCGACGTCCTCCAAAAACTGTTCGAGCTGAAGCGCAAGGTCCCCGAGGCTGTATCGACCTCTGAGAATGCCATTGACCAGATTATGGACTGTTTCGTCAAGGGTGCCGAGGGTGGTCTTAACAAAAACGCCAACTACGATTACTTGTCATACGTATTCGCCGATCTGTCCCAGACCGAGAAAGGTCGGGCGTATTTCACAGAGCGCCAGGAGTACGACGGCGTCGTGCCCATCACCAAGTTGACCGTCTTCACCGAGCACAAGAGTAACATCCGCCGAAAGGGTGTAGCATCCACAATCAAGAACGTGGCCTTCGACATTGCCTCGCACCCCATGCTCTTCGACGAGGACGCTGTCAACCTCCTGCCTTACCTGCTCCTCCCTCTTGCCGGACCGGAGGAATTCTCTGATGAGGACAGTATGGACATGCTGCCCGATCTTCAGCTTCTGCCCCCTGACAAACAGCGCGACAGCGACAACACCATCGTCACTACCCACCTTGAAACATTGCTCCTCATGACTACCTCTCGGGAAGGTCGGGATAAGATGCGTGCTGTCAAGGTCTACCCTCTGATCCGTGAGACACATTTGAATGTCCAGGATGAGAATGTGCAAGAGGCCTGCGACCGATTAGTGCAGGTTCTCATGCGTGACGAGGAAGGTGAAGGCCAAGAGCCCGAGCAGCCTCAATTGGAGCCTGCTAAAAACGAGGATGACCAGGTAGTAGAACTGTTTTAGCGTGATACCTCAATTGTATATAGACATACCAAAACGTGGACTTACAGTGTGTAGAGAGTAGATGTAGATATCAATTGGACGACGTACGGCTGGGAGATCGAAAGCCCGTGCCGATGTCGGGTGGGTCACTCTCAGCACACTACGACTCTAGTTCTCATTAGCTCTGCTCTCTCCCACCTCTGATTCCTCCAATACACAAACGAAACTGAAGCTACTGCACGCCCTAAACCGGAAATACACACAGTATTTCATCATCCCCCCACCATCACCACGACCGATATTCCACTGCGGACGCGGAAGCTGTCTTGCCCCTCGTCCCCGAGGCGCAAGTGGCTTCCCGCTCAAAATCAAGATCCTGTCAACTCAGATCCTTGCAACAATGAGTACAGTGACAGTGACTCCGACATCGATCTACCGCCCGACGTGAACCCGGACACAGGCACAGGCACAGGGACAATTGCCCAGCGCGTGCGGGCCTTTATGTCTCGCGCCCCTCTTCTCTCGTCGCCCGCGCTGGGTGCCGCGACTTACGGAGCCGTGCGCATCCCAGACGGAGACGAAGATGGAGATGAGATAGAGGTCGGGGCTGAGGCTGCGACCGGGACGACCAGGTCAACTGGGTCCCGGCGGAAGGCGAGGTTGCAGCGCGCTAGCTTTGAAAATGGTGCTGCGAGCTCCAGTGCTGGACCACGGCGGTCTCATTCTTTTGTTAGGCGACGGAACAGCATGTATGCTGAGAGGCGCGGTCGGAGGCCTTCTTCTGCTGCGTCTGATGTTGGCATGGGTGCTGATTCTAAGTTCTCGTTTGCAACTGGACTGGCTGTCCAGGGTAACCCGGTCATGCAGGAGACGCCCGCTTCGTCGCCTTATATGAGCAGTGACGAGGATGATATTTTGGATATTGATGATGATGATTCAAAGCCTTCTGATGAGGATCCGCCGGATAATTCGCCGTGAGTTGAGCAGCGGTCTGTATATGGGTATTTATTGCTAATACATTTCATTTCAGGTATGCTCAAGTACGAGCTTCGGTACCGGCCACAGACAATGTCACTCTTTCCATCAACAGTATGTGCGTCAATCTCGAGTCTTGGCTTTTGTCTGATGTTTGATTTAGCACCGCGAATGTGGATTCTTTCATTGCTCTTTTCTCTAACAGGCTCTGCTGCCAATCTTTTCTTTTCGCTGCGATATCCCAGCGTGGCTATTACCCCAATCATTGCTCTCGTTTTGGTTCATCCACTCGGCAAGTTTTGGGATGTACTCTGCAAACACACAGGCGATCCTGTCGAAGTATTCGAGAACGGATCCCTTCATCATCGAGAAACGCTCAACGGCGACAATGATACCCCTTTTGTTTCATTGAGGACGAAAGTCAGACTTTGGTTTGGCCAGGGTCGTTGGAACGAAAAAGAACATGCTTGTGTATACATCAGCAGCAATGTTTCTTTTGGATTTGCTTTCGCCACTGATGTGAGTGTTCTCGAATCTATCACACCGCAAAAATTAACCGATAACAGGTTCTTGTTGAGCAACACAAGTTTTACAATCAAGAGGTTCCGATCACGTATCAACTCTTGCTCATTATATCAACCCAGGTCTTGGGTTATGCATTCGCCGGACTGACTCGACGATTCTTGGTCCGGCCTTCGGCCATGATATGGCCAGGAACCCTGATGTCTACTGCCATGTTTTCTACCATGCACAAGTCTGTCAACAAAAAGGCCAATGGGTGGAGTATCTCCCGATACAAGTTTTTCATAATTGTTTGGGCTGGAGCATTTCTCTGGTATTTTGTTCCAGGGTTGTTGATGCCTGCTCTGAGCTACTTCAACGTTATCACCTGGCTAGCGCCTAAGAACGTTGTTGTATCCAATCTGGTACGTTTCTAGCTTTTGTTCTCAATTGTTCCCTGCTGACTTGCTCTAGTTTGGTGTTGCTTCGGGTCTTGGAATGTTCCCTTTGACATTTGATTGGGCTCAAATTGCCTACATTGGCTCTCCATTACTAACACCTTGGTGGGCCGCAGCCAACATTGTGACAGGCCTAGTGGTCGTCATTTGGGCTGTTGCTCCAATCCTTTGTAAGATCTCCCATACTCTAACCACCTAATCATGCCCTTCTAACATGAACAGATTACAAAAACGTTCTTTTCTCCTCATACATGCCCATCCTCTCAACAGCCGTGTTTGATAACACTGGTAAGCCTTACAACGTCAGCCGAATCCTGACCGGAGAGTTTTTGTTCGATGAGCAGGCTTATAAAGACTACTCCCCGGTCTACCTCCCAATCACCTACGTATTGTCATATGGAGTGCAGTTCGCTGCTTTGACATCCCTGGTCACCCACACGATTTGCTGGTATGGGAAAGATATCTGGCAACAGACCAGAAAAGCTTTTGATGAGAGACAAGATGCCCCAGCCATGGAGACGTATCAGCCACTTCGAGGCCACAATAGGGACAGTCAGCAAAGCTTTGATATCTCAAGAAGTGGTTCAGACCCTCGCCTGGAAAGCCAACTGGGAATGGAAGATGTCCATTGCCGCTTGATGAGACGCTACAAGGATGCTCCTCTCACCTGGTACATACTTGTGTTTATTTCCATGTTGGCCATCGCCACTTTTACGGTGGAATAGTACGTTGCCCTACCCTTATTCGATTTACCCAAACTAACCATTCTGAAGCTATCCTACCCACCTCCCTTGGTACGGCCTACTCCTAGCTCTGATCATTACCAGCATTTTCTTCATCCCAGTGGGAATCATCATGGCAGTTACAAACCAACACAGCAGCCTCTACTTAGTCTGCCAGCTCATCTGTGGCATAGTCTTCCCAGGAAGGCCAGTGGCAAACATGATCTTCGTGACCTACTCATACATCAGCTCCGCGCAAGGAATTAAATTCTCCTCCGACCTAAAACTCGGCCACTACATGAAAATTCCACCCCGAATCCTCTTCGGCGTGCAAATGATGGCAACACTGGTTTCAAGTCTAACCCAGATAGGCGTGCTAAATTGGATGTTCACCTACATCCCGAAATTGTGCACGCCCGAGGCCATCAACGGCTTCAACTGCCCCATCGCCCGAGTCCACTTCAATGGCAGCATTCTCTGGGGAGTTGTCGGTCCCCAGCGCTTCTTCGGTCCAGGGGGCCTCTACAGACCCCTTGTATGGGCCTTTTTGGTAGGCGCTGTCGCACCGCTTGGAACTTGGCTTCTAGGTCGGCATAGCAAGAAGAGTTTCTGGCGGAAGGTCAATTTCCCCATTCTTTTCGGTAGTCTAAGTTGGATTCCACCTGCCACTGGACTGAACTTCTCAATTTGGGCACTTGTTTGTTTCATATTCAATTATGTGATCCGGAGAAAGAGGACTGCTTGGTGGGAGAAGTATGCCATGACTTTGTCTGCTGCCTTGGATTCGGGTCTGGCGTTTGCTGTTGTGGTGGTCTTCTTTGCTTTCATTTACCCTGGTTGGGTTGATGGATTCAAGTGGTGGGGAACGGAGATTTACAAACAGGTGAGTTTCTTCGGGGTTTCATTCCCTTTGGATGTTCCGTCTTGGGTGCTAACTTTGTTGCGAACAGGGCTGTGACTGGATTGCTTGTCCATATAAACAACTAGAACCTGGTCAAAAGTTTGGTCAGTAGAGCCTAGATCAAAGGATCTCAGCTCAGAGCACAAAGTATCAAGAATTTATGAAACAATGTCAATAATGAATGAAGTAACTATTGTATGACAGAGGACATAAGTTCTCTCAAATTGTCACCTTCGTATAGTCCTAGATGATTGACCTGAGGCAATACGAAATGGCCAAGAGACGAAAAAAAAGGAGAGGACAAAGGAGGGCAAGTATATTCGACTAAGCTGTACAATCGATCCCAGGACTTTGAATAGAACTTTCCGATTCTTTTATGGCATTGTGTGCACATGTATTCCCTCTGTAAGTTAGTTGAAGTAACTTGTAGACTTCGATGAAAGAACCGGGGGCTGAGCTGACTAAGCTCACCGTCATACGTCGCGAGCACATCTCCTCATCCTTGCTTTTCCCATCTCTCTGCCTTCACCACCTCTGTCGCAAATCTCCGACTGGCTCTTTGTTGAGTCATTCCTTGCGGTAATCTTTCATGGTGATCTGATCACTAGGCCGCGTCATCTTCTGCTGCCGCATCACGTAGCTGCACCGGAAAGATGTCGACTCCAACAAACCCATCGAATGCCCGAACCCCAACAGGACCAAATGGCGCACCACCGATGAGAATGCGCCGTCCAAAGGCTGCAGATCCATTGGTCCGCCCAAAGAGAAGACCAGCTCCCAAGCCAGCCGGAGCTGCTCCGGGTGGTCGGACAGCCACCAAGACTCTTCCTACACGCCCCCCGGTGTCGAATAACCCACCCGCTACCATCGAGAGGTCCTCACTCGGCGTGACTAGCAACAATGCACCCGTTAATGGATTCAGCGGTCCTTTGCTCACTGACAAATACTTCGATTACCCGGTCGTCACGACAAAGCGAGCTCTAATGGAAGGATTGAAGCACCACATTGCGCGTTTCGCCTCAAAGAAGAACGTCGACCCCCGCGATGAAACACAATTCACCCGACCAGTCCGACTGCACCGTCGTGACCCACGGCGTGGCCAGGACTCACACCCGTCCCGATTCGAAGACCCAGATGCTCCGCCAATGGATGAAGCCGAGCGTGAAGCTTTCGATGCGCGCCGCGCAGCACGTGAGAAGGAGCGTGCTGAGAACATGGCTCAGATTGCGCCTGCTCTGGGTACTACTTCGAAACGGCCTAATGCCCCTAAACAAAAGACCCAGCAGGTCTTCAAGTCTGATATGACGCCCGAGGAAGTTGCGAAAATGCGCATCAAGTACGAAGAGGCTTTGCATTGGCATCTGGAGGATTTCGATAACAAGCACACTTGGGTCGGAAACTACGAGGCTGCTCTGTCTGGAACTCATGCGGTGTTTGTTCTGGATGGTGGGAAGATGCGTATGATTCCGGCTGAGAAGTGGTACAAGTTTAGTGCCAAGAGTAACTTCAAGGCATTGACTATTGAGGAGGCTGAGAAGTTCATGGCTAAGAAGGTCAAGGATCCCAGATGGTTCATGGAGAAGCAACAAGAACTGGAGCAGAAGAGGGAGCTGGACACTTATGCTAAGCAGCGGAAGGTCTACGCTGGCAAGCAAGGCTTGCCAGCATCTGGAGGCGCGGGACTGGAGGCTGGGGAAATGGACTTTGAAGAGGATCGTTTCGCTGATGATGAAGAGCACGATGATGGCTTGTTCAACGATGACGAAGATGCCAAGGATGCCGAGAAGAGAATCAAAGAGGATCAGCTCAAGGCCAACGTCTTTGACCTCAAGGATGAGAAGGATTACGAGGCAGAAGAGAAGCGGGAGTTGCGTGAACGAGAGGCTCGCCATGTTCTGGGTAAGAGCGTGCGCAAGGCCCTAAAGAAGAGGGAGAAGAACTTTGACTACAGCAGTGGGTCTGAAAACAACCCATACTCGGATGACGAGGTAAGTCATATCTGTATCTATTGCCAGTCTATATTGGCCAGTCCATATTGAGACGGTATTGACCTCCAACAGAGTTCCGATGACACCGAGACCGAGAAGGCAAAGGAAGAAGAGCGCAAGAAGGCCGAGGTTGAGAAAGAGAAGGAAGCTTCCTCCAAGGGCACCAACACACCCTCAGGCCGTCCCAAGCATACAGACGCCCTCAAGAAATCCGCCGCAGGCCGCAAGCGACTAGGCTCTCCCACCTCGGACGCAAGTGGCACCGATACATCTCGCAAGAAGCCCAAGAAGGCCAACCCAACATCGCAGCCCCCATCCCGTCCAATGTCCCCATCTGCCATCCAGGTACGTACCCAATCCACCAAACCCAAATTCCAAACAACCCCCTAACAAAAACCAGACGGGTACAAAACGCGTCCGCATCCCCGGCAGCGGCGCAAACTCCGGCAGCGACGTCGAAGGTGCAATCTCCTCAAACGAAACAAACGACCCATTAAAAAAGAAACTAAAACTAAACCCACCCAACGCCTCCCGCAGCGGAACCCCAGCCGGATCCCGCGCCGGCTCACCCATAAGTCGACACCCCGGCAGCCGCGCCAGCAGTCCCGAAGGAGCTCGCGGAAACCGCCTTTCAACGCCTCTCTCTGCTTCCGGCTCGTTCCCGACGCCTGCGGAGATTCATGCTGCTATTCCTGCTTCTGGTATTTCTAGTAGTGAACTGCTGAAGGTTTTCAGGCCGAGGATTGGGGAGAATCATCGCAAGTTTATTGCTATTGTTAAAGATGTTAGTGTTTATGGGAAGGAGGATCGGATGCTGAGGCCTGGGCCTTGGAAGGGGAATTAGTTGAGGTTGCGGTTTGGGTTGGATGGAGGCGAGGCGATGTAAAGTTGGTGGATATGGAGGATGGATATGTGATGCAAATGCAGATTGCAGATATGGTAGCTGCTATCTTTGGAAATACTTCAACTTCAAGTCATGGTTCATGGTCCTAATGTTCAGATGGATTCATCTTCATCCGAAGGAATCAATACTTTTCATGCTGGATATTGTTTTGATCTACTATGTTAGACGAAGGTTTCTATTTGGTAAGCTTGTACTCAATCAAATAAATTCACTGCAACTGGTTTACCTATCTATCCAAGGATATTGCAATACGTTTTAGAAAGATGGAAATGAAAAATATGAAAAGAAATAAATTAAACAATGATAATGAAATTCATTTACATGCACATAACTCCAAGGCTTTGAGACATATCACATAATGACCCAATGTAAACAGGTCTCTATCAAAAGCACAGCATTATAACAAGGGGAATAAAATTCACAAGATTAAACCGCAGAAGCAGCGTCTTTGATTCCTGGCAATCCTTCCAGTTGGCTAGAAAGGAAGCAAGGCGAGGGAATTCAAATGAAGCTTAACTTAGGCGGCACGAGCGGCGTTCTCGGTACCCTCCTCATACTTCTCCCAGTTGGCGAGAATGGAAGCAATGCGAGGGGAGTTGGTGAGACGGTAGACGTCCTCGAAGTACTCCTTTGTGATCTCGAAGGGACGGGCAGTGACGTTGGGGATGTACTTGCCGACCAGCTTACTGGGGTCGATGGTGGTCTTGTTGATCTTCTTCAGCAAGAAGGAACGGAAGGGCTTGACACCGGAGCGCAAGAAGGTGCTGTGGAAAGGCACGTCAATGCCCTTGAGAGGGATGGTGGCGAAGCCGCGCTCCAGGTTGATGGGGCGGGGCTTGGCTTCAGTCTGCTTGACACACTCCTGGATGATGCCGACGAGGTGCTCCTTGACGTCTTCCAAAGACATGCTCTGCATAAGAGCGGGGATGTCAATGTTCTGGGCCTTGAGGAAGTTGAGCAAGTTGGTTAGGCAGTCCAGGGCGCGGAGGTCACCAGCGGCAACATATTGCATGTTGGCAACGTTGTAGTTGACAATCTCCAGGAGCCAGCCGGTGGTCTCAGCGATGTTCTCAACAACGTACTGAAGAGCCTGCTCGTTGAAGGTCTTGGAGATACGGCTGGGGTTGACAGCGCACATGGAGTAGTTGGAGCGACCCTGCTCGTCACGCTCGACGGCGACTTGCATGGTCAAACCACGGTAGAACACAACAGACACCAAGCTCTCAATGGGCATGACATCAGCGAGGGCAGCGAGGGCAGAGTATTCACCAAGCGAGTGACCGGCGAAGCTACTGTCACGCTGGACCAAGCCCTTGGAGCGCATGTCCTCGAAGCTGGCCTTCTCCATCAGGGTCAGGGCGGGCTGAGTGAACTGGGTAGCGGAGAGAAGACCAGTGGGGGAGCGGTAGGTGTAAGAAGCGCTGTTCTCATCGACCTCCTTGAAGATCTTCTCGGACTTGATGGAACCATCGGCATTGACAGACTCGAAAGTCATCGACATGTAGTTGTGGCGGATAGCCTTACCACGAGGACCACCGAAGTGGACGGTGAGCTCCTTGGGGTTGTTCTTGACAATGTCGATGATGGAAAGACCATAGTTCTCCATGAAGTGGCGGTCAGCACGATCCCAAACCTCCTGGGCAACGGGGCTGCTAGCGTAAAGCTCCATACCCATGCCCTGCTCCTGAGAACCTTGACCAGTGAAGACGTAAGAGGTAACGGGCTGCTCAACCTCGGCCTCACCCTGAAGAACTTTATCCTCGGTCTCTTTGTTGAGAGCCTCGACCTTGATGATCTTGCGACCAGCGATCATGCCGACGTGTTGGAGCTTGACAGTGATCATGTCGTTGGGCAGAACCATGCCGACCAGGGAAACCTGGAAGCCACGAACACGGCCAATGTTGTTCTCAGCAGCCCAGGTCTCGACAAGGCTGCGGACAGCGGCACTGCTGTACATGCCGTGGGTGATGGTTCCGGGCAGATTGGCATAGCTGGAGAAGACACGCGAAACGTGAATGGGGTTGTAGTCACCAGAGACGCGAGCGTATGTCTCGTTGGAGGCGGGAGCACGCAGTTCCAGAGCGGTCTTGCCACTGAGAGGGATGGGGTTCTCGAAGTACACGGGCTGCTCAATGGAAGTACCGTTACGCTGGAGGTAGTCGATGACAGGGTTACCATGGGAGTCACCGGCCTCGTACTCAACGGAAGCGACCTGGATGACCTCCTTGGTAGGAAGCTCAAGAAGAGCCTGACCAATAGTCTGGACGTTGCTGAAGACAGTGTGGTTCTTGAAGCGAATCAAACTCTGCAGACGGAAGGTCAGGGTGGCACCAAGAAGCTCAGTCTCGGAGTCGTCCACGCGGAACCACTCCTTGGAGCGCAGGATGGCGACATCCCGGCTAGTGGCCAAGTGAACCTGCATGGGGACTTCATCTTTGCGCTGGAAGGTATTCTCGAAGTCGGTGTAGGCACCGCGGTAGAGGAATTGGCTAGTGACGTGCATGATGGGTTTGCCCTCGCGGGTGATGGTACCGCAAACCTCGACCATCTTACCAGACTCCTGGTTGATGACGGCGTTGATCTGGGCAGTGGTGTCCAGGACATCACCAACCTTGAGGGGCTGAGCACCGGGAACCATCTTGAAGCCGTTGGACAAGTGAACCAGCTTCAAGAGATCACCATCAATGGTGCGGGGGAAGATGGGCTTGGTGATAGCCTTCCAGCCGGCGACGATGGCAAAGTCCATGGGCGCGAAGACCTCCTTACCGGGACGGTCAACGAAAGCCTCGCCAGTGTTGCCAACGGCGTGGACGAAGTCGGCAACAGCCTGGGAGGTGATGGTCTCACGGCCACCGCTGAAAGTGGCAGTGGTAGGAGTGTCGAAGGGCACGTCCTTATTACCAAACCAGATACGGTAGTAGAACTCCTTGATGCGGTCGTTGCGGTCACCCATGACCTCACGAATGGGAGCGTAACCAGTCTCGGGGTGGTAGGTGAACAGGAAGGACAGGGTGGTGACACCACTCTCGGCGGTGCGGCCCTCAAACAGGGTCAGGCTGATCTGGCCGTTCTCGTTCATCTTGGCCTCGACGGTCTTGACAAGCTTGCCAGACTGATAGGGCTCACGGACACTGATGACAGTCTTGGCAGGGTCATTGGGGTAGGCAATCTCAACGAACATGCCTCCAGTGGGCGCAACAATGCGCTTCATGGGGTTTGTCTGGAAACGGTGGCCCTGGACGAAGACATCGGCCAGGAAAAGAGCGTGTCTCCAAGAGTAGACATTGCCAGCCAAAAGGCTCAGCCAGCGGTCAGCGTCAGGCAGGACAGCAGAGGGGGAAGAAGACAGGCGGAAGCTGATTTTGTTGGACTCCTCGGAGACGGTGAGGCCATCAAGCTCGGACTCAGTGTCGGTGTTCAGGAGCTGACCACCGAAGTACTCGATGGTGGGAACCTTGGACTTCTCGCTGCCGTAGACATCACGCAGGAGGCTGGCGATGTGTCCCTGGTGAACACCATCAAGGATGGCCTGGACGGGCTCATCAATGATGTTGGAGAAGCGGGCGGCCATGGGACCCTGAAGGATACAGGTACGGCCGACATCCTGGTCAACGACAGCCTCGAGATCCTCACTCTGCCAGAGAGAATCCTTCTTGAAGAAGAACTCGAAGTTCTCATCCAGAACGGGAACGAAAGGAACGGGCTTCTGGCCACGACGCTGGCAGAGCAGCAAGAAGTGCTGCACATCCTGGGCGTTGATCAACTGGCTAGCGGCCTCAGGGTAGGCAGCCAGAATGTTGTTGACGGCAGGGTAGGGGGTGTCGAGGTCAGAGTAGCTCTGCAACAGAGAAGCCTGGCCCTCGGCAGTGGTGAAACGCTCCTCAACACGACGAATGAAGTCACCGGTCAACTTCTTCAGGGAAGGATCAATCCAGCGAGCCTCGTGCTTGACGTACATGAGGTCCACCATACGGTGAACAACCTCGGTGTAGGTCATGTCCTCGAGGTCAACGGTCTCGCCAGCGGCGTTGCGACCGAACCATACCTTGTGGAAGTCATCGTTGAGCTTCTTGATGATGTAGTTGCGCTGCTTCTTCAGCTCCGGGACACGCTTGGCCTTGTCAAGCTTGAAGATCTTCTGGTCCATCTCCTGCCAGAATAGCACACCACGGGTGGCGAGCTTGTGAATGGGCTCACCCATCTCAGAGAGGACAGTGATGACGCCGCCGGTGGCACCCTTGTAGGTCTTCTCCCACTCGGCATCATCGACACCAGGAGCATCGGCAATAGCCTTCTTGGCATTATGAGAAGTGTGGGCCTCCTTGGCGATCATCATACGAGAACCGAAGAGACAACCATCGAAAGGCATGGGAGGGTAGCCGTACTTGTGAGACCACTCACCAGAGAGGTAAGGGTAGGTGTCCTCGGAGCCACCGAAACCACTGCCAGCAACAAGGATAATGTTATCCTGCTTGCGAATACGGCCGTACATCTGAAGCACGGGCTGGTGGAAGTCCTCGAAGGAGTGGTGACCACCACCACGACCACCGGTCCACTGAAGGATGATGGGGAACTTAGGGTTGGCCTTGGCAACGTTAATGACCTGCTGGATGGCGTCGACGGAACCGGGCTTGAAGGCGATGTGCTTGATACCAAGAGTCTCAATGTACTCGTTGGCGACCTCAATGGAGGGCACACCGGCACCAATGGTCAGACCCTCAATGGGAACACCCTCGGCACGCAGGCGGCCGATGAGAGGGATCTGCCAGGCCATGGCACGGGGGTTGACGTAGATCAAGTTGATGGTGATACCACGTCCAGGAGGAATGGCCTTCTCAATCTTGGTGATGGCCTCGGTCATGGTCTTGGCGTTGTAGTAACCACCACCAGCCAACTCAATGTGGTAGCCAGCGTTCATAGTGGCGGCCACAAAGTCCCAGGCGACGGTAGTGGGGGTCATACCAGCAACCATCACGGGGGGAATGCCGAGCAGGCGACTCATCTTGGTGTCAACGTAGGTTTGACCAGTAGAAGTCTGCACCAGACGGGGGCCGTGTTCCTTAACCCAGTCGGTGGCATACTTGACGGAGTGCTCATCACGGTCGAACAACTCGGGCTTGTAGCCAACCTCGGCGTTAGTGCCGTCCATCTCACCGGCAAGAATGACGCGAACGCCAGTGCCGTCCTTGTTACGGTTGGTGAGAACACCCAGACCGGAGATACCACCAGGGCCGAAGTCAAGGATGTGAGTAGCACCGGGGAAGACGGTAGCCTGCTCCCAGTTGACAGGATCGTGAGTGATCATGCGAACCAGAGAGGGAACGACGCTCTTGTCACCGAGAGAGCGCAGATCTTCACCGGTCTTGGTGTCGAAGACGGGGATCACAAGGGACTTGGCGGGGATGTCAACATCCTCGAGGTCGTCCAGAATGCGGTCATAAGCAGAGGTGAGGTACTGGCTGTGGAAAGGAGCAGTGATGGGGAGGAAACGGTTGACGAAGCGAACCTTGCGCTGGGTGAAGGGCACACGGTTCTGGTCGAGGCCAGTAGCGGCCTTGACCTTACGCAAACGAAGGTTGAGACCGTAGAGCGAGATGGGGGGACCAGTAACAACAAAGTTGCGGGCACTGTTAATCAGAGAGATGGAGATGTGACGGTCCTCGGGCAAATGTTGGTTGGTGGCATCAATGTGCTCCTGAACGGCGGTGCGAGAGAGGTCACGGATGGACAGCATAGGAGTAGGAGTACCCTCACCGTTTTCAATCGAGTCCTGAAGAACGGAGGGAGCGAGGGAAGTACGGGGATAAGCCTGCTGGCTGCGAAGACCAATCCAGAAGAGCATCGTCAAGGCGTTCTTAGCAGCCTTGGCGAAAGACTCCCAGCTGGTGGCAGTCGCAATAGCAGCAGCGGTCACTACACCCTGGGAGTGACCGGTGGTTCCCAGAATACGCTCCAGGATATCACCGGGCTGGCGACCCAAGACTTTGCAGGTCACTGTGTAGTGGGCCAACTGAACCAAACCAATCAAAGGCAGACTCACTGGGGCGGACACCAGATAATCGATATCGGGCTGAGCGTCCCGATCCTGCAGCCAGCGCATGATATCCAGACCCTTAGGGTAGAGCTTGCTCGCCTCGGGCTCATGGGAGAGCGATTGAAGCAGCTCTGCGGAGGAAGTAATAAGGTCCTCCACAAAGGAGGGGTAGGTGTTGTAAATGCTGCGCAATTCATCAAAATATTCCTCGATGTTGCCCTGTCCACCGAAGACGGAGTAGATACCGGCAGTCTCATCAGAGGCCGCACGGAACAAAGCTGAGTCGTAAGGCTTGGTGGGCCGGCCCGCCGCAGCTCGTCCAGCATAGTAGGCCTCGGCGACCTGGTTCTTCTTGGCCACAATACCGGGGAGGGCAGCAGCCACGGCGTGGACATCGTTACCGCGCATGAAAGCACGTTCAAATTCGTTCATCACGAGCTTCAGCACATCCAAGTAGTTGCCTGACGCATCATCCTCGCCCTCGTCAAGCTCGTGTGCCACATGGCCAATGTAGCGAGCCACAAGCTCAGTCACTGATGAAGGCTCGTCATCTTGAGCCAATTCATCTGTGGGTTCCGGTAGGGAAGCGGTGAAGCTATCTTTCAACTGGGACGCATGGAAGTGAAGCGAGGTAGGAACGAGGAAGGAGAACTCGAGAGAGCCATGCGAAAGGATAAGAGGGCGGAGAGATTGGGAGGATCGAGGAGTGTTAATTCCGGTTTGAGGACCGGTCGATGTGCCGTACATGATGCTCTCTCTATGGGGGTCTCTGGGGGGGGGGGAAAGAAGAAGAGAAAGAGAGGACCGCGGAGAAGAAGAAGGCTAGGAAGGAACAGTCAGTAAAACGGCAACCACGACCACAGGAACGGAAGGAACGACTCACAGGTCCAATTGATCTCTGGACAAGAGAAAAGGGTATTAATCAAAAGAATATAATTAAAGCACAACTATACAGACAACAGATTATAATAATCAATTGACCTGGGGGGAGAAAGAAAAAAAGATCCGCTGTTGAACTGCAAGTAGCTGAAACGGGCTTAGCGCCGTCACAGACCCGCCCCAATGAGTTGCGACTCGGACCCGTTGAGGATTACAGTCAAGGTTCGATACTCTTCTATGTATTAGTGATAGTGATTCGCTAGGTTACTGTATACAACGTGGTCTGATCTAATAATCATAGTGCATTATACATTCTACTCTGTACCTTGGAGCATTTAGTGGTTGGGTGATCAATGCCGTACCTCTCCTAGATCCGGCCGAAGCTCTGGAACCCCAACGCCCTCACCAAATTTATGTCCCTCCCCATTCCCCCGAATTTCGCTGGTTGAACCTCTAGTAGCATTAAGACTATTACTCCTCCCTTCTGTCCGGATTCTGTCAATTTCCTATCCAAATAATTCTGGGGTGAGTGCTTTGTCCCTTATAAAAAAAAAGTGTGGGAAAATTACGGTATTACATACCAACCAAGCTCTCCGACTTCCCACCTTTTTTTTCTACATTCAGGACACTGACACCTGGACAGGAACTTCTCTAATTCTTCCTTTCTCCCATTCCCCTTACTCTTATTTCTCTTTATTCACGGGCTTACTTTGCGACCCCCTTTCGTCGCGCCCGACAATTCAGCCAGGACTTTCACGTCCTTTTTGTTTTTAATCAATTGATACCCAGACTTCCAACATGCGTCCGGAAGTCGAACAAGAGCTTGCTCACACCTTGCTGGTGGAGTTGCTCGCCTACCAATTCGCCTCGCCCGTCAGATGGATCGAGACACAGGATGTCATCCTCGCCGAGCAGCGCACCGAGCGCATCGTCGAAATCGGTCCCGCAGATACCCTTGGAGGAATGGCACGGCGGACACTAGCCTCCAAGTACGAGGCCTACGATGCCGCAACTTCAGTGCAGCGTCAGATTCTTTGCTACAATAAGGACGCCAAAGAGATCTATTACGATGTCGATCCCGTGGAGGATGAGCCCGAGCCCGCCGCAGAGCCTGCTTCTTCAGGTGCCCCTGCAGCGGCACCGGCTGCCGCCCCTGCGGCTGCTGCCCCCGCTGCTCCCAGTGCTGGCCCCGCTGCTGCCGTGGAGGATGTCCCTGTCACAGCCGTCGATGTGCTACGGACACTGGTTGCTCAAAAGTTGAAGAAGAGCCTCGCAGATGTTCCCTTGACAAAAGCTATTAAGGACCTTGTTGGAGGTAAGAATACCAGAACACCGTCCTTTGAATTGAGTACTAACTTCAATAGGCAAGTCCACATTACAGAATGAAATCCTAGGTGACCTGGGTAAGGAATTCGGTTCCACGCCAGAGAAGCCCGAGGATGTTCCCCTCGATGAGCTCGGTGCCTCGATGCAAGCCACATTTAACGGTCAATTGGGCAAGCAGTCCTCTTCTCTGATTGCCCGCATGGTCTCCTCCAAGATGCCCGGTGGCTTTAACATCACTGCTGTTCGCAAGTACCTAGAGACCCGCTGGGGCTTGGGCAATGGCCGCCAGGACGGTGTGCTCTTGCTCGCTCTCACTATGGAGCCCGCTGCCCGTCTGGGCTCCGAGGGTGATGCCAAGGCTTACCTTGACGATGTGACCAACAAGTACGCTGCCAGCGCCGGGATTAACCTCTCAGCTCCTGTCGCCGGTGGTGACAGCGGTGGCGGCGGTGGTGGTATGATGATGGACCCTGCTGCCATTGATGCTCTTACCAAGGATCAGAAGGCTCTCTTCAAGCAGCAGCTCGAGATCATTGCTCGCTACCTCAAGATGGACCTCCGTGGTGGCGAAAAGGCCTACATTACCTCCCAGGAGACCCAAAAGACTCTCCAGGCCCAGCTGGACTTGTGGCAGGCAGAGCACGGTGACTTCTACGCCTCCGGTATTGAGCCCTCTTTCAACCCTCTCAAGGCCCGTGTCTACGACTCCTCATGGAATTGGGCTCGTCAGGATGCTTTGAGCATGTACTACGATATTATCTTTGGCCGCCTCGAAGTCGTCGACCGTGAGATTGTCAGCCAGTGTATCCGCATTATGAACCGCTCCAACCCCCTCCTCCTCGAATTTATGCAATACCACATCGACAACTGCCCTACCGAGCGCGGCGAGACCTACCAGCTCGCCAAGGAACTTGGACAGCAGCTCATTGATAATTGTCAAGAGGTCATGAACGTGGCTCCTGTCTACAAGGATGTCGCTGTTCCTACCGGTCCCCAGACCACCATTGATGCCCGTGGCAGCATTGGCTACAAGGAAGCTCCTCGTGCCAGCGCTCGCAAGCTCGAGCACTACGTCAAGCACATGGCTGAGGGTGGCCCCATCTCCGAGTACAGCAACCGCACCAAGGTTCAGCACGACCTGAAGAACGTCTACAAAATGATCCGCAAGCAGCACCGTCTTTCCAAGTCTTCTCAGATCCAGTTTGACACCTTGTACAAGGATGTCCTCCACGCACTCGGCATGAACGAGGGTCAGATCATCCCTCAGGAGAACGGCTCCGCCAAGAAGGGCCGCAACGGTCTCAAGCGCTCTCCCACTCGCCCCGGCAAGGTCGAGACTATTCCCTTCCTTCACCTCAAGAAGAAGACAGAGCACGGCTGGGACTACAACAAGAAGCTCACTGGTACCTACCTCAATGTACTCGAGTCTGCTGCCCGTGACGGTCTCACCTTCCAGGGTAAGAACGTCTTGATGACCGGTGCCGGTGCCGGTTCCATTGGTGCCGAGGTCCTGCAGGGTCTCATCAGCGGTGGTGCCAAGGTTGTTGTCACCACCAGTCGCTTCTCCCGTGAGGTCACCGAGTACTACCAGGCCATGTACGCCCGCTATGGCGCTCGTGGCTCTCAACTCGTGGTTGTTCCCTTCAACCAGGGTAGCAAGCAGGATGTTGAGGCTCTGGTTGACTACATCTACGACACTAAGAAGGGTCTCGGCTGGGACTTGGACTTTGTCGTTCCCTTCGCCGCCATCCCCGAGAACGGTCGTGAGATCGACTCTATCGACTCCAAGTCTGAGCTTGCTCACCGTATCATGTTGACCAACCTGCTTCGTCTTCTCGGTTCCATCAAGACCCAGAAGCAGACTAATGGCTTCGAGACTCGTCCCGCCCAGGTCATCCTGCCTCTGTCCCCCAACCACGGTACCTTTGGTAACGACGGTCTCTACTCCGAGTCCAAGCTCGCTCTCGAGACTCTCTTCAACCGTTGGTACTCTGAGAGCTGGAGCCACTACCTCACCATTTGCGGTGCCGTCATTGGCTGGACCCGTGGTACTGGTCTCATGAGCGGTAACAACATGGTTGCTGAGGGTGTTGAGAAGCTTGGTGTGCGCACCTTCTCTCAGCAGGAGATGGCCTTCAATCTTCTCGGTCTGATGTCCCCCGCCATTGTCAACCTCTGCCAACTTGACCCCGTCTTTGCCGACCTGAACGGTGGTCTGCAGTTTATCCCTGACCTCAAGGGATTGATGACCAAGCTGCGTACCGACATCATGGAGACCAGCGATGTTCGCCAGGCTGTCATTAAGGAGACCGCCATCGAGCACAAGGTCGTCAACGGCGAGGACAGCGGAGTTCTGTACAAGAAGGTTGTTGCCGAGCCCCGTGCCAACATCAAGTTCGAGTTCCCCAACCTGCCTGACTGGGAAGAGGAGGTCAAGCCTCTCAACGACTCTCTCAAGGGTATGGTTAACTTGGACAAGGTTGTCGTTGTCACTGGTTTCTCTGAAGTCGGCCCCTGGGGTAACTCTCGTACCCGTTGGGAGATGGAGTCCAAGGGCAAGTTCTCCCTCGAGGGCTGTGTTGAGATGGCCTGGATTATGGGTCTGATCAAACACCACAACGGTCCCCTCAAGGGCAAGGCCTACTCCGGCTGGGTTGACGCCAAGACTGGCGACCCTGTCGATGACAAGGATGTCAAGCCCAAGTATGAGAAGCACATTCTCGAGCACACTGGTATCCGTCTCATCGAGCCTGAGCTGTTCAAGGGTTACGACCCCAAGCAGAAGCAGCTTCTCCAGGAGATCGTCATCCAGGAGGACCTCGAGCCTTTCGAGTCCTCCAAGGAGACTGCCGAGGAGTTCAAGCGTGAGCACGGAGACAAGGTCGAGATCTTCGAGATCCCTGAGTCTGGCGAGTACACCGTCCGCCTCCGCAAGGGTGCCACCATGCTCATCCCCAAGGCTCTCCAGTTCGACCGTCTCGTTGCTGGTCAGGTGCCTACCGGCTGGGATGCCAGCCGTTACGGTATCCCCGACGACATTATCGAGCAGGTTGACCCAGTCACTCTGTTCGTCCTGGTCTGTACTGCTGAGGCTATGCTCTCCGCCGGTATCACCGACCCCTACGAGTTCTACAAGTACGTACACCTTTCTGAGGTCGGTAACTGCATTGGTTCCGGTATTGGTGGTACCCACGCTCTTCGCGGTATGTACAAGGATCGCTACCTGGACAAGCCCTTGCAGAAGGATATTCTGCAGGAGTCTTTCATCAACACCATGAGTGCTTGGGTGAACATGTTGCTCCTCTCCTCCACCGGTCCCATCAAGACCCCCGTCGGTGCTTGCGCCACCGCCGTCGAGTCCGTGGATATCGGTTACGAGACTATTGTCGAGGGCAAGGCTCGCGTCTGCTTCGTCGGTGGTTTCGATGACTTCCAGGAGGAGGGCTCTTACGAGTTCGCCAACATGAAGGCTACCTCCAACGCCGAGGATGAGTTCGCTCACGGCCGCACCCCTCAGGAGATGTCGCGTCCCACTACCACTACCCGTGCTGGATTCATGGAGTCCCAGGGTTGCGGTATGCAGCTCATCATGACTGCTCAGCTCGCTCTTGACATGGGTGTCCCCATTCACGGTATCATTGCCCTGACCACCACCGCTACCGACAAGATCGGACGTTCCGTTCCCGCTCCTGGCCAGGGTGTCCTCACTACTGCCCGTGAGAACCCCGGAAAGTTCCCCTCGCCTCTGCTTGACCTCAAGTACCGCCGTCGCCAGCTTGATCTCCGCAAGAAGCAGATCAACGAGTGGCAGGAGTCCGAGCTCCTCTACCTCCAGGAGGAGGTCGAGGCCATGAAGGCCCAGAGCGACGAGACCTTCAACGAGTCCGAGTACTTGCAGGAGCGTGCTCAGCACATTGAGCGCGAGGCCGTCCGCCAGGAGAAGGATGCTCAGTTCAGCCTCGGCAACAACTTCTGGAAGCAGGATTCGCGTATCGCTCCTCTCCGTGGTGCCCTCGCTACCTGGGGTCTGACCGTTGATGACATCGACGTTGCCTCCTTCCACGGTACCTCCACTGTCGCCAACGACAAGAATGAGTCCGATGTCATCTGCCAGCAGATGAAGCACCTCGGTCGTACCAAGGGTAACGCCGTCATGGGTATCTTCCAGAAGTATTTGACAGGCCATCCTAAGGGAGCCGCCGGCGCGTGGATGTTCAACGGCTGTCTCCAAGTACTGGAGAGCGGTCTCGTCCCCGGTAACCGCAACGCCGACAACGTCGACAAGGTCATGGAGAAGTTCGACTACATCGTCTACCCCAGCCGCAGTATCCAAACCGACGGTGTCAAGGCCTTCTCCGTTACCTCCTTCGGTTTCGGTCAGAAGGGTGCTCAGGTCATTGGTATCCACCCCAAGTACCTGTACGCCACTCTTGAGAAGGCCCAGTACCAGGCCTACAAGACCAAGGTCGAAGCCCGCCAGAAGAAGGCCTACCGCTACTTCCACAACGGCCTGATCAACAACAGCATCTTCGTCGCCAAGAACAAGGCCCCCTACGAAGACGACCTCCAGAGCAGGATCTTCCTCAACCCCGACTACCGCGTCTCGGTCGACAAGAAGACCTCCGAGCTCAAGTACTCCGCCACAGCCCCCCAGGCCAAGGAATCCGAGGCAACCCGCCAAACAGTCGAGTCCCTCGCCAAGGCCAACGCCTCGGAGAACTCCAAAATCGGCGTCGATGTCGAGCACATCGACTCCGTGAACATCGACAACGAGACCTTTGTCGAGCGCAACTTTACCGCTAGCGAACAGGCTTACTGCCGCAAGGCCGCCTCCCCTCAGTCCTCCTTCGCTGGCCGCTGGAGCGCAAAGGAAGCTGTCTTCAAGTCTCTTGGTGTGAGCAGCAAGGGTGCCGGCGCTGCCCTGAAGGAAATCGAGATTGGCGTCGATGCCAACGGCGCTCCTACTGTTAACGTAAGTCACTCTTTCCCCAAAGACAATCCAATACAGACAGAAAGCTAACATACTCCCAGCTCACCGGTTCCGCCGCTGCCGCCGCCAAACAAGCCGGCGTCAAGCAAGTCAGCGTCAGCATCAGCCACAGCGACTCGCAGGCTGTTGCTGTTGCCGTCTCGCAGTTCTAGATTAGAACAGTGTGAATGGCTGCTGTTGTTGTGTTGTTGTGTTGTTGTTTCGCATATAGATCCTTGAGATCGGGCATTCTGTTATTTTTTTTTTTTTTGAACGTGCCCCTGTTGAGACGTAATGATTGTGATTTATGTTTTCTTAGAATTTTCCGGACTGGTTTGTGTCTGTGTCCGTTTGTGTTTATAATGGGTGTTATGAATGGTATTTTCTCATTGTTCTATTTGGGTTTGGTTTAGATTTGGAGGGATTGAGTAGATGTCTTTAAGTTGGTGTAGGTCAATATTAATGTTAGCTCCCTACACACTTTATAGAGTGGAGTATAGTAGGCATAGACATATCATTCTCTAGGTTGGCTTATAACATCTACACAGAAATCAAAGATTGAGATCTTATATCTTTCCATCCATCTGGCTTGACGAATAAACTAAAATGATGAGATATACACTTAGCGAATACAATCTCTTCTTGAAATGGCCACCAGCGTATTCACATCTCAACACCTAAAAGAAGACAAGAAAGTAATACAAAAACCAAAAGTAAATCCCATAGAAAAATACAACCCTATCTACATTGCAAATTTGAAGAAAAGAGAAATCACGACTTCCCAGCCCGATTCAACGGACCCCAGTTCGCACGAGGGTTAAGCTGATACCGCACGATCCTTTTACTAGTATGCTGAGCCGAAACCTGACGACCAAGCTCAGCATCGAATGTTACTTCGAGGGTACTGGGGTGAGGAGGTTTAGATGGGGCTGTAGAGGTAGCAGTAGAGGTGGTAGTAGAAGCAGCAGCCTTCGCAGGCGCAGCATCACCAGAAGCATTGCCACCCCGAGCACCAGACCGGTAAAGAGCAGCTTCAACTTTCGTAACGAGATCGGATACATCCTTCCCGGCTTGGATAGCAGCGAGTAATTCATTCTTCAAGGTCGAGAGGTTCTCGTTATCACCAGCAACCCGCACATTATCACGGCTCTTGGCCATGATACCCGCACCAGCAGTCCCTGGCTTGAGAACGGGAGATTTATTAGGCGCATGTTGGCGAACCCATTCACGCATAATCTCCCAAACAACAGCCCATGGCGCATCGGTGCGAACGGAGTTTGGTTTTGTGTGGCTGCGTGTTGAGCGGTAGCCCAGGTGGGCAATAGCTCCGCGGAATTCGTCGATGGGGGGTGTTGTTGTGTGGAGGACTTTTGAGAGGGCGCTGAGGGAGAAGTAGAATGGGTGTTCGGGTTTGGGGGTTAGGGGTTGGCGGGGGATTAGGGCTGGGTAGAGGGATTCGTCTGAGTCCGAGGCGGTTTTGATGTTGATTTCGTCGCCTTCGTTGGGATTTGAGGGAGAGGTTGAAGTGGATTGGGATAGATCCAGGTCTTCTTCGAGGGCTGTTGTTAACATTCCCTCGATGCGAGCGGTTGTTTGGTAGGTTTGTTTGTCGGCGCCTGGGAGCATGTCCAGGATTTTTTGGATAAAGATTGGGTTGTGGAGGGGTCCTGCCCACATTGGGCCGGCTAGGTGTGTTTTTGTGCCGCAGTGTTCGCAGTTCGGGCTGGAGGTTGGGCCCTTTGTTATGCCGTGGTGGTAGAAGGGGTTTCCTTTCTTGTCTGCGCGTTCTTTTGTCGAGCCGATGGGTTGGGTGGACCAGGCGCCGCAGCCGGCATCGCAGTTCCATACGAGCATGGTGTTACCAGCGTTAAACTTGACTTGGGCAGGGGAGCGGTAGACGCGCAAGAAGACACGGGCGTAGAAATCGATGGACAGAGACAGGAGAGGCTCAATGGCGATTCCGTATTTAGATGCGGACATGGCGAGACTGTTCAAAATCAGGCGGAGACCACCCTCGTGGGAGTGTTGGCCTTTGACGGGGATACCACCGTACAGGGCGAATGCCTTCTCTGAGTAGCCGGTCGAAGCCCAGACACCGGCGTCCGTGCAAGTGACGCAAAGAAGACCACCATCTTTGGCGGCTTGGACGGCACCGTCCAGGAATGGGCCTGCTGTGCCGTAAGGATCAAGATCGATTACGTCGAACTTGTCGGCGTGGTCGAGTCCGTACATGAAGGCGCGGGCATCGCCCAGGTTAGGCTGGATGCGGTCCTCGAGCTTGTTGTACTCGATATTGGTCTTCATTGACTTGATTGCAGACTCGGACATGTCATTTCCTACGACCTTGGTGACGAATGGAAGCTCCGAAGCGTAGCGGAGAGCACGCAGGCCTGTTGCGGACAGGGCGTCGAGTACGGTGAAAGCTGGCGGCGGGTGCTGCTTCTCGGGGTTTGCATCAATTTGCTGGTCGACAGGAGCAGACACTGGCTGCTCGGTTTCTTCAGCATTGCCTTGCTCTCCCTCCTTGGGTGCGGGCCTCGGGACCTGTTCACTCTCGGTCTCGTCGTCTTCCCGCTTGCGCTTCTTTTCGCCATTGCCTGCGCGCTTCTTCATTTTCTGATCCGTCTTTTTCTTCCTCAGGTCCATGGCATGTTCGCCATACGCGCGAATGGCGAGCACACTCAGGTCGCGGTTGAATTGCTGGATTGGATTGTAGAAGACGGACTGAGATTGATCCTCCTCTTTGAGGAACTTCTTTGGTCCCTTGGAAGCGGCTTCCTGAGCCGGAGGGTTGAGAATATGCGCGAGCCCCTCCTTGATCACATTGTACTCGGTGCCCTTGAATTCCACCTGGCTAGGTGTTTCGGCAGCGGTGTTCTCCATGGTGGAAAAGAGTCGAGGTAGAGATACTCGGGGAGTAGATGTCGAGTGAATTAATTGGGCAAAAGCAAGGGTCGAACTCGGGTTCTTATGTGCGCATCCTACTGTCAAGCGAGAAATCAAAATGGTGGGCATGGAGGCCTGTAGAAAAAGATTGTCGCATGAAGAGTCGAGGAAAAGATGCAGCGCACGGACCAAGTGGGATTACATTAGGATATATATCTATCGTTATACTTCTTCTTCTATACACGCACAAAGAGAGAGATAAAGAGAGATCATAACCAGTCTCCAATCACTGGAACCTGGCTATACATCTCATTCCACCCCTTAGCCTCCCACCCAACACCCTCACCACCACGCCCAATAACACCAAGAGCACCAGCAAGCCAAAGCGACGCGCCAACAGCAGCAATGCCATTTACCATCCACCACATCTTGCGCTGTCTTTTTTTCTGACTGGGGTTCTCCGTGTATCCGAGATACCCCTCCAACGACCCCTTCTGGCTCCCCCGTTCCTTACGCACCGTAGTAACCCTCCACCCCATCCAAGTCGCCCACCCACCAACAAAATGCCAAACACTAGCAGCAACAAAAATGACGTAGAAGACATTCCAGAAGACCGGACTGCGAGCAAATCCATGCGCAATATATCCGAGACCCACGCCGGAACTCCCACCCTCAACCATAACAGGCGTTGCGCGGTTCACCAGAGCATGCAATCCGATCAGCGGGGCAACGACATATCCCGAGCGAGCTTGTAGAGACATCCGTGGCCACCAGGAGAGCTTGTCACGCTGCGCACGGGTTTCGGCGCCATATAGTCTTGCGCGGCGTGCAGCGCGGATGTTGCGGAGAGCGATGCCGGATGCGATGTGGCCTAGGATTGGGAGGGTGAGGACTAGGTGTTCGATTCCTGGGGCTTGATAGATTGGTCGCGTGAGGAGAAGGTAAGGCTCGCTTGCGGGCACGGAGCGGGTTACGAGCGGGATGAGGGAGGTATTGGCGAGGTGGAGGATGAAGAAGGCTGTCGGTGGGTAGGTTGAGTATTTTTGGAAGCCGGTCACTGGTGATATGTGTTAGCATATTTTTTTTTTTCTTTTTGAATCCGCGTAGAGGTGGGTTGAGGTGGGTTGAGGTGGGTTGAGGTTGACGTACGCCATGTATCCCAGCGGTGGCCGCGGAGGCCCAGTTTGGGGATTAAGAAGCCTGTTTCATGTTGTGGCAGAGGCTCATTTGAAGGGAAGTAGTCGCCGCTTTCAACGTCGGGCGTGTCGGTGACTGGCGAGGGGTCCAATTCTTGCATAGAGATGATGGACTTGGTGTCGACGTCCTCCGGTTTGGAGGGTTGAGATGGCATTATAATTATGAGAAGTACAGACAAAAGACAAAAGACAAAAGAAAAAGATAAAAAGAGAAATAGAGAAAAGAAAATCGTCACTTCAGTTCAGTTGGAAGAAAGTTGGGGTTGACGATCTTGCTGATTCCCGCAAACACAACGACGTTGATAGGCTGGCTCTTCACGTTTCTCAACCTCACTCCATATCATGGCTCCGGTATGCTTAACTATGCCTTTCTATATAAACAAGCTAACATGCAAATAGCGAGGCTTTACCAATCCCGCTCCAAAGGTGAGCTCTCAACTCCCAACATCTAAACTTTAAGCTAATCCCAACAGACCGAGTCGGCACGGTCTGCGCTGAGCGCCTTCACCTGTACTCTGTGCAACAAGTCTTACTCTCGACACCCAGAATATGAAGCTCATATCGGCTCATATGATCACCAGCATCGCAAGCGACTTCAAGATCTGAAGCAGCTCTCGCGCGACCCAAATGCCGCTGAGAAGGCCCGGCGGGCCGAGCGCAAGGCGGACGCTGAGGCTGGTCTAAAGGTTATTGAGACTCCTGAGGGGGCTGCCCCAGCTCCTGCGGCCAAGAGTGGTGGTGGGTTTAAGAAGGGTGGTTTCAAGAGCTCTTTCGCTGCTGTCAAGGGCTCTGCGGCTCCTGCTGCTCCTGTGAAGAGGAATGTTCTTGGGGACGATGATGATGATACTCCCAAGCCTGTGGACAGTGTCCCACTTGCTGCTGCTAAGGTTGTGGAGAAAGAGGAGCGCCGTGATGATGTTGAAAGTGATTCTGATGAGGGATATTCACATGGAAGTGGTGCCTACTATGACCCGCGTCGGCCTACGGATTGTTTTGCTGGATGTGCAACTCAGAAAATGAAGATTACTACGTGATGCTGGATATCACATTCATTGTTGGAGGACTAATGCTTGGACGGCGCTTGGAGTTTACATGTTCTTGTTGTGGTGACTCTTTTCTTGGAAACAAAACAGCTATCTATCATTTTGAGAAGTTAGAGAATATCAAAGCACTTTACGCTGGAAGGACAGACCCTCAGAATGTAATCGTACATAGCTTTCCAAGAATCTGTCTAGAAAACAAACCGCAGGAACATAATGAAACAACATGACTTAAAAATGGAACAGATGAAAGGGTACTAGGCACATGGCTATATTATAACGAGCTCTTCACTCGTCTCAGTCCGTTGACTTACAAACGCAAGAGCTTGGCGGCCTGGCTGACAATGGTGTCCTCCTGGGGGAAGGCCATGGCCTCGAGGCCAGCGGCGTAAGGAGTAGGAACCTCAGCACCGGTGACACGGAGACCAGGGGCGGTCAGGTAGTCGAAACCGTACTCCATGGACAGAGCGAGGATCTCGGAGGCAACACCGAACATGGGGTAGCCGGACTCAACGACCATGATGCGGCCGGTCTTCTTGAGAGAGGCGATGATGGTCTCGACATCGAGGGGCTTGATGGAGCGCAGGTTGACAACCTCGGCCTCAACACCGTACTTCTGCTTGAGCTCAGCGGCGGCAGTCATGGACTGGCCGACACAGCGGGAGACGGAGACAATGGTGAGGTCCTTTCCGGGGCGCTCAATCTTGGCCTTGCCGATGGGCAGGACGAAGTCGTTCTTCTGGGCAGCCTCGCTCATGGGGAAGACTTGACCATACATAAGCCTAAGGTATGTCAGTTTACCGTCCAATTTTCCAATTTTCCGATTTCCGGGTTATGCGCAACTCACTCGTTCTCCAGGACAACAACGGGGTTGGGGTCACGGATAGCAGCCTTGAGCAGACCCTTGGCGTCCTCGGAGCTCCAGGGGGAGACAACCTTCAGGCCGGGAATGCTGCCGTACCAGGCAGAGTAGTCCTGGGAGTGCTGGGCGGCAACACCGGCGGCGAAACCGTTGGGACCGCGGAAAGTGATGTTGCAAGGCTGGATACCACCGGACATGTAGTGAGTCTTAGCGGCAGAGTTGATAATCTGATCGATGGACTGCATGGCGAAGTTGAAGGTCATGAATTCACACTAGATTGTCCAGTGTCAGCGTGGCCCAACAATCGTCTCCGGTCTCCGGTCTTCGCGGAAAAACTCACAATGGGGTGCAGACCAGCGAGGGCAGCACCAACGGCGAGACCCGTGAATCCGGCCTCTGTGATGGGAGTATCAATGACACGCTTAGGGCCGAAGCGGTCGAGAAGACCCCTCGTCACCTTGTAGCTGTAAAGGGATCAGCATGATGAACAGTTTCAACGATTCCACCGGGATATGATTCCGCCATCTCATGGCTGGAATTGATCTGCGACTGAGGGATTGCTCACGCTCCGTTGTACTGTGCGACCTCCTCACCCAGGATGAAAGTCTTCTGGTTGAGCTCCAACTCCTCCGCCAGAGCCTCGTTCAAGGCATCGCGAACGGTGACCTCCTTGGTGCCGTTCTCGGTAGCGTATCCACGGCGCAAGATCGAGGGAGCACAGGCTGACTGGCGAGTAGCGGAGCGCAAAGTAGTGGAAGCAAGGCGCGAAGAGAACAGACGAGCTGTTGGGCGGAAAAGTCGGGGAGCTGCCATGACGGTAATTATGATCGATCGAGTCGATGAGAAAGGATAAAGACAAACGAAAGGATCAATTGAAGATCGCGAGAGGAAAATCAGCGACTGGGGGAGCAAAGAAAGATATGCCCTGCGGAGATCGAATAGAATAATCTTTGAGATGCAAATCCGAAGATGTTGGGCTTCACGTGACCCCCGCAACTCACCGGTACTGTAACGGTCCATACACAGGCTATCTACTTCAACACAGCTACGAGGGTCCTTGATTCCACCTCGAGAGCTTCATTTGACTCCCACTTTTGACTGTTTAACTAATGCTACCACATATCTTGTTCTCTAGCTGTTGAGGATGTTGCCCTTATTCTGGCTACTTCCGTCGGCGCTCGCCGCTCAACCCTCCGCGCCCGAACCCATCTCCGCTCCGCTGCGCACCCTTGATTTCGGGCAACTGAATTTCCTCCATACGACTGATACTCATGGCTGGCTAGCCGGTCATTTGCAGGAGTATGCAGCTGTCTAGCCTATCCAGGAAGCTTTATTGAGCCATACTGATCTGTATTACAGGCCGTCATATTCCGCAGACTGGGGTGACTATGTATCGTTTGCAACGCGTCTGCGGGAAAAGGCGGAGGCCCAGGGACAAGACCTGTTGGTGATCGATACCGGCGACAGAGTTGAAGGCAACGGCTTGTACGACTCGTCCGAGCCCAAAGGCATCTACCTCTCGGACATCCTCCGGCATCAACATATCGACTTGTTGACGTCGGGAAACCACGAACTATACAAGCAGAACACATCCGAGGCTGAACTCCTCACCACCGTTCCTAATTTCCGGGGCAACTACCTCGCTTCCAATATTGATATATTTCATCCTACAACCCATGAGCTTGTACCTCTTGCTCCCCGGTACAAGAAGTTTACTACCAACAAGCAGGGCATACGTATTGTAGCTTTTGGCTTCCTCTTTGATTTTACCGGAAACTACAACAATACTGTGGTCCAGCCGGTAGAAGAAACCATCAAAGAAGATTGGTTCCAAGAGGCTATCAGGGATAAAGAGGTCGATCTGTTCCTCGTGATCGGTCATGTGCCCGCCCATTCGCCAGAGTATCGTGCGATCTTCAAAACGATTCGAGGCATCCGCTGGGATACCCCAATCCAATTCTTTGGTGGACATCAACATGTCCGCGATTACGCCAAGTACGACGACAAGGCATATGCATTGGCAAGCGGCCGGTTCATGGAGACTATAGGCTTCATGTCCATTGATGGCCTTACCACTGGAGGTAAATCTGGCCTGCTTAATTCCGGCCCTGTGTTCAAGCGAAGATACATTGATAGCAACCTTTATTCTTACTATTACCATACCGGTCTCGATCAGGATACATTCCCCACAGAGAAGGGCCAGAATGTTTCCCGTCTGATTTCCAAGGCACGAAGCGAACTTGAGTTGGACAAGGTCCATGGCTGTGCTCCTCGTGAGCTCTGGATGTCACGAGTCAAGTACGACGATGAAGCCAGCATTTTCTCATGGCTTGCGACTCAAGTCATCCCCGACTCGTTACGAGACGATTCTCGAGCGGATGTGCCTGCCCTGGCTATTGTGAATACAGGAGCCATGAGGTTCGACATCTTCAAGGGTCCTTTCACTCAAGATTCGACTTTTATTGTCTCGCCATTTACGAGTGGTTTCCGCTATTTGAAGAACGTTCCATATGACAAAGCCCAGCTTATGCTCGAGGTCTTGAACAAACAACCCCAAGTGTTGTACGCATCGCAATACGGAAGCGAGTCACTACGTACCACACTCGCACCTCCTGAGCAACTTGCATACCCAGAGGATGTGGTAGTCGAGACATGGCCATTATTGTCTGGTCCCAGATCTGCCCAAATCCTCATGTCTGGTGATAAGCCCTCTGAACCACTTGTGTACGGCTACACGACCAAGGACGATGCGGGCACGGACGGTGATGATACTATTCATGCCCCAATTCCCTTCTATCGCGTCCCCAATTGTATTCAGGCACTTGTATCTGCCAATTCGTCCGAGACCCCGGAGAAGGTGGATCTGGTCTACATTGATTTCATCGAGCGGTATATGGTGCTCGCGGCTAACTTTGCTGGTATTGATGTTGACTTTGCGAAGGAGAGTGATGTGTACATGCCAGGAATGACCATGACGAACCTGATTCTGGACTGGGTGAAGACGCATTGGAAGTGCGATGAGTAATATAATTATATATGATATTTGTTTTCGATTTATTCAATCATACATACAATTTACCCCATTTAATTACGCGTTTCCAGGAGTGAAATATAGCGAGAAGGTACGTTGTAATTTACGATTGTGCAGGCCTTGTCCATGCTTCTGTGCAAATCTTCACTATGTTTTCTCATGGAAGATAATAGCACTCCTCTTCTGCTTCAGGCTCCTTCCGCGTATAAAGTAATCAATATCCACAGACAGCCTATGTAGATGAGCTCAATTCATATCATACACCTAACTTGATCCTAAATTATTCATCGCCACCAGTGAATGTGAAAACACCCTTTCCACTGCGGTAACCACCCAAAGTACCCTGCACGCTCTCAGCAAGCTCAGGGCCCTCAGAGTCCCAGTTCCACTTGACATCATCCACGGGAATATCCTGGAATTTACCAGCCCGAGTCAACTGAAGCACATCCTTAATGGTGTTCTCCTTCAGCTCAGGGTTCTTGTCACCCCACTTGCTAACCCAGAACCCATTAAACGAAAGGTTCTTGAAGATCAGCAAACCAGACGGCAAAGCAACAGGCTGCTTTGACATAGCACCATAAGTAACCATATGCGAATCCGGCGCCAAAGTCTTAGCCAAAGCAGTAGCATTCTTGCCTCCAACACAGTTCAACGCAAGACGAATCGGCTCCCGACCCTGACGGGTAAACTCATGAACCATATCGCGAAACCCACCAGTAAGCATCTCCTCTTCCGTAACAACAGCAGTAGCGCCTAGAGCCTTAAGTTCCTGCTTAAGAACCTCAGTCTCCTCGGGCGTACTCCGCTGCCGAACAACATTAAGCGTCTTAATACCCCACTCCCGTCCAAGCTGAATAGCAGCCCGGCCAACACCGCTGTTCGCGCCGTTCTGAATGAGCCATTCCTCGCCCGTGCGCATCATGTCCCACGCACAGAAATCACGGATCATACGGTATGCCGTGACGGGGTTGACGCTGACGGTGCCGACCTGCAGCGGGGTAAGTCCGTCCTTGTTCTCGATCTTGATGAGCTGGGACTCGTCCAGCTGCGCATGTGTGCGCCAGGTTCCCAGCCCTGTGCGCTTCATAATGACCCAGTCACCCTTTGTGAGGTTCTTAACTCCCGCGCCGGTGGAAAGAACCTCGAAGGCGCCTTCGTTTCCGGCTACTGCGGCCGGCTCGGTGTTGCCGAGGGCCGATTGGAAGGGCGGTTTGCTGGGGTAGACGCCTTGGATTTGGTTGACGTCTGCTGGGTTCATTGGGGCTGTCATTAGGCGGAGGTTTACTTGGGTTGCATGCGGCGCGGAAATCGAGTGCTTGTGTAGGCTGGGCGATTGGTCAGTGGCTTTGACTCTTGGGCTTGGCTTGGAGCTTGAATTGGTTGTTTCTTACCGGAGGACATCTTTGGGCTCGCCGTATTTCGAGTACATCAATGCCTTGGCTTGGGTGTAGCCGTAGACTGATATGTATCTCCGACCGTATCCCATCGGAGCTTTGCCGGAGAGCACCGGGATTGGTGTGACGCGGACAGGGGCCACGAGAGGTGTACCCGGAGCTGCAGCTCGTAGTGCGCTTCGCGAAAACATATTTGGTGTGTGGTGAAGGTAGAGAGGGTGAAGGAGGAAATTATTGAGCAATGCGGATGCGGATGACGTCGCTTAGTCGGCGATTTCGCTCGGCCCGAAGGAACTGCCAACTACAGTTCAACTCTTAACCGACAGCTACTTGGTTTTTACTTATTATCCTGTTATAGCTCATCAGTACTGTAGGTTCCATATTATTGGTTCTAACAGATGAGAGACTCGACCAGTGACGAAATATGTTGTGAAGTATACCGCCATGAAGTACAGAGTACTCCGTACATCGCAATGATCTAGTACAGCGATTTTCATACACAATTAGCTCTCGAGAAAAGGGCAAGTTAGCATGAGTCTTAATCCCTAAGTTTTGCGCTTTATTCTAATCAAAGTACAGCAAACCATATAGACTGAAGAGTGAGACCTAAGGTGCAACTAGGGACAGTTTACTTAAGGCAAGTTTCCTCACGAGACAATGCTCACACAGATCCTCACATATCTAACTCAAGTACTGCTGCCCCCACGAACACGATAATGTGAGATGTCTATAAGGCAGGGGCTGAGGCAACTGGAAGTCTTGGCCCTTGATACGAGGATCATCCATGCAGATTACTGGACTAGGAGAACAGCCGCAGCAGCCCGCCGATCATCGTTTGCAGAGGCTAACCTTGACCCAGGAATAGACTCAATCCGTGGAAATGGATGGCTTCAAGCTAATAATAGGTTCAGCATTTTCCAGATCTATACGACGACATTCCCATTAAGAGCGGAGCCGCACTCAACATTCTAAGAGTTCCTATCCGATGATGATCTTTCTGCTTAAAGTATAATTTCGCAGCTTGATCTCAAACTGAGGCGGTCCAAACTGAGAATACGAATCTGTCATAGATTTCCCTTCTTGGTTCTTCGCTCGGATCCTGTAGATGACTACTTTCGTTCGTGATCGACAATAATATCTCGGCCGCAACATGTTGACGGCAGCGAGGTACCAATTGCTGGCAGTATCGACAAAAGAATCACTAATGGAAATCGTATTCACTCTTGGCAACATGAGTTAGGGCCTCATGAACAATGTTGATCTCTCGTGATAAGTTCTATTCTGGCTTCATTCGGGATAATACGAGCATTGGCATCAACGAGGTTACATGTTCATACTATATCAAAAAACATACTCAACGGCATCTGGATTTCTATTTAAACGGCTATCTTCCTCGTCTCTATGGTCTTCATCCTCTCAGACAATCAGTCTCAATCACAATCACAATCAATCAATCCACAACCTTTCAAACCTCAATTCAATCTTCGAGTTCGAACCAACATGAAGTTCACTACTACCACCATCGCTGCGCTTGTCGCCGTCCTTCCCATGGCTAACGCCTGGATCTTCTCCACCTGCAGTGGCCAGTGGGACAGCCACGGCAACCAGGGCTGCACAAAGTCCTCCTGCAAGACTGGCGACACCATTGACTGGGAGAACACCTGGGGCTCGGACTGCGTCCTCCGTCTGTACAGTGACAAGTCCTGCGATAACCAGATTGGAATCGCCGATGACGACTGGAATGATCACACTCTGGGCAAGAGTATGGGCAGCTTCCGTGTTTCGGGCTGTTAAATCAACATATCAAGTTTTGATATGTCTTCATTGAGAAGACTGGTGGAATGGAGGGATGAGCTCTTGGATCTAGTCTTTGTCTTTTGATGTTAATCAGTGCAGCTCAATATGTCGTCTATTGTTGTCTCTCACTTTGTGTCTATTTGGTAGTCATTGGTTCTTTGGACAATAATATTGTGGTGACTTCGCAAACAAATAACTCGTAGAAGTATATATTTCTCGAGCTTCGGGCCAAATAAATTTACATGACTTTCAGGTCTTTCTGAAATTGATCATCATACAACGAGGAGTACCTGTATCGTTCCCACTTAAACTCGAGTGAATTTTTGAAAATATAGAATGTATTTCCCATGACCAAAACTTCCACTCAAAACCGGCATGTAGTTAGAGCGCACGGACCAACCGGGGAGACTCGCATTCCCGCGCATCCTCCACTGACGACCACCACATACCCCAAAGCTCTAATGTCCCTTTTGCGCGAAGCTGAGAAATGCGTCGCTAACCAATATGCATACGGGATCAATGCATTTATAACGCCACTCTCACGCGCGGGGCCATGGCTGGACCGCGTGAAGGAAGCCGATGCGCGCAAGGAATCAGGTAGCTCCCATTGAATTCCGCACTCGGGACTACGACTGACAAGTGTATTTGAACAGGCAAGCCCAAATCCGCCGTCGATGGCCGCTTAATATCCATAAAGGACAATATCTGCACACGCGACATGCCAACAACATGTGCTTCGGGGATCCTGGATAAATTCAAGAGCCCGTTCAATGCTACCGTCGTTGACGAATTGGAGAATGCCGGTGCGATTGTTGCTGGAAAGACCAATCTGGATGAGTTTGGGATGGGATCTAATTCGATCAACTCTCATTTTGGGGCTGTTCAGAACCCGCGTCGTGATGGGAGTGGGGAGGACCTCTCTGCTGGTGGCAGCTCTGGTGGAAGTGCTGCCTCGGTTGCTGCCGATCAATGCTATGCGTAGGTATTCTGGGCCGCCAGAAACATTGTCTTGGCTGACTGAAGATGTATAGCTCGCTGGGTACAGACACCGGAGGCTCGGTCAGACTTCCAGCTGCGTACACTGGAACAGTGGGCTTCAAGCCGTCATACGGCATGATCTCACGATGGGGTGTAGTAGCGTATGCCAATTCCCTCGATACAGTGGGTATCCTGAGCAAGACCACCGCTAGTGTACGGGATATCTTCGGTATGGTTCCATTCCTACAAGCACCGAGCCACTCCTAACAAGACCATGGACCTCCTCAACAAGCACGACCAGCGCGACCCAACCAACCTATCCATTCAATCCCGCTCACGCATAAATGCATACCACCAAACTCCACGCTTCGCCTCCAGACTGACATCAGCACCCCTCCGAATCGGCGTCCCAATCGAATACAACGTCTCGGAACTGACACCCTCTGTCCGACGCGCATGGATCCTATCTCTCGCCCACCTCCAGAAACAAGGCCACACAATCCACCCGGTTTCCCTGCCCGCCACAAGACACGCCCTCTCAGCATACTACATCCTAGCACCAGGCGAAGCATCTTCAAACCTAGCCAAATACGACGGAGTCCGCTACGGCACTCGCGCCGCAGGCCCAGATGGCGACGGCAAGCCAGATGGATATCTCTATGCCAACACGCGCGGCGAGGGCTTTGGAGCAGAAGTCAAGAGACGAATCGTGCTCGGCACGTTTTCTCTCAGTGCCGATGAAATCGATAACTATTTCATTAAAGCTCAGCGCGTTCGGCGTCTTGTTCAACATGATTTTGATTCTGTCTTTGCGGCTAAACACCCGCTTCATGTCACTGCTTCTCAGCATGCGCAGAATGATTCCGTGACGCATCCTGATGTTGATGTTTTGCTTTGTCCTACTGCGCCCTCTTCCCCGCCGCGTTTGTCTGATTTGACGGATCCGAAGAAGAAGTCTTCTCTTGATGCCTATGTCACGGATGTGTTTACTGTTCCGGCTAGTTTGGCTGGGCTACCTGCTGTCTCGGTGCCTGTTACTGTTGCTGGGCAGGGTGATGAGGCGGAGTTGGCGGGTATTCAGGTTGTTGGTCAGTATGGAGATGATGAGTTGGTTATGAACGTTGGAGAGATGTTGGAAGGGAGGACTTTGGAGGAGGCTGCGTGATTGCAACTCAAGTGCTGAGGGATCATTGGCCTTTTCGTTACTTTTGTGCCACTCTATACTTTGTCTAGATTGACATCTTTGTATGATTAAGTTACTTTCGAGTGTGTATATTATATTCAGTCAAGGCTGAATTTTTGAATCCTTGAATCCTGGACTCTGATTGAAATTTGGTATCAATGCTATCATGTTCCGAAACGCCTGTATATCATGATACATATCAAAGAAGCACTGTCTGCCACCAGCACTCCGAATTCGAGGTAGATCACCATAGCAAACTCGCCTCGGCACTTCTCCCGGGGTTCTCTCCTAACGCTCAACTCATCTCAACATCCCCATCCCCATCACCCTCCGCATCCCCCGTAATCTCAACAGCCAAAGGTGTCCCAGCGGTCCCAACACTAACCCCATCCTCACCAACGCCAGGTACATCACCAGCAATAGGCGTCTGGCGATTACTATTAGCCGCGGAATCAGACGCACCAGCCGTACCAGGCGTATTAACAGAAACAGACTCAATAGCCGCCCCAACACCACCCTTCAAAACCTCCGTACCACCCACGGCCCCAGAAGCAGATCCCTCTTCAAGCACGCCATCTCCAGCAGTATTATTGTTCCCGATGATATCGCCATCAATCCCACCCCAGGTAGTCATAGCCTCGACTTCATCGACGATATCGGCGAGGACATCCTCGACAATCTGATCATTGAAGCGTTCGCCCATGGGTCGGATAGTGGTACCAGATTCTGTTGTAGATGGTGGACCTACCCACCACGGCCCCTCGAATTTGCATTCGACTGCGCCACCGCCGTAGCAGCTTACTGCTGGGTAGTAGCCTATCATTCCATCGTCGGCGTTCTCACGTTCGCCGATGCCGAGGTTGTTTGTGCCGTTTGCGAGGCGGCTAGCTGGTGGGAGGAAGGCGAAGAGGTCTTTGAAGGGGGTTCCCATTTCTTTTCCATTTTTGAAGATCGTGATGCTTGACCCGGGGAGTGTACGGAGTGTTGGGTCTTCTGCGTTTGTGGGCGATGGACGGCCGAAGGTGGGTGTTTCTTTAAGGTTGAATGCATAGTCGCGGAGATGTTTGGTCGAGAAGACGTTTGACTGTTGCCAGCAGAAGTCTGATTTGTAGTGGAAGGGGATTCGGTCGCGGATGATGTTCGTTGCCGTGGGTGGGTATGAGTGTTGTGAGGATTGGTTGTTGGGGTCGTCCGTTGCTGGGTTGTATGTTCCTTCGACTATCTTCTTGTGGAGGGATAGAGGCGGGAGAGTGATTAGCATGCCGATGACATCGCCTTCATTTATGGCTTCGCCTCTTGGGAAGAAGAATTCGCAGCGCATGCGATTGACGACTTCGCCGTTTACGTCGCGGATGCCGTACCCGTAGCAGTCGACTCCGATGTTGACATCTAGGTCTGCTTCGCGGCGCGCGAAGCCGATGCGGACGTGGCCGCGCGGTGAGGTTGTTGATCGGCCGTTCTGAGGTGGGTTTTCGGGGTCGGTAACTATTCCGCTGATGATCCGGGCCTCGTAATAGTACGCGCCTTCTCGTGCACAGACATTCGCGCGAGCTGTATGCCACGCATCGCTGGTGGTCACCGCAGTCGCGGATTCGGAGAAGGAAATGGCGGCTGGTGAATCCTCAAAACTGAAACGGGCATGGTAGGGACGAACATCTGTCTGTCGATACTTGATGTGGGAAAAGCCCGGGTCGGCAATGGCGTAGCTGTAGCGGAATCCGTTCTTGTTGGTGAGCTTGTCCACGACCTCGTAGAAGTCCCAGCTCTGACCCAGTACGTCGGAGGTTTTTCTGCTCACGTGGTTGAGCTGGCGAGGCTGTGGCGGGTATCTGTCGGTGGCATTCGGCTCAGCCAGCAGCAACGGTCGGAGAATTCGCAGCTTTGAACTGGGGAGGGCGGTGCTTGGTGCAGCCGTGGAGCGCTTTTTGGTCGGGGGAGCACTCTCGGTGTCCAGACCCTTTGCCTCCCTTTTCTTGCGACTGTCCCTTTTATTGCGCTTTGCGCGGCCGTCACCTTGGAGAGATGCGACACTGCCCGGAGCTGGAGATGATCTTGGGTTCAGGTCCGAGAACTGCGTGTTGAGCAATGGCCCGCTATTGGGAGGTAATATCGGAGAGTTGATATTGGAGGAGGGTGCCGAGGACCCAGGAGCTTGGCCGGATGCCATGGTGAAGGCTGGTCTCTATGCCAAGCTTGAAGAACGATGAAGCCGCGGAGTTCTGGTGATATATTGCTTCAGGGAGGCTGTCGTTCAAAGTAGGACGTTGATATCTGGGAATGGAGTTAGTCAATGAGACCAATGCCAATTCGAAGGGATTTAGAGCGGTGAATAGAAGTTGAAGTCCATCCAATGCATTCTTACCCAATCTGGTAAGGCGTGATGGTTTCAATATGCTGGCAACACGCTGGGCGCGAGGCGCATGCAAACGGGGATATCTATATAGGAGGCTCTGGCTCTCGAAAATCCACAATTAGACTCGCAAGCTACCTCTGTAAGTAATGAGAGTCCTTGATATGCAGTAATAGAGACAACAGTATGTATATCTTCAGCTGATCTCAAGTGAGCGCGATCAACGATCTCCTTGAGTAGAAAGGCGGTAAAACAGTCAATGGCAGAAAAGGGTCGGAGCGTTAGGCGGTGTGGGCAGGCGGTGGATGATTGGGGGGCACCGCCTGGCAGAAAAAAAAATATGACCACACAATTTCTATGTGGGCTTTGCTGCGAGGACCCTAGGAGCTGCTTGCACTTTTTTTTCGGGACATCACCGTCACCAGAAATCACATACAACATGCCCAAGGCAGGATCTTCCCGGGCCGCTGCTGCGGCTCGCAGACACAACCCTCTCGCCGAAGATATTAGTTCCGCGGGGCACCTTCGGACACAGAGCAGCAAGAAGGGCAAGGGCAAGGCCGAAAATGACGAAGATGGCGAAAATGGACAGGGCTATATCGATGCGAAGATGTCGCGCAACATTCTACAGATGGGTCAGGAATTGGCCGACGAAGATGAGGCCGAACAGAATCTCGCCCGGGGCCCGGCCAAGTCGAACGGCGCATTCGAATTCGATACTCGGTTCGAGGAAGAAGAGGCTTTTTCTGACGACGAGGGGAAGTTTGGAGCTGATGACTGGGTTGATGATGAAGTCGAGGAAGTTGTAAGATCTTTCATCTTCAATTTGATGACGACTCATGCTAATTATATCTTTAGGAAGTTGATCCCAATGATCTAGATATGTTCAACAAGTTCATGCCCGGCCACGAGGAAGACCCTATCTTCCACCCCAGAGACCCCAATGCCAGCGGCCAGACCACAAACCTTGCCGACTTGATTCTAGAGAAGATCGCTGAGCACGAAGCCAAGCAGGCCGGTGAGCACACCGGTGGACCCTTCATTCAAGGTGGTGGATTGCCTGAAGATGCCGTCCAGATCCCCGCCAAAGCCATTGAAGTATACGAGAAGTATGTATCCCACATCCCACAAGACAGCCCAAGCTAATTTGTTTAGGGTCGCCATGATTCTTCGCCGCTACAAGTCTGGCCCTCTCCCCAAGCCCTTCAAGATCCTCCCCTCCGTACCGAACTGGCAAACACTCCTGGAGATCACCGAGCCTGCCGACTGGACCGGCAACGCCGTTTACGCCGGAACCCGAATCTTCATCTCCTCCAAGCCGCACGTTGCCCAGGAGTTCATCAACATGGTCCTCCTGGAGCGCACCCGCTCCGAGATCCACGAAACCCGCAAGCTGAACGTCCACACCTACAACGCTCTGCGCAAGGCGCTGTACAAGCCCGCCTGTTTCTTCAAGGGACTTCTCTTCCCCCTCGTCGCAAGCGGAACCTGCACCCTGCGCGAAGCCCACATCGTCTCCTCAGTGATTGCCCGCGTCTCCGTGCCAGTTCTGCACTCCGCCGCGGCCCTGCTGCGCATGTGCGACCTCGCAGCCGAGCAGTCCATGACCTCGCTCGAGAGCACTGGTGCCGTCAACATGTTCATCCGAGTCTTCCTGGAGAAGAAGTACGCCCTGCCCTACAAGGTCATCGACGCCGTAGTCTTCCACTTTATGCGTTTCCGCGCAGTCGACCCATCGGAAGCCATGAACGACGGCCCCAACGGTCTCAACTCTAAGACCTACAAGCTGCCCGTTCTGTGGCACCAGTCTCTGCTGGTCTTCGCCCAGCGGTACCGTAACGACATCACCGAGGATCAGCGTGAGGCTCTGCTCGATCTGCTTCTCGTCCGTGGTCACAAGGATATCGGCCCTGAGGTCCGTCGTGAATTGCTTGCTGGACGTGGACGTGGTGTTGTCGTTCCTGATCCCGAGATGCAGAATGCTCTCGATGCTGGCGATGATACGATGGACATTACCATGTAGAGTGTAGGTCCGATCGACGGATCTTCCACACAGCCCCGCATGTATTCGCTTACGATTTGGCCATGAGCACTGCACTGTTTCTGGGATGGCGTTTTTCACCTCTGCTTTTTCATTGTTTTTCTATTTTCTTCTGCCTCGGATGGTCTGCATATAATTCCCCTGGTGTCAGGTTTCCAAAAAATGGGATGAATATAAGCCGAAGTCTACATATAGTTCATGTTTAGCGTTTAGCACATACTACTGTAAACTAGTAGGACTACGAAATGACCACTGCTTCAGGTATACATCAAAAGAGAATAACCCACTATCCCATGTCCATGCACATGTCAATGCATACGCACATATTCAATAGCATACTGCATCAACTGACAATAGGAGTGACTCCTATTCCAATCCGAGACACACAGAGGGGCCAGTCCCATCATACAGTACAACCTGCGACTCGTTTCAGCCCCTTCCTCTAGTGGGTCCAACTCAGCTTACATGCAAGTTGATCACGGAGAATGTCCCATGCCAAAACCAATCAGTGAGCCGAGCACATCAATCTAATTCTCCGGCCCCCTGAGTATGGAATGTGATTGTTGCATTGCAACTGTAATGTCCGTAAGGACACGAACTATGCAGGGGTGGATGGGATTGGTGGATTTGGCAGTACCCCCTCCAATGTACAGTAGTGTAGGCTACAGTAGAGTACAGTAACGTATCTCGGGGATTACATCGAATTGTCTGGAACGTTGCAGAAGGTGTGGAGGGGAGGTTCGAGACTGAGCGGGTACGACTCCGTATTGTGCAAGTTGAGGGGGCTGAGGGCTGATGTGATTGATATTGGGGGTGTTGCATTTTCATGTGGGACGTTGATGTGTACTATTTTATTTAGATGTGTCGATTGGATGTGTTTATTTATTTGCCGAGTTGTGTGTTTTACAGCCTTCAGTGTTGGACCCCAATGTTGAATTTAATGCAATGCATATGAGGGCAGTACAATCGATGTAGGGGCCAATACTAAGTCTAAGTATAGGGGCACACCTTGGGGGCCTGGGGGGCTTAGGGGGCCTCGCCTATAGATAGAACAGGGGCTGTACTGTGTATGACTACGTATACGGATAGTAAGGAGATGGCGAATGTTTCAGGCGAGACACGTTGATTGGTCGGAACGCATCTGGAACCATGGAATGCAGGGGCGCAGGGGGGAAATGCGTAATTTACAGGGTACCTAGTGGCGCATACAATACACTATGATAGGGGAAGTACTCCTTTGTTCCCCCCCCTTCAGACCACGCTGGCCTCTACTTAAATCCGCCCATCTGCCACTTCTGCAAACAGACAGTTGTCCTCTCCATTATCTCTCTTCTTGCTGACTCACCCTCTGACTCAATTTCCCCGGAGTCTGGATCTCCGGTGCCGTGATGACAGCGTGGCCTTGACAGGTTAATTTTCATTCCCCTCAAGTGCTTTCATCAGTACACAACCTCGCATCCGGCACCGGTTATCCATTATCATGGCCGATACTATCAACCCGTTGGACACATTGCCAACATCTCCTGATCCCGAAATGTACACAATCTCCCCCGCTGATACATCACTGGACTCACCTGAGCCGGAAGATGACATCAAGGAGGAAGAGGACGAGAAGAAGCCAGCTAAGAAGAGAAAGTCTTGGGGACAAGAACTGCCAACCCCAAAGACAAACCTACCTCCTCGGTATGTACGCCACTTGACTTGGCTACTCGCGAACCCTCACTAACAGAACTAGCAAACGGGCCAAAACAGATGATGAGAAAGAGCAGCGTCGGATAGAACGGGTCCTTCGGAACCGCGCTGCCGCTCAAACATCCCGCGAACGCAAGAGACTGGAGATGGAGAAGCTCGAGACCGAGAAGATCCGCATGGAACAACAAAATCAGTTCCTCATCCAGCGCCTATCACAGATGGAGACCGAGAACAACCGCCTCAGTCAACAGGTGGCTCAACTCTCCGCCGAGGTCCGCGGATCTCGCAGCGCCACTCCCAAAGCCAGCTCTCCCGCCATCGAATCTCCCACTCTCACGCCAACCCTCTTCAAGCAGGAAGGCGACGAACTCCCCATGGAACGAATCCCATTCCCCACCCCCTCTGTGACCGACTACTCCCCCACCCTCAAGCCTTCCACTCTGGCTGAAGCCTCCGACGCGACACAACATCCTGCAGCGGTGTTGTGTGACCTGCAGTGTCCGTCGGTGGCCTCGAAGGAGCTGGAAGCGCCCTCCCTCTCTTCGACCTTTCCGAAGAACCTACAACTGCAAATGACGTTGCAGCTCCTCTGTCTGACGATGACTTCCGTCGCCTGTTCAACGGTGATTCACCCGCTGAGCCAAATCCTTCTTTCCCTGAAGACGGGTTTGCCTTTGACGTTCTCGACGGCGGAGATCTATCAGCATTTCCCTTTGATTCTATGGTTGATTTCGACCCCGAGTCTGTCGTCCTCGAAGGCGTCCAGTCGTCCGGTGTTTCGGATGAGACTGCTCACCAGACTACTTGCTTGCAGCCCAGCCTTGGCGCGTCCACTTCGCGATGCGACGGGCAGAGCATTGCAGCTAGCGGTTAGTGAGCATTTCTCCCAAACCTGGTCGGCCGGCGCCCCGGAGGCACGATCGAGTTGGGAGTTGTTGTTGACCATGGCGTGGGCAATTGATAGTCTCAGTCTGTCGCAACAGGGTAGTTTGAAATCCGGTCGGCGACGTATTAACGGAAAGCATCGAGGTTCACGGAGTTCCAGGAGTTCTCGCAGATCACTGCTGAGTAAACACTGAGGTTTTTTTTTTGGCTGTATACTAGTTTAGCAATTTGACTGGCTCATTGCTCTTCACTTAATGTGATTACTGTAGACAATCTGTAAAAGTAGATGCTGCCTACCACGTAATCTTGACTTAAAAGTAGTAGCCTTCCGAGTCTTATCGACGAAATGAACCAACGCTAAAAATGCACCGAATGCGGTAAGTGACGTTTGCCACGCGCCATCTCCAACCTCTATCTCCAACTTGTCTCTCTCTCTTGCACATTACACCAAACACAACCGCCATCATGGTTCGCAAAGACCCCATCTTCGAAGCCCGCACAAATGTCAAGGTAAGCAACTCATCCCACCTGGCCACTCCAGTCTCCCACCTGAACGCCCACTCCCCGCACTCCCCCTCTACCCAACATGAACATACACAAACAACCACAACAGAATAAACCAAACCAAACAAATACTGACATATGTACTAGCTCCACTCGAACCGCCTAAAAAAGGAAGCCGTCCGCGCCGAATCAACCTACAAATCCGAAAAAGCAAAAGCAGACAAAGCAATGAAAAACCATGAATTCCAAATCGCCCGCATCCACGCCGCCAGCGCAATCCGCGAAAAGCGCCGGCAGGTAACACTCAAATCAGAAGCCGCCCGCGCAGACGTAATAATCAACGAACTCAAAGCTGCCCAAAGCACGCGCGACACATCCCGCACGCTGGCGCTTGCATCGCGAGGCCTGGACGCTGCGTCGCGGAGTGTTAATCTTGAACAACTGGTCGGCCATGCGAATAATTTCTTGGCCCGCAGTGAGGATTTCAAAATTGCTTCTTCGGCGATCGAGGATGTTGCGCAGGGTGTTAGTATGCAGGAGTATGGGGCCGAGGGAGAAACCGAGGTTGATCGGCTTATGGAGCAGCTTGCTGATGATGCTGGTGTTGATATGAGGAGGAATCTTGAGGAGAGTTCGGCGCCTAAGGAGGAGGTTAAGGTGCCGGAGAGGACTGGAGTTGATGCTGAGGCGGAGGATGGGCTTGGGGCTAGGTTGAGGGCTTTGAGGGCTGCTAATTAGGGGGGTTGTGATTCAGTTGGTGTGTGTTGATCTTTGGTTTTTGTGTCTTTTGTCTTCCGGGATATCCGTAGATGGCACTACGAAGTTATGGCTGTTTTTATGCTTGTGTCTGTCTGGGCTGGATGTGTTGTTCATTTTTCAATTTTCATTCCTTTTATCTCATCTTGTTCTTCTTCCAGTCCTACTATTTCATATTAAGCGTTGAATATATGTACACCTGAATCTATACCTTTTCGTATGATATTCTAAACCGGACATCCCAGTATACGAAGCGTCAAGGATGTTATCTCTCTTGGCTATCACCATTTACCTCTGGACACTAATCTCAATCTCAAAAAGGTAACTACATATATATACACACATGTCTTAAAAACTTCTATAAGAAAACACTCTATATTAAGTAGAAAAATAGAGAAAAAAGAAAAAAAAAACATACAACAGTAAGGATTCGCTAGTGGTCACCCACCTAACTACTAACTTACCGGCGTGTGGCTTAAGTACGGCTGAGCGGACGGGAAGCCCTGTTCTCCACACCCTGTGGTCGTATGTACTTGATTAAGTGTTGAAGAGGACTATGTTGAGCGAGATGAGTAGTGAATATACGACGCGCAACTCCGGTGTGGAAAAGTGAGTACGCTATAGACGGGGTGATAATCGAGACAAGAGTCACTTCAACCGCGGGACTACTAATAAATCCCCTTCTCTTGAACATGAACCGAATATGATCGATTCAGGCATTGTTGCGTAGCTGCCTGTGCGCCTATGTTGTTAGGCAAGACACGACTGTATTCCTAGCTTCCTTTGTCTCTAGTTTAAAGGCTTTGTAAGTTCGAAAATATTTACTCCCTGATGTTTGAGTGTCCCAGGTAGGGATGTATTCAAACTTGCTGAGGGCAGCTTTGATTGCTTCTCCAATTCTAATTAGCTTAGACTTAAGGCTGATTGATCTTAGTGCCAAGCTTGGTCTTGTCGACTATTACCTAGATCATTCCTTCCAAATTCCAAACAAAATCGAGGCAAATGTTCTGAGCTCCGAAATTCTGAGCATAAGATCAGGTAGTTTAGCCTGAAAGCCAGTACTGGGATTTAATCAAAAGCAATAGCCTTGGCCTGTCTGATTCGCGGTCTGCAAGAATAGTCACTAGTTCAGCTAGGGTATCTGTCTGGTTACCAGCGGTAGTGCAGCCATTGGGATGCGACATAAAGCCAATCGAGATTCGTACGGACAGTAAAAATGCTATCATGATTATGGAGCAAGACAAATAGCACGAGTCGACTGAATCTGAATAGCTAGACATAAGGTACTATTTAGTCAACTTGCGATATTTGCCCTGTTGCATAAGAATAGCATTGTCATTGTTTGTACGGAACCCGATTGGCAGCTCTATATCGCATCTCAATTGCTTCATCACCTGTGGCAGCCAAAGAGTACCTAATGTCAAAGTTGTGACAGGCTTGACCATATTCCTCTTTTCGGGTTCGAGGATAATTATAGCAGTGGCGATAGTGTTCCCTCCTGATACAGATAGGTAATGATCCCTTTCTATCTACGAGAGAAGTGATTGTCTTGATAGGGAGAGAGAGGAAGAAGGATGAGACGGTCGAGGTTGGCTTAAAAAGAGGACGTAGAGACGATCAACGATGCCTTGGAACATGGATTGTCTATGAGAAAAAGGCAGACTAAATAGGGCCTGACAGGCGACTAGCAAATAGCAGGCAAACAAGCAAGCAATAGTCTGAAAGCCTAGACGCATTTCTAACAAGTTTGTCATGTTTATAGGCTAGTCAAGTGAAAAAGATAAAAAATACTTCATTTAATTGAAAGAGAGCAAATTCAGCTCCTTGAGATAATGAGTTTTGCGAAACTAAGGCAAACGCATACTGATTGCTTGACATTTGCAATATCCAGCATCGAACACTGTAAAACAGCAGTGCTCGTCATGGTGTTGACTTTGGCCCAAAGAGAAAACTTGACACTAATACAAACAATCATGCCCAGTCGAGTATCGGGTCATGATTCGAAATTATAGTCCTTGGTTTGTTCTTCCCCTTTTACTTGACTTGAGCCCTGCATTGGAGTCTACATCCTACACCGATTGTTCTTTGCTTTTCTTTCTTTTAGTCCGAGGTTATTGACATAAATCAATCAGTTGTTCCTAATGAGTATCAACTTAAACCTTAGGTTCAGGTACTTTTTAACCTTTTCGCACTTTATTTTGGGCTGTATGATGGCCTACCTCTTATGCTTTTGTGATAGGATCTCTGGATATTGAGCTAACATAGGCTTGAGAGGGTTATTATCCCCCATGGAGGCAAAATTTCCCCTGAAATCCTTTTCTGAAGTCAAATCTGTTGTCTTCGGATCCTTCCAGTAGAGAATTTCATCGTTGTTATCTGCGCTTGATCGGGGAAGAAATGTTTTGGTCCCCGAGTCTTCGGTGTTCCAAATCTATCCTCAGGATAAATTGACTCAGGTGGGACCTGATTAGAAGGTTTTTAGCGCGATACAATCTCTCGTCCACTAAAAATACTACTCCGTAACTTAGGACCAACGGAGTCGGAGTAGAAAGACTTGTTCTCTTTCGTTGCTGCCGAGAGTCATTCAGTAGGCATAGTTCCACAAAAAGACAACAATCAGTGTGCCGTTTCGCTGATGCCTATCATCCCCGGCAAACAAATGCAAATTTCAGGTAACTATTTGTGTATATGCTCCCCATTAAAACCAATCACTCACTAAGCGTATCCAAATTCTAGTGCGCAACCACTCTGGGCTTCCGACGTCAACTATGGCACAGTCCCCGGAAGAACCGTCAAGATTATGGTCATACCTGACGGAAGATCTGAGGGAGGATTTAATGCTTGAAAGCGAGTTATTACTCTTGTCATTTGCAACTGGCATCCAAGATGCTGCTTCTTGGGTGGATTATGGCTGTTTCGCATCGAACCAAACCGGAAACACGCTTTTCCTGGCTATCGGGGCTGCAGGATTTGGAGGTAACTCCAATAGTTTGCCCAACATCGGGATGAGCCTTGGTGCATTTCTTGCGGGTGGCTTGATCATAGGCCAAATTGGTCATTATTTTGGCGCTCGGAAGAGGCTATGGCTGTTCATAAGCAGTCTTCTTCAAACAGCCATGGTTTACACTGCTGCTGCAATACAGTACCAGGTCATTGTTTCAAGAGAGGGACCGGCAGCTCTAGTGGTTCTTTTTCTGTTAGCATTCTCGTCGGGAGCCCAGGTTGCGCTGGGTCGATCGTTGAAAATTACGGACATTACTACAGCAATGGCTACTGCAGCCTACATAGATGTCATGGCAGATTCCAATTTGCTAAAGCTCAAGAACCGCCAGCGCAACCGACGGGTTGGGTTCCTTCTTATGTTGACAGCAGGATGCTTTGCTGGAGCTTTCATGGAGCGTGCTGTCAACTCTACATTTTCCATCGTCATGTGTGCAGTTGGCAAAACGCTGGTCACTTTTGCCTTTCTGTTCAACGAACCTATCAAAGAGAAGAGCGAAATGTGATCAACTGCATTGATTATTAACTGATTACGAAAATAATCGGCGTCCAATTTCTCGCTCTAGCATCCTGCAACGCAATAGTCGGATTTCTCCTTTATTTTGGTAAGAATTCAATCTACCCTCTACAACCAGCCACCCCGCAGAATTTTGAATAAATCGACCAGAAGTGTGAAAAGGCGTCCAAATCTGAAAGTAGAGCGAAAAACCTGCAAACTGACTGGGCGTCCGGGAGTGATGAAGTCGGCGACTAGAAGTGGGTCTCGGGGAGCGAGCTCTGATGTCTCATCCCGTGCATTAGTTATTATCAGTATTACGAGCGAGCCTGCTCTCTGGCCTGATTAGAAAAGGAAGCGAAGTTAACTGAGTGATCTTATGCTAGCTTCTCTGGCCAGATTAGAGAAGAAATCATGTCTGATGCCGCTTGATTCCTGATCTGCAACAGCCATAGATCACACCAATAAGAACGTAAACCCGACTATCTCTCTTCTGATTCAAAACCTGTGTAGAGTGGATGAATCAGAGACATAAATGGTTCCCGTATGCTACTAGTCAAGTATCCAACGATGACCGTCTATTTGGTGATTCTTCCTAGGCAGAGAAAAGGTGAACTATATGAGAAATCTCATTTTGCATTAATGGAAATTAACCTACACCAAGAGAAAAAAACCAATTCGATTGAACAAATTGAAAAGAGCGGAGCTTGTTGACAGCCAAAGAAAGCATTAGACTTCAGTAAGCAGCGAGGGAATTTCTACTGGTGTCAAGAAGAATGACGTTTGGGAGTTGCCTGGCCCACGCGGTAGTCGTCCTCCACGAATGTTGACCTGAAGTGCCTGGTGTAGAAGTCTTGGGTTCTTCAACACTGAATCGCGAGCTCGACGCCAAGCGACAAATTCCTCCTGCTTCGTGCCCCCTTTGACGTGCTTATTCCTCTCACGTTGTTCCGCAACGGTCACATAAGGCATGGGGTCCCGTCCTGAGTCCTCCGGGGGATAGTCGTGCCCCGTATACAGGTTGTAATGGGATGGCATGCATAGCAGCTTATGCATAGACTGGAACAAGGCGTTCGGGTCCCCCTTTGGAAAATCGCACCTTGCACTGCCGACGTCGGGATTGAATATTGAATCGCCGGTGAAAATATTGCTACCGATCAGGAACCCACTGTGGTCAGGGGTGTGACCGGGCAAATGAAGAACTTGAGCAGTCAAATTCCCAATACTGAAGATCTCATCATCTTGAAATAGATGATCGAAAGCACCGTCCAAGTCTGTCTTGGGTACGTTGTATATCGCGGCGAAGAAATCTTGGACCTGTTTGATTCGGTAGCCGGTACAGATGGGAACCTTGCATTGCTGGAGTACCAACAACCTCCGCTGAAGATAATAGGCAGCAGTCAGGTGGTCTGCATGAGCATGTGTCTCGAGGAGTCGGACGACTGTGTAGTTGTGAGATGAAACCACATCCAAAAGTGAATCAGCAGAGGAGGTCATGATCTTGGGCTGTGTTGGCTCCAGATTGAGCACCGGATCTATAATAACAGCATTGCGTGAATTGGGACACGCAACGATGTATTGCCAGGTGCCAGTCTCTTTATCTATAATGCTGTGTATGATTGGTTCCATACTGGCGCAGAAAGTGTGAAGGTAGGCCCAAAAGGAGAGGAAAAAGTATGAGTTCACAGAAATGCGTCTGTTGAGCGTTCACGAAACTTTCATATATGAGACGAAAGCATGTGCCCCCTTGTCTCTGAAGCGGTCACCACCAACTTGTTCGGGAACCGTTCGGCGACTAGTAATGGCCCACCCAAACGTGGCCCAGCATGGATGCCTCTAGTCCCCGAAGCACCCGGGACTGGGTGTGTGGATCATGATTATCAACATACAACATGGCTCGTTAGTCTGTTTACAGTCCTATCAAGTATTGAACTAGTGCTTTACAAAATCCTCAAAATAAGGATGCCATTTCATGCATTATTTGTGTTTTTCGAAATGTGACTCAGATAAGCCATCAGATCATATTTTGCAAAGGAGACAACTTCAGTAGATTCTCAGTCAATAACAATGAGGCCATCCGCATCCACTCTGTCTTGCCATTCCATCCAGCTTCCATCATATAGCCTCCTTTCCATTCGGAAGCCACTCACGCCTAACGCTAAGTCGAGTGCTGCAGCAGTAACACCGGAGTTACATGTCAACACAGCCGGCAGATTTTCCTGCACGCCGGCATTGGTGAACATGGTCTTTAGCTCCGTCGCTGGCAGGAGAAGCTTATCCGAGCTCAAAATGGAAGCCAATGGAATGTTCAATGCGGTTGGCATATGTCCATCCTGAGAAAATTTATCAGGGATCCGGACATCTATAATCTGATATTTCTCCTTGGCTGTGAGAAGGTCACGTAGTTCGGTGAACGAGATGACTTTCCGTGGATCAGGGAGTGGCTGAGGATACTTGACCTGAGGGACAGATTCAGAATTAATGGAAAATTTCCCAGTAGAAATTGGAAATCCCGCGTCCACATAACCCGGAAAATTGTTCAACACATGAATCCTCTGGTGGCGGAAATGAAGGCAAGTCCATGCAACTCGTGGAGAAAAATAGAGACCTGTCTCATACGTATCGTAAACAACGAGTATGTCTTCCATGTGAATGCCGAGTTTTATCATAGATTCTGCGAAGATATCTGCGTTAGGCAGCGTCAATGGGTAGCTGGACCCGGTATCACTGATCTGATCCATGTTGAAGAACCTTGATATTTAGGTTACTAAACGCAGCTCCCAATGTTGCTTTAGGGGCCAAATAACCAACTTTGAGTTTGGAATGTGTCGAGCTTCAAAGTAGGGAAGGGAAGATTCCCTTCCAGCTGCAATAGGTATAATACGGGGGCATCCTCGGGAAGTCGATAGAGCATGGTTCAATTCGGCTGGAGAAATGAATAGTGATTTGAAGGGGCGAGAACATGCCATGGTGAGAAAGATGAGATGCCGGTAGAGTAGCAGAACTTCGGGTCATGTTCATTGCAATAGGTAAATTACTTGATGTAGGAAAATAAGTATGTGGTGTATCTCGATCTCGTGGCTTTGTGGTTGTAAACGTATTCTGTTCCCCGATCTCGTGGTCCCCGAAATATGGAAGCATTGTAGTTCCTTACTGCCAATCACGGGTTTTCGGAACACAAGATAGCTAAGTCAGCTTCGTAAAATTTATGTTTTGTTCTTTAAAATCATTGCAAACGTATGAATCAAAACACTAGTTCAACCGACTATGAACTATGACATCATTGATATTCGCCACGAATGACTGGGCCAGCGACACTTCAAATGTCGTTTGCGTAGTAGAACACCATTCAGGAAGTGTTTCATTGTCAACATTAACCGCTCCCATGAACTCCTTGCATTACAAATCGTCCATTAAAATCAAAGGTTCTAAAGAAAACTAGTCGCCGACGTACTTGTAAAGACCATCGACTCGGCGACCAGAGCCCATGAGTCAACCTACAAAGCCCGTTAGCAATAAAATATTATAGTTCTGCGCCCACTCGAATCACATGCAGGGCTCATGCCAAGATAGAAATCTCAGGTCCAGTAGGCTGCTTATTCTGCATTGTGATGACTCAGGTTGCTAGTCCCGTGGATACTGTCACCGGCTCTACCACTACAATACGTCGGGCAGGCATCCCTTCTCCTTTTCTTTCTTCTTACAAAGAATCTTGCCTGAGATATCAATTCCTCCTATAATGGATCCTTCTGTAAGCTGTGAAAATTGCCACCAAGCTCAAGATTGCCCCGATCATGGTGGCAGAGAAGATACCGATCATGATATTGAAGTGATGATTCACGCCAAAAATCAGAAAGGGTTAAGACGGGTCATAGTCAACTTCACTCCATCGTGCGTTTTATACTTCTTCTGTTCGGGCATTACTAACTTATCATAGATGGGTAAGAAAAGCTCTGTCATTATTATAAACGCATCCTGACTATTTCCAGTTCAGCGCTACTATGGGAACGGGCATCGTTTCAATTCTTCTTCATAACCTTCCTTACAACGGCACTTGGCTTTATTGGATCTCCGTGGTTATTTTCGCTCTTAATGTTTTTCTTTTCACTCTATTCAGCCTTATCTCTCTGGCGCGATATACGCTATTCCCGGGCATTTGGACGGTAATGTTGAATCATCCTACGCAGTCGTTATTTCTCGGTATGCATCACTCTTATTGGCATGATCCACCAGTTTTGACTAAATCTTTGAAAGGCACCTTTCCCATGGGCCTGGCAACGATCATTAATATGGTCTGCTTTGTGTGTGTTCCTGCCTGGGGGAAAGGGGCTGCTACGTTAGCATGGACACTTTGGTGGATTGATGCCGTTATCGCCCTTGCAAATAATGTGTATTTGCCTTTTGTCATGTAAGAATCGCCGATCTTCCAGCCTCTCTTCCCATTTTGGAAGTTCCAGGACATGCTAACGCCGACTCGTAGAATGTCTCGTCATTCGAATCAACTTTCGGGAATGACTGCGGCCTGGTTACTCCCTGTTGTGCCGACTGTTGTTGCTGCTGCCTCAGGTGGAATAGTGGCCTCAGTGTTAGAAAATGAGCAACACGCACTCTGGACTATCATAATCAGTTATATACTGTGGGGAACTGGAGTTCCTCTAGCAATGATGGTACTCGTTATGTACTTTCATCGCCTGACGATACACAAGATCCCTCCCCGTGAAGTCATTGTGTCTGTTTTTCTTCCCCTGGGACCCTTAGGTCAAGGTGCATTTGGTATTATGCAACTTGGAAAAGAAGCCGTCAGGGTTTTCCCTGTCACACAGAGCTTACCCTCGCAAATTTCAGCTGGCCCTATTCTCTATATCTTAGGCTTCATAGTCGGTCTTATAATGTGGGGATTTGGGCTTGTCTGGCTTTTCTTCGCAATCGCCTCTATTACTCGTTCAAAATTCCCATTTAATATGGGTTGGTGGGGGTTTACTTTCCCACTTGGGGTATTTACTGTCGCAACAACCACGATTGCGAGCGAGCTGCCTTCATTATTCTTCAAGGTTTTGGGTACAGTGAGTTATCTATTGATTTGTGGTGTATGATAGTTGGTGGCTGACATGAATAGATCTTCTCTGTGGTAGTCGTTCTACTTTGGATTGTTGTTATGTCCGGCACGCTTATTCAAACCTGGCGACGGAAGATATTTGTTGCACCATGTCTGAAGGAATGGGAGAGGACGGAAGTTGAACGGCGTAGGAGAAGAAATGTTTGATTTGTCTTGGTCAAGATTATTGTTTGCATGTTCTGGCTATGTCATGGCATTTATCGCATTCTTGCTTGGACTGCATCTATCCAGGTAATCAACCCAGTAGACATCAAATTCTGCTGGGCAACACAGCGGACGTATCTTACTGATGTATCTGAACTATAGCATAGCCTGATTCTATCTCACCTCTCAAGGAAACAATACGCAAGTCAGGTATTTGCTCACGGCACCTGTTGCGGAATATTAATACTGTACTTATCTACTAAAGTGTTTAGCAATATATATATCAATAGAAAATATCAATCAAGGATTAAAATTTCAAGCATGCTGGATCACCCATGCTGCTGGAGTCTGCAAAATATTTCTTATATTGATATGCGGGCTAACTCTAGTTGGGTAGGTTCTTGGGTCTGCTTAGTGCGAGCACTAAGCTATTAATGGTTAGTGGTATCTCCCAATGCTACTACCCTCCTTCATGAATACCACTCTCCTTATTTCTCGACCCAAATTGAAGAATGAACACAAGGACCATGAGAGCACCAGAAGACATACCGTATATATGGGACCTTGTCTTTCAGGTAAGATTCGAGTGATTACATGTACCATAAACATCCATCCTGAAAGCATACATACAGGTGTCCACTCGAAGGGAGCTTAAAAACTTGTGCGAGGTGTGCAAGTTGTTCAACGAACTCGCCACTCCACTTTTGTACCGATCGGTCACACTACGCAAGTCAGAGACTACCGGCGAGAACTGGGATGTGTTGCCTAGCGATGTTGATGACCCAGCCAAAGCGAAAGATCTGTCATACAGCCTCTTTAACCGACTCCTTCACGACGAGAATATAAGAACTCAGGTGCGCGAATTGAGGCTCGCAAGAATACACGATAGAGCAGAAATGGCGACTGTCCGCCGAAAACTCGAGCATTCCAGCCATTCGTTGACTAGCTTAGTGAAGCAAATGCCTAATATTCGCGATATCTAGTAAGGCCTCCTGCTATGTTCCATGAAGCTACTGTGCAGAGCCTTATGCACTTACCTGGGGACATATACTAAAAAAAGAAGATAGCTTTCACGGCAAGTTTCCTTTGACGGAGAGATTTTTGATTTCATTGAATGAACACAAGGGATCACCGAGGCTCCATCTGCTCGATTATTATCATGAGAGGCAAACCAGCGCCCCGATACTGGCTGTACAGACACTGCATATCTACGTCCCTACTAATGCATCCTATTATGAAGAGGGACCAGTGGAGCATGCTTCAGTGCTTCGAGATATGTTTGCTGCATATCCAAATATTGAAGATTTATGCCTCTCGGTCAGTCGATATAGAAGAGGGTGGTGCGGGACGCACCGCCCGTCCTCCTTTCGTAGAAAGATTTTGGAATACGTCTCCCCGGAAAGAAGTTGCAACCAATTTGAGCCGAGTCTTTCCTTGAACGGCTATCTGATTGGACCCGAAGCCTCCTTTTGGCGAGAGCAGTTTTCATGGCATAACTTGCGGTCTCTCAGCTTGGGTCCAGACGACAACCCAGGTTTTCTGGAGAATCTCGGCGGCTGTGTACTGAATCTAACCAGTTTCACCATAACACGGTACTGCAAAGAGACAGCCATGATTCATCCAGAACTTGACTCATTCTTGCTTTCATTTCATACCCTGGAAAGTCTGACTGCCAAGGGGTATGTTCCTTCAGTACATGCTGTGGCTAATCATCCAGATCTGAAACGCCTTTGCCTGCATGCGATCGAGCATCCTGATAGAGAAAGAGAAGTTCTTAGTGGGAAGGAGATCGGCATCTTGGACCAGTCGTGTCCCAATCTAACTACACTGGAGGTTGACATGAATACGGATGGTGAATGGGTTAGTTTCATCAAATATTGAGCTTGGGTTAAGCTGACCAGAAGCCCCTATAGCCTAGCCGACCCATTGATTGTTTGGCAAAAGGCTTTCTAAACCTTCGCCAGCTATCCATTCATGTCGAGCTGGGAGTCCGGCAAGTGGAGTTAGAATGGCAATTGCAGCATCAGCTAAGACGACAACTAGAGCGACAATTGAGACAGCAGCTGAGGGAGCAATATGCGGACGAAGACGACTCGAAGGGTATGGATCAAGCGGACCGGATGCATCTAGACGACTGGACGCACGAATCGATGCTGTCGGTGTTGACCGAATTCAAAGCACACGAATTTGGAAAGCGCTTCTTTGGTCGGAGACATGAGCATTCAAGTCTTGAGAAGATAACATTGAGGACAGGCGAGAAATTATGTGGATCTTCGCGAGAACGGAGAAACTATCTCCCCGATGAGGGTCAGTATGAGAAGATTTTCGAAATATATCCTCCTCCAACAAAGGAGAATGAGCCATTTCTCAAAGAAGTGGAGTCGGAAAGGGCTAGGATGACTCGAGAAATGAACGAAGGACTCGATCGCAAGTTTGGGCCGCTCAAACGTCTCTGAGGAGTGTTTCGAAAGAAATAGGGTGAGCAATCCTCTTGTGAAAAGTCTCCATGAAGCAGTGTTCAGGTTCGGCACTTCAATAGTCAATGGTTGTGTATCCAATTAGCCTTTGGGGAGGAAGCGAGATTCCATAAGGACCTGTAATTACTTTTTATGGAATGCCACAGAGAACTAGATCGACCATAAGCACGCACTACTTATTTACAGAGAGTATGATAGCTTCAGCTCGTGCTGACGACTATTTATTGATCCTGATTCGAGCATCTATCAGTCTACGTGTTTCGGCCATACGGGGAACCTCCCCAAATGAAGACCCTGGATGTTGTTCTCACGCCAGCTCAATACAAAGAAACTCGTCGCATAACTGTTTCCGTGGATCCCCAGCACGGTTGTGGGGTGACTCTTTTCCCACAAAAACCCTTCATTGTGATGAACCTGGCCTCCCATATATACTACAGGTTTTCCAAGTTGTATGCAATGACCTCAATGATATGCCCATTGCTTTCATAAATTTTAATTCTTTGTACACCGTCTGTACATCCCGCGATAATAACCAATCAATCAAAAATCTATTAATCTGTTGCAATAGATGGCTATTGTAATGATTGCGCAGAAAGTTCAATGCGAATGAACCAAATTCGTGGTCCTTGAACCAGAGTATCTGCGATGTTATGTAAGTTGGATTAATGAATCGTTACTGAGTTAAGATGCTGCTGAATGATTCTCACCTAATGTACACGCTTTTCCCACCCTGTATGTAATGTGCTGTCCATTTACATACCGGTCCACTTAATTTACAATTAAATGTCTCTGGCTATTATACGAAGTTTAAGACAAGTGAAGTACATACGACCACAGGGTGTGGAGAACAGGGCTTCCCGTCCGCTCAGCCGTACTTAAGCCACACGCCGGTAAGTTAGTAGTTAGGTGGGTGACCACTAGCGAATCCTTACTGTTGTATGTTTTTTTTTCCGTCTTTTTGTTGTTTTCCTCGCCGTTCTTTGCTTTTGAGAGCAGGCAATGCTTGAGCCAGTCCAATTTTTGCCGCGACCATGGAGAGTGATCTCAGATAACGTCCTGATACTTCTGTCCTAACTACACCGTAACAGAAACAACGTACCTTCAAGCATTAGACTACGCGAGTAGTCAAGAGCAACAACCTCGAGGGGAGAAAATTGGGTGTGAGGCTAGGTAATATTAGATACAATAAGAGGACGAAGGAGCGAACATAGCCTTTGAATGACGTCCTCAACGACGAAATGACGAGTCACAGTGAGTTTAGACAAGGCCCAAAGCGATACGCAATTTATTACTGAAATACCACAGCCGCACCGAAAGCCGTAGCAGCGAGTGATACACCCAGAACACTGCTCAATCCCTTCCACATGCTAGATTTTAGCGCGATTATTATCGCAAAGTTCGAAGTGATGCTGGCTTTCATTGACCCAGCCCCAGCCGTTCCTGTTGCTATGAGGTCAGACTGATGACGCACCAGCGATATGATAGGCTAAACAGAGGCTCCGACGAGCTTATCCGTCTCTGAACCGGCAAATGTTTTCGTTGTCACATTGATAGGATGCGAAGCAGTAATGATCTCGATGAGGTCCTTAGAGGTGGCTGAATTGACCGTCTAGGTTTTTGTTGGCGTGCCAATATCTGATAGCGGAAGAACACGCACACATCCCAGTCGCCTTTTGATCGGAGATGGTGGAGTAACAGCCGTATGTCCACGCCCACTACTTTGACTGACGAATCGGCTTGACGAACAGGTCTTTGGACTTGGAGAAAACCGGGGATAGACTTCCTCATACGCTCATACCGCCGTTTACTTGGACTTTGGACGCAGGTATTGGCTTTCGGGGTATGTGTCTGGAGCAGATATGACAGGCGATTAGAAATTAACAAAGTTATGTATCTATAGCGACAGTTGAAAACCAAGTCGCTCCTTAATCATTACGCTAACCCTATTCGCCGCGTCTTTCTGCCAGCCTAGTGACATCGGGGATGTTGCGATGGTTCTTAACGATCCGTACACCATAACCGCATCTGCCCATCCAAGATTGAACTTCTCACGAGGCAAATTATCAATACCCGGTAAAATGCCCTGTGCATGGAAGATCCTCGTAGCTGTAGCACGGAAAGCAGCAGCGCAGCGTCCTTGTTTCGCCGTGGAATACATATGCTGCTGTTGCGAGCAGCCCGCTTGAGAGGCACAAAGCAGAAAGACTGAAACATTCGCCGAGAGATGCATTTGGAAATTTCCTTGGTATGCATGTATTCCGATTGACGATATTGAGGGCTGACCAGAGTCGTAGGAAGGATTCCAAATGTTCTCGGTCTCATCCATCTCTTGCAATATGGATGAGTAGGAGGCTAACACCAAATCAGAACTATCGGCTAGCACCTTTTTAATTCGACTAGAAAGGCGATTGCAGTGGTAGGCAAAGGAACATGCTTGAACTAGAATATCCTCGGATGGTTTCGCATATTGACGGAGCCCGTTGATCCAGCCCAACACTTCTACGGGTGACTCTCGGCCGGCGACGAGCGCTTTGGCTTGCTAGTGCTGTCAGAGATACTGACAGAAAACTCCAGGTTCAAGATGTCTTACAGTGCAATAACAGACAAACCAGACGAGATTTCGCCCATCCTGCGTCGTGAATTGCTCGTAGCCCCGGAGATAAATTAAACTGGCCATGCCTTGACAATGGCGGTCTCCTTCCTCTGACCCTATCACTGATGTAAGGTGAGGATTCGATAGGAACTTTGGATCAATCAGTCCATTTGGCCTATAGTTACCCACTGGTGAATAAATCATACCTCGTACACCACAAACATCCAAATCGCTAACAATGTGCTGTCATCCTTGCATTGGACAGGATCATCTAGAGCTCCATTGACAGTTTCTAGTGCGCCCACATACGCCCAAATTCTGTTGGCATTTGCTGCTGTAGTCCCCGTTATACTAGCTATATATGCGCATGCAATAGCATTGCAGACGGCATAAACCGAGGAACCTGCTTCTGTACTGGATATAATGCGTGGAATGGTAGCGAACATGCTACTGTCTATGCTCGTATCGACTAATTCGACTGAGAACTTGTGTAGGTCCAATGGAATCACATGGTGGCTCCACACTTGGAAAGGCTCACTTATCATCTGGACAGAATGATGTCGCTATTTTTGTCCAAGTCCGCTTGGGCCGTTGGTGCATCGGGATTACGTATGATTCGACGAGAGTGCCTCGTTCTCGGTTGAAACGACGAAATGTTGACATTGCGGAAGCGCATGCTAGTCTCATCCCGATACCCTGCACATGAAATTCCTATTCGTAGACATTGGCTACAGGAAGGAAGTGCAAGATCACACTGGGGTCACATTTGTTAGTGGGTAAAATTCACTCGCCTATTCCATGACCACCGTACCTTGCAGCGTCGCTGTCGACACGGATAGCAATTGCGGCTATATTGACCGGTGTTCGGCATTTGCTTGGAGTTTGGCCTCAGTTAACTTCGACCAAAGTGATATACTATAATCGAACTTTTAAGGGAGTTTGAGGGGGATTTCAGAGGGGTCGATGTGTTTGTGTCAGCAAAGTTCAGCTTTGGCCCGTTAAGGAAATCGATTCGCTCAGTTAATAGCAGCTGCAGGGAAGATCATCTATACACCACACGCCCATGGTTATAAGAACGAGCATCTGGACAAGAATTTCTTTGATTTTCTTTTGCAGACTGAATTCTTGCACTTATAACTTGATCTCAGTCACGATGTCGCCATTGCCAGTTATCACCTGTGGCAGCACCGACCCCCAGGTTTTAAACGCTGTCAAACCTCTTTACTTACCGGAATACGAAGGTAGGAGAGAGAACAAAACCAGCCCTTGCTGAAGGCTAAAATCATCCATAGTTCTGCATAATGTCACCAGTAGCTCTTCGGGGGCAGTTGAGATACCCCTCTTGCTGCAAGGACTCACCCGTCCCCTCACCGCAAGGCAGAATTGCGGCAGCATGGACTGTTCCGAGCTGCCCGTGGCTGTCTTTGCAGGCGCCCTTTATGGTGATAAAGAAATCGACGAGATGCGCCAGGAGTGCCAAGGGCTCAGTTCTGTGCCTTGGCTAAAGATAGATATGACCGTACCAATACCACCACTTGGACCGGGGTATGCAGAGCATGTTATGCAGAGAATCAAAGCCTGTATGAAGAAGATCGAAGCCGAAGGAATGCTAGACCAAGACGGGGTGTGGCTTTATTGACAGATAGACAGGAGAGTACAATTATCGTGTAATGAAGCTAAGATGAGTGACTTAGTAACAAACACAAGCCTAGCTTGTGCGATGATCTAAAGATCTCTGTTGATCGTAGGCTTCCGGGTTGAGTGGGGCCGCAGATTCAGCCTCATCTCCGTAAGTTATGTAACCAAAGACTTTTTGCCAAGGCGCTTTCAGTCCATTTCCAATTTTGGATTCTTTTGCTTTTTATCTTGTCACCTCACGCGCCATATTCAGCACTCTCCTCCCCATGTCTCAATCGGTATCTTCCCCAACGGAGGATTCCGAGGAAGAATTGTTCCACCACCCTTCATGGCCCGAACAGTGGTCTCATCCCGAATTCACGGTTTCTCATGATGAACGCAGAGCACGGTGGAGACAACAGTCTTGGCAGCATGACGACCGTGATTCTGTTAATTTCATGAGAAGTGGCAAATGGCCCTGGGGCTTCATTATTTATCGCACCGTCTATACCCCTGAGTCGGACCAAGTATGGTCGGCTTGTCTCAAGGAAATCGAGGAATGCGTCCGCTGCGAGATCGATCTGGGCGGAAAGGACTTTCTAGATGAAATTCCTGAGAAAATTCTCTCAGAGACATTCAAAAACGTTGTTCTTGAAGATCAGGAACGCTGGGACTCCGCATCAGTGAAGCAGATTCGTGCTGACTTCATCGCGCACTTGGAATCACTCGGTTTGTCTGTTGGAGACGACATGCCTCGGTCATGTTTCTGTCTTTTTATTGATGATGCATGCTTGCAATCTATCAGAAATACATTCGACGAGCCTGAAAATAACAGGGGGAGTTGGGCTCCGCCAGGATTTGTTGGAATTATTGATCCTAGTTATGTTGAGGGTCGAAGCTATGACAACATGGAGTATCGAGGATTTATGCGAGTGCAAATTAAATGCCTCTTTGGGCTGATAGCCCGTCAATTACCTTATTTTTCTATGGAAGAAATTTGCCCGAGAATGTACCATGACATGCGACCCCGGGCCATCGATCCAAGGAAGATTCCTCTTTACACAGGGCTTTGATGGGTAAAATGGAGCTTATATATTCAAAATGTACTTCAAAAAACAAACCATTGCCTTTCCGTCCTCATCCAATTGTTTCATGAAGCCATTTGTCCCAAAGTTATTTCTTCTTCTTTTTTTTCGGTTATTGCAAGAAATACGGTAGCCTTATTGTTCACGCTCACATAAAGCATTACATTCCACATCTAACATATGTCTAACATGGATAACAGTACTTTCCCTTGACGTCCCGCTGTGGCTTCACATTACAGCGCCTGTCGGATATCTGATGACAGGAACAGAGCCACTACATTTGACGTCGCTACGCCATCACGAATCAGTTGAAAACACTCGTCCAAACGTAGTTGCAGTGAGTGGCGTTCAGTCGAATAGACCCAGTCTCATAGTAGTTACATGACGCTTCGCGTCTGTGGACACGGGTAAACAGACGATATAATGAGGGCCTGCCAGGCAGCAAACCATAGTGAACAATCGTTCTACGGGACTCAAGAGCGGGAACAATTCCGTCCCATTCAGACCCACCGACAGCATCCCAAGCAACCACTATGCCACGGCCTCCAGTCATTTCGAGCAGTTTTTATCGTAGTCCAACTTCAGATGTACAAAGCACGGATGACACATCGATTTGACTAAGTTAGTTTTGAGTATGAGCCCGATGAACCAAGATAATCAAACATACACCAGTATGATGAAGCAGGCGAATGATAATTTGCCCAATAAGGAACGTCGCAGCGTTAACAGCTACCAGTGCGGTACGAGAGCAAGACCCATATCATCACCAGCCTGAGAGATTGATGCCGGCCAAGAGCATTCGAATAGGACCTTTACATGGCGGGCCTGCGGTTTATGAGACTCGATAGCCACTACTATCTTTGCAGAGCCAAAACTCCGCGCAATAGCCCTGAACATTGTGGGGCTTCGGAGTTGATGTCTATTGACTTGGCGATAGTTCTCTTAAGTCAAGGTTCCATAGTAAGTGCTATGATGGGATGCGACGAAGGCTGAAGCCTTGAATTGATGTTTATCTTTGTCGACAAAGAGTTCTTATTGAAGTCGTTGAGATGTGGATGGCTCAAACATGGAGTTCGAGATACATACCGGTATTACCCGTACGAGAAGATCTATGTTCCAAAGTTTCATTGATCTCTTACTCCAACATGACCGCCGTGGTTTTTAAATTCCAACAAAGACCCTCAATGTAAGAATACTGCTGGGACAGTTTGTTACTCGTTAAACTTAGTATCAAGCCGCTGTGGACCGATCTTTTCGATAGACGAGATGAGTCAAACTAAGACTGTCCCTCTAAGATGGTTCATTGCACGCTGTAGAGTCCACGCTAGATCAGAAATGGGAAGGTGGAAGAAATCTTCCGCTGATACTCAAGTGTGAAATCGCCTCCAAAACTGAGAGATTAGAGTGTCCTTGCTCATTACAAACACGCGACACTTCATGCGGAAACCTTGGGAATGCTATCATCTACCGAGCAGACGTTAGCATATAGGCACTTACCAAGAATATACTATTGCAACGATCACGTGGAAATAATACGATTCTAGCGCATTTGCCATGTTTGGAAAAGTATTATCCAAACATCCTCGGCGCGCCAAGATGCTTGCTGGTATTAACACTCCAATTCCAGTGTCCAACCCTGCAATACTAATGAGTCCAAAATGGTGTCAGTTTGGGACCATCTAGCAGAGCCAAGGAAATTGAACCATGCTTTCAACGGAATCTGTATTCCAGTGTCCAAAGATACTAAAGTCGTTTTCCGGTTGGCGGGATTCAAGAATTGGGGGATTTCAGCTCTGAACAATGAATCTACGCCAAATACAATCCATGACGACCATAGTGGCCACGGATCTCCCCTGTCAACAAATTTTGGTCGTATGCTATGACGACTATACCCTTGATGAGACAATGTAAGAAAAATTATGGTTTCCACATTTTAAACACTCAAGCTAACTAGCTAACCGAGTTCAGGCGGTATCTCATCTTTTCCTTGGAAGGTTGGAAGACTGTCTCTTTCCGGGCAAAATCATGGCTGTTCTAGCAGAATGCAAGAATCGACGGGAACGTGGGAAAGATCGCTGGGGCGGAGTTTCACACTACACGGGCCAGCTATGCCGATTGACGGACAAGGTATGAAGAACTGATCTAAATTGTGGTATAGTTGAGAAAATGCCGAACGATATTTCAATCAAAGTTGAGCTCGCATTGCCATGGGGAGATATTCATTGTATTGCATTTTCTCTTCAGCAACTATACGACAACAAACGGTATCTCTGCGACATGGCTTTTCGAAATACGAATAAGGGGGATGGAAGGAATATTCGTGGGAGGTCCGTTCTTCGAAGGGCCTCTGTGCAAGACAGGAGGATATGAGGTGAATCTGTTGGTTGTACGAGGATGTCAGACTGGATATTTGTCGGGTTGCAGCCATATATTTCGCCTACTGTCTGATGTGAAATAGTCGTTAACGTAACACGTCTTACTATTATGGGCCACATGAGAATTTCAATGCTACTAATAAACCTTGGTCATGCTTAAACGGGATTAATTTAGTACAGGCTAATACAATCCTGGAAAACGGGCCCAATTTAAGTGGAATGCTCATCCTAATATCCAGAAATACATTGGTATATCATGTAATACAAGTGATTCAAGTAAAGGGGGATTCAAGACTACGGTAACGCATCTAAGACAAAGACTTGGCAATGCGAACAGGCTTTGCGATAAAAACAAGCACATGGAGGATGCGGATTCCAAGACATAAAAAGGACAAAGTGTACTTTGATCAATGCTCATAGTATTCCCGTCTTTCGGATATCATCAAATAGTTTGTTTTATCTTCAAGTATTACAGCAGTTCATAAGCGTCGGGTATATTTTGGTAAGTTTCACGGACATCGAAGGTAGATAGGACTTGTGTTGCCACGGAACGAAATATCATCCGAACAGCCTCGGAACTTATCTTGCCACCTAAATGCGAGTTATAAATTACCGCTACACTCTGCCTTACAGGTAGTAAGGGTTGGTGTGGAGTCTAGCGTCTCAAGGTAAAGTACTGCGCAAGGAGCGTTACGGTGATTCAAGCTGTTGCAAATTATTTCGCTAAATTGCGAGATATTTATCTTTCAGATTAATTGGTCAAAGTGAGATTCGGCCTTCTGAAAGCCTTTCAGACGGGAACGGGTGATCAGAGGGGCACTACAAGCCCAGCATGAGCTCGACTATTAGTGCTGACGGAATGTGAACGGTGTTGTTCATGCTCGTCAGTTGTTAGTTCTATTCTACTTGAGCATACACCTGCAGCCTTTGTAAGTTGTTATACAAGATGTGCGTCTCTATTCTGAAATTAGTAACGACGCGATGGGCTTCGAAAGGCTTCATTAGGTATATTTCTTGGAGTTTTATTGACACTCCTTTCCCGGCGCCAAGCACAGCCCAATCAATTTTCAAGCTTCTCGGCTCTGTGTGAGTTGTCAAACTCATTTCCTAGCATTGGGCAATCCGTGGCTCTGTACCTCCCCTGGAGTACCGTCTACCATAGTATCTCCTAACAACATAAATACTTCCTACTACCATAACAATACATGCAACGCCCTTTATATGTAGCCCCATCTCCAAATGATCCGCAATGTAATTCAGCACCTGTCCGTCCAACGCATGCCATGACCGCCCAGCAGCATGTTGTATCACTGTACCACTATACCCTTCGTCTAGAAGCCCCAAGATATCCCATAATGATCCATATATCCAGGAGTATTCTTTGAATGCTGCTGTCAACATCATAGGCCCCGTAGACCAGAAGACCTGTAGGTACGGCAGAGCTATCCATCGCGGCTTCAGACCACGTCCCCGCCGCTTTGCCTCATAAAGTAACCACTGTAGGACTGGAGCATCACGCTCAGCCATAAAGAAGTGATTACTTAGACCGAGAGTACCTGTTGTTGGGGAGAATATTGCTTGCAAGCCTAGATGTTGGAGGCATTTTATCTGCTCGGCTGACTCTGGATAAACATCCAGATCAGCGTAGATACCGCCTTCGGTATGTACAACCAGCAGTCTGGCGATGTCGGCACGTTGGATGTTGTAAGGGTAGTTCGTGTATGTTGGCAGCAGCCATGTGTATTTGGACTTGATGAGCTCAAGGACATCATCGTCAGTCCAAAGCTTGATGGTGTAATTTTGGGGCTCCAGTAGGGTCTTCCATGCCTCTTGGGATGGTTTTATCTTCGAAAAATATTCTTGGATGTTGGCTGTCTTCCATATTTGGTGGACAGTGTTGGGTATTCCAAAGTCAGGGATATCGGTCAAGTTATCGCGAGGTTCGAGAGCAGTGCATCCGTTAATTATTTTGATAGTCTCGGACAACCCGCTGGTGAGAACAGGATCTCCAGCATGGCTGAGACGATAGGTAGCAAAAACCGTGAGAGAGGTGGCTACCAGAACGACGAGCTTTCTCATCCCCTTTCCCAAGGAAGCTACCATCGTGATTCTCTGGAGATGGGATGCAGTTAGTCAGACGATGATGTGACATTAGTCGGTTGACGAATTCTTCACAAACCAATCTTTAAGAATAGAAGATGTGAATAAACTCGAATGCTTGAATGGCACGTTTTTTTTTCAAATGTGAGTCCAAAGTTTTGCAGGTCCCTTCTCCCATATTGCCGATCCCATCATCGAGTCCGTGAAAGAGCATGCATGTTTCATTTCGGGTCATAATTCATCTCCGACATATCTCTACCTCACCTGCTTTTCTCCGGCCGTGGAAAATTATGTCAGTCTTTTGATGGTCTTTGACGGTACTGTCATCGTAATACTGAAGGAATAAGTCGCTGCCTAGTTTACAATCCCTGAACTTTTTCCCCGTACGGGGCCAGTTTGCTAACCTTATGTGGATCAGAGCGTTGGCTAGTCGGCTTGAAACACTCAGACCCGTTGAGTTTAAGACATAGCGAATTGTATATTAGATCATACATGGGCAGTCGACATCTTACAGACTATTTATAAATAAAACATGCAGCAATTGAGCAAGCTCCTACTTCAAAATACTGCCAAGAACTGCTCATCTTTAAATTTTGATCTTGCTTCTTAGTGTTCAAGATGAGTAACTCAGTCGATGTACGCTCTATTGATACAATTGTCGAGTTTTTCGATTCTTACCTCCGTCTCCTAATCCATGATATAATTCTATCCTTACTGTTTTTGTTTCCAGCTGCTTTTCACAGGCTGTCTACTTTTGGATTTCATTTATCACATGCTCTACCGTTGCAACAAACCATCCTACTCTCTATGTTAATACTTGGCACGTGTACTATTTCAGCTTCGCATCGTCCCTGAATTTCAACAAAAAATATTTTCAAGTAGAATCGATTGTGAGACTTGTCGCTTAAGCCAGCAACTCAAATGCCTAGATCCATATGGTATATATATTTGCTAGTGTAAAGACGCATTACGGCTTTATGGTGACTGCGTTAGTTTTCAGACCAAATCTATCATTACTAAGCCCAAACTAACTTTCTTGAGCTTCGCTGGATCCACACCGCTTGTATGTAGATTCGGTACGGCAGTCTAGTACAGCCCTAAGGCCTCGCTCTGCCGGGAATGAGGAAGTAATATTACCGTATCAATACACTATAATATGGCACTACGTGCGAGTTTGCCCTAGTATCGAGTACGAAGTCTCCTCTTAATAAAAGTATATTAAATATTGTAGTGGGGGAATTGCTTACTGCATGATTCATGAATTAGCGGTGTATCGGATGACTTAGGCTTTTGTGATATATAAGTCTTCCTACTAGCAGGATAGAGACAGACACACTTTCTTCTTCACTACCACCTCTATGTGCTCTCCTCTCTTATATTCCTACTACCCCTAGTGGCCGACCTGGTTCGCAGACAGACAGGCAGGATCGAGTTCCCCTTCGTGTTCCCCTCTTCACTATATATTCCTCTTAAATGCTAATTCAGGTACATACGACCAGAGGGTGTGGAGAACAGGGCTTCCCGTCCGCTCAGCCGTACTTAAGCCCATTAATCTACGCGGCCAATTCTCGAGGCGCCCTGAAAATTAAAATAGAGAAAAAAAAATGTCTTAGGGTGAGTGTGGGTGATATGGGTGAGAATTCTGGAGACCGAGGTGATAGAGGTGAGAACGGGGTGAGAACGGGTGACAAGATGATGGATGTCTCTCCGCATAACTAGCCAGGGCAATAAATACCTGACCGAGGCATTGATTCCGGCTTGTCGCTATATTTTTTCTTTCCCCTAGTATTCAAGACTATGTTCCCTAAAGATCTCTAGAGAGCTCTTAATAAGCGTATTGCACTTGCCGCATTACGTGGCTTCACTTACGAGTATTAGACCGAGCGAGAAAGAGAGGATAATATTATATACTATAAAGCGCTAGCACCTACTATAGTCAATAAATATAATAAGTCCGTCTTAAACTAGACTCTATAAGTTATCTAATTGTAGCTAATAGGCGTATATTAATATTTAGGAGGTAGAGACTTTCTCGAAAGGAAGCGGCCGATACTAACTTTTCAAAAGATAAGCTAGATCTAACTCCGCAAATCTTGAAATCTTTTGCGGAGGATTATATTGCAACAAGAAAAAAACTTCCTTCACAGAAGACTACTTATCTAAATTTTATCAGCTTCACTTCGAGATAGGAGCGAGAAACCTCTCGCTCCCTTCCTCGTGAAATCAAGGATAATATCCTAAATATAAGACTTATACACTGGTTCGCTATAAATCATTCTAATATTTTGAAGTTCATTAGGATAGAGTTAACACCTAAGTACAATCTACCGACGAAGCCGCGAGAACGCTCCACGGTCACGGCTAAGGATATCGAATATCTTCTTCGCGGTCTTTTTGGCAACGATTAGCACGATTATAGATATAAGAGGGTACGTGTTTAGACTAGAAGTGCTCTCGCTATATTTTCTAGATCTAGTGCTAGGGCGGGTGCTATAGTTAAGTTAAGTGCTTATCGTAACTCTAACGAATATTTATACTATAGGGTTTGTGTTTAGCCTATACTATCAAATATTATGCTAATAAGAAAATAATAGTATATTATATTTAATATCAAATAGAGCCCTTAGACTAGTTCTCTAAAGCGTTAGGTAACAATCGATTTAGAGTTTCTAAAAGGATGGTATTGTCGCGACAATACAATTTTATAAGACTATAGCCCTATCTACACTATACTCAACCCTAAAAGCTGATTTAGAGTATATAAGGCCTAAGAACTAGTTCAGAGAACATCTAATTCTTGGGATGAATTTTGTTTTTTGGGTGATAGTGCATGGCATAGCTAACGGTGCTTTTAAAGGCCTTAGTACTATAGCAGAGGTTCTGAATGCAAAGCCACCTAAGGGTAGAGAATCATATACGCTTAAATAGGAGGAGAGTGTAAGAGATACTCCTTTTTTTCGAATGGTTACGCCAGAAGGACCTAAACAAAATAGAGCACTAACGTTCTCTTTATTGCGGCACAACTTTACAAGTCTGGCTCGTCGGGAGTGCTTCAGAGATATATTACACGTGCATAGGATTCGTGGTAGTATAGCAAACCGTATTGACCGTGAGTATTCCTTATTCCTTTATTGTTAGTGATAGAACTCTCACTAAACTCGTCTAGCAAAAGCATCCGAGGCGACATAGGGCTAAGCGCTTAACCATCAAAACCATGATACCTATATTAAATACCAATCCTCTATTAAGTCGCTAGATATCTAGGCGTTATTTTACGACTTAGAACCCGACTACGAATACCGGGATATAGAGCAAAGCATAGCTTACTACCGAGACCCTAACGCTCCCTAGCGACTTAATACGGCTGCTATCACTATATTTAGAGAAAGGGATAATATCAAGGAGATAAACGAGAAAATTGCGTCATTGACCTCTAGGATTGCTAGAAAACCTAAGCTTCATGAATAGCTTATAATTAAACGTACGTAGCTATATAACAAGAAAGCGAAGCTTCTGCTAGCTTAGAAGAAAGACTTTGTTCAAAGGTGGTAGGATTCTACGTACGAAGAATATATCTCCGGCAATGATTTCTTAGAGCGTGATAAAACACCAGTATTCGACATATACAAAAAGTACCTACCGGAACAAGCCCGCCTCAGAGATTTTCTATTTACGAAAACAACGCTAGATAGCAACATTGGTTAATAGTGCCTACGAGACATGGTTACGCTCTGCACGTCGAGAGAGCGCGTCGTTTACTACCCAAAGATGTTGCCTAAAGACGACCAATGTCCAGTCTATTCTACGTCTATGTTCGAGTAAGTACGACTACCTATCTAAAGTGAGTTTTGAATACTAACCAAAATAGTATCGCGATATAGGGAAGAGCAAAACATATCTTATAGTGTAAAAGAAGATCTTTAGGTGGACTATAATACTAGCAACGCTATAGAAATGAAAAACGTGCCTATCGACGCGTAAAACGCAACTTTGTTCAGTTTTGCTATCTCTGTGCGGAGGTAGTCTATGACGAAGACGTCTAGTCAAACTATTGCCGAAGCTACCTCGACAATCTTCAACCTCGATGTGGTACTTTGACATTTCGCTATACACTTGTTACCCCTAGCTTCTATCCATTCTACTTAAGCGATAAAGGAAAAGCCCTAGAAGAGAGGTTCCAGCAATAGATAGCCAAAGCAACTCTCCTAAACCACATCGACAAATATTTGGATTCCTTAGACACCTCGAAAGCCGTTTTCTGCCTATACCTATGTTGTCAAAAGAAGGAGTATAAAGATCCGTCTTATCTTCGTCGCCACTTATTTGATTCACACTCTATTGAGGAAACGCGCTCGAATTGTGTCAAGCGAAAAAGAAAATAGTAGATTGAGCCTATGCCTCCGAATGATTGTTGTGAAAGGATTGATATGCGCACAAAACCTAAGGACTGTCTTATGCCCGTATCGAATGATCGAAAAAGAGCCCGGTGTGCGGCTACAAAATCGTACCAAGATAGCCCGGCTCAAAGGGCAGTATCCGGTATAGAAGGCCTCTATAGCGTATCTATGTCGACCGGTATCGAAGACATCGAAATAGTTAATGATGATATACTTATGGAAGAGTTCATAAATTTTGATAAAGGTCAGGTGCTTAACGCGGAGGCTGAGGGTATTTTAGAAAGCCCGTGAAACTAAAATTGATATCTTGTGGATAGAACTTTTGTCACCCTATCTCTAGTCATACTATTAATTTTGGGAAACACGCGTATGTCTGTTATCGTTAACTCTACTCTTAAGCCAAAACAAAACCTTATATCCCCAAGAGATTCCGAGATAATCATCAAGATAAGTCTAATTATAGCTTTATAGAAGAGCTTTGGACCATAACAAAAAGTCCGGACATAGCTGCCACCTTATTAAGCTTGGACTCTTTTGCAACTTGCAGGCCTCAAGATATACCGGTCATCGTCAATCTACGGCATAGTCAGATTCAAGTAAACCTCAGTGACCCGCAAGGCGGTCCACACCGAATTGTGATGCAGTCCATTTTTTTTTCTAGCGAAAAAAAAAATTTCTGTAGCTTATTTCTAATCGAGTTGGATGCGCTATAACATCATCGTCGTAGTCTAGAGCCCACCTAGAGCTAAGAGTAAAAACTTACTGCGGAGTATTAACACACTCAGAGTAAGGGATACACCTAGTAGTGCGGACGCACTGGGTAGTAGGAACGCACCGGGTAGTAGGAACGCACCGGTAGACTTCCGCATAACCCAATTTGGGTCGAAGGTCTCGACCCAGAACCCAACCCAGCCTGGGTCCGGGTCGAACTTCATTGACCCGGACCCAACCCGGACCCAATACTGGGGCCCCAGTAAAACCCAGTTCGGGCCTAACTCGACCCAACTTTTGCATAATTCCAATCATAAAGCTGCTCTGTCATCAAAATAACATACTGTTTTTTACATCAGTTTTGGTTTATACCTTGAACCACTGTACATTCCTAGTACACTCCTTTGGAAAAAGTAAGAAATAAGTCTGTAATCTGAGATGGTTGATCTTTCTTATTGTTAATTACCTATTTGAAAGCCAAGTTTATGGTGATAAAGTGGTTTTTTTTAGCTCGGTGAAAGTTTTCTTGAATTAAGTGTAGATATATATATCTACGATATGTTACACTGGTGCATCTTTGTAGACTTGATATGATTATTATAGAATTCTGTCAGTATTGCTTCAATTTGTTTATAGTATATTTAAATATTATGCCTTTATTATTTGACTATACTAGACTAGTAGGTAGTAAGGCTGTGTTAGTTGTAAGGTCTTTTTCTAGTAGTATTGATCTCTACCTAACAATAGACCTAGCCGCTAGATGGTTAGTTATAAAGGAGATAGTTTTTCCGCCGAAATAAAATCGGTCACGTGCCTATAGAGTTCCGCTGGACCTAGAAGTGCTAGCGTTTAGTCTACCTTAATATATGGTATTACACGTATTATACTAGGCTTCTACTTCACTTACCTATTCCTACATTATAAGACCACGCAGAGTCTCTGGTTTAGTTAGGTAAGCGAAATAGAAGCCTTAGCTAACGTATAGTACAATATGGTTCTATTGTAGAAGAGACTAAACGCTAACCCTTCCTAGGGTCAGCGGGGATAAACTAAATATAGGCTAGCCTAGCTTCCGGGCGGTGAGTAGTACTATACTGCCACGATTCCTAAGGCACCACTTGTGCCTTAGGTACCAACATAAGTAGTCGAGGGTCCTAACATACACCTAGAGACTACTTGCGTGGTTACATAATAGGTGAGGTTAGACCTAGACATTTCCCATGGGACTAGCCAAAATCTAGTCCCATGGGAATTCCCACGGAGGTTTAGTCCCACCAGACCCACTCCCATGGGACTAGATTTTTTTTTAGTTCCACCATGGGAATTCCCATGGGAGTCCCATGGGAGTATCAAAATTTCCTATGCATGCATTAAGATCCCAAAAGAGGTGGATAAATTGCTGAGTTATCCCGATAAAATACCGTCATTTATAGGTGTTTTGGTAAGTATCAGGACTCACCAAGCCCTCCTGACTGTAGATTCATCCTGACTGTAGATTCGTCCAATATAGACATTCGTCACCTAAATTCTAATTAATCACACTTTCTGACTTACCTCAGAAAGTGAGGCTTAAGTCAGATATATCTACATCCAATTAATCCTGATTTAACCCAGAATGTAAGGCTTTTGTGAGCACGCAGTACACCAATTCTGATATCGCCAGCGACTTAAATATCCGCTTTCTCACTATTTTAAACTCTTTCTTCTTTATATTTTCATAGGAGGTCCGCCAAACGGAGAGACTCAGGTCTCTCTAGCTAACCTCTAGAACGATAAGGACCATGCCTTCCGCAAGGTCAAGCTCTATGTTGAGTTCTTGCCCTAGATCTCATCGACACAGAGCTTGACCTTGCGGAAGGTGTGGAAGTTGGTCAGGCATAAGAACCAGGGCAAGAACTATCTTACCAACTTCCACGGCCTAGACTTCACTATCATCGTCAAATTCTTATTCAATAGTGAGCCCTTAGTGGCACTATGAATACGCTGTTATTAGCATTTTCACTTTCTTTATTTTATACCGCAATAAACCTATATTTTATGAACCAACTTTATAGACTCTACGTATGTTTGTAGTCTTATTTAGAGACTATACGTACTATAGATTAATCATTATCCCGTGCCTTGACTTTCTGACTTAAGTCAGAAAGTAAGGCTCTAGATATCAATAACCTCATAAGTGCCTAATTAGGAAGGTATAGACCTAGACATTTCCCATGGGACTAGCCAAAATCTAGTCCCGTGTCCATGGGACTAAGTCCCATGGGAATTCCCACGGAGGTTTAGTCCTACCAGACCCACTCCCATGGGACTAGATTTTTTTTAGTCCCACCATGGGAATTCCCATGGGAGTCCCATGGGAGTATAAAAATTTCCCATGAGTTTAGGCTATTTTTAGCTTATTTTAAAATAGCTATAATAGACTTAACTTAGCCTATAGGGCTATAAAAAGTGTATAAACCGTTTAAACGTAGGGTATATTATATATTATCCTAACTATTTAGGAGATATATAGAGGGGAGAGATATATATAAGCACTTCTAGTTTGTATGTAAATCGCGTATTTTTCGTACTTTGTAAAAAAAGTTAAAATATAAACTTATTTTATAATATCTATATAGAAATAGCTCTTCTAAATAGGTATTACCTACTTATAACTAAAATTACCTATTTATATAGAATGAAAATATATACTAAACATAGATTACGTACGTATTTTACTCCCATGGGAATTCCCATAAGTCCCATAGGAATTCCCACGGAGGTTTAGTCCCACCGGACCCACTCCCATGGGACTATTTTTTTTTTTAGTCCCACCATGGAAATTCCCATGGGACTAGACCCACTCCCATGGGAGTCCCATGGACAGTCCCATGGCGGACGTCCCATGGGAAATGTCAAGGTCTAGGAAGGTATATATGCCTAGTACCCCTGTTTTCAAACCTTCTCTTCTATTTTCCCCACCACTCTCACCTATGTAAGTGACGTATCTCAGAATTTAAGGCTCTTTCTTCCCTCCCTTCCAGACTTAGGTATTCCTAGCCTATCTCTTTGACTTATGTCAGAATTTGAGGCTTTTTTATTGATTATTGCTAACGCCACTAGATCACCACTCCAACCTACGCCCACCTCTTTGTTCCCCCGCCATTGTCTACTATCTACTAACTACTTCCCCCTCTTCTCTCTCTACCACCCGCTATCATGGCATCGACTAGGCGATCTAAGCAGATCGGTACTATCAATTACTCCCCGGATTTTATTAGCAGCCTAGAGAGCTTAGCCTCTAAGCTTATAGGTTGTTACGGCTTCCCTTCCACCGCACTATTCCATAAGATCTATTCTACCGACCCTAACTTCTCTCACTCTAGGCGTATTATCGATAGTTTCGCAGCTAATCGTGCCAACGTATTCGACTATCCCTATATCACTCCTAGGAACAAATAGGTCCGATTCTCTATCGTGAAACAAGCGTTTAAAAATGCTATCAAGTGGAGTTCCGCCCTCGCTCACTCTAATCCTCCTCAAATCGGACGCTATAATATAGATGCCTCCTCTATCTTCGAAATTCGCACACTCTAGTGGATCGTGCGCCTTATAAGAACCCGAAACAATAACATATTTAGAGTATCGCAAGTGACCACCGCGCCCTTCTCATTTAATGCAAAAGACGTTCTCCACGCGTGGAAGACTCTTATCTTCTTTGCCAACAATATCAAGAAAAACAAGGACTATATCAATACAGCACCCTAGTCTTCCTAGGCCGTTATGCCTAAACTTGTCACCAATATACGTTCAACTACAACCACAGCTACCATAGCAAATTCGTCTAGTGTGGAGAATTCTATTGTGCTTGAAAGCCTTCACAACGATCCCCTTGATACTAAAGATTCGTTGCCACTAGATATCGACCTCCTTGATATATCACTTTTCGATAGCGCTAGGTACCAATCCCTACTTACTAGAATTGCGGATGCACTAGCCCACCCTATAAAAACCTTATTAGTTCGTGGCCCACTTATCCTAGCCGACCGTGACAGCTTAGTCGAGGCTCTTATAAAAGGGCAATTAGCACAGAAATATATCCTTTACTAGGCTCTGTCTACCAAGATATCATAGGCACCGGACCTCCTAGATAAATTGCAAGCCCTATCTTCTAACTAGCTAATCTTTATAAGCGAAGCACTAGCTAAAATTGCCAATAAAGAGGCTAAGAGGCACGCTTACCGGGACTATTAGCTAAAGGCCACTCACAACGATCGGCCCTTATATATCCTAGACCTACCCAATTAGGTCTAGTAACAACGCTCTAGTATTACCATCTCTACTACCCTACCAAGCTTTAATAATAGTCTAGCCTATGCCTATATCGCGACTGATTCTAATAGCAATACTATTATCGACCCCCTAAACACGTATAGAGTGCCTCCCACGACTCTTATGCTATAGCAAGCTATAGCTACCTTATAGATACTACACCAAGAAGTAAGTCTAGTGGCCGGTGGAATTATAGCCGATATATACGGTTTAGGAAAAACACTTATAGCTCTATCGCTTATATAGCACGCCTCCCAATACCAAACGGTACCTACCAATTTAGTCACCTTCCGACCTACTCTAATCCTAGTCCCCTCTTCGTTGATCGATATATAGGCGAACGAAATCCAAACTTATTTCGGCGATACGATTACCCTCTAGGTGTTTCACGGTTTTATTACCCGTATAGGCGATATTTCACGGAAATAGTAGACCCTAGATACCCTTACTCGACTCTAAGAGAAGCTTGCCTTAATAAATCCTAATAAACTCGCTACTAGTCGCACTATCGTCCTTAGTTCATACATAACATAGGCTAAACGCACACTTATAGAGATTCTTGCCGATAGTACTACGAAAACTCCCTCGAAGCGTGTCAATCAGGACCACGATAGAGACATTTCGACACTAGACTAAGACTACTAGAATAAAGATAACTTAGACGTTATAGAAGAGGACGATAGCCGGGATCACCAACCAACTAGTTCTCCCCTCACTTCTCCCCTTATATCTCCCCTTAGTTCTCTACCAGGGACTCTATCTATGATTTCTTCTTGCGAGGAGGCTATTAAAGCCTTAGCCGCTCTATAGGATAACGATACCTCCACTCTAGCAGCTTTTAAGGCTAATCTCTAAAAGTCTAGGAAGAAGAAAGTCCGCCGTCGCTTCGAGTCACTATTGGATTTCCACTTTAAACGCGTGATTTGCGATAAAGGTCACCGTGTAAAGACTATCTCCTCCCACTAGCACTGTAGCGTATCTGCCCTAAAGCGTAACTCTATCTAGTTCCTCACTATAACTCCGATATAGAAGAAGCTATTAGATATCGCGGGATATCTTAGCCTTCTCTAGAAGGAGGAGTAGGCTAGTATTAAGGAGACTCTAGCGAAGATTCTACCCACCGCTTAACCTAACGCCAAGGACGACCTTCTTTCCTAGTATCGCCTATAGTCTTAGGAGACAGAAATTCTAGCCTCCCCGTCTAAGCGACCGTACTACCTCCTAAGCCCTAAAGGACTTATGTCAATTGCTACGAAGTCCTAACTTACCCTAACTAAGGGATATTAGGTCTTTCTAATTATCCTTCGTCTTAGTTGCCTTCGCAGAGAGATAGGCGAATAGATAACCGGTGCTAACGGAGCTACTTTATATATTGGATCCGATATTCCCGACCTTACTATATAGACGGTGGAGTTACGGTATGCTACGTAGGCGCAACGCAAGTATAATAAGGTCTATTATTTATTACACAAACGCCTTAAGAGTTTCTAACCCGAAGAAAGTAGCACAGAGTCCCCGGATTCGGGCTAGACTATAGATTAGGCAATATTCCGACGTCTATGTCACCTAAGCGTTTCCCCGAAGTTGGACCTATTTCTACAGAATGACCCTACCAACGTGTTATCTACTAATATTTCCAACTATGTCTCCACGGGTTCCGACCATGGCTTTGGAGTGTTCTAGGAACGCATAAGTGAAGATCGTAGTGCTCGGGTGCTGTCAGGACCCTCGACTACTTATGTTGGTACCTGAGGCACGAGTGGTGCCTCAGGAATCTATCAATATAAGAAGTCTATACGACTATAAAAGAACCCTTTTTATAATGGAGGGTAGGAAAAAGCCACTTTTTCCTATAAGACCAATTATAATATAGTGGATCTTATCTATAAGATAAGATCCCGAACCAATAAGAACCGAGATCTCGGCTATAACCGAATACCTTCGGATACTATCGGCAATAGAAGCTAATAGAAAGAACTAGAAGCATCTGCTGATAAATCAAATTACCAATGCTGATAAATCAACTAGGTGGCAAGAGCATTTGCCACCTAGGGGAAATAACATAAATAGAGAGTGATACCCCGACTGAAATAAATAACTATACTCTTCTCTCTCACTTTATTCTTCTTACTCTCTTCTTTATTACTTCCTTTCCTCTTATCACATGATCCTATAACCCTGACATCTTCAGAGTTACCGACCTTAGTCATCATAATATGATTATTGGGCGAATATGGTTTAAGAAGTATAGAGTGCTACTTGATTGTTAGGGTCACCGGATGATCTAGCCCGAAGAACCGACTCTATTCGAGAGCGTGGCTAGCAAGATGCCTGTCCCGATACCCTAGAAAATACTAAAACGTAAGACTCTCCCGGAGGTTTAGCATTAGAAGGATGCCGATCGGAGGGACTAGCTCTTCGCGAAGGAACTCACCCGAGAACAATCAAGAAGGCCGAGATAGGATCCTCGCGAAATAGAACTCGCCAAGATATATAGATCAATGCAGGACTTACCAGCTCCAAGAAGTGATCTAAAACCCTACCGCAAGACATAGCTAGCTTTAGATTCCTAGAGGAAACTCCCTACAATCGAGATTGCCATGATTGGAGGACCAGGATTTCACCGACATCTCCAGAAATCTGAAAACGAGATCTTCGTGACCAGTCTCTACGAAATAGATCGAATTATCGAAGAGAAGCAACGCTTACCGGAGCAAGAGAAGCTAGCGGAGGAACAGACGATCAGAGCCACGATTCTAACCGAGTACCTAGAGTACGTTGACGTATTTTCGAAGAAAGAATCCGATACGTTACCACCCTACCGAGGGTTATCGGATTATCGAGTTAAGTTAGAAGGAGAAGTGAAACTTAGATACTACCCCTTGTACAAATAGTCGGCCGAAGAACTTGAAGCGGCGAAGCAATATATTGTGGACAACCTTCACAAAGGCTTCCTTGTACCGAGTACGGCTCCTTTTGCGTCGCCAATCCTAATAGCCCGAAAGCCTAGAGGAGGGCTAAGATTCTGCGTCGACTATCGCAAGTTGAATGCTCTTACGAAGAAAGATCGATATCCATTGCCGTTGATCGATGAATTGTTACAACGAGTCAACAAAGCGAAGTTTTTTACAAAGCTCGATATTCGCCAAGGTTTCCATCGAATTCGCATGGCTATCGATTCCGAGGATCTTACCACGTTTAGATCTAGATACGGATCATTTAAGTACAAAGTGATGCCCTTTGGGCTGACCAACGGACCCGCGATATTCCAGCGTTACATTAACACTACGCTCGGCGAATACCTTGATGACTTTACAACTACCTACGTGGATAATATCCTGATTTACTCGGAGAGCTACGAAGATCATGTTCGACACGTGAAATTGGTCCTTCAACGACTTCGTGAGGCAGGACTCTAGGTTAGTCTCTCGAAATGTGAGTTCTACACTACCGAGACGAAGTTTCTAGGCTTTATTGTGAGCACCGAAGGCATTACGGTAGACCCTGCGAAGGTGGAAGCCGTTATAAGGTGGCAGCCGCCCACGACCGTGAAGAGTGTATAGTCGTTCTTAGGATTCTGCAACTTTTACCGGCGATTTATCAAAGACTATAGTCGAGTAGCAAAGCCGCTGCATTAGTTGACGAGGATTGATACGCCATTCGAATAGACTACGAAGTGTTAGGAGGCATTTGAAGAACTAAAGGGACGATTAATCGACGCACCTATCTTAGCTCACTACGATCCTATACGTGCTACTCGGGTGGAGACTGATGTATTAGACGGTGTTGTAGGCGCTGTACTCTCATAGTAGGGAGAAGACTCTTAGTGGCACCCGGTTGCATACTTTTCGAAGACCATGGCCCTAGCTAAACGGAACTACGAGATACACGACAAAGAACTACTAGCTATCGTACGCGCCCTAGACGAGTAGCGACCTAAACTAGAAGGATTATAGCGAGAAGACCGTTTTGATATTCTCACCGACTACCAAGCTCTCGAGTATTTTATAAGTTCGAAGAAGCTTAATGCTCGTTAGATTAGGTGGAACCTCTCTCTCTCCCGTTTTCACTTCCGTATCTAGTATCGACCCGGGAAACAGAACATACTAGCCGATATGCTCTCTCGAAAGGACACGCCCTATATAGATGAAGGACGAACTCTTACCTTGCTGCTAGTAGACTACGTCGAACAGAGTCCTCGAACTACGACACTTGCTCCGGTTACACTAAGTATCCCTGCGGGCGTTATTGAAAGAGTCAAATCGTTAAATCGGATACACGCAAGCCTTGACGAAGAACGGAAGCTTGCCCGTACTACGGAGTCGACCTATTAGAAGATTCAGGATAAACTTCTATTGTACGAAGATAGACTAGTAGTTCTAGATAAGGGAGACCTCCGAGCACGACTGCTTGATAAGATTTATCGACAACCATCGGTTGCTCACCCCGGAGCTAAGAAAATGAAGTAGTTGATAACGACCCGATACTATTGGCCTAGCTAGGCAGCTAACGTATCCCGGTATACCGATAACTGCATGGTTTGTAAGAGATCCAAAGCTTGGCGAGATAGGACCCCGGGACTCCTACAACCCTTGCCAATACCAGGGAAACCATAGCAGCACTTGACGATAGATTTCCGGTTATTCCCGAGGGATCGGAGAGGGTTCGATGCTGTTTTAGTGATTGTGGACCGCCTTAGCAAGCGGCCGATATTACTTGCTTGCTATAAAACGACTAACGCCAAGGAAATAAGTCAGTTGTTTATTGATCATATACTACGCTAGATAGGCCTCCCGGACTCTATCGTGTTAGATAGGGGTGGTTAGTTTGTCTCGGAATTCTGGACTAAATTCTGCAAGATCCTAGGGATTAAGAGAAAGCTCTCTACCGCTTACCACCCATAGATAGATGGTCAGAGTGAGATCGCAAACCAGTATATAGCTCAGAGGTTGAGGCTATTCGTGAATCACTATCAGGATAACTGGTCCGAGTTACTTGCTATAACTGATTTGGCTACCGCAGCACTACCGCAAAGTACAACAAAGCTATCTCCGTTCTTTATTGAAAGGGGCTATAAACCGCGCATATCATTCGACTAGCAACCTTCGGATTCCGTCCCCACACCGGAGACCTACGATACTCAAGAACAAGCCGATAAATTACAAGAAATTTGGAAGACAGCACGCGAACAGGCCTCGAAGGCACAGGAAAATCAGAAGAAGCAAGCTGACAAGCACCGGCGAGAAGTGGATTTCATAGTCGGCGACCAAGTCCTCGTTACAACAAAGAATTGGCAGATTGGACGACCTAGTAGGAAGCTAGCAGACTTAGCAAGCGGCCCGTATGAGATCATAGAGAAGGTCGGGCATGCGTATCGCCTAAAGCTTCCCGACAATATCAAAGTGCATCCGATTTTCAATCCTAGCAAGCTCCGGCTAGCTAGCAAGACACCTCCATTGACTAGGCAGATTCTCGATCCGCCATCGCCAGAGATCATCGAGGAATCACAGGAATGGGAAGTTGAAGAGATCCTCGCATCAAGGATCTACTACGGCAAGCTACAGTACAGAGTGAAATAGGTCGGCTATGATGAAGATCGAGCGTGGTATCATGCAGGAAATTTCAAGAATGCGCCGCAAAAATTGATCGAATTCCACGACACTTACCCTGGCCGACCTGGACCACCAATGAGATTGACGGAATGGACGAAGGCAGCATTGGAAGACGAATATCTGGAGGATCACAGTGACGATAATAAGGCTATTGCGTCTAGGGACTAGACGGTGTCTTACAGGGGGGTAATGTGACGAGGTGACTTCTCTTGTTGTGACCGATCACGTGAGGGGAGGATTGTGATTGGTCAGGTGGTTAGATAGTATTGAGATCCTCGACGGATCTCCCCTCTTTTTTCTTTCTTTCTTTTCTCTCCAGTTTAGTGTCTTAGTGAATGGACCCTTGTTCCTCTTGGTTTGCCCTCTCACACTAGACAGTCTTCAATCGATGAAATCCCTTAGACTAATGCCAGTGATATCTAGGCAAGTTCATCTACCCAAATGCTTGGGGGCATAAATCTCGGCTCGTACCTAGGCAACGATTCAAGCGCTACCGTCACATTGGTTGATACATCGACAAGGGACTCGGAATCAACAGAAATATCTCAATCAGATTCAATCGCTTTTTGGGGAAATATAGCAGACTTGACTTCTTCATAGCGACCTACGGGACCGTCAAGGGATAACTAGACAGCATAGCCTCCTATCAATGGCAATAGGGCGTTATCCCTTTTGCTATATTCTTCCTTATAACCGCAAAGTCCCCGGATTGAGTCAGAAAAAGGGCAATACTCTCGCCCGTTAGCAGTGAATTAATTTGTCTTTTATCTTCTATTATCCAAGATACCACCTAAAGTAAGGGTCAATACACATAAATAAATACAGCCATAGGCCAGATTATTAATAATCATATAATATATCATCAATTCGGGCTTAGCAGAATAAACAAAGATATACCCCCTCCACCTTCGGTCAACTATATATCACTATCGCCAGAGACGATAACATAATCTCTAGGCGATAATAAACCCTAATTCACTTTTGGAAACCTATTATTATGGTCTATGTATTCTAAGCCGAGAATCAATAGGTACTTTCTAGGAAATAGTCGCTCAAGCTTCCCTACCCTTTTTGTCTAAACGACGGGATAGTAGTCCGCCACCGTACGCCATAGATCGTCGGGAAAGGTAATACCTATTTCGCTAGAGATAGACTACAATTTTGTTTTATCCTTTAAAGAAAAGAAGAGGTTTAGCTTTCACACTACTACTAGGAGCAATCAAATATACTTCGAGCAAGTATTCCACAATAGGGCGCACGTTATCTTTGCTCCTAGGTGAGATAAATAGCTATAGGTATCGATCATAGGATATCCGGGTTATCTATGATCTGACTTTAGCAGCTATAACAGCTGCTACAGTCTCTAAGGGCGACGTATATAGCATAAGAAAATTCGAGTGATTAGGTATAGCTAGGGATCCTTTAATAAGAGTGCTAAGTGCTTCAAAAAATAGTTATTACGAAAACGGGCTGAGCAAGTGGATAATGCAGTTTATGTATATGACTTAAACAAAGGTAAATGCCTACGGGCGGCGGGGTAAAGGCGGGTAGCGAAGGTTAGGCAGTTATACGGTTATATAATTTATATTACTGTCACGTGATTTAAAACGAATATCGTCAAATGGACTTTGTCCGGTTTAAATTATCTAATACCTCGTAGGTCGAAGTCAACCCAAAATTACAAATAGCTGCTAAATCGCTATATAATAGATATATTGCTCAATCTATCTATAGTCGCCCTATTTAATTTATCTATGCTAATACCCCTATAGACAAGGAGTTCAGTTGTCAACCAATAATTTTTTTGTATCTCGTCAAAATTACTGAACCTACATTGCTATCTTCACGATTATCGGACTTAATAGTAGACTGCCATATTCCACTAATAGTCCTAGGGTACTTGCGTCTTTTTGTCTAGATAGGGTTAACCGAGGGACTACCCAACCGCTATTGTCTATAGACAAATACTTAGTCTAAGCCATTGTTTGAGTACTAAGACGGCCTCCTAAGTGACATTAACTTAGCCCTAATCTCGAGCTATATTTAGTTCTATCTTTCCTAGCTCAATTCTTTTCGACGGGCACGGAACCGAAACTAACTAGACAAATGTTTATATACCTTGCCTCGCGATTTAGATAAAACGTATGAACGTATGCTTTGTGACATCGATAAGTCATATATTAAGGATATACAACGCATATTAAAAGTGCTTTGTTTTTTATCCGACCCCTGACTATTGTGTTAGTCAACGCTCACGCGGTAGAAATTCGCGAATTACCGTTCCTCGATCGCGAGGGCCTATCTTTTGAGCAAGATAATCTTGTTAATATCTACCTTAGACTAATCGAGATTATAGAAGCCGACAATAGCTATAGAAAAATAATATCGACCGCTCGTATCGCTTATTTCTGCGTCTAAGAGTATCTTTAATTAGACTATATACGTTAGCAGAAAGCGGAAATATTCGCTGTTAATAGTGGATCTACAAACTCAGAAATAGCCCAAATCTACCTAATATATCTTTTAGACCTAACGCTATTAGATAGCAATCTAGATAAGGTAAAGTTTCGAGACTTCCCACTTACTTATTTCGCTGCTCTATATTAGTATCGCTATTATCAAGTATCTAAAGAAGAAACGGTGAAGGCTGAAAAAATGGTTCTAAGAATTTTTCAAATCGAGACCAATTCTTTCGTGACCTAGGCTAGGTTATATTAGATTAACCGTCCGTGGAATATAAATGTCAATTTTGAAGGAAGCGTGGATGACATAGTATCGCGTATATATTACGCATCCTTTTTGGGACTAGAGATCATTCTATAGGTATCCTAGTAACTTATAGGAAGTCTCCTAGTCTATTAGACATAGTTAATTCTTAGGGTGGATACTATAGAAATGCACTTTAAGCAGTATCAATTCGAGGTCATAACTAGGTAGTCTAAAAACTACTAGATCAAGGTGCCGACGTGAACGCCTAGCTATATCAAGGTTCTAACGTAAACTTCTAGAGTAGACTCTATAGCAATGCACTTCAAGTAGTATCAAGCTAGGTGGTCTAAATGCTACTAGATTAAGGTGCTAACGTGAGCGCCCAAGATAGACCCTAGGGCAATACACTTCAAGTTGCTATTGTTGCCACAAATTTATTTAAGGGTTGAACTATTGGAATCTGGTAAGCAATGCGTTCTAATATATACTCTGCCCGCTCAATACCTTTGAAATTGCTCTTTTTTATGTACCAGGCCTAAAACCCCTTTCCTATCGTGAGATAACCTATAAAATAGAAGATAAGTGTATTTGATATAAGCTTCAACATTATTTGTTATTGTGTGCCTGGATATTGAGTCTAACAATGAACTAGGCAGCGCCCTACAACGTGTAATTTTAAGCTTCCTATCCAAGATATTCCTAGACAAAGTGCCTCAAAATAGCTGAAATAATCGTGTATAGTAAGTGATATTAAACCTCTTTTAGATATCGAAGCTTGCTAATCATCTTATTAGGCTGCTTCACTAGTTTGGGAACGGACTTTTCTATCCTAAAGCTGCCAAATTGGCATCGTGTAACTTATAGTATTTTACCGTATAGGTTATATTCAAGGAATATCATTTATCCGGAAACAATCCTAATTTGGACTAGCGGGTTTGTTGCTAGGGTTCGGGAGATAATGTAAGAGTGTAGGTGGTAACACCGATTTCCGGAAGTACTATATTATTTGGTGACACAGAAGTCGGTTATTCGTGCTCTTTATTAAGAAACTCTTTCGCAGCAATATACTCTGTGGTTATGGCATAGATCCAGCCTACGACGTAGTTTGCAGGATCTAATATTTACGTCTCGACAAGAAAGGACGTAAAGAGCTAATATATTGTCTGATTTTGAACAATACTACTATCGACTCTGCTTTGCAAGAGAGAAGAGGACAATACTTGCAATCTCACTGTCGAAAATCAGCCCGTTGGCCTAGTCGAAAGCCAGACACCTAGGAAGGGGGCTGTGTGTAGATGCCAAGAGGTGGGCTGTTTTAGCTAGGGGGGTCGTGGCCCAATGGTGCTCTTCTCTCGCCCAACTAACAGGGTCAGTGCGGCGGTCGCGCCGGCCCGCAGGATTCTCACCTAGTTCTCACCCCGTCTATAGAGCACTCACCCTTGTCACCCCCGGTCGCGCGACTCTCACCCTAAACTCACCCGGGCGACACCCACCCAACTATTCTCCGCGCATAAGCCACACGCCGGTAAGTTAGTAGTTAGGTGGGTGACCACTAGCGAATCCTTACTGTTGTATGTTTCTTTTTGTCTTTTTTTGCAATTTGCCACAAATATGTACGGATAACCCAAAAATAGTTATTTCGAAAGGCAGGCAGGCGTCCTGGTTGGGTTCGAAGACCCCCGAGCTCTTGATTATCATCCGGCACGTCTGGTGTTTTCTCTGCGTTGCCGAAAATGTCAAAGATCGAGTCCCACTCAAGCATTGACAAAACAAAGTTAGCTTGTACATTTCTCCCAAAAGAATGAAAATAAGCCGATAAAGGAGCAAAATTCAGCTCACATATCCGGTATCCATGACATCTAGGACCAGTTCGACGCTATTTACCCCCTGTCGGAAAACGAGATGACTCGAGGTTATATTCTCCTCGCCATAATAGAAATAGCCGAAGCACAAATTTGATCTAAGCTCCCGTCGGTATTCCAGGAACCCCCCTCATATTCCGGGGATTCTGGCGCCAGGTGAATTTAGGTGAGTTTGAAGACCACTTGCACTCCGTTGGATTTGGGTTTGAGATCCGTTAGACGTTATTACATGTTTTCTACCAAACCTCCAGGGTGCAAAAATGGCAAAGGTCTGTTTTTCCTAAGAATGCGTTGCTGTTGAACCAGTCTCTGAGCCTGTCTTTGTCATTGGGATCAAAGTCATCGAAACGAGCAGATTCCCAGCGGTTGACGATCTCTTTTGTATCCTCATATTTCAATTTGCGTGTATTACTTTCTAATATACCTCCGTCGTAATCTAGAATAAGCAAACCGAAGTTGCGCTTGTCGGGCACATAATAGTCACAGTGCGAGTTCTTACTACGTTCAATTCTCGGGTGATGATCAACCTAGGACAAGCAATTTCCGATCTAAGTCGGGGGCCCAGTGCTTCCTATAAAATGGAACTCTTTCTAGTTCATGGAGGTTTTGCTTCGGTGATTCTTTGAGCTGTACTGACACGGCGAAGTCTGACTTGACGACCGCAAGGGCACTATCAAACACAAGTACCATCTTAAACTTTTGATAGAAGTCTGCCTTGTCACAAAGCTCTTCCATACACTATTTTTACATTATGTTCCCTTGGCAATTTGTGAAAAAAAAGGTCCTCACATAGTCAAAACACGCAGAAGTCATGAACACTTTCATTTGACGCATCGTGCCATGCCATTGCTTCGTTCCTCCATCTTTCGACTGAATTGTCATCTAAGACTTTCTCTCTCCCATTCAAGTTGATCAGTATCTTTTTATGAAAAGACTCATCCGTATCTTGCGGAGTGAAATTGCTCGAGGTTGAGCATCCCCTGCTTCCGATCTGAATGCGCTAGGATAGTCATCGAGCGGTCGGCCAAACCCAGGAAAGACAATCCTCTCTAGCGTCTCACAAATCTTGCTATGTAAATGTGAGCACAAGTAGGCAAGAAAATGCGCATCGTGATATGTGAGGGTTGATAAACTGACTGGAGTGGGATCCAAAACATAGGGCCGACGGGGTCTCCACCGAGCCGCTGCGTCTCCGATCCACAGTCTTACTACAAGAAGGGTCATAAGTCTGTTCACAGTGCCATGAATTATTCAACGTTCTTGACAGAAGCTCAAGTGAGTGTGCCATTTTATGCGCTGTTTGGTTTGTACCATAACTCAAGCTCTCTTTCTCACCTCTTTTTTTGGCCATTTAGCTCATATAAACTTGGGGGTTGAAAAAAGATTTATGGCCACCGTTGTAGATGATATACTGTGTTTGAGATTGAATTGTTGGTGTTAGCCCAAGACAAGGTAAACATATTCCACGCCTTGCATAGTGGTGCATATTGATACACCAAGGATGTAACAAGAAACATTAAATACCAAACTAACGACATCCTCACTTGCCAATGCCCAACTTGTCCAAACCGAGACTGTTCATCATATTATCGATCCCAAGACCACCGAGAAGACCCCGAACAAGACCACCAAGACCAAGTCCGTTCAGAAGATTACTAACAAGACCCAGAACACCGCTGAGGAGCAAGCCAACTGCAGCAATTATTTGGAAAAGGGGTTCGGATAGCAAAGCCCACAGTGGGTTGAGCTTCTTCTTCGCATGAGGCATATCTGCGATCCGGCGACGTCCATTTTCAATGGTAGTCGACACAGTCTGAGTCAGCTGTTTCAGAAGATCTGCCAGTTGATATTCCTCCGGTGTCGCCTCGTGAGAAGCACTGTGAGCCTTTGCGGATGCAGCGATGGACCCGTCGGGATCGAGAGCTCTGATGGTGCTTTTACACTCTTGTAGCATGTTCCCGGCGTCTTCAATGAGAGGTTTCACAGTCTGTACTAGTTTCTCTTCATCCAATTCGTCTCTTGGGGTACGATCGGCTCGTTCAAGGTGCTATATGAGGTTAATTGCGTCCACTGAGACAACCCAAGGGATTTTTACCTCTGTGATCTGTTTGCAAAGCGGCTCCAGGGACTCAAGTGTCTGCTGTACAACCACAGATATCTTCTTCGCCAAATCCCGATCATGTTTCTCTTTGGCCTGCTGCTCGGCTTCCTCGGGTGATAATTCGGGCTCGGGCTCCGATTCGACATCTGGCAGGTTTTCCTCCAGCGTGCACTCGCCAATTTTGTTTCCATCATTATCGACGATATAGCCATCATCATTGACCCTTTTTCCTACCATGGCTTTGGCGTTGCCCATAGTGAGTCGGCCTATCAGGTTTCCATCTTCGTCGCGGACCTCGCCATCTCGGTTGACTTTTCGGCCACTCATAGGGTTGATATCGCGTTGTTTCTCTTCAGGGGTCCATCGTTCTGCGCGGCCGATGACATTGCCCACTTTGTCCACAATTTCACCATCTTCATCGACGGCACGACCAACAAGCCTTGTCGGTTCCCCGTCAATCAGCCTGCCAACCACTTCCTTTTCTGCGGTGATGACATGTCCATCCTTTGTTGTAGTCAAGCCATCGAGGCCATAAAATTCTCCTTCAGGCCTCTCTCGCTCGGAAACGGGGATAAGTTCAACATTCCCCAGCACTTTCCCATCATCACTCCAGACCTGCCCTTCTGCGTCCACCTTTTTGCCATTCAGCTTCTTAGGATTTCCTGAAACAAGCCGTCCAAAGACTGCACCATTTTCGTCGACCACATTTCCAAACTTGTTGACTGTCATCCCGTCAAGCTCAGACAGGTCTTCTTCTGGCTCTTCAGAGGTTTCGGAAGGATTATATGGCTCAGCGCGTCCTATCACGTTACCATGTTTGTCCAATATTTCTCCATCATCATCGACAGCTTTGCCTCGCAGTTTCTTAGGATCTCCATCAATGATCTTGCCAACAACCAGACCTTCCTCGGTTTCAACAAACCCATCTTGCCCGACCACCAGATCACCCAAGTCGCTGAAAGGCCCCAACACTTCACGTTCGTCCTCTGGAACCATCTCAACCCGTCCAATGACCTCACCTTCATCGCTCCATATCTGGCCCTCGTGATCGATGGTTCTCCCGGTAACCTTTTTCAAATCCCCCTCTATCACGCGGCCTATCAGCATGCCGTCTGGTCCAGTGACAAATCCTAGCTTGTTAGGAGAAAGACCCTCCAAGAAAGAGAAGTCGACTTCTTCTGGCTCAGGCTCTGGTTCCTCCCAAGGCTCGGCGTGGCCGATGAGATTGCCTCGCTTGTCCAAAATATCGCCGTCATCGTCGACAGCCCGACCAAGAAGCTTCTTGACCTCACCATCAACGACATAGCCTACTCGATCCCCGGATGCGTCTTCGACCCAGCCATCATCAACCACGACGAGATCTTCAAAGCCTGCAAATGGGCTCTGATCTTCCTCCTCGATTGGCGTGGTTTTGGCCACGCCTAGAACATTGCCTCTGTTATCCCAGAATCGACCTTGATCATCGAGTTGAAATTCTCCCTTGGACAGCTTTTTGGCATCCCCCTCAACAAGTTCACCAACTGGCACACCATCCTCGCCGACAATGTTTCCGAACTTGTTACACTTGAGACCTTCGAGTGTGGAGATGTCAGGTAATTCCGGGGGAGGTCCCTGTGATGCGTCGGAGTTCACGTCTTCTTCGTCCTCTTCTCCTTCTTCTTCTTCCCCTTCTTCCTCTTGTCCTTCTTCCTCTTGTCCTTCTTCCTCTGGTTCACCATTTTCGAGGTCATCCCGCTTCTTGACAGCTGCCTTTTTATCTTCGAGCTCTTGCATTGCGGTATATCCAGCCTCGCCTGGGATTGTCTCAACCTGTCCGATCACCTCTCCATTGACATCCAGCACTTGACCCTGCTCATTTGGAATCTTTCCAGATAGATGTGTGGGATCTTGGCCTTCAACGACTTGGCCTAAGTTCTCACCCTCATCATTCACAATCTTGCCATTTTCGTTGATTTCTCTGCCTCGGAGAATGGCAACTTCTGGAAGTAATACGCCTCCGGTGGGCTCAGCTTCACCGGCTGAATCTTCAACTTTGTTTAGAGAGACGAGTTCGACCCGCCCGACCAAGTCTCCATCTTCATCAAGGATTTCCCCATTCTCGCCAATAGCCTGACCAACCAGATCATCCGGGTCACCCTCAACAAGTCGCCCCAGTACTATTCCCTGGCCGTCTTTGATCAAACCGTCCTCTGTGAGTGGCAAATTAACGAGGTCTTGCAGGCTGGGGACATTATCTGCGTCAACCCCTTCATCAGTCGCATCAGCATACTTTGCAGTCGCATCGCTGACAAGCTCGACTCGACCAATAAGATCGCCATCCTCATCCAGAATTTCACCACCTTCCCCAACAGCCCGGCCAGCAAGGTCGCTGGGATCACCCTCGACAAGTACTCCAATTGCATTGCCATCATCGTCGAGTATATGCCCCTCTTCGCTAACCTCAAGCCCCTTTAATTCAGACAAATCGGTCGGGAGGTTAGGAACCTTCTCGGTGATTTTGTTAACCACTTCCCCTTTATCAGACTTGAAGCGCTTTGTGACATCTTGAATGCCATTCTGGATATTGTCAAAAGTGCCCTGGGACTGCGCAACTCTTGCGCGATTACCGATATCCCTGGCGCTACCGGTAAGGTCCGAAAGACGCGAAGCTGCATTCTTCCCTCGCTGGAAGAATGAGCCGCCACCCGACCCAGAAGCTGGATCGCCTTTTTTCGTGACGGGTTTTCTTTGCTCTTTAGGTGGAATCTCTTCCTCTCGCTGCGCCTCTTCTGGGACATCGATCGTCTCTTCATACTCCTCGACAGACTCTCTTATTGGCAGTGGTTCCTCATATGCCAAGTTGGCTGCATTTTCTGCATCTGGTGCCTCACTCTTGTCGGCGTTCGGAATGTTGTTTTCCGATTCTTCCTTCTTTTGCGGGGCTGGAGGCAATTTTTCAGTTCCAGGCTTTTTTGACAACTTTCGGATATTCTTTTTGGGAGTGGTTGGTGTCGAGAGCTTATTGATGGGCTTCGCTTGAGTTGTGGATTTGATTTCTGATACTTCTTGGTCGGGTAAAGGGCTGTGAGAAGTGGAATCTTTTCCAATGGGCTTTTTACTTGGCAAAGAATTCTTCTTCGCAGATGGAACTCGCTTTGCCGCCGGTGATGCCATTTTCTTGCACTTTGGAGCTTTCCGCAACAAGGTTTCTTCGCGCTAATGATTCGTTTTGCAGGTAGAAATTGATGACTAGTAATTTTCCAATCAAAATAAAATTAATCTCAGCATGGGAGATGTGTGAGCATACGATTTATATACTGTAACGACCGGCAAGTTCTCACATTCGCCATGATATCATCATTGATATACTAATCGGGACCAGGAACTGGCTGCCTCGCCACGTCGTCTACAGTCAGATGATCACTAATTCTCAGCTATAAACGAGCTCCATGACTGTACCATGGAATTGATAACCTGACTCAAGCGATAGCTGGAGGGGTTCCACGAGGCCTCGGAGACACCGCCACATATACCGTGGTACCACGAAGCCGCCTGGTCACTTTAGACACATCCCGACCTCATCATATAATGCCATCATCTTTATTAACCACAAGTTATCCGTCCAGTCCAGTGTATTGCCACACCAAGTTTACCACGAGGACACAAAATCAAGAATTAATAGCTGCTAGATCTCTGTTCGATCCATGTCAAATCGATGCAACCATATCCGATTCTTCTAACTTTTGAAAGTGGGCGTTCCGGAATACTACAATCTTTGCCTGATCAATTCCTAAAGGCCAAGCAAAATAGCCTCACACGATAGCCTTCATAAATACATTCAAATGCTAATGGGCATTCGTCACATTCTTACATTGTGAATTTCAAGCTCTGTAAATCATCAGCGTCATGCTTCATGCGGCATATCAATGGTATATCAATGAAAGAACTTACAGAAGGCTTAGAGTGAGATCTCCCCGAATCTTAGCTTTCAATTCAACCTCAACGTCCAAGTTCAGATCAAGTCTTAAGCTCAACGCGCTTCCAGCATCTTTTGCTATCGGTCCAGTCCGCTCAGCGAGCGGTTGAATAGGAGCTATTCCTTTTTGAGCGGGTACAGCTGTATTTGTTTCCCTTCGAATAACCTCTGTCGTAGGCGCACGCCTATCACCGTGGGCGGGAACTTCTCGTTGAATGGACTCGGTTTCAGACGTCATATTAGAATTGCGTCGTGACTCGTCCTGTTGATCGTTTTCTAGAGAGGAATATTCCTCATCGGTGTAGAAATCAGATTCATCCTCTTCGCTCGAATGGTCTGGTTCTTTTGGGGGCGTCGGCTTTTTCTTTGCGGTCTTGACAGTAGCCATAGTGGTCTATATAACTGAGAATCAGAGCTGGGAGATAGATCATTGCATAATAATGGCAGGGGACGGGACTTGATAACATAATCAAGTCAAACCTCTCAACCATGGTTCGTAGAGTCCATGACGTTGCAGATCCCGGCCCCGTGAACGACTTCATTCTCAACATCCTCCATTTTACGTTTTGGTTAGCTTGAAACAAGTTTTCGCGTCGCTTGTACGTTTCTGGTTGAATCAACTAGTTCTATGGAGATCCACTCCCGCGAGAGTCCAGACCCCGCTTGGTTCTTCTTGTTCCTCGTGTCCTGGTCAAGCCTATCCTGACGTCAACGAGGCGAACTCTACGAAATTCCAGCATGGGCGAATAGATATCTATTTCCTATATACACGTCTTGATGCCTTCATTTAATACAAGAAATGACTGTATTCTGCCATCATAATGCAAGAGCAGCCTAATCATGACCTTCCAAACGCAAATGGAACCGCGACTGCTTCCACGCCAAAAAGGAAACCCCCGAAGCTCCGACCGCCCAAGCTGCGAAAAGGTCCAACTTCAGAGCCAGAATCAAGCAATTCCAATGAGCAGAGAGTGAATGGAATTCCAGAGTCTGCCAAATCAAATTCTGTTTCTTCAATCCCGGAAAGCAGTTCTACGGGACAGATGCAGGAGGAAAACCAGTCACCTTCACCTGAGCCGGCACCGCAGGTTGAAAATCCGAAAGAGCGTACCCGACACCACAGGAGAGTCCGTCGAGTTTCAACACTGGCACAGGATCCATCCCAAGACCAAGACACCCAGCTTGAGCAAAGGGACAATAGAAGCCTGGAACAGCGGAAGGTACAGGAAACGCAAGTGAGCAACGTACTTAACCCTCCGGAAGCTCAGGGGCAGGTACAGCGAGCTGGCGAGCTTGTTCCACAAGCAGCAGATGGAGCTGTCGAACAAGTGAGAGAGACTACCGAGGTAAAGCCTCAGTCGCAAAAGAACGATCAATTAAGGTTGAGGCTGGACTTGAATCTGGATGTGGAGGTTGAACTGAAGGCAAAGATCAGAGGAGATCTCACGCTGCAATTACTGTACGTGCCATATCCCTTCCGTCGGCTCGAGGTAGTTGGTGAGTTGCTAACATGTTTGTCTGGCAGTCAATAGCGGATCATTTGTCTCTTCTTGGTTTATCATTATCCTGGGATAGATATATGTGCAGGGGTTATTTAACTTATTAGATCACATTGCTTTATATTCTTGTCGAACTCGGGCGTAAAAAGGAAGCAGAATCATCCTCAATTTAGGCAGAACGAAGGTTGTACAGTAAGCTTGAATTTTGGAAATCTCACTATTGATTATTCAGCCAGCAGGAGCAACTGGAGCACGCCCTCATCATGGGTGATGAAGAGCTTTGATAGACAACTAGATGCTAAAAAGGACCGATATGAACCCCCTTGAATATAATTTATCACTACATGTAATCAGAGTTTAGAAAACAGAGCGTCTCCATCTATTTAATCGTACTACTACATGGCACAATGTAAGGTGTTTGTAGGTCGGCTAGTTGGAGAGTCTTTCTGTTCGTGCAAAGCAAGAAGTAAAAGAGAAGTGGGCGATGATGAAGGTGACAGGAGGTAGAGAACAAATAAGAGGAGAAAGAGATAGAAGTGATGCAAGCAGCACTTCAATGAAATCCAATTTTTGTTCGTTCGTACCCACATTTTACACATCCTGTCACTTCACCCTTGGACTCCTAGTTATACGCTATTACCATTCAAAAAAGCTCTTATCTCGGGCCCTTACCGGGTTAGTTACCAGGAAAGTAATCGATTGGCATGGAAGATAAAGAGGCAATTTATCACAATGGAAATAGACTTTCTAAACTAAAATGACGACGCAGAGAACGAACGAAACAAAGACAAAAAAAACATACAACATACAACAGTAAGGATTCGCTAGTGGTCACCCACCTAACTACTAACTTACCGGCGTGTGGCTTAAGTACGGCTGAGCGGACGGGAAGCCCTGTTCTCCACACCCTGTGGTCGTATGTACTAATTGCCACAATAAGAATAATCATGTAGGACTTCAATGATACATATACACGACAGTACTCGGCGGCGCGTGGCTTATTCGCGCTAGTAGTTGGATAGTTGAGAGCGAGAGTCACTTTAGCGTCACATGACCGCGAACGAGATGGCGAGTGCTATAGATAAGGCGCTAGTTATATTGAGCCACGCGACTATTGAATTGACCTAGTTAATATATAGTAGAAGTTGAGTAAGCTCTACGATTTAAAACACGTAGCTATATAGAGAGTAGATTACCGAGGATAATAGTATCCAGCTTTTTATAGTCCCTAGAATGCTCGAGTGTGAAAAATTACTTGAAACAATGTATTCAATAGTCTTGTAAGACTTTCGTGCTAGCAATGACAAAGATGAGCGAGAGTTTCATTAAATAACTATAGGCACCTGTAATTGGCATGGGCAGATCCTGTATCTAGTCCCAGATATCATGGATATCGAAAGATTGCATATTGGATTCGAACAAATTCATGAATCCAGACTCTTATGTCACTCTCCGTTTCAAAGTTGGAAAAATAGGATACTTTATATATACAAGCTGGATATACTAAGTTAGTAAGGGCTAGCCCTATACGCTATCGAATTTGGCTAGTCCGGTATATATGTACTAGAATTAGGTAGTGTAGTGGGGGAATTGCTGACTGCGTAGATTAGCGGTGAATCGAATGACTCAGTATTTTGTGATATATAAGGTTTCTTACTAGCAGGACAGCAACTCAGACACATTCTCTTCTTCACTACCACCTCTATGTGCTCTCCTCCCTTATATTCCTACTACCCCTAGTGGCCGACCTGGTTCGCAGACAGACAGGCAGGGTCGAGTTCCCCTTCGTGTTCCCCTCTTCAGTAGGTAGATAGTGGCTATATAGCTCGACGAGCACCGTCCCTCTATACTTGTAAGTATAGCTAGTTTACTTTCACCTCAAAATCTTCTAGGGTGAAGATAGAATGTATTTTCAGAAACAATAGGCTTAGAGTCCTACTTAATGATAAGATTATAATATATTGAAATTATGTTATGTTACCTAAGGATATAGAATTAGCTACTAGCCCGACTCCCTATTATCAAGGCTACTATATTATTTTGAGCAAAATTATGCCCTTAAAATCTTAAATGCCAGAGCTCACAAGTCAAATATCAGGCATCGACTCCTTCCGTTTTACAACCACTTTCTGGGGCGTCTTTTCCGACAGAAAAGCTTTCTAGGCAACATCAGTTGACTTCATGAACAATGTAATTCGGTGACAGCAATCGTGGGACAATATCTTGCTTTGCAAGACTAGCTGCCTAGTCCAAAAAACCTCGAAGCTGGGATATTATCTTGTGCTGCTCGCTGTCCCAGCAGAACCTTCTGATCGTGCACTTCATAGAGTCAGTCATAATTCACTTCAACGTTTTCTAGAGACACTGTTACCGGGCTTGTGGCTGTGATAATCATGACTATCCACTGTGAACCATTCGGCATAGCACCGTAGACCGCCGCGCCTTTTCTTGTGAGATTGCGAACACGGTGGATCTCCTGGCCATGTTTTGAGGGAGAGCCCAGCTCTGAGCTTCAGGATTCTGTGACTTCATAATAATGTGATTGGTTTGTATTTCCCAGAGGTCGCCATACCATACGGTGTAGTCGGTTCTGTTCGTGGAAGCTGGCATTCCAACTTGAACACCTCTGAAGTGAGATTTCGACACGACCAGGCCATTTAAATTGTACTGGCAAGTGCTGGGTGGCTGCGTTGAAGAAAATAGCTCTTGGTTATGTTTGCAAGCATCCTGACCAAAATGTATTCGGCTTTCACGAAGGCTATGCGGTGTGCACTATCATCTGAACCGGTGACCATGTCAACGTCATCCCATAGAGCTCTTGACAAGAGAATGGCGATTCGACATTAACGCTCCTTTGGAAATTGCCTAAGCTCAGAACTCACGTAAATATTCTGGAACCATCCACGCTTCTTTTTTTTTTGCTCTAAGCTGGCTTTGTCCCCACCATCGCGTCATGTAAGTCCATTATACTTCTGTGAGCCTCGCTCTCCATGTTTTGTTCCCCCCCCATTGATGCCTTAGGTGAAGTTGATATAGATAAAGGAAAAACCAGAAAGAAGAGGAGGAGGAGGAGAAGGGAAGAAACAGTCACGGATTGTTTACCTAAATGTTTCGTCAAGACATCTCGGGCACCTATTTGCACTTTCCTGTTTGTGGGAAAAGTAACGTGATCATGTGTTGTAGTGCAAAGCTTCAACAAGATACCGTCACATTGATGCCCGAACAAGCGATAGGCGACTCACTACGTCAAACAAACCGGGGTACCAAACTTTAGGGTATCATGCTTCAGATCCAAACCTTCATACTTTCTTGCCCCTTTGCGTGCTTTGTTTGATGTGAATTCTCGGCGGTTGCTTTGGGGATGCGATTGTACTCATACAGCTTTGATGAAAGTTCAGAGCAAGGAAGAAGCGATTCAGGAGACGCCATTCTTGGAAGATCAATAATCGTGCTTGGTTGGAGAGTCTACGGTCTTGGCTTTCAGATTTAGGGTGGCATAGGCTCATCATTCGAGACCTCGAAGTGTCCATCTCGAATGTTATTATGAAGATGTGGATATTCGATAAGTAATTTCGAGCCAAACTTTGCACAATCCATTTTTGAAACTCTAGGCAATGCCACGTTAGGTGTTTGGCGCTCGAGATCCGGCTTTTTTTGGATCGAAGCGCCTGCATAGACATGAAGCAAGAAGTGAACCTGACCAGGTTGATTGATTATTATCAAATCGACTGATTGATTTTCATTTAGATATGAACTTTTTCTAGGCAAGATCCTCTCCTTGATAATAACAATGCAAACGCTTGATGTGCATGAACATGCTACATTGTTTGCTGCTAAAAGGTTTCAATCGGATTGTCTGGGCGCTATTTACTTTGGCAGCTCGATTCCTTGATTTGACCCTCTTCCCCTTGTCATCCTATACGCCTTCTTGACAACATTGATAACCTGCTTGACCAAAATTGTTCCTTGCTTGACAACAATGATAGCTTGTAAAACGCTAAGATACATATATTAGTGTTGATTAGCTTTGTATAGAGATACTGATTGACTCACCCTGCAACTGAGAAGAGGATGGCGACCAGAAAGACAAGGAAGTTACCGCGATGGCCTAGCCCTGAAATGAGGAAAAGCGCGGCGCCAGACCAAAGGATTGCAGTGCAAATCACGCTTGGAATGAAGCTTATGGCCGGGTAGATGGTTGTTCCCTGCGTAAGCGCAATGTAATCGACAATGGACCAGATCACTGGGGGCGAGAACTATGCACTATTAGCTCTGACCGCTTGTGCTCTAGGTCTTAAATGTTTCCCATACCACCACAAGGTTGAAGAAGCCACCTTGCGAGGCAATCAGTAAGGCGGGGACGGCAAGCGTTAGAATCCAAAGTCGGAAGTGTAGAGCATTTTTCTGTTCATCGTCGAGCGTAACATAATTGATAAGCATACCTGCGGATTTCGGAACAAGAAATTTCTGGATGAGGAAAGCAACGATGAAAGTCTCGAAGAGGGGTTCCATTGAGTGCGCTAAAACTAGCGATAAATGCGGCGAATGGGGGTTGGTCAGACCCTGTTCCCCCTAGACCTTAGCGCCAAAAGTTCATGAGCCTCAGTATCTCGATCGGCACGGACCGACATCCCGGCCGACAGATCAATTGTAGCTGTGGTACCTGAAAGCTATATTATGTTGTTGATATAAACCTCTGGTAGGTCCAAATAAATACATACGACCACAGGGTGTGGAGAACAGGGCTTCCCGTCCGCTCAGCCGTACTTAAGCCACACGCCGGTAAGTTAGTAGTTAGGTGGGTGACCACTAGCGAATCCTTACTGTTGTATGTTTTTTTTGTCTTTTTGCAAGCCATCTAACTAAAGTATATGGCAAAAAAAAAAAAGATTAATTTTCTTCTGTCTGCGAAATTGTGGGATATTATTAGCATCGGAAGAAACTCCGATAGGCAAAAGGAAAATATCACGGGTCAACGGTTTTAGTCTAGGGCCGGACCCCGGAGAATGACTCAGGGGCATTCTAATTCGATACATCGCCGCTTGAGTGGCATTCCAAGACTACCGAATTGCTGAGCTTCATTTTTGCAAGCTTTGCTTCAGGGTGCCCAGCTAATCCCTGCCGCTGCCTTTTTGCCGTATATCGACCCATTGATGTATCGAGTTCTATTTTTATGGTCTCTGTTTTCCGTTTCTCTGTTTTTACTCTCTCGTAAATCTCGGAGACCCCGACAAAGGAAAACATGAGGCGAAATGACTAGCGTGCATCGGCTAGATCTTAACTTGTTCCCACTTATCCGGAACCCTACCAATCACAGCCCTAATTCAGCCTACTCTAATGCAGCAATTTCCACCGACCACTAGAGGGAAAAGGGAAACCGCCCCCAAAATTCAGGGTCTGTCATGAGGCGCTTGTTAGCTTTTTCCTTAGTATACTTTTCTCAAAACAATAAAACCATGGCGAGCCCCTCATTTTCTCGTAGAATCCATTCTCGATCCACAGGCCCAATATGGCGCCCTCACATTCGTTCAAACTATACCTGTCACTCGCTTTATCTTACCTCAGTCCCCTCGTTTCGGCTGCGCCATGGATAGTCACGGAAATATATCAGCAGGATATTGTTACTGAGTCGTACGGTTATGGTTACCCAGATGAGGTGACCACCCAGATTGAAAAGATCACCCCAACCGCAACTCTTCCCGCAGAAGCTCTATCAACGATCACATCAACCGAGACACTCGGCAGCTATACGGTGATCGAGAAGCTCTACCCAACCGGATATGGTTCCGCCGCACCTTATGACTACGCCTACGGCTACCACGCCGACAGCGATGGCAACATCCACAGCACAATCTTCAAAGTGAACCTAGTGTATACGGCGCCAACAGGCTGCTCAACCAAATGGACCTCCACAGTCGAGGCGGAAGTCACACCTCCATTCGAAATCCGCAACGATTTCCCGTATGAGACAGGTACCGCCTCTACCTCAGTCGACGACGCCCAACCTTTCCAACCAACAACATACTTCTTCGACGTTATCCACGTCGACCCAACCCAGATTCCGAGCTATACACTCTCTTCGCTGAGCTACTATAACGCCCCGACCTCTGTCGCCGGCGGCGCATCATGCCAGTATACATCCACCTCCGACTCCACCTCCAGCACCAGTTCCGGTACCAGCTCCGGCTATTACACCGGCGGCTATTACGGCAATGGCTATTATGGTTACTACGACGATGATAACTGGTTCACAAGCAAGTGGGGTCTAGGGGTCGGAATTTCCGGCCTGGCAATTACACTCATCTGCGTCCTGGGCTGGATAGGCCTGTTCCTGATCCTCGGTTTCATCGAAGCCTGGGTCCGATTTCGCCGTCTCATGACGGGTTGGCAAACCCGTCGCGGACTTCCGCTTTTCTGGTGTTTCCTTATCTTCCCCATCACGCTGTTCTTCCTCTTCTGTTTCCGGAAGGGATTCCGCGCGCGTAGTCGCGAGGATGCCGAGGTTCTGAAGAAGAGGTGGGATGCTATGCCTTTTGGAACTAAGTTGAAGCTTTACTTCCTTTGGGGCTTCCGCTTTAAGTACCCGCCTGTTCTTGGTCCTGCGCCTGCTAGGGTGCAGGGTAGTAAGAAGCCTAAGGAGTCTGGTCCTCGGCTTTTGGATGCTACTCCGCCTGGTTCTTCTGCTGGGTCTGGGGCTGAGAGGGGTCTTGCTGGTGTTCCTGAGGTTGGGGAGGTTCAGGGTCAGCAGGGTCATGTTGTTCCTCGGTCGCATGATGCTGTTCCTGATGTCGAGGCTTCGGGTGCTGTTTCTAGGCAGAGGGATGAGGAGATTGGTCACGCTCGTTGATGGACTTGTGGTGGTTGGTTGAAGAGGTCTGCGTGTTTGCAAAAATGCGATATATAATATTTTTCAGTGGAACCTCTCTACTGTTTGTGCTCATTCATGTATTCAACGGCTGTTAATATTTAATTGATACCACTTCGCATATATTGTCAAACTGGACCAATAAAAAGGATAATTCAGAAGATCCTTGGAAATAAAATCGATTGGTTATAAAATGCAAAATCTAAAAAAATATTAACCCTCTCTTACGGCAGTATGCACGGTATACTCAGGCTGAAATATATATAGGTCAAGTCTGTGAAAATGTATTTCTGCATGTCGTCCCTGGCAATCGATGTAGAACAAACTTGAACGTTTGCACCACACTCTACTCACCATGGCCAAAAAAGAAGAAAATGATCGATTCCTAACATTCAAGAACAAATTCGACTCAATGGAATAAAAAAGAAAGGCAAAAAAGAAAATGCTCACTCGAGGACGGTGTTTAGGAATAGCCGAACGCGGGGGTCGAACCCGCAGCCTTAAGATTAAGAGTCTTACGCTCTACCGATTGAGCTAGCCCGGCCGGGCTGTTAGAGGGGCTCCGAATTATGGCTACATAACCCAAAATCTTTACCGCCTACCTCATGTCCCCAAGCCTCATGGTCTACGGGCATCGGGATGGTCGTTCTCAACAACGCGATGGAGCAGTCGGGCCAGGCCTCCCATGCCAAACAGGCCGCATGCCTGAGCTGTCGACGAAGCAAGATTCGCTGCAATCGCACAGCGGGTGAAACGCGCTGCGATAAATGTAAGCAGACCGATGCGGAGTGCATCGTGCCAAGTCACCATCTAGGCAGGCAAAAGGGAGTAAAGAAGTAAGTGAAGTTGAGATGGGGAGAAATCAAATTTTTCTCCAATCCTCAAAGGGGTAGGTCAAGGCTGACACGTGCATAGCAAACGCAAGGGTCTGGAGAAAGCGATCCATCAGATCGAACAGGCCATCAAAAGACCGAGGATTGACCCTGCCGGCGACAATGATGCACAAAGAGCCATCTCAGGTCTGCAGGACCTCCTCATTCAAGTCCAGGGTCAGTTGATGCAAGGTAACCAGGATGTTTTTTCCGATGGTCCGGGGCCGGGCCATGATCCTGACTCTGACCCGCCTTCGCTGCGCGAGAGCAAGGTCGACGAAAGTCTTACTCTAGACGATGCAGAGAATCCACTACAATTGTTAGCTCGAGCTTCGGATCTGCAGCTTTCGCCGACGGGAGTACGCCGAGCACATAGGTCTTCGCTGCCATTGCCGGGCGCACCGCTGGCTGTGCCGCAGGATAATGATATTCCTGGAGAGCCGAGCGCGAAGTCATTTTTCGTGCCGACTAGGGCGAATCTGGATGTTGGGTCTGAGGTTGATCCCGTAGATCTGGGGTTGGTCACTTTTGATGAGTCGGAATCTTTGTTCTCGTTGTAAGTATATGTTTGTCGGTCTCGAGTCCAGCCTGTATGATATGAAAACGAGGCATTGACATTATTATCAGCTTTTATCAAAACCTCGCTCACACGAGATGGGGTCTCGATCCATTGATACACACGCCATCATTTGTGCGCTCTCAATCCGCATTTTTATTTACATCGATAATGGCTGGAGCGGCTCTATTCCTACCATCCGCAGCGGCTTTGTCTACGAGATTATCTCGACACTGCAAGTGGCTTGCAAAGAGGGTAATTACGCTCCGCCATAGGTCTGTCGAGATTGTTTTGGCATTCATGGTTAATGTTCCGTGGATGTCCCCTGGTGATAGCCTCGGAGATGATGATACCTGTTCATATATCGCTATGGCTTTGACTGTTTCTTTGGATTTATCATTGAACAAGATTGTCTCTCCATCTGCGAGCTTTGATCAGGACCTGCTTAATCGTTTAGCTCGGGCAGATTGTATTGATGCCAGGAGGGCTTTACATATGGATGGATTTGATGATGTTGATCCATCGTCTGAGTGGGGTCTGCGTTTACTCCGGCGACGGGAAAGAGCATGGATTGCTTTATTTGTTGTTGAGAGGGGGTAAGTTTGAGTCCTTTGTCTTTTATATGTGAATGCATGTACTGACTAGATGGAAGTGTTTGTCTTGCTCGTGGACGAAGCTATACAGTCCCTCCAACTACGCTTATTGAGAACTGCGACCGGTGGCATCTGTCCAACATCGCAGATTTGCGTGATGGTCCTATGAACTCAATGGCAGTTCTTCGCAGAGACTTAGTAAGACTTTCCATGCTTAAAATATCGATTATGACTCTAATGGCCAATCTAGGACGGACTATTTAGGAAAGTCAAATCAAATTGCGATAGTCATCGAATCGTTGACACCGGCTCAGAAGCCGCGCAAACGTACGGGCAACTACAATTGATAAAAATTTCGCTGCTAACCTCAACACAGGATCAAGAAAACCATCCAAACTTTCTATGAACGGTGGTACGCAACATGGGCTTTCGCAATCGGTGAAGGTGACAGTAAGTACAGACCATCAAACCGAAAGAGCCATATGCTAATCCAAAAAGCACGGTCTCTCCCCCCATACGTCGAGATTCTAGTCACGCACACCCAACTCTCAACCTACGGCGGCGTTATCAACCACCCAACAGCCCCCCTCGAAGTAAAACGCTTCTTCCGCGCCGCAGGCCTCTCATCCGCCCTGAACGTTCTCCGAGCTGCAATCCAAGGCGAAGCCCGCCTAAAGTCAATGCCAAACAATACAGTCATCATGATATCCTTCGCAGCCTGCTCTGCACTAAGTCTAAGCGTAATACCGGGCGACAGCAGATCGAGCCTCGCACCCAGCGTGCGAAACCTAATTGAAGAAACAGCCGGCGTTCTGGAAAGAGTCGGTGCAACACCGAGTCACCGCAATGGTTCGTCAGTGCTCTATGGTCGCTTTCTGCGCGAGTTGATTCGGAGAGCTCCTGCTTTCCCTCTCCCCGCATCTCATCCGCAATCACAGTTCCAAACCACCTCTCAACGCGTCAATCCATCTGGTATGGATCTAGCTGAACCGGCTCTACCCCCTACATCTTCCCTCGATATGCATGGCCTCCCAATTCAAGTCTCTCAACCGTCGACATCGCTTCCGCCTGAGGATCTTTGGTCTGAACCAATTCAATTCTCAGCAATGTCGGATAATCAGATTGTCGATGCGGTTAATCGGGCCGGCACTGCATTTGGGTCGTCTATTCCTGATGTTCCGCTTGACGATATGCTTAATTGGGATTGGCTTGATTTCGCGAATGCAGATTTTGGTCTGTGATGTGATCTTTAGCTTATTTTTGTTTATTGATACCCATATTTTTGTTATCGTTTTATTTTGAGTTGTGATGTATAATTTTGTTGAGAAGTATCAATAGTAGCTTTGAGTACGCAGCTTCATTTCAATGTCTGCCGATCAACCCATTACAAAAACAATCTCCAATCTTCCATTTACTTAAAAAAGGATTGATGGTCAGGGATGTACCGTAAGCATAAATACAATTCGCCACTCAAACCAAATATTCACAGATACCCGTGGGACTCAGCAACCGCGCAGCGGTATTCTGGCCATCAGAATGGGGGCCATCTTGGCTAACGTCATAGTAATCCAGTCCGTATCCAGGAAGACATATAAGCCGCAGTTCTCCGCGACAAAAAGAGAAAAATTTGTATAATAAAAGCTTTAATCTGAAACCTTCTTTCATTCCATGATAAACTACATACCCACCAAAGTACTTCCCAGCCACGTGGCCACCGATACACATCAACCTCCATTCAACCTAATCTACAAACAAAAACAACAAACAAAATGGTCTTGGACTGGAGCGCCCTAGCCCCAGGTCCCTCCGGCACAGCAATGCTAGGCGAAAGCGGAATCGAAGGCGCTGCCCGACGCGGACGGGAGAGATTACGACGCGAAGAGGAGCAGCGGGCTCTTGAGAATAAGAACGAAGGAAGAGGTGATAGCGCAATTACTAGCGATGCGGCTTCCGATGTTACTCTGGTCCCCGGGGGACAGGGGAATGGTCTCTCATCGGGATATACGTCCAATCGGCGGACGGATGAGGAGATGAGGGCTGAGGCTAAGCGTAGGAATGGTGAACATAGGTCTGGAGGACTAAACGGGAAATTGGGGAGGCTTAAGAAGACTTTGACTGGTTGATTGGATAGTTTGATGTTCGAGTCGAATTGAGTATGTGTCTTGCGTACTTTGGCCATGGGTTTGTTCTGAAATATTATATCATGTGTAAGGTATACTCTGACCAGATTTAAACCTACGTGAACATTTAAAAGTATCCCCAAGCACCCAATGAGAAAATTACACCCAGAAAATATATACAACGCGCACAAAAAAGCCCCGAAACCAAACGACGTCAGACTTGGCGCAGTCGGCTTCGGCGTCCAAAAGTAGCTCCGACCGCCGAACCCAGTCAACAATTTAATAGCTCAAACAACTCCAATGTCCCCCAATTTCCCCTCCAAACAAAGACAACAAACATGGCAGCGCTTCGCATTTCAACAGCGACATTGTCGCGTAAAGCAATCACCACCAGCCGACCCCGTCTCTACCTCGGAGTTCGCGCCGGCCTGCGCTCTCTGCAACCCACCTTTAACTCCATAAGCATCAGCTCACGATACTCCACGACCGCACCGCTACAATCCCTCGCACCGAAGGTCGAGCGTGGTAAATCAAAGCTCTTCAAAGACGCCGATGCCGCGGTCGCAGATGTGAAGAGTGGTTCGACGATTCTTAGTTCTGGATTTGGGCTTTGCGGGGTTGCTGGTATGTGTTGCGCAAACAGGGTACTTTTGATATCGGCGATACGCAATGCTAATCTATCCGATATATAGAAACATTGATCAATGCCATGCACCGCCGAGGCGCCGATCAATTGCACTCCCTAACAGCCGTATCGAACAACGCCGGTGCGGCAGGCAGGGGCGGTCTCTCGACGTTATCGCAGAATGGCCAGTTGAATCGTTTGATTCTTTCCTACTTGGGCAATAATAAGACGCTCGAGAAGAATTACCTCACTGGGAAAATTGCTATCGAGCTTTGTCCGCAGGGCACGCTGGCTGAGAGGCTCCGTGCTGGTGGGGCTGGTATTCCGGCGTTTTTCACGCCTACTGGTGTTCGTATGTCTAGATCTTCTCGTCTATTTGATTATTGAGAGTGTGGTGAGGTTTATTAACACGCATTTGAAATTAGACACATTTATCCAGGAGGGTAAGATTCCCGTGCGCATGGATGAATCGGGCAAAGTGCTTGAGTCGGGCAAGCCGCGTGAGACTCGCGAGTTCAATGGCAAGACTTATCTTATGGAGACGGCTTTGACGGGTGATGTGGCTATTTTGAGGGCGTGGAAAGCGGATGAGGCTGGTAACTGTGTGTTCAGGTTCGTTTGCCATTTTCTCTTTCGTATTTGGATATCGGACAACTTAGCTCACTTTACTGTCTCTTTAGATACACAACCAAAGCCTTCGGTCCGATCATGGCCAAGGCCGCGACTCTCACTATCGTCGAAGCCGAGAACATCGTCCCCGTCGGCTCTATCGATCCCAATGATGTCGATTTACCCGGTATTTTTGTGGATCGCATCGTGCCTGCGACGGACGACAAGCATATTGAGATTAAGAAGTTGCGTTCTGGTGAAGCTAGTGTGACTGGATCGGCTAGGGATGCGGGACAGATTCAGAGGGAGCTTATTGGTCGGAGGGCTGCTAAGGAGTTGAAGCCTGGATACTATGTTAACCTTGGTGTTGGTATGTATATGCACTGTTGTCAAGGAACTTTGTGGCTGACTTAGTTTTAGGTATTCCTACTTTGGCACCTTCCTTCTTGCCGAAGGATGTGAAGGTCTGGATTCAGTCCGAGAATGGAATTTTGGGAATGGTAGGTTCAACTGATCTACGATATTGAATTGGCTTGTCTAATTTGGTTGATTTAGGGCGATTATCCCACTGAGCAGGAATTGGATGCGTATGTCTCTTTAGGCTGTCTGTCTCATGTCTTGTTACCTAATATGTTTACAGCGATATCATCAATGCCGGAAAGGAGACCGTGACTCTCGTCCCTGGCGCTGCTACATTCGACAGCACCGAGTCATTTGGTATGATCCGCGGAGGTCATGTGGACGTTTCTATTCTTGGGGTTCGTACTCGCATAAAAGCGAAAGGTATATTTGCTGACTGGTTCAATAGGCACTCCAAGTGAGCGCCAACGGTGATCTGGCAAACTACATGATTCCCGGGAAGGTATTTAAGGGTATGGGTGGAGCCATGGACTTGATCTCAAACCCCGAAAAAACCAAGATTGTGGTTGCCACCAGCCATGTGGCCAAGGATGGATCACCTAAGATCGTGCAGAAGTGCAGCTTACCTCTGACTGGTGCTAATGTTGTTAGCACTATTATCACAGACTTGGCAAGTAGTATGATCGATTTTGGACAATAGCGACTAACAGTTGTATAGTGTGTGTTCCAGGTCGACCGAGCTACTGGGAAGCTCACACTGACGGAGCTCGCTCCTGGCGTTGAGGTGGAGGAGGTACAGAATAAGACGGATGCTGAGTTTGCGATCGCTGATACTCTTGGGATTATGGAATAGATAGATATCCACAGCATGCATTTGATGGGTTGGATTTTATTTGCAATCGTTGTATTGAACAGTATACTATATAGACAATCAATCAATTCAGAACATATGTACGGCATAACAAAACATAAGCCCACCGGACCTAACTTATATGCAAACCACCATCTGACTCATCTAAAATCTATAACTTCGCCCGTCCAGGAGCAAAATTTGAACCCTCCCCACCCCCAATAGCCTCAACAATGGCATCAACACTCTCCAAAATCCATAAATTACCCTCATCACTAGCCAGCCACTTAGCCCCAGCCTCCCCCTCAACATCCTCAGCCCAAGACCCATCCTCAAGGGCCTTCCTCAAACCAAAAACATGCGAAGTAACCTGCGGCCCAACCCCACTCTGAGCCCTCAAACAAGCAACAGCAACAATAGACGTCAAAACCCGTCCAGCACTCGATCCCCCAAGCCGCTCACGCACAGGATCAGAAAGCAAAGCCCCATAATTGGCATGCAAGATATGAACCGGTAGATCAGGATGCGACTCAGCGAGCTTATCAAACAATTTCGTCTCAAATGGTCTGTAGATGGAATCCCAGAGCGCATGGCCACGCGCGCTGATTTCAGAAATATTTTCAGGTGTCGGCGCGCGGGTTGGGGTACGAGTTAATCTTGCCGTTATGCTTTCTGGCAGGCTTGCGCGGAAGGAGCCCAGGCAGTTGATCGTTCTAGGGATGCCGTTGAAGGAGATGCATTTGAGGCCGACTTCGCGCATGAGTTCGGCTGTTTCGAGGGATTGAGTTGGTGTTGTGTTGCTCGCGAGGTTGTAAAGGGCTGTTAGGGATTCTGGGGAGTTCATCGTCATTGTTGCTGCGGTCTGGTGGAGGTTAGTCTACTGTGTCATTGCCTGTATGCTGTTGACGTGTATACTCACGGATAGGGCGACCCATGATGGCTGTGAGATCTGTTTCGCTTGGGCGGTTTGCTGGATCTTCTGGTAGACCGAGGTTATGTTGGCCGGGGCGGGGACGGTGGCCGGACGGGCGGCGGGGGCATTGATCAATGCCTTGAGGCTGGCGGAGAGTTTCGACATCTCTACTGATGAACGTCTTCTGGAAGGATGTCGGGCCATTAAGAATGCGGACTGGAGACCAAATCTCAGGTCCGAGGTTTGAGAGAGGATCCCGGAGTTCAGAAGTGGCCGCCGAGCGATACCGGGAGTCAGCAGTAAAAAGACGGTATTCGGGGATTAATATTACGGTAACCTTACAGGGGCTCAGCAAAATCTGGGGTTTTGCGGGGAACAAAGAGGTCAATTCAGCCGTCCAATGTATACTTTAGGTTTGTTGGGTTGCTCGGACCCAGATGTAGCGGCCGACAAGTTGGCTTGGGTCCTATTTGTGTTGCTTATCTTTCTCGCAATCCTCCCTTCTTTCTTTCCATTCTCTGAATCTCAAGTTTGGGATTGACAGACTGCCCAGAAAACCAAGACTCGTCCTGCGTCGCCAAGCTTTGCACTACCCACTCTATGGATTCAAAATTGAAGGTGGAGGAGCTGGAGGAGGCAAAGCCCGCCCCCCTCAACCGATATGGCGATAACGCGCAGCAAGAGAAATTGACGCGGAGAATTTTGTTGAAGTTGGATACGCGGTCAGTCTTGCGCCCGTGAGATCATGGAATGAGCCTAATTGAATGGTTCTAGAATTCTTCCTATACTCGCGCTGCTTTTCCTATGCTCATTTCTCGATCGGACGAACGTCGGCAACGCGAAGATCATTGGCTTAGAGGAGGATCTGTCTATTTCTGACCATCAGTACGATGTCGGTTTGGCTGTTTTTTATCTTACTTATATCTGCAGGTTTGTTGATTCAGCCATTGAACACACAGATAAAGGGCTAAAAGGTATACAGTGAGCTGCCGAGTAATCTGGTGCTCAAGAAGGCATCTCCGAAACTTTGGCTCCCATTTTTGACAGCTGTTTGGGGTATTATCACCATGTGCCTTGGGTTTGTGCAGAACTTCGCGGGTTTTGTGGCTGTTCGGGCTTTGTTGGGTGTTGCGGAGGGTGGTCTGCTTCCGGGAATGGTATGTTCAGTGCAATGAGTATGGGGTAAATGAGAGCTAATCGAGAATTAGGTTTTATATCTGTCCACATTCTACCGAAGAGGCGATCTAGCTTTGCGAATTGGCTTGTTTTATACGGCTGCTTCCCTATCTGGTGCTTTTGGAGGTATGCATGCACCAACCCCCCCCCCCCCCAAACCCAATCAGAAACGAATATGATGCTAATTAATTAGGTCTCCTTGCCCGTGGACTAGCTGAAATTGGACCTCGTGGAGGTCTAGAAGGCTGGCGTTGGATTCTGATTATTGAAGGACTGTTGGTACGTATACTTCACTGTCAAAATATACGCTACGCCTACTCTAACAGATGATAGACCTTCGTCTGCGGAGTACTAAGCTTCTTCGTTCTCCCAAACAGCATAGAATCAGCATCCTTCCTGACCACCGAAGAAAAGGAATTCGGTCGGGAGAGACTGATGCTCGACAACCCCCGAAGCATAGAAGGGTAGGCCACCATCTATCCTTCATCCAACTCCACTAACAAAAACCAGCACCCTAGCATCAGAAGCCGAATCCTTCAAATGGTCCGAAGTCCGTCGCGGCGTCCTAGACCTTCAAGTATGGTTCTCCGCATCAGCCTACTTCGCCATTCTATCCGGCCTATACTCCTTTGGTCTATTTGTATGCATCATTCTATCCATTCAATCCTTCACAAAAGATATCCCAACTAACAAAGCAAAGCTTCCAACAATAATCAAAAATCTCGGCTTCGCCAAAGACGCGAATGAAGTCCAACTCTGGTCGGTGATCCCCTACGCGGTGGCAGCAATAGTCACCGTGATTGTGGCATTCATATCGGATCGGTTACGCCTTCGAGGCGTGGTAATGCTATTTACCCTTCCAATTGCTATAGTTGGCTACGCCGCCATTGCGAATATCGACTCCCCGCGCGTTCAATATGGAATGACTTTCCTTATGGCTACTGGACAATATGCTAGTGTGCCTTGTATCTTGGTTTGGTTGTCAAATAACTCTGCTGGGCATTATAAACGGGCTACAACTTCTGCTATGCAGTTGGCTATTGCTAATGCTGGGGGTTTTGTTGCGAGTATGTTTTTCATTCTCTTACTCTTGCCCTTGTCCTTGTTTTTGATTTGATTTCAGTGATACTGACGATTGGTGTTTAGCTTTCAATTATCCATCTAAGGATGGCCCTCTCTTCCACCGTGGACATACGATTATTCTTGGTCTTTTGTGTTTTGCGTGGTTTATGTGAGTGTTCTCTATTCATCCTAATTCATACTTGGAATGTCGCTGATGATGACACTATGTAGGATCCTGCTTAATGTGCTCTACTGCGCAAAGATCAACCGAGACAAGAAGAATGGCAAATATGACCGATACGCTGGTTATAACGATGATCGAAACCCAGAATTCATGATGATCCTTTGAATTCACAGTCATGCTGTCTTGTTATATAAAACAAATTCCAAATCAAGTAACTACCCACCTGCACATTGAACAATGCATCATTGATCATAAGATATTTTATCATTTCTCACACATGTAGTCCGATAACAAACCCACCATACAAACTGCCCTAAGCACAATAACCTTCCCTACCACCACTACCACCACCACCAAGAACTATCCCTCCAAACCTCCCTCGTAGCCCCCTTCAAATCATCCGTACTGATAACATCAACACCCTCATGCACAAGCACATCCCAAACATGATTCCGCAATCCAATGGGCCAACCCGGATTGCCCCAATACCGCACTTTCAATCCCAATTCATGAGCAGCATGGATTTGACTCCGCAGTGTCTGGAGCTGGCTCTCTGATAATCTACCGAGTTGGAGAGGACCGATTGCTTTGCTGAAGTCAGCGGAGGCGTAGTAGCTGTTGTACGGGTTGAAGGGAGAATTTGTAAGTTGTTCATGTGGTTTTCTGGGCTTGTGTTGGTCTTGGTGTGTAATTGTAGTCTGGTCTGCCGTTCCATCCACTGGCAATTGTGTGAGGTTATCGAGTGGTGCATCGAAGAAGATATCGCGGTAAGTCTGATTCGACACAACATTCGCAAAAGAGACATCACCGCTGACGACGACTGTCACAGGTCGCATGACAGTATAACCTGCTGTCCCATTGAAGTGAGTCAAATATCCCTTCTCCCGAAGAGGCGCAAGTGCTTCAGAAAGAAGCGACCAGAGTGCATCACCATCCGATTTGAAATCAATCAGTAAGACGAGCGTTTGCGACAGATTATTCGCGAATACACCCACAATCTCATCCTCAAAACCAATCCCCCTCCCGGGCTTCTGATTATGCAAATCAAGCATCTCCCCCAAAGGCCCCAAATAAAGATTGTCCAACAACCCCGCCAACACCGTGTATCTCGAATGCCCAACAAGAATCTGATCACGCCATGGCCAAACATCAGCCTCAACACTGATACACCCAGCCGAGAGTGCCGAGTGGAGGGGTACATGGCGCCAGTAGTCATTGTGACTGTGGCAGCGGATTGGGGTGACGCCATGTGTAGACCATGCTGAGTAGGGTGATTGTTTGGGAGGGTAGATAATTAGTTCTAGGTCTTGGAAGTGGGATCTTAGCGTTTTTGTGGATAAGGCGAAGAGGTTGAGGATGCCGCTGTTGTATATGTAAGTGATAAGTTTTGTGTGGTGTGTGTTGTATGGTAGGCATGTTTTGAGGAGGGAGAGGAACAAACAAGACCACAATCAAACCCCACAGCGGCCGCTGAACACCCCTACAAAAGATCGCCCTAGCAGAACGGGGATGCGCAACGCAAAGTGGATGCGAGCATATCCAAAACGAAGACATCTTGAATCGGGTCGATCTCATGTTCGTGGAGTGGTTTGGTTTGCGATGATTGAAAGTGACTGAAATGGACGTTAGGGTTGGATTGACAATCACGCCAAGAAGACCCAGGAAGCTTGGCTGCGGGTGGGAAGCTTAGGACTACCTTATATGGGCATGCTCTGCGCACATGCTTTACATGTACGTATTTGTCTCAGGGTGGAACCTTGGAACGCGTCTGCCTAGTTGGACGAGGGGTTGTACAGGGTGCGCGTCTAAGTCTTGTTTTATTTCTATGTACTCGGGACTTCTGGTTGAAGCGGAGTGAGGCTCTTTGCTTGTAATACTCGATACCCGATATCCATACTCATACTTACTCTTATAATGGTACACTCACGTTTAGTCTTCCTCGTCGGCTTCTTCTGCAGCACGTCTGCGGGGTGCTTCCTTGCCAGCGAAGCTGGCCAGCATGCCCAAGTCGTAGACTACCTTCAAGCATCCGGCGATCATGAAGGAGACGCCAAAGAGACCGTTGCGTGCCAGGATACCTGTCAGTAGAGGTCCCATGCTTTGACTGGTTGTCTTGACTACGTTGACGGCTCCCATTATGGCTGTACGCTTGTCTGCTGGTAGGGCTGCCGCGAGGAATGCGGAGCGGGGTGCTACGTCCATGCTCTGGGAACTGGCTCGTAGGATGAGGAAGGTCAGGGCCAAGGGGAGACTGGATGGGACGGAGATCAAGGCCAAGCAGACGGCCGATGGGAGGTGAGTGAAAACCATAGTCTGTGATAATTAGCAGTTGATCTGTGGGACTGGGGTATGGATACCCACCTTGACATTGCCAATGCGCTTGGCGAGAGATGATGCGACCAGCATGGAGGCTGCGGAGATGGTGTTCGTGGTGAAGAAGATCGTTCCGAGTTCACCCTCGGGAAGAGAGAACTTGCGCTTGAAGAAGTATGTCATCCAGGACCTGTGATTGTCAGCTTGTGTCAATTCATCGCAATTGAAATACCCACAGGGAAGCCAGTCCAGAGGCAAACGCGTCCAAGCCGAACAAGATGAACAGTCGAATAATCAGCGACCACAAATCCTTGTCGGTAGACGCAAACAGGCCCTTCTTCTTCGATGCCTCCTCTTCCTGCTCCGAGCTTGGATCCAGCAGTGCGCGGGTTTCATCACTCTCCGGAGCTTCCTCCTTCTGAACCTCGACCTTGCCACTCAAACCCAGGGTCAGAATCAGCTTGAAGATACCAACACCGGCGTAGACGAAGAAAATAATGCGACAAGCAGGAATGAACTCCCACCCATGAATCGTCTCCAATGAATTAATAATCCAGCCACAGACCAGCATACCCAGTGCCGAACCCGCAGTTCCAATAAGCGAATACCAAGCGAAGACATCACTCAGCAATTCATGAGGCGTAAGGTGCGCCAAAGTCGACTCCTCCACGGCGCGGAAAGGACCAATCTCATTCCCACTGCCGAGAAGTTAGCAGCGCACCCCTTCATAGAAGGAAATCAACTCCTCTCTTAAACACTCACCTCGGACTGATGACACCAAAAACGGCCGCAGCCAAAAGCGCCCAGTAATTTCCAAAGAATCCAAAAACAAGTCCACTACCAGCCATCAACGCCGATCCAAGCGATAACACCGCCTTGCGACCCATCGCGTCAGCGAACAGCGTCAGGAAAAAACTAATCACCACATCGCCGACCAGCGTCAATGTCATAAATAATCCAATGCGATCATCCGAGTGTCCAATGGCGGATAAGTAAGATGCGAGAATGAGAGTTGAGCCACCGTACGCGAAGAGTCGGACGAAGCGCTGGGCGCAGAGGAGCTTGACGTCCAATGTGGAGTGCCACATTGTAACGAGGCCAAGCTCGTTTAGAGCGTTGGTTAGGTACACCATTTTGGGGGGGGGGGGGGGGGGGTGAGGTGAGAAGGTGAAGAAGAAGAGAAGCAAAAGAGAAGGCGGGCGGAAGGTCAAAGTGAAGGAATTAACTCCGAGAAAAAGCTCGGGGTTCCTGCCGCACTCGGGGTTATAATGTAAGCTTTTTTTGGCTGCCTAGAGATGAGAGGAGTCTGTAAGGCTGATGGGGGTCTTTTCTTTGTTTCTTGATTGGTTCGCCGATTTGATTTTGACGTGTGAACATATTTGCTCGGGGGTCAACAGGGCTTCGTGCCGATCTTTACTCTTATACTCTACTTGGTATAGTTGCAAGGAAACTTCATTAAATGATTATATACAAAGACATATCTCCATTCTTCCCATCCCCTTCTAGTTTTCCGTCTTAACGGGCCACTTCACCCGTCGCTCAGCACGAACATACAAATTCGTCGGCCGAATCAACTGGAACATAGGATCATACTCGACAGCGCCATCATTCTCCCGGGTAAAGCGATACCGATACAGCAACTTCGGCAAAAATACCTTAACCTCCTGTAGCGCAAAGCTGAAACCAATACACATCCGAGGACCCGCAGCAAAAGGCACATAAGCACTCTTGTGTCTATTCTTGACATCATCCGTGTCCCAACGATCGGGATCGAAGCGGGCAGGGTTATTCCACACAGCTGGGTTGTTGTGGATGTGGTGCAGGGCCGGGATGACGATTGAGTCCTGGGGCAGCTTGTAGCCGCCAGGCAGGATCATGTCAACGCGTGCTGTGCGCGCCGGTTGGTAGGAGGGGTTGTGGCGGCGTTGGGTTTCTTTGATGAATTTGTCGAGGAAGGTCAGGCGGTCTGTTAGGTCGGCTGTCATGGGTGTGTTTTCGTCGATGTCATTGTCGATTAGTTCTTGGAGCAGGCGTTCTTGCATTCCTTCGTAGTTGACGAGGGAGTAGAGGAGCCAGGAGAGAAGGGAGCTGGTTGTTGTGAAGCCTGCACCGGTTGCTACGACTAGGGCTTCCATTAGGCTGGTTTTGGGAAGTTTTTCGCCTTTGTTGTCTGTTGCGCGGATGATGTAGTCTGTATATGTCAGTACTTGCTCTTCTCTCAATGGTGGCTGTTACTTACCAATCATGTTATCCGCCTTCAATGCAGCATCCTGCAATGGCAGATCCTCAACACCACCTCGAGAGGCATTGGCAATAGACTCGTTGACCATCTCGATGATACGTCCACGCGCATCCCTCAACCGCTTAGGATCTCCGAACGGCATCTTGGCATACCAATCGCCACGGGCGGTAACCTTCTTGTTAAGTTCCAGCGACTCAGCAATACGGTAGACAAGCTCATGAGGCGGCGCATCAATAGCAGAGAAATGCTTAAAGTCCATGCCCAGCACCAACTTACCGACGGCCTGCGAACCAAGCTTAAGCATGTATTGGTAGACATTCCAAGCCTCACCACGCTCATCAAGCTCGTCAAACACACTAAACGCATCCTCGACAGTGTCCTGCATGGTAGGTGCATAGTGTCGCACAGCCTTTGGTCCCAATGCCGGAGGCAAGAACTTGTGTGCTGCACGCCATTCCGGTGTATCGGTGTCACCGAGGAAGACACCCGCTTGTTGGTTCTTGATTGGGTGGAGGGGATGGCCTTCTTGGATCTTCTTGGTGAAGAAGTCTGACTCGGCGAAGACGATTGAGGAGAGTTCTGGGTCATTTGTTTGGTAGACTGTTCGGCCCATGTTTGTTGTGCGGATTATCGGGCCGTATTGGTCAAAGAGGCGTTGGTGGTTTCCCAAGTGGTCTGGGTAAATTTCGAAGAAGTTGCCTACGAAGGGAAGGCCTTTTGGTCCTGGGATTTCACGGACAGCTTTGCCGTCTATTGAGATTGCGATTGGGCTTTCGCTCGCCAGAATCTCTGTGGGAGTGTTGAGGTTTGCATCTTCGGTTTGGAAGCCGATGCCTGGGCTTGTTAGAATTGTTGGATGGAAGAGGGTGGTGTGTTATTTACCGTTTGGCTCGACAATTGCAAATTGGCCGGCGATCAAGAGTTGAAGGCCTTCGATGTCAATGTTTGACTCGATATCAATGCCTCGGGCTGAGTTGATGGCCTCGCCCAGCAAGTAAAATTGATTCGCAGGCATTGTATAGATGGGAATAGTGTGAGTGCAAATTTGTGATCATCCAGGGCCCGCTAATATTTATAGGAATCATGCAACTTGGAAAATATCAATTGAAATTGCATAACTCCACCAGCTCCAATATACCAAATCGCATTCGTAATTCATAATCTGTTGTCAAGTATGTAGTTAGGGGGCATATCTCCAAACAGCCTCGGTACTTTCGATGTTTTAGACTTGGGACCCACAACCAACCCCTTTATTGGCCAAATGTTCGATATCGGGATCCCGTCTCTTGTTTTCGCGTCGGAGATCTTTCGAGTTTGTGCAAAGGCCGACGAAAATATGGTTTCGGGCTCGCCGTGGCTTCGGCACCAAGATGCCGTTGAACGGCTTGGCCCCACTGAGTTGTTTCTTAACAGGGACCGAGGTTGATATCTCACTGCATTTTATGCACAGTGGATGCTACTTATTTCCTGGGTTTGATTTGCTTAAAAGGTCTTTGTCCCTTTTTGTTTTTGTGTCATATCTCTCAAAATGTCTGCCCCAGAAACTAAAGAGCTCAAGGCTGAATGGAAGGCCGATGTGGTGCTTCCAGAGTATACAATGAAAGATGTTGCTGCGCATAACACAAAAGGTGATACCTGGATGGTTATCCACGGACAAGGTACTTTTGTTTGACACATCTTCAATACACATACTAACATATTGCAGTCTTCGATCTCACTGAATACCTCCAAGATCACCCCGGAGGCGCAGAGGTTCTTGTCGAGGTAGCCGGTACAGATGCCACCGCCGCCTATGAAGATGTTGGTCACTCTGAAGATGCCCGCGAGATCATGCAGCCCTTCCTGGTGGGCACATTAAAAGATGCCCAACAGTACGTGCGACCAAAGGCAGTGCGCGTGGTCTCGCAAAAGACAGAAGAGGCCACCACCTCTTCATCAAGGGCCATCCCAGCCATGGCTGCTCTGGGTGGTCTGATCCCAATCTTCTACATCCTCAACCGCACCAGCTATCTCAGCAACGGTCTGGGTGCCATCTCCCAACTCATCCCTCATCAACTCAAGAGCCTCCGCCTTCCTCACGGCGGCTTCGTCAATGGCTTCCTAGCGGCCAGCGCTATCTCCACGGTAGTAGGAGTTTTCGTCGCCAAACAAGCCAACCGTTTCACCAAAATCGACTCAGGTTTCATGCGCTACCCACCACACATGAAAGCCAAAAAAGTAATGCGCATCGATCCCCATCTCACCCGGGGCGTCCTCGAACCACAGACCTACCAACGCCTCCCGCTAGTCGAGAAGACCGAACTAGCAACCAACGTCTACCGCTTCGTCTTTGCCCTGCCAACAAAGACAAGTGTGCTAGGCCTCCCAATTGGTCAACACGTCGCCATCCGCGCCGATATCAACGGCACAACCGTCACCCGCTCTTACACCCCAACATCCAACAACACAGACCGCGGCCGCATTGAACTAGTAATAAAGTGCTACCCAGACGGCCAACTCAGCGGTCAATACCTGGCCCACCTCCAGCTCGGCGATGAAGTCGAGTTCCGCGGCCCTAAGGGCTCAATGCGCTACACCAAGGGCCTCTGCAAGAAGATCGGCATGGTAGCCGGTGGCACTGGCATCACGCCTATGTACCAACTCATCCGGGCGATCTGTGAAAACGACACCGATACCACGGAGGTTAGTCTGATCTATGCGAACCGCAGTGAGGCGGATATCTTATTGCGCGCTGAGCTTGAGCGCTTTGCTCGTCTCTACCCGAAGAACTTTAAGCTTTGGTATTTGCTGGATTCTGCACCGGAGGGGTGGGCTTATGGATCTGGGTATGTGGATCAGGAGGTGCTCAAGTCGCGGCTTCCAGGTCCCGCGGAGGATACGAAAATCATGCTGTGTGGTCCTCCTGGCATGGTGAATGCGACTAAGAAGAATTTGGTTTCGATGGGCTTTGCGAAGCCAGGGGTTGTCTCTAAGATGAGTGATCAGATCTTTTGTTTTTAGTTCTAGAATTTGATAGACTGTGGCCTGATGTGGTAATTGCCGAGGTTCGAATTAAGGTGCATTTAAGTTTTTGTTGGGATTTTTGATCTGGCCAATTGGACTGGATGTGAATATCAGTTACGGCCCCGTCGCCTAAACGCGTTGGGGTCCGAGCTAGAGAAAAATCTGCCGTCTCAGGGAGATTTTCCGAGTGTCTAAGACGGGTTTTCCCGAAGTTATGAATGGTGGAGCTTATCCAGACAGAGATTCAGCCGAGGTATCTTGGACGTCGAATCTCCAAATACTCGACAATATCCTGCAGGAACAATCGAAGTGAAGAAAGAAAGAAAGAGTTGTCTGCAGCTAATTATAGTGGATCCCCATGTGGCCAATCAAGCGATGCTGACCAAGCTCCCTCAAAGTCGGAAATGCTTGGCAGCAAATCTCTACACAAAGACAACTGTTGATGCAAGCCTCTTACAACCTGCAATCCTCCAAAAATAGATGAATTCTTGATTTTTGCTGTATCTTTCACGCTCATTTCACAACCCATCTGTAACTCATCGCTCAATCGCACCCATTTGAATTTTCATATCAGGTCCTTTGAAACATTTAGCCTCGACCATGTCAGGCCCCGGAATCAATGATGGCGCTGTGCCCTACTCCAGCATGGCTGGAAAGCTAGACTCCAAACTTCTCCAGGCCCTCAAGATCATGGAATTCGAGTTCATGACCCCAGTGCAACACCGTGTTCTGACCGAACTCCCTACCTGGCGCAGCGATTGCCTCGTCCAGGCCAAGACCGGTACTGGAAAGACCCTGGCCTTTCTCCTCCCTGCCCTGCACTGTCTTCTCCAAGGCCAGGCAACCCCACCAAAGGGCAAGGTTGCCATCCTGATCATCACTCCGACTCGAGAACTCGCCCAGCAAATTGCCAAGTCATGTGATCAACTAACATCGCAACTCACCACTCCTGTCAGATGTGATATTGCCGTTGGTGGAACGAACAGGGCACCTGCCTTTTCTCGTTTCATGAAGCAGACTCCTTCTGTTCTTGTGGCCACCCCTGGACGTCTGAAGGATTATCTTTCCGATGAGGACTCAGCGGAGAAGCTGTCTAACATCCAAACTCTAGTTCTGGATGAAGCTGATACCATGCTTGAGAGCGGATTCATTCATGACGTGAAGCAGATCCTCAGACTCATTCCCGCCAAGAGTACTGGCTGGCAGGGTATGTGTTTCTCGGCTACAGTCCCTCCTAAGGTTAAGGACGTGGTCAGCGTGGTCTTGAAGCCAGGCTACACCAGTCTTTCCACCATTGAAAAGAACGAAGCACCTACACACGAGAGAGTGCCCCAGTACCATGTTCTGATGCCATCCGTGTCACAAACTTTCACTACCCTTACCTCCCTTCTCAACCTTGAAATCAAGACCAGCTCCAAGATCATTGTCTTCGGTGTCACCGCCAACATGGTTGCTCTCTTCGCAGCTGTCTTCTCCCAGGGCTTGACACCTTTGAAGGTGTTCGAGATCCACTCTAGACTCAACCAGCGCGCACGCACAAGGACCACAGAAGAATTCAAGGAAGCCGAAGCCGGAATCCTCTTCGCCTCAGATGTCATTGGCCGCGGTATGGATTTCCCCAACGTCGACCTCGTCGTTCAAGTCGGTCTGCCCTCCAACGGCGAGCAATACGTTCACCGTGTCGGTCGTACCGCACGTGCCGGAAATGACGGCCGCGCCATCATCCTTCTCACCCAAGGCGAGTCTTTCTTCATGAACAACAACCGTCACCTGCCTATCAAGGCTCACCCCGCCACCGAAGCTATCAATGCCGGCGCAGACTCGTGCGTCGACACCGTCACCCAGGCTATGTACAAGATCGACGAAGAGACCAAGCAACGCGCTTACTCATCCTTCATCGGTTTCTTCGCTGGATCAGGTCTCATGCGCCAGCTCCGTCTTGACAAGCCCGGTCTCGTTCAACTCGCAAATGAAATGGCTATGAAGGCCATGGCTTGCCCCGAGCCTCCCCCGATGGACAAGAAGGTCGTTGGCAAGATGGGACTGAAGGGCGTTCCCGGCTTCAACTATGCCAGCGCCAGCGACCTGGCCGCTAAGCGCGGCGGTGGTGGTCAGCGCGGCCGCTCCCGTTCTAAGAGTAACACCCGCGAGCCCAAGATTAAGAGCCGTGATGCTTTAAGTCCTGGTGCCGGTCAGCGTGATGGCAGAGGCGGTGTTGAGAAGAGACGTGGTGGTGGCGGCGGTAGAGGCCGCGGCGGTCGTGGTGGAGGCCGTGGAGGTGGCCGGGGAAAGCCAAGAGCAGACTAAATCTTTCGAACCGAGCGTCATCCCATTTCCCCTATTATGCCCTAGAGAACTATCTACATAGACCATGCAATGCCCCCACACAAGATCAGATCATGTCAGATTAGACAAAACCAAAACGAAAGAGCCCTCAGGCTAATGAAATCCAATCCAATCATTTAAGTTCAGCTCAGTCCATGCCAATCTTGTCAGCCCATTCATAACTATAACCAGTACCATGACTCCTATCTATATCTACCAATTCCATTATCAGGCTCAATTACCCCTCACCGGTATTAAACAACCTCGCCCGGATCCCTAGGCCGACTAACAAACACAGTCGACGGCCCACTCTTACTCCTCTTAATCCTAATATGAGCCCCAGCCGCGAGATCCATGGTATACCGCTCAATCGGAGAAAACATCCCCTTCGCCTCCTCCGAATCAGGATAAAGTTTCACCTTCACCTTGACAGGCGTCCGCACATGCGGATGAAGAGTGAACTGCGGAGGAGGTGTCGATCCAGGCGCTATGCGAACTGTTTTCTTTTTCTTTGATGCTGGCGGCGGTTCTGTCGGTTCTGGTTCTGGCTTTGGCTCTGGGGCTGGTTCAGGTGCGGGCTCTGGCGAGTCTTTCAAGGTATTAGAATCTTTTCGGTGTTTTCGTCGGTGTTCTTCTGCTGCTCTGGGCGATCGTCGGTAGCAGCAATATAGTAGTAACAGGAGGAATGCGGCGCCAAGAATTGAGCCTGCTATTGCGCCTTTGAGGGGGCCTGATATGCCGCTGCCGCTTTCTTTGCTGCTGCTACTATTTCTGGAGCTATTACTGCTGGAGCTGGTATCGCTTGTATCGCTATCCGTATCGTCGGTGAATGCATAGCTTGCGGGCGGCGTAAAAGTAACTGAATTACCGCTACTGCTCACAGTAGATTCGCGAATTAGGACTTCTGTCACGCGGGGACCAGACGATCCCGGTATAAAAGCTGAAGATGTTGAATCTGGCGGGATGGTCTGGGAGAGCTGGTGTATCACAGGCGCCATCGCCCTACCTGCGGTACAGATCCAGATGACATCCTCGATGGGCTCTCGGTTTTCCGAGGAAGGAAGAAAGGGAGGGAGGAGGATTTAATTCCAGGCCAGCGTGGCAGGTACATATAAGCGGGGGTTTGGTTCAGTTTGGACTATGGGCATTGTGCTGATTAGTGCATAATGTACACCGTACATGCAAGATAATTCAATGTCGGAGTACATTTTTTGTTACTAGTTCGCGTCATTTGCCCTGCTTGCTAGGGGTCGATAGTGGATGCGTTGCATGCGGGTGGGTTAATCGTGGTCAATCACTCTGGAGGATTTTTGGGGTTTCTGAGTTGTTCATGCAGCTTATTCTGCATTTTCATGCATATTATGGTGTTTTGTCAGTTTGAAATGGGTCAATCGATTGGTACTTGGGTGCTTTGGCGCCATTGGCTTTATTCACGTATAGCTTGGGTTGCAGCAACTTCTGCCCAACGACTGGTATCATGTAGAACTTGCGGTCATCTAACCGTGATTTTCGAGGCTATGGAACTGTGGATGTAACTGGTTTTCGCAGTAATTGGATGCGGAGGGGAATTTGATAGAAACAAAGCATTCCTGTACGGAAGCAAATTGAAAAATGACAAAAAAAAAAAGAGAGAACTTGATATGCTCACGCACCGACTTGAACGATGGACCTCGGCATTACTAGTGCCGCGCTCTACCAACTGAGCTACGCGAGCTGATAGGTTATTCTTGGATCATTTGGGTACTAAGACCTTGAGGGATGGTCTAGTAGAAGAAAAACAAAATGCAAAAAAAGGTAGATATGCTCACGCACCGACTTGAACGATGGACCTCGGCATTACTAGTGCCGCGCTCTACCAACTGAGCTACGCGAGCTTATTGGTTGATGCTTTGGTTATCACCCCGATACATAACCAAACATATACCGTCCATCCTCTTACACCAAATGAATTAGTTATGTGCCACCCTATATAGGCCAAAATTGGGGGTTTCATGTGTTAAGGTGCGTGCGATCCAACGTAGTCCATAAATTACTCCAAATCGACTGTAATCACGGGGATTGTTATTTTAGTCGTGGATTCTTTGTAGATAGCTACTGTAGCGAAGATATATATAGTTTCACTGTGGATGAAGAACGTAGGGTGACTCGGGCTACAGTCTCGCAACAGGGAAGACTTCTAGTTTAGCTGTGTAATGAACCTCAGAGCAACAATTCCGCAAAAGTATATAGTTGACTTTTACAATAAGACGGGAATATCACAATATAACATACAAGAGTAAGAATTCGCCAGGTGAAAGCCGGGATGAGAACCCTGCCGGCGCAACCAACCACCGTACTGATCTGCATTTGATTGTCACCAGCGGCTGTTTACTCTGTATCTAAATCCGAACTTAGACTACAAAAATCTCGTTCACATTCAAATCTACTCAAATCTTCCGCAATGAGGGCCGGTGATCCCACCATGGCCAGATTATCGGACGACACCACCGAGCACGCAATTCTGACCTGGACCAAGTTCAAAGTCCGTGAAGACCTGGAGCTGGATACCGAATGGGCTGGGTATATTCAGCCGCTGCATTTTTCACTTTCATCCACGAGCCCTCAAGCCACCGGGGTTGACCTGGCCTAGGCTAAATGTCAAGTCGGGAGAACTCTAGTGTGTAATCAAGGGTGGTATCCGTACGAACGCCGGGACAGAGAAAATTCCCGAACGACGCGACTAAAGCCATACTCAGGACTTTGTATGGGGCGCACCGACAAAAGCAGTGAGTGACGCGCCCGTCCGAGGCCGACAAAGTCGGTAGAGATAAACAGTAGATGGATATCTTGGTCTGTAAGATGATATACGAAGCGCAGGCACGTCCAGTCGGGCCTATAATCTGCAACAGTGCGAGCATATGCCTAAGATGCAGTACGAGTAGAATTCTAAACGTACTCGAAATTCTCGGGTAGAGTAAATCGGCACTTATAACTACTGTTAAGGAAAAAGCATGAAAAGTAGAACAACACATTGATGCTTGAGTACCTAAAGAAGGAACATGTCTATCTTTCAATAGTACCTTTAAGGCCTTAAATACCAAAGAACATAGACAAAGAAAGGCACACATGGAAAAAAAATAAAACAGAGAAAATAGAGTCGTGCTGGGCGAGAAATAGGTCAAACATATCCCTCTCGTCTTTCCGCGTTAACAATGCTAGCCAGATTGGAGCCTCAATCAGATCAAGTTGGCGGAACCCCCCACAGGCTTGATCACAGGGAAGATGGCAAGGTGGCAGCAAAGATTTCGTAACAGACGTTCTGCTGCTTAGCAGCAAGCGTCGCAATGCGACAGGCTAATATGAATTTTGGTTAGAAGTACTAATTACCATCACGAGGCGAGGGTCAGGTAAAGACGAACCAAACTGCACAAGAGACGCCAATACCGCCTCCAGTGTTGCAGTAAACGCAGTACTGGTCCCTATCATAGCATTCATCACAGCTGTCATAGCTGCAGCCTCGCGCGTCGAGGCCAGCACCTCGCTGGTCCACAGCGGCGGCATGGACAACAGACGCAGCTGAGAAGACAATAGCAAGAATCTTGGAGAATCTCATACTGGGAATTGTTGTAGGAAGGTAAGTGCAAATGTGGAAAAGAGGAAGTTGGTATAGAGAGGATCTGTAGTAGAAGACGTTGGAATTTCCTTTACTTAAATACTTTCTCCTTCGTCCTGAAACTCACAAAGATGCGCATATGCCTACCAACTGTATATACCCCATGGATCACGAGAGAAAGTGACGTTAGCACTAAACCTAGCAAAGAGATAAGACATGAAGGCTGTAGAGTCATTGGTTGAGGTGAACCCAATATACAGCTCAGGCCAATCTTCTTGCTTGATGAGACATAAATCAAGACTTGTTTAGGCGTACGACACAGCCGCATTCAAGCATTCAAAACGGGGCAAATGGCGCGCGTATCAAGCTTTGTATCGGAAATGTTCTGAGATGTAGGGCCTCCAATGGAAAATGACGTACATTCAGGCCTCCAATACCAAACATTTCACATCTAGGCTTCCAACGCCAAGCAATTTGTAATTGGAGGCCTCAGAAAAATTTATTACAAAATATCTTTTCCAGATTACAGAAATTTTGAATCAACCGATGAACTGCAATAATTCCAAACCTTTATAAGTCAATGGTAGAGAGTGAAAACGTCTGCTTCTAGGCAGAAGCACCCCATTTTGGCCCGGATCTGTGCCCTCTTTTGACTAGAATATACAGAATTCTTACTTTACTGCATAATTTTTCCTAGAGAAACTCCACAAAGACTTGCTATATTGTAAGCCCAGCACATACTACTTACAAACAGGGAAGATGACACAGGGAAATTTCGATCTTGACGAGTTCTTAATTGCCCCTTATAATAATACGCGCGATTTGATAGCTATATATTGCAGCCAATTGTAGCTTATATCTCGAACTACAACCTCTGCAATTTCTTTATCTAAGCCAGGCTGTATTCCTTGATCAACTTCTCGGCGCAAGTTGCACCAGTAACATAGGCCACTGCCTGGACATGGGCATTGACCAACACCGGCACAACGCCCATATCAGCAATCCGCAAATTCTCAGTGCCCATAACTCTGAAATCAGGATCGACGACGGCATCAGTGTCGCCTTTTTTGCCCATCTTGGTTGTTCCTGTCATGTGCCAACTCGACGAGATATTCTGGCGCCAATATTCGAGCAGGTCCTCGTCCGATTCGCCCTTGGGCATGGCTAGTTCGGCCACATTGTCCTTTGTATAAGATTCATGCTTGGCAACTCGGAAAGAATCTCGCAGAGCCTCAATTGCAAGGCGGCGGTCGAATGGGTGGGCAAGGAACTTCGGATTGAAAATAAGCGGAGCATCGGGGTCCGATGATTGCAAAGTGACTTCTCCACGAGTCTGTGCATTGAACAAGAAAACCAACAGACAAGAGTAATTCAAGGCTTCGTTAGGGAAGTCCGGAATGAACCAGTGGATAGGGAAATGGGTAATAATCTCGTAGTGTGGCACGGTCTCTTGAAGGAGATATCGCTGTTCATCTTCGGGAAGGGCCTTGAATTCTGGCGTGGAAGTGAGCTGTTCAAGCTTGAACCAACCAATACCCAATTCACAAGCGAACTTCGCCCAGGGACCGGTTCCATGTTCTTCCCATTCCTTTTTTGCGGCATCCATAGCGGCCTCGGAGCCATAGAAACCCCTTCGGTCCGTACTGGTATCGGTGCGCGTGTTCACCATTGGAACGAAGCAATGGTCGCGAAGTCCTTGACCAACGGCGGGGGCATCGAGAACGACGTCGATGTTGTATTGTTTGAGTTGGTCGGCGGGACCAATTCCCGAATGCATCAAGATGCGAGGGTCATTGAGTGAGCCGGCGGATAGAATGACCTCCTTTGTAGCATAGTCTATTGACAAAACTGTATTAGCACTTTTTTTGGAGGCCGAATGGGTTGAACTCACATTTCTTTCCGTTCGTTTCAACGCCGACAGCCTTCTGTCCTTCCAGGATAAGACGCTGCACCGGCGAATTGGTAACAATAGTCAGATTATTTTTATCTTCTCCGACAACCAGATCCTGTGCTGTTGAGCGCAGACCCTTATAGGCAGAGTTAATCAACACCGACATTCCAATGGGGTTACCCGAGTTATGATCAGGGTTCAATGGGAATCCAGCCTGCTCGAAAACATCCAACAGCTCCGGCAGGTCTCTTTCCCACTCGCGTGCAAAGCCTACGTGCAGAGGGCCTTTGCTACCATGATTTTCTGACTTTGGATTGGCGTATTTCTTATCCATACCTTGCGGCGTCTCTCCGTGAAAAGTCTCAAGGTCCTTCAACCTTTTCTGGATACTTTGCCACCCATAAGCATCATCGCCAACGATGCGCGCCCACTCTTGATAATCGTCACGCGCGCCAACACTGTACACGCCAAAGTTGATGGCGCTTGATCCACCCACACACCGACCGCGGCTGTAGTCAATCTCCCGGTTGTTGCAATCTTTCTGCGGGGAAGTCTTGTAGCCCCAGTTCATAGACTGATTTTGGAAAGTGATCCATCGCTGTCCATCCACGCGAAGATTACGATCCTCCTTTTCCTCACCCGCTTCCAGAAGCAAGACCTGTGGCTTTGCGGTCGAGTTGGCAAGTGTGGCAGCGAGCGAACTGCCAGCCGGGCCACCTATCACCTATTAGCTATGAGGCACCAGGGTTGAGGTATTTGGGATAGAATCCGAGGCTTGGTCCCGAGAGATATGATCTAACCTTAGGATACCATGGTACCCCGCAAACCATCTGAAACCCTCGGGAATAGGCTGAAATCGTATCTAAAGGCTATTACTCACTTCCGACAACAATAAACTCAAAGGAGGACATATTCACAAATCGAGTGAAGTGCCAGGTGAGGAAAAGCAGAGAGGGGCACTGCAAGTCTCGCTGCCTAGGGATAAATGTATATTTAGTTGAAACTTCTCGAACCGACGGGCTACCGGAAGGAAAGCCGATTTCGGTAGGCCATTAGGAATGCTAGTTGTTAGTTGAGCCCCTGAAATGGGACCGCCCCCATCGATCAGCATTGTCCGTCAGTTCACCGAGCGGAGCAGGGTTGAGAGTTCCGGTAAAACTATCCCAATGTTTAGCCTCTGAAAATTGCCACGGTCGTGCTTGGCGGGCCGACACGAGCTCCACCTCTCCTGTTTTTGTGGACCTGGTGGAGAGACGTGCGTGAGTATTCGAAGATCTTGCTTGTTATGGATGGCGAAGCGTACCGATGACACGAGTACCGCAAATGGCTTTCCATGTATGTCTTGTCAATAAAATTGAAGTGGATCAGCTTCTGTACAAAAGTACCAGGGGGCTTATGATCTTCAAGCAAACAAGATGGAAGGATTCAGCCACGAAAATCCCTGGAAGATCCCATTGAAGCCTCTTGGAGGCTTCATTATTTTGTGACCCCTGCCTGATCCTTCACACTTACCGTCATCTGCATTCCTAGCCATCGCGCACTCGTGGACATGTCGAGCAATGTCGAGGCATGGGTGTTGCTATCTTTAGCGCTGTTCACAATCATCGTGCGTATCTTTGTACGATGGAAGCTTGTCGGACCTGCCAATTTCCAGCTCGATGACTATCTCATGCCTTTGGCGGGGGTATGTTCTACTTCTCTCTATGTGTCTTCTATGCGCTAAGACTATCTTGCACAGATTGTATTTGTATTAGAGACAGTAGCAGCGTATCTCGTTGTTGCCAAGTATCAGGGCTTGACCAACAGCTATATGACAGATGAAGAGCGGAAAGGTGTCGACCTTAGATCTAAGGAGGCGTATAATCGAGTTGCTGGATCAAAGATCCAAATCATTGGATGGTCACTATACGTCGCAATCCTATGGCTTGTCAAATTCAGCCTGTCGGTCTTTTATTCTCGATTAACGTGCGCTCCAAATGCTTCCTAGGAACATTTCAGAATAATTGAAATGCTGATAATTCTGCAGAACTGGCCTACAGAGCCTTCCGACTCGTGTCCGACTCGCCTACGTTATCCTAGCCGTGACATGGGCTGCAACACAGTTGTCTCTTTTGCTGTCATGTCAGCCTTTCCATGCGTTCTGGCAGATTAGCCCAAATCCCGGCAGTGAGTTTCCCCCAAGCCATTGGCAAGCAAAGTCTCAAACATAACTCAATATGCACAGAATTATGCCAGCCAACAAACTCCCCAGTATACGTTCTCGTCGTGGTGATACTCAACATCATCACTGACATCTACTTGCTTTCGATTCCACTGCCTCTGCTGTGGACAGTCAACATCAGTTTGAAACGCAAAGTTCCTCTTATGGCCCTCTTTTCTGGTGCTGCTTTTGTCATCACAGCGTCAATCATTCGAGCCGTTACCATTATGAGCGTAAGTTCCTTGTCAATGGTGCCCTTTGCTCCAGCAATACATTATTTCTGACAAATAACATGCAGTCGGGTCCCGATGGCGCCTCTGCCGGCTCCAAGTGGGCTTGTCGCGAGACATTTGTTTCAATCGTGGTATCTAATCTGCCCATCATTCAGCCACTTCTTCGCAAAGGCTTCAAAAAAATGGGTCTCTCTCAACTCTTCAGTTCCTCTGGAAAACCATCGGGGCAGACTTACCCACTCTCGGGCTTGAAAACTTTAACAAATCGCGGTGACAGAAACACAAAGAAGAGTAAAATGAGTACCGCGGGCCCGACACAAACGCAGGTTTCTGCGTGGGGAAGTGATGAGCATATCCTTACTGAGCCAGAGCCTACTTCAAAAGATATCACGGTAGTCTCAGAGACTGTTGTGCAAAGTGAACCATGGAGCTTGGATGAACCCGGTGGGAGCCATTCCACAACTCCACCGAAAGAATGGAGAAATCCATTGACAGACCGCCAAAGCCTAAAAAATTGAAGCTGGTTATTTAATGTGCGGTACAACTACGGTCTTATAACTATGATTAAACTCTCTAATAATCGCAAACTGATGCATGCCTCCATTTGTGATATGTCTTCTGGAATAAACTGGCCGTGAAAAAAATTGTAATTAACATGCTCAATTCCGTGACACCTAGCACTTATAGAGGCCAATTGCCAGGCAAGTCAGTATGTCTTTGACCTAGCTTCACAGACCTCATTTTGTTCTAAAGAGCTTTTTGCACTCACATCACTAGCTACTTAAAGAAAGTAGCTTTTTCTGTTGTCCGGCCTCGATCTATTAACATTTAATTTCCTAAGCCATTTATCATAAGATTATATTCTTATCATAACAAATTGAGAATGTAGTATAATTATTAAGGTTGATCTCCGCGGAAATGAAAAATAGATACAAAAAAAAAAACATACAACAGTAAGGATTCGCTAGTGGTCACCCACCTAACTACTAACTTACCGGCGTGTGGCTTAAGTACGGCTGAGCGGACGGGAAGCCCTGTTCTCCACACCCTGTGGTCGTATGTGTCAGAGAAAGCATCAAGGAGACACATATAGGAATTTAATCCAAAAGGCGTACTACAGTGTTCAGCGCTTATGCGTAACTAGTATCCACACAGGTGACTAACCTGACAGCGAGTTAACTGCTCACAGTACCTAGTATTGGACTTTCAGTAGCTTACTATCGAGATAGCGTGAATCTCGTGGACCTGATAAATAATGGCTCTCCCCTTTTCCCTTCTTACTCCATTCCTTTTACTTCATGGCATTGATTCAGTTTCGTTCCTGCTGCAGCACTTATGTCTTTCCATAATTGAATTCTGCGACAACTTCCAGATTTAACAATCGAGACAGGGTAAATTATGATCCTCCAAAATTTGTAAATCGCACAAGGAATTTCACTCGTGGTAGATTCTCAAGTGGGACCAGACCATATCCCTCTGACCCGAAAATTGTTGTCTAGAAAGAGCTCCAAGTCTCCAAGAGCGAGGAGCCTGAAACCACTAGATGGGCTGGATATCCTTAGCCGTTTTAACATTGCTCTAAATCTTTCCATTATAGCTCCAGTCAAGTATGTCCTCCAAGACTTCGGACCACCAGAGAGTCTTCTTGTTCCCCACCCAGTCGAATCTTTCTCGTTGAGACCCCAGAGGAAGTCATTCCACTCCTCAACTTCTTGAAATATGCATGGGGTCCAGATGCGCGACAACCAGATGGGTGAGAAATCCAGACTCCACCCGGACCAATTTCAATACGGTTTCTTCTTAAGAATATGTCCTGAAAATAAGCTGACTTTGGAATGTATTAGATCATTCTTTCTGTTCACACACCTTCTCTGATTCTTCTGATGATGGTTGCTCTTATGACAAGACATGAAGGAATAGATTCCCTCCCACCTTAGTAATATACGTTACCAGAAGCAGCTATCATGCTCTTCCTCAATTTGATCATAGTCCATCTGCGAGCCTTCAAAGTATAAGCCGCGTCTGTCTTTGCTCACGTTATGGTGAGTACTGCATTCAGATGATTAAATTCCAGTCGGCTTTATTCTTGACACACATAGGTGTTCAAGTCGGTCAACCACAGGTCTGATAAATAATTGAGCGACATCGGGCTTGCCGAGAATGTGCGTATTGAGGTTTTTTGGCCTGAACATAGCTTATAATAGCTCGGCAACCATGACAACTCTTCTTGATGGATGTCTACAGCTGCAGAAAGACTCGGTTTCCAGCCTTTCTTCTTTGGTTATGCTAGAAATGTTGAGTGGCTGGAGACTTGAGATTCTTTTGGCTCGGAGAGTCAGTCATCTTCGACTCCTAGCGAGACTTTGGTGAGAGAGTTGGCACTAGTTGAATACGGCTGCCATTCAGTAGTGGAAAACAGGGCTAGTAGTGAGCTAGTAATTTAAGGCTTATGCATGTAGGATATTGATGCAGAATAGTATAGAGAGTAATCGTTCCGGTTGGAAATAGCAACGAGCAAAAGAGGACAGAGCATTCCGAAGGACCAGGGTATCATATATAAAAACAAAACAAAACAAAACAGCAAGCAAAGGAGATTCGGATGCTGGTGGTAAGCTCAAGTTTCTCCCTAGCGCTGGAAAGGCCGCCCGCGACTTGTGGCCAGCGAAAGAAGTTCGATTGGAGCTGCAGTATTTGGATTCTGCTTGAATGCCTCGATGAACTCATCGCAAGCTTCCAGGAGTTTGTGTCGGTCGCACACCTCAACCTTCCGCCATTCACGGGTTGGTATCGAGATGTCTGCTCGTGAATTGAAAATCTTAAGGATTGGAGGGGAGACATCGACAAAGTCATGAAGCTGCTCATGGGAATAAAGGTACTCCAGGTTGTAGTGCTTGTGGAAGAAGGACTTCCAAATTTCTGCGTGAGCAGGATCGATCATGTCCTGGTCCCTGATGACGGTAACATCGAGTTCAATATTGCCACCGTGGACGGCAAGGTTTCGGTTGGTTCGGTCACTATCAGTAATTCCGGCCCAGAGGTCTAACTCAGCACCACGTATGAGAAGATTTTGATGAGATTGAAGCTTTGTTGCTTTTTTGAGCTGCAGAATTTCGTTCTTGAGGGACTGTTCTGCTTCCCCGAGCTGCAGCAGTTCGTTCTTGAGGGACTTGTCTGCTTCCCCGAGCTGCAGCATTTCGTTGTTGAGGAGCTTGTTTGCTTCCCCGAGCTGCAGTAGTTCGTTCTTGAGGGACTGTTCTGCTTCCCCGAGCTGCAGCAGTTCGTTCTTGAGGGACTTGTCTGCTTCCCCGAGCTGCAGCAGTTCGTTCTTGAGGGACTTGTCTGCTTTCTTGAGCTGCTGCATATCTTTCTTGAGGCTAGTTAAGTCCCCCAGTTGACGAATCATAGTCAAGCCATCTTCGTTACCGATGTAGTGTTGATCCTCATCAATACGGACAGGAATTGGCTCAAAGAGCTGGTGCGCCATCGTATTAAGGTTGCTTCTGGCAACGTGTTTCGCGATAACTCCGGTCAAATGCTGCTTAGCGTTAGCTAGGCACAGTTTGTGGATGGAAGTATCCAAACTTACAGCCGGTAGTGTGTTAGGTCGTGCTGCGGCTGGATTCGGTGAAGTGGTCTGTATTGACTGCGCCAAGATTGACTTGTCCACACATGGGATCGGCACGGTGGCGGGTCGCTCTATTGCAGGACGAAGGGGAGCGATGGACCGCGCTAGCTTTATCCGAGGCAATTTGAGTGCTCCCATCTGATTGCTGTCAGTTGATTGGCCCTCATAGTAAGGAATGCGAGTACTTACCGTCAGTGTGGTGGAGAATGTGTAACTAAATGTAGCAACCACTCGGAGAATTGATGCAGGAATGATGGGAGTGGGCAAGAAGTATCCACAGAGACGGCGGCAACTCCCGCCACAAATGTCACGTGATACACAAGCCCACTTCCTGTGATCCCGGTGGCTTGGCAGGGGTGTTGGCCAGACTTTCTGATGCCTGGTTGCTAAGGCATATTTTTGGGCAAGTGATATAGACCTACTTGGCAAGCCTGGCATGCAGTTATGTAAATAAGATTTTTTTAACGTTAAATAAGTTAACTGCTGATAGCGGCCACGTAATAAAAGCCATGCGATCCACACAGTATCTCATTTCAGCAAAGTCATAGAGACTCAAGGCTGGATACCAGTCTCTAGAAATACGTTTGGTAGCGAGCCAAAACGTCATAATTCTGGCAGTCCCGAGGATACGAAGCGAGAATTGATGTCATTTATACTAGACTTGCACCTTCAATCTTTTTTACGCCTTTGCCATAAAGAAATGCGATTTTGAAAACGATCTGCCGTGTGATTTGAGCTTAATCATACAGTCCACGGTAAGAAATAGCTAAGGTTTGCGATCAGGCTGTTGGTATGAGATATTCCCCTCTCAATGATTTTGATATGCTGCTTCAGGACATCTGCAACTCCCTCTCAAACGCACATAAGTCAGGGTCATTTTCGCTGTCCGAAGACTCATGTCCATCACCTTCGGCAAAGGGTGATGCCGGACGTACTGCGGAAACTTCAGCATCCTCTGGGTTCTCAGTCTCGTCATTTCCTTCCATGTCACGCAGAAGCCCTATGACCATACTATCATCGAAGCCCGCGGTAGGTGCAGGTGGAACTTGTTGCTCGGATCGAACCACACCTCCAGTCGTGGGTCCTGGAGCAGGCAAATTTTGCACAAACTCCTCGAGGATGGCACCAGCAGTGATAACCTTGGAGCTGTCGCTGGAAATAGACATCATGTTGAATGGATCACTGAAATCCAAACGCTGATCTACACATTGCATCCTCATGCTCAGTGTGAGTTTGAAAATCAACGGACAAGTACATCTGAAATGACTGACCTCCACTCTAGGCTAATGTACATGGCATGGTTCCCTTTATTTGGAATTGCAGAATCCGTCATAGGGAAAAGGGTCTTGTTTTTACTTTAAGGTATCAAGAGACCTGCATGGGACTTGCAGACTGGAGACTCTTCATTATCAATGGAGCGGTAGAATTTCTGGAAGGAGCGACTGCCGTGAATAAGTAGTGCAGATGAACTGATGCAACGGAATCGGGACGGCGCCCCATATCTGGTGGTACTTGTGAACAATACAGCGCAACAAAGCCAGGAGAAATATTCAACGCACTTAGCTCAGCTTAGAGAGACATGTGAATACCCCCCTGTGAAAAAGGATTGTGTCTGGGTCCAGCATCGGCCGGATTGACAGTTAATCCAATTTGAGACAGCCAAGGTTACCTCATTTATTAGCTGCAGTTTAATGAAACAGCAAAACCACCTGTATTTCTTACAACAATTCGCGCTATGAATGCGAATCAGTTATGGTACAATTCTTCTTACTAGCAACTCTTTTTGTGCAGCTTATCTTCCTGCGTATCCACCCCATGACCCTCTCTCTCGTGAGATTAGTATGATCATCAGTGCTCACCGAGAATCCAGTGTAGGGGTTATCAGTCAATCTGATTGATTTCAAATACTTAAACGTGGAAAATAAAAAGCAGCCATATGTTTGCCTTGTATAGTGTACATCCTACCTCAATTCGGGTCAGTTAGCCCTCATGAAAACTGCAACGCGCTACCTCACGTATAGACGGTATTTCTTGCTTTTTAATAGCTTGAATAGCTAACAAGATCATACCATCTTGGTCCGTGCGTTTTGAGAGGATTGAGTTCGGATTGGTGGCATAGTGGGTGGTTGAAGAAGGAAGGTCTAATCAATTGACGCGTTTTCGCGACGCTGATCCACTCTGTTATGTGATACACTCGGTAGTCAAAAACGTTGTTTAGTATCTTCAAATGGTTTGAAAGAATAGTGGGTCACTCAAGGAGTCCGTGGTATTGAAAGGTTTGGACATGGGGATTCAAAGCTTATTGTATTCTGTCAAAGGCGTGAACTCAGGCTTGAGTGAGAAGAAAGGCAATTTCAGACTTGCGGAATGGCAACCAGATATCTTTGACTATCTCTATGTTAGAGGATATGGGAGACGCAAAAACGCAGAGTGTGATGCGCAGATAGACGAATCTTTTCATGGCTCAGATCTGTCTAATTTGACAGAGATTAGAGGCATTGATGAATGGATTCCCAATTCTCCGCATAAAATCTCTCAGTATAAACTGCTTGGCATGATATTCGTAGAGCGTGGAAGAGATTACCAATGAGATTGTATGGCTTGCAAAAAGCTTTGACACTATTACGTGAAATTAAGTACCCCAGGCTTTTATTATTCTTATATTAATTGTGAACTTTGAATGAAGTCACAAACACCCAATAGATTGCCGTCAAATAACCTACTACCTTTTCAAACGCCGAAAAGAACAGTAGCCGAGATTGCAACCAAAGTCAAAGAAGCCACAGAACATGGCGCCCTCACATGTTACAAGCATATGCAAAAAAGGTAAATTGGTCATATCTCGTTCATGAAATCCAGCATAATCTTTTGTGGTGTGCACCTGGTCATCGGTCAAAGTTGACTCGGAAGCGCGACGGCTGTCGTCATCGGAGTGGCAAACGTCATGTGGGTGTCATTTTCAGAGGCGCCAGGAACAAGCGGGTGTGGCAATAACATCAACGAATCAACAGTTGAATAAGTCTATATTGATTCGCTTTATATATGTGGTGGCAATAAATATTTGTTTGCGTGCTGTTCTTCTGCCAAGCCGCACTTCTTGGATATGAACTCTATTCGCATAACGAACACAATTCAACCTATTTTGACTGACTTGCGTAATCAGAAAAGCTCTATCGGAAATCAATTGAATTGAAAATTCCACCTAATAAATTTGACCAGGATGAACTCATTGAGGGGATTTGACTGTCAGCATTCCTGGCATGTGGGGGCCCAGACATATCGACTTGTCTAGACAACACGCTCGACTCCATATTGAACCCACAAGCTACACTAGGCGAACGGGAAGACGCTTGTTCATTGTGCAGCATATAACTTTATTTCCCTGGTCAATGGTCTCGAACAAAGAAACTCCGATATTTTGACCGAGCTTTGCTGAGCCTTTGAGACAACGACTACAGTGTAACATTAGTCGAGTACCCACAGTCACGAGCTTTTCACCATAAATCCTTTGATTGTCTGGCTCAAGCCCGCTCAAATGTCCTTCTCGCCGAGTCGGCAGTTCTTGATCCCATGTTTGAACCCTCAGTGGGACTTTGCGGAGTCAGGCAAGATAATTATCAAGGCCCACCCAGAAAGGTGGAAAGCATAACCGTGAGACATTGGCAGTGGGGTTCGTAGAAGGATTGATTCTTGGCGAGGAAGGGTCCGCATGTGAAGCAGAATTTTCGATTACCCAGTCCTGAGAGAAAAGAGATGAACACGTATGCACTGTATTTCAGCCTAAGCAGCGGCGTACAATAAACATATGAGTGTGGTTGCGACGCCTTTGAGATGTCTCCAACGTTGTGTGGCTTTTTCCCTGGGGCTGCGTCACGGACCCATTCCCCCTGTAAAAGAAACTGAGCGAAACCATGGTTGGCTGTCACTAGAGTTCAAGACAACAAAGTTCGATTGGTTCGTTTGCAGCGTTGCCCTGCCAAGACTACAAATTGTATTGTGATTGGTTTATAGTTTTGAATGGTCAGCCAATCGCCTTGCTTTTCTCCTGGACCACAACACCATCGTCCGTGGCACTTAAGCTGCGAATCACAAAATTCAACTCATCTCAGGGTCAGGGGCAGAAATTCTATTTCAGTAAACAATCAATAGGTACAGAATCACTGTATATTGTCCTTGAAAAAAGGGTATACTTCTATATCTTCCGGTACGCACGTCAAGAGACATGCATCGGTCACACTCAAAATCCTTCCAGATCTTAGTTTCCAGCAGTTCCGGCTAGAATCCCTTAGTCCCGGGCCAAGACAATTTGGTCATCTCGGCCCCATTCAAGACCCCATTAAAGGCCCACAATGGGCTCTTTCTGTCCATTTAGTCCGGCGATCCAGTTCTCAAACTTTGATTGTCGCTTCCAGACTGGCACAGTTCTTCTAACCCCATCGGATGCTCCATCTTTGAGTCGCATTGGCGCCCTGACTTGAATGGATTACTACTTCTAGTTACTCCGTGGGACATTACTTGTACTGGTACTTCCTGGATTACAACGTGAGTCGCGTCCAGTTCATTGATATGGAGAGCGAGAGCCTCCCCGTGCCGAAATCGTAGATGCGCCGGCCATCCTCCGGAAAACCATGCGGCCCCTGACCCATCCACTGCCAAATTTGGACAGGACCATATACATTGGCCCACTGTCTGACAGACAAAGGAACCGCCAATGACGAATGTCCCGAACACCGTATCATTCTAGATTGATTATGGCTTGACACGTCGCACACAGGCCCAATCATACTTATCCACAATTCTAATGTCCAAAATGTGACCCATGGCCCGGAGCATCCGCGTGTCCACCTTGAATGATCTCTGTTACACCCAAGCCCTAACCCACCGCGCCCCAGAGAGAGATGGTCTCGGCTTTTTTTCAATCCCACGGGCATACGACGCCTTTCCTCCTCTGAGTTACCTGAAGTACTTGCGCCCCGCTGTCCACCATGGAGATGAGGGTCAGGTACCAGGCACCTTTGGTTTCATCCTTTTGGTTCTGAAATAGGCCTCGACTTTGGAGGCGAGTGGCGGGGCTGCAGATTTTGTCTCGACTCTCAAAGGTATTTATACCTGGCCATGTCTGGCACATCTACTCTCTTCTTCTTCTATCCAAACCACCACATTCTTTTTAAGGAACCACGACTTCTGTCATTCTTTACCTAAGACACAGACACTCATTCGAATATCTTGACTGATATATCTCTCCCCTTCGTGTCCAACTATCCAACAACTCGAAGTTCCATCTTCCCACGCACACAATGCAATTCTCCACGTCTTTCATGCTCTTCGCAGCCTTGGCCACAGGCACCCTTGCCCGCCCCACCACTTTCGAGCGCCGCCAGGCAAGCCAAACCTCTGGCGGCGATTGGACTGCCACCCCCTCCAGCGGCAGCTACTCGACCGCCGGCTTCGGTAGCTCAACCGTCTCCTCCGGCAGCGGCGTGACCTACGCAGGCAACGTCGGCAACCCCTACGGCAGCAACATCATCGAAGTGTCCTCCTCCGACGCCAGCCAGTACAAGTACGTGGCTCAATTCACGGGCTCCAGCACTGACGACTGGACCGTCGCCATCTTCAACAAGTACGGCCCCGACGGAAAGATGGACGGCTGGTACGGCAACGCCTGCAACACCTTTACCCTCGCCGCCGGCGAGACCAAGTATATTGCCTTCGATGACGACTCGCAGGGTGGCTGGGCTGCCGCCTCTGGTTCCACTATCCCCACTGACTCCGCTGGTGGCTATGCCTCCACCTGGGGTGAGTTCGACTTTGGCTCTACCACCAACAACGACTGGTCTGGATTTGATGTTTCCGCTATTGCCGCCCAGAACGCTGGTCTCACTGTTGATGGTATGAAGATCTGTGATGCTCTCGGTGGCACTTGTTCTTCTATCTCTCCCAATGCCGCTGTCGTTGACAATGCTTATACTTCTGCCGAGACTGATATCGGTGGTATTGGTGGTAACATCTCTGGCGGCGCTGTTCGTTTGGCTGTCACTATTGACTACAGCGGCTAAATCTAAAAGCACTCTGTTTTCTTTGATTTACATTTGACATGATGTTGAAGATAGACTTGTGCTTTTTTGTTTCTTCTTCCTTGGCCATTCTGTTGTACGGGATGGTCTCCAGCTGGAATGGTTTCGCTTCTCTGTCAATATAGAGACTTAGGCTGGTCCTCTTTTTATGGATTTCAATATACCACATTCGGTTTCAATTATTTCCAATGGTAAAAAGCAAATCATTGTAAGTTTGTTCAAATTGCCTTCTACTCTGAATAGGGCGTCGTGGACTCTTCAAACGTGGCGGACATGACCACATAATTGCATACGCAACCCCCCGCTATGTCGCCGCACCGCCACAAGCCATCAACCACAACTACGGTAGCACGTTTCACATTTTGCGATTATAATAAGAAAAAAGCCAGAGGAGCTAAAATTAAATATGGTTGCATCCCGAGATCCCTTCGTAACGTAGTGATATATCGACAAATTCATTATTGACTTCGTATCCGCTGATCAAAACAACACAATTTACCCAAGTAGCCCTAACAGCTTACTTACGGGGGCTAACGAGACCGTAGAACTCAAGCGGCTTAATACTGAAAGCGCCGTTGGACTCAAGCTTGTAGTTAGGGTCCGCCAACTCGAACTTGGTATCCTTGAGAATGCTAGCCAGAGTGAAGAACGACCAGCGCCAAGCCCAGAGCTTACCAATGCACTCACGCTTGCCATTACCGAAGCCCTTCTTCGCGGCAGCAGGGAGCTGATCCCACTTCTCGCCGTAGACACGCTCGGGCTTGAAAGCCTCGGGGTCTTCGAAGACGGCTGGGTCGCGGTTCACTTGGCTGAGGACGGCGATCATGGGCTGGTTGTGAGCGATCTGGTACTCGCCACCGGCGAGCAAGATGGGGCTCTTGTCGTCCGAGGGGATGGGCTCAATGTTGAAGCCGGGGGCGGGGGCGGAGAGTCGGATCGACTCGCGGAGGATGGCCTCGACATAGTTCAGGCTTTTGAGGTGCTCGAGATCGATCTTGCCGTCGCCGACGACGCGGTCGATCTCCTCCTGTGCCTTGGTGATCTCGGCTGGGTTTTTCATGAGATAGTACAGAGCGTAGGAGACGAGGTTGGGGGCTGTGGCGGCACCGATGAAGCAGGAAATGATCTCATCGATCACTTGTGACTCGGTGAGCTTCTCGCCGCTCTCGGGGTCGCTGCCGTTGAGCATGGCGTCGAGGATGTCCTTCCGGGCAGTCTCCGGGTTTTCTCTCCGGATCTTGATCACCTCGGCTGAGAAGTCGCGCATGGTTTTGGTGTCCTTCTCGAAGCGGCGCTGGTACAGCCAGTTCAGCAGCTTAGGGCGGGTGGGGCGCTTCATCGCCTCCATGGTGGCGCCGTCCATGGCGTTGAGCATGGGTGGTTCTTCACCCTCGAGCACATGCACGCGCTGATTGAAGAAACACTTCTTGCAGGATGCGAGCAGTAGACGGTCGAGGTCTTTTGTGAGCAGAGTGCGCTTCTTGGTGCCTGAGCTCCATTTCTTTGTGAGATCTGGGATGACCTCGGCCATGTCGCCGAAAAGGTTGTCGGTCCCGGATTGGGTGAGGTGAGGCATCATAATGCGATGTGCAATTCCCCAGCTTTTTTCGCTGTCGTAGGCTGTGAACAGACTGTCGTGCACGGCATATCGGATCTCCACAACTGGGCCTGTCACACACTTGCGGAACCGGGTTTGGTCGCAGATCTCCTCGAGCAGTGCGACACTACCGATGAAGACAATCTCATGTCCCAGGGCATTGATTTTGAAGATAGAGCCTAGGTAAAAGTCAGCTGCTGCGACTCCGAAACCTTTCTTCATAAAGCTTACCAAATTGCTTGGCCAAGCTGTTCAGCGAGTTCCATGTCTCGTTGGGGTTGACATCAAAAACATTACCAAGGAGCGGAACTCCACGGGGTCCAGGAATCTCAGTAGGCATATCGCTGGAAATAATGGAGGGGATATCACTATAATACACAAACACTAATCAAGAGGGTGAAGATTGGAGAGAAAATAGAAAAGAAAGCTCACCCGCGCAGAGCGGGGGAACAGACTTGGAAAAAAAGCCTTCAGCTTCGGATCTTCATCTCTGCATCTCCGATCGACAGATCAAGTTCGACCCAGTCCAGTGGAGGAAGGCATCTAGCGCTCGGACACTCCATAGGTTCATAGGTTCGAGCTGAAGAGATCGGCGCGATTGCAATGTAATAGCGCAGATTGGCGGGCGCTGATCGCACCAGGATAGGCAATCCATCAGACTATCTGGAGCCCGTCTGCAGCCATCTGGAGTAGGCTAAGCGCACTACGGGCTGTAGTGCAACCACCGAGGGCAATAGGGTTCATCACAATGGTCAGCCGGGAAGCTCCTGCGGATTTTGGTCCTGCACCCAGCTGTACTCCCTGGATTCGTCTCCACGCATCTTGACCGCTTGATCGGCTCGGCTTGACTGGCTGCTTTTGTTTTCTCGTGTTTGATATGATTGGAGCTGGCTGCACATCATAGATCATATTTCATCGTCAGCATGAAAAACATTGACTGTGGGTGGCTGCCGTCGGGTGGGGCAAGGGTGAAATTGACATCATCAAGACCAGCCTCCCCTTCAAGGGCTAAGGATTTGCAATGAAAACCCTCATGATTACATCGTGCATTCCAGTAGCATCAAAGGTAAAATCAAGACCAGTCCCCTCTCGTGACAAGAACCATAGTGCTGACCCTTGGTTTCACGCGGGTGCGCACCTGCAAAAAAGTGGGGCATCGTCTCATGAACCACACGTGATCGCTCCTCCACCTCGATCTTGACAGCGAATCCGATGAGAATGAACAAGGGCTAAGTTGGTCATAGCTTTATTAAACTTATGAGGATACTTGATCAGGTGGGATTTTGTAGCGCGATCCCTCTGAAGTTAGGCCGAATCAGATTGCTTATCGCGTAGCACTGGATCGTGTAAGCATTTCGGTTGATCATTAGCAAATGATATATTCCTGGTGCCAGTTAAGAGCGTTATTCATACAGAATGATCTCATCGCTTTTGACCAGGAAGGGGCAAGAGGGAGACCTCTCGAATCTACGCACCCCAAGCCAAAAGTCACCAATCATATTAGCCAGCCATAGCCAGTCTTTGTTATTTTATTCACCAAGGCTTGTACAATGACAAGCCAGGGGAGCACCCTGCCATTGATCCTAGGCAATCGAAGGAGACAACGTTGAAGTCAGTACTGAACCAGGAGAAAGATCTTCAGCCAAGATTTCCAGAACAGCTTCTCGTCTTTTCCCAATATTTTTACAGTAGCCGCCACGGTATTGTTCGGCCTGCACCGTATCATCTCAGCCTAGATGCTTCAGAGACTTGCCAGATTGGGGATTTTACTCAATGGCTTAAAGGCAGTTTCAATATTTGTATTACATTGTATGTCAGCAAACAAGGCCACGTAAAGAGCCTACAAAAGCGAAGTATGATTAGGTCCAGCACCCTATAAGCAGCTGAATTCAAGTTTCCCGGGGAGCTCGGTTAATTTGGTCCCTCAAAAGGTCACTCAAGTGATCTTTCAGGGCTCCTTTGCCCTGCACCTTCGTTTGCCACCAGCGCTCATTTCTTCCTGAGACTTAATACTTGCTGATGGATTATATCGGTGACTCGGACGTCCAAATGTTCTCGAAAATGTGGGACGAACACCGATAATAGAAAGAAAAGAGAAGAAACCTATGTAGAGGGCTCTCTCGTAACATGCTACCTCCAAGGTGGATTGAAATGCCCTGTATAGGATCCTGGATCTTGGATGACAATGGAGCTTTAGAGTTTTCCAATCGCCGCTTGCCCTTGAACTCCACAAGTCGGAAACGGGTGGAGTTTCGACCCACATTGGTCGAACTGTAACCTACTCGACAGCGGACGCATACTATCGCGATATTCTGTCCTGTCATGATAGTTGTAGATGACATCAGTAAGCTCTATACCTTATGTGAATGACGGTCAGGGCCAGATGGCCAGATAGACGACGATGAAAGCTCTACTTCCGCATTTTTCCAAAGAGAAGGCTGAGGAGAACCATTGTTCTACACACTAAGAGATCTCGTTGCCCGGATATATTTTTGATAGCAATTAGATTAATAAATGTGTGGTTGACCTCGAATGGGCATCTTCACTATCAGCAGAAACCCTCCTTCCGCCATACTGTCTGACAGCTCAATCGTTTGACGATCTAACAAGCGAGAAGCTCGGTACATTGAAAGGGACTTATGAAGGATTCGTGGATATTTTTGAAAGGAAGAGAAATACTTCCCATTTATCAAGAACATCGAACATATTGGTTGTCGGACAAAAAGCACGAGGATAGGAGTGAAAGACGAAAGACTTTGGTATTTCTCTGCTTTGAACACAACGAAAGTGCAATGTCTTTCAGCGGCACATTTATCCCATCTGAGTGTCTTACAATGACGCTCCTCCTGGATTTGACTTGGTTGTAGCCATATTTTGGGTCCCGGATGTTGAAGAGATTCTGGCTGCAAAGATTTGAGATAAAGATGAACATGAAAAAAAGCTTCGTCAAATATTTGATGAGGCTGCAAATCCCGTGTCAGACATAATATCAGATTTTTAATCATCTTTCAAAACATGGAAGCCCAATCTTTTGGAAGGATTGTTATTGAAAACTGTGACCGGGGGTGTCAAATTTCTTCTTATCATACTCTGCTCTTTATTTTTCTTGATACATTTGTCTCATAGCAATACTTCAAACAATTGCACAAGCGTAATATTGATGATTCTGGGCATAAACGTGAGAGTAGGGGCAGACTGGAGAGCCAAGACATCATTCATGATAACAGATAGAGATTAAAATACTCATAGGCCTTAGCAAGGATAGTTATACCCCTTATATGCCAGCATGTTTTCTGGCAATATGGGGGACTTGTCACCTAAATGGACAGGCACAGATGAAGTTTGGACGCTACATTAGGCGGCTGGATCGCCTAGCGCCAATCAAACACTAGTCTAGCCCAATTATTACACACAAGCACTGGATCACTTAATTTGTATGTCCAGTCTAAGTGGGAGTCAGCCTAGGCTTACACCCCTCCTGACTTGATTCCCCCCACCTTTTTCAAACCCCCAGAAGTGGATATCTTGTGTACAAAATTTGGATTAAATTGGCGAAACAAATCTACGCTCGCCATATCGTAGCTTAGACGATGGCTAATTGGAAGATCAACATCTCTTACTCCTGTCCCAGGGAAGTCCCGTCGGCGCGAAGAAACCGGGCCGCGGGCCGATCCAAAATCCAGGGAGAATGACACTCGACAATTTGACCCATACGGAACATATGACAGTGGAATTTTTCAACAGAGCTTGACGCATGCAAGCATTCCAGTTGTCAAGAAAGTAATCGTGAGGACTCAGAAGACGGCTATCGGGCGGCTCCCGTCTAAAAGACAGACAATCCTATCCCGTGGCCAAAATGCGGGCTATACGGTGGAAAAGAATCAGTACGATAACGAAGGCGTCGAACAATCCGATGCATACCCCAGCAGTCGGCGAAGAGGGATTTATTTGGGTAGTCACCGCAATCGATGCGATGAAACAAATGATGGCAGGCCTGAAGTCTCTGGCCTTACGGGATACGTAATTGATCGACCCGGCTCATATATCCAACTTGGCCACCAAAGGAGACCAGATAATTTTTGATCACGATATTGAAGACGCCATATAAGGCGATGACCAGCATGTCACTCGGTCCGAATCGCCCCTTGGTCGCGGCCGTCGAGCCTCGAATGGAAATCTGCTGCGAAGAGATCACACGGGGCAGGTATGGCGATGGAAGAGCTATATACTTCCGTTTCAAAGTGACTATCTTGGATGCCGAGAAGTTCAAAAATGGCCAGGAGGTCAGGTTCCTGTTCCGTGATGTTTTCAGGGCAAGAGAGCATTAAATTTTTCAAAGTCTCCCCTGAGAGCATTCGAACCTCGGTGAACCCGGTGGACAGGACACATGATGATGGCTAGAAATTAGGCTTGGACGTAGGTATTAAAATTCTCGGCGAGCACGTCAAAGGCTACAGAGACAAAAGGAAGGCTTGGACCAAACCAGACTTTTGGGAGTTGTAGGGAGAAGAGACGATCTACGAAATCACAGCTAGTCTCAAACGTCATCGTGATGCGGCCCCGTTAATGCCCATACATTTCCATTTGCAGTTCGTCATCTCGGATTGTGATTGAAGGCCGTTCCATATTGCCTGCGACCTTGATTGGACACGAAAGGGCTACATCTTTCCTGATGATGGGTGGAGTGGGTTTTGGAGAGAAGTCGATATGACTGACAGAGTAAGGGAGGGAGGCAATTTTGGAGAGTGGATACAGGGCATTAGTAGAGCAAAGGGAGACCTGTTGGATTTGCAAGAGAGTCAGTGTTTCATGTAGCTTGAGATCACCTTTCTGTGCTTGCTCAGCCAGCCGCTAACATGGACTGCAGGTCAGGAAATCGGTGATAAGTGCAAAGAGCTGGGAGAGGTGGTTTAGATTGCAGACCATTGCTCATTCGTGGAAGCCCTCGAGGGCAGTGCCTGGACTCATAAATGGAGATAAAAATCTCAGAGTTGGCGACACTAAGACCCTGAAAAGGTTGATTCACTGCTTTGCCTCTGAAGGCTCTGCCACATGAGCTTTATAAGCTCACTGAAATCCAGGACCAATGATTTACCCGAGGCTGCATGCCTGCAAGCCAGAGAAAAAAAATGCATTGGATCGCAAATCATGTGAGCAGGTATCAGATTAACAGACGGATGACTCTTTCGGGAATAATACAGTCTCATAGCCCCAACGGCCCGAGCATAATTCAGTGCTAAGACCATTCGTCATCTGAATAAAAGATCGCAAAATAAATTCAAACTGTCATTGGGCGACCGGATCTCGGCATAACAGGCTAGAGGCCAAAGATTCGGGACCTTAAGGCATAGTCTACGCTAAGAGCACAACTTAGCTGATCAAAGCACAGCAAAGCAGTCGAGAGCCCCTGGAAGATAATGTTAGACCCGCAATATGAGTCCAGACACCTTCTCGCATATTGCCTGATTAAGAAGACGCTAGTCACATATTTCCTAATTTGGACTGGTACAAGTATCCAGGAATTCGGCACGTAGCTTTGGCCGGGTAGATCGGGATCGTCACACCCGTTATCGGGCTGACACCCTCTCACGAATTCGGGAGCGGAATTCTTCCGCTATATTTTTCGGCATCGAATATAGAAAACAATTTAATTCTACCCGATTTCTTTATGCAGGTACATATGTCGTCTCCGATAAGGCGCCATGATGATCTAAAGTTAAACTGTATTTCGTCTGAGCATAAAATATACCGCAACCATCTAACGCACTGGGCTTATCCAACCGTCACACATCGCGAAGGTTATCTAAAGGGAAGACCTGCTAAATAATTGCCGGCATCTTATCCTACTTGAATCCACAGTGGAAGTGGAAACAAAACAAATTGTTGATTGCTAATAAATATCTCATAGACAAGTAATTTTACGTCTGCGCCCCCTAAAAGTCTCACAAGGATCCAAAGACAACCCAAAACCCAAGTAGGCAACAGATCGGACATTTCTCCGGGTTTAAACTCGCATATGTAGGCCAATCATTGATTATCCTGTTTTGGTATGAGCCTTTGCAGTAGTTTGCTCGACCCAAGATCTGTCAAAACAATGAGCTCCACCACCCATTGAAGCTCGGCCGGCGTGCCGATTCTCAGGGATGCTCCCTTCTCAGGATCTATACATAGTGGCGGGTGGACCAATAGCCGCCGCATTAGATGCTTATGAACTGATAAGTGTGTATAAACTGATTTCCGGCCAAAGATGGCAGTTATGTCCAATGACGGCTGTTGGATTCCCCATTGCTTCGGATCTGTAGTCGGAACACACATTTAGTACCCCTAAGAAAGTATTTTGTGGATTGAAATAAATACCCTGGTCTTTCTCCCCTTCAATAGATCTTTGATCTCAACATAATAATTAACACTCTTTGACCGATCTCTACTCCCTGACCGATCTCCACTCCCTCACCGAATCCCTTCTCTATAATGGACAAAAACCACGACCCCGACGATACGTCGGCGTCCGAACCTCATGGCGAATACTACTCTGAAAACAAGAACGAAGAACGCAGATCCGATGATTTGCCTGTTCGCAAGCTAAACACCCACGATTTCACCAGTGTGGAAACCCTACACGTACCTCACACCAACATCCGCGAAGCCAGCAGTGCCGAGACCCTATATGCTGGCAACGGCAAAGCCCCGGAATCACCCAAGAAGGACGTTACCTGGCACATGAAGCATCATGTTATTCGGAATGCAGAGCGAGACGAAGCTGCCGGTTTCAAAAGGCGTGAGCTTGGTGTCACATGGCAAGACCTAACGGTCGATGTCCTTGCCGCCGAGGCCGCCGTCAATGAAAACATGATCTCGCAATTCAATGTTCCTCAGTTGATCCGAGACTTCCGCCGCAAACCACCACTCAAGTCTATTTTGTCAGAAAGTCATGGCTGCGTGAAGCCTGGTGAAATGCTCCTTGTCTTGGGCCGGCCCGGCTCGGGATGTACCACACTTCTCAAGATGCTGTCCAACCGCCGCGAGGGCTACCATTCCATAAAGGGTGATGTGCGATTTGGAAACATGAGTGCTTCCGAAGCCGAGAGCTATAATGGTCAGATTGTGATGAACACAGAAGAAGAACTGTTCTATCCCAGATTGACTGTCGGCCAAACCATGGACTTCGCCACCAGAATGAAAGTTCCATTCCATCTACCAGATGGAACCAACAGTGCTACAGACCATACAGCCGAGACGAAGCAGTTCCTCTTGGAATCTATGGGCATCGCACACACAGCCGATACAAAGGTCGGAAACGAATTTGTCCGTGGTGTATCCGGCGGCGAACGGAAACGAGTCTCTATTGTCGAGTGTCTTGCAACCAAGGGTTCTATTTTTTCTTGGGATAACAGTACCCGTGGTTTGGATGCCAGTACTGCATTGGAGTGGGCAAAAGCTCTTCGTGCCATGACCGATGTCCTCGGTCTTTCTACTATTGTCACCCTGTACCAAGCAGGAAACGGAATTTATAACCTCTTCGACAAGGTCTTAGTTCTTGACGAGGGCAAGCAAATTTACTATGGCCCTGCCGCCGAAGCCAAGCCTTTCATGGAAGATCTTGGTTTTGTTTACACTGATGGAGCAAATATCGGTGAGTTTTGATGTCTTAAACGCAGAGAAAGTGGGCGAAGGCTAACTTCGAGATAGGTGATTTCCTCACTGGTTTGACTGTTCCGACAGAGCGAAGAATCAGACCAGGCTGCGAAAACACATTCCCTAGAAATGCCGATGCCATTTTGGCTGAATACGAAAAGTCCGAGACTTACAAAAAGATGGCATCCCATTATGACTATCCCGACACTGACCTGAGCCGTGACCGCACGGATGCGTTTAAACACTCGGTCGCGTGGGAAAAGTCGAGGCATCTCCCAAAGGGAAGCAACTTGACCACTAGCTTCTGGGCTCAGGTCAACGCATGCACCACTCGACAGTATCAAATCTTGTGGGGTGAGAAATCCACTTTCTTGATCAAACAGGTTTTGTCGTGCGTGATGGCCTTGATCGCCGGTTCATGTTTCTATGACTCTCCGAACACATCTGAAGGACTATTCACGAAGGGTGGTGCGGTCTTCTTCTCTCTGCTGTACAACTGCATCGTGGCCATGTCTGAGGTTACCGAATCTTTCAAGGGCCGCCCGGTTTTGGTAAAGCATAAATCATTTGCCATGTATCACCCAGCTGCTTTCTGCTTGGCTCAAATCACAGCCGATTTCCCGGTTTTGTTGTTCCAGTGCTCTATCTTCTCGGTTGTCATCTATTGGATGTCTGGCTTGAAACACACTGCGGCTGCTTTCTTCACCTTCTGGATCATTTTGTTTACCACAACCTTGGTAAGTTGGCAGTGCTTTGAGCCATTTCCTGGCATACTGTCATATACAGGCTAACCAGGTCATCAATAGTGTATCACCGCTTTGTTTAGATTCATCGGAGCCGCGTTCAGTACCTTTGAGGCCGCATCGAAGATCTCGGGAACCGCCGTCAAGGGTATTGTCATGTATGCTGGTTACATGATCCCGAAGCCTAAGATGAAGAACTGGTTCCTCGAATTGTATTACACGAACCCATTTGCCTACGCATTCCAAGCCGCAATGTCCAACGAATTCCACGACCGTCATATCCCTTGTGTCGGTATGAACTTGATCCCGAGCGGTCCTGGTTATGAGAATGTTGGAATAGCCAACAAAGCTTGCGCGGGTATTGGTGGCGCTTTGCCCGGTGCAGACTATGTCACTGGTGATCAGTATCTTGGATCTCTTCATTACAAGGCCTCTCAGATGTGGAGAAACTTTGGTGTCGTCTGGGGATGGTGGGGATTTTTCGCCGTTCTCACCATTATTTGCACATCGTACTGGAAGTCGGGTGGTGCATCTGGTGCAACCCTACTCATTCCACGCGAGAAGCTGAAGAAGCACCAGGCTGCCAGCTCCGATCCAGAGGCACAAAACAAGGAAAAGGAGACTGCACGCCAAACTACTGATGAGCCTGTTGAGGTTGACGATGACAACCTCTCTCGAAACACGTCTATCTTCACTTGGAGAAATCTCACCTATACTGTCAAAACTCCCACTGGCGACCGGGTGTTGTTGGATAATATCCACGGCTGGGTTAAGCCCGGTATGCTTGGTGCCCTCATGGGTTCTTCGGGTGCCGGAAAAACGACCCTACTCGACGTTCTTGCACAGAGAAAGACAGACGGTACCATCAAGGGTTCTATCATGGTTGATGGACGACCGCTTCCGGTTTCCTTCCAGAGAATGGCTGGCTATTGTGAGCAGTTGGATGTTCATGAGCCATACGCGACCGTGAGAGAAGCCCTCGAGTTCTCTGCCCTTCTACGCCAATCCCGCAATATTCCCAAGGCAGAAAAGCTGAAGTATGTAGACACTATCATTGATCTTCTTGAGCTTCACGATCTAGCAGATACTCTTATTGGCTCTGTTGGCAATGGACTCAGCGTCGAGCAAAGAAAGCGTGTCACAATCGGCGTGGAACTAGTGTCTAAGCCTAGTATTTTGATATTCTTGGATGAGCCCACATCCGGTCTTGATGGACAATCCGCCTATAACACAGTACGCTTCCTTCGCAAGTTGGCTGATGTGGGCCAGGCTGTTTTGGTAAATTTCCTTTCTGATATGCGTGGGATCATACTGCTAACATTCAATCTTTTAGGTCACAATACATCAACCCTCAGCACAACTCTTCGCTCAATTTGACACCCTTCTCCTGCTTGCGAAGGGCGGAAAGACCGTCTATTTCGGAGACATTGGTGCTAACGCCGCTACAATTAAGCACTACTTTGGTCAATATGGAGCTGAGTGTCCTACCGATGCCAACGCAGCTGAGTTTATGATTGATGTGGTCACTGGTGGTATCGAAGCTGTCAAGGACAAGGACTGGCATCAGATCTGGCTCGATTCTCCTGAGCAAACACGGATGATCCAAGAATTGGACGAAATGATCGAGGACGCTGCTGTCAAGCCTCCAGGAACAGTTGACGATGGGTTTGAATTCTCGATGCCTCTTTGGGAGCAGACCAAGATCGTCACTCAGCGCATGAATGTTGCGCTTTTCCGAAACACCAACTATGTCAACAACAAGTTCTCTCTTCACATCATTTCGGCTTTACTCAATGGCTTCTCCTTCTGGCGTCCTGGCCCCAGTGTGGTAGCTTTGAACCTGAAGATGTTCACGATTTTCAATTTTGTCTTCGTCGCACCCGGTGTCATCAACCAGCTTCAACCCCTATTCATCCAACGCCGTGACATCTACGATGCCCGTGAAAAGAAGTCCAAGATGTACTCGTGGGTCGCGTTTGTGACGGGACTCATTGTTTCCGAGTTCCCGTACCTCTGCATCTGTGCCGTTCTCTACTTTGCGTGTTGGTACTACCCCGTTTGGAGATTGCCTCACGACTCCGACCGATCTGGAGCTATCTTCTTCATAATGCTTATATACGAACTGATTTATACTGGCATTGGCCAGTTTATTGCTGCCTATTCTCCCAACCCGACCTTCGCTGCGCTGGTGAACCCACTGGTAATCAGCTTCCTTGTTCTCTTCTGTGGTGTCTTTGTTCCATACAATCAGCTCAACGTATTCTGGAGATACTGGATGTACTGGCTTAATCCATTCAACTACGTCGTCTCTGGAATGTTGACATTTGGCATCTGGGATGCGAAGGTCACTTGCAACGAGGATGAGTTCGCCTATTTTGACCCGACCAACGGAACCTGCGGACAGTACTTGTCGAACTATATGGCGGGGAATGGCTGGAGAATCAATTTGCTTAACCCTGACGCTACCTCGGCATGCAAGGTCTGTCAATACAAAAATGGCAGTGACTACTTGACAACCCTCAACATCAATCATTACTATGTTGGATGGAGAGATGCAGCTATATGTGTGATTTTCGCTATCAGCGGATACGCTTTGGTCTTTGCATTGATGAAGTTGAGAACCAAGGCTTCGAAGAAAGCCGAATAGGTTCACCATTCATTCTTCAGCTTCGTCAAACATTTCATCCCTTGCCGACCGACCGACACTTGAAAGTGTCCAATCTGTTTCATTCCATTCCTTCATTCATTGTTCTCATTTATTCATTCATAGATTAGACTTCATCATAGAGTTTCCCATAGACTTTGTCATATAGATTATTTTAGCCACTCTTTCGATTTCAAAATAAGGAGCTTGATTTGTCATATACTTTCCATTGTACATTAAGAACAAGAAGCTCTAAGGATGAGTCTTTTATAGAGACGTAGCAAGTTAATAAGCCGATGAGGACCATGACAAACAAGACAAACAAGACAAACAAATAAGGTAGGCTTGAGCCCGAAGGCCGAAACTACGCTCAAACCTGTCATCGCTAATCCAGTTCAGCATTTATACGATCATAAATTTCTATATCAGGTTGAAAACAACAAGCTGTAGCCTTTCTCCAATTTTATCACCCCATGGTGGAGAGATATGACATATCGTCGTTTTCTCAAATTACGCCGATATCTGCGCGGAGTTAATGAAATCAACAGCAAGACACAATCCAGTGGCCACATATACATGTAGCAATGTACTCTTTCATCTCAAAAAACTCTCTGAAATCTCAGTGGTACGTCTACCAGTTACGAGGTCTTAGAGTTTGTACGCCTACAGACGTAGACGCCCCACTAATCCCGTAGCTCTATTCCAGTACCGCGGTTGAACCATTACTGTATTTCAACGATTCTGGATTGCTTTATGAATTCTACCAACCCATGACTCCTCTAGATCCAGTCTCATTGAGTTTTCAATATACTATTTAGCATGTTCAACTCAGGCTGACAGATCCGCAACACCCAAAAGCGCGTACAAAAACCACACGAACAGCTTACATGTCCAAGTATTATCGTTCGGGGGACATGATTTCACACAACGAACGATAATAAGTTTGCATGCGTGTAATTGAGTGTTCACTGGCTGGTGAAATCGAAGAACAATCGCGCACCGCACCGCTGTGTTTCAAGAATTCGAAACCTTCCCATCCTCCAATCCCTTCAATCGCTCTCTCGGAGTGCTCCTGAAGCTCAGATCTATAATATATAAGACAGATAGTAGTGCATGGAACTTGGTGGAATACACGACATTCCAATTGTCGGAATATTCAGCCCGTTCTGACTTGGCAACTCGATGATGGCACATCTTAATGCAACTTGAACTAAATAGTCAGCTTGAAACTGGCACTATTATGGTATCAGTAGTTGGGTTAGCCCACAGATACTACGTGCTAGTAATACGCCGCGAGGTCAAGCCCGGTTCGATCTCGCTAATGTCTTTTTGTTACGTAGTGAGAAGACATTGGCGCATATTTGCAGCCCTGTTCACGCTTCGCAGCACTTGTTGAAGCCAGGTTGAGGTAGTTTGTAGCTATTTTCTTTTTTTTTTAAAAAAAAAGGAAAAAGTGAGACATTAGAACCCAAAGTATTCGAATGTCGAGAACAATGACGCTTAGGGGCTTTCGTGCCGAGACTATGCCTTCATAGCGGCACAGTCTACAAAACATAGGGCCACTTCAGGATTGCATAGCTATTCGCCAGATTATTATAGGCGGAGCCAAGCCTAGGCGTTGGCCCCTGCTCATATTTGGTGCTTGGATGCGTCGTGCTTGAAATGACGTCATTTGTTTGGATTCTCATTGTCTAGTGTAGTTCTGAGGAACTCGATTTTAAAGGGCTTGACTTCGGGAAAAAAAAAGAAATGGACAAGAGCCACTTACAATTTGGTTGCGCGTCCACGCATGCTCATATCTTGAGGCCCGTCCAGATCCAAACAAAAAGCCTAGTGCCATTCATGCCACGCAGGAACTTGGAAGTGGCGTCCAAGCAGCTGTTGAAAACTTTTTTAGCTGAACTAAGTCGAAGTCTGGGCGTGCTAGCGATAACAGCCAAAAGCGACAGGATGATTTCATTTATTTCTCGGATGTCTAAAGCAGCCCAAAAAACCGATGAGTCCATTGAAACCGGGTTCACTGAGCAACAGAATTTGAAATTTTATATGAGACACATGGCACTCTGTATTTCAGAGAACAGAATATGTGATTGACTTGCAGTCTGCGATCGCTCACTTGGGAGCAGGGCAGGGATTTCACCCGTGAACACGCGTCCTGTGTTGGGCGTTGGGAAAATCCCCGCTACGCCACCCCATGGTACTTGATTTTAACATGGGAACAACAACTATGTGGAGTGCGTATAGACCGGATGTTGACGAATCAATTTGATAGATAGCAGTGGCTTGCTATACTAGATTACAACAGCTGGCCCTATGCTTGTGGAACTACGTAGCCTAGGTTGATCCCTACCCACTTCCGAACAAGGAGACATCGCTCTCCTCTGCTACTTCAACATTCGTTTCCCCGATTTTTAGCCACTCTTTAAGTGAATTGAGTTCCCTCTACATTAGCGCGCTAGTCACCCTACTCTTCTTGGCTCCTCATTTTGTTCTTGCTGGATTCATCTACCACAATGAAGAACATCATTGCTGTTGCAGCCTTCGCTGCCGGAACTAACGCACTTGTTGGTCGCAGCGACAGCTGTTGCTTTCATTTGACTGCCACCGGTGGCATCTCCGGATCGCTTGGTCAACTAAGTGACGGTCAGGTCCGTGTCGGCGATACTACCTTGTCTGCTGCTCAGTTCTGCCTCTCGGACAGCATCATTACCGATAGCGAGGGCCGTGGCTGTGTTGTGACGTGTAAGTAACATCCGATGAACAAACTCAACAGCTCGTCGATGACTGACACACCATGCAGCTGAGACTACACAATTCCAGTGTGACGAGGGTTCAACTGGTACATCCGGATTTTCTCTTGCTTCTTCTGGCTCCCTCGAGTTTGATGGTAGCTCAAGCTTCATTGCATGCGCGACTGGTTTAAATGGCGGAGACAACATCTATATCTCCAACAGTACTTCTGTCACGCAATGTACGAAAATCCAATTGACGGGCGACTCATGCTTCGCCGCCGCCTCTTCTTCTGCTTCGAAGCTTTCTTCCACACCTTATGCCGTCCCTACCAGTGCTGTACCGGTACCTATCCCCGCTATTAGCTCTGTTGCCGGTGCTGTTGGCTCTTCCGCACCTATGTGGACCAGTTCAATTCCCTCAATTCCTATGGTTCTGCCCTCCACCCCAGTCGGGACTTCCACTCCAGCCGCGAGTACCCCATTGACGACTTCGAGCCTTGCGACAGGCACTGCTACTTCAGCCGGTCAATCAGAGTCGGGTTCCTCGACCAGCTCCTCGGGATCCTCTGCAGCTGCTACCACATCAGCCCCCGCGAATTCCGGAGCCAGACTTGACTTCTCCGGACTCGCGTTGCTTCAAGTCGCCGCTATGACCTCAATCATTGCCTATCTTGGCCTGGTGTAGATACAACCAGACTTCTATGTTCGCAACATAGGGATGATCGACTGTTTGGAACAATACTTACGAAATACCAATTCAGCTATCTCGCAACGATCGATATGTCATAACGTGGAAGCGAAGAGGTAGGCATCCGAAATTCTGGGATAGTCTGCTGTACATAGAATACATAATACACGCTTCCGAGTAACTTCTTATATTTGAAAGAGTTCACGCTCAACGACTCCACCATGCTCCCACTAAGATTGCTAATTACATTACCAAATCAGTGCTTATGATCGCGCTTCTCTGAGCAGCATGACCCGTCCATAGCCGCTCTAGCAAGGTTAGCACGGCTCATAGGACGAGGCTTCGGAAGAAGATCCCGACCGGACAGGTCTGGAGCCGCGTCACGGGTCATCTTGACAAATCCTTCCAAATCGCGCTTGGCAATCTTAGAAGTGTAAATCATGTTCAGCCAGTTGCCCAACCTGTAGCCACCCTTTGCAATCTGAAGCTCAATGGTGCCAATGGCAGAATTGTAGTAATCAGGGTAGAGGTCGCCAGTCTGCAGGGCGGCAGCTCCATCGGGCATGACAATAGTGCACACATAGGCATTGGCATCGGAAGCCCAGCGAGTAGATGTGGTGATAGCATCGCTGATAGTGTCTCCCTCGATCCAACTAGCTGCCTCGGATTTGTAACTTCCTGAGTCGATCTCGCTGACCAGAGTCTCAGACCAGGTCTTCGCATCTGAGAGTGAGCTTCCACCAATCAATGACTGCGGCATATAGGTATCCCAGTCCGAGTGAAGATTGTCGCTGTATCCATTGTAGGTGACCTTAATGCCGTTTCCGCCCGTCTCGTAAGCCTCATCATGCAGTGGTTGCGTAATGTCACCGAGGAAGTGCACAAGGAATCTGAGAGCCTCTGCTGTGTGGTCGTTGGTAAGTCGACCGTCACTTACACGCTGGGTGTAGTTGGCGATAGCAGACACTGAGCACCCTGAGCTGCCGCAGTCGCGCTCATAGTCTACATTGCAGGTCGTTGGAGGATTGTCCTCAGCATCAATGTAGTGGAGCGAAGCAGACCATTTGCCAGCGGTTGTTGCGCGATATGAATCGGCCCAAGAGGCAATGCTAGCCAAGTAGGAGTCGGAGGTATCTCCGAGAACACCTTGCGCCCTTGAAAAATATCAGCATTGAATCTTGAAATAGGTGACCCATAGACTCGTTGCTGTTTGGAATCACAAAGTGCACATACCACGCTGCTGTCTCGGAGGTAAGATAGTTTTGGGCAACATATGCCACTGTAGCATGACCTAGTGAGCCCCACGCATTGACTCCCGTCACTGACCCAAAAGCGACAAGAGCGATCTTGTTAAGAGGCGCCATCTGGGAAAATATTCAAAAAAAATCCTGCGTGGGTTTACGAATGATCAACAGCCAAGAAGGGTGAGCAGGTCTCTGAATATTTTTTTGGCAGCGAAGCTCTGTTTAAATAATTCAGTCCCCGCATTCTTCTCGGCGCGTAATTTATCGGTTGCCTTATAACTCTGAAGTCGGACTAGAGCAGTATGCAGACCGACGTTACAGCAAGTACAGATGCCCATGAGGATGTCTTCAATGTCAAAGCGGCCCCTGAATGGTCACCTTACTTACCGCGGACGAGTTTGACTTCGCGCTTCCACCTATTGCAGCAGGGTATATTTGTGAGATCTGCATGCAGGGAACCGGAGACCACCGGCTTGCGACCCTACAATAAAATTGTGGCTCGACATCTGGCGGCGCATGTCTTATCTTTTGAGCTTGATAGGTTTCTGTGGACTAGCGTTCTTCTTGGCAACACACTAATGTGAGGGGTCATTCGGCAGTCTTAACCAATCTTGGCGTGGGGAGAGTGTGTGGTGAAGAATTCATAGTAGCCGATGAAATTTAGATTGCTTCATATTTCAAGATATTCACACACGTGCTCAAACATGTTAGCGAGTGGCCGAATGTCCCAGGAACCATATCTAATTCGCTCGTGCCGTGTAGCAACTACCAGGAATATCTAATATAGGACTTTTATTACGAGACTGTAATTAAAGTGATGTTCAACTCACCGATGAACTCTAACTTGCATGAAAAGCGACATGAACAAACCGGAACTGTATGTAGTTAAAAATTTGAAGATGTTCTAGATGATGAAATCGTTTGCCTCTTCGGGCAGAGATTCAGCGATTGTGGAAAATGATATTATGCACCATGGAACATTCTGTGTGCTCCGAGTGAGTCTCAATATAAGGGAGTTTGTATTCATATAAAAGTCAAAATAAAGTGCCGTAGAAACAGAACGGCAAATTAGGATAAGCCAAAACGAGGTTATAATCTGCGTATACACAGGTGGACGCAAGAACAATGAGACATCGGATACAATGAATTGCTCCAATGACCTCTAAAATACAGGGGCTTTGTCTTCCCGTACGAAGTGAAGTTTTTCAAACAGTCTCAAGCTGCCAGGACCGAACAAAAGTACTTAAGTCGAGCGTGGGCGGGGATTTGAGGTTCCAACAGATAGCAAAAATGTTGTCAGCGGACTATTAACTTCCAAGCCTAGTAATTGTGCCTCGAAATGCACTTATAAAATTTAAGGGGAAGGAGAATCGATTGTTATCTTTACCAGTCTTGGTTGTAATGTGCAACTTCATGGCTGTGGACACAATAGAACAGTTAGATATCACCTAGTACTATCCTCTGGTGATATCGTATCTCTATCTTGTTCCACAGCTTCATAACAATGAAATCGATCAATATCACGATCAGTACCTGGCCTGGTGTCGTAGATTTGTGGCCAGTGTATTTGACATGGGACTGGGATAAAGAAGACCTCGACTTTAAAATAAAGTGGGGTTAGAAGGTGCTAGAACCTAGGGGGTAGATACTAATTCCGCTATATTAAAGGCGTTAACAATGAAAATTAATAAAAGAAAGTACTTTTGTTAAGCTAATAAGACTTTATCAATTAGTCGTAATGTGAAATACTGCTTGACTAAATAGGAAAGAGTCTACTATTAGTAGGAAGATTTGCCCTTATCCAAAAAGGTTAAAAGTAATATTCCATCTAGAAGAGATCTAGTAATAGGGAAGTGAAGCTTGATAGCGCTCTTAATACAATATCTTGGCTAGCAATAAGTCTTCAAACAAGGGTCTTATAACCTTAGAGGCCAAGAAAAGGGATAGAGAAAAGGATGCCTCAGTGAGCTATCTACAAAAAGTGGTCTTTATAGACTATCCGTCAAAGAACTGCTAACAAAGGGGTCACTGACAAATAAAAGGTCTGATAGAAAAAGAGCATTGGGCATGTTTGCCCAATTTGTACGTCACATTGTCTGCTTGTTGAGAATGTCCAACTTCGTGATTCGGTAATTTTGATTGTCTGCGGTCGTTTCTTTCAAATCCTTCGAGGTAGTGTGTCGTTGAGCAAGGTGGTGATTGACGTCTTACATAAGCCTCTGTTTTTACAATCGCTGGTGGCATGAGACAAAACGCTTCTGTCAGTTTCTGGGCGTCCATTACGTCCATTGATAGTTCTATCGTTTTATTTAAAAGCACCATGAGATCGGACAAAACCATCAAATAGATTTCGAAGATTTTGTTTTCAACGCAAAAACTTTGCTTCTAGTCGTTAGAATGATTGTTCCGTTCAAGCTTCGAGTATGGTGGGATCCTGATGATTGGGGGGTCTCGAGTCGAACAAATCATTGACTGCCGCACATATGGCTGAAGCTGTTGAATGTAGTAGGCGCTCCATTTTCAACATCAGCTGTCTTTAATGGGTATTGACGTTAAATTGAATACTGGCTTATTTTAATGAATCCTAATAGAGCAGGGGCAATACTGGCAACGGCAATGTGAGGTGAACTTCTAAGGATGGTTTTATCCATGCAGAGACCGGGAGTCTGGAAAGAAGCCGTAATAGCAGGATAAGAGATAAAGTTACTTCATGTAGAAATCCACGCTCCATTGGATGCTAGCGCAACGATGGTCCATTTCTCCCAAGGTCTAAAGGCGGAGTAAATCCGATCGGTAGACTATGTTCCAAGACAATCGACTCAAAGTGGATTGAAATATGTCTCTGATTGTAACCCCAAGTATGAACTCTCCGGCTCAACTATCATATCTATCAATGACAATTAAACAAGTTCTCCGGCTTTAAGACATGTTCGGAACGCTTATTGGATCAGTCCAAATCCCCCAGCAGATTATGATCTAAGTAGAAGTTGCAACTACTTCGTACAATCAATCTCCGCGATCTTATCACTTCTCGTCAAACCAGCCTGGGTACCAACTGCCGATGCAGCAACTTTTCCGTCTGCTTCCCGAGCCCATTTGATGGGACCAGGAGGCAAAGTCTTTTCTGGATCGTCCCAGTTCAAACGATCCCGGATGTTACTATCGAGATCCGGTAGCATGCCGTGCTCAAAAGAGAAGCCACCGCCAAATATGCTCGGAATGTTTTCATCATCAATATCCTCCCTCAGGGTTGGTAAGACCTCAGCACTCAGTAGAACTACGATTTTTTCTGCCGTGTAAGGATCTACCCATCCTTTAAGGTACCTCCAGATTGTAGAGAAATATGAAGGAGGGTTGCAGACCTGTGGTATGTGATGTTAGTATAGGTAAGTTGCTGTCTGTACCTCTGCTTCGCTGCTCACAATGATGCGTTGTATAGTCTCGGGGTAGCATGTTGCGAGAAGCCAGCTGATTGCCTGGGCAAATGATTTGACGCTCCATCCCTGTTTCAACCCTAAATTTGATGCGTCCACAAGATAAACGAAGTTTGTGATCGGAGCCGATGAATTTGGTCGGTCCTTCATCATTGAGCAGAGAGGAAGCACAAACCGGGCTAGACTGTCGTGAAAGATCGAGGCCGACTGCATCATATCAGGATTCGGTGGCTGCTGTTCCCCGGACGGCGAATGTTTCCAGCCAGGGGTATTGCGAGTCTTCTCCCAGCATGCTAAAGCATCTTTATCAAGGTAGGTCACGTCAAACATGCATATTGGTAGACCATTCTTGTCTCTGCGACCGGTCCAGTGAGGATACTGAGTCATGTAAGTGGGGTCTCAAAGGATAGCAGAAACTGCCACTCACAAATTGCCGAGCCTGTTCGAAATCGTCGATTGGGATGATATCGTACAATTGGAGCGTCGATTTCTCTTGGCGAAATTGACATGCTTCTTTGAATTGGGTGAGTGCCGCATCGGGATCGAACCGACGGGCAGTCAAGAATCGTCTGTCAGTGTCAGCCCCACGAGGGAAGAAAGCGGTATCCACGTAGTGAGGAAGATGTACAGCAGGGTACTTGGATCCGATAACCCATCACACAAATCTCGGCTTTCCTGCTCGTTGAACTGATTCAAAAGTTTATGCTCCTCGCATAACCGAGTAAATGATTCCAATGAAGCCTCATGCTCGGGTGGGATCTTTAAGTCTAGAATTTGATGGATGGACATGGCGAAATTGTTAAGGGCGTTCGAGAATTGGATCATTGATATGGGGGTGGGGGTTTGATTGGGAAGAGAAGACAAAATAGAGTTGGGTGCGAACCGGCTTTGTGGGAATAATCTGCAGTGTCGCGTGTAAATTATGCAGGCTGACGCGCGTGAAAAGAGATCCCTGAAGGACGAGCATTTGCTTTGGCCGAGGCAAACTCACCGCTTGCCGATCATGAGGCAAGTCATGAACAGAGATCTCAGCCACCAATGAACTCACCAGTTGACAACCCTGAAATTGTGGCACGAACAGGGCGGTGGTCCCAGGTAGATGTAAATATGCCATCAACATCTCAGCTCTTAAGATATAAGTATATATGATGTCAGTTATTTGCGTCCTTACTTCAGTCATACTTGTTATCACAAGGCGCTGGGTTGCTTTGACCTTTGAAACGCATCATGACAAGTTAAGATCCATGGCAGCGAGTGTTTTCCGATGAAGTCATTGCCCTCGATCTCTACCCCGCTTGTCAAAGGTTTTATCATCGATTTTGACGATGCAAAAAGAGTATTCACTCAATCTTCGATCTAAGTGAGCGAACCCACCATTCCCACTAAAAACCCCAAAGACATGGTTTTTAACATTTCCAAATCCGGATTAAGCGGGTAGTATGGAATACACTCTGCAAACTTTAAAGGGGTTGCAGATTAGTATTTCCGACAAGCTAGAGCATGTTGAGCAGGAAACAGATTGTGAGAACTAGGTGATGAGGTTATTGGTACTTAAATTGCTAAGATGATATTTTAATCAGCTCATTTTGACATCTTACACCTTCTGGAAAACTCTTTAAAATTGCAAACATGCAAACCTCTAGCCTAGAGAGTGGGTTTCATTTGATCTACTTCTCCTGTGAAAGCTCATGCCGCCTTATATTGAATGGTGGAAGGAGCGGGTTGACGTTTGCTTATGAGTTGAGTGCAGGAGCCATGGAGCCAGACCCCAAAATGTACTTCTCTCTAAATGGAGAGACCAACCTCCATAGTTTCAACTGCGTACTCCGAGGCCAATAGCCCCTACATGACTAGTTACTATTATTTATCCAAGATGTATCCCTGGATGGGCTTTTAAGGAGCTAGTTTGAGAGCGGCCTATTGAAGGCTGATGGATAAAAGGGTACAACTAAGCATTTGCGCTGGCATCTACAGTCCTCAAAGCCCCTATCAATAACTGATTTTGTCGCCCAACAGGAACGAGGCAGCACTCGCAACCTCTCGACGTTGAACGCTGTTAGATAATAAAGATTCAGTGGCTGACGAAAATTATGGAAAGAACAAAAGAAATGTCAATTTAGCTTGTCACTTCGATGCAGGAAACATTTATTTAACTTTCCATGAGCTTGAAATTAACGGTAAAATCAAATGGTCCGGCTTCCAATCGATGACCTTCAAAAGGACCAGGACCACAACTTGCTGTCCCGATTCCGTGATGCGCATAGTCGATGTTCAATTCAGTCTCATTTTTGAGCTCAGATAGCTCATGGGGGTGTTTTGCGCGATCTAGTTCCGCTGTACTATACTTCCGCAACGAGAAATTGAAAGGTCTATCCATCGTAGCCTTCATCTCGGGGAAGGCTGGATCTGCACCAGCGGAAGCAGAATAAGAAGTATCAGGAGGCGAGGAATGGAGACGCACCCAATGCGTATCCATGCGATTACCATTCTCCTGGGGCCACTCGTATGGTGTCTGGAGACCAGTATCAAGGGAAGCCGTGTATGTGCCGAATCGAGCCGCGCGCTTCTTGTCACGGTAAGATTCTCCGGGACCCCTGCCGAACCATGTGGCTGAGTCATATCGACGGGGTAGTCGAAGTGTGAGTCCAAGTCTGGGGATGTATTTTGGATGTGTGCCAGTGAACTCGCCATTGACGTGCAAATTCACAGATGACTCTGTGATTGTGTAATTGAGCGTTGCTTCCATTGCCCACTCCAGGACTGTTGGTGCGACTCGGACTTTTGTCTTGATAGATACATTTCCGTCTTCATTCACATCCCATGCTGCGGACTGGATGAGCATGCGAGTGCTCTTCACACGGAAGCTCTCCCACTCAACGCAAGGGCCTGCTGGGCCCAGATCATTCTGTGTCATGGCGCGGTATATTCCTAGCTGTGGCCCGCTTTTTAAGACCGTGCCCGCATTAGTGGACCACGACAGATCGCCCCTGATAAGGTCGTAAGTGAACTGAGAGGAAAACCCCGTCGAGGTGACGTATAGTCTTCCCGGGCCCTCGCGAACAGTCATCACGGAGCCCGGTGAGCTCAATGCCAGAGGAATTGACAGTTTCCGTTCTTCGTGTAGGAAAATCTGTGCCCAGGCAATCTCATGTCCACTTGGCGCCCAAGCCGTAGCCTCCTTCAAACAAAACCTGACTGTTAGCCAGGTTGGCTCAGAAGTAAGGCTCACACCTTCTGGGAGCACAACAAGAGCAGAAGTTCCAGGTTCAGTGAACGGTATGTCCAACGACTTTGGGCTCGTGCTTCCAGTTTCCCTGACAAGATGCCATGTCACGGCCAGATGATCAAGAGTATTGAAGTCGTAGTGATTCATAACTTTTAAATGTCTTCCCGTCTCCTGCAGTGTCACTGTTACTGGCTCGATGGCTTTTTTATACTCGATCAATCCGGGGGTAGGCGTATGGTTAGAATATACCATCCCATCAAGAATGAAGTCTGCGTCATTGGGCTCGTCTCCAAAATCACCACCATAGGCGTAGTAAGACATATCTCCATCTCTTTTCAGAAGGCCTTGATTACACCATTCCCAAATGAAACCTCCTTGGAGAAGCCTTTCGGTGCGGTAAGCTTCAATGTACTCTTTCAAGCCCCCGGGGCCATTGCCCACTAAAAGCAGATTGTTAGAAGACGTTATCAGGTCTCTTTCTTTGGGCTGTTGAACTTACTGGCATGACCATACTCGCACTGGATCAAAGGCTTGTCACTTTTCTCTGCAACATGCTTTTTGAGCGCGTCTACACTCCAGTACATGGCAGAGTACAGGTCTGCGCTAAGAGCATCCCTGTCTCCTTCATAGTGAACTAGACGTGTCGGGTCCGCGTCTTTGATCCACTCATACATACTGACATGGTTTCTTCCGTAGAATGCCTCATTACCGAGTGACCACATGATAATGCAAGAGAAATTCTTGAACCGTTGCACCAGTTGTATCACGCGGTCGAGGTAAGCATCCTTCCAATCCGGGTTATCAGATGTCCATTTCGTTGCCATCTTGTATGACATTTCTTGAATTTCGTATTCAGTCATGAGGTGCTGGTTTGGAATTTTAGATCGCTCCACTGGATCGAAGCCATGACACTCGAGATCTGCTTCGGCCATTACATAGAGGCCTAATTCATCACAGACCTCGTAGAGCCTGGGATCATTTGGCTGATGAGAACATCGCAGTGCATTGATGTTATGCTTCTTCATCATGATAAGGTCTGCACGCATGTTTTCGTAGGGCACCGCTCGACCATAGAGATGGTGATGCTCATGGCGGTTCACGCCATACAGGATGACGGGCTCTCCATTAACCAAGAAGTTTGAGTTGATGACCTCGATGCGTCGGAAACCAATACGTTGGGGAATTGTCCGCCCGTTGAAAAAGATAAGCAAGGTATAGAGGTCAGGGGTTTCAGCTGACCACAATTTCAGGTCGCTCCTTGAGACCTCAATGATACTAGAATCGGTCGATGGGAATTCTGATTCCTGCAGTAACTTGCCATTGGGGTGATACAGCTTAATCTGGACATTGCCAATTTTGCCTTGGATTTTGACGTTGGTGATCAGCCGACCCACAGTGTGATCCCTTGCGGGATCCTCAATGGTGGCAACAGCGTTGAAGTCAATAACTGAGTCTGACGGGAATGAAACCAAGCCGACATCCCGAAAGATGCCACTTAGAAGCCACTGGTCTTGGCGCTCAATATATGATCCATCACAAAACTCGTACACGCGCACCGCCACAGTATTAACGGAACTGGCAGCGAGAAGCATGGATGTGATATCAAACTCGCTAGGGTTGCGTGAGCCCTGGGAGTAGCCAACAAGCTCCCCATTAACCCAGAGGTGAAATGCGCTATCCACACCCTCGAAGCGGATGCGAATCTGTTGCCCGTCCCATTTCAAGGGCGTGACAAACTGTCTCCAGTATGATCCTGTTTCGTTTAGAGCGGGTACTTCTGGGGGGTTGACGTGAAATGGATAATTGACATTGGTGTAGGTCGGATGCGAGTATCCTTGGAGCTGCCACATTCCCGGGACTTTGATGTCATCCCAGTTCAAGGGGTCCACGCAGGACCATTCTGGTGCCTCAAAAGGCGACGCATCATGTCTGAATTTCCAAGTGCCGTTGAGTGACACGTACTCGCTCTTCTCGCGGGCCAACGTGCGCGCGGCTTCTTCTGAGCTGTATGAATAGAAGTGGGCTCGTGGCGGAAGAGTGCCCTTGTGAATGACCTTGAGATTGTTCCAGTCGGGCAGCTCTTTTAGAAATGACATGATCAAGAGCTTTGATCTGAATGAGCTCAGAGAGATACTGCCTGATGGTTAAGCTAGCAAGGAGGAGCCACAAGATAAGGACAAACTCCGGCGGGGCCAAGACTGCTTGCTTGGGTTCACATTCTCGCGGAACTCCGGCAATCCAGGTCCATTTCTCCGGATGATAACACAGCGATATTCAGTCAAATGTGGGCCCCGTGGCTGTAAAGGGACAAGGATGATGGGCGGGGTTCAGGGCAAAGGCGGTTCTAGTTCCAAATTGGGCCTCGAATCGGTGAGAATGCCGAAAGCTTTCCAAATTAATACTTTTGACGTGCAAAACTCTCAATTGGCTGTATTTATTTGCAATACCGCGAAAACTCTAGACATATTGTCCTGCGAACACTAAGCAAACTCTAAAGTACCACGAATGCCATTTTCCACAAGTATCACATCATTAACAAGTGTACTTGAATTTGAATGAGATCTTGGGCACCCCAGTAAACTCAGAAGGCACAACATAGGAGATGTTGTAAACACGATTATCCTCAACGCTGGCACCGTAGATTACTGGTTGCTCTACTAGCCCTTTTGCGTCGATGGCGACATCAAGGCAAGGAAGGTCCTCGAGGCCTCCCACAACTTTCTTCTTGAGAAGAGTCCAGCTTGGCGGCAGTTGCGCGAGCGCGAAACTGAAAATATTAGTGCCATCCTGAGTGGTGTTCGGGTACGAAATCTCAAGGCTGTTAGGCCCTGCGACGGCATGAATAGTTGATGCTGTCGGATATAGAGAGAACAAGGCCATATACGGATGGGGTGTATGGTTTTTATCACCGGCCCATTGCACAATAGCCGGGACATATTGCTCACCGCGATTGACTGTCTCGGAGACTTGCTCGGCCCCGATCATGAGGGGGGCACTAATCCAAGAGGTCACCACACGGACCTCTGCATCGGCGCCGAGGGCATGAGGAACCTTTTTAGTGATCATCCGCTCGCCATCCCCGTGACCCTTGGATGCCAGCCATGCAGAGTCATTTTTCGAGATGTGCTCTCCAACTACGTCCATGACGAGCGCCAATGCTGCACCCTGAGCGATGTCGTACAAGGAGTCCGATTCCATTTTGGTTGGCTGAGGCCCGCCATAGCCGTATAGACCCCACCAGAAGTAGTCGATGACAGCCGAGTTTGAAACAAGATCGCGTGTATAGGCCCGGTCATACTATTTGCAGCGTTGCTATTAGTTGTTGTGATGTGGTAGACGCTGAAAGAAAGACATACTGGTCCAACCATGTTCGCAAGGTAAGGGTTGTAATGCGCGGCAATATCTGCCCACAGATCCGTCAAGATACTCTTAGCATCCTTGGTCATGGCGGCATCCTGAGGTCCATATTTGATGGCACCAGCGAGTGCCCAGGTATCCATTCCGTAGTACGTGGGTGCATTGTATTCAGACAGCACATTAGAGCCTGTCGACTTGAACAGCTCCAGGATAGTCTTTCCCTGGTCATTTGCGTAGTCGATGAAAGTCTAGAGATTTAGTCAATCTATTCAGAGCTTACAACCTAGCTGATGGGGATCAGATACCTGGTTGCTGCGGCGCTGGCCAATCCAAGAAACGTACCATGCGCGCATTATAGCCGGGTTTGAGTACGCTGGTGTCAGGTTGTCTCCTTCAGGGTAGGATCCATTTCTGCGCATAGAACCAACGGCTGCAATTTCCAGACTGTCCTCGATCCGCGATACGAGACTGTCCCCTAGAAGATCGGAGAACTCCTCCACAATTTGCACAAGCTGAGTCCCGATGAATTCTCTCCAATTTGGGTCATAGGTGTTCTTGTAGGGTTTATGTGTTAGTTGATCCCCTTCTCCCGTATTCAGTGGTTGTGGACTAAGGGTAACGTACATAGATTTCCGGCGGGTACAAGTCCGAATCAGGAGTTGGATAGGGCTCATCGGGTGAAAGCTTGAATGTGCCATACCAAGCAGAGTCATAGCTCTCGGCCATTTGGCACGTAAGGCTGATAGACTTTAATGAGCTTCAAACACGCGGAAAGACTGAATCACTTGGCATTGTTGATTGAGATGTTCTTACATATTCTCAATAGCTGCCTTGGCGTTACTGAGATCATGACCCTTATTTCGGTACAGTAGTCCGGCGGTATACCATGCTGTAAAGCGAGTTGACCACGGGCCGTTGTCGGAGTACCAGATGTACTTATACGAGTCATCCCAGCGCTTGTCATTGACATTCATAGACCAGTCAAACAGATCTTGAGCATCTAACATTCTCATGTGAGCAAGTCCCCGTGCCTGACATCGATTGTTCTGAGTATACTAACTTTTTGTCAATCCCTTTGTTATTTGGGCGGCTGAGGCGCTGGTGACTGCAATGGCACCGACGAATGCATATCTTGCGATGTTGTTCAGAATCATGGTGCCTGCAAATCAGTACAAAACAGGAAGAGGACAATTTGTTGACGATCACCCTATAACAGGGCGGGGTCAATTAATTTATACAGACAGACTAGTATAAGCCAAATCCCCTTGAATAGTGGGATTAAGCTTTCAGGGATGGTTATTGAGGCTACTCGGAGAATTCCCGGCTAATCCCCCGCACTTCGCCGGTGAAATGTCCGAAGGTTTATCGCCTTCTGCTCGTCGATGTCTCACTAAGTCATCTAAATTAACTTTGAGTCACCTTAAAGCGTTTGTTCCAGAATTTTACCAGTGCTTTGCCGGACGTAACATCTCTTTTCGGGTTGTCTAATCGAGCTGTAGATAGTGGCGGGACCCGCCTACCGCACCCTCTTCCTCTCGCTCGGTCATAGACGCAGATTTTGGATTTTGCTGAAGGTGGTGGTTGAACTACTATTTGAAAGATGGTTTGGGGGTTTGGTTTTTCTAATCGGCTTGGATCCCTGTAACCAGATGTCATCTTACAAGGACGCGTTTCATTCAAAGAAAATATTGAAACAAATGAGCTTAATACATAAACACAACAAATGAGAAACGCTGGCCATAAGCATACTCAGTGTTGATCATAAAGTCTTGGTGACCACTTTACTCTCAACCACTGCCCGGTCCTTCTCATGTTCACCGAGTTTCTTCTCCACTATAGATGCCGTGACTCCAGCCAACGTATCTCCATGTTCCTCTCCATCCAAAATAACGGCAGTCTCCTCCAAGCTTAGATTGCCGGTCTCCACGAAAAGGAAATAAACCACCACAAGCTCGAAAGCTAGCCAAACGTCATAGGTAATGTAGAACTTCCATTTGCTGTTGGTGACGCCGATAGGGTTAACGTACTGGTTGAAAATTCCGGCCAGTGCGACAAAGAGATTGTAAAGAACGAGGCCCCGGGCACGTAGGTTGAAGGGTAAAATCTCAATGCAGTAGGTTACCTGCAGAGGTGTCCAGCCGATGGAGAAAAAGAAGTTGTACAGGAATATCATAGCCAGAACACCTTTTGCGTAGCCATCACCTCCTGTTCCATCAAGCGCCGTCTTGTTTTCGTAAATAGCTTCGAGTGCCGTCCAGACGATGTAGACTGCCAGTATCCCTCCAGTGGAGATGAGGAAGAGAGTTCGCCGACCGAATTTGTTCATCAGAGCAGCGAATACAAGACTCCAAATCATAGACCAAAGCGTGAGGAGCGCATTGATGAGTGTCTGAGTGCTTTCCGCTGTATAACCAATCGAGTCGAGAATAAGAGTGAGATAGTAAGAGATAAGACCGTTCCCGCTCCACTGAGAGAAGAATCCCACGGACAGAATAATGAAAAAGCGCCTGATATTGCCTTTGCTCTGGAAGAAGGTCAGATAGGAGGTATTTTGTCTGGCTTCATGCTCGAGTTGAAGCGCAGTGCGGATTTCTTCCATTTCGAGGGTGACGAGTAAATCAGAGTCATCCCCGTTGGCGTGATATTTGCATATCAGCTTCCTAGCCTCCTCGTCGCGTTCCTTGCTGATGAGCCATCGTGGTGATTCCTCAATGAGAAGGCAGAGGCCGATTTGGATCACACTGGAGAGACCCTGCAGGAGGGACGGGATTCGCCATGCCCAAGTGCTTTCAATGCGGAATGTGCCATAAGTAATCCATGCGGCGGCAAGCGCGCCCAGATTCCACAGGCTGTTATATATAGCCACCTGTGGACCTTGCTGTCGAGGAAAAGCCAACTCCAAGAGGAGAAGCGGGGCAGCGGTGATGTTGAGGACAAGGCCCATACCAATGATGCCACGAGCTGCGATGAACATGCCGACATTCTGTGCCGCCGCTTGTAATGCGACACCTATCATCAGAACAAAGGCGCCAGCTAAAAGCACCGGACGGCGCCCAAATTTGTCGCAGCTAAAGGCGCAGATTGGCATGGTGATCAGTTGGCCAACATTCTGGATAGCGTTCAAACTTCAGGATAATGTCAGTTTTCTTCTTTTCTTCGCCTAATATCGTTTGTATCTGCCAGTTGAATCAGAGGAGCCAGTATGGGTGCTGCTTACAGGCCAAGCTCAGAAGCTCCGGGATTGTTGAAAGAATTTTGCCAGGTGGTGAGTGACTGGAGGCCATTCATCATAGATCCATCATATCCAGTCGCATAACTCGAAATCTGGAAGATAGCAAGCATAAAGTTGAGTTTTATGATACCGGAGTTGGTGATCCATGATTGTCCTGTGCGCAGGCCTGCGATCGCACCAACTGTATATGGCGACTCGGTATCTGGAGATGAAGAAGCCATTTTCCAACTCAACTAGATCAGAAACCCGAGGTAAAGGCAGGTCCTTTTGAGCAGATTTTGATATATAGCACCCAAGGTGGTGAATCTCAGTCGTAAGGCTAGGTCATCTCACATTTGACGGGATATCAATCATATATCAGAGACTCCCTTGGGAAAGACGCTAGAAAAGGCGTGGCATTTACTGCATGGTAAGCGATTGCAAGCTCTCCTGGGGGAGAGATTAGAGTTCATTGGCTCGTTCTAGACCTTCGCGATAGAAGACCCTGGGGGCTACCGTTTTAGTGTTGACTGCGGAGCTGTGGCTCTTACTGCGGAGAACATGCGCAATGATAGTTTTTGGAACAGGAACAGCCCACTCGAAACTCAAGTGGCGCAGTGCTTATCCATGGGAAGACTTTTGCCGGACTTCGCCGGTTTCACCGGTCTGATAAGGAACGCCGGTTGAACGTGAGCTTTTTTGGTGAAAGGCTATCAGGTCTGTCGCATATGAGAGACTAAATGATAAGTTTTGAAATGGGATACGGAGGTCCCTCGTCTGGGAGGGTATCCATGTTTTTGATTTCCGCTTTGTTTCCCAGCAGTAACCGCAACAGTTATCGCAAAGTTTCAATGCGCAGCTGATGATGGTGGTTTCTTTGCATCAATGTTGAGAGCGCTCTTTCGCCTAATTGGCCATCTCAATCACGAGCATATTTGTGAATGCACACTTGCCTGGTGTGAAAGATGTCGGAACCTACTTCCTCGCTCTTCACAGGAGAGCATTCAGCCATGTCGTGGCGCACCTGCAATGGACCCCAAGTCACTCATCTCTCATGCGATCCATCGCTTCGTGTATGGCTTGGCTACGTCGCTCCATGATTGCCACCCCAGCCGGGTGGTCAAAGCCCACAAATCCAGCTTGTCCGTGTCCGAGACTGCTAGGATTGCGACAGATGATCCCACTTTGGATATTGTTCATGTCTGCACAAATGAGAGACCTCTTGACTTAAGTGGTAGTCTGAGGGACGCTGGGTGAGTGAAGGAAAAATGTAGCATGAGTAGAGAGGGTTCATGCCAATCTACGCTCGCTGAATTTGATCGGGCTTGCTCTCCCTGTGCACGTACCCAAGCTATAATATGATTACATATAGAACCTCTACAGCTGATCAGATAAATGGATGCATTGAAGTTATATTATTTTATCCAATGCGATACTGTCATTCTGCATTAGATACTTGGCTTTACGCAGCAATCTTTCGTTATGAACTCGGCATCGCAGTCGATAAGAAACAGTTGGGGGAGAATATCATCATACCGTGAGAGGTTGATTGTTCAATAATTTACTCCTTGATAATCACTTCAACTCGTAAACTCCAAGCTACAGTATAATTTCTGACTGAAGATTCGCACTCACTTTCCACATTTGGAAACACGTCTACCGATTCGTGCAAGATCGACAGGGCAAATTGTATCCGAAACCGCCCCCAACACTGCTCACCAATAAGCTACAACATTTGTGCCATGCAAAATCATGATAGACCCCAGATTTTAGTGAGCAGTCTCAGCCCGCGGTCTTCAGTGGCGCACCCCTGCATATGAGATCCTGGGGGCGAAACTTACCAAACACCGAGTCCTTCACATTTACCTAAATAGGGCTTGCACCATGCCCAATTCGGAAACTGGTTCATTGAATTTCTGAACAGACCTCTCCGCCTCTATACATATAACTGTCTACTTTCAGAAACTCCTATCGAGCTATGGGATGATCGTCGATTACGAGCTGAAAGAAACCTGGCAGGTTACATCGAGTAAAGGAGAGAGACAGCTTACAGGATACTAAGTTGCATCTCAAGACTATAAAGATGACCTGATTTCCGACCTGAACAGAATTCACTTAACCAAGCTCCATATCAAAGATTCATTTTCTAAAATGGCCATCCTGAAACCTATCGCTCTCGCAACCCTGGCCCTAGCTGCCCAATCAGCAGCTCAATCCGCAAACCCAGGCGTAGGAGCCAACCCCAAAGCCGACGGGGCAACAGAAGATGTCACGTCGACCACAGGTCCAAACGGGTACGCACTCTACCCACTATTGTCCGTTGAAACATCTAACAAAATTCCAGATCCGAGGATTGGCTGAACACAGGCATAACCGACAACGGCTGGAACCCACCGTTCCTCTCCATAGACGACGTCTATCACATCTCCCTGGATGACTTCTACAACGGAATCGGATCGGCCTGCAAGCAATACGACAACTACTTCCAAATCGCAGGTTCAAAGTACGGCGTCGACCCAGTAATCCTAGCCGTCATCGCAATGCAAGAATCATCCTGCAACGCCGATGCCGGCGGACCCACGCCTGGATTGATGCAAGTCTCTTGCGAAAACTACCCTAACGGCCAGTGCACGGATTCGATTCAGGACAACGTTGATGCTGGGACCAACTACCTCTCTTCGCAGCTGGATTCGGCCGGTGGAAATGCTATTCAGGCGTTTGGGTCTTACAATGGGTGGTTTACTAAGGGGAGTGGGTTGAATGGGAATAAGGGTCTTACGCAGGATTATCCTTGTTCGGAGGAAGGCCAGTCTAATGGTGTTCCGCAGAATTTGGATTATTTGCATCAGGTCATGAATGGCTGGCTGATGGGGTTGGATGTTTATGGGGATGATAGTTGGATTGGGACTTACAACTGCGACCAGTCTTGTGGTGATGGTAGCTTGTGCTAGATTCTCAGCATTTTTGTTTTACAACAGTGGCCATATGTCCTTTCCCACCCCTACGTTTATACAATCTGAATGGCTTACCTGGTGCACTTTGAAATTGGCAAATTCAGAGCACAAATAATGCATAAAATAGCACGTTCACCTCGAAAAATTTGGGAGGAAATTGTCCAATACTTCATGACACTGGAAACAGAATTCTGTTACCTGTTGTATATTTGCTACTGTTTACTGAAAGGTAGGTTACTTGCCCTTGACTTTCGGGGTCTAAACAATTGGAATGTTTCACGAATTGTTCATTTTGTTTATAGAGTGCCTTCGCTCAACAAGACAACAGTTGATCTGGTTACTCAACGTGAAATCATGTCTCAATAAGGCAACGATGACCCTGTGGAGCCATCAAGAAGAAAGACTCCATAATCATATCGTTCTCTGACATTCCCTCTTTCTTCGAAGGTCGAGCATCAGGGAAAGCACGGAAAAAGAGTGCGGTGGCCATCCGAAGCTCCATACGCGCTAGATGAACACCCAAACAAACTGCAAACGTTAGTTTTGATCAGAAGTCTGGATATGAGAGACGTACTACGAGATCCACCACCAAAAGGAAGAGAGGCATCTCTCATTTCTTTGGTAGGGTTTTCCCATCTCTCGGGTTTGAAGCTGTTCCACTTAGTATTGGGTTTGAACCTTTTGGACCTTTCTCAACTCACCTGTTCGGGTCTGGGAAGATAGCAGGGTCTCGGTGCAGACTATAAGACTGGGTTGTTACTGTGCTTCCTCCCGGTAACTGGTATCCACAGAATTCGGCTCCTTCTGACGGCACTGAGCGAGGCAAACCAAGCGGTACAGCCGTGTATAACCGTAAAGTCTCCGTGATAACCAGATTGAGATACGGCAAGATTCTGAGGCTTTTATCCGTAACAGGCTCGGAAAGATCCATCAACTCACCAACAAGTTTCTCTCTCACACGGCTGTCGCTGGACACAGCATAGCTCAGATAAGTCATAGTAACAGCAGTAGTATCACTTCCTGCAACTATGTATCCTTGGGCTTCCTGTCGGATATTGTCGAACGTCAAGCCATTTTTCTCGGTTTCAAACAATTTGGTAAGTAGAGTTGGCTTAGGCTCCGATGGATTTTCAGCAATGAGACGTCGATAACGATCTATCGACTGTGCGGCGTACATCCCAAGTCTTCTACCTGCCTGTACACCTTCTTTGATCATTGGCAGAGGAACATGACCAGCAATTTTGATTAATGTTGGGAAGGTCGTTCGCATTGGTTGGTATGATGCCAGTCGTTCCATATCTGAGATGTACTGGTTTTTCTGTAATCCGTCGTCATCAGCACAGGTCTCTTCAAAGATTGATACACCGACAATATACACAAACCTTTCCTGCCTCAAGCATTCGGAACGATTCACCAAAGCTCAGTTCACCAATTATGTCTGTTGCCATGAATAACCACCATTTGAAAACATCAGCCGCACCACGAGATTCTATCTCCTGCTTCATTTTGCTGACAGTAAGGTTGATTCTATCAGTTATGAGTGGCTCAAAGCGAGTCAATGAAGAGTCGGAGATTGGAGATGCCAGGAGACGCCGATGGACAGAGTGGAACTTGGTATCCATAGTCGAGAATACGTTATTCACGGCACCGCTGACCATGTTGCGATAGAACACGGTTTTAAGGAAGCGGCTGTTGGTCTTGTGGATCTCTCTCACGGCATTTGTATCACATATGTCAACCATGTCTGGACGGACTCGAACAATAGGGCCTGTTCATATCCATGTCAGTACATTTCTATTGGTTATCAAACTGGTGATGCTTACCATATTTCTCATGAAGCTTATGGACATACATGGGTGCCTTTCCATTCATCCAATAGTATGTGTAGACGAATCCTGTCCATTTTGATATTTCAGGGCCGGGGATATGCGATGTGTCATTTGTGAGTCGTTGATATATGATAGTCTGGCAGCGCTCCGGTCAACAAGTCTTGAAAAGGAAACGGGAATCAGCATAGAAGCCTACCAGGCAAGTAATCCCAACTAGATTTGCCAGCCAGTGGCTGAGAAGAAAGGAAGTAGGCGATATTTCGCTAAGCGACACCATTATGTAGCGTTAGGCCTTGAATGATTTTGCTCTAAGTTTGCGAAAAGACCCGTACCTAGCGGTTGCTTTATACTTGACGAATCACCCACCGTACGTCACACGAGTCAAAAGGTCTGGACAGCTGTCACTGTCGCTGTCGGGGGTCTTGATTTCCGATTCCCCGACACATCGCAAGGAAATTCGTAAGGCTGTTTGCCCCCGAACTATCGGTCGGTCATTCGTGAACGAGCGAGGGGGGGAATGATCGACGAGGCCCACCATCGGGCTTAAGCAAACCCCCATTCACCGATGCAGAAATCGATGGCTTCACATTGCAAAATGCAACATTTTATTGGCTCTCACATCCCTGCAGGTCTGATATCATCGAGACTTCCACCTACCCCGCCATTATTGTGTCTCTCCTAGCATCACAATGAACCGTTCTACAGAGAGTCTCGGTACATTATGTGAAATGGACGAGAATACAGCCAAAACAGCAGTCTATTGAGTGTGTCCATATTCTTTTCTAGGCATCCCTCAATCGAACCCTGCAGCTTCCAGCTGTGACATTCTAAATCACATCTCCTAGTCCATTGGCAAGAGAATGATATGCTCTACGATGACCGATCATCGATGATGGCTGGATAGAAATTACGTTTAATATACCCGGAACTGAAGAATATGCTTTTTGGGACGAGACTAATCCATCGATGGTTTTTATACTGGGGGTTAAGCTAACATTTTGGTGTGAACTAACACATTCAGTCATTGCTACCAACGCTATCAACTCCTATGATAATGTTTTGATGATTGCCATGTTTACTAAGATATTATGGACGCCAAAATAGTTTCACCAACATACAGTAAAAGAGGGGTCCGAGAAACTTATATTGTTTGGTGTGAATGTACTGGTGGTGTACAGGAAATTTTGCTTCGCTCTTGATACAAAAGCGAATCATGAACATCCTTGGAACGTAGAGCTCTACAATATAAAGTTATAATCCAGTATGATGGCTGTCACATTTGTCAATTCTAAGTTACAACATTAGTCGCAAAGGTGTAGGTCGCATGAAAGGAAACAAGGCGAGTACTTTAAGGCACATCTTTCACACCGCATCGAGGTAGGATGCAATAAGAGGCCCAAAGAGGCCCAAAAGCTAGACCTGCAAATTAGCCATCCCTGCAGAAGAAGACAACAAACGGACGCTGGATCCATCAATGTACAGGACCGACCAATTAGTTGAACTTGATTTCACAAACACCATTGAAATTGGGAGTTGCACATTCCCAATAGCTTATATTGCCAGAAAAGAAGTTTGCGTCGTAGAATATGTATGCAAAGATGTGCAACTTGTCCTGTTTCGTGCATCGGCATTAGATTGACGTGAGTCGCAGGACGCGGTTTTGGAATATAGAAGACACATGGCAAGCCACGCTTCAAGTCACCTTGGGACGCTTGGCATTGTTAAAACCAGAACCAGGATGAGACCGCTTGCGTTCCATAGCCTCCATCTCGGCCTTCATGATTCTCTCTTGCTCGGTCATCTTCTTAGGAGGAGCGAACATAGAGCCCTTCTTGCCAACCAGCGGGTTCTTTTTAGCGGCAGCAAACACGTTCTTGGGCTTTTGGGCACCCATAGACATGGAGACCTTGATTGGCGCCGGTGGTTGAGCTTCGGCAGGCGGGGCAGGAGAATTAGTGGCATCAGTTGGCGAATCCTTTGTCTCGGGGGACTCGGCTGTAGTTGGAGGTGATGGTGGCTTTGATTCTGTCTTTGGCTTGGATCCAAATCCGAAATCGAGCTTCATCTTCTCGCCTTCCTTCCGCTGCAACAATTTCGCTTCAGGTTCCTCTTCTGTCTTGTTGGCTGCTGCCGTGCGCTGGGCCCGCTCGATCTGTTCTTGGATTTGTTGCTGTTCTCTCTCCTCGTCGCCCTTGTCCTGTCGCTCCTTTTTCATGACGGCTTCGCGCTTGCGCATTGTTTCCGGGCTGTTGTCAATCCATGAGACGAATAATCCCTTCTCGCCTTCCTCCACGCGGCAGATACCCTCCCGTCCAAGGTATGAGGCGAATTGTGTCAGGCTTGACCATTTCGTCGAATTCATATGAATATGCTGTTCCAGGTTAGCACGTGCTCTTAACTTTCAATGACAACGGATTAAAGACTCACGCTTTTATCTTGGATAACCTGCTGGTAGAAGTGGTTGATCTGGATCTTCTTTTCACCGTGTGTTGTTCTTAAGAGCTCAACAAAGTTCCTCAAGAAGTCGCGACTGAATTCTTCGATGTGCTTCTTGGAGTTTTCGCCAATCAGGAGCATCTGTCTCGTATGACTTTCGCTGTTCACATGGCACTTGAATCCGTTTTGATCGTTACACTGTTTTTCTTGAAGGGGTCAGTATATCGCATGTAGTTCAGAGTCGGCAGTAGACTTACCACAGGCCTGACAGTACCAGCGAAGTCGGCCTAAGCCTTTCGACTTCATCTTGTTACTGATCGCCTTCGTGCTTCCTGCTTCGGCGCGCGGCATTTTGGGCGAGTATGTGCAAAATAATAGCGGGAGGTATGCGACAGTTGAATGATGAAAGAGAAGACTCTAGTCAACGGATAAGGCCGTTGTGGAGAGGGAAGTGTCAATGTCGAGATCAACGATGGAGTATCGGCCTCGGAGGCGATAAGCCCATTACTAATGTAATATTTGAGGTCACGTGAAGATTAAAAAACGGACCAATTAGTTCATGATTGGTGGCCTGTCTCATCGATTGTTTGATACAGTGTGAAAAGGACAATTTATGAATTGAGACAGAATAAATTATCCTGATAAAAAATATCTGACCAAACTCCCCAATCCTACGCCTGCGGCCGCAGATGGCCTTTTCTAGGACTCGTAGCATACATGTAAAAAAAGAAAAGATAACAAATCCGACTCATCATAGCTAACTTCGCCAGGTAACGTCTCATAAACCGCATAATGTGAGAAATAGACGAAGCCCGAGCCAATAGGAAGCGGTCAGCAGGCTAGATGTGCGAGTTGTATTACAAAATGTATTCGTGAATGGCGGATGGTCCGCTCTCGTTGTACTCAACTCGGCTCATGTAGCCCTTGCTGAGACCCTGATCAAGAACAAAGAAGACCTTGGCAGCCATCTGAGCACCAAGGAAAATGGCCTCCTCCATACCGTGGCCACCCTGGGACGACCCGGGTGTGGAGTTAGCACCGGTGGCACCGGGGGCGTTGCTGTTGCCGTGGTCCTTGAAGTCGGGGAAATACTCGGGAAGCTTCAAAGTCTTGACGGACGTTGGGGTCTGAGAATGGCCGGTTGAGCGGTAGTGTGAAACCATGTTGGGGTCCATGCCGGGAGTACCAGGCATGCCAGGCATGCTGGGCATACTGGGGTTGTTATGAGTAGCAGCAACGAGAAGAGGGTTTACGCCGGGAGCTGCGGGATGGTACATCATCCCAGATTGGCCCATATGAGCAGGCGTGCTGGCGCCAGTGGGAACAGGCGTGGTGAAAGTAGAGGGGATTTCAGAGGTGAAGATGGTACCAGAAGGAGAAAGGATGAACTTTTGTTGGATAACACCGAGCAGAGCCTGAGTGAAGCCTGTTGTGATGTCAGTAAATATAGTTTGCGACGGAAGCAGATCATCAATGACTTACCCTTGACCTTGCTTCCACATCCAACGATGATTAAAGAGTCCCAAAGCTCGCTTCGTTTTGTGGCATCGGGAACAGCAATAATGGTATGGTGAATTTGTGTGGCAATGTCCTCAAGAATTCCGCTGGTGAGGCGGTCTCCGTTCTTTAAACGAGGCGAAGTCAAAAGAAAACGCTCAATGCTGACTTCAATCTCTCGTTGCTTGCGGATGTACTGTCGAGAATCGTTGGTTGCTGCATCCTGTCCTTCCAATTGCACGAATTCTTCGAACTGGAATGAAGCCTTCTCTTTCTTCGAGTTGGGAAGACGAGCTTGCTTTGGATCAGCTGCTCCCTTCTTTGTCGTCGTCTTTTCTTTCTCAATATTGGCAAGATACTCGGTGGTGTTACCGCTGACGATTGCAGCGACATCAAGAACGCCCTCCTCTTCATCATTGCTGCCCTCTGTCCCAGTCTGAGTGCCATCACCTGGTCCACGCGGGGCAGAATCGTTGCTATCTGCTCCTCCAGTTGAGGCAGCAGCAGCCGGGTTCGCACCCTGGCGCGCGGTGGCAGCGTCTCCAGGAAGTGGGGTTCCGGGGGGAAGAATCTCAGTAATGTTGCTTCGCTTGAGCTGCTCGCACATCTCTCTGCTGAATCCTTTTGGGCCCAGCAATTCGACAAGACGGTCCGTCATAGAATCACCACCGCAGCCCTCGAGAGCAATACCTCTGCCATGCTCGTTGACCGCGAAATCGGTAACAGCAGTAACATCAACCTTGCCCTTGCCGACATCAACAACGGTAGCTGTAGGTACGCCGTAGCCGTAGCAAGCTGCAAGTGCAGAGTCCATAAGACTGAATGCTGGAGCCTTAAACTTCTCAAAGACGAATTGGGTGATTGCTTCGCGATCGCGCGCAGACCAGACAGGCTCGGAGATGAGCATGATCGGAGTGTGAAAAGGTGGGCTCAGGGTGTTGTAGATGTGAGTCAGCAGAGCAAAGAAGCAGGGCCAATCGACAATGCGCCCGTTCTCAATGGGATGAATTGCGTCTTTGTCGGACATCACATCCTCCTCGTAGAATACCTCTTCAATTGTCTTGGTAGCTTCACCATTGGCCTCAGCACCGTCGGCCCCGCCTTCAGGCTTCTCGGTAGGCTCGGTCTTTGGGGCGTCGGCCGCAGATTGAGCGTCCTTCATTTCCACATCTTCCTTAGGGGCCTCTGTGCCATTCTTGACCTTGATCTGTTGGCGCCGCTCATTGACACGGTAAGGTTCATATTCTCCCTTCTTCTCGGCGGGGAACATGCGTGTTGGGAATCGGTATCGCGCGGGCGTGAATGTTTCGGGCAACCCCAGCTGCGCCAGGGTCATTTGCGAACCCGGCGCAATTAGCTAGGCAGGTCAGCAATTCATATTCTGAATTCAGGGCAGACATGAGGAGTTTGTGCATACCAAGATATGCTCATCCTTGAAGGGAGGCATAGTGATGGTGGGCTTTGAGCGCAAGTGGTGATGACTGTCCACGGGAGCTCCGCGCGATTTGCGATGGGGGTTACGGCGTCTTCCCATTTTGGCTTAGTGTGGTGAAGACCACGAAGTTGTCACGTGTGCCAAGATATTTGTGCCCTGTTTGTCAGGCGTCGGGTGTGGGCGAAATGTGGAATCTCAAGAGGGGAGGAATCTCGAAACTGAGATCGAGAAAAGCGCAGTCTCAGAACTTCGAATTTCAGTTCAGGCAGGGTTTGGATTATTTGAGACTCAGTTTGCAAGCGCTTTTTTTTTCTCCTAGAAACTCCAATGTTATGCCAATACGTTCTACTCCAATACCACCTCCATTTGATCCAACTCAGATGTCAATATCTTCATTCCAGATTCAATTTAATTCTGTTTACTAGGGACTGGAGGAAAATCACAAACATAGTGGCACCTTATTGAGGCCGTGTAGTATCCAGAATTCTGGAATATGGCAGGCATCTCTTCGTCTACCAAGTTTGTTGCTTCCTCGATATATATCTTGACAAATTCTTCGAAAACCACTACATCAAAGTACTTTTTAGATTGGATCATTGAACGCTTTGAGGAAATTCGAGATTATTGATAAACGTTAAATTCATGTGCAATTCAATGATGCATTGACGCGTATACGCCATTAAGTATATCCCCAACCCACCCCCAAACAATGACAAAAAAACCGAGAACCATCGCATAAAACTCCAGACCCGCATAACCAGTGAGTCTTGCAAAACGCCCATTGACCCTTTTGCTCTATGACCAGCACGAGTCTCAAATGATTCTATTCAGGCCCGGCATTGTACTTGTCCGTCGCTGAACGGAACAGCTCCTGCTGTTGCCGTAGAAGCTCCTCCTCTGTCAAGCCACTCTGCTCCATCTTGCTCTGCTTCTTCTCTCGTGACTAGAATGGAACCAGGTTAGCAACTTGATCTGAGACAACAATGCGCATCCAAACACGCAGAGACATACCTTGAGCTGCTGCTTGTGCTCCTCAGCGACGGAGAGAACATCGGCAATATAGTCGCTGAATCCAAGGTCGCGCAGGGCCTTCTCGACATGTTCACATGCGATTGTCTTCTTGGCTTCCTTCTCGCTGATATCGTTTGCCTCGGAGGAGATCAGGGTGATGAATTCAACACAGCATTCCATGAGCAAGTCGCGCGCATCCTTGGAAAAGGTCTGACCGGAGCTGGGGGGCAAAATTTCGGTGATGATCTTCTGGACCGTGGCTGTCGCAGGATCTAGGTTAGCACAGGCTCGTCGAACGCGCATACATCGCCGCAAGCACAGAAGAGAAGAAGGGACAAAGACAGCTACCAGGTGAGTTGTCTGCACCCCAGAACGCCAAAATTGATCACAAACAAGGTTTTAGATCGTACCTTTAGGAAGCGACAGGTCGTCGTTTGCTATTTAACCATAAGATGTCAGCAAAAGCACGCGCAGGATGTCAAGATTCCGGCCACTTACAGCTGAATTCACGATCGGACATGGTGAAATCGACAGGGGAATATAGTGGAAATGAGGAACAGGTGAAAATCGAACTGAGAAGTGAAAAAGAGAAAAAAAGATGCGATCGTAATTTCCTCGAGCTTTTGCGTGGGGCTCGAAGTTTCTTGGAGATCGCAGGCGCGCCGGAGTTAAGTACATTTCTTGCCGGCAGTACCACACCGCTCTTGACTACATATAATGTGCTCTCGATTTTTTTTCTTCCCTCTTTCTTCATCATTCACTCAACCACCTTGGATTGAGTCTTTCTAATGCGATTGACTCTCTCCAAGGCTCTGCACTAATGGTAAGTTCATAAAGCTCGAAATTCTCACTTTCCTTTTTACCATGATGAACCTTGTTGTCGCCCCTATCATACATTCTATGGTGACCATACCTGTCCTAGCCAAACGGACTTTCTGATACCATCAACATTACCAATTTTGCATCTCACTTCATCTTTTGAAGCTCATGCTAACTTTGTTGAAGATTTTTACAGTAACTCGTTACTCGTAGCTTGAGAATCCGCATTTCCCCCCCATCTTTCTCTTCACCTACGGAACAACATTCGGAGGACAGGAACACTACATTTTTGTGTATCTACTATCCAAAAGGTACGCGTTTGAAATTTACTATACTCTGAATTTGAATTACATGATGAACACCCTACATTCCATGCTAAACATGAAGGTGTGCTGCACCTAATGCTTATAAAATGTATATGCTTTTCATCTTTCGGCTGACTTGTAACCCAATTATTGCCTTGCACTTGCGTCAATATCTATAGCGATCCATGCTGACTTGCTATATAAGACCACAGATATGAACATGAAAATTTTTCTAGCTGATAACGATAACAATGATATAAAACTCTATTCCTGGAAAGCCTCAAGCTCCTTGTCGTTCCACCTGTAATCCGTTAGCATAATTAACGTAGTGACTGTAGGGTTCAACATACGAGTAGAAATGACCACTGATCTCCTTGGGTGCATCAAGAACCAGCTTGGCCATGACATGACCAGGCTGCTCGGGCTTGAGAAGCTTGCCGTCCTTGTGGACACCGGTGAACTTGGAGTGCATCTCAGCATCCAAATTTGTGGCATGGTCCTCCCGGAGCTCGCGCTGCATCTCGGTGTCGACCATACCGGGCCGGACAGAGACGGACGTAACATCCGGTTCCTCAGCACCCAGGCTCATAGCGAAGTTGTTCATGGCGGCCTTGGTAGCGGCGTAGAGAGCCCAACCGCGGTATCCGGTGACTGCTGCACCGGAAGAGGTGAAGATGATTTTTCCCTTGGACTCCCGCAGAGCCGGGAGAGCTGCCTTGGCCTGATGACATTGTTATTTTCGAACGTAGAGCAGGACTGTATATGTAGGGGACTCGTACAAATGCAACCAGGCTGATGAAGTTGATATCAAAGCCTTCCTTCCACTGTTGTGGATCGGCTTCTGAAATTTTGCCGATTTGGCCCAGGAGGCCGTGGTTCAGAACCATGCCGTCGAGCTGGCCGAATGCCTTGATGGCTGTGTCCACGGCCTTTTGGGCAAGAGTGAAGTCTGCCAGATCTCCATTTAGGACTTCGACTTGCTTGTTGTATTGCTCCTTCAGTTTTTGGAGGGGCTCAACGCTGCGGGCTACCACCACCACGTTGTGCGATTGGGGTGCTGAGAGCAGATACTTGGCCACTGCAAGACCGATGCCTGACATATCGTGTTAGTGTATGGTTGTGAATGGACAAGCTTGGAGCTGTTACCTCGGGAGGCACCTGTGATGATGATAGTTTTGGCAGCCATTTTGGGATGTTCTGTACAAGTTGTCAGACAGATATAACCTCTCTTAGGAAGCACAAAGCAATATGTCCAAAGAAAGCAAAGGCGATTGCCAGATAGGAATATATCCTTTGCATTTTATAAAGATTGCGCATCATGGGGCAAGACTAGGGCAGAGACGGAGACGGAGACAAAGAAATACGATTGGCTTTTCTCCCTTCAAAAGCCCGGGGGGATAGAATGCAGATTGCAGCTTTTCAGCAAAACTTACCTTTCAATGTGATATTGCACTTACTAGGGTCTGTCTTCAATGATTGTGAGGCGTGAACTGGCGATTTAGTGCGGGGCTTAATAATCTCGTGGGGTTGGCCGGCTTTGCAAAACGTCATGTTACGCAACATTCCATGCGTAATCATAAAAAAACATTTGCGTCTTATTTATATATCGATGTGGAGATGAAGAAGTAAAGTTTGCAAAAATTGTCAACTAGTTCCATATGAAGGCTTGTAGAAAGCTGTTCGTATCTATCTAACAGGTGCAGCCAGGGATAGAAAGGCATATCTATGCTGGTTTGCCGTGCTCCACAAGGTGTTTGTCTAACAAGGCAGCATGCAGGAAGCTGAGAGCATAGAAATCATTATCTCATGTCTTCTACCACACCCAGGCGAACTTATCTCTGTCTTACCCCGCCATTGACCTGAAGTCCCCGGCCCGGTACATCTTAGGATAAAGATAATAGGTCGATGAGACGGACGTGACATCAAACTGACCCAAACCCATTCGAAACCGGAAGTGTACCTTTCAAGCAATATTCCATTCTCACGCGTTGCACATATAAGAGCACTGACTGTTCCAAAGACCAGCCATGTCGACCGTTATTCTTGGAGGAGGTATCATTGGCAACGCAATTTCGTATTATCTGTCTACAAATCAGCCAGAGGGTGAAGTCCACATCATTGAGCAATCAACGGAACTTTTTTCAGCAGCTTCAGGTTATGCCGCAGGTTTCCTAGCGAAAGATTGGTTTGCGCCGTCTCTTGCACCTCTTGGTGCTTTATCGTTTGACCTGCATACTGAGCTCGCCGCCGAGAAGGACGGAAAAAAGAACTGGGGATTTATGAAAGGGACGGCCTTCAACTTGGATACTGTTCCTCGCCAGAAACAGAGTGCTCCACAGGCTGATGACTGGATACACACCGGGACGAGTCGGGCGGAGACTGCGGCGGGATCTCATGATCTTAGTGCCTTTGAATGGCCGGAGTGGTTGACGAAGCAGAAAGATGGCAATCTAGAGAAGATCAGCCAAGAAGGAAGTGTGGCTCAAGTGTGAGTGACTTGGAAAAGGAGTTTTTTTTCAGTATTTGCTAATTTGTTGCCAGTGATCCATTAAGATTATGCCACCATCTAATGAACAGTGCGACGTCTCGAGGGGTGAAACTTCATCATCCAGCCAAGGCAACGGCAGTTGTAAAAGATGCGAATGGCACAATTACCGGTGTTAATATCGTGCGCCTGGATTCGAAATCAGAGTCCATAATCCCATGTACAAACCTTGTTCTGAGTACGGGACCTTGGACGCCACAGGTTTTCAAAAATCTGTTTCCGTCCTCGAGCATATCATTGGATATTTCGCCTCTAGCTGGCTATTCTCTTGTCGTTCGCTCTCCTCGGTATACTTTGGAGCATGAGAGGAATGTCCACGGAGGTCAGAGCCACGCTGTGTTTACCGAACACCCTCCGTCGTGTGGGTTCAGCCCCGAGATCTTCCTGAGGGAAGGTGGTGAGATTTATATCGCTGGTCTCAACTCCACAACCATGAATCTTCCCTCTTGCGCAGAAGATCGAAGGCGGCTTTTTGATCCACAAGAGATGCAAAAACTCAAGGATGTGGCGGTCCGTTTAATGGGTGGTCTTGCTAAAGATAGGGAAGATGCCACCGACGAGACAACCAACGTCAATGATCTAGAGATACTACGAGAAGGACTGTGCTTTAGGCCTGTAGGTAGTACTGGTGTTCCCACAATTGGCAAAATCGATAATCCATCCTTGGGAGGAGGAACAAAAGCAAGTCCTAGTGGAGGCGTGTTCATTGCAGCTGGACATGGACCATGGGGGATATCATTGAGTCTTGGGACGGGGAAGATTATATCTGAGATGATCAAGAAGCAGGAACTCTCAGTTGATGTGAGAGGGCTTGAGGTGAAGAAATAGGGCCAAGCATCAAGCCGTGATGTGCAGCACTAGTTGGGCCTCTTGTCGAGGTGGGATCATTGACTTTTTATGAACAGATTAAGGTACATGTCTACATGTCATGATAGTAACAAACATCAACGTTAGATTGACATTTGAAAATTCCTTCAGCAAGGAGTGAGTACCGATATAACGTATTCCTCGGTATTATGATGACAGGACGGCAGTGAAATGTCTCACATGCTCGTCATAACAAATTCAATACCACGCAGATTTTCTTCAGCGCGATATTACCTCCATGCTAAATTCGTTTTATCGAGTCACCTTTCGTTTGACACTTCCCGCCACTGCCATACCACGAAACCGTCTTACGGCGATATTCGCGCTCACTTGTTACACCGCCTGCCACAATGAGATCCCCCTAGCAGAATGTCGACCAGATGGACGATGCTGAGCTTAGTCATCCCCCTCGACCCCGGGAACTGACCGCCCGCGAATGGACCGCCCGAGAGCTCTCCAGAAACTTCAGGCATTGCATAACCGCCACAAGCTTTCAAATCAACTCTCCCCTTTTGCCGACGCCCGCCACCTCGACTGCGAGGTTATTTTCTCCCTATCTCCTCCACTTTCGACGTTGCTTTAGTGAGATCCGACAACTCGCAGCTATGGCCAACTATCTCGCCTCCATCTTTGGTACCGAGCAGGACAAGGTCAATTGCTCCTTCTACTACAAGATCGGCGCATGCCGTCACGGCGACAGATGTTCGCGCAAGCACGTCAAGCCTTCCTACTCGCAGACTATCCTGATGCCCAACATGTATCAGAACCCGGCCTACGATCCCCAGAACAAGATGAACCCCAGCCAGCTCCAGAACCACTTCGACGCTTTCTACGAGGATGTCTGGTGTGAGATGTGCAAGTACGGCGAGCTTGAAGAGCTGGTAATTTGCGACAACAACAATGACCGTAAGTTGGAACTCCTGAGTCCACCGAATTCCCCGACACCTGCTAACCTCTCATCTCGCGACAATAGACCTCATCGGTAACGTTTACGGCCGGTTCAAATACGAAGAAGATGCGCAAGCCGCCTGCGACGCCCTGAACTCCCGCTGGTACGCAGCGCGGCCCATTTATTGCGAGTTATCACCCGTAACAGATTTCCGAGAAGCGTGCTGTCGTCTGAATAGCGGAGAAGGATGTGTACGTGGAGGGTTCTGCAATTTCATTCACCGCAAAGATCCTTCGGCCGAGCTTGATCGTGAGCTGCGACTGAGCACCAAGAAGTGGCTCAAGGAGCGCGGCAGAGATGCGCGCAGCGTCAGCCGCAGTCCTAGCCCTGAGCCTGCCCGCCGGCGGTACTAGTGGTGTTTCGCAGCTTTCTGGATGTTGACTTCATCGACTTTCTTCTTTGATTTGATCTTTTCCTGGCGTTCGGCGATATCAGTGGATGATTCGATTCCGCTTTCCTTGCGCATCGGAGCGTCTAGGGTTTGGGGTATTGGTCTTTTTTTGCTGATCAGCATTTGTGTTTCGTGGCATGATATCAGAATTTCAAGATGAAAATTTCCTGCTAGATAGCATAGAACTTGCTATGTGAGTTGCATTGTTCTCCATGTATTAGTAGTACAGTATGCATTTCCAGCTATCGTGAAAACGATCATTTTCTTACAAGTATACTTCAGTAGCATCGAGAAAATTTCTCTTCAAACCTTCAAATTGTAACTCTGAATACACTAGACCAAAGTGTTCTTTGTCCAATGCGCCGACTCCGAGGTCTTGGCATCCACTTTGATAGCTACGCGAGCGCGTCGGCGCGTCGATTCTAATTCTCAGATCAATCGCCCCAGAACAACCCACGCAGCTGATACAGCAACATTTGCTGTCGCATCAAGCTCAGCTGACAAGAGACTTACTTGCGACAATATGGCTGCAGCATACGACCACAGCAACCGTGCCTTTCTTCAAGCGTTCATGGCACGCTCGTCCATGACCTTTGCAGAAGCCCAACCAGTCTTGGCCGCGATATTGACAGTCTCTGGTACTTATTTCAGCCTGTTATTATGCTCCCACTCATGGGGATATGCGTTAACCGCAAACCATGAACAGAAGGCCAAACAGTCGACCCCGAAGATGTCACCGAAGAGCAATTCTCCTCTTACATTTCAGCAGCCAATACCGCAATTTCACCATTCGACCTCGAAATCAGAAGCTCATTGCCACAAATTCCTCAATCCACAAACCCAGATGACGCCCCTTCATTACCAGATCGAGTATACGCCCTCGTCAACACAACAAGTGATCCTCTGACCCAGCTCGCAACAACCTACTCCGCAGACGAAATCGCGTTCTTGAAACGTCTCCTTGACTACATGTTCATCACGAATAACACAACACGATGCGAAGGAATGGCCGTTACCCAGATGCAAGCAGTTCAATTACATCGAGTTGGCGACGCCAATCGACAACAGTCCCAAGCTGCCGATACACAACAAACACTGGCTGGAGCAACGCAGTCGCTGCGCATGACGCAGGCAGAGACTATGGTTAAAAATTTGATTGAGGAGGGTTGGCTACAGAAGAGCTTGAAGGGATATCTTAGCCTGACACCACGGGCTTTGATGGAGTTGCGGGGATGGTTGGTGTCGGAGTATAACGATGAGACTCGTAGTGATCACCGAGCACATCGGATTAAGTTCTGTGCCGCTTGTAAGGATATAATTACTGTGGTGAGTATACTTGACGCTTTATTTGCTGGAACCCATCTAACTGAGATTAGGGCCAACGCTGTGGTGACCTTGAGTGTGGGGGACGACTTCATGACCATTGCATGCGTAATTTCTTCCGTGTGCAGCAAGGGGAAAATTGCCCCGTTTGTAAAGAGGAGTGGCCGGGTGATCATTATGTTGGCGAGAGAGCCTTTGCTGCCAGAGCACAGCCGAGAAGTATCGCCCACCCGGACTCTCAGGTTCCTTCGTCTGGTATGCCGAATGGTGATGATGAAGGATCGGATGAGGAAAATACCGATGAGGAGGGATGAAGCGATACGCAGTGACATGATCGACTATCAAGCATCTTGATCCTGGCCAAATATGCCAAGGATAGCGCCGGCTCCTCCCATCATGCAGTGGATACCATACCACTCCAGAGCATTGGAATGGTGATAAAAGGCAAAGCCCATAGAGCTTGCTGGAGTTCTCGGGCAGCGAGAAATGGTTTGGATCCAATCCGGGCGAATTGTTCTTGAGCATGCCGTGCATCGCTCACGTCTTATTCAATCAGAGTTCACGTCCAAGCCTGATCAGATGTATCTAACCTAACTATGATGGTCAAATAATTGATACCCTCGAGGCGAGGCCACATACAAACCTGGAATTGAACAACCGAGGACTGACGTGAAATGAAGTAATATGAACAATTGCAATTATCCCGGCAGAGATAAAGACTTCTATAATCTAGCCATTATCTGAAAGACAACTCAAGGCAACATGTGAACGGGGAAGAGAGAGTGAACAACATTCGAAGTATATACCAAATTGACACCTGAGGCAGAATATATTTTCACTCCTGCATAAACATTGCACACCGCAATAGTGACATTTCAGGGCTAACCTAACACTCCTTTAGACACGAAGGATTTGCCCCATTAATTTAACTCTAGGCTCCAACGGCCATTTACCGGGCAATTACTCCAAATGCGAGGGCATCCCCACATAAATCTCGCGCCAAACCTTCTCTCTGACTCGATGACGACGATCTGGGGGAATCCGGCATGGGCAAGTTCAGTCCGTGGATGCCGATTGCCATACTTTTCGGCCATCTTGGCCAATGTCATCGACATCATGCTTCGCCCCGCATATCCCGACTGTTCCGTAGACTTCAAGCCTCATACGACACCTTTGAGTGGCTTGGCCAACGCCCTCCCCCCGGACTCTACCTCGTATAATCCACCACGAACCGGTCTTCTGCCACTCAGATGTGGCAGCAGATCCCCACATTTTGCCTGAGTTGAGGCCTTTTTAATTTATTATGTACCTGGATCGGCATCTACTTCCTTCAGTGGGAATGCGCATTAAATTTTTTCTTGCTTTTTCACTTTCTTCCTTCTACCACCCCGCGTTCTCGGTTTCCAGTATAAACCGTTGATCGCACATCATCTTGAAATATAACTTGGGTTAGATCTACCTAGAATCAGAGCTGGTTAGAATCTTGGTTAGACTGCAATATGCAGTTCAAAGTGAGTCTTCAACCCCGTGACCAACAAGTTATGTAAACTAACCTATACCTCCAGTTCATCACCTGCGTGGTTTTGCCGCTGCTTGCATCTCTTGGAGTTCTTGTTAGCGGAGCACCCAACGGACGCCTCATCAGAAATGTTCAACAGTACGCCGGCCCAGGCAAAGTGGGCAACTCCAGCAAGAATGTATATCAAACAGGCTTTGACGGCGTGACATGGGACGATGACAACTGGCTCCTCAGTACCACCAACTTGGAACAAGGTCGCTTTGAAACCCGCGGATCTGTAGCAAATGGATACCTTGGTATCAATGTTGCCAGCGCCGGTCCGTTCTTCGAGATTGATAGTCCCGAAGACACTAACGGATGGCCACTTTTCTCTACCCGCCAGTCCTTTGCAACAGTCAGTGGGTTTTTTGACTCGCAGCCTACTCTAAATGGCAGCAATTTCCCTTGGCTGTCTCAGTATGGTGGTGACAGTGTGATCAGTGGTGTACCTCACTGGTCGGGACTGATTCTGGATCTTGGTAATGATACATACTTGGATGCGAAGGTGGATAACAAGACTATCTCCAACTTCCGATCCACATTCGATTTCAAGGCTGGTGTCTTGATCTGGTCTTACAAATGGACACCAGAAGGCGACAAAGGATCATTCCAGATTACCTACCGCCTATTTGCTCACAAGTTGTATGTCAACCAGGCCGTGGTGGATATGGAGATTGTTCCATCTACTGAATCTCAGGCTACCGTTGTCAATGTGATGGATGGAGCCTCAGCTGTGCGTACCGAATTTGTCGAGACTGGAGAAGACAACGGTGCTATTTTCTCAGCCGTTCGACCGATCGGTATAGCCAATGTTACGGCCTATATCTACACCAACATGACTGGATCGTCGAATGTGGATTTGTCTTCGCGCAAGATCGTGTCCAATAAGCCATACATCCACGCCAATCAATCTTCCATTGCGCAAGGCGTGAATGTTAAATTCCAGCCTGGCAAGGCTGTTCGCATCACCAAATTTGTCGGAGGCGCTTCGACCGATGCTTTCAGCGATCCGAAGAAAACTGCCAAAACAGCTGCTTCTACTGCCATGAAGAATGGATACGCCAGGTCCGTTCGTTCGCATATTATGGAGTGGGCAAGTGTCATGCCAGAGAATTCGGTTGATCGCTACGCATTTCCAAATGGAACACTTCCTGCAGACACCAACATCATTGATGATGCAGTCATTGCTGTGGCCAACACATACTACTTGCTGCAGAACACGGTCGGAAAAAACGCGATCAAGGAAGCTTCCGGAGCCCCAGTGAACGTGGACAGCATTTCGGTCGGTGGATTGACCTCGGACTCTTATGGTGGCCAAGTCTTCTGGGATGCCGATGTATGGATGCAGCCTGGCCTTGTCGCTTCTCACCCCGAGGCCGCACAGCGATTCACGAACTTCCGTGTCGCCAAGTATGAGCAGGCACAGGCGAACATTGAAACAAAGTTTACGGGATCCCAAAATCAGACTGTCTTCTCACCCTCGGCTGCTATCTACCCATGGACCAGTGGCCGTTTCGGTAACTGTACGGCTACTGGCCCTTGCTGGGACTACCAATATCATCTGAACGGAGATATTGGTCTTTCTTTGATCAACCAATGGGTTGCCAGTGGTAACACGCAGCTCTTCAAAGAAAAGCATTTCCCAATTTATGACTCTGTGGCCACACTCTATGCTGATTTGCTGGTTCGAAATGGCTCTTACTGGACAATAACCAATATGACTGATCCTGACGAGTATGCCAACCACATTGATGCCGGTGGCTTCACAATGCCTCTTGTTGCTGAGACCCTTCGGTACTCCAATTCATTCCGCCAACAATTTGGACTCGAGGAGAATTCAACCCGAGACCAGATGGCTGATAGTGTTTTGGTGCTTCGCGATAATGATGTAACTCTTGAGTTCACTACCATGAACGGGAGTGCTGTTGTTAAGCAGGCTGATGTGGTCATGGTCACCTACCCGTTGGATTATACTGCCAATTATACTTCCCAGAACGCGCTGGATGACCTGGACTACTATGCCGCCAAACAATCACCCGATGGCCCGGCCATGACCTGGGCTATCTTCTCAATTGTCGCAAACAAGATGTCTATGTCTGGCTGCTCCGCATATACATATGCCCAGTATTCATACAAGCCTTACACGCGCGCACCATTCTTCCAATTGTCGGAACAGATGGTAGACAATGCTACTATCAACGGCGGAACACACCCGGCATACCCCTTCTTGACTGGACACGGTGGTGCCAACCAAGTTTCTCTCTTTGGTTATCTTGGATTGCGACAACTGCCAGATGACATCCTCCATGTTGATCCCAACTTGCCACCCCAGATTCCCTACCTGAGATACCGCGACTTCTACTGGCATGGATGGCCTATCACCGCGTGGTCAAATTATACTCATACCACCATTCGCCGTGCCATTGGTACCCCAGCCCTTGATACTGCGAACCCCAAGTTCGCCAACAAGACCATTACCATCCATTCTGGCCCGGACACAGATACCAGTGTGTACAAACTCCCAATGAGGGGCTCAGTTGTCATTCCAAACAGACAGGTCGGCTCTTCAAACACAGTGGCCGGCAATCTCGTCCAATGCCAGCCCATCATTTCCACCGACGCATTCGAGCCCGGTCAGTTCCCCATTTCCGTGGCTGATGGCGCAGCATCCACAAAGTGGCAGCCTTCCCTCGCAGATAATGTGAGCACCGTGACAATCTCCTTCCCTGAATCGGAGATCGGCACTCCAGTGTCAGGCTTCTACTTCGACTGGGCTCAAGCGCCCCCAGTCAATGCCACAGTCATCTTCCACAACAAGACCCTGCAAGATCCCACCCTGGCCCTTCGGTCCATGAACAGCTCAGACTACGCGATCGTACACGCCATGAGCAATATTCCTCAATCTCGTCCTTACACAGAGGCCACTGACCTTGACACGATTGCCATTCCTACTGGCAACTCAACCAACGTAACACTCCCATCACCTGTTCCTGCGGCGCGATACGCGTCTCTCCTTATCGTAGGTAACCAGGCCCTCGGCCCCATTGACGTGGAAGCCAAGAATGGAACCGGTGCAACTGTTGCTGAGTGGGCGATTATTGGACAGGACAAGCAGAGCAACTCTTCTAGCTCTCAGCTTGCCAAGAGGAAGATGGATATGCGTCATGCAGCTGCTCTTGCGGATGTTGACTCGTTTATTCGTCGGAAGCGACAGCTTCTTTCTTTGAATTAATGTTGATTGATGTTGAGTTTGAATTATGCGAGAGTTTTGAAGAGCCAGATAGGATAGGGGTTGTTTTTCTTTTACTCTGTACAAAATATGATAGCACAATTCAGATTTGTCGTTCAGTTATATCATAGGAAGATGACTCGTGGAAAGAAGAATGTACATTCCCATTTTTACCCTTTCGAATCCCAACAAGATTTACTCATCCAAAGCAAACCGATCCAAGAACTTGAACGTCTTCAACCCCTCCTTAACATCCTTGACAAACTCCTCCCCAACACTCTTACCAACATAAACACCCTCCCTCTCAGCCGAGATCAACCCAGCCCGCAGTGCAGCAGACCCACCCCCAACGGCCGCAACAGGCTTTCCAAAACGGAAAGCATCAAGCAAGATATCCAAAGGCCGTCCAGCCGGATAAAGCGACGTAGCGCCAGACCCCTTATTCTTAGGCGAACCAGTAAAAGAACGCGAAGAGAAAAGACCCTCGGCCCCGTCCGCAATGACAACAGCATCAAACTGCACAGCATCAGAAGCAGAATACGTCTGATTAACGTTATCCGCCATCCTCTCCGCAACAACAACAACGTCAACTCCAGCCGACTTGAGCGCAGACTGTAACTTGGCCCCTTGCTGAATCGACGATGCATTCGCGACAGAGGCAAGAAGTCCAACCTTCAACCCATCCAACTTGGTCAATTTCTGTCCGAACGCACCGATATGCGCCGTCGTGTTATCATGGTAGAAAGTTGAATCGGGCTCTGGCGCATCGACGCCAATTGCACTGGCAACCCGCTTCGCGAGATCATTGCTGATCCGGTTCAACTGGATAATAACATTGTTGCGCACGACTTCACTCTTAACATTCGAGTTCTCGAACCGCATCGCGTCAACAACGAACTGTTTCTCTGCTGGGACGAGCGAGTTCCAGAACAGGCGCGGCTGTGACCAGACGTCTTCGAAGGTTGAGCTCTTTGAGCGGGTGAGGTGGCCGGTTGTTGTTCGGTCGGGGCTGGTGAAGAAGCCGTTGCCGACGGTTTGGTTGGCTTGCTTGGGGGAGCCGGAGTTTGGTGTGTTTGGCGTGTAGGCATATTTGTTTAGTGGGATGAACATTTGGCCTGCGCCGTCGCGGTTGTTGTTGTGGATGGGGACTCTGGGACGGTTTATGGGGAGCTGTTCGAAATTGGGGCCGCCGTGTCGGTTTAGTTGCGTGTCTAGGTAGGAGAAGATTCGCCCTTGGAGGAGGGGGTCTTCTGTGAAGTCTATGCCGCGGACTATGTGGCCTGGTTGGAACTGGGGGGTTGTTAGTATGGATGGGGTTGGTGGAAGGGAGAGGGTGGATATACCATTGCTTGTTCGGTCTCTGCGAAATAGTTCATTGGGTTGCGGTTTAGTTGCATCTTGCCCAGCTTTGTGACGGGGACGAGTTCCTCAGGGACGATCTTGGTTGGATCAAACAGATCGAATCCGAAGCGAAGCTGGTCCTCTTCGTCCATGATTTGAACACCGAGCTAGCAATGGATTAGCTGGAGGAATAACATCAAAGGGTCTGCGAGAACGTACCTCCCACTCAGGGAATCGACCGGCTTCAATAGCTTCGAACAAATCCTGGCGCATAAAGTCCGCATTCTTACCAGCAGCCTGTTGAGCCTCTTCCCAGACAAAACTAGCCTTACCCTGCATACCCTTCCAATGGAACTTGACAAGCTTGGAAGCACCCTTGTCGGTAACCATACGGAAGGTGTGAACACCAAAGCCATCAACATGACGGAACGACCGAGGAATCCCGTGACCAGCCATTGCCCAGAGGAGCGTGTGCAGCGCACTAGGCTGCTGACTGAAGAAATCCCAAGCGGAGTCATGTGCAGTGGCAGCTTGGGGGATCTCATTGTCGCCGCGGGGCTTGACGGCGTGGATCAGATCTGGGAACAGGATGGCGTCTTGGATGAAGAAGACTGGGATGTTGTTTCCGACAATGTCTATTGCAAGTTAGCTTTGCCTTGCTCAGATACAATGAGCGTATGGATACGAACCGAAGTTTCCTTCCTCTGTATAGAATCGGGTGGCGAAGCCGTGTACATCTCGTGCTGTATCGGCACTTCCGCGGCTTCCAGCCACGGTGGAAAACCGCGTGAACATGGGTGTCTGTTTGCCCTTGGCGGAGAGGAAGGAGGCTGCTGTGAGGTTGGACCAGTCTCCGTAGGATGTGAATGTGCCATGGGCTCCGGTGCCTCGAGCGTGAACTGCACGTTCGGGTACCTAGGAGAGAAAACTGCATGAGCGTGTGACTCTTATCGTATGGCTCGGTTATATGGAAACATACCCGTTCATGATCGAATCGCTGAATCTTCTGACGGAAGATGAAATCTTCAAGCAGAGTCGGACCACGCTCGCCAGCCTTGAGACTGTTCTGATCTTCAATAGGACCACCCACATCCGAGGTTAGGTAGGTATCTTCGTCATTGAGGTAGAACTGGGAGAGGAATTCCTCAGTGGCTGCAGCATCGCCATCGTTGCGACGTTCGATACTGTGAGGACTGTCGGCGATGTCGCCTGTCATATAAGGGCACGCTGCATTGGCAACACCAACGAGGCCCGTGAAGAGGGCGAGGGCATGCATGACAACCAAAAAAAAAATCCAGTACAGTGGAAAGAGTACTGTTCAGAATACAATTAGAAAGCACCGCTTCAATTGAACCTGTCGGACCAAAACCGACATACGAAACGGAGACACAACGCTCATTTTATATGCATGCGACCTTGAGAGAAAGGAAAAACATCTACCGAGGCCACCTGCAGGTAACCAATGGGAAGCTCTATTGACAGCAACATGATGTACAATCCAGGCACCACATAGGGTGGCACGGGCTGGCAAATCTCCAACCAGGCAAGAGATGATTATTTCAGCAAGACGGCCTAGGCCAAGTTGTGTGACAAGATCGAACCACCGGCGCAATAGTACTGTAGTTGGGGTTGATCGTCATGTCTTCCACGGTGAGCCAGGAGAGAGCGCAGTGGGGCATGATGCATGCTTCGGAAGATCGTTAGCTCACGGCCGAAATGAAAAGCAGCAAGGGTTATTGGCCCGCTGGGATCCTTTGACAAACAGCCAACAGCCCATGTCCGACTATCATTGCGCTATTTGAGAATGGGGTAGAGATTGGCACGCCATACAGTATATGCGACGATTGGTGACGCTACACTTCTTGGCTCGGTTGTCAGTCGGCGAAATTACCAAAAGTCAAACAAGAAAGGTGGACTTGGTCTGGGCATCTGGACAGGCAGATGTGATTCAGCAGGGATCGGATTAGATGATGAGGCGGTCGAGCCCGAGATGCTTGGTAATAGGAGCATCTGGACATCTTCTCCACTCAAGTCGAAGATGGTTGGACTTGGCATCTCAACACACCGTGACGTAGGGATTGTATCAAGGGGGATTGTCTTGGGTGCAGACCCTTGAAACATCAACTGCTGTCTCATGTGGATCGGTTCATTTATCCCCGACCATATCTTGTATATTGCGACTGTACAACCGTGGACAGTCGACATACTGCTGCAGCCGGCAAGTTGAGTCGGACCTGAAAATGTGACAGGGATGTGCCGCGGCCTAACGCCCAGGAACTTCTGCAGGCTATCCCTGCGACGCACATCTCTTACCATTTTTAGACTCGCCTCTTACCCCTTGGCCGTTGATTAGCTCCTAGGAGTTCTGATAGCCAAGAGTTCGAGGATCTAGGGTATGAGGGGGTGTTATTATTAGACAGTAAAGGTCTCTGCATTGATCCCGCATGGTCAACGGCTCATGTGGTGTGGTCGCTCGTTGCTGGATTTCTTGGAAAGCGGAAATGCTTGGCATGGAAAAGAACTTAGCAGTATCCGTTGGATCGACCAAGAGTAAAGAGCTTGGCAGTACGAAAGTGTCAGCGAAATAGCTATTTTTAATGTGATAACTATGTGATCAAGGAATTGAGGGGTAAAATGCCCTCGCAAGCTCAAGTTTGAGCACGATGACCCGTAAGATTCTAAAATTGGACATAATAGCGCAAAACTAGCCCAGAGACCGTACTTGACAAATCGCATTGCGTGCGACCATTCCTATACAAGGACGAAGAGTGACATGTTATGCTGAACAGCTCTACTGCTTTTCTACCAACTTTCGCTGCTAACCCCGGAATACATATCGTTCTCAATCCACCCCAGTTAAAGCCGCCCCATAGAAGCAGTAGTACCCGGTTTTGCGGGGTCACTAAGATCGACAAACCCATGCCTCTCATAAAGCGGTGCACCAGCCTTACTAGCATCAACATAAGCGCCGTCACCCTCCCGATCGGCAATATCACATCCCCACTGAACAAGCGCAGAGCCAGCTCCGCAACGACGGTAGTCGGGATGTGTACCAAGCATATCGAGATCTGAATCTATCAAGTTAGCCAATTTTATACAGCAAAGCCCACAAGACGGCGATAGTGATCGTGATCATAATCAGCCCGTAGGCAGAATCAAGTAATCATATGGCGGGGACAGGGCTCATACAATAATGCTTCCTCTCACCCATTACCCGCCTCCGATCATCCTCCAACTTCCCAAAGAAAGCATCGCAATCGCCAGCCGGCATGTCTGCATGCCAAGGCGGGAAACGAGGGCCGCGCTGGTTGGGCATGGCCAGATCCCATTTGGCGTAGGCTGCTAGTCTGGGACGGCCGTCTACATCCTTTGTAGTTGGGTCGATGATTTTGATGTATTTATGGTAGGGCTTGTTCTCCATGTCATGGTAATTTGCTTCTGTCATCCATGCGCGCACACCGGGTGTATCGGGCATTAGGTGGTTCATGCTTTCATTGAAGACTGTGAACCAAAGGTTTGTTATTGCGGGTATGTCGTCTGGTGTGGCGAGCTCTAGTATCAATGGGGCTTTTAAGGCCATTTTGGTGGTCGGTGATTGATTGATTGATTATTGTTGTTGTTGTTGTTGTTGATATGACTGAGGGGCAGTGTCGGTATACTAGTAGACTCGGTGGGGACTTAGCCGACTGGCGGTCAGATTCGACTGGAAATCAATTCGGTCGCGTTTGTAATGTGACTGTGACAGTACTCTGCATTGCATGGAAATGCATCGCTGCGAAGGGAACTTTTTTTCGCTGACAGGTCTGCCGATCTCGGCGAATTTTACGGCCAAAACTAAGCATGAATCGAGGGGTCTGAGGCTCGACACTCAATGTATGTCTATGTCTATATTGACATCACTACTCCGTGCTTCGGCTTAGTACTGGGGGAAAGTGGGATAGTTCCAGCTCTTTCCACTCTGGATGAGCTGCGAATCGACGCCATTGCTACCGCTGCTGACGTGCAAGACCTTTGTGAAGGCCACCTGGGAGTAGTAGGTGAACGAGACACCGACGGGAATGAAGGCTACGTCACCCATGAAAAGGGTAGCGACCGGGTAATCGCCGATCTTGATCATGAGCACACCCTCGAGAACCTCAAAGGCGGCAGCACCAGGCAGAGTGTAAGTGGGAGCATTGTCCTTGGTCTGGCGGCTGAGCGAAATAGTCGAGAGAGTGTAATTGGTATCCTGAGCCTGGGCAGGAGTGACCAGAGGCTGGATGACCTGGTATCCGAACTTGGAGTTGAGGTACTTGGGGCCGTAGTTGTTGGCAATGAAATAGGGCTGAGCTGGCGTGCCGAGGGAGTTGTCGCCGGTGTGCCATTCGGAGTTGTCAATGGGAGCAGTGCCGTTGACGAAATCGCGACGCGGCTCAAAGTCGAGCTTGGCGTAGACATCAAACCTTTGCAATGAAGAAATGACGCTGGAGTCTGGCGAGGAAGAGCTGTTGGAGTGGGCAGGAACATAGGGGGTGTCGGTGCCCGAGGTGTAGTTTGTTCCGAGGGCATAGAACAGATCTCTGGATATAGGTTAGTATATCTCTAGTGGGGTTTGATGTATATGAATTCTTACTCAAAGCCACCAGGGACAATGACGCCGACCATCTCAGTGTCGGGATCTAAGATCTGGAAGGTATGGGTGGTATTCCTAGGGACTGATCCGTAGTCACCCTGAGTGAGCAAACGTGCCTGTTGCTCATTCGAATCCTTCTGGGCCCAAAGCTGGAAACGGCCCTTGAAGTTGAAGAAGTTTTCATAGTGTTTCTGGTGAATGTGCGGCAAGACACCCAATGAACCACTGGAGGGCGCATTTGTGCTCATCAAAGTGAAGGCATAACCAGAAGAAGGACCAGTCACGGTGAAGCGGTACAGCTGGTCCCCAACAGTGACAGCATGCGAGTTGGCATAATGCGGGATGACATAGGGGCGCGGAGAAGAGGGCGCATTCTCAAGGTAAAGCTCTTCAAGGGTGGCCGACTGAGCAAGGCCAGCACTAAACGAGGCCAACAGCAAAAGAGAGGATTTCAACATCTTGAAGGGTGGATATTCAAATTGCACGTCCCGGTCCTTGGGTATGCGTGCTATATAACAAAGGAGAACTCGGAAATGCCGCGGTCAAATAGACTAAAAGAAGATTATTCAGGAACAGACGAACGGCGTGGATCCACAAAGTTCCTCTTTCCTCTCCACCCTTCGCCAGTTTGGCATCAATATCTGGATGAAAGGAGAAATCGGCTTGAGAATAGCTCGGCAATTCCGGATCGACAAATCGTCAGGGCCGGTATCCAAGCGATCCGACGATGACTTCTTCGACTGAGCTTGCGTCGACTGGATCCACTAGAGCTGATCGGCATTAATCTTTGCCGAATCTTCTCCCGGTCCGCTATGGCTTGTATAGCAGGGATCTTCTTCGGACGTCGACTACATTCATCCGTCCCCGAAATGAAATCTGCGGAGAAGGGTGACATCGCTTCATCTTGGACATGCCGTCATATACTGTATCAAGGGAGGATTCTTCACGCGTGGGTCCTGTTTCAGGCCTTGGCGGAGTATCAGGAGTAGTGCGACGAGTTGGACTCAATTTGACAGTGTACATGGACACTGTCAACTCAGAGAAGATGCCTACGTCAAACTCAGGTTTCATGCAGTTATCCACTTCCCGACGCCTCAACGCCTCCAATAGTTTGATCCGGCACGGCGTCGGCAGCCATTTCCCGACCTCCGACAGTAAAGCGTAAAGCCGATTATTAAGCAGAATAAATAAGTTAACTTAGGGTATAGACTCGAGCTCCATGTAATCACACACCTACCCAGATATAAATATCTAAGCATCTAAGCAAGCGCCTTAATCTGCCCCACCAAATCAACAACAGTCTCCCTAAAAGGTCGATACTCAACCCCCAATTCCTTGCTCACAGTCTCCCCATCAACCCCATAAGAAGCAACCGGCTTCTCGCCCATCTTATAGTTTCCAGTAACACTCTTCTTGCCCCACTCAAACTCCCCCCGAATAATATCCGCCGCAAGCTCATAAGAGAATGGCTCCGACGAAGCAGGAATAAACCTCTTTCCCCCTGCCTCGGGAGTAAGCAACGCTTGAACATGCGCCTCTGCAAGATCGCGCGCATCAATCCAAGCAGGGACTCGAGCACCAGGTAAAGGGTCCGCGCCGGCTGCTACACTCCAGAGGACGGAGTTGGATTCGTTGAGTTGTGCCACGGTAGGCACTGGGTGCACGACTGGGCCGAAGACCATTGGTGGGCAGAGAGTTACTAGGTCGAAGGAGGTTTTTTGGTCCCGCACAAAGTCCCAGGCTGCTTTTTCGGCGAATTTCTTCGAGCCGCGGTATGCGACTACTGAGTTTGATTCTGGGGAGATTGAGGTTTCGTATGTTAGGGGATTCCAGTCGGCTGCTGTGTAGGTGAAGCCTGCTGGTGGGGTTGTGTTCACGTCCACTACGGCGGCGAAGGAGGAGGTCATGACGACACGCTTAATGTTTGAACCTTGTTTGGCTGAGGCTGAAAGGATAGATTTCACGCCGTTGATTGCTGGTAGGACGAGTTCTTGTTCGTTATTTGTTGTGTCGTAGAAGAATGGCTAGTTTACGAATTAGCTTGTGTTGTTTCTAGAAAGAGATTTGGGGATGGGGGGCATACACTTGCTACATGGATGACTGCATCAATGCCATCCATCACAGAATCGAACACTCCGATCTTGGTGAAGTCTTCTACAACGACCCAATCGAGCTGAGAGGCATATTGAGGACGCGCTGCCTTCATCTGATCTCCCTTTGCCTTGGATCTTGTTGATCCCCGGACTGAAAATCCGCGAGCCAAGAGGTTATCGACGACATGAGCGCCGATGAATCCTGTGGCGCCGGTGACGAGAACATATCTGCGATTGTGAGCTTTGATTGATGTGACAGCACTGGTCATACATACGAAGGCTTCTGTGCAGACATTTCGATCGAGATATGTGAGATGATGTCTGTCAACGCTGTGTCTATTGAGACAATATTGGGGCAACCCCGCATGGGGAACCGACTCGGAGTTACTGCGAGGAAGTGGGATTTGGTTCCCCACGCGGTGGCATCTAGTGTGGGGGAGAAATGGTATGGAGTAGAGTATGTATTGTTCTGTTATGAAATGGTCTAATCCGTCTGGGCATGTAAGAGTTCAAATGTTCTGTCAAGTGGCAGCATCTGCAGACCACATCTATAATGAAACTCTCCATTGAAACCCGCCAAAGTCTATTCACTTTTGCTGCAGCACCTCTTCGGTGGTGCGAAGCACAATATCAAATGCATTGCGAACGTTCTTTTCCTCAGCTAGAGGATTGGCACTCACAACACGGATCACATAAACACCATCAATGACAGTGGATGTGATGAAGATCTCTCCTCGCGAGTTGATCAACTCATACACTTTCTTAGTCAGAGTATCAGCCCCTTTATCCTGAACAGCGCGCTCAGATGTGCCATTAGCCCCGTTAAATGAAGATTGAGGGTTTCTTAAACGGAAAACAGTCAAAGCGAAACCGGGCTTCGTCACAATCTCAAACAGATCAGAGCGACTGCGCACCAAGTCGGCAAAGATATCACCAAAGCCGATCGTCTTGCGGATATGCGCTTTCATGCCGTTGAGACCGTAGCTTCGCATGACGAACCAGATCTTCAATGCGCGGAATCTACGACCGAGGGAAATTGACCAGTTTCTGTAATCAATCACTGTGCCCATGTCGGAGTATGGGTTGCGCAGGTAGGTTGGTGTGATATCAAGGGCATTAGTGAGATCCAAGCGATTCCGAACGTAGAGGACACTGGTAATAGTTAGAATCAGAGAGCATGTAAAGAGATCCCGCCAAATCCAGCGATACTTGCCTGGCATCAAAGTTGACTAGCAGCCACTTATGCATGTTCATGTTGAAACTGTCAACACCCTCCGCAAAGTCCTTTGCAATATACTGCCACTCATCCGCGACAAGCGAAGCACCAGCATAAGCGGCATCGATGTGCACCCAGATGCGCTGCCAGTGGGGCTTCTCCTGCAGTACAGCCTTGAGCTCTGCAAAGCGATCCACACTGCAGGAGTTGGTAGTACCCATGGTCATAGTAAGGTGATACGGGGTAAGTCCATCCTTATCACACTTCTCAAGGACCTCCCGGAGACGCGGTCCAGTCATCTCCATGTTATCTTCTAGCCTGGCAGTCACGCTACGGAAGCGAGTACCAGCAATTAGAGCTCCCTTAGCTCCGCTGCTGTGGGTTTGATCACTGGCAATGGCAACGAGCTTGCCCTGGACATCGAACTTCCGGTCTTCATACTCGGGCGTACCCTCTTTCAGACCCTCTGCAAGCAAGACCTCCCGAACACGCCTCTCTCGTGCAGCGACGATAATCGTCGCGATTGCATCACTGGCACTGTTCTGGATTACACCTCCACCATGTGTCTCGGATGTGCTTAGGAAGCATTCGGGCAATGCTAGGGCCTTGGCAACCCAGTCCATCACGATGGTTTCCATTTCTGTACATGCTGGAGAACAGAGCCAGTTGAATGCTGGTGCGGTGAAGGTAGCCGAGTACATCTCGCCTAGAATGCTGGGGTATGTGACGCTGGCTGGGTAGTATGCCATGAAGTTCGGGGATTGCCAATGGGTCAAGCCGGGTTTGATCTTTGTGTCAACATCTTCCTGAATCTGGGCCCAGTCTTCTGGCTCATCGGGAGGGTTCTCGGGGATCAGAGGACGAAGATATCCGGGGTCGACGGCGGGGAGAACTCTTCGCTCGGGGACTGTATCGAAGTACTTGACGACTGGGAAATTGTAGGTCAGAATGAAGATCTATTTAGCTACTGGTATATAGCCCATACTGTCATCAATGGCTGAGTGAGCCGCATCACGAAATTGGTTGCGATCCATGCTGCACGTCAATTAAATGTCTGCGCCGCGGGGAAGTGGGGCAATTGATAGTCGGGATGGAACAGCCAGATATCCAGATATACTAGCTAAGGGATGGCTCGTGGAGGCGTATGCAGGGAGAACAGAGAGGAAAATCAAAAGCTGTCAATGAAAAGACGGGGAATTAGGCGTGTCAAGCACAAGGCGTGGGGGGAATTAATTCCGTCGGAAATTTTCTTTCCGAGGAACGTTCCGTCATTCCGAGGACTTTACAAAAGTGTATGAGGCTCATCTACGGTAGAGCTACCCAGTGAGGCTCTTCAACATGTGACTCAATCCTCCTCTTCCTCCGGATCATAGATATCTCCAGCGAGAGACTTCTCCAATCTAGTTCCATCCTCCAACACAATCTCTTTACTAGGAACAACCACCACGAAGATTCTAGCAACGTCCTTGCCCCGATTGACCCATTCATGGTTCACACCCCGACAGACAATGACATCGTGTTGATTCAAAATCCTTTCTTCACCACCGTCAGTGATGAATCCAACAGTGCCAGACAAAACGACACCGTAATCCAAGCTTAGCGTGCGGTGGAACCATCCTGCGTCGGCAGGGGGCAGGTCGAGGATACGACAAGAAGGTCCCTTAGTATCGGCGAGCGGGACGAGGGACTTAGGCGGATCGGCGACCGTCTTCAGATTGTCCACTGGGAACCCGCGCGATCGGTGGATTTGGATGACGCCAAATCCAGAGTCGGGGCCTGGCGTAGAGAAGACTGGTGCGGTTTTGGGATCATAAGGCGTAATAATTTCGTCCGAGGCAAAATGTCCCTTGCCTTGGGAATCGTGACTTGCAACAACGCGACGAATTGGAGCGTCCATGTTTGAATTGGTGGTGTGGAATGGTGGCTTGTCAGGTAGAGGTATCTGAAGAATTGCTGTTTGTGCTACTGTTTAATTGCGCGATACAGCGCCATCTTATATAGTTGTTTAACACCTTATCTACAACTATGCTATCTATTGAGATTTCATTCCAATGGCTTCTGTGCGCAGCTAGGTGGATGTTGTCGACCTGATTGATAATCTCGAGATTTATAATATGGGGGCCAAAACCCTCAACATGCCATAAAGCACGACAATTGATTGGAGCTTCGAAGTACAGCTTATAAATTTCTATCATTTAGTCTCGTTCGTTCAAGCTGACGAGGCCGATGATTGTACTAAGCTAGATTGGACGGAGTGAAGTGAGAGATGAAAGAGTACTACCTCAGTCTTTCAAAACAAGCCGATCTAGAACCCAAGGGTACAAAAATTACAGATTTGAGCCAAGAGGGATTAGAGACGTGATGAATGTATTGTCTAAGGCCATGAGAGAATGCTTTAATGGCAAGTCTCGTTTCATCTGACAAGATATCTAGTCATCTTTTTTATCCGGCTTGTCGTAGTCATCTTCGTACACCTCGTCTCCCAACTCTTCGCCTCGGATTGTCAATTTATTCATTGGCAAGAAAACAAACAACATCCGGCACCACTTCTTATCACTCCTATTCCGAAATGAATGAGCCGTACCTCTCTGCACACTCACATCACCACGATGCATGTGCCTCTTCGAACCCGAATCCAGCACGAGATCCACCTCTCCTTCAAGTATCACGCCATAGTCAACACTGACAGTCCGATGCATCGGCGTGGCCTTTCCAGGACGGAGATCGATCATCCGGAAAACTGTCCCTCCATCGGTTGTAATGCCCGGTGGTTGATGCAGGAACTCGTCGTACATGGCTACATCGGCTTCGTCATCGACGGATACTGGCATACTAGTTGTAGCGTATAGAAGGGCAATCTCGCCATCTTCCCCGGCCGGCTTTGAGGGGAGATAATCGGGTACCTGTGCATGAGGAAGAAACACCGCTTCGCCTTCCGTATTGTGGGTTGTGATATAGCGGTGGATGTAGGGGAGGTCGTTCTTTTTGTATGAGAGCATAGTGAGACACTAGAGATGGCATTGGAGAAGAGAAGTATTTTGGAAGGAAGAGCATAATGGATAGATTTGGACATGAATGGTGATTGAGAAATCCTATCACATCATAGTGGCATCATTCTATAAAATAGAGGTTTTATGCTTAGTTTGGTTCCAATGTTGAGAAGAACCTGACAAGCACTACACCACCAGCGTCAGAAAACGACGTTATAAGCATGAGTAAAACAGAGGCAATCTCACGCAGGCATTAAAATCAGTTCAAATCAAGCTTCTTGTACATCATCTGGCTTAGCTTGTTGCTAAGATGACCTTCCAACATTCGCTTGTGCCCCTCCGATATCTTCATCTTAGTATGTAGAGTACCAGCATATCGCTCGATGCATTCTTCCAGACTGGGGCCGCTTTCAAAAAATTCTTCATCTTTCTTAGCAGCGACTGCGTCAGACCAGAGAGTCTCCAACTCTTCCCTCCAACCCAACGCATCGGCCAACTGACGAACACCATTGTCACACGTGCCAATAATGCAAACATCCTCTTCCCGACTTCCAAAATCACCCGCTTTTTCATTATTGATCAAAACGCGTGGAATCCCCTCTCTAACCGAGCGCGGCAAACCCGAGCAAGGAGCGCTCGTTCCCATCACAAGCATCAGGTCCGCCTCATGAACCTCCTTTTGTCTTTCTTCAAACTCCGCTGGGAGATCCTGCCCAAAGAACACAACGTCAGGCTTCACTGCACCACCACATCCGCCCTGCAGACAATAAGGCACCTCGCCCGCCCCAATAACTTTCTTCATAAGATCATCAGGATAATGCGCCTTGCATTTGTCACAGTGCTGATTCTTCCAGTTACCATGCGCCCAGAGGACTTTGTCTTCCGGGACACCAGCATTTTGTTCAAGACCGTCGATATTCCGAGTGAAAAGAAAGTGCAGAAGGTTCTTCTTGGCTAGTAATGCTAGGAATGCATGAGTCACCGTTGGCTTGAGATTGCCCGGGTGTCTTGCCATTGCAATCGCGTAAAATGGCTCGGGTGTGTGCTTGAAATAGCTGATATGGAAGATCGCCTCTGGGTATGGGAGTCTCAGTGGCGCCAGCTTGTCATAGAGTCCTGTGGTCGGGGATCTGAAGTCTGGGATCCCTGCGCCGGTACTGATACCGGCGCCTGTTAAGACGACGATTCGCTTGGCTTGACCATTTTTGATGCGGTTGACGATTGATTGGATGTCGGGATTTGGTTGAGAACCCGTAAATTCAGGCGCAGTGTTCTCGTTAGACATAGTGTTCTGGAAAGAGTCGCGAAACCTTACTTCATCAAGATATCTTCCAGGAGACGATATAAAAACAAACGGCGGAGCTTAGGCCATAGGATAATAACATCATGTGATGTCAGATTGTTTACTTTGGCGCAGAGCCTCATCGGTGAAGAGACGGTCCAACCAGGCAAACCGATTACCACAAGATCTCCGCATTACATCCCTTGACTGAAAAGATCGACAGGCTGCAGGCGTTTTGACGTGTCACACGGTCATTTTCAAACAAAGGAAGGAACTTCGGGCCTCAATCCATGAAACGAAAGGAACTAGGAGATTGCTCATTATTCACATGGCATAGTGACGTTTGTCAATTCGGTCAATAAATCTGTCCAGTCCGGTGTTTCTAGCTCCGTGTACGCGGTGCCATCAAGCATCTCCGTCCACATGTCCTCTAGAGGCAACGGATCTGAAACCGATTCTGACAGCAGTATCGGTTGACAATCAGAGACTTGTGGGGCAAAACAGACTCTTTTTGGGCCCAGGGAAGTAGCCGTAACAAGATCCGCTTGTGAAAAATTTGCTGTGACATTTGAGATAGAAGATGCAGGGGGATCTGCATGTGAGCCACTAGAAATAGGCCTCTTTTCTTGCTTGCAATGTTTTCGCAAAATGTCCATCATCGCACTTATCCCTTCGCGGGCAATTGGTGAAGATTGTTGTGCCCTACTCAACATGCGACACGCATCAAGGACTTCCTCTTTCCTTTTTTCTGCCAGTATATCGTCCCAGTTGAAGCAGACATCAATCAGAAGAATGACAGCTGCCATGAAAACGTGGTGCATGACTGACCATATCATCGAACTATGTGGAGTAAACACGGGCTCTTGTTCATCCATCATGCGCTTGACCTCAAGAATCTTGCGAGCGGATTGAAGCGATATTACATGAGAATAGGAGTAACGAGGGTCTTTGGATCCACGCACGAAATAGTGGCGATGCAAGCGACAGAGTCGGGAGTGATAGCCTTGTTGAACGATGGATCGTTGCCATGCTAAAGTCGGGCGCTCGCGGTAGAGCGTCGCGAATTCACGTCGGGAGATTTGATCGAAACGGAAAAAGCTCGGAATCCCAGCGCAAGCTTTGTGAAGTTCCCGATCAAGCTCAAGTATCTTCTCGTATGGTACTTCTTGTCCATTCAGATGGTATCCTGCGGTTTCGTCCACTATGTGACGGCATACAACAGCCAACCTCATTCGACAAAGACTATAGGACATGTCGGTCGGAGAGGAAAGAGGCAGCCCAGCCTCGGCATGTTCAATGTCCTTGTCGTCAACATTCAACGGCTCCCGCACTTTCATATGCTGGGGTTGGACGGTGTATGTCCCTTCCTGAGGACCACTAAGGAAACCTAATAGCCTTATAAATGATCAGCAATCAGCAAATTCACGAAAAAAAATCTCCATATCTGAGGCTTACCAGTCGTACGTGGCGAGATCCCACCACAGCCGACGCCTAAGTTCAACATTGGTTTTGTCGGATCCATTTGCTGCGCGTTCATCTACAGATCGACTTGAATCCACGAGATGCAGTCGCATACTGGTTGCTTGGCTCATAAATGACCTGTGCACACAGAATGAGCTCACAGAAGGAGGTAAATTCATGTTGGACAGATAATGTCCAATTATCATAGTTGCCTGTAGACCTTCGATGGTCGGATACGCGATATAATTGCCTTGAATCAGCGCGGCTCCTGCTAGAAATGTTGTCTCCTGGCTACAGAGGTCTGCATATTCTGATGATTCCATCAAAAGTTTGTAGTAGATGGCCGAGGCAACTATACTGAACAGCAAGGCAGCGTAACCAAAGTTTATGCTCTCGTTGCAGGCGACTTGCTCATAAATCGTTTCAATTTGTCGTTCAACCTGACTTTGTATGATAAGATGGTACTGGAAATCGAGATAGTTGCAGTAATATCGAAACAGGCTCAACGCTTCGGCCTTCGGGGGCAGATATGATGGCAGATGAACTGTAGCTGGATTCTCACGCGCGGCTATTGGATCACGTCGAATCATAGCAGATTGCACGCCAGGAACTGTGTTCTGGCGTAGAGATGAATGCTCGCTTTGTTGATTTTGGGAGAGCTCTGCTCTCAACGGGGCAGGAATCGCGCTCGGTACACGATGCCCCATGACTATAGTCTCAAGCCAGTCTGCCGTCAAAAGAGGCTCGTTTCGATTGCTTTGTTGCGTTTCTGAGTCAATTCGGATACTTCGTTGCACAGTTAGAGGTGGCTCAAGCCTGATGTTGTCCAACGTAGGTCTCTCCTCTGTGTGGCTCCCGGATTTCATTACCCCTGAGCCACCGGTACTATAAAGACATTCAAGCTTGCGCATAGCACAGTTACCGCAAGGATATCCCCTATCACACTTGGATTTCTTCCTCCGGCAGGACTCGCAGGAAACAGGGTCCTGTCGAGGCTGCTTCTTCGGAGGCGATCCAGCACTTCCAAATTGGGTCTCAGCGCTCGGCTTTCGCTTCATTGTATTGCACTAACAATAAGAGAACCAGAACAAACCGATGAAATCAGAAACGACGCGACGCGACATGAGAATATGCCCTGTGGCAATTGTTGGGAATGTAGTCACAATGGTCGGAAGGTCCGTGGAGACTCCGGTGGACACTAAGCCTGATTCGTTGACCATACATAGCCAAATTCTCATTCCAACAAGCAACTCTGAGCAGCAGGAGACCCTCGGAGGCTCCGGTGAAGCATTTTTTCCCTTGCAGATGCAGATAGTCTAGATGAACGTAAGTATTAATATTCTTGCAATGTTTTCAACTTCCAGCTTTTCAAGATCTATTGCTCGCCGGCAGATACCAACAGCCATCCAAGTTGAGACGGAGAAATGGCATCTACTGAATACATGTGAGCTGAATTCACCTCTAAACTGATGATACTAAAAGCTCACATTCCAAGGCATCGGGCATGGTTCGTCATATTCGGGGCCTTTACTTGTCTGTTCTGCACCATCGGGTTCATGAACTCGTTCGGTATCTTTGAGGAATACTATGGCAGGAACCAGCTTTCATCAAGTTCATCATCTACCATTGCATGGCTTGGAGCTATTTCAATATTCTTCCTCTTCTCAATTTCTATTGGGGCAGGCGCAATGCTTGACATATTTGGACCAAAGGTGAAATTGATCTATTTTGACTATCTGAGCGATACAGAGACGAAGCTTACCTCATATCGTACGTACAGCTTATGGTTTACAGTGGCTCCATCGGTACCGTCTTTTCAATTATGATGATTTCACTTTGCCAGGAGTTCTACCAATTTCTACTTGCACAAGGGGTTTTGTTGGGGATCTCCATGGCTCTGGTAACATGGCCCATGCTCGCACTGGTCGGAAAATACATCAAAATCAAACGCGCAGCTGCCATGGGCATCGTCCTTGCAGGCTCATCCCTCGGGGGTGTTATTTGGCCCATCGCTATTGACAGACTACTTGAAAGTCCTAGTATCGGCTTCCCATGGACTATGCGAATCGTTGGCTTCATCATGATACCTTGCTTCATATTCTCTTGCTCTGTTGCCAAATCCCCAATGGCACCGCGGAGCGCAGAAAGTGAGACATGCGAAAGATTGAATAACGAGAAGAATCCGGATCCAGACATTCAACCGCGGAGTCATAAGGCAGAGGCCTTGGATTTCTTCAAACAGCGCTCGCTGCAATTATTGTGTCTTGCCATGTTCGTAACTTATTTTGGGATGTTCTCCCCATTTTTCTACACAACATTATATGCTGTGGAGAAAGGGTTTTCTACAACTTTGGCTTTCTATACTGTCTCGATTGTGAACGGCACTTCATTCTTTGGTCGGATTCTTCCGGGTATCGTCGCTGATAAGTACGGAAAGTTCAACTGCTGCATTTTGGCGACCATAAGTGCAGGAATTGTGGCTTTGTGCTGGACTAAAGTGACGTCCGTTGCTGGACTTGTGATCTGGTGTGCTGCTTATGGCTTTGCTTCTGGCGTGAGTTGCCTTGCCTATCACCGAAAATACAGACTAACTTCGCTCAGGGTATTCTATCTCTACAGCAAGCCTGTGCTGCACAGGTTGCCAGCAAAAATACTCTCGGTCTAGCCATTGGAAGCGTTTCAGGTTCTACAGCTCTATCGTAAGATCCCTTGCTCGAGGTAGTTTTGTATATTCTGACAAAATCACAGTGCTATGGCCAATGTACCCATTAGTGGTGCTCTTTCTGAGAAATACGGGTATCTTTCATTGTCACTCTTCTCTGGCGTATCATTACTTCTAGGTGGCATTTTCTTGATTGCTGCTCGTTTGGTACAAAAGAAGCAACTTCGAGCGATCGTCTGATATTTGTGCATTTGACTAGGAATGGAATGTGGGGCCGGAACTGGAGAAAATGTGGGGATCTTCATAATGCATGCCTGGGCTTTCTTCGGAGCAGACTCGGGCATCATTCTTGGCCAATGGGGTCTGCATATCCACGCCCAGGAATAAGCACAAAATAGCGCTTCAACACCTGCTTTCTGAAACATATTATAATCTGCTCAATTTCTAGCCGTGCCTTCCTTGGCAGCGTCTCGAACGATCATGGAAAAGTTATCTCATTCTGAGTGCGTTACACGGTGACCATATGCGTGACCCTAGATAAACACCTAGATTCTAATGCGAAAAGAAGTTGTGCTACGAAATAATTTGGCCAGTATAATAAGGAATAGGCATCCAGTGGTATATGTATCGATCTTGCTGCCAGAGTTCAATATCATGATTCAATTTGTCTCAATCCTTTACATTTATGACCTATATACTACGCTATCATGGCTCCCACTGTTGTCTTCATTACGGGTGCTAACTGAGATCTGGGCTTCGCGTTGGTAAAGGGTTTCTTGGCCAATTCAAACTTTGTGTGTTACAGTTCGAAGCGGTATTAGCCAGCCGCTGATCAAGCCGCTCGTAGGCTGTCGTTGCTGCGGTCCGAGATCCGGCACACTTAACCGCTAAGGAGCTATCTTATCAGTCCGCCGGCAAAGGCAGCAGCAACGTCGTAGTGAAGGTTGGCGCTGGTGTTGAGAAAAAGGCGTTGATCATATTGATTACGCTGTTGCCAATGCCGGCATCGCTAAAGCCTTTCTCCTTATCAAAGACGCCAAACGCACCGACGTGCTCGAGCATATTGAGTTGATTGTCCTGAGCGATATCTCTTTCTACCAATCCACTCGCCGTATACTTAAAAAGTCGGTCACCAAGCCTGTCTATGCTGTGATGGGCTCTGGAGCCGGAGCTTTAGCGTAAGATATCCCTTCGCCTATCTATTTGCGTTTATTGTTTCTTTTCATTTGATGCCTCTACCATCCTAATTCACTATCTAGTTGTCAGCTCTCTAATTCTAACACAGCATACGGTGCTTGTAGAACAGTTCTCTCGTGGTCCGATGTTCGAATCGCCCCGCAGATGAGTGGCTTAACAGCTTTGTATTGAACCCCGGCCGAATACAGACCGACATGGGAAGCGAAGCTACGAAAAGTTGGGATATAGAATAGGCACCGGTCACTATTGATGAATATTCTAGTGTATGGTCGATGCCTTTACCAATGGGAACAAGGAGCAGTACGGTGGCAAGGTTGTCTTTTACACCGGCAAATTTCAAGAGCATTAGATTGCTTGGGTTATTTTGCTTGATCGGTGGTTGGAATACAAGAAAGCTAGACTAAAGAGGTAGAGGTAGTTTATACATGTGCAATTTCAGTACTTAAAATGTGCTATAGCTTCAGTGTACAAGGGTATAGATCATCACCTAGTCCAACATATATACAAACACTTACGGGCACAGTACAGTGCCAGATGCCTTGTATGCACACTAAAATCACGTTTATCCTCTCTGGGGCCAAGCATTGTACAGGCCCTCAAAGACAGTCACATTTCCAAAGGTAGCTTCTCCCACACCATTGTGGAAGAAGCTAATATTAGTCGAGTTTGCATACCAAGAGCTGTATTAAGAGTTAGTCTTTTTGCTACGTGATGAAACCGGATCTACTTACCGTGCCCAAGTACTCAACGCGAAGCGACCATTGGCATAAACCTCCAGAACACCATTGTCCGCCACGATAGTCAGCTCCAAGGTCTCGACTTTTTCTGCTCCATCCTGTGCGATATCGAAAAGGCGCAGACGACCAGCCTCGTTGTCGCTGCTGATTCCATCTGTGGTCTTTGCTGCGGCACTGGTATTGCTGCGATCGATAATGACAGACTCGTTTGAGAATTGGTAGTAGATATATGTTGACTCAAGCTCGGACGAAAGAATCCTGAAACCGGATTGAAGATCGGAGCCACGGGCCGAGCTAGGGAAGGAAATGTTCGCTGTCAGAACGAAAAACTTGCTGGATGGTGAAGTTTTGAACGCCAAATCTCCGACTTCTGACAAAGTCCGACCTCTCTCGATAGTGGAGGGTGCGGATGTCAGAGCATTGTAGGTTTCCCTAGCCACTGAAATTCCCATGGACTCGACATCAACTTGGCCGCTTGCCTCGCGAGAAATGCGCCAAGAAGAACCTGGCTCGCGTGCAAGTTCATTGTCCACAACATTGGGGAGGGTTTGGACCTTCAGCTCGCGAGGAAGAAGAAGGGCTCCGGTCCAATTTTGCTGAGACGTGGGGAAACCAGTTGCCAGCTCGAACAGGTCTCCAGTAAGCCAGACATATGAGATGAATCGATCCGGTGCGCCGCTCTCAGAAGAGGCCTTCGAAGTAGCGGGTAGAATCTTTCCAGCAGCCGCATACGATGACAAGCCCCAGTCAAGTACACCTGCCATGGTAGGAGTGAAGGTGACAGAGTCACCCTTCGTGATATTTCCTGCCACCCACAACATGTCATGGATGGAAGAAACTTTGGGAGTGATGGGTGCCTCGGATCCCTCAGTACCGAGTGTCATGAACAGTTCTCCGTCGGCACTATATCCCTCTTCATTTAAGCTGAAAATGTTGCCAACCTCAAAGTTGAAGCCCCATCCTCCGGCCCAGTCACCATTACCCCAGGTGGTGTTTACAGACTCCTGCCACCATTGCCCGAGATACTCCCAGTATTGGAAGTCTGCATCGTGCTGACGGTAAAGGAACTGGCAAGGTCCGACATTATGAACACCACCGGAAATGGCGGTATACCAAGTATTCTGGGTGCTGTTGAGGGCCGAATCCAATGCCGGGCTTTGGAAGACATATGGATCACGGAACGCCGTCACGTTGAGGGAAAATGGCGGGGAAGGGATGACCGGACCTTGTCCGAGCTTGGTGAAGTTGCGACCACCATCATATGAAACGGCCAAAGATTGTGTTTCACTTCCCCGGGTATAGGGAATAGACCAGTGAATTGGGAGGTAAGATACCGAAGTATACAGCAATGTGGGCAGACCATCAATACCATTGGGGATCACCGAGCCATCGAAGACAGCGAGTGGATCGTTTCTTCCTCCTGCAACAATTGATGGACTTCCGTCGGACCTCAAGTCTTTGTAGGTAACGAGATCATCTGTAGTCGCACCTGCAATTCCGTCGTGAAGCCAGCCAACATGGAAGAGTCCTGTCTTAGGATCGGTGTATTGCATGCATGGGTCGCCTATCTTTCCTGATGGAGGGAGTACATGAGCTCTCGGTCTCCATGTATCAAACAGAGTAGCATTGGCTAATGTCGACAGGTTTGGGGGTGCTGAGTTGTAATCAATTGAAGCCTCACGACTGAATACAGCACTTGCTGCTCGATCGGCCAAAAAGACCAAAATCGCACTTGATAACTTCATAGTGCTGTTCAATGCTACAGTGCCTCCTATTTACTTCGCGGGGTATAAGCACTTTAATACATCTGATTAGAGCCAAACCTATTTCACCGAGATTTAGTGACGCTCAGAACCAATTAAATGAAGAATCTGCGCAACTCTGGATAGTCTTGCGATGTTCATTGCCTCTTTCGACGCATTCAGAAGTTTGCATGAGCCAACGGCAAAACCGCGGGGAATCTCCGGGCGGCAATTCCCCGACGTAATCAAAATAACCTCGCGATGCACTTGATTTCTTGTTTTATGCCTGCAATTGAATTTACGCTAAAATTAAAATTTAAGTTAAGAACATTTGGCTGATTTCCAGTGAATATAATGGACACTCATCTCCTAGAGTAATCCCAGTTCGCACCTAGTGTAACCGGCGCCAGGCGTCCCGCAATCCTGATTAATCCTATTAGTCCTATTAAAAGCGAATAAATCATCCTTTTGCCGTGGGATGATGCTTATGAAAGAAATGTATGCAGCGGTCTAAAGCTATTATCGCGGTGAGAGACTTGCAGCTAGCCGCTGATGATATCTGAGATGTTAGTAGCAAAGGTATTGCTGTAATTGCATTTATATAGATTTTCTGTTCGAGCTACGATACTGGCACTGAGGATCAAAAATGAGTTTTCGAATTTTAGCTATACTACAACAGGGGGCATAGTGCTGTTCCCAGTATCATGGAGTATTGGACAAGTTCTTCACAAAGTTCTTGAAGTGAATGTATAATTTCATGCACAATTTGTGCTTTGAAGTAATCACTCCTGCTTTGAATTATCGAGTGCCTCGGGTTAGTCATTCAGATTGTATAAACGTGGGGGTGGGAAAAGACTTGTGGGCCATTATTGTACTATGCAGGAGCTCAAGACATGATTTCTCCGGCAATGTTCCGTAAGTAAGGAAGCTAGCTAGATAACTTCGGCATTGAATTTCAAAACCTTCCCCGAACGAGTTTGGTCATTCCATCAAAGGCAGCCCGTCTCTTGTCAAGAATATCATTAAACTCCTCCGCGGGCCCGGCAGAACCAATGATGATTGTATCCTTGCCAGCCACCAGACCATCAAATGCAGCCTCAACAAACTGAGAAACTGGCATACCCATGCTACGCCCTTTCTCTTCGCCCATGTAGTCATGAAGCTCAGCTAGATTTCAGTCAGTTGAATGCTGAGATTAGACTTGGATCAGATGTAGCTGAGACTTACTCTGCACGACAGGGGGAGAAATCTCAATAACCTTGACATTGGTCTTAGATAGCTGTTCGCGCAAGCATAGAGTAAAGACATTCAACGCTGCCTTGGATGCACAATAGGCAGGCATGGGAAAGGCAGGCACAATCGCAATGTGGGATCCCGTGCTATTCTATATTAGTTCGCCATTACATAAAATCGACCACATAACGCGGTACAAGTGATACTCACAAGATGAAGCTAGTTGTGGTATCTTTCTCGGTCAAGAAAGGCAAGAAGGCATGGGTGAGAGCGACAAAGCTGTTAAAGTTGACGCTCACTTCGTTCTGAAACTGATCCAGATTGAACTTAGCGGGGTCAGTCATGTCATACATGTGCTGTACACCTGCGTTGAAGAAGACACATTCGATGTCAGGAAATTGCTTGGTGACACTATTTACTTGGTATTAGTATCAAACTTCCCAGGTTGATCCCGGCTGGATCTGTACCTCTCGACGAAGCCGGGGATGGCTTTCATGTCGGCAATGTCAAATGCAACACCACTAGCCTTTTCTTTGCCGTTCATGCGCACGAATTCATCCAAACGGTCTTGGCGACGACCGACCACAGTGACTTTAAATCCACCCTCGAGAAGTCTGTTGGCCATAGCGAGGCCAATCCCTGAAGTCCCACCAATGAGGAGGACATGCTTGTATGGGAAAGAAGACATAGCTTTCATACTTGTGATACTTATTGAGAGAGTTGAAAAGAACAGCGGCTGGGAAGAAGACACAGGACGACTATGTATCGTATACAAGTCAGACATAAGCGGTGCGAAGCACCGATAGCGTCCTCATCGACCAATCAGGTGTGATTATCCCCACCCTTGGGCTCCATTATCGAAATGGTTGCCAAAAGTGGCTTAGCGTATTTCCAACCCAAGAGTACATTCTAAGCGTCACTTACTGCCATTTCTTCCATGACACAATGGTCTTTCGTGGGCGGCCATCCAAGGCTTGCTCTCGCTGTCGATCTCGGAGATTACGAGTAAGACTACCTGGTCTTCAACCTAGCCACAAGCTAACCCCGAGCAGTGCGACCTCCGACCTGGCTCATGCGGGTCGTGCCTGCGAGCAAATGAGCCCTGTCACGGCTATCGGAATAATCCTGAGCTTCGCATTCAGGATGAAACGGAGTCTGTTTATCAAAAACTTCGTGTTCCAGCTGTCAAACCCTTGCAGTTCGCAATTGAGGTTCAGGCTAGGGATATCTTCTTCGCACACTATGTATTACCTGGATCACGGGGATGGGATTTCCTAATTCAGATGCCAAGTTCAACACCATCATATTTTTCACCCAGTCTTGATGCACTGTGTCTGGCATTCCTGGCATATCGGTGTAGGTCGCCGTCACTTATATCGCGCGCTCGCTCGGAATATTCAACCGCTCTTCGATCGATGAATAAAGCGCTTCCGTCTTTTACTATTAATGCCAAACACTGTATGCTGACAAGTTCCATGTGTCTGGACCTCTTTGAAAAGATTACCAATACCCACTCAGCAGGAAAGGGCTTCTGGTTAGGGCATATCAAGGGCTCTCTAGCTCTTGTTCAGGCATTGGGATTGCGAAATCTCACGGATCCTATGTCTTTTACGGCTGCTGGTACGATTGGTGACGAATTTTACAATCTCATCTGTGGCGAGTGCCACCGCTATTCCACAGGAACTGCTCGAAGTACGATCGCACGTTGAGAGAAATTCGACTATAGGCACGGATCCGAAATGGAAACTCACCGGCTTGATGACCGAGTATGCATTTTTCCGAAGCGGCATTGCAAACCTTACCTTATCATTGGATGAGTGTAACAGCATCGCCTATGGTCTTGATCTCAAGCTCGTGGAATTGTGCCAGAGTATGCCTGACGGATGGCTACCTGAGATACAAGGATCAACAGATGTTTTCCCTCGTGAAGAAATTTATCCAGATCGACATGTTACAAAAGCATGGAACACAATACGGCTAGTTCGTATTTTGCTGCACGAGTTTCTGTTGCAATATTGCGAAAGTGATGATGAGCAATGTTTTATCACGTTGGGTAATCTACATGAACCGAGTGTCAATATAATTACGACAATGGCTGATGACATGTGCGCCACGGTTCCACAATATGCAGATGCATTATCTCAACAGAACTTGGATCCCGGAGGGAATTCGGACTCATCCCAATATATGAACTGTTACACATTGCTTTTCCCACTATATATTGTCGGGAGATCCACATGGACAGCTGCATTTACAAAATCATGGGCTCTCGAGCAGCTAGAGCGCATCGGCAATGATCAGGATATTCCCGCAACGCTACAGTTATTACATCTGATCAAGGAATCGCCCGAAGCAGAACCATGGCATGTGTATGCCCTGCTTGGGAGCTACGGGTTTGCAGCATGATACAAGCTCCGGTACAACTAATATTAAACCACACTTCGTTTCATTCTATTCATTGGTCAAGAATCGTAACAATAGAACATATTAATCTCACATCCGCTCCGACGAATACAACCGAATAGGAACACCCAAATCATGCATCATAGTAAGATTCGACAACTTAACAGGCTCCGTCCGAGGATGAGGATCCGCATTTTCAAGCGTGTCAAAGTGTTGCATGAGACGAACAACGGTATAGCTTGCTTCCGTGAGGGCGTATTGTTCTTAGTGACAGTTAGTAAGGACTCAAAATCCCGCAATTCCGTTGTTTCCCAAGATGTAGAGGTTCACTTACGACCAAGACAGATACGCGGTCCACCATTGAAAGGAAGATACTCCCAACCATGCTTTGCATTCTCTTCCCAACGCTCCGGTCGGAATGATCTGGCATCTTTGCCCCATAGATCCGTCCGGCGGTGCATGGCAAAGACATTGTAGGCGACCATGCCGCCTTTTTTAATATAAACTGGGGATCGTCGGTCTGGTCCACCACCAACTGGAATAGAGGTATCCTTTGTTGCGACACGGAAGTTGACGGGGACGGGTGGTTGAAGACGAAGGACTAGAGATAGGTCAATCACCATGGCAAGTCTCTATCAGCTGCTCAATTGCACAACTCACCTTCGTTCAAGACATATCGCAGATAAGGAATATCCTTGAGCTTAGTCTGCGTCATCTCAACCTTGGAGCTCTTCCCATCACCAAAGTTTTCAATAATCTCTCGACGCAGCCGATTCCAAACATTAGGATGACGCGAAAGATAAAAGAAAGTCGAACTAAGTAGAGACGCAGTAGTATCACGCCCAGCAAGAAGAATATTCAACATATTGTCACGCAGCATCTTGGGGTCATCGGTCTCAGCAGCCAAAGCCTCGAGGAAGATATACCGACCATCGGCATTCTTCTTCTCCGGATTCCGCTTCGACTCTAGTGCGACGTTGACATAATGATCGACGACTTCGTGAACCTTGCGATTCGCATCGCGGAACTCTTTTGGGTTAATAAGCCAGTATAGACCCTGAGCACGCGATCGCGATGCGAGATAGTCCTGTGCTGTTCCGAAGGCCTCGGCGAAACCTTGTGCGCTTCCTACGGCGGACTTTTCCAAAACACCTGTTGTTTCCGAAGGTGGGAGCATGCATCCCACTGATTCACCGAACAGGAAGTGTGTTGCCGAGTCCAGGGTTAGCAGAAAGAAAAGACGCTGGATATCGAAGCTGCTTCTATCTTTGGGGATCAAATCGATTAAATGCGAGATGTGATCGTCCAGCATAGACAGATCGGCAACCTGGAGCAACCATTGGTGTTAAATTCCCCGAAAAGGTTCCCGGGCTTCAGCTTGACTCACCTGGTCCCTGGTGAACTGCGGGCGCAATAATCCCCGAGCATGCGACCACCCCGCGCCATCCAGCGTGAAGATACCATCACCCAACAACGGATCAAATTGCTGGTGTCGAGTACCGAGGCAGAAATCTTTGAATTGAGTCGCGAGAACGGCCTTGATATTCTCCGGCTCGATAGTTGTCGTCAATGTGCGCGTCAGGAATTGCTGACGGAAAGTGTAGGCGCCATGCACAGCAAACTGATCGGTGAGATAATCGATCCAGCGCTTTTCGCGCACGGCTTTGCTCAGACGCAAGAACGCGGGGATTCCGAAAAATGCGGAGTGTCCATCCGGAGGACGTTCGCAGTTTAGGGCTTTGGATTGTTTGTGGTGGTGGTGTAGCTGTGCGAAGTAGCGCAGGATCACGAAGCCTGCATATAAAGCGCCAATCCAGGCGATGGCTGGGCTGAGCATACTGACAGAACTTAAGGGGTGAGAAATCTCCGAAAGAAAGTAAGTAGTTTTGATTTAAGTATGTGAAGAATCAGAATATGTGAAATCGCGGTGATCCCATTCGCATCTACAAATGAACACACACCTCGGCAGAGGCACACGTGAGAATCTCGGGTATCGGTGAAGATCACAGTGTGCAGTCACACACTTCACACTTCACAACTCATGCTATGAACACATGCAGAAATGGCGTTTGCCGATCACTCTTGGCTTCCCCGGTTATTCCTCCGACTTAATGCTCCGTGGGTTTGAAGCATGGCAGCCACTCTTTCAACGCCTTGTGAAAGTGGTCTCGGGACACCTTGCCCGGCTCAAATGAAGTACGGAAGTCGAAACAGTGCTCGGCATTGTCCATGATGTATCCGAATAGTGAGTCTTCCTCGGTCTCCACATTGCACGCTGGGATGTCGGTCGTGAAGACCACGTTCTGCGGGGCGAGGTCTCCTGTTGCAAGGGGAGAGAGTGTGCGCCAGGGATCGAACTGTCCACCACTCCAGTACACATTGGACGGGCGGATTGTCCACCCGCCGGTCTCCCTGTTAGTCTCCTTAGTTCGGGGGTGTTTAGGCAGCAGGCCGGTCTTCGAGGCTTCCGGGAATTGTCGGTTGCACACAAACTGTGCGTAATCGAGGGACTGATACTTGGAGAGGAGCGCGTGAGGTCCCTTGTTGATCGTCTGGAAGTATCCCCATTCGTCGCAGTACTGCCATGTCCAACTGATGGTGTCCGGGTCGACTGCCGGAGCGGACAAGATACACGAAAGTTCCTTGCTCGGGTCGAGCTGCTTGCAGTTGGTTTCGAAGTTAAAGTTGACCAGCTCGGTGAAAACTGGCCATGAAGCCCACCGCTTGGCGGCATACTCTTTACCGCGGAAGCGGGCGAATCCAGTAGGTGGCGCCGGACGACCGGTCACCCCGTCGCTCTCCATGTGCTCGCAGAACGACGACAGGCCCGCAACGCCACCGCCCAGTCCATACGACTGGAAATAGTTAAAGATGCCAGTGAGCGCCGCAGTGAAATCACCATGGCTGTTTTTCTCGGCGCCCTCGCCGAAGAACTGTTTCTTGATGGCAGCCGCACTAGTCTGATTCCTGGACAGCTGCTCATCGATGTATTCCAAGGCCGCTTTGATGTCTTTGGTACAGTTGGAGTATCCGTACGCAACGAGTCCAGCATACACCTGGTCGAAATAAACGCTCATGTCGATTTTTGCCTGAACTGGTGCGGATGAGGCGAAAGAGGCGAAAATGCTGTCGGGATACTCATTGCGAGTAAAGGCAGAGCGCATGCCGGCATAAGATCCCCCAACCATGACCCAAGGCTGTGCGTAAGAGGTCAAGTCAATCTCCTTGAGGCTATCGCGAGTGAAATTTTGCGCGAAGTACGGAATATCCGCCAATGCCTGGCGGTTGTTCAGGTACTGGAAATGCTCCGGTGGAGTATTATTGTTGATGGGGTATGGCAGTGAATCACCATAGTATCTACTTCGGGTCAGTAAAATCCGGCGATCTATTGACAGAGGCGGACAGACCTGTGCTCCCAGACAATACCCACGCCACCGAACTCTTCAAGCATCTGATAGAAGAAGGAAGACGAATTACCCAGGTGGGTTTGGGCTGAGGTTTCGGCTGTTGCCTCCCCGACGTCGTAAATGAAGACCGGTCCTCCTTCTTTGTAATGCTCCGTCGAGGCCCAGTACCGGTTCTGGTAGAATCCCACGGAATGGTTTCCATGGTCGATGGGAAGCTGCAACTTGTCAGTACCCTATTTCAACGTCGGAACAGACGCAACACGCTTGAAAACGAGCAACATACCGAAATATATTCCGCGTCAACTTTCGTATTAAGAGAAGATTCAGCAACAGCAGCCACAGAGGTCCGCTGTGCAAGCAGAATATCCGGATGAATCCCCAACTCAGCAGAAAGCTTGATTTCCCGTTTGAACTTGGTCATGCCATGACCCATTCCCGCAGCTGTACCAGACAGCGCAGCGAGGGCTATCAAGGACCCCCGCACCATAATCGACAGATGCATGATTGGCAGTATCAAGGCTTGCTCGAGAACGAAGCCAACGACACAATTTGAAAAGGAGTGATACGGATCGACATAACTGGGATGCTAGTTTATTATATGCACACCCCGGAAAAGGACGCTATGAGGTGGTGAATGGAACATTAGCCCGAGAACAATGTGATGAGAACAATATGGTTGCGTTCACAGATAGGCACCAGTGGATTCAGATTGTGGATTCGGGCATTGTACTGGGCATTGGATTACGGACGTAGAAAGTGGGCACTGCCTACAATACATCGAAGACCTCCGAGACATATTCATCGCCTTCGGCCAATAACTATTCTCGGGTGACTCTGAGGAATAGTGTATGTTGCAGGTTCTAGATTGATTGATTGTGTCGGATGTAACCTCTATTCGGGCGAAAATACAAGTATTGGCTGTTGGACCAGGTACCCCTCGCCGGCTATGCACTATCCAGCCTTGCTGTAGACACCTACATGCACATTTATCTCTGGTCCAACTTGCATTGCATTAGTGTACCGTACCGCTTCGGGGCTATGCGCGGGGCTCAATTAGCGACGTCGATCATATACTATTTCGGAAGGACTGCGATCAGCCTTGCAGACTGATTCAGCGATATCATCACACGGACTTTTGAGATCTGGCGCGGGTATGCGACGTTGTCATTGGTGTTTATTGTGTTTCTTGTGTACATATTTCCGGGTCAGGAACAGCTAAAAAAGGAACCACGCGAGCCGGGTCGATCCCGCCCGGAACCGGGGCGGTCTTTGCCATGCGAGTTCTCCAAGCTGGCAGGGGATTGCAGTGCAATGGTTGATTATTCATGCGTTTACCGGACTCCGGATAATGGGCGGGGCTTAATATTGTTGTCCGCTGCCCGTGTCTAATTATGTCGAATTAGTGTTCTGCTAAGCCACGGCAGACCCTTAGACTTGGCGTGCTGATCATGAATAACATTCCTGGGAATTTGTCACGATTTGCGATCAGAGTGGTGGGCTGGAAGCGGTGTTCCGATATCGCGGAATGTGCGAAAGTCGATTGTGGAATGTCCGTCGGGCACCCGGTAGAATAGTCAGGGAAAGGCAATGTTCGGTCACGAGACAAAAGGCGTTCAAACATGGCTTGGAAGTTACTCAATGTTACACTTCGGGATTTCTCGTGGTTTCGACAAGTGAGAAACACTGTTCTACAGTGTTCTCTCTTTCTAGGAATTCGTCGGAGGTCGATCCCTTGTTTCTTTCAATTTTGGTCAAGTCTCATTTGGAGAGACATAGGGGCTTGACTGTCCTTGGATCCAACACTAAACAAGAATTGTTTTGCTTTGGGATCCTTTTCGCAATCATTTTCAACGAGCCCCAAACGCGCATAGATCTGGAAAGACTGTACCGTGGGACTACTGGCCGCAGCCATTGGGGTGACCCGCAATGTCTAACGGTAAATGGGAAGTACTGGGGCAATACCTACAACAAATAGAATGGTGGCTTAGTTATTGAGCAGTGCGTTTAGTACTATGCCATGGTAGGACTGTCCAGCCCCCCCCCCCCAAACCCGTATTGTTTTCTTGAGTCACTCAAGGAAATCAGGGGAAACGATGGTTAGCAAGACGTCGGGTCAAATTCGACCACTCGCACTATCTTCTTTCCGTTCCTTGTGTTTTTTCTGCATTGATTAAAACAGGCAATCGGAGCGAGCCTTGTGGCTCGGCTCTATTGCCTTTAATGTCAAACCCCCTCTTCATCCTCTATCTATCTATATGGACTAGTCCGTCATCCAGAAGTAGCAAACGGACCGATTTTGTACTCCCTTCAGACAAGGTATTGACGATCGGTGGGATGTTTTGGAGGCCTTATACCCACATCCATCCCGCGATAGTAACTCCTTGACTCGAGCACATGTGTCGGTTCAGTTTCCAACATGAACTGCCAACGTATAAAAGATTTGCAGGCGACATCTGACAGACCTGTATTTTTTTAATCTTGAATCTCACCGCATCATTTCTCCAGGCATCAAGCCTTAGCTAGATAGCAAAAAGTGAATCATGTCGAGCTCAGCCCGTCTGCAGGACAAGGTGGCCATCGTCACCGGCGCGTCGTCCGGTCTAGGACGAGCAATCGCCATCCGATACGCGCAGGAAGGAGCCAAGGTCGTCTGCGCCGATTTGACACCAATGGCGCGATCACAGGAAGAATCCGAGATCACGACCCACGATCTTATTGTGAAGGAGGGAGGGAAAGCGATCTTCGTGCAGACGGATGTCGGCGATGGGGCTCAAATGGAGAAATTGGTTCAAATGAGTGTTAAGGAATATGGACGACTTGATATGTCAGTGTGTCGAGCAACCAGAATATTGATTGGGTTATCTGATGATTTTCAATAGTCTAGTCAACAATGCTGGAATCAGTATCGAGGCACGCAAACCAGCCGTCTTGCATCTCACTGATGAAGCGACCTGGGATACGACCATGCGTGTCAACACCAAGTCCGTCTTCCTGGGTTGTAAATATGCTCTTGCACAGATGCTCGTGCAAGAGCCTCATTCATCTGGGGATCGTGGCTGGATTGTTAACATTTCTTCAATTATGGCTATGATTGGAGGTCCCAAGAATCGTGAGTATATCTGTAGGGACTGAACCGTATGGCAAGAAGTATAACTAACAGCGCTACCAGCATCTTATTGTGCATCCAAGGGTGCAGTCAGCAATTTGACAAGACAGGTTGCTTTAGATTATGCTCCTGAAAACATCCATATTAATGCACTCTGTCCTGGCTGTGAGTCACTTTCGATCTGGTTGTTTTGACTCATACTGACCTACATGCAGATACACAAACAGCTATATTCAAGGAGACCACCACTAATTTGACTCCGTGGGAAGACCTCAGACGTCGGCATCCTCTCAAAGGACCGGGAATGCCGGAAGATATTGCTAGGATGGCTGTTGTATTGGCAAGTGATGATGCTAATTGGGTTACTGGTACATGTCTCCCGGTAGATGGCGGGTACACTGCTCGATAGCACCCGCAAATTATTGATTGGCGAGAAGACAACTGTACATTTTCATGTTCCAACCAAGTCTCACCTTGAACAGAAACAAAGAAAACACGCAGATGTCGTTAAGTTTAAACGGTTGGAGCCTGGATTATCAGGCGTGAATATGATGTCGAATCCCCGTGAAATCCTATACCGTCGTACCCAATTAGAGATGTCGAAGACTCTGCATTGTATTACCCCTGTTACGGAGCTATTTTATGTCTAGTCTAATTACTAATCTATCGGCATGGATCATTATATCTCCGGTTTTCATGCAGTATTCGTACGATATTGTTGACATTTGATGTTGGAACTTGTGTATTCCGTAACTTGCACAGCCAATAAGGGCATTGAAATCTCTGTCATTTATTACTTGCTAATTCTTGCTATTTATGCTATGCCCCTCATTAGTAATCTGATTACTCGGAGTTACTATAATTCCGGTTCTCAAGCAGTATTATTGAATTCAGCACTGACATATGAAATGAACATGACGACGGAGCAAACGCAAACCTGGGCCAATGGAACACCAAAAGGCTCTGCGTATCTGTAGTCATGAGAGTAAGCCTTTCCATTCCACACCAGCATGTTAGCTCAGGGGAAGAGCGCCGGGCTCATAACCCGGAGGACCCTGGATCGAAACCAGGACATGCTATGTCTATCTTTTTTTTCTTTTTCTTGTCGGATTTGAGATAGTATGATCCCTTGATGTTTTTTGTTTCTGTTTGGTACAACGACTTGGGCTCCAGTCATCTCAGGTTGTGAATGGTATGTTTTGCTCAAAGAAAATGTTTACTCTCACCCCCAATGGAGGGTTAAATTCGATGAGGATAGCAACTAGCCGGTGAAATAGAGATGTTGAAACTTGTTCAAATGTTTGCCGCTTTTATCTTTGTTCCTCTCAGCCCAGTATTGTAAGAACAGCATCACCGCGCTGTCCCCTTTGCTTGATACACCTATTTTCTTCTTGAGATCACCAAATGTCTTCATACATAACGGAGCTGTAAAGTCGTTTCCCTGTTTATGAAGCTTATTTAAGGCTTAGCGGTCCGCCTTGTCTGATCATCCGATATGCGCTCCCTCCGCAAGAAGCTCCCATTATCATAATAGCAATAACGTGGACAGAAATCTGTTGTAGAGGCTAGCACAAGCCTCATGTAAACCCTATGGTGGTAGTCTTTGGCCTGCTAAAGGCTTACGTTCGCTAAGGAGTGGTGGCTCAGTTGTGTTTGCGTGAAACTCATGCTGTAGGAAATATATTCTTCACCGACGGTTGTTTTCCTATGCTTTTGTCGCATCTTAGTTCTGTCTCATGCCTGGAAGACTTGAACCACAGTCATAGATTATCATTTATCAGCTTGCTGAACCCTCAACAGAAGGTTTCCCACCAACCAAGGCCGATCTTCTGTCGAAGCAGGGTTCTTCTATTAAATCAAGGGCAATTGGTACAAACACGCCAGCAGACTCTCGCTTTATACCATCGTCTGATCTCCCGAGAAACAAGATTGCTGCCTGCTTGCCTTCCCCAGCACCTGCACATTAACCTACACAGGCCCCAAAGCCTCTTTTTCTTTTTGACTCGTCACTGTCACTCCAACGATGTCTCTTCTTGACCTATCCAATGAGCTTCTCCTCATCATAGTTTCACATCTTGACTCAGATACTTATATTCAACACTATCGCCCAGGCAAATCGACGTTGCTATACAATATTTGATTTTGATCTTTATGATCGCAACATCTCAGAATATGAGTTCTGCGGGATGAAATGGGCTATCAGGAATGGTCAGATACAGACTGCGAAAATTTTCGTTGATCAAGGCGCTAGTCTGAGCACCAAAACCAATTACACCAAGCTCACAAGTCTCACATGGAGAAGGTCTCCTCTATGGAGTGCAGCATTCATGGGGAACAGCTTCAGTCTAGAGAAAATATGCGGTCCTCTCTTCTCAGGTACAGATCCACAATCCTTTGTTGTATATGCTTCGTTGAGCAAAGAGATGCTGATATGCCGCCAGTATGTTGGAGAGGCTTGCCATCTGAAACCAAACTAGCCCACATTGAGGATGCCGAAAGAACAAATTCAAGGGCCGTTTGTATTCTATGCAAATTTATATTTGCCAGTTGTGTCAACCAGCGATTGGAGACCTCGACTTTATTCCAGTGGCAATTAGCAAAGTACATTCCGACGGATACATCCCGTCGGAATACTCGGATGGGAATCGCAAGCTGTGCACACATGTTAAACTGCTGGGCAGATATCGGAAAACCCGAACTTCATCTTTGGTCGAACCAATGAGAACATTAGAAGGTCTTCAATATGCAAATCGTACAAACTGTACAAACTCGGGAATCGCCATCATGTACGCATCATTTTTAGTGATATTTTGCCTATAAATTGGCATTGTCTGCCTTGCTACATGTTCTTAAACCAGATTCGAACTTCACAAAATACCAAATACTCTCCTTTTCATGGCCGCGAGAATCCTCGAAAATTTCATTTGCACTTTTTGTATGTCGTTGATCAGACTGAAGCCACATAATGCATTTGAAATCGGAGAAACATTTGTGTCCTTTACTGATTCATTGAACAGGAAGCTGTCGATAGTACCAAATTCTACTCTGCAATCTGATTAGAACAGATTCAATCCGTGAGTAAAGTTCGAAAACGAACTACCGATAGTGGAAGACTAACATGCCCTGAAGGAATAAATATGTCTCGCCCTCTTCTAGAAAGAATGCAACGATTTGTCGAGTTCATCAACTCGGGCGATGAAAGTCTGGGGAAGGCTGTGGTTTCTGAATCAGCCCAATTCCACGTTCCGTTCTCACCAGAACCTCTCAAAGGTTTGTCTGGGTACATGCAGATTCTCGACATGATGCGCTCTGCTTTTCCAGATGTTCAATGGACTCTTGACGATACGGTCATTGAGGACGAAAGAGTTGTAGCGCAGTTTACTCTGCGCGGATCCCACAACGGTGAATTCTTTGGCGTTCCGGCTTCTGGGAAACCAATCCAGGCACGAGCTATAAACATGTATCGTTTCAAATATGGCAAAATTGTGGAAGAGACCGGGTTGCCTGACATCTTTGGAATAATGTTGCAAATTGGAGCTGTGAAACCCCCAGGCGCGCCGTAGGGAAACATGTCATAGTTTATTTTTACAGCTGCAACTCGTGTTGGATTATTAAATGAGACATTAGCAACAATCAATAGCCTTAGAATAGAAGAAAAGTCTAGATAACTGGTGCATGCGGTGGTATATCGCTAGCTCAAACCAAGACCCACATTGAGGACTATAGAACGACAAAGTGTGAAGGCAGATCTTATTGAAAACACATTGTTATATATTTATAGGTGTGAAGCAGACTATCCCTTTCATGAAGAGGCCTTCTAGGACAGAGGAAGTCTGTAGATGTACGCATAGACAAACATAGGAAGCCGCTTCACCCGAGCGAGCTGTCAAATCTAGAAATATGTCGTGACCAATGGATCGATAGCAAATAGCAGCCACGTGGGACTCTGAAACAGCAAGCAACGAACTAGCTCTCGTGGTCTTCATAATGAGTATAACGGCTTTCGTATGACGTATTGTACAGTGATGAAGAGCAAGTAAAACAGAGGGCGGATTTTATTAGATTGTCTGTCAAATTTTTCTTTCTACGGACGCCAATTGCAGAGTGACTCCGTATATTGTTCATGTTCAGATCTGGTCTTATCGAAGGACACCAAGGCTCATCAGGGCCGAGACTTCGGGGGTGTACCTAAAATGGAAATCGGGTGTTTGAAGTTAGGGGGTGGGTTGGAAGGGGGTTCTAATTCCACAGCTCAGCTTAGCTAGTAAAAATGTCTCAGGTTTGTCCTATGGGACAGCTGACAGGAGCTCGGTGCTGTTGAAACAACCATCAACCCCACACGGGATTGCAAGGGTCTTGGCAACCCTACGCGAGGTGGACCTCCGGGAGTCTGCCCTCGAGAGAGCTTGATGATGAAGATGATGAGGTGCTCATTTCACGGAAAAGCGGTGTTTCCGTCAATTCTTCAAGTGTTCCGTTCCTGATGGGGAAATCATGCGGAATGAAGTCAGAGGCGCCGCCCAGATTGGTGGAACTATGGCTGAATTCAGGGCGTCCGGGGAGAACCATGCAAGGACGAAGTACTAATCAGCTGCCAAATCTCCACCTTTCACAATGCAGAGATTTAGCGTGATGGCTGTGAATTCTCCGGTCGTATAATATGTAGCTTCCCCGAATCGTGCGTTGGATTAACCATTCGGACAAATATCTCGCGACGCGCAGCATCATCAAGATGATTTTCAACCCTTTGGCTTTTGCCTCGGTGGTTCTTTTGGCTAAGCAAGCATACGCTGCTTTCGGAATTACTACTAGTTCCTCTGCCTATGTTATCGACGCTGGCTCGTCCAACCCTCTCAAGTTCACTGTGAGCCGGACAAGTTGTGACATTACCTCGATTAACTACTATGGCTCCGAGCTGCAGTACCAGTCAACTGGATCTCACATTGGATCAGGTCTTGGATCTGCAACTGTTACCGCAGAGACGATTGGTGATTATATCAAGGTGACATGTTCCACCGACACCTTGATCCATTACTACGTTGTTCACAGTGGAGATTCGATCATCCACATGGCAACATACACCACAGCTGGTTCGTATTCTTTCCGTTCGTACGTTTAAATTATACTAAAGTTCTTTTAGAGCCGGCCATCGGAGAACTGCGGTACATTGCCCGCCTGAATGCGGATCTGCTTCCAAATGAAGAGCCATTCGGCGTTGTATCCAACATTGCGGGTGGTTCTGTTGTTGAGGGATCTGACGTGGTGAGTATCTTTCAAGAAATACTCGACCAACAAATGAAACTGACGCAGCATAGTACTTGGTTGACGGCCAGACCCGAAGCAAGTTCTACTCCAGCGAGCGTTTCATCGATGACAACAGACACTGTAAGATGACATTGAAGCCTATACAGCGTAGTGTATACTCACTTCTCCAGGTGTTTCCGGAAGCGCCCACCGCGTCTGCATGATCTTGAATCAATATGAAACCTCCGCCGGCGGACCTTTCCATCGGTAAGTTCCTTAACCAGTATAGATTAGCCCATACTAATTTGGTTCAGCGATATCAACACCAACAACGTCGGCTCATACACTGGTCTCTACTGGTACATGGTATGTAACAAAATATTGATTATCATATAATAGCTACTGACTGCCTCAGAACTCCGGACACGTCCAAACCGAAACCTACCGCCAGGGTCTGCATGGCCCCTACTCGATGTATTTCAGTCGCAGCGGAACCCCCAGCTCCACCCTTGACACTTCGTTCTTCGCCGACCTCAGTATTAAGGGATATGTTGCCACTTCTGGTAGAGGTTATGTCAAGGGTACTGCTTCTGGTGCTTCGTCGTCTTTCGAGTGGGTTATTCACTGGTGAGTGACATCGATATCCCATCACTGGAAACAGCCATCTCACAAGTACAGGTACAACGATGCCGCCCAATACTGGACAAAAGCTTCATCCTCGGGAAGCTTCACCTCCCCAGCTATGAAGCCCGGCACTTACACCATGGTCTACTACCAGGGTGAATACGCCGTCTCTACTTCATCGGTTACAGTTACTGCTGGATCCACTACTTCAAAGAGTATTTCTGGCTCTGTCACGACCGGAACGACTATCTTCAAGATTGGAGATTGGGATGGAACGTAGGTCTCCTTCACACATTAGACACAATGCCCCGATATAACTACATATACTCATGCTTAACAGACCAACCGGCTTCCTCAACGCCGCCAACCAACTCCGCATGCATCCCTCCGACAAACGCATGTCATCCTGGACACCGGGTACTTACACAGTCGGAAGCTCCTCAGTCTCTTCTTTCCCAATGGCTTTGTTCAAATCTGTCAACTCGCCCTTGACTATTAAGTTTACAGCTACATCTTCGCAGACTGGGGCTACGACATTGAGAATTGGAACTACGCTCTCTTTCGCCGGTGGTCGGCCTCAAGCAACGGTAAATGAGACATAGCCGCTTACTCGCTTCTTGGATTTATCTGACGTCTTTTAGATCAACAGCTACACAGGCTCTATCCCCTCCGCTCCCACTAATCTTAACTCACGTGGTGTCACTCGTGGTGCTTATCGTGGTCTTGGTGAGGTTTATGATGTTTCGATTCCATCCGGGACTATTGTTGCTGGCACCAATACTGTAAGTCCCTTGAATCGTGAGCCATTTAGACCTGGATACTGATGCATATAGATTACTATCAATGTGGTTTCTGGAAGTTCGGGAGATACTTATCTCAGCCCTAACTTCGTGAGTGCCCTTATCTATACCGACTTCATTTGGAGATGCTAACAGATAGTTTAGATTTTCGACTGTGTTGAGCTGTTCCAGTAAGCGCGTACTGTTTATCGATTGCTAGCGCTGTGTGATACATGGAGACTTTCAAGTTGTCAATATATAATCAAGAAATTGACTTGAATATGTAAAATGTATCTATACCTCGTGAAGGCCTGAAATAATATAGGAGAGAACAAATAAATACCAACGAGAGAATCGTAACCTTGCAGAAACCACAGATATAAATAAGATGGATCACCCTCTAGTATGAACCAACCGTCCAGCAACCCAAACAGCCTTAACATTCCGATCGTCACCACCCCAAACCCACTTCTGAATCTTCTCCGCCCAAGTCTCAGTTCCAAACAAATCAACATTACCCACAGGCCCAGATCGAACAAGATCAACCAATCCATCCCCATAATCCCCATCCAAAGGACTCTCCTGTAACCCCTTAACACCACCAAGCTGAATCAACTGCACATCCCACAACATCCCCAAATCAAAGCCTCCAATATCATCCGCCATATCAACAACGGCAGCACCACCCCGCGTAGCGAGATACAAACTCTCCGGAACGGAAAGTTTCACACGCGCCGCCTCATCTTCCATTTCCTTCTGCAAACCATCCTTTCCATGCGAATGGGAATGCCCACACTCAAATCCTTTCTCAAAAGTCCCCGTATGCCCCAACAATCTAGAAGCAAGACAAGCCTGCCTAGCAGCTTCAAGGATACTAGGACTATACCCACCACTAACATCAGTCCCAAGACCAACCGTAATACCCAGATCAAGGAAAGAGCGCACAGGCGCAATACCCGAACCCAGCGCCGAGTTTGACGCAGGACAATGCGAGATCTTAGCATCACGTTTCGCAATCAATGCCTTTTCCTCAGCGGAAAGATGCACAGCATGAGCAAGGATAGTCCGCGGCGTAAGCAGATCATATTTATCATAGACGGCTGTATAACTCCCGGCTTCAGGGAAGAGGTCGTTGACGAGAGTGATTTCGTTTGTATTTTCCGCGATATGGGTTTGAATGTGGAGGGGTGGGGAGTATGAGGCGGCAAGTTTACCCAGTGCTTCAAGAGAAGGGCGCGTACAAGATGGCGCAAAGCGGGGTGTTAGAATCGGGTTAATGAGGGAACCTGTTGGGTCGATTGCGTTGATGTGTGCGATTGTGGCTTTCGTTGCGGATAGTGAATCCTCTGCTGAGGTATCACGGTAGTATTTGGGACAGAAGTCTGGGTTGTCCATGCAGACTCGGCCTATGAAGGCTCGCTGCCCGTGTTTCTTGCAGAGGCTTGCTAGGGCGTTTGTTGCTGGGATGTGGATTGTTGCGAAGTAGGATGCGCATGTTGTGCCGTGCGCCAGTGTGCGGCTTATTACTTGGTTGTAGATTGTTTGGGCTGGGAGGGGGGTTTCGGTTGCTTTTGTTGCTAGTTGGTGGCCTTTTTCATTGTCGGGCTGGGTGCCGAATCCGGATTCCACGGGGAAGGTGTAGGTTTCTAGCCAGTCTAGCAGGGTTGAGGAGCCGAAGAGGCCTGCGTTTGGATATTGGGGGGCGTGGATGTGTGTGTCTGTTTTGTTAGTTATGTGAATGTGTGGAGGGTGGAAATGTACCTACCAATGAAACCCGGGAAGAAGAATTCATTCCTCTCTTCACTCGCAGTAACAATCTTCACCGTGATTTTGGATTCTTGGCCGTTCAGATCAGAATCAACATCAATCCATCCATTCCGGGTCATCAATCCGGCAAAGCCAGTATCATCATGAGCCGCCCAGTCCCAGCCCTTGATCCGGCCATCCGCAGCAGAAACCCATAAAGCACCCTGATTCCGAACAAGTTCAGGCTTAGGACCGGCATCAGACAAACGAGGCAATTGAATGAACGTGCCGCGGTAGACAGTCAGACTGAACGATGTATCTGTCGTGGAACCCATGTTGATACACGAAGGCGCCGTAGATGTAGATGCGGTGTATATAAATATCGATATCGAAACAAGACAAATAAATCAGCTGAACGAGTATCCGAATCTAGCAGTATAAACCCGTCGATATAAGAGTCTAACTCAAGAGAGCGCAGATCAGTCTCCACAATGCAAGCCTCACAAGTCAAGTCCGAAGTCAAAGGCCAAGGAACAAGATCAAAATCGAAATCCCAAAGAACGGAATCTTCACAAGAGGGAAAGCAGTCTAATATATCGTCTCTAACATAAGCCTATCGCAACAACCTACCACAGTGGTCAAAAGAATAAGCGATAGCCCCCAAAAAGCCAAGCGCGCAGGTATGTATCAAGGTTGTCCCTTCTAAATTGGATATAAATCTCTCTCCATGGGTCGTGCCCCGTAATTGAATCCTGCGAACAGCGGCTGAGTTGACAGTTTCATCCGCAGGAATGGGGAAAGTTAGGCCATTCGGGGTCTTTGGCGGGGCGGGGATCGGCTGACTCCGATGTGTATTGAAATTTACCGTGTTGTTTGATTATGTCATTCGATCATGGGTGTTGGAAGTGGGGTAATTTTGGATGGATGGTATTGTATTGTACGAGGGGCATTGATAAGTTGAGAAGCTGATAAGGGTGTTGATTTTGCCGGGTTTTGCCGACTTCGGGTGCTTACAATTTACTGACGGGGGGAGAGAGAGAGAGAGAGAATATAATAAATGCTATATTGTATTGTATTATGCCCGCTGGATGATTATGTTGAATCAATCCAAGCCGAAAACTATATCTTTTTGAACGTCATCATCGTAGCCAAAAGAAAAATGTTGAATGTATACACAAGAAGAGCGGGAACATATCCCTATAACGAAACCAAGAGCCAAAAGCAAAAGCAAAGCAACCAGCGCAGCATGGGTATCATAGATCATCGTCTAGATCGATCTTAATCTATTCGCTGTCCTCGACAGGACCGCAAGTGCAGAACAAGTTCTGGTCACCGAAAGCGTCATCGACACGAGTGACGGTGGGCCAGAACTTCTTCTCGAGCAGGTAGGGCACGGGGTAAGCGGCCTTCTCACGAGTGTAGGGACGCTCCCAGGCGGTGGTAAGGAGGTCACGCTGGGTGTGAGGGGACAGCTTGAGGACGTTACCCTCGCGGGGCTGCTCGCCTGCCTCGACCTGGGCGATTTCCTTGCGGATGGAGATCAGGGCGTCGCAGAAGCGGTCCAGCTCGGCCTTGCTCTCGGACTCGGTGGGCTCGATCATCAGGGTGTTGGAGACGGGCCAGGACATAGTCGGGGCATGGAAGCCGTAGTCCTGGAGGCGCTTGGCGATGTCGATGGCTTCGATACCGCAAGTTTCCTTGAAGCCGCGCACGTCGAGGATGAACTCGTGGGCGCAGCGGCCGTGGTCGTTGGTGTACAGGATTGGGTAGTGGGGCTTAAGGCGGGAGAGGATGTAGTTGGCGTTCAGCAGGGTGATCTTGGTGGCGTGGGTCAGGCCGCGGTCGCCCATCATGTTGATATAATTGAAGGTGATGGGAAGGATACTGGCGCTACCCCAGGGAGCGGCACTAATTGGTGGAGAAGAGGAGTCACCACGTTTGGACTGCAGATACTCACTAGTAGGGTGAGAGGGCAGGTAAGGACGCAGGTGCTCGGCAACACCAATGGGGCCGACACCGGGGCCACCGCCCCCGTGGGGGATACAGAAGGTCTTGTGCAGGTTGAGGTGGCACACGTCGGCGCCGATCTCACCAGGGGAGCAGAGGCCAATCTGGGCGTTCATGTTGGCACCGTCCATGTAGACCTGACCACCGTGCTGGTGAACCAGACGGCAGGCCTCCTTGGCACCGGGCTCGAAGACACCAAAGGTGCTGGGGTAGGTGATCATGAATGCGGCAAGCTCGTCCTTGTGTTTCTCACACTTGGCCTTGAGGTCCTCGAGGTCGAGATTACCGGTCTTGGTGTCACACTTGACGGTGACAACGCGCATACCGGCCATGGCGGCACTGGCAGGGTTGGTACCGTGGGCAGAGACAGGAATTAAGCACAAGTTGCGCTTGGCATCACCCTTGCCCTCAAAGTACTTCTTTATAACACGGAGACCAGCGAACTCACCCTGGGCACCGGAGTTGGGCTGAACAGTAACCTCAGCCATGCCGGTGATATCGGAGAGCTGCTGCTCGAGATCATCAATCATGTTGGTGTAGCCCTTGGCCTTGTCAGCAGGCATGAAGGGATGGATTTGGGAGAACTCGGGCCAAGAGATGGGAAGCATTTCCGAGGTAGCGTTCAGCTTCATGGTGCAAGATCCGAGAGGAATCATAGAGTGGGCCAGAGACAAATCCTTCGACTCGAGGTGATGGATGTATCGGAGCATCTCAGTCTCGGAGTGGTGGGTGTTGAAAACCGGGTGAGTCATGTAGGCGGAGGTGCGCTCAAGGTTGGCAGGGATGGGAGTGACACCAAGGTGGCCGTCGACCTCGACGGGGGAAACGGACTTGTGAGCGGCAAAGACAGCCAAGAGTTCCTTAACCTCATCACGGCCAACAGTCTCATCCAGAGAGAGACCAACCTTGTTACCACCAAGACGGCGGAGGAACACGTTGCTGGCCTTGGCCTCAGCCATGATGGCATCAGCCTCTGCAGCACTGGGCAGCTCAACGGCGAGAGTGTCAAAGACAACACCAGAGTCACCATTGGTGCGGAGAGGAACGTTGTAGCCAAGTCCGACAAGCTTCTCACGAAGAAGAGTGGTCATGGACATGATACGCTCGGCGATAGACTTGAGGCCGACAGGGCCGTGGTAGATAGCATACATGGCAGTCATGTTAGCGAGCAGAGCCTGAGCAGTGCAAATGTTGCTAGTAGCCTTCTCGCGACGAATGTGCTGCTCACGAGTCTGAAGAGCCAGACGCAGAGCGCGGTTGCCGAGACGGTCCTTGGACACACCAACAACACGACCGGGGACCTTACGCTTGTACTTATCGGCACAAGCGAAGAAAGCAGCGTGGGGACCACCGAAGCCCATGGGTACACCAAGACGCTGGGCACTGCCGAACGCGATATCGGCACCGAACTCACCAGGGGCCTTGAGCACAGTCAAAGCAAGCAGGTCAGTGGCAACACTGAAGGTACCACCCTGACCGTGGATAGAGTCACCCAGGGACTGGAAGTCGTAAATACCACCCTCGGTATCGGGGTACTGGGCAAGGACACCAATCAGGTGGTCCTTCTGGTCTTTGACGAGCTGGAAGTCGTTGGCCAGGATGTCACCAACAACCAGGTTGATTCCGAATCCCTCGGCGCGGGACTGCATCACGGCAATGGTCTGGGGGTGGCAAAGGTGGGAGACAACGAAAGACTTGTCAGCCTTCTTCTGCTTAGAAGCGGGCATAGTGGCGAAGGACATGGTCATGGCCTCGGCGGCGGCGGTGGCCTCGTCCAGAACGGAGGCATTGGCGAAAGGCAGACCGGTCAGATCAGCGGTCAGAGTCTGGAAATTCAACAAAGACTCCAGACGACCCTGGCTGATCTCGGGCTGGTAGGGGGTGTAGCTGGTGTACCAGGCGGGGTTCTCGAGCACATTGCGCTGAATGACGGGAGGCACGATCGTGGGGTAGTAGCCAGTTCCAATGTAGGTCTTTCCGGAGACATCAATCTGCTCCCGGTACTTATTCAAGAGCTTGAGCATGTCGGTCTCGCCGAGACCACCCTGCACGCTGGAGCGGTATAAGTTGATATCGGCATGGGGCTCGGAAAGCTCGAGGTTCTTCTTGGAGAGAATGTCCTCAGGCAGGACCTGCTTCACAAACTCGTCCAAAGATGCCACTGGGGGATCCAGCACTGCTAGCATCTGCCCGGCGGCATCTGGAGAAGGACCGATGTGTCGGCGGGGGAAGGTATCGAGAGGCTGGAAGATATCTTGGGGGTGGGGGTCACCGTGATCGGCGAGGGTGCTATTGTAAACTCCACGAGGCTGCGAGCTGTGTACGCCCCGTCTCTGCAGGTTCAATGGCGAGATTGAAGCTCTAGCAATGGAGGGGACGCGAACACGCGATCGCAGCGCAAGCTGGCGGGTGCCACGAAGGGCAAAGAGGGATGCCGCCATACTTGAGGTAGTATAGTAGGCACTCAACACATCCAATTGCGGAGAGGAGAAGGAGGATAGCAAGATACAAGAAAAGAAAAGAAAGCAAAGAAGTACAGAGCCAAAAATTAATACTTTATCAGTGACTTGCCCTTGCCGACGGGCAACTATCGGGAAACGGAGTCCACTGATAACTGCTGCTTATCTAACCAATAACCGCCTTTTCCTGCCCCCGTCGCCCCTCGACTCCGCCAGTTCCCCACTGCTTTGCGGAGGTGAGCCCCCGAGTTTCCCGCCGGGAAACTGATCGAAAGTGGGCTATAACCCACCGAGGGGAAGCAGAGAAGAGCTCCGGTTGAGCTTCCGATACGAATTGAAGTGGATAATGAAACACCTGATTGACATTGCTATCTCGACTATATGACTCAAATGGTATATCGGAACTGAGCGTCGCCCTCGATTTCCCGCTCTCCCCGATCTGCCTGCTTATTACAGTGTCTGAACCACAAACTCAACGCGATAACCAAGATGATGATAAGAATGTTGCACCTGCAGAGACATCAGTCAGAGATCAAACGGAAGGACCAAACGGAGACAGAAGGGGACAGAGGGATACATACGCGATAGCGGCATACATTCCGGGCCGATAACCGGGCGCGTCCTGTTCACGGAAAACCAAACTACTCACGATACCACCAAGGCCACCAAATCCGACAAGAGTAGCGCTGGAAAAGGCACGTGTCCATTGTCCACGCACGTTGTTCGCTTGGTACGCCATACAAGCGGGGATATTGGCATTGGCTCCAGCGACAGTGAAGAACACTCCCGCATAGCGTGTCGCATCCCCCTTGGCGAAGCCCATCATCGGCAACCCAATAATGGCGAGCAAGGCGTTGAAGATCAGGATCGGTCCGCGCATGTGATATTTATCGGCCACCCAGGCTGTGCCGTACATGACGATTCCCGCGAAGGCGTAGGGTGGTGCGACGAGGCATTGCGATTCGCCGACGCCGTAGCCCATTCCGAGGCGGAGGATGATTGGGAGGAAGTAGGCAATTGCGTAGGTCACAGTTGTGAGGCAGCTAATTATCATTAGAATAGATCATCGGGTCGGGGAAGGGATTGTGCATACAAGAAGATCATTGCGAAGCCCCAGATATGAATGTCCAGTGCGGGCTTGAGGAACTTTTTCATGGAGAAGGCTTCGAGATTGCCATCGTTACGGTCGTCGTTGATGCGGCGGACGATGAATTGGCATTCACGTTCGTTGAGGAAACGCCAGGACTTGTGTGCGCGGTCTGGGAAGTCGACGAGGAAGAAGAAGCATAGGATGCCGATGAAGCCGGTAATCTGGTCCGTCAGTATATGCACTCAATTGATACCACGCACTACGCACCACTCCTTCAAGAATAAAGATCCACCGCCAGCCAGTCAGACCGTGCTTTCCATTCAACTGCATCAATCCGAAAGCGAGAATACCTGCCAGCGCTGAGGCAACACATCCAATGAGATAGAAAATAGAGAATCGCTTTTGGACGTCATCTTCGAGTGGTCAGCCATCGTTCCGAGTCTCTTGGTTGTTGTCTTACATCGAGTATACCAGCAAGAGAGCAGGTAAACACAGCCAGGGAAATATCCTGCCTCTAGGACACCCAAGAGCACACGTGTGACAACCAATTGGCCCCAATCCTTGACGAATCCCATTCCCTATACCAGTCAGCAGAGAACCAATATCCTTGGGGGCAAAACACACTATCATGATAGCAGCCCAGCAAATAATGATCGACGACAGGAACATAGTCGGGCCCAACTTGCGGATGATAATAGTCATCGGTGGTTGGAAGAGGATGTAGGGCACGAAGAACATCAAAACGATGATGGACTAGTGGACAATTAGCATCAGCCAACCAAAAGTATCAACAGGAGTATAAACATACATATCGCTGTCCAATATCCAACCTCAATTCCTCTTTCAATCTGTCAAAATGTCAATAATTGACCCCATCATTCAATATGAAAAGGGAAGCATACCCAGCAACAGCAGCCATACTCAAATTAGTCCGATCCATCAGTGAAATACAATAAGCCAATCCAGTCATAGTAACAAGTCTCAAGTCAACCCGTCGAATAATCTTCTTCTGCTCCTCCGGCGTAAACTCATCATCTTCACTGGGCGGGCTCTTGCCCTCAATATCCTCGATATTATCAACAGTAGGGGGTTTCTCGTCGATGGGAGCCATGTTTCCCATAATAACACAAAGTGTCAAATCAATTCAATTCAATTGAAATCAGACCAACCCGATTCCTCTGATCGAGATTGCTGGATAGATGGATAGACAAGATAGAGAACAATGACTCTGTAGAATGCAGTACAGAAAAAGAAAAAAAAAGCAGGCAAACCCACCATCTTATCTACTTCTGCAAAGCTTCACAAACTAATCATAAAGTTCACCTACTCTAGATCTCCACAAGACACCAGAACCACCTCCCACCCAGTCACAAAGACCACTCGCCAAATAACCCCCCATGGATCCCGCCCAGCCAACGCCATCAACTCCAAAACCGGAACGAGAATCAAATAGCCGACACGGGGCCTCGGGACAAGACAATCGCCTACAGTATAGACATGTACAGAACGGCAGCTTGGGGGGCTAACAGGATAGTTGGCAAGTAGAGTCAGCGCGTAATAGAGCAATATTGCCCGAAACAAAGGAGGGGGCTTGGATCCACTTTTTGCTTTCTCTACGAGTTAGACGAGTTAGATAGGAGCTGGGAGTAGGTTTGATGGCTGTCTTTGGAGGTTTTTGGTGAGAATCCGGGGGCGTGAGGGTTTAGATGCGGGGGTGGGTTACTTGGCGGGTTCTTGGCGAGTGGTCATCCCCTCGGTTTGTGTTGTTTAGGGGCGGAGGGAGAGGTGTAGGTGTAGGGGTTGGGGTGTTGTTCGATTGTCTTTGTTTTGCCACTGGCTCGTTGGGGTTGTTGATTAGGGCTTGAATGGGTTTGTTTGGACTAATGGCGGTGTAGGTGTCATTTATTGTGCTTTACTTTCGCCTATCTGGGTATTCCGACTTTTCCTTCATTCTTTTCTCCTAAACGCTTTTCTATATGGTAGCCTCGTGTGGTGCTGATTGTCTCTTTCATCCAGTGGCGAGGTCCAGATAGCCAAGCAAGAGTCAGCTCAAGCCATACCTCCTATACGAAGAGAGCAACATTCAGCATTGACATTTTCTTTCTGATACGTCTGTTTCAGACTCACATCGGAAATACCGAAATTTTAATTCGTTATCTCTCACAGCTTCTTCATTGGTACATAAAGCGTGGCACTACCTACCTACCCTGGTCTCGGCCGTCGGGAATCTCAGTATGCAGGTCATGAGCTCATCATACATGTATCCCTTTATCTAGGCTAATAGATATACCCCATTCGTCCAGCTAAGAACCGCTTTAGCGCTGTGCTCGAGGTTGGAAGCTTCTGCGTCAGACCCCCAAGCTCCACCGTATATTCGAAATCCGGGGAAACCTAAAACCAATTCCGATTTATTGTCTCAGAGCATGTGACCAGCCCGCGCGTTTTCGTCTTGGTAGTACACATAATTTAAGAAAAATGACAGCCACAATACACAAAGATGAGCAGAGAAAACATTGGCATGCCGGCACTCAAGCTAAATGCCGAACGAACCTCGGCCAGCATCTAAAACCACTCATTCGAACCCGATGCATCAACGATACTCCTCATCACTCTCGTATTCTTCCTCCTCTTCCAAGAACTGGAGCAATCTCTCCCGTTCCTCGTCATCTACTGCGTCTTGTACTTTTCGTTGGCGGACAGCCACGAAAACAAATATCACGAGTGCCATGCCCACGATAAATCCCGCAATTGCCAAGGTGGCATTTATTGGGATTGGGTTTCCATTGAAGGTGCGGTGTGTCAATGCGTCTAGGCCGTATTGGGAGAAATTTGCTAGTCCAGATAGACAGATGATGGCTCCGTAGACGCGACCGAATGTGGCGAAGCCGAAGACTTTAGTTGTGTAATCGCTGTATCGATGTTAGTTATAAACGGCATGATATAAGCTATAGGAGAAAGGGCAAGGGAAGAAACATACGACATAGCAGAGTAGTAAAGAGGTCGTAGTAAAACAAACAGTATAACTGTCATGTATCCAGCCCAAACAGCCGGAATGGAATTCAAAACTCCAATAACAGTAGTGAAAAGAACAATAAGACCTAGCATCGCTGGCACGCTAAGACGATCAAGCAAGAAGCCAATAGCAGGCGTGAAAAGAACGCCACCAACCGGCAATGCAATATCAAACAAATTCCCAATTCTATCAGCTTCATCAACTGACCCGAGCATAAACTCATACTGCGAGCGGATAGTCGCAATGAAATAGTTCATGCGGATCATCTGCAGGACTGTCATCAATGTAATTAGAATGAACCACGGCGTCGCCATCTGCTTGTGCGCCGGAAGACCGTGCAACACACCCCAGACCCAGGAGGTCTGTTGACGATCCTCTTCTCGGTCGGCGCGCAGCTGGCGCTCGTCTTTATCCCCCAATACGGCGTTAATCTGGCGGATTTTCTTCTTCCGCTGTTCGGCACGTTTCCTGCGCACTTTGTTTAGCTCGGCTGTGCTCTCGATCTCATCGTCTGAGTCGTGTACGTCGCGTGTGGCATCTTCCGCCCTTTCGATTCTGTTTTCTAATTGCAGTGTTGAGACATAATCCTTCGCCGGCATTATTGTCATAACTGTAATTAGAATGCATAATGGCACGACGAGATAGCCTAGGAAGAATTTGTCGGGTGTGAATGTTCTTGCTGTGGCCTCGTAGATGAGTCGGTAGAACAGGAAGACGGCGGCCGACGCGTCAAATGCACCCGTGACCAACGCGACGATCGTGCCCGCATATTTAGGGAACGCATTTGCAATTTGGAAGGATGGAACGAAGATAAATGTTCCAGCTAATGCGAGGAAGAAGTTTCCCGGGATGTACCCGTCGAAGCTGGGGATGTGGAATGCGAAGCCCATGACCACCCCGCCGATGGCGAGCAATATGGATCCAATGAGCCAACATACTCGCGAGCCGCAGCGATCCAGGATTGTTCCAACTGGCAAGGCAGATACATTGGCGGTGATGGAAGCAATAGTGAAAAAGAGATTGAGTCTGGCGGTGGTTAGTCATAACAAAGTTGTCGCGGGAGCACAGGGATGACCTACCTCAGATCTTGCTGAGAACACAATTCAAGACCTTCTTCTAGTTCAGCTGCTGTACAGCGCTCATGATAAACACCCTCCTCAACAAGGACTGGTTTCAGAGCCGCGAACCCAAACACGATACCCGACGCGAGCCAGCACGCAAGGACGGTCACCACAACCTGCACTGAGACACGTTAGCTGATAATTCCGTCTTGATTTGATTGATCCGTACCTATTCGCCTCAGAGGGGAATGCTCATACGCAGGGATTCCAGGACGCAGCTCTGCGACCGGGATTCCCTCAGTTGGTGGCTGCAGGACATCGTAGCTGATTTTTCTCCGGATGGGGACGAAGTCTTCTGCTACGTCTGGCTCAGGTTCACGATCCACACCATCTATGACGGAGACGTGCTGCACCAGCGACATTGCTCGTGTTGAACGATGAGCTTGGGTGGGTTGTGGAGGGGAAGTGGTCTTATCGCGGAGACTTTTCTTTTTAGTGTGTTGTGGTAGGGTTTTATGCAGTGCTATCGCGGATTAACTCCCCGATGCATGTGAATGTATAGTTATTCTGTTTCTATGGATTTCATTTTGTTTCTATGGGTTTCTTTCTGATTTTGATTTTGCAATGTGTGGTAGCTCTGTAGATCGGAGCTATATGGCACCTGACTTTGCTGGGTTTTCCTTGGAGCTAACCCAAGCTCCCGTTACTCCGTGGCTGTACATGCTTCTGATTCGCCACTTTTAACGGGGGCCGTTTTTAATATATTTCAGTCGGCTGAGAATTCCCTTTCTTATACATTCTACCTTCTTTATCCTTACTTCGAATATCGAACAAATTTTTCCAGCCTTCTGCTCTGATATGCTTCTTTTGGGGAGATTAGCCTATCTGGTTCCATAGTTCGGCCAGAACAGAAGCACGGTACAATAGGTACATCGTACGTCTATTCAGATGTATATTGTTATGCAGCTCGTACTATATAGATAAAACTATACATTTCTCAAATGAACCAAGCCATATACAGTCCCTTATCAACCATGATTGTCTACATGATACTATGTTATGTCTGTTTGCCTGGCACACGTGACCCTAGGGAGTATATGACGTCAGGACCGCGCTCGTGACGTCAACCTCGACTTTCTACACTCTCGCAATTCGGTGTGCAATTCATCTTGAATTCTCATCAATCACCCGGACACTATTTGCCTCAGACTTAGAGCTCATGACCCCTTGCAACGAGTCAATACTAAAGAGGCCTAGTTCAGACCAATGCCCAGTCGCCCCTGTATTGGGGCACTGAGTCTCTTCAATCCACTTAGCTTTAAATGCATATTGTCTGTATTTGTGCTCATCCAATCACGCCGCTACGAGACTTGGCACATGTATAATTGGCTCATCCTAGCGAACATGCCTGGCACGCCTAATAGTATCGAAAACAAGCATTCGACGTTCATGTTTTCACTTGACTCTGCGTCACTTTTCCACCCTATTTCGTTTCAAGGCCACAGCATGCGAGCGCATGTCACCAGTGATTTTGGGTTGACAGGCTGGGGGATACTAGGTATAAGCAAATGCATGTGACCTGGGAGCTTGGGGGCCATCTCAAAGCTGCGGACCTCAAGAAAATGCGATTGCTAGGCTCGTAGCATACGCTATTTTCGCCATAGCAACAACAAATTGCGATCTCGTATTGCCTACTCGCGCACTTGAAATAGTCAGTAGCAACTGGTGTTTGAATTGATACGTCAAAGCCTGCTTTATATCGGGTGGGAGCTAGCTCAGTACGTGCGGTATCACATAACCAACAGAATGTCAATGTGGGCGGTCCGCTCATTTAATTCCATGCCTCAGCATCGCGGGTTTATCAAACGGTGAACCTAAGGCAAGTTCCCTCCTTCAAATAAAAGTCAGATATCACTCCCACTTGCGGCTTCATTGTCTCCAGCTATGAGCCCACCAGAATAGTTTGAAGACTTATTCATAGCCTCAACATCTACAACAGTCTACTGATGCAGGGGCTATCGCATCGGGTTCGAATTACTCGGCTTCTATCTAGACAATAGAGGTATTTCTTGTCTGCTTCTCCTCCCTATCAAGTTGCCCAAGGCTAAAACAAAGATATGAACAGGGTTGTATGAGGGGCTTTCTGCCAAGCTCAGGCGCGATGGGGGCGGGTCACAATAGAGATGCCAATTGAAATGCCCGTGGGCAAGGGATTTTGGCAACTCAACGAAGACTTTTTTGTATGCGATTCTTGTGTTTTCATCCGTAGTTGAGCCACGTATCCTGAAGCTGAAAAATTAGATTGCCTCCAGAGGTATGAATCTGCAATGATGACCACCCGGTCGCAGACGCAGCAGTTTTAATGATTGATCCGGTGATACTCCCAATGCTGGAAATATCTTCAAATTTTCTCACTCGCCCAGCACGGTCATTATTTCCTTGAGAGAGGCCGGCTTTCGGAGGAAGACATTAACGCCTGCCGCATAAGCTCTTGAGATATGTTCATCCGACCCTAGACCGGTGAGCGCGATTATGCGTGTAGGAGACACGGTCTGCCGCTTTGTTTCTATCAATCGAATTTCTTTGCTTGCCTCGAATCCGTCCATTATAGGCATAGACATGTCTTTTGGCGCGGATTTGTTAGAATTTTTCGGGTAATTTTGAAGACTGGGGACTGAGAAGAAACTACTCACCCATGAAGACATAATCATAGCCTTGTGGCATTTTCTGTACTAATTCAACGGCGTTTGCGCCGTTTACGGCGCAGTGCAGTTCTTGCGTTGGTACTTTTGAGATAAACCTTTTGAGTAGGGCGAGGTTTATAGCGTTGTCCTCTACCAAGAGGATTCGAAGCCCATCTTTTACTTCAGTCAGCGAGGAAACATGGGTTTCCTTGGCATCATTCCCAATATGAGCTGGCAAGTGAAGGTCCGTAATTCTGGGCTTCATATTTTCTTCATTTGGGGTAGATGATGTGACCGACGGAGATGAATCACTTGATTTGGGCCGTACTTCATGCTGCCGAAGGAGAGCCATCTTTGTTCGCGGATCAGTTGAGTCTGAGTCCAAATCTGTGTCACGTTGAACAGATTTCGCCGTGCTATCGGACGTATAGGCCTTGCTTGGCCGTAAATTTTGAAGGGAGCTCAAAAGCGTCCTGGCTAGTTGGTGAGGCCCACACGGAAGAGTCAGCCATATTGAGTTGACCAGTCGCTCTTTCATCAAAGTCTCCGTTGACAATGGGCTAGAGCCTCGATGAGACAGGACCAAAAGTAGGGCATGACGATAGACTTTGGGGATTTGATCCAAATGACGCTCGTCAACAACCACCAAGTCAGACGCGGTAGGAAGAGGCTGATCCCCAATAGCCATGCCGAACCATTTGGTCAGATATTGTTTGATCATATGAGGTGATGACGGCTTGCTGGATTGGAAATTGGCGGTGGGATAAAAGAATACCCTCCTCCCTTCCAGCTCTGTGGTAACACGGTCAATAGATGTCATAGTGGGTGGCGACAAGCCCGGAACGGGAGACTTGGTTTCAGAAATCTGGCGTTGTTGAGGATATGTAAGAGGGAACGTGATCTTCACCACTGTACCCACGCCGAGTTGACTTTTAATTGTAATGCTTCCACCCAGTGAACGAAGTATACCTCGGACGAGTGAGAGACCCAGCCCCGCACCAGGTGACATTGGGTTCTCTTGTGAAAACGGAGTAAAGATATTGGAACGAAGGTAGTTATTTGAGATGCCCCTGCCCGTATCGGAAACTGTTATCAGGAGCACTGGGCAGTCGTTCTTTGACTTCTGAGTCTCAAGATGGAGCGAAACAGATCCTACGTCCGTGTTCTTTAATGCATTTCCGAATACATTCATCACGACGCGCCTCAAAGCACCTGGTTCCAATACATAAAGCCAGTCCTGGGGTGCAGCATCAAGAAACACGTCCACTTGTTCGCCGTCGATGGTTTGCGATTCTCTCATGGTATCATCCATCGGATCCAACTGCCATAGTCGGGCAGATGCACTGCCTCCATTCATGATACTTGATAGGTGCTGTCCGGAGCAAACGCTTTCAACAGCCTCCTCAACGACTGCAAGGACATCGACTAGCTTGACGATGTGTAATGTCTGCGGCCGACCACGTTGGAGACGTTGGTGGGGCGAGCGAGATCTTGATAGTTCCCTTTCAAAGGAGTTGATTTTGGTGAAATCTAAGATCTGCTCAAAGGTTTCAAGGAGGGTTTGACCACAAGCACGGATCGTGTCAAGAAGCCGCTTCGCGAAGTCTGAATCCACGTGATCGAGGAGTAATTCGTTAGATGCTAAGATGCCGTGCAATGGGCTTCGTAACTCATGTCTTTGGTGGTTTTGTGGTTAGGAATGTCCATGGCAAATTATAAAGAGAGGGAGGGCCCGTAATACTCACGACATGGTACTAATAAAATCGCCCTTTTGCTTAGCCGATTCTTGGCTCTGAATACGACTGTGCTCGACCATTAGGGATGAGCCAAATCCAAAGAGTCCACCCAGATCGACATGTGCACTGAACACTCGAGTCTCGGCTCGACTCCAACAAAAGGCACCACCGAACCATCGCGAATTAAGTGAGTCCCATAGAGGCGCGAAGATAATTCTGGTCGCATTGGGGAAATTCTTTCTTATTGATTGGAGATCCTTCTCGCGCAACGATTTGAGCGACTCTGGATGTACTGAAAGTGGAGGTTGGGAGGGGTTGGGAGCATCCTTTATGCTCCCCGAACTGATTCCATCCTCATCGGATGAAAAGGCTCCTCCATGGTAATGCAAATACCATAGGCCGCCGCGTGGGTGATGTCGTATCATTCGGCGTACAAATTTTGATTCCATCTGTGATGCTGGATATGAAACGATTTCTTCCTTGGTTTCATGGGGCTGATGTTTGGTGTCCGAAATCGCCCATAATTTGACCAGTTTTTTCTCCTTTTCCCCGTCTGAGTGATCGTACAAATCTTGATCGATATCTTCACCGGTGCCAACAATCACCACACCACCGTCTGAGCCCAGATCCAAGCTTTCTCGCATGATGTTGGCAGCACATTGAAAAGTCCGCTGTAATTTGTTGTCGTTAAATCCCGGGCACCGTTCTGCCTTCGATTTTGGTAAAAATTTGCGAGTTGTAGATGGAATGATGCCAGAAGTAACAACGTCAGGTGCATTTGGCTGAGTCGACGAAACCAGTGGTGGGCTTCTGCTCCTGGCCTTGAACGTATATTCCTCAACCTCGGTGTCAGGAGTATGAGGGTCGCATGGTGAATACGATGGGAGACAGTCCGATTGGCCGGGGCTGTGCCTAGTTGAGTCGCGCGGGGTATCTGAACTGGATGCACCTTGTACGAAAGTATTCAAGCCAGCCAATAGCTTCGTCAAGCGATTAGCCTCTAATGACTGCCGAGAGGTCTCCAGATACTCCATCACCGCATCCGCGATATTTCCAAGTGTTTCTTTGTGAGAATCGCCCAAACGGCGGTTGGGTCGAGGATCAATCACGTATAAACTGCCAATATTGATCCCATTAACGGTTTTCAGGGGTGTACCAGCGTAGAACCGGAAATGCGGATCTTTTGCGACGCAGGGTAAATTGGAATAGGTCGGATGCTGCTTTAAATCCTCTACGACGAAGAACGCATGCTTTCCGTCCGAGGCATTTAAGGTAATGGTTTTCTGTGACCATCCAGAAAACATCAGCAATTTCCATCCCGAAGAGATTTCTTTGAACAAAGAGTCCTTTTGGAGCTCGTAGGGCTCACCTCGCACAGAGATCCCGCTACGGGTCCTCGCGAACAGCCCACCCAGAGGCCATCGCCATGTCTCTCATGCCGGTCATTGTTTGCCAAATCCAGCGACCGCGAGGCTTCTGCTACCACATAAAGTGTTTCCCGATCAATCAGACTGGACGATTGTCACAGGGTAAGTAACTATCTTGAGGATGGATTCCAAGGTTCGCGCTTTGAAAAAGTACAACGAACAATCCACCGGAGCCGTCCGTATGCATTTGGTAGAATCACTCCAACGCATCACAACAAAGAAAATCGTACCTGATAACTGTTCGTTGAACCCCCAGCTTTAATGCGGCCAATTGTGCCAGAGCCGTCAACACCAGGTTTGGACTTGATTTTTGAATAGTGGGGTTTTCGCATGATCGCTTCGCGTGCTGGCCGGTTGGCATTAGAGCCGGGTTGTCCGGTTGGAAATAATGGAACAATTCTCGGGCGCGTAAGTCGGCATCGCGATCTTCCTGCTGCGCGTTCATGGTGCCCAGTCCAGTTGGGATCGCCAGCAGAAGAAGTGAAGAACGCACTTACGGAAAAAAATAAAAAATAAAAAAATAAAGAAAAATCGAGTGGGAAGTAATTAATAATAAAAGAGAGAATGAAATTCGTGAAAAAGCGCGAAGATGGAGAATAAAGTGGTGGCACCGCGAATTTCGCGGCGTCATGGGTAAATGCCAAAAGCGCAGTCCGTGCCTCGGTCGGAACCCCCACCATCAATCATCTGACTGGTGGGTGAGACTACCGACGTTCCCGAAAGATGGAGTCGCAGCCCGTTTTTAACATCAAGAAATCAAGCCCCACGTGGTGGTGGTGGTGGTGGTGGTGTCTCCTCAAAACGTTATCTACTCCCCTTTCTCAATTGCTGACCCCACAACTTTACTCTGATGTTCGGCAACAGGTAGGATAATTGCTGGAATTTTCAAATTGGGCTGCAAAGGTCTTATCAATAAGTTCCAGGCGACATTCTTAGATATTGTCCGGCCTATCGAATACAATCCTCCTAGGTATGTTTCTTGCTTTACCGTGAATTTCGCGATAGACATGTTTATTCTATACATTACTCTGCTAGGCTTATCCATGGGAATTAGCTCATATAGTTTCTCATAGACCTACAAGGAACGGTGACCCGAACCATCTGTCTACCTAGAGCAGCTCTAGTCTTCGCTGTACGCTCTTGCTCAGCGACTCATGTGGTCTCTGATTTACGCCATTTCTTGATAACTCTTCGATTCCCGCCCCGAACCCATATTGTCCTTCGCCGAATTGCATTCCGGTAGCTTGCACACGGTTTTCCATGGCACGGCCGCAGACTTGCACATACCACGCGTGGAGCCAAATTTGACGACACCACAGACACTTTGTGTGCATTTCGCCGTTGCTCCTCTCCATGGAAATCGCATCTACCCGTTCCAAGATGGTAATTAGACGTGCAACGCTTTGCGACAAGGCTGCTCATTGGGGGTCGAAAATGGGGTGGTCGCACGATCGCTCATAAGAGCAACAAAGAGCTTGAAGGCGAGAGGAAGAACGAGCTACAAAGAAACTTGGACGAGGAATTGGTCACTATGCAGAATCGATCCTATTCGAATCGGCGTGTGATCAGCTTCTGTCTTCACAGCAGTATGAAAGATGACATTGATCTATCCCCGATCACTATGGAAGATTACGAGATGCAAAGGATCGACCGAGTGGCCCACTAACCGACCTTGCATACATTGGCTCCGCCCTCAGTGTTAGGCAGGGTGTCGAGAAGCTTGTCATTTAGCTCCATAGATCACCGCCCAACCAGACCGCGTCGAAACCAAAGCCCGTCAATTTTAGAATTGTCTCCACAAGCTCCGTTAGTATTCATGAATTCAAAGCCCGAAGCACCAGTTAAACTTTTGTCCCTAATCAGATAAGAGAATACAGTCTGACTTACCATTCATAAGCAGTTGCATGTTTTTTTTATCTTTTTTTTTATCTCCGCTTCCGAAACAAGGGCGCAGCATAGCAAGATGATTACTACAACGCGGTGTATTTCACAGAGTGCACCGTGAAGGAACTAATGGCGAAAATATCTCACAAGCAACGCTTCAGCCAAGATCATATATTGCACCTGTTCCAAATCAAGAATGGGTCAGCATCATTCAATGATGATGTTGTCCAGCGAATCCTAGATGGCCAGTCTATGATTGCTGAAGTTTACCAAAAGACGGTAACTGGTTTCAGGAACTTGCAACCTTTTATCTCCCTGGTACTCGCCCAGCCATCTCCCAAAGCGCTATTCGATATAGGATAGGTCGGATTTAGTTGTTCAATCCTCAGATCCCCCTAGTAGAGGCTCCTGCTCCCTGTCCACCGCATTCTCTCCATCTTTGGCCCTCCGCCAAGCCAATGCGAACAAAACACCCTGCCCCATCGCAAATATACCATTATCAAAAGCGGGGAACCCAACCAAGCTATACCAATACATAAGATTGTCGGGAGCGACCACGGGCCATGACCACGAGCCCCACTCCAATCTAGCATTTTCAATCGGAACGCGCCAGATCCATGTAAAAGCCACAGCAGCAAAGACAACAGCTTGCACTGCCAATCCGCAGATACTTAGAGCATTGTCCGGTGGACTCGATGATTCTGAGCTCCTTGCACTTTTGATTTCCCGTATCTGCGAGAAAACAGCATATACCACCAACACTGTTACGAGCGGATTCAGCAGACACATGGAGAGGAAGAATATTCCCGAAGCTACAGGATCACCGTAAGTGTGATCTGGCGAAGGGAAACCATAGAGGATATCCAAGATTGGAGGGATGATTGATATGGGAATGTAGAGTGCGTATGCGATGATATAGAACGGCTTAGAAGGTGTGTGTCGTAAACAGGCACAGAAACTGGGTGGTATGTTAGTTGGGACTTGCTTGATAGTACCTGTAGCCGGGGGTCGGATATTACTGACAGTGTAAAAAATGATAACCAGGCCACAGCAGTCTGGTACATATTCAGTCTATCTCCAAACGTTGGGGGATCATAGACGAGTGGGATGTTTTCTTCGGGGTCCTTGGCTATGAGAAGATAGACAAAGAATTTGAATTGCTCTGTTGCGCAGAGGAGGTTCCAAAAGATGTAGTCCGTTGAAATCCCTTTGCTGGTCTTTTTTGTCCAGATGCGATGCAGTTGAGGGAGAAACGATAAAGCGGTTAGGATGGTGAGAGCCCTGCGAATTTCCAAGCGTGTTAGTCGTCTTGTGTTGTTTGTTCTCGCTACTATTGGGACATACACTCGGAGACGATCAGGTATGGGTATAAGCAGCATTCTGAGTAGAAGTATCCCATATGATATATGCTGGATAAATCATGTACTCAGAGAGCTCAAGTCGCAACATTGAGGGGTTTCCCTCGGCTGACACCACCCGCTCCTTCTAGTATGGCGCCTCTTTTTTTTTGGCCCCCAATTTTGTTCCATTTGTTTGTATGAAATATGCTCTAGACAGGCAATATGCCATTATTTCAAATATTGGATGGTTTTGAATACTGTCAACAAGGGGGGTCAGGGCTAAAGGGCATTCCAGATTAGGGCTTGGAAACAATCTGTGTGGATAAAGTGACGCTTCTGTTTCGACAGAGTAAGTTGACCATACGCTATGTATAGTAATTTACCGACCTGTACTATTCCCAGCATAGCCACACTATATTACGACAAGCCACAGCTTCGGAAATTTTGAAGAGCCACGTAAGACCGAAACATGTCTTTCCGTTATGGAACACTTTCATGTTTGTTTCCTTGGACGTTTGAGACTTGTTTCATCGTCTTGATTCCTCGACTCCAATCAATCACTCGTCCCCAAGTCTAGGTTTCTGTGATGTGAGGGAGAGTGAGCAATACGCCCGCTTACTAACTTCTAGTCAGGCTTTGGGGGACTTGCGCCTATAAAGGACATTGCGGGAATTGATGTCACCGCTTATTACATTGATAGCATCAATAGGAAGCTGGCCTTGTTCCTCGGTATAGACTGGTTATCTACTATACAAGCAATTGGTCTCAGACGAAAGCTCACCAATGACTTTTCAATGATAATGTGTTCCAATCCCGTCTATTTCGGATTCACCAGCGATGGTTTAAGTGTCGATTATCGGTCCTATGGCATATATTATTTCTAATTCATTTCGGTCGCTGCTAAAAATTGTTTATTCTCTAGAGGTCCACTCTACGTCGGAAAGAAACCTTAAGATAGTGATCTCGTCAAACCTGGTAGAACCATGAGTTGGACGGACTAGTACTTTGTAGAACGGTGTGTCGCCCTTGACAACAAGGCCATGGTAAAGAATACGGATGAACACCTAGTACTGGCACCGAGCGCCTAGTAGCATTTATTCCTAGAGAATAAGCTACAAATTGTCCTTGGAAAGAAGGTCAACCGCAACAAGAGAGTTAGGATCGACTTACAGAGATATCCGGGTGTTGTGCAAAGTAGATGTATATATATCTACTTAATCATGCAAACTTCCACTAAGCCTGAAAGTGATACCTTATCATCTTAAAGTTGGTGTTTAAAAAAGTAAGTTATAATAAGAAACATCGAATATCTTGAATTATAGACTTATTTCTTAATTTCTCCGGGGGTATATAGTATAAAAATATCATGGTTCAACATATGGTCTAGAACTTATGTAAAAAATAGTATATTGTTTTGATGATAGAGCAGCTTTATAATTGAAATGCAAAAGTTAGGTCGAGTTAGGTCTCAATTGGGATTTATTGGGGCCGTAGTATTGGGTCCGGGTTGGGTTTTGGTCGGAATCTTCGACCCAATTGGGTTCTGCAGAAATTTAACCGGAGAGTGGTACGAGGTACATGAAATTAGGGGTTACAGCCAATTGAATCGATCGAATTTCTTCTCTTAATAGCTAATAAGATCCTACCCTCTTGCTCTTCTCGTTTTGAGAAGATTGAGTACGAATTGGTGGCATAGTGGGTGGTTAAAGAGGGAAGGTCTAATTGACTAACGCGCTGGGTGGCCACTCGTAGTGCAATACGTTAATGAAAACGATGCGATTCTTACCTTATCTTAATGTGCATGTGCCTGACTCACGTGATTTAATATAAACCATGGTTTGATGACGTTGCGACGCCAATGACGTAGAGCCGTTAAGTGTCAACTGCCATGGTTGTGTGACCGGCCTCTTCATTTCCTCTTATTCATTCTGTTGCCCAGTAAATCGTCTTCGCGAACTCAGTTTTACCATAGTTGCGGCGCTCGCGCAACCTGTAACAGCTTAGGAGGCAACATCACCACTATATACAAGCATGGCCACCGTTTCAATCAGCGCCCCAGGCCTGGGAAGCGGAGGATTCCTCTATAATAATGGCAATAACAATGCGCGGCTGTGTGTTACGGCCGAGACCGAAAACTTCGATATGGAGACCATCAAGAACTGGCAAGATGAAGGATTTGACGTGCTCTACATCCCATACAACGGCGGAGGAAAGGAGTATGGTGCCAAGTTACAGTCAGTGAAGGATGGACTTGGTGTGGGCGAGAACTACGGTGTAGTCGGTATGCAAAAATCAGGACTCATGGAAACTCAGATACAAACTAACTCGATCTATAGCATACGGCGATGCCGCAAACTACTGTCTCGACTACTATCTCAAGCCCACAAACTCGAGTCGACTCTGCGCCCTTGTCGCATACTATCCCAGTATCATCCCTGACACACGCTCTCGATACGGTATGCAGATGCAGGTCCTTGTGCACCTGGCTGGTGAGACCGTGGACGTGCTTGTTCAGCCCGTCGCACTCGGCTTACAGGGAAAGAAGCGACGCCAAACACGCCCTCTCAACCCTGGTGTTGGAACTGGAGAGCGCTTGGATCTGGGATATCCCACTTATACGTACGACAACGCGCAGCCCGGCTTTGCCGAGACTGATATCGAGGAATATGATCATCTGTCGGCTGATCTTGCTTTCACGCGGACTTTGAAAGCATTGCGAAAGGGTTACTCACGGGATCCCGATTTGGAAAGACGCTGGGAGGACCATGTGGAAGGTAAATTCGAACTTTCCCTCTGTCGGGTGGATTTGCTAACAAATCTGTAGCCAAATTCTTCGCGTCCAACGTTAAACAGACAATGGAGGGATATGTGCAGCACAAAACCCCCGCTGTGACTTATACGCCAACAATTACAGGCGGCATCGGCAAGAAAGCCCTCCGCCATTTCTACGATCACTACTTCATCGGCAAACTACCCCCATCAATGCGCCTTCGCCTCCTCTCCCGGACTACAGGCGCAGATCGCATAGTCGACGAGCTGTACGTGAACTTTGAACACACACAGGACGTCCCGTGGATGCTCCCCGGTGTCCCACCAACAAACAAGCGCGTGGAGATCATCCTCGTGAGCATTGTCAGCATTCGCGCCGGTCGCCTGTACTCCGAGCACGTCTACTGGGACCAAGCGAGTGTCCTCGTTCAAGTCGGTCTGTTGGACCCTAAGCTTCTGCCAAGCACCGTTCAAGGCGTCGACCGACTTCCCGTTGTCGGTCGCGAAGCTGCTCGTCGCATCCTGCACGAAGACAATGAAGTCGAACAGGAGGATTATCATAACAAGATGATTCGCCGTGCGCATGCTCGGGCTCGTCGTAATAACAGTTCCCGTGCTTCTCAGATTGCCGAGGAGTCTGGCGCTGAGATGAAGAGTGAGGCGGAGCAGACTTTGCCTGATCGGACTGGTAACAAGGGCAAGTCGGTACAAAAACCTTCTGCTCAAATGGCCGAGGTGGATGATGATGGCGCCGAGACTGAGACTGAGTCTAGTGCTAAGGCGAAGTCTGAGGCTGGAGATCGGGATCGGGCTGCTACCGTTGAGGATGTCGGAGAGGATGGACAAAATGGTTCGAAGCAGACATGAAGGCTTACCTCGTATTGTCGTGATCCCTATCATGAAATTATCGCAGAGGTACCCTCGTCTGAGGAGTTTGTGATTCATGTGGATAATCTCGGTTGGGAGTTCTTATTTTTGGGCGATTGCGTTTTGATCATGAGTGATGTTGTACCTGTTGGACTCTTCTTCGTAGCGTTGATGATTTCCACCAGTATGGACATGATGATGAATGTGACATGTATGTTTGAGCAGATGTTGCAGCAATTAAGTTAAGTTGATCTTATAATCTGATAGTAGACTACCGCTTTGGGAAAAGTGCCGCCGCTTTAAACCCCACGCTGTTTCGCGACGTCATGCAACGCCAAGTCATGCTTACCCAAAGAAGATTGGACGATGTCGCGCTCCCTCTAACACTATTCTCTCTTGAAATTATGTGAAGGTCTCTTATCACATATCCCAGACCGTGTAGCTTCCACAGGCCATCAGGGTCCGGACCAGCAAATGGCCCGACATTCCCACTTCCAACCAGGTCGAGAACCACTAGAAGACCACAATGGCCTGGAATTAAGACGATCCCATGTCTCAGGCCCAGTGCATTTCTTGAATCCTACCTGGGCCCATTACACACCAACCCAGCAGCTTAAACCGAAACGCCCAGGACTTGGAGAAGCCCAACTCCATCCACCCATTGAGCATCTCTGGCGATCGCGCGATAACAGAAAAGGCCGGCACGCACTGCGCGTTGACATAAAGGCCACTCCCCAAGAGACGGGCTATACGGTTCCACCATTAACACGTGGCACACTCGCAACAGCAAGGGGAATTCTCCTCATGTTCACATACGTACCTTACTGGGACGTGTCATATCTGGTAGCGATTACATTCACAATTGGCTCCATAATCTGGATTATCAACGCTTTCTTCGTCTGGCTACCTCTGGAAGATCCGCAGACAGGTTTCCCCGGTGAAACGCTAACAGGGGGTGGCGTTTCCGCATTTATCGGCGCGACTGTTTTCGAGATTGGAAGCGTGTTGCTGCTATTGGAAGCTATCAATGCAAATCAGACGGGGTGCTTTGGTTGGGCGCTTGAGTCTGTTTTGTCGAAAACAAAATCTGGGGAAGATGGACGTCATTCACATACGCCTGCTTCTACGAAGGTCATTCCCAACATGCGGGAGTGTCGGCATCACCATGCGGATCGGAAGTCACTGTTTTTTGGCGGCCATTCTCGCCCGTCTACTAGTCATCATGAATCTTTGTCGAATTATCCTGGTTATGTTACCTCGTCACCTGATGGGATGTCATTTCAATGGATGCCGTCCATCCTGGCATTGCGCTCGCACTACTTCCATGAACTGGGGTTTCTGGCATCTTTGATCCAATTCTTCGCTGCATCTATTTTCTGGATTGCCGGTCTTACTGGTCTTCCCGGCATCTACAATCATATGAGCCAAGGGCTTGCCGATGGTGTATATTGGGTTCCTCAGATTGTGGGTGGCATGGGATTCATTTTGAGTGGATTGCTGTTCACCCTTGAGACTCAGTCCAAGTGGTACCGACCCGCTTGGCATGTTTTGGGCTGGCATATCGGTGTATGGAATTTCATTGGTGGCATTGGCTTTACTCTCTGTGGTGCGCTTGGGCCGGCGAGTATGCACTCTGGGGTCGAGTATCAGACTACGCTTGCTACATTCTGGGGGTCGTGGGCTTTCATGATTGGATCTACAATCCAATGGTATGAGAGTCTGCAGAAGCATCCCGTTGAAAAAAAGTGAATCTGTGCTTGTTTCAAACTTTGCTTTCCTTTTCCATTGCCTGACAGTGTTCAAGAAAAACAGGCATATTGACGGATTGTACTTGTCTATTCAGCGCATTATATACTCATCATCCATGAGCGCGTAACACTCTACCTAAGTCTTAATCATATCAACTTGAACAAAATGTCCTCATTGGTCCCCCTCAAACAATCACCATCACTGCCTCACAAACTGCGTAGCATGCTTCTTGTACAAAGTGCTAGTATCCAGTACCTCACCAGTGGAAGACTTCAGAAACTCAACGGTCAAGTGCTGCTCATCCACAAACTTAATAGCGCTATAGCTATAATCATCAGCATAAGCAAAGGCAGTATAATCAGGCTTAGTCCCAACAGAACTCAGCCCCTCAATATTACCCGCACCACCAGCAACAATGTACATAGGCGCCTTGGGATCATTCATGCCATTGGCATCAGCAGTACCATTAACAACAGGCAGGAACCGCTGCGAGTTGTGCACGTGCCCGAAAACACCGAGGTCAACTCCGTACTTGTAGAGCAGTCCTTCAAATGCTTCCTGGCAAGAATCACATCCGCTGGAAGAGCCAGTTGAGTACCAAGGTCTGTGCCCAGCGACAATAACCCACGGCGTGACAGTTCGGTCAACACTCGCCAGATCAGCAGTCAAGAAATCAATTTGCTGGTTCTTTGTGCCGAAAGGTCCGCCGTCTAGCTTTGCAGAACCATCCTGGCCGTCCGGGGCATCGGGGAAATCCGTTTCGGTGTTGATCATGACAACATGCGCCATGCCGTATTCGAAGGAATACCAGAATGGCGGGTTGGATAGGGACCGGGCCTTCTTTGCATTTGCTTGGGCAGTCGCATCTGAAGAAGATGAGGTGAAAGATTGTGGCATGGTACTGTCGAACCGATGCATGAAATCGGTAAAGTTCTTCTGGCCTTCTGGGCAGAGGCCATTGATGTAAGGAATTTCACTGCAGTCTGCTTCGTGGTTTCCAGGACTGGCCATGTACATTTTCCGGCCTGCGATGGGAGCGAGTTGGTCGTAGAATTGCTCCAGGATTGATTCGTAGGCTTCTTTTCCGTCGAAGAGGTTCGAGAACTTCAGATACCAGTCATCTGCGTAGGCAAAGTCGCCTGGGTGAATTACAAGCTCGTAATCGTCAACTGTGTTGGCTAAACTACCGATTGTTGTGTGGTTGAGTTCTGGTTCGATGACGGGGATTGTGTCTTTTTTCTTGCTGGTTGTGAAGCCGTCTTTGCCGTAGACACCTAGGTCGATTACTACATCCATGTTGAAGGGTGTTTTGTCGCCTGGTGTGCGTGGGCTCAGGAAATGGCCTATTGTTGAGTTCGTGGACTCGATCTTGTAGTAGTAGGTTGTTGCTGGGGTTAGGCCTGTTAGGATGGCGACATTGGACCATGTGCGCGATGTTGCGTAAGTTGTTGATGAGCTTGAGCAGGCTTTTGTGTCCAGCTTGTCTGCTGATAAACCATATTGGACACAGGCTTGGTTCAATTGCTCGTATGTGTTCCAGCCAACGGATACAGCTATAGATATGTTAGTTCATGGTCGTGAAACCCCCTCATAGAAGAAAAAGAATGCGGAGAAACGTACAGTCAGGTCCGTAAACTGCCAGACGCTGCTGATGAGGAGTAGTCAAGTCCTTTGGAAGAGGAGGATAAGTGACACTGGCAAGAGCACTACCTGCCACAAGGGGCAGAGACTTGATGAGCGTCGAAACTCCAACCATGATGACCACGTTTCAAGACGATCGACAAGATCTGAATGTCAGACTACATATCAGGAAGGATGATCAAGTCTATATATATATTCATTTCTTATTGCAAGCATTAAAAACACAATGCGCTGTAGCATAAATACAACTGGGTCGAGAAGTACTACCAACCAATCATATTCGGAATGCCACCCACGGAGCTGAACATGCAGATCTCTTGCATACAAAGTCACCAGGCCCCACCACGTTCGTCAGGCACAAGGGTCGCTTAGCACAATGTGGTTTTAATGTCCGGGCTTAATAAACTAGATCTCGGGGATCGTCAAGCTTTTGGTTGTGAAGGCATCGGAACTTACTTATTGGCCGTGGTTTAGGGCGCACGTGGAGGCATCGGTTGGTTTTCATGGGAGTTACTAATTACTATTCAATCGTTGGAATGCTCAATTCGTTCGCTTGGGATTGTTCACGCGCAATTAATATCGGAGTCTCCGGCCGGGATCAGACCATTGCTGGTGTTTATATTGCAGCTGAGTATTTTAGGGTTGAACTATAGAGGGGAAGTGGGAGTGCTTACCGAGGTTTTTTGTTTCTACGTATATTCCTGACTGCTGATATGCTGCTCTACAAGAAGCTTGATTATATTTATTCAAATTTCACATTAGCATAAGTCTCCCTCATGCACAAGACCGAAATTAATGCCCACAGTATACCTGTAAACATGCGCTTTTCGGTGTACAAAGTACATTCTACAAATTAATCATATGATACACTCTGCCTTTTTATGTCTCTTTCCAAAGCACATTCCTTTACCTTTATTGTTTGAGGGCGTATTTCTAGATGCTGTAGTCACGTGTTGGAATGAAGACCTCAACTTACCTGCGGGATCTCGACTGAGGAAATTACCGCATCTTCCACGAATAGCGATTCTTCCTAATAGCTTAAAGATCATCTCAAGACTTCTATTACCATTTAGTTGAGAATTCCTACCCAAATTACTATACCAAAAGCTGAAAAGAAGATGATTGACTAAAAAGGGGGTCCAGATGTCAGGGTAAGGTGATTTTTGATTAATTTACCCAGAACTAACCGAATAGTACTATCTCGCATAATTAAATGAGCGTAGGTGTGCACAAGTCGCACAGGAATATTCAAAAACACAAATCGGATGCAGTCAACATCATACGAAAGGGTGTTCCACCACAACAGGAACGTGCCAAAAATCTCCCCAAAACAGCGACCATTGAGGCGCTAAGCGAGGATCAGCCAATTCCGATCATATTGTTTTTACCTTAAGCAGAAACGCTGGCGGAAGCATCGGCGGAGGCGCTGGCATTGCCGGAACCATCGGCAGATGCATCAGCGTTGGCAGAAGCATTGGCGGAAGCATTTGCAGAAGCATTGGCAGAGGCTTGAGCTTCAGCGGAGGCCTGGGCGGAGGCAGAGCCGCTAAGAGAGTCGCTTGCGCCGCCGAAGGCGCCAGTGGGACCGGGCAGAGCGAAGCTGATGCTGGTGCTCCAGCTGGTTTCTTGAGGCGAAGTTCCGGTGCCGGAGCCAGCTCCTACGCCACCAGAGACGCTTGTGCCAGACGAACCAGATCCGGAACCGCTAACACCAGCGGAGCCGCTGCCAGAAACGCCAGCCCCAGAAGAACCCGAGTCGGAAGAATCAGCGGCAGGGGAGCTAGACTCGGGGGATGCGTCGCCAGTAGAACTCGCGCCAGAGGAGCCAGTTCCAGAAGCTTCACCAGATGCACCGCCGCTAGCAGATCCAGAGCCAGAGCCAGAGACATCACCAGAAGCACCGCCGCTAGCAGATCCAGAGCCAGAGCCAGAGCCAGAGACATCACCAGAAGCGCCGCCCGAGGCACCGCCGGAAGCACCGCCGCTAGCAGATCCAGAGCCAGAGTCACTACCAGAGCCACCAAGACCAGCGGAGCCAGAGGTGCTAGCGCCGAGAGAACCAGTGCCGGAAGCATCACCAGAGGCAGTACCAGACCCACCAAGACCGGCACTGCCAGAGCCACCGAGACCAGCAGAGCCAGAAGATCCAGCCCCAAGACCGCCAGTTGCAGAAGCACCGCCGGAAGCACTGCCATATCCACCGAGGTCAGTACCTCCAGAAGCACCAAGGCCAGCGGAACCTGAACCGCCGAGGTCAGCGGAGTCAGAGCCACCAAGACCAAGACCAAGACCAAGACCAGAGGAGCCACTGCCAGACCCGCCTATGCTAGCAGAGCCGGATCCCGATGCCTCACTAGAGGCGTCGGCGTCAGCGGAAGAATCAGAGGAGCCGCTACCAGAAGCAGAGCCACCCAAGAAGCCGGGAAGGAAAGAGGAAAGTCCACCCGAGCTACTACTGCCGCTGGAGCCGCCCACGGGCCAGAGGCAAGGCTCACGGGTCTCGAGAGTCTTGTTGAAGGGAGCTGCGAGAGCAGTGCCCGCGAGGAAAAGAATCGCGGTGTTCTTCATGTTGCCGGAACAATGAAGGAGAAAAAGAAGGATAGAGCGTCGAAGTCAACTCTGGAGGAAGAAATAAAAAGAAGAGCGAGTGAATTCCAAGTTGATCCAGTCAACTGAAGCAAAAGAAAGAAGTAGGTTGTTGATGAGGACTGATCGGTGCTGGAATATGCCCTCTCTTATAGTTCTCTCGAGGCATGGAGCGGGCCGATAAATGATTCTATTTTGGTGGATGTGCTCGTGCTCGTGACTGTTCCCGTGCTTGAGATCGTGCAATCTGTTGACGTGCATTGTTAGTGAAACTACGGCTGTGACCGTGACTTGTAGTTCCTGTTTCAGAGTACTACAAGTCTGGATCAACGAGCTCATTCTCAAGCTTCTCCTAGGGCGAATCGTTTCAGATGCCTCATAATCGAGCTTCCCCTGTCGAGTGTCTGGTAGAAAGGTCGCAAGCTTAAGGTCGTCAATCCAGTGATCAAGGTAAAATACAAGTGGTATCAAAGACGCAGAAGCTGGGTGGTGATCAACTTTTCCTCGTATACATCTTCAAGCCACTCTACGGACCGTGTGCTATCAAACTCAACAAAGATGGAGCTATGGAGACTGACACAAGGGGCTGTTTTGATTAGATGAACTGGAGAGAGTTGATTAGTTGGAAGAACTCAAATATGAGGCTTTTTGCCATAATTATCTAGAAACTTCTCAGGGTGGATCCGATCCGCCTTGGGGTTCTTTAGTGCCCGTGGCCGAGCATCCCGAACACCGAACGGTTCGTGAATAAATTGGGTTCCGTGCGAGATGCTTATTTTTAGGTGCTGTCAGGGGATAATTAAGGAGAAGGGGGATTGCGAGTAGTTTGCAAACCAATCGCCACTTGGCTATCTATTTGAGTTTCCTCTAACGGAGCTAGGGATTCTTGTATAAAATTTCAACTGATTCTTTTTGAAGCAAGATTTGCTTGTGAAATGAAATGGCAAGTTCTGTCAGCCTGGAGAATTAAAATGCGCGTGTATGGTTTCATTTAGGGCTTTGAAGTCCAGTGACACAGGGTACAAAGGCAGAATATATAGGGGGAAAGGAAAAACAGCACGAACTCTTGCATCGAGCACATACAGTACAAGGATTTGATTGTGAAACAAATATTGTTTGTCGAGTCTTCACAGAAAATGCACCGTTGAATCACAACCCCAAGGATCATCGCGATAATCGCCCCGGAATGCGCACGATCGACGCAGTTCGTTTCAGCCCCCGCTGCAGGTGTTGATAGATTGAGACAATCCATAACGCCCCACTGTGTGATTAATTTAGTTAGCTACATCCTCGACAGACCTAGTAAATGGTGGCTGAAAAGTTCAACCAAGTTTCCAGATGTCTGCAAGCACAGTTGGACACCCCCTAAAGGCTCCGAAACACCACCTCTCTTGAATGACCAAGAGTAATTAAACAGAGATATCTTGAAGACATGTACAGAACACAAACTGGGTTCCGGCTACAATCGTAATCATGATCATGAAGTTGAGCAAAAAGAAATCATTAAATTAACGTGACGAGGAAACAGCAACACATAAATACATAAGTTGTCTATAACTCGCCTTCACTACCCTGTCGTCGATATCACCTTTCTATCTCTTCGTAACCACACTTCACAGAAGCTAGTTACCTTCACCCCCTAGGTTTCAACAGGTCCACCAAAAGAGAATTACTCCTTGTAACGGGTCTCCTCGATCTCCTGGCCGTTGTCACCATTGTCACTGCTGCTCATACCGAGCTCGTTCTTCTCAGCTGCGCCTTGGTCACTGGTATCCAGGCCCAGATCGCGTGACTGTTGAGCGATTTGTTCGAAGGTGAGCTTGGGCATCTCCTTGGCGACCCTCCAGGCCATCTTTCCATCGACATGAGCCTTGGCGTAGATGATGTCGACCTCTTCAAGTTCACGGCCGGCTGTCTCAACATAGAAGAAGAAGCCGAAGATCAAACCGATGAAGTTGAACAGTGCGAAGAACAGGTAAACACCCCAAGGGCTCTGTCCAGAGAACAGTGGCGTGAACATGACAACAGCAAAGTTGCAGATCCAGTTGGTGCAGGTCGATGCCGCCGCGCCGATAGTACGGGTACGGAGAGGGTTGATCTCAGGGGGGTAGATCCAGGGCAATGGCAGGAGTGTGAATGCGAAGAAGGTGATGAAGAGGAAGATACCGACAGCAGCACCCTTGGAGTTCTCCTCGGTCTCCTTGATCAAGCAAGCAAATGTGATAACGAAACTGAGACCCTGGCCAAGGAAACCAATCAAGTATAGGTTGCGACGGCCAACCCGTTCAATCATGAAGAAAGATGGGATGGTTGCAAGGGCGTAGACAGAAGCGAATACACCACCCATGATGAGCGATAGGTATTTGGCCATTCCTAGGTTTTCCTGGAAAAGTAGCGTAGAGTAGTAGATAGCAGCGTTGCAACCGGTGAACTGCTGGAAGAATTGACCGGAACAACCAATAAGAAGACGCTGGAATTCCTGAGTCTTGCCGAAAGTGAAAACGGTTTTCCAGCTTGCCTGTGAGCGCTTCGAGTTTTCGACGTCCGCTCTCAGGAAGTTAAAGTCGGTAAGCACTTCGTCGGAATCGGGAGTAGAGCCCTTGATCTTGGCGAGAACTGCGCAGGCTTCGTTGTCAAGTCCGCGCTTGACAAACCACGACGGGGAGTCCGGTAGCAACAAAGCACCCGTGGCCACGATAAGAGCGAAGAAGATCTGGAAGGCAATGGGGAAACGCCACTGAACGGTATCGGCAGCGTGCGACATACCAAAGACCAACCAGTAGGCAATAAAAGTGCCACCAGCGATCATCGCACCTTCGAAACAGACCAGGAACCCACGGTTGTGAGCGCCGGAGCATTCCGATTGCCAGACCGGGATTGTAGCCGTGTTCATGCCGTTTCCAATACCAGATACAACACGGCCGATGACGAACTGGCCGACTTCCCATTTACCAGTAAAGCAGACGGTGGTGATCAACGCACCAATAGTCAAGACGTTGGCACCCATGAAGATCACGCGAGTACGGCCGAGTCTCTCACCGAAGAACATGGAGAACAACGCGCCGAAGAAGCAGCCAAGCTCATAGCATGATGTGACGGCACCACGGATAACGTCGATGTAGTGCTTTTGGCCCGCGGACGGATTATCGGGCATTGCAAGAATTGGGAAGGAGCGAACGAATTCATCGCCGTTCAGCAGGCCAGCCATCATACCCTGGTTGTAACCGAAGAGGGAAAATCCCACGACAGCGGTGATGGTGATGCTCACCCGGAGCGACCGACCGGTCAAACCACTTGTGGTTGTCCACATGTTGACGGTACGTACAAAGTAAGAGCCGTCAGCTTGTGGGGGGGGGGAGAATGGAAGTTGGGGGAAAAAGTAGTAAAGAAGAAGATTTAAACCGAGGTCAGGACGGACGATCGGGCTGTCTTATAGCCTCCATGGAGGCGGACATCCCACAGATACCCCATCCTTGGTCGGGCCCCAAATGGGAAAGTCCAGCGACTCCAGCGACGGCTCTACAGTTCCACATGGGGAGAGACGCGGGGGAATCCTTTCACTTGGCACTTGGCGGGTCTGGGCAAGATTGACTAATCCGGAGATCCCAGGCCCGATCTTTAGTATAGATGCAGCTCTATGATAGATTTTGTAATTGTATTGCACCATTCTTTTCTCTACTCTAATTTTCCTCTGTTCGACATTTCATATACATCATGCACACATTCATTTTACCGTTCTAGTGTACCTGGTACCTGAGGCCGCCAAGGCTTTCGGCCCCAACATGACATCAAAAAGTTTCCGCCAAGGCTTTTAGTGGCGCTGGACAAGGTTTTCCCGGCCCCGAGCCAATCACCGCCACATACTTTGTGGCGCCGCACAAGGCACACGGACCCAAAGTTTTCGCTGCCGACTCCGAAAACCGACCGGCGCAATTTCGCTTAATCGCCTTTTTGTGGCAAGCCGGCTTTTTCCGTCCACGTTGTACCGTGACCAGACATCGGGCCGACTCAGTGTCGCCGCGGCCTATCGGGTAGATGTACTGGTACTATTCTTTATCCAAATATATATTTAAAAAATAGCGCTGTCTAGGAGCGAGTCATTCCGTCGCGGTTCCACAGTCCCTGGAGGCATACATGTAACACCACACTTTCAAAATATTAGTGATGTTACGTCACAACGGGGAACCCATAACTTCCGCTTGGCAACTGGCGCCTTGGCGACTCTGGGCGGACTTGGCACGCCTGAACTGTAACCAATACATGGCGAAGGGTCTTCTCGATAGGCTCCACATGGCACATGGTACTCGCAAGCGGAGTATTCACTGGCAAAAGCGAGCCTTTATGCTCCACTGCAATCTCCTATCGATGCAAAACAACACTTAGGCTCAATGTAACGTGCATATATGTAGATAAAATTTTCCCGCGATATCCACCAACGACAAAAATTCTACATTTTATGCTCGCATTAGCGAAATAGCTACGACGAGAGGACTAAGGCGGTACACATAGAATAACAATATAACTGTAGTGTAGCTCTTATCGAACTAGCCACAAGCTGGCTCGCCATCCGCCATAGATGGCGGATTCGTGACCCGTGATTTTGAGACGGAAAGGTACGCCATCTACGTATGAAGCTTCTTCTTCGGTTATTTCTATGTGTACGAATTTGACCTGAACCAAGGCATCACACACCATGGAAGGTGAAGCGGAGGGTCCAAAGCAATGTGGCTTACTCGCCCGGGGCGGCAACGGTGCTTAAGTGCTGCCTAGAAATTTCTTGTAGCGCCAAGGGCCCCCATGCGAACGCCGTCCCCGGAGTCACTTCCCTCCCGGTACGCCACTGACGGCGTACCGCGAGTTGTGACCTTTTGGCTTTTCTATTAGAATTGAGGTTCGGCCCTTGGCAGAGTGGTGGCGCCCCGCTAGCTCATTCAACTCGGCATAGCACCGCCCTCTTTCAAATCGGCAAAATATTCCAGGGTTTTTGACATGCGGTGTGAGACCGACATCTGAAATGGGCCCAGCTGTGGATACGTCAGCTATGATATCACTGTGGCCTTGGCAACACGGGGCCGTGTGCGACTTAGGTCTTGGGAAGGACCGAGTTGAGTCTTTTTCCGCAATATCACCATGTTGTGTACGCATCGGCTTATGCTCTATCTTTTTTATCCGACATCCAGTACATATCCAGTTGCAGGGTCTAATAGCCACCCACGCTCACCTTATGTCAAATTCCCTGGCCATTTTAGTCTTTCGCCTTTAGAATTGGCCTGCAGATTATCTGTTTCAGGTGCGGCCGAGTAGACGGGAAGTCCAACTCCACACCTTGAGGTCGCATGTACCAGGCAGGTTGACCAATCAGGGGAACTACGTGTACATTGAAGTCAGTATCAGATACAAACTGCATGCTGTAAAGCTCAAACCTAACTCAGTAGCTGCGTGCAGTTTATACGTATGTGATCAGTAGTTGGTGGGTGTTGCCTGTGTGGTTTTAGGATGGCTATAACGGGGTCAAATGTTTGTATACGGTGCCACGAATGAACTGGTCTTGAAGATTTCTACATGAAACCTCAAAGCGACTGTGCCGCTTCATACAATGTTTTTTCGTACTTTGGCCGCTCCTTTTTCGCCTTTTTCTAGCACATTTTCAAGTGCCTCGGTTTGTAGTTGTTCTAAAACGATGGGTTAATCATGAAGGGATGTGAAAAAACCGATGGCCTCTATTTTACCATACCAATGCTACGCGATTTAGGCCGAGAAGGGGAATATGTTATACGTGTAGAGGGTCTAGTATCTCCATACCACGTAGAACCGCGACAATACTAATAAATGATTTCGAGGGCTCTTATATGAATTGTTAGATTTTCATTAGACATCGAGTTATCTTCTGTGACTGCAGTTAAGACTGATACAATTGAATTAGAAGAGATGGAGTTATAGTGGCTTTGAAAATTACAGATGGTTGGTGCAAATATATATTTCGATTGATGGTCAATCTTTAAGCACACCAGTGAGAGTTGGCATGTGATTATCACATGACCATTGATCTGTGTGTGGCTCGGCTTGCAAATTTCGCCTGGGTGAAATCAGAATGAGCACCGCCGCACCGGCGTAAAGCTGCCGGGTGAGCAATGTGAGTGCAAACTGCATGTAGGGTGAGAGCCGGGTGATTCTCGATCTCTGTGTTGCGACCGCCGCACTGGCCCGCTCAGAGGGCTATAATGAATACTACTGGATGTTTGATTCCACCTTACAGACTGAGCCTCAAGTAAGCTGCACACATCCGCTCATGAGATGATAATTGGGGCAGAAGGACGCCTGAGTCATGAGGTTCGAATTTTGTCGGAATACCTTCCTAGGGTCTACGGAGTGAATCCTCAAAGGACACCTCGACAGATTCGATGATTGGACCGGAGGTAGCGGGCCCCCGCATATAAACAAAGGCAGTAAGATGGCCCCGACTCATCCGAGTCTCATGGCGATCCCCGCGTCCGCCGCGCCAAGTTGTCTGGGCTCGTGTGACCTTCTCTTGCCTGCGGTAAGAGCTCTATAGGATTCTTCGGCCAACCAAAATGGCGAACAGAAGCTGTGGGACGTGCAGGGGTACGTTTCATCTCGGGAAACCACCTGTTCGAGCCTCAGCATCTGAAGTCGCCGACGATGGCTCTTACATCGCCGGATCCTCTGCGATCGGACTTTCCCAATATGTTTGAAATGTTTCCAGTCCAACCGCATCTGTAAAGGCTACAGTATTCGGTTGTCGTGGCCAAAGGCAAATGTCAAGCGGCGAGCGGTCGTGGCGCGCTCATTGCTGCAACAGAGGAGCACCGGACACCGGTTCTCTGATGCACGACTAGTCAATGCATCCACCTGGGATATTGAGATGCATCGTCATCTCTCGGGTGTAGCAGTGAATGGTGGTGCAGTCCACTGTGGAGACTTCTGCGATCAGCGAGAGGACAGGAATAGTGACGCCTTGTAGAGTATCACCGGCTGACATTACAATCGCCAATGCCATAGAATTCATCTGAACTAGATGTTGCGGAAAACGGTTTATTTCAATATTGCTAGTGAGATATGAATGTGGCATCCAGACAATTTACCATGGGACTGACCAGTATTGCAGTCCAGGGCACCACATCCTGCTCTCTTACAACATTTGACCAGGACCTGACGGGCATGGGCAATATGCTTATTCGAATTGCTCTTGTAAAAACACTCCATCTGCCGCGGCAGTACTGTGCTCTTTGCTTGCTTTGTTTTCGCTGCACCGCTCTGGACTGCAGACACAAGCTGCCTAAGCTCAAGATCGGTGCCTTGGAAGCCCTAAGAGCCGTGTCGAATCACGAGATTGGTGCAATGGAAAAAGTCCAGCATATTGCGGCAGGAATATTGTTGTGCTCATTTGAAGTTCGTATGAATCTGTGACCCCTGCTTGATAAAAGAATGATATACGCCGACATAGTTGGCAACACAGATCTATCAGGCGTTATGCACCTCCGGCCAATGGCGGTCGTACATTATCGGCATCCCACCGCCACTGGTAGATAATCATCCGGGTACAGAGGTTAGAAAAACTGTCTTGAATCTCCCGGAGATCGATTATTCACTAAGCGGGATAGATCACACTCTCAACCCAACCACCCTCTACTGCAACTCTGAGGCTGTTGAGTGAGATCTATAGTCTAGTTGCAACCGGAACGTCTCATATCGCTGCATATCAAGCATCCGATAGCGTTAAGAGCTATCTCCATATCCTTGCATGGAGGATCCGGTCTATCCCAACCTCGGATAATAAAGTCGCCGGAAGTTCGGATACAGCAACTTTCATCGATTTATTCCAGGTGGGCATGCTGTTATATCAATAATGGTGATTACTTTTTTTCGATTTGCGAATACTCGACATTTCTTCTGTTGCCGCGTGGGCTTGCAGGTGGCAGCCTATCAGATGAATAGTTGTACTTAAGAAAAGGCTGTACTCCAAAGACCCATTCATCAAGTGAAACCTGATTAGAAATAAATTCCTGCAACAAAAGACCGAGCCAAAGCCTATCTCGGCGAGTATCTATCCTTTCTATGATAATTCCGCGAATAGATGCCATTTCGTTGGCGCCGAGGACACCCTATTTCGCCTTAGTGGCATGGAAGAGGAATCCTGATTCGATATCTCATAGGGCTATAGAAAATTTACAGGTAATACTGAACTTTGGCATCATCATGTGCTTCGTATTCGATTTCCAACGAGCTTTATATGTCTCGTCCCTGAGTAACTTATTTCCATTGGTGCAACTGGTCATTCATTCCTGTCGGGTGTTTATAATTGACACGCCACACAAGAGACAAACTGGGGACGGATTGACAGCGCTCGTGCTAGCAATGCCGCCCGTACTGACACTTGGTCGTAAGAATATCATATTGAATCGGTATGAAGATGTGTGGTTGTAGAATAAATTAACAAGAGGACAGTTCTATCATTATCATCTCAAAGTTTAAGCGGGACTGTTGAGTTACTCAGACAGTTAGGTCATGATGAACCTTGCAACATCGATGCAGACACCCAGCTGTCTACCTTGAAAGCTCCTTTCTTATTAAAGAGTATGTCCCTATTATATCCCTGCAAGATTTTATATAGAAGATGGGAAAGAATCAAAAAGAATGCCCTTCGAATATTCACTTGTCTAACGGTACCAAAGGCTTAACGGCTGATTTATTTTTTTTACCTCAATTGAAAGGCCCTTCATTCTTAGGATTTGGGCCATATCTTCACCTTTTTAGACTGGTCAGACCTGGTATCGTAATTGTGATACGCAAGTATTGTTTTGTTTTCAAAATGCAAGATCAATGAGGAAGATTCTCGCAATACGAGAGTCAGCGGCGTCTACGACACGGCGATGTAGTATCGGTCAATGGTCATTCTCAGAGGGACCTAAAAAAGCGATTCAACAAGACTGATATAGTCTAGACACCAAGCGAGAAACAATTCCAGATATAGTCGAGTCACTTCTCGCGTGGCAAGAGACTCACGTTGAAGTTGTGTCTTAACTACGTAGGAGATGGCATTACGTTTATTTATGCTAATTATTGAGTGAGCCATCATGTTTCTGCATGTGGAATTCATTTCATGCTATTATTTCGTTCTGTTGGGGGTTCTCTCTGTTTTCTTCAATTTCTGTACCCTACCCATCATTGCAGGTGGCCACTTCATTAAGGGCCACCGGTAGAACTATGAGTGTTTTCAACGCAGTTTATGAGTTCTATCTTTTCACGTAAGTCCACCTGGTTCACATGGTTCAGTCGAAACCACCTGCGTTTGAAGATATACGAACACGAACCCGAGAGCTAACGTTTAGCTGCTCGGTTCTTGATTGGCCAAGGGCCTCGAGCTCGGAAACTTATGGTGGCATCGGGTTCGGGTTCGCATAAATGTCACTGCCTAGGTATATTTGTCTGCTCGACCTTGTGTTGTTTTGAAGGTAAGCTTAATTATAGTATACTGATCCGTGGTTTAGTAGCTTAATCTCTCTGCCTAAACAGGCTCAGCACTATTACGATCTTGTGGAGCATGATCAGGACTTGGGAAAATCCAAAATCTCGATCGGAAACCGAGACCCTGCCGTGATCACCGCGGAGACTACCGAAACAGACTGGCTTTATGAATAACAGTGAATTATTGCTATCAAGAATCAGGGGGCAGAACAATTCAAAAATTATATATAAGAAGGGGTGTTCCACGCCGCCATTGTTCCTTTCCCATTAACATTCTTCATATTCACAAGCCTCTAATGCATCTTTTTATTCCTTTTACTGGGTTGTCCCTTTTGAGCCGGGCATTTGCCAATTCGAGTTCCAGCCCGAGTGCCTCGGCCACTCTGACTGGTTCCATTGTGACATCTTCTGGCACTCTTGGAATTCCCAATGATGCTTCGTGTGCATGCGCAAAGCTTGCCCATTCTATGCCTAAGCGCATGCTCTTACCGGGCTCTACAAATTATACCATAGAGACGGTCGACAAGCTTTGGGATATTCGCGCCGACCTCTCACCTGCTTGTGTCGTGGTACCTAATACCGCCAATGAGGTCTCGCAAGCCGTCGAAAACATTGTTTCCTGCAATGCGCAGTTTGCTGTCCGAGGTGGGGGGCATATGAATGTGAGCTTATTCCAAAGCTGATCTTGAAGAAGAATCTGACAATCAACAGTACCCGGGCGCGAACAACATAGACGCTGGTGTTCTCGTTGCCCTGTCAAATCTGAACTCCATCAAAGTGAAGAGAGATACAGTGGATGTGGGCCCTGGTCTCACTTGGTACGATGTATACTCAGCACTTGAGCCCTATGGCCGTGTTTGCATCGGAGGCCGTATGAAAACCATCGGTGTTCCTGGCCTGACTCTTATTGGTGGCTTCCATTACTTCAATAATAAGTACGGATACGCCATGGACAACGTGGTTAACTACGACGTCGTTCTGGGCAATGGTACCCAGATCACCACCAACAAGACCTCTCACAGTGATCTCTTCTGGGCTTTGAAGGGTGGCGCGAACAACTTTGGAATCATTACGCGATTTGAACTGAAGACCTTCAACGTGCCAAAGGTTAGCACCACTATTCAGATCTTCAACGAGACCCATATCCCGGAATATCTCGCCGCTGTTTGTGATGCTGCCAAGTTGAATGAGGTGGACCCCATTGCTGCAGGAATGATTGCTACCATCTCGTACAATGCGACCACAAAGATAGCCCAAGGCAGTCTCTTGGGTGTTCAGGAGGGTGTCAGCAACCCCCCTACGGAGTTCGCCAACTTTACCAAGATCCCTGCCGTCCAACGCACCCACAATGTTACTACCATGAAACCTTGGGCCAACCAGCTCGACTCTCCTAAGCAGATGTTCCGGTATGTTGGCTGCATACCACTAGATATGCCTGATACTGACGCTTTTCACAGGGTGCAATTCTCTCACAAGACCATGAAGCCGGATGCAGATGTCCTGTACTCGATCTATCAAGCTTGGAAGGATGCAGTGGATGCAGTCGCAGATGTCAAGGGTCTATATCCTACCTTCGTCACCAATGTCATTTCCCCTACCTCTGTCCGCGTGGCCAAGACCAACGGCGTCGGTAATGTCTGGGGTCTTGAGGAAGAGCCACTGATAAGTAAGTCATCACAAATAGGTTTTGAGTAGACTTTACGAAACAATGGCTAACTACCTTGCAACAGTTTGGCAGTTCAGTACTGGTTGGGCCCTCGCTCAGGATGATCGCCGGATGCAAGCTTGGTTTCGTCAACTAAGCGAACACCTCCACGGTATTAACCAGGAAAGGGGCATTGCTTCCGAGTTTGTCTATATGGGGGATGCCGGTGACTGGCAGGATCCATATTCTGGTTTCCCTAGGGACAATGTCGCTCGTATGAGGACAGTTAGATCGGCATACGACCCCAAAGGAGTGTTCTCCAAGCTCAACTGGGGTGGTTTCAAGCTAGGCCTGTGAAGAGCCATATTCTTTCTTACGTTCAACTAGTCGACGGACGACGTGTATCAAGTGCTTTTCGTTCTATTCTACAACAGCACGGGGGCTATAAGTGTTTTCACATCACGACCTTGGCATAGGCTGTCAGCCCGATACACTCGAATATGTCCAAATTATATGAAAAGAAAGAGGCCAAGTTAGTGTGAAACAATGTATAAAATAGTACACTCATTTCGGAAGCCTTGTAGAAACCATTCAATACTCCATGATGGATGGTGCACATTAATAAATCATGCCATACATATACAAGTTTTATCAACCCGAAAGTGCTCATCCATATATACTCAGGAGCTTAGCCACGACGAATACAATACTTGTTTGGCCAATCACAAAGCGTCATAATCGAGTCATACTAATCTTACCTAGTCCCTGGGTAGTTCGATTGTCAAGAACCACCAATGAAAATGCTTCAACCGGAATGGCAGCCACCGGCCAACCTCATGCATGATTGCCAATTTTTTTAACCCACATGTCCTTTTCTTTTGACAAGTGAAATTGCTCTATTCTTGTAGATCAAGCATTACCAAGCCATTCAGAGGCGTCCTGCCGTCAATAGGAATGTGGGATCAATGCCTACATACCACACACGATCCTGGATCGACATTATACGAACATTCTGGGACTGGAATGTGCAATCACCCAATCAATGGAAGGCAAATCGAACTTTATGACACTTTCCTGTCACCTAGTATGACGCTGGTGGCCCATTTGGCCTTGAGACGCGTTTCACGACTAGCATTAAGGCCATTCCAATCATTCTTCCCCGCCATCCCATTACCCTGGTGCACTGATGGAATGATGGAAGCAATAGTCTATATAATAAGGGGTGACGATTGCCATGAACAATCAGATCCTCGACCAGATTTCTAATCAAATACTCTGATACCCTTATCTCACTACTATATCAATATCCAAGCATCACTATTTGCGGATATTGAAGCACTCAAGCAACAATGCATTCCCTCACCACATCTTTCATCTCCCTCTCCCTGCTCTCAGGAGCAGTGCAAGCTCAGAGTGTCGCCCGGGTCTGGACACATTTCTACCCCAACTGCCCCGGCGACGCTTTCTCCAAGCTGGACACATATGAGAACTATGAAGAAACAGCACCGTCCAAGGACATCACAGTCGGCAGCTGCGAAAGCATCCCAGTCCCCTCCTACGAGCACAGCATCGTCAGCGCCATCTCCATCGATGGCGAACTCCTCTCCCACAACCACGACCTCCCATTCCTAGAAGGTGGCAGCGGCTGCAACATCACCGTCCACGAAGTCCCGGAATGTATCGATCCACCCCTGATCACCAAGGAGATCCGCGATGGAGTTGCAGTCACGCACTGTGAACAACGCCAATTCGCAGCATACAGCCAAGTGTGGGTAAACCTAGTCTGCGACACGGATATCAACGGCATCGCAAATGGCGAGGTCGACCCCAAGGCCAGGACACAAGACAAGCAAGCCAACACAGAGCACACAAATGAGCCCGAGCAACCCATTCGCGCCGAGAAGCAAACTTCCGTTGAGGACATCAACAACATCCAAACACCAGGGTCGAACTCGGATTCGTGGCATTTGTCGCAGATCACGCACAACCAGCGCGAGCCTGAGCAGGAGGGCCGTGTTAACAATGCCGGTCATGCTGAGAGTCAGCAGATTGTTCATAAGATGATGGAGTTGTTGAAGAACAAGGCTTCTGTCCTTATTGATGGAAAGCACAATGGTACTCACCATAATGGCACTCATCACTTGAATGTCACCATGCATCACAACGGTACTGTTGCTGGCAACCGTACTGTTATCTCGCGTCGTCATCCTTCTGTCTTGCGCAGCCGCATGGCTCGGTTCGTTTGAGTTGTTGAATTCGGGTCTTTTCAGCTTATTTTCTTTTTCTTTTTGATGTTTAATGAAATTTTGTCCAAAATACATACATGTATATTAAAACAATCAAAAGTCGATCCTAGTTTGTGAAGACACCTTGCTTTGGAAGTAGTACTCAATTATGTTTCATCACTTAGTGCTTTCTCTAGCTGTTCAAATTTGCTTCAGCCTGCATCATCGTTCAATCAATAGATCCAGTTACAGTCTGACAAGACAAAAAGTGCTAGGAGATCAAATTACAGCCTAGAACCCAAAGCTATCCAACAAAGAATTAGCATCCGGTTCATGGAACATAGTCGGAGCCGGTTTCGGCTTGGGCTTTTCTTCCTTCTTAGATTCAACACCTGTCTTCTCAGCCCCAGAAACCCTGGAGTCCGTAAGTCGAATGGGCAAGTCAGCCACAACGAGGCTGCTTCGGCGACGAAGCAACTTCCGATAGTCAACACCATTCTCATTCATTTCGAGAGAAGTGTTAGCGTGCATTGAGTCTTGCATGGGTAATCCGCCGAGGAACTCCCAGTGGCGCACCAGATCTAAAGCGAGGAAATCGCAGCCCATGCGGTCGTAAAGTCTGGCGTTGCGGAGGACGAACTCCCATTCTTCGCGGGGTCGGACCTTTGAGGCGCCCTTGAGGGTTTGAAGGGTCTTTGCGCGGAGCTGGTGGTAGAGAACGACCAAGGCGGGATCGTTGGAGAGGTAGGATTTTGATTGTAGGGTTACTCGTCCCGGGCTTACTGGTGAGGTCGGGGTTGGTGGTAATAGGAGGGTCTCGACAGGTGACTAGAGCCGTGTTAGTTGGGGTTTGATAGTTGGGAAAGCATAGAGCTTACGATCAGTGCCCGCACTGCCATATCTCGCCGTCTGAGCATCCAGAAGGCCCACGAGGCCATCCAGCGGTTGCCCTCCGAGGCAGCTTCGTGTAAGACTTTCTCCTCTAGGATGTGTCGGAGAACTGGTCCATTGTCTCCTTCGTATGCTCGCGTGATTGCGATAGCAAGCTGGAGATCACCCATCTGGTTTATGATAACGTTTGCAGCATCACGCAAGTGGTCTGCAAGAAGGAAGAAAGATGCAGCATATTCTTGATAGACGTTAGCTTTGCTTCTATTTTGGGGGTAATTGGGCAAAGTTACCGAATCGTCGCTTCCCAAGCAATGCATAGGCATTCTTGAGCGCCGATGTCTTCCATCGCTGTTCTTTGAAGTCATTCGCCAACAAACGTTGGGTGGCTGCTTGTTCGCGGTTCCAATGTGCGATACGCCAGAGGCCCTGGAGAACATTCTTCTTTCCAAGAGCGAGGTAGTATAGAGTGCAGTCGATAGGATTCCGCTCTTCTGTCTTGGTGTATTCACACCGAGCAAGAATCTCGAGTTGTGCTTTCTAATTGAAGAGTTAGTTTTGGTTTTCATTGGTATGCGGTAAGAAATACGTACAACAGCTACCGGGTCCGAGAGCCACATGAAGAGACCGCTTTCACGAGCAGCCTTCCATGTCAACTTTCCATTGAACTGCCTCGATACGAGATCTGTGAGGATGTCTTGACTGCTGCTGTGATAAGCCCATACAATTTCTCGCCATGAGACAGCGTCTTTATTGGCAACTCCCTGGGTCCGTCGCAGCATGTGTTGTCGGAAGAACAGGAGATAGCGTGCTGCATTATCGTCCATTGATCGTCTGTGCTTTTCAACCATCGCAACGCATTCAATGGTATCAGCCAGGCGGAACTGCTCATGACTGGACAGTTGAGGCAGAGCGATGCGTGCCAAGTTCTCGTTAAGTGCAGTGGCAGTATTTTCATCTATTACAGAGGACATTTCCTCGTCGGCGGAATCCATATAAGAGGAGCGCATTTCCTTAGAAACTGCTTGTTGGGAGCCATCCTCTTCATAGAAACACTCAACCGGCATCTCCAAGAAGCCATCTAGGTCGTCACCCTCGGTATAAAACTTCAGCTTCCGATGCAGGTTCAACAGAATTGTGTGTACCAGGCTGGTCCTCCCAGCCAGAATGCACTGTGCCAAATATTGTGGATGGAACACAGGAAGTGGGCCATTAAGCCGGCTAACAACGTCGAACATATCGACAGACTCAAGTCCCCGGGACGGCATTCGAAGCTCAGAGACCAGACGATCTCCAACATTGATATCCTTATCCCAAACAAAGAGCTGGTTACCTGCGCCTATGATCAAATGACCATTATTTAACCAGCAAGAATCTCCGATGGGATGAGGTGTGAGGTCCCGGATCCAGATCTCCCGAACCTGAGTCCATGAAGGTCGAGAGTCTAGATAGTCGTAACGAAGCTGTGACAGAAGAACCACTTTGTGAGGGAATCCTACAGCCAAAATGGATTGTTTGTCGGGTGTTGAGGTCCAGTCAAGATCCCGAATAATATCATGTGAAGCGAACCGTTCCTCGAACTCCAATTGGGCATTGTTGGTATCCCAAATGGTGAGGCGAGTCCGATGTTCGTCTACCAAAGCTGCCTTGCGAATAGAGCTTCCACTGGCCAGAGAGGGGTTGGTGATGCCAGTATCAACTGTGGATTGCAGCAGCCATTCAGCTTTTGAATTTGCAGGGTCAACCTTGGCGGTCCATGTACGCACGACACCGCTGTATGTATATGAGAGAGCGATGTCGGTGGAGAAGGCATCGAAAAAGCCAGAGTGCTTGGCTTTGGGGCCGGCCGGGTCCACGGGAAGAATGTATGCGACGTCCTCTTTCAATCCCATGTCAAATATGCAGAGCTCTCGGAGATGATAGCCAGCATCATCTCCAGATTTGCTCTGGCTGTCCTTGGTGGGCCATTTGATTTCCCATGCGATACCATGCATATCTGCCCAGATGGTCGCTACATAAGCAACGCCCGAGGTGATCTCAGTGCTGGGGATTGGGAGCACACAGAGCGGCTTGTTATCTCGGGTGAAAGGTAATGAAGCCACTTTCTTCGCGTGATATGAGCTGTAATCCCACAGCGAGATGCCATTATGATGGAGATTAACCAGAAGACTGCTGTTCTCCAACACGCATGTCCGGTGGATATGCTCGTCGGAGAGCACCACGCTCTTGTGAGCCAATCTTGATCCACCATCATGGCGCCGCTGTTTCCAGACTGTTGCTTTGTTTTCGTTGGTACGTGACACAAGTGTATCTCCAACAGCGTTTCTGACAATCTTCTTGACCGGAGCTGTATGGCCTGACCAAGACGCGGTCTGTATGATTCGTTTTGTTCGAGGTGCAGGGTCAAAGAGAAGATCCACTTGGGAATCATACCACTCAATCCGGCCGTCGAAGTGATGAACCAGAACGCTTAGCGTGTCATCTGATGCTGTATTTTGAAATGCATGGATTTGAGCATAGTCCTCTTGCAACGATCTATTAGTTGCGAATCCAAACCCCAATCCCTCCACATGGAGAATATTGAAGACGCTCAGTTTGGTCTTTGCTTTAGAGCCAACATCTTCCAAAGCCCAGGCCGACATGTGGCCCTGACCGTCAATCACAACACAGATCTCCGGCGCCTTGTTCGCAACCTCGATGACATGTTCCAATGCATGGTTCTCTTTATTTCCTGTAGTCCTCTGAACAGCACGTTCAGTTGCAGCGCAAAAGTCGCGGCCGTCCAAAATAAATCCATATCGCCGTTGTGGTCCTTGTTCTTCGTTCAAGGCATGTCTAGGCTGAACCGACTCACCCATATCAATCACAGCCCAAAACTGTAGTGGCGAAAGCGCATGGTGGTCTGTCACAGCCCATACCCGGATCTTGTTATCGGCGCAAAATGTGTAGAGGACATTATCTATGGACTGTTCAGGGTGTCGCGGCATTCGCCAGTGTATCCCAGTAACGACATTCGGATGCGGGAGATATGAGACCTCAAACCGGACCTCATCTGCACCAAAAGCAAGCCGCCTCCATATCTTAGCCAAGCGGTCGTATTTACCTATTGTAACAATCAAAGCTGAATCCGGAGAAAATTGTGCGAATTTCACTGGCATCGCTAGCTGGCGTTTCCATACTAGTCGCGGTTCGTCATTCAGAAACCAGAGGGCGAGTCTGGAGTTGCCCGCCAGGAGCTCGTTCGCGGAACCCCACGATAGCGTATAGATCGGTTCGTCGTCATCGCCGGCACGGAATGTATAAAGGAGAGACCACTAAATATAACCAAGTCTTAATATTAAATTCCGTCCTTCTTGCGCACGTCTATTTCTCCAGGCCAAGTTTCGGGGTCGAACTGTATGCGCACCTTCAATGTCTCGCCCTGGATGCCGTACGGCTGGTACACGAACACATCGGGCCCCCCACAAACAGCAATCTTCCCGGAGGTCTCCTCAAAGGCTACAGCTTCAAGAGCATCGGTATCGTCGACGTAAATCGTTTGTAGGAGCTTCTGCGGACCGCCGAGGATAACCAGCGCGTGGCCGGAGATGTATGCCTAGAACGCGCGGGGGTATAGGTCAGCGACAGGGTTCTTTAACCGGGAACTGGAGCTGTAGAAGTGTGTTTCGGTCTCATATAGCACATACAACAACACGAAGACCGTCCCACAGCGCTGTGCTGAATGACTGGAGCTTCGCTGGGGGTCTCCCCGGCAGTACCGCTCGCATAGAGGCGGTTGGTTCGGAGGATGGACGCTCGTTGCGCTTGGGATCACGTTACACCATTGCCAGGTTCGAATGGTGTATTCCTGAGAGGAGGAGGCGTATGGAGGGAGTTGGGTGATTTCGTTGGTTATGGGGAGGTCTGGATACGCGGAGGCGGAGAGTTGTCCATTACGCTTCCGCTCCACTCGGCGTGACGAATGACCCTCGACAGCCTCGTTTTGGGCAAGGAAGCCCCTGATTTCTATCATTTTGGGCGTCGGTCTGTTGTCTGTTTGGCCGGAGAATTTTGTTTTGGGTGAAGTTCTTGTGAGCTCCAAAATATAGCAATAGAGCTACTTGATAAGGAGCAGTTAATCAGTACGTATACTGATCGACATGGATGGCTGACATATCATTCTACTAAGTCTACGATTATTTACTGTTGAAGATTCTCAAAGTCATACTATTAACGTTAATGTCACGTTCATTCATGTCCAAGTACATTCATTGTATACCAAACCCCCAGAATCCCTGAACTCGCTATATGTTGCGCCGGTTGATGCATGGAATGGAACAATATCAACAAGACACGAAGAGGACTATAGTCATCGCTGATGTACAGAAGTGGGAAGCAGCTGAAAAGACATCATATATCAATCAAGAAGGTAAAGGTCGTCGATTCGCTGATCGGCGACCATCTGTCGGAGACTCAGGAGGTTCATCGTCCACGAAGCGGACGCTGTTTCCTACCGAGGTTCGTCGACCAGTGCGTGGCCTGATGGAGGATGTGATTTGACCAGTCGTGGTACCGGCACGAAGAAGCCGACTCGCGAAAGGGGTGCGTAAGGGGGTGGCAGGGGTGGTGGACATTTGTGCCAGTGCTCGCGCTCGCGCGGCTCGTTTAGAAGGTGATGCGGTGAAACTCGGGGTTGCGAGGGGAGTTGCGGAGACCGGCTCCTGAGAGGTGTTCGTAAAGTCGCTGAGTTTGAAAGGTGTTTCGGCTTCGTCTTGGTACCAAGGGTCAAATAGCGCCGAACCAGCGCTATTCACTTCTCCGAAATTCGGCACTCGTGCTGGTGTCGTGGATGGACCGGGGGTCATAGGCGGACCAGCAGAATCTCGAGCCTCGAGCTTCATTCGGGCATTGTCCACCCAGTTGCGGAACATGTTCCTCGAATGTTTTCTGAGATTTCTTTCGCGCATGGCTTCGGCAGTCTCGGCGGTACTACCGATCTGGAAAATGCGAAGACTCATCTTGCGAAGGGAAGCAGCTGACTGTCGCAGGACATGCAATCGCAGGACATTGTCTGCTTGGTCTTCCATCTCACGGCGAATGACAAAGGTTTCGGACATTTGCATTAGCTGGTCGAAGGCAACTTGTCGGAAATATGAGTTGTCGGCGTCCTGAACATCCTGTAACCTCTTGGTGGTCTTCTCATGCCATTGGACAAATATCTCCGATGTATCCGTCAGCAATTTGTCACGATCAACAGCACTGGCTTGTTGCTCCATCTCAAGTATGATCCGCGTTTTCGAAGCCCAAGCAGCCAAGGCCTTGGACGCGAGATTGACTTTGATTCTCCGTCGAACTTTTGCATACGCCTCTTGTCGCCGTCGTTTGCCGGAATCCACCTTGGCCTGGTGCCATTGCTTCATGTTCCTTTTCACCAGGAAGTAATATCGGGCATCATTGGCCCATCCTTCCATTTTGAGCACCTGTTTATGCTTAGATTGCCAAATTGCAAGAGACTCGGCTGCCAATCGCGGGGCATAGAATTCAGATGCCACATACTCTCGCTCGCGCTGGAGCTGCAATTGATCCCGCCAAATGGCGAATTTGGACCGCACCAAGTCTTCAGCTCGATTATCTTCAAGAACTTCTGCATGGAACAGCAAGCGAGTATAGGTACCTCGGGTATTTGTCACAAATCGAAAGAACACTTCCCGCTTAATGCGCTGCTCACGAATTCTCCGCATCAGCTCGAACCTCTCCATCAGAATCCACTTGTACATGGCTTCCATCTTGAGTCGCTCATCAATCCGAGCCTGGAGGGCCAAGCAGCGAAGCGTGTCATTCCAAGACGTCCATGCATTATGCTGAACACGAATACGGTCCATTTCTTCGGCTTGTTTCGCCATCTGAGCCTTCCCAATCCACTGCGATAGAGCATTTCGTACAATTCTAGTATCAACCATCTCTGATACACGAGAACCAGCCGGAGCCAGCCGGGACTGAAGTCTCCATTCATCAAAAGTGTCTTTCAGAGTATGCTGACGTCGAGAATTTTGAAAATACTGTTCTGCAGAGGCAATGGTTTTTGAATGCTGAGACCATACCTGGAGAACAGACTTGAGAGATGACCGTCTGTTCTGTAGGTCTATGTCATGGTCACGCTCTCGGTTATTCCGGAATTTTCGAAGCCAAGCAAGAAGTGACCGTCGTTTTAGTCGGTAATCGGATAATTCGAGGACTCGACGATCACAGAAACACCACCACCAGTGCCAGAATGACGCTTTTTGCATCTTTGCTTCACGAGAGGCAACGGCTTGAGCCTCTGCCGCTTTCAGATCCTGGAGTTTCTTCCGCCATGTGTTCAAAGGCCTCCGTAAAGCGAACCGTTGGGCTTTCAATTCATTGACTGCGGTGATCTCCCGCCATGCGTTGAAATATTTGACGCCAAGAACATGTCGTCTGGCAGCAGAAGTACGAGCTACTTCATCTGATGTAAGTTGAGCCCAGTGACTAAAGGCTTTAGTCATCAAATATAGATCGCGCGCACGGGTGGCACGCTCTTCAAGGTGTTTGAAAAACCGTTCTGTTTGAGCCGAGTGGCGTTTGTCCTGAATGATTCCCCGCCATGGCTCAAATGCCTGTCTCGTCAGAAGACCTCGGTCATAATTTATTGCGATAGTTTCCCTTGTTTGACGCGTTTGTCTTGCCTGGAAGGCCTTTTTGAACCATACTGACAAGATTCGACGGCAGATGGATCGCTGTCGGTACATATTGAAAGTCGATGCGTCCCGAAGTAGATCGGAGAGTTGCGGACGGTAAACATACTCTGGTGGGACCTCTTCCTTTTCGAACGAATCGTGTTCTGGGCCTTCAGACAGAATTGACTGCGCATCCTCAGACTCAGTGGCTGATGAATCAGGCAATGGAGGGCGTTGCTGGTGTGAGCTAGAACGTGAACGTGAAGCTTCAGCCGCTCTCTTTGAACGATCGCGGGCGACTGCTGACCTCGCCACCACTCCATTGGTCAATCCATTGGTTAACGGAGGATCTTCCTTGACGGGGACCTTGTTCTCCACTCCGTCGAACCTGCTTAACAATCGACGACCAACATCCAAGAACTGGCTAATCAATTGTGTCCGATCTGGGGACCTGTTGGGGCCAAAATCAGGATTGGGCGTAGGAGACAATTTGGGTTTCTGAAACTCGGGCTTGCCAACGTCAAGTCGCGACATCGACGAGCGAGAGCTTGGACGATTGATGAAGCTTCTTTGTGTAGCATCCTCGCCAATGTCAACAGTTGTATTGAACGAAGCGCGTCGTTTCGGAGTAGGTGTTACACCGTTCGTAATGGGAGAATGATTTTGTTCGACCTCGCTAGGAGTATCATCCACGGTATAATTGGTGTAGTGGTCGGTCTCGTCGTCGCCATCGCCGAAATCGAACTTAATCGCGATGTTCATCTGTTGAAGCAAATTCTCGAATTTGTCGAAGAGAGTCTTGCCAGGTACATCTTTGTTGCCCATCTTGAACAGGAAGCGCAAGCACGCATGGCCTGGGTCTGCATCGACGCCGTGATCCCGGTTGTGTTGTGCAATGACTTCATCGTATGCTTCAAAAAGTGCGCGGAAAGGGAGTAGATCGACAGAGGGTTTGGTCTCCGCGTCCGAAATAACCTGGTAGAGAAAGCCGACATCTAGGCGGACGCTATTAGGCTCACATCACGGTCATAGGCGTTGCATAAGGTCCTACCTTCGTCTGAAAGAGACGAGTTCTCTTCGGTCACGGCTCGGCGCTGAGAGGATATCGGAGGCATCGAAATTCGCGATCTTGAGGCGCGCTTGTCGCATCCGGGTCATAGAGGCGTAACAAATATATCACCGCGAAAGCGGGGCATGCAGAGAAGATCCATGCGCATGCAGAGCTTGTCTGCGATCAGCAAATGCGCAAAAAAAGAAACAAAGTCATAAATCGGAGTTGGTCAAGTTGTTTTGGTTGGTCGCGACAGAAACATGCGGCGCGGTCACGTGCGCATATCCGTATTAGGTAACATTCCTGGATTCTCCTTCACTTCATTCCAAGCTCAACCATCAGATACATATAAGATGCCTGCTAGAACTCGTCCTGTGGAAAAAATTGCTAAAGCCTCGGCTCAGTGCTCCGCTGAGGTGTGTATCTCGTGACCGATCCTTCTGTCTTGCAGATCTGACTGAAACAGGTTGCGGCATACGGCAAGTGTGTCGTCACGGATTACAATTCAGTGCATAAAGACATGTGCGCGAAGGAGTTCATCAGATTGAAGAACTGCTACTTGGTAAGTAATCTCATATAGGTTGCATATTTCAACTTGCTAACCTGCTGGTACAGGCGGCCTCCAAGAAGGGCTAAGCAGAAGCTCTTATTATCATGTACAATCAAGCGTTTAAGGGTCATGACTTCAGTTTCAACGGCGCATACGAGGAGGCATTTTAAACTAAACTATCTTGAATTTCACTACTAAAGCATTGGATGCGAGTCTTATGTATCGAAGAAGAAATAATTGAAATTTCGTGAATATATTTTTATTCGTAAAGCAGGGAAAGGGGGAATGCAAACAGGAGACTTCTATCCACACATGCTCATTTGTTGAAGTCGACACAAAGCACGCTTGATGCTCTAAAGCCTGAGAAGACGCAACAAGAAGGTGGCGTTCTGCACTTCCTGTTCTTCTTGCGAGATGGTACCCTCAGCATCCGCGCTGGGAACCTTGCCGTCGATGAAGGTACTCTCCTCAACTTGGCGGCGGAGAACCTTCTCAATGGCTTGAGACTGTGACTTGAAAGCCTCACCGAGGCCAATGCTATCGGGGTCCGAAAGGACGGTGTACTCCATCTTCACATCATCAGTGGGGAGCAAACCGGCCTTCTTGCGAAGACGCTGGACACGGTTGATGATCTCACGACCCAGACCCTGGTGAGCCAGCTCAGGGTACAAGTTGACATCAAGGATGGTCAAAACATCAGCGTCAGTGTTAGTCTCCATGCCCTTTGAGCCGTCATCCTCCTTGATTCCACGTTTCACAACGAGGTCACCCTCGACGAGCTCAATACCATCGACCAGGATCTTCTTGTTGGCAAGGTAGCCCTTCACGTCGTCACTGGAAAGCGAAGGCAGGGCCTTCTTAACCTTTTGAACGTCCTTCTTGAGCTTCTTACCCAGAGTAGGCCAGTCGGCGTTGACACTGTACTCGACGTTGTACTTGGCCTCGTCAGAGGACAGGACAAGTTCGAGAACATTAAGCTCCTCCAAAATGTATCCCTCAAGCGACTTAACATCGTCAAGGTACTCCTGGTCCTTGTTGATGACGACGAGGGTCTTCAGAGGGGTCTTGAGACCGATAGCACGGCGCTCACGGGAGATACGGCCAAGGTCGATAACCTTCTGCATACGAGAAACTCTGCGCTCAACAACCTCATCGAAGAGCTCCTGGCGGACCTCTGGGAAGGGAAGGAAGTGGACACAGCGGCTGTCCTCGGCGCGGAGCGCCTCGGGGATGTGAGGAAGCAGACGCTGGTAGATGTTGTCGGTGATGAAGGGGGTGAAGGGAGCAAGCCCTCGGACCAGGGTGTAGACGACCTCGAAGAGAGTATTGAGGGCGTGCAAAGTGTCATCAACACCGTTCTCACCCTTGAGACGCTTACGGTTGAAACGAATGTACCAGTTAGTAGTGTCCTCGATCAGCTGGAGAAGACGGGGCACAACAGTGTACAGACGGTAACCAGCCATCTCCTGGTTCACGAAGATCAAAAGACTTTGGCAACTGGCCAGAATCCAACGATCCATGACGTTAGTGTTAGTGGTCTCCGCCTGAGGATCAAACATGAAGTCGATGTTGGAGGTCTTCTTCAAGAGAGCCACCTGGCCTTCGAAGAACTTGTAGCTGTTCCACAAGGGGAGCAACACCTTTCCAACAATCTCCTTGACACCGGACTCCTTGAAACGAAGAGGCTCGGCACGGACGACAGGAGAGTTGATCAAGTAGAGACGAAGGGCATCAGATCCGTAACGGTCCATAATCAGAGTAGGATCCGGGTAGTTCTTGAGTCTCTTGGACATCTTCTTACCATCCTCAGCAAGAACAATTCCGTTCACGACACAGTTCTTGAACGGCAGCTTGCCGAACAAGTGAGTGCCGAGAACAGTGAGAGTGTAGAACCAGCCTCGGGTTTGATCTAATCCTTCAGCGACAAAATCGCCAGGGAAGCCGTTCTCAAATTGTTCCTTGTTCTCAAAGGGATAGTGTTGAGAAGCGTAGGGCATGCTACCGGACTCAAACCAACAGTCGAAAACTTCCTCAACACGCTTGAGCTCGCCTCTTCCTTCCTTGCTGGGAATGGTAATGTGATCAACCTTATCACGGTGAAGGTCGGTGATTTCACCGGTGTATCCACTGAGCTCCTTCAACTGCTCAATGCTGCCGATAGCAACCACTTCCTTGTAATCCTCAGATACCCAGAGGGGTAGAGGTGTACCCCAGAAACGGCTACGTGAGATGTTCCAGTCGTGGGCATTTTGGATCCAGCTGGCAAATCTGCGATCCTTGACGAAAGAAGGAGTCCAGTGAGACTCAGAGATTCCCTTGAGCATATCAGGGATGATGGGGCCAATGCGAACAAACCACGATGGAACGGCACGGTAGATAAGGGGGGTGTCGCTTCTCCAGCAGAATGGGTACGAGTGAGTGATTTGGCTATCAACGAGAACACGGCCGTTGGCCTTTAACTGCTTGATAATTCCCTTATCTGCAGCCTTCACTCCTTGGCCGACGAAGTCGCGGACTTCGGGTGTGAAGCAACCCTGAGCATCGAGAGGGTTTGGCGCTTGACGCTTCTCATCGGTAACGCCGTGCTCCTGAGCAACTCGGTAATCGTCCTCACCGAATGATGGAGCCTGGTGTACGATACCAGTACCGTCTTCATTGGTGACATATTCATCATTCAGGACCCTGAAACCGAAGTCCTTGAATTCCTCGTAAAAGTAATCGAAGAGAGGCTGGTACTTCCATCCCTTCATATCAGAGCCCTTGAAGCGGTCGACAATACTGAACTTGGCCTTCTTTGGGTCCTTGTAGATGGTCTTGAGCAGACCTTCCAGGAGAATGTAATTCTTCTTTGTGGCCTCATCGTAGATCTTGACGTACTCGTATGTGGGGTTAACACACAGTCCGATGTGGGAGGGCAGAGTCCAAGGAGTGGTAGTCCATGCAAGCAGACAAGTCTCGGGATCGTCCAGAAGAGGGAAGGTCACGACAATGGCGGGGTCCTGCACATCCTTGTAGTTTTGTTGCGCTTCGAAGTTGCTCAGAGGGGTGTTGAGAGCAGTGGAGTATGGCATGACGCGGTAGCCACGGTAGACCAGGCCCTTATCGAAGAGCTCCTTGAACACCCACCAGACGGATTCCATGAAGGAGGGGTTCATAGTCTAAATTCAAAGACAGTTAGTAGGTTTCACCGACGGCTGGCAATGTATATTCTACCTTGTAGTCATTGTCAAAATCAATCCAACGGCCCAGACGTTCAATGGTCTATTTCGAGTGTTAATTCTAATGCTGGGCAAGGCATGCTGTGAAACCATTCTAGGACTTTACCTGACGCCATTCAGAGGCGAACTTCATAACAATAGCTCTGCATTCCTCGTTGTATTTCTCAATACCGATCTTCTGAACTGCCTCCAGACCGGACATGCCGAGCTTCTTATCAATCTCATATTCAATTGGGACACCGTGAGTATCCCAGCCAAATCGTCGCTCAACGTAATGGCCTTTCATAGCCCAGTATCTCGGAATGATATCCTTGATAGTGGAAGCGAGAAGATGGCCATAGTGAGGCAGACCAGTTGCGAAGGGAGGACCATCGAAGAAGGTGTAGGGTTCACGGCCCTTGGAGAGTTCGACCTGCCGTTGGAAGGCATTGATCTCCCTCCACCGGTTGAGGACGAGCTCTTCCTCGGCAGGAAAATCGATCGACATGGTGGAATGGTTTGCGATTTTCCCAAAGATGAAGAGTGAAGATCCAAAAAAGTGACTCACCCCGCCATTGATTTTTTGCCAGTGCGCGCCCTACGCCCTCCCCTCCTCGTCCACCGCCTTCCATAACAGGCAGATTTATGAAGTACACATTGGAGTAGACGAGGCAATGAGAGAATTTTACAATAGAAGACTCCGATAATCGTCTCCAATGGTGATATAACCATCCATGTGTAGGGTTTGATTTCGATTGCGCAGCTATATACTCAGCAAACATTCCTCCATCACACATCATCCTCCTCGTCATCATCCTCGTCGTCATCCTCAGCCTCTGAGACTTCTTCTCCAAGCTCCTTGAGTCGATTCTGTGCATTGTTAGTGTTTTTTTTCGAACATTCTTAATTGCTGAACGTACCTTGTCTTGGGTTCTCTTAACTTCTAGGTCTCCAAAGACAATCAGAAGATCTTCCAGTTCAGACTGGGCTGTTTGACGAGAGTCCTCTTTCTCCTTCGCTTCCGCCCGTGCCTTTTCAAGCTGAGCCTGGATGGCCTTGAGAGCGTCAGCAGCACTGCGAGCCTGAGACTCGGCCTCCTTGGCCTTGTCTTCAGCCTCTTTAGCCCGAGTTTCCAGCGCAGAAGTTTTGGATGAGGCGTCTTCTTGGGCTGACTGAAGGCCCTTACTGAAATTCTTGGACTCTGCAAGATCTGACTCAAGAGATGCGACAGTTTTCTTCAAAGCAGCGAGCTCAGTTTCATGCTCCTTCTTGGCTGTAGCGAGGTTCGTTTCTAGAGTTCCGACTGTATCGCTGTGACCAGTAGCTGAGTTCTCGTGTTGTTTCTTAGCCGCAGAAAGATCCGACTCCAAAGATTCGAGCTTTTTCTTGTAGTCATCGACTTCCTTCTCATGTTCCTTCTTGGATGCTGCCAAAGAGGACTCCAGGCTCTGAATCTTCTTCTCCATATCAGTGACCTGTCCACCCTGGGTTCCCTTGGCGCTTTCCAAGCCCTGGATCTTCTTTTCGAGGTCGGCAACTTGAGACTCGTGTGATGTCTTGGTGCTTTCTAGGTCTTGGATCTTCTTATTGAGATCGGTGACCTGACCGTCATGGCTCCCCTTGGTGCTTTGCAGCTCTTCAAGCTTCTTCTTCAGGTCGGTGACTTCCTTGTCGTGAGAATTTTTAGAGCCTTCCAGACCTTGTATCTTCTTCTCGAGCTCAGCAACTTGGCCGGCATGAGATTTCTTGGCGCTTTCAAGATCCTGGACCTTCTTGTTAAGGCCGGTGACTTCTCCATCAGAAGATTTATTGGTGCTCTCGAGGTGCTGGATCTTGTTCTTGAGTTCAGTAACTTCTTTGCCGTGAGACTTCTTGGCGCTTTCCAGATCTTGGATCTTCTTCTCGAAATTGGTAACCTGACCATCGTGAGATTTTTTAGTACGCTCCAGATCTTGGATCTTCTTCTCAAGACCGTCAACTTGACCACCATGAGACTTCTTCGTACTCTCTAGATCCTCAATTTGCTTCTGAAGATAAGCAAGTTGGCTTTCAGAGGACTTCTTGTTGCTTTCGAGGTCTTGGATCTTTGTCTCCAGATCAGTCACGTGTTTATTGTGACTCTTCTTCGAGATTTGTAGGGTTTCAATCTGCTTTTCGAGTCCAGTCACCTCACCACCGTGAGTTTCCCAGGACTGTGTGATCGTCGTCTGCAACTCTTGGATCTTATTGTTTAGTTCCGCAACGTGTCCATCATGAGATCTGTTGGTGTTTTCCAAGACTTGAATCTTCTTTTCAAGGTCGGTAACCTGTGCCTTGTGTGATTCCCTGGATTGGGTGATGACATTTTCCAACTCTTGGACTCTCTTGTTGAAATCGGCGACCTCTACCATATTGTGCTCTTCAATGCGAGAGATCTCTTGCTCCAAGCCACGGATGGTTTTCTGCAGACCAGCAACTTCACGCTCATGGTGATCTCTAACTTCTTTAGCCTGGTGACTCTTTCTTTCGGATTCAGCAGAGACCTCCTTGAGTTGATGGTCAATGGCACGGAGCTGGTCACCGTGTTTCCTCAATAACTCATTGTGGGCATGCTTGTGTTGCTCTTCCAGCTTTGACAACTGGTGTGACAGCTCTTGTGCATGACTGTATTGCAGAGATTGCTGGGCCTGTTGAGCTCTCGTCAACTCAATAGTGCCGGATTCTTTGGTCTTTCGGTGATCCTGATGTTCTTGGTCAAGCTTGCGTTGGATGCTGACAAGATCGGACTCCAGCTTTTGGAGAGTTTGAGTTCGATCTTCAAGTTCTGCGCGCAAGGAGTCAACAAGCTCACGCGAGACACCCTTCTCGACACCATTGGCAACGACAGAGATCTCGAATCCAGGTTCACGGTCGATAGCCCGGAGCAAACGGCTGAAGTTGTCCTTGAGGAATTCAATGAAAGAGCGGTCAAAGAATACCTCGGGCAGTCCACCCTCAAGTGGCCCTGCTGCGGTCTGCGGCAGCACTTCGAAGTCACGGACCAATTCACATTCTCGGAGCCTTGTTATCTTGTCGATGTACTGCTCTCTCCCGAGTTGCTCAATGAGCAACTTGTGTAGCGTAATGCGAGGGATGGGCGAGTCCTTAGTAGAGAACTCATATATGACACCCAATAGGACGGTGCAAAGACCAGGTATCAGTTTACTTGGAACCCGCTGGTGCTTGATCTCCTGCAACAGGGTTTGGATACTGCTACCCTCGCCAAGGAGATCGTTCACGACATCTGGGTCTTCGAAAAGCCAACCACAGAGCAGCATCAGGTAGCCAACTGTGATTCTTTCATCGTCGCCGCGTTGCAAACCAGTGATTAGATTCCCAACCACAGACTGAACACTGGTGACTACTTCCTCACCGCTCTCAGCATCGCCCTCGGTAACGCTCATAGCCAATGCCTTCGCCTCTCCATCGTCAAAGATCAGGTGGAACATCAAAACAGAGGCCATCCAAACTTGGTATGGATCAGCATTTCCTCGTAATTCTGGCGCAGTGAGCAACACAGAGAGGATATTCGGGATCTTGTCCTGGCCACTGGTATGTCCTTCGATAGCACGTCTGAGAACATGGATCCGGATTCCAGGATGATGGGCAAAGAATGCTTTCATACATTCACAAGCAGCTAATCGTGCATCCAAAAGGCTGTTGGGGGCAGGCTCAAGGCTAAGCTTTAGGAAAGCTTCGATGACGTTGATCCGTAGTGGTTCATGTGCATCGCCATTAGCGGCCTGGTCGCCACGTGAGTAAGAGCCCCATAGCACTTCAATGTCACCAAATCTTTCCTGCAATGGCGAGTTACCGCGAATAAGATCGGCACAGGTTCCCAATGCCTTCGAAGTGACATTCACACTGAATCTTTGGCCAAACGCTATGCTGAGTACTTGTTCTGTGACACCATTCTGCCAAAATGCTGTCTGGTTAATGGGTGTGCTCATGCCACCACGGATCAAAAACAGCTGAATGATGGCCAGTAGACCCCAGACGTTCTTGTCTCGGTGGAGCTGGGTCCATTGGGGGACGGGCTCGTCGCCCTCTGGCTCCTGTTGGCATTCATGAAGAAGTGCTGTCACTCTTTTTATAGATCCTGTCTCACGGAAAAACGATTGATTTGAGACATTGAATCTCAGCAGTTGAGCGAGCAAGGAAAGGCAATCTTCGACGACCTCGGTTCCAAGACTCAATGCACCCTCTGCTTCGATAAGAGAGAAGAGTATCTCGAACGCATTCTCGAAAGCCACAAGCTTCTGCAGCTCCTCTGATGCGGGGGTCAGGGCGATAAGCAGGACTAATGCCTCTATAGAATGAAGAAAACAAGTTGTCAGCTCCATCCACATAAATTAACAAGCAATTCCAGATATTGACAATGGCATACCGTTGCGGACCGGTTCCCTCGCATCTGTAAGCGTGCTGACGAGCTTAGAAATACCCAATGGCGCTGTAAAAATGCATTCTTGTGTTCGTTCAGGTCGTGCGCTGCAAATGTGTGACATCAATTGGAGGGAATATAGACGGGAGTAAAACTCTCGGGCTTCGAGAAGGTCGAGTAGGGTAGTAATATTATCTTGTCGCTTTGGTGATGTTAGCTCATGGTACAATGGTTGGGTTAGCACTGCGTACCTGGGTGAATTCATCTGCCAGCCACAGGGCGATTTCATCCGACGCTTCAGGCTAACAATAGCTGTCAGTACTTCAGTGGGCTTTTTTTTTCAAGCTGGAAATGCCTACACTGGATTCATCAGGCGTAAATAGCATCAAAAGGGTCTCAAGGACCACCTTGATGGTGTCAACATCCTCGCTATCATTGCGTAGACTGCTGATCAAGGATCGCAGACCACCAGAGGCTACCGAAGCAGGATAAAGCTTTGCAAAGCTTCTGAGTCCCTGAATTGCAGCCCGTCGATCTTCCAGCAATGTAGCACTTTGTAGTCTACTGCTTAATACGTCAATTGTGTCCGTAGCCGTTTGTTTGGCCGGAGCTTGCGACTCGAGGATTCGGAACATCGCAGCTAGTTTTCAGTATCATGGTCACCGCCGGCCGAGGGCGTATGAGTCGATATTCATCGAAGGGAGATCAGAAATTAGCGGAAAGTCGAAGTGGTCAGTAGAGAAAGCTGTCCTCCTACTGAAGGGGGTTAAGGCCGATCTTGGCCCGAGCAGAATCGCCGACCGCCCGGAATTTATCTTTTCGTCGGCCAAGCTACGCTTTCATCACTTAACACGCTGCACCGCGATTTCTACTGCGGTTGCACTCTGCTTTTGAATTACTTCTACCCCGGTGGAAGTAGAAGGACTTGGAGCTGAAGTATTTGCAACTACTTCCTCTCAAACCTAGCGCGAGACATCGCGACTTGCGCCTGCAACAACCCGCTGTCAACCGATTGCGTCAAAGCGATACAACATTCACCCCAATATTGACCGCGCAGCTGTCGCATCGCCATCATGGGTGTCCCCGCGCTTTTCCGATGGCTTTCCAACAAATATCCGAAGATCATTTCGCCGGTTATTGAGGAGCAGGCCCAGGAAGTGGATGGAGAAGAGATCCCGATCGATATCACCGGTCCCAACCCCAATGGCGAGGAGCAGGATAACCTCTACCTGGATATGAATGGTATTGTACATCCGTGTACTCATCCGGAGGGAAAGCCCCCACCGGCGAACGAGCAGGAGATGATGCTGGAGATCTATAAGTACACTGACCGCGTGGTCAACATGGTCCGCCCCAGAAAGCTTCTGATGATCGCTATTGGTATGTGGATGTCTCAGTAGAGCTTTCGCGGCTCTGCTCTTGATTTTATGCCCTTAGATTGCCGTCAAACTAACCTCTATCTTACGTACAGATGGTGTCGCCCCGAGAGCCAAGATGAACCAGCAGCGTGCACGTCGTTTTCGCTCCGCGCAAGAAGCTAAAGAGAATGATGAGAAGAAGGAGGAGCTCCAGAAGATGCTTGCCAAGCAGCATCAGACAAAGACCGGTGAGCAATTGATCCAGGAGGAAGTTGTTCAAAAGACATGGGATAGCAACGTCATCACACCCGGAACACCTTTCATGGACATCCTCGCTGCTTCGCTGCGCTATTGGATTGCCTACAAACTCAACACCGACCCCGGCTGGGAAAATGTACGTTGGACCTTATCTTTCTTATCCTAGTAGTGATGCTCATTCTCATATCTCACAGTTGAAAATTATCATTTCGGACGCCACAGTCCCTGGAGAAGGAGAGCACAAAATCATGGAGTTCGTACGATCACAGCGTGCTTCGCCCGGTCATGACCCCAACACTCGCCATGTTATCTATGGTCTGGTGAGTTATATTAAGTGTTCAAATCATGGAATGTTAAGTGCTTACCAAATCTCAATAGGACGCCGATCTGATCATGTTGGGACTTGCTACCCATGAGCCTTACTTCCGTGTATTGCGCGAGGATGTGTTCGCCCAGGACTCAAGACCTCGCGGATGTAGACTATGCGGACAGACAGGACACAAAGCCGAGGAGTGTCTAGGAAAGCCAAAGGAGAAGAGTGGAGAATTCGACGAGAAACAACATGCTGCTCCTCTCAAACCATTCATTTGGCTTCATGTTGCTGTTCTCAGAGAATATCTTGCTGTTGAGCTCCGTGTTCCTCAGCAGAAATTCCCCTTCGACCTCGAACGTGCTCTGGATGACTGGGTGTTCATGTGTTTCTTCGTCGGAAACGATTTCCTTCCTCACTTGCCTAGTCTGGATATTCGTGAGAACGGCATTGACACCCTTATCGCCATCTGGCGTGACAATGTTGCCGGTCCCATGTCTGGGTATCTTACAAAGGATGGAAGCGTTGACATGGCGAATGCCCAACTCATCCTTCAAGGACTGGCCAAGCAAGAGGATGCTATCTTCGCGCGCCGCAGACAAGCCGACGAAAGAAAGCAGGCAAACGAGAAGCGTCGCAAGGAACAAGATGCAGCCCGCAATGCAGAGCGTTCTCAAAAACGGAGACGCAGCTCTCCCCAGTATGATTCACCGCAAAACCGCTCGCGTGGTAGTGGTGCTGCTGAGCCTGCGCCTCCCATGGAATTGATCACTCCCGGCCGTGGCCATTTGGCCAAGGAGACCCGCGAATTGACACACAGCATGGTTGTCAACCGTGGCGCTGTCTACCGCGCTAATATGGAGAACAAGAGCGCCGCTGCTATCTTGAAGAGCAAACTCATGAAGGGTAACCAGGATGAACCCGCAGACGAGACTCCAGCTGCGGAGGGCGAGGAAGCAAACGCAGGGGAGCCAACCTCGCCTGGAGTCCTCGGCAAGCGAAAGGCAGACGAAGTTGAACAGCAGGAAGCCGAGGCAGGAACACCGGGCAGAGATTCTCCGCCGCCAGTTGCCCCTGTCCCCGAGAACAAGCCCAAGGAAGACGAAATGCCTGAAGACACAGTCAAGCTCTGGGAACCGGGCTATGCTGATCGGTACTATGAGCAGAAATTCGGTGTCGATCCGAAAGACATCGAGTTCCGTCACAAGGTCGCGCGTGCCTATGCCGAGGGTTTGGCCTGGGTTCTCCGCTACTATTTCCAGGGCTGCCCTAGTCAAGGGTGGTACTATCCGTATCATTACGCACCATTGTATGTATCACTACTCCCTTCACTTTATTGATTGGAAGACCAATTTGCTAACACACCTTTTCTAGCGCCGCGGACTTCGTTGACATCGCCGATATGGAGATCAACTTTGAGAAGGGCAAGCCATTCAGGCCGTTTGAACAGCTTATGGGCGTCCTGCCTGCCTCATCTAACCATGCACTGCCAAAGGTGTTCCATCCTCTCATGTCTGATCCCAACAGTGAGATCATTGACTTCTACCCGGAGGATTTCCCTCTGGATCTGAATGGCAAGAAGTTCGCCTGGCAAGGTGTCATTCTCCTTCCTTTCATTGACGAAAAGCGTCTCCTGGGCGCTATGGAGAAGGTGTATCCTCTTCTTACTGAGGATGAGAGGAGTCGCAACAGCCATGGTTCGGAAGTACTTTTGCTTTCTGACCGTAACCCATTGTACCAAGACCTTGTCGCGAATTTCTATTCCAAGAAGCCTGGTCCCGCACAGTACACAATCAAGCAAGAATTGAGTGGTGGTCTGGCTGGTATCGTTGAGCGAAGTACCACCTACATTCCCCACAGCTCGCTCAACTCTCCCCTCGAGGCACATGGCATGCCGGGACTTGATGATGATCGCTCTCTTACGTGAGTTTAATCAGTCTTCCTTATTCAAAGTCCAAACATACTAACCTCTATAGTGTCGAATACACCATCCCGAAGTCTTCCCACGTTCACAAATCTATGCTGCTCCGCGGCGTGAAGCCCCCAACGCCAATGCTAGATTCAGCCGACATCAGAGCAACCAAGGGTCGCGCTCAGAACTCAGGCCGCTCATTCGGTGGCGCCCCATTCCAGGGCAGAGGCCGAGGTGGCCGCATGAACTATCAAAGCGATCGCCCGAACCCCTTCGCCGCTCACCTCGACCCGAAATTCAGCTCTGGTCCACCAGGTGGTCCTGGCGGGCCACCCGGATGGGTTCCCCCTGGCCAGAACTACGGGGGTGGTTACTCACGAGGTCCTCCTCCCCCACCCCGTGGTGGAATGTCGCACCAGTACCCACCCCAGCAAGGTTATCAACAGCCTGGTGACTACTACGGTCACCAGAACCAGTATAACCAGGGTGGTCAGTACAACGGACACCAGCAAGGTTATGGCTCGCAGGATTATCGTGGAGGCCGTGGCGGTGGTGGTCGTGGTGGTGGCGGATATCGTGGTCACCGCGGTGGTGGTGGTGGTGGTGGTGGATATGGTCGGTATTAGAAAGTGGGATGGGACTGCTAATCTCTCATCTTTTTCTTTCTTTGTGAATGCTTCGTACTGGTTTTCAATGCCGATTGTATCTTTTTTGAATGGTTGGGCTCTGGGTATGAAGGCCCAGGAAAGAAATGGAGTTATGGGAATGTAACATGAAACAAAGTTTTTTCTTTCTTTTCGATGGACTCTTTGAATATTGACTATTCTTGTCTAGGGCTTTGTAATATGTAGTCACTGCATGCTAGGTATGCCATTTCGATATGCACACAATGTGCTAGATCATAGATGTAAATACATCCAATTTTTGATTAGACACCTTTGTAGGTGCTTAGAGAATACACTCGTTGAGTATCAATCTCTTTGCTCATTTTATGTTGTTTTATTTTGTGGTTTTCTTGGCGATCTATATTCTACTGTGTAGATATGCATTCTGGGGCAATGACTAAATTTTCTCAAGCCTTATTCCAATTCGTGGTCCTAGTTTGTAATGAAGTACACATAAATGTAGCCAGCTTGCTAGAAGGAAGTTATAACTTCACACCTTTCAACACGCCTCCTAGACCTTTGTTCATCATCACCTGCGATATCTCCTCATCTACTTTGATCACGCGGTTCTTCCGCTGCTCGATTTTCATATGCCTGAAACCGAACCGCTCAATTTAAGGCAATACTGTATTGTGCCCGAAATCCTTTACGATAGAGATTACTGCGATTGTCTATCCAGAAATGGCAGGCTCCTTGCAGGTGCCTGCGGCTGCGACACAAGCCGGGAGATTCTGGGCGTTGTTACCAATCCGGACGCTGTCAAGATTGCAGAATTGTTCCATGTCAAGAACTGTTCAGTTTAGAAACATCTGGCAACATATGCCATTCTGCCCCCCCCCCCCCCACCCAAAAATTATTATAGCCTCAGAGCGCCGCGCCCTCGGGCCGAACAGATAGCGCTCAAGGTTTGGCTCATTTATCAGCTAATGCTCTCAAGTTATTCCCCCGCACCAATCTCGATGCATCTCCCATTCGGGTTGAGGCCAATGACTTTTTACACGGATTACGATTTTAAGCTATGTCAAAATGACGCATCGTGGACACCGGCACAGTCGACATGCCAGAGCTCTACCTATAGAATGGTGCCACACATCCAGTGGTGATCCTCGAGGCACAACCTTTTCTGCATAGTACCCAAATGAGCACACGGAGTCAGGAAACCACCAGCCAGCAACTAGATTGGCCCACTCCCCAGAACGGCTTGACCTGGAACACAACACCCCAGCCTTGACGATTGACAATATGACTTTGCCTGGGCAAATAACCAGCAGAAATGACAGCGACACACGCCAGATGTTGTTTCAATTCGCCGGCAAGCTAACTGAGCATTTTCAGCAGAGTCTGCTATCTCTGTCAAACAACCTGGCAACCCCGAGAATGATGGTGGTGGGGATGCGTTGTTGTTCAAAGCCAAGCACTTGATGAGCTAGTAAGTTGATGTGCGCGCATCATGAATAAGTGCAGCGGAGGGTCCCCAATGGAGTCCGCTCGATCAACTACAGTTGATGTCAAGACCGCAGATGCAGAAATGGCTGATCCAGATAACACCAATGAAAAGACTGCGAATGTCAAAGGTCACTGGCGCAGAGATGACAGATGCGGAAACCGCGGATACGGAGACCGCGGATATCGAGGTCACTGGAGCTGACATGGCTGATGCAGAGACTGCCCATGCCGAGATCGCCCAGCCGGAGACCACTCACATAGAGATCGGCAGTGGGGACACCTCAATCAAGAACACGGTCGACAAGAGATCCAAGGCGTCTGCTAAGAGACTCAGAAGGTCTGAGCCCCCCTTGAGCGGCATTTCCAAGGCCAAGACAAAGGCCAGAACTTCGAAGCCCATGGAGACACGACAGGCACTCCTGGAGACGGCAATCAAGTTGGAGCTGAGCGATTCGGAGCTGAAGGTGGAGCCCATGAAGATGGAGCCATGAGTCACGGTCGAGGATACCTACTTGTACTAGTAGATCGATCTACAAACTGAGCTGAGAGATGATAAATTGGAAGGGGGAATGGAATGAAAAAGGGGGGGGGGATAGAAGATCAGAAAATAACATATCACAAATGAAATCCAAATCACAAATCAAAACATAGTAAAAGGCCACACTGTGTTGGGGGGAGGAAACCAGTCGTTCGTCGTTGGTCAATTTCAGGGGTTCGGATTACCGGGCGGTCAAGAAAGCCGCGAGATCGGCGGGGAATTCACGATCGATTTGCTTTTTTAACCTCATCTTCATTCTGTCTTCTGTGTGTCTGTCCAGGTATGCTCAATTCCCTGCTCTTCAAGGATCTCATTGCCATTGTTCAGTCTACGCCACTAGCGTGGAGCAACCTAAAATTAAAGTATGAGTCAAGGCTGACCACCACGCAGAATGAGATGAGCAGATCATAATCCCCCCAACCTCTCTCTGTCTCTCTATCAATATGACTGAACCTACAAAGATCAGTATCTTGGGCCGGGAGAGCATTGTTGCTGATTTCGGCCTGTGGCGCAATTACGTCGCAAAGGACCTGATCACCAACTTGCCCTCCACCACCTACGTCCTCATCACCGACACCAACCTCGGCTCCATCTATACCCCTACCTTCCAAAAAACCTTCGAGGCCGCCACCGCATCTATCTCTCCTGCCCCGCGACTTCTCGTCTACCATGCTGCGCCCGGCGAGAGCTCAAAGTCCCGGCAGACAAAAGCCGACATTGAAGATTGGATGCTGAGCCAGAACCCACCATGTGGAAGAGACACAGTGGTCATCGCCTTGGGCGGTGGTGTCATTGGTGATCTGACCGGTTTCATTGCGGCAACCTACATGCGCGGTGTCCAGTATGTGCAGGTCCCCACCACCCTCCTCGCCATGGTGGACTCCTCAATTGGCGGAAAGACTGCCATTGACACGCCTCTGGGCAAGAACCTCATCGGCTCCATCTGGCAGCCGTCGAGAATATATATTGATCTCGAGTTCCTTGAGACGCTCCCCGTCCGGGAGTTCATTAACGGTATGGCCGAGGTCATCAAGACCGCTGCCATCTCCAGCGAGGAAGAATTCACCGCCCTCGAGGACAACGCAGACCTAATTCTCGGTGCCGCGCGCAGCGAGGCGAAGCCCGGCCAGGGCCGCTTCGATGGAATTCGCGATATCTTGAAGGCCAGAATCCTGGCATCCGCTCGCCACAAGGCCTATGTTGTGTCTGCGGATGAGCGCGAGGGCGGTCTTCGCAACCTCCTCAACTGGGGTCATTCTATTGGACATGCCATTGAGGCAATTCTCACTCCCCAGATCCTCCACGGCGAGTGTGTAGCCATTGGTATGGTCAAGGAGGCAGAGCTTGCACGCCACCTCGGCATCCTCAAGGGTGTTGCCGTGGCTCGTGTCGTCAAGTGTATTTCCGCCTATGGCTTGCCTACTTCTATGAAGGATGCCCGTGTCCGTAAGTTGACTGCCGGTAAGCACTGCTCTGTGGACCAATTGCTGTTCAACATGGCATTGGATAAGAAGAACGATGGCCCCAAGAAGAAGGTTGTTCTTCTGTCGGCCATTGGCCGTACTCATGAGCCCAAGGCCAGCGTTGTTTCCAATGCCGATATCGGCGTCGTCCTCGCCCCCAGTGTTGAGGTTCACCCTGGTGTGGCCAAGTCCCTAAATGTTACTTGCGCCCCCCCCGGATCCAAGAGTATCTCTAACCGAGCCCTTGTGCTTGCTGCACTTGGATCTGGAACCTGCCGCATCAAGAACCTTCTGCACTCCGACGACACTGAGGTCATGTTGAATGCCTTAGAGCGTCTCGGCGCAGCCACGTTCTCCTGGGAGGAGGAAGGTGAGGTTCTTGTTGTCAATGGCAAGGGCGGCAACATTGTTGCAAGCCCAACACCTTTGTACCTGGGCAACGCTGGAACTGCCTCCCGATTCCTCACTACCGTGGCAACTCTCGCTACCCCCAGCACCGTTGGCTCAAGTGTCCTGACCGGCAACAACCGTATGAAGCAACGCCCTATTGGCGATCTTGTCGATGCTCTCACCGCCAATGGTGCCGACGTCGAGTACATGGAGAGCAAAGGCAGCCTCCCTCTCAAGATTGCCGCTTCTGGAGGTTTCGCCGGAGGCAAGATTAACTTGGCCGCCAAGGTTTCCTCTCAGTATGTTTCTTCGCTTCTCATGTGTGCTCCTTACGCCAAGGAGCCAGTCACTTTGAAGCTCGTTGGTGGCAAGCCCATCTCCCAGCCTTACATTGACATGACCAATGCCATGATGCGTTCTTTCGGTATTGACGTTAAAAAGTCTACTACTGAGGAGCACACCTACCACATTCCCCAAGCTCGCTACGTAAACCCTGCCGAGTATGTTGTGGAGAGTGACGCAAGCTCTGCCACCTATCCTCTGGCCATCGCCGCCGTTACTGGCACCACTTGCACTGTCCCTAACATTGGCTCCAAGTCCCTCCAGGGCGACGCTCGCTTCGCAGTCGAGGTTCTCCGACCTATGGGATGCTCTGTCACCCAGTCTGACACTTCCACTACTGTCACTGGACCTGCTGACGGTATCCTTCGGCCATTGGCCAACGTCGACATGGAGCCCATGACCGATGCATTCCTTGGCGCCTCTGTTCTCGCGGCAATCGCCCGGGGCGAGGACTCGAACCACACAACCCGCATTTACGGTATTGCCAACCAGCGCGTCAAGGAATGCAACCGTATCAAGGCCATGAAGGACGAATTGGCCAAGTTCGGAGTTGTCTGCCGTGAGCATGACGACGGTCTTGAGATCGACGGTATCGACCGGTCTACACTTCGCCAGCCTGCTGGTGGTGTTTACTGCTACGATGACCACCGTGTCGCGTTCAGTTTCAGTGTCCTTTCTCTCATCGCTCCCCAGCCGACTCTCATTTTGGAGAAGGAGTGTGTTGGTAAAACCTGGCCCGGTTGGTGGGACACCCAGAAGCAAATGTGGGGCGTTAAGCTTGACGGTAAGGAGCTCAAGGAAGACGAAGTTGCTGCCTCAAGTCAAGAAGAGCGAAGCAACGCTAGTGTCTTCATCATTGGTATGCGTGGTGCTGGAAAGACCACCACTGGCAACTGGGTTGGTAAGGTCCTTGGCCGTCAATTCATTGACCTTGACACCGAGCTTGAGCAAACCGAAGGAACCACCATACCTGAAATGATCAAGATTCGCGGCTGGCAAGGTTTCCGCGACGCTGAGTTGGCCTGCCTTCAGCGCGCCATGAAGGACCGTCCTACTGGCTACGTCTTCGCCTGTGGTGGTGGTGTCGTCGAGATCCCAGAAGCTCGCAAGATGCTTGTTGACTACCACAAGAACAAGGGCAATGTTCTCCTCATCATGCGCGATATCAAGCTGGTCATGGACTTCCTCCAGATCGACAAGACTCGCCCTGCCTACGTCGAGGACATGATGGGCGTGTGGCTGCGCCGCAAGCCTTGGTTCCAGGAGTGCAGCAACGTTCAGTACTTCAGCCAGCACTCGAGCTCTGCTGAGCTTGCTCTTGCCTCGGAAGACTTTGCGCGCTTCATGCGCGTTGTGACTGGCCAGACAGACAGCCTCGGTCAGATCAAGAAGAAGAAGCACAGCTTCTTCGTCTCATTGACACTGCCCGATCTCGCCCCGCGCCGGCGACATCATCACAGAGGCTTGCGTCGGATCCGATGCCGTAGAATTGCGGGTTGACTTGTTGAAGGACCCCTCATCAGACATCGACATCCCCTCGCTTGACTACGTCACCGAACAGATGTCCATCCTCCGCCGTCGTACCTCTCTCCCCATCATCTTCACTATCCGTACCAAGAGCCAAGGAGGTCGCTTCCCCGATGATGCTCACGATGCCGCGATGCAGCTGTACCGCCTGGCGTTCCGCTCTGGATCTGAATTCGTGGATCTTGAGATCGCCTTCCCTGACGGGATGCTCCGTGCTGTTACTGAGATGAAGGGTCACTCCAAGATCATCGCCTCACACCATGACCCTAAGGGAGAACTCTCTTGGGCCAACATGTCCTGGATGCAGTCCTATAACCGTGCTCTGGAGTACGGCGATGTGATCAAGCTCGTTGGTGTCGCCAACAGCCTGGACGACAACACCGCTTTGCGGAAGTTCAAGACCTGGGCTGAGGAGGCACACGAAACCCCTTTGATCGCTATCAACATGGGTGACAAGGGTCAGCTCAGCCGCATTCTGAACGGCTTCATGACCCCAGTGTCTCACTCCAGCCTCCCCTTCAAGGCCGCACCCGGTCAGCTCTCTGCGACTGAGATTCGCCGTGGTCTCTCCTTGATGGGCGAGATTAAGGCCAAGAAGTTCGCCATCTTCGGCTCTCCTGTCTCTGCCTCCCGGTCGCCCGCTCTCCACAACACCCTCTTCGGCACCATGGGTCTTCCCCACGAATACAGCCGCTTGGAGACCACGAACGTTGAGGACGTCAAGGACTTCATCCGTGCCTCCGACTTCGGCGGTGCCTCCGTGACCATCCCTCTCAAGTTGGACATCATGCCCCTGCTCGATGAAGTCGCCAAGGAAGCCGAGATTATTGGCGCAGTCAACACCATCGTTCCTGTTGCCAACGGTGACAAGCCTCCCCGCCTGGTCGGCTACAACACCGATTGGCAGGGCATGGTCCAATGCATGCGCAACGCAAGCATTTACGGCTCATCTGGTGATGAGAGCGCCATGGTCATCGGAGGCGGTGGCACTGCCCGTGCTGCCATCTTCGCTCTACATCACATGGGCTTCTCTCCGATCTACGTCGTGGGCCGTAGCGCTAGCAAGCTCGAGGGTATGGTCTCGACCTTCCCCACCAGCTACAACATTCGTGTTGTAGACAACCATAGCCAGCTTGACAGCGTCCCCCGCGTTGCCATTGGCACCATCCCGGCCGACCGTCCCATCGACCCCACCATGCGTGAGACACTCTGTCAAATGTTCGAGCGTACCCAGGAGATCGATGGTGCCCTCATTGGCAAGACTTCCGAGTCCAACAACCCCCGTGTCCTCCTCGAGATGGCCTACAAGCCTGCCGTCACGGCGCTCATGCAGCTTGCATCCGATTCTGGCTGGAGCACCATCCCTGGACTTGAGGTTCTTGTCGGACAGGGTGTTCACCAGTTCGTTCACTGGACTGGTATCACTCCTCTGTACCACGAGGCTAGGGTAAGAAATAAAATGCTCTCTTGATAATTCATACTAACGGATTCTCTAGGATGCCGTTATGGGAAACACCAATGAGTCTTCATAAGATCTGAATTACCATGTCTAATATCAGTATCGTGTTTCATGTCTAGCCACATAAGGGCGGGTAGGCTATAAAAAGGATTTTCTTCATTGATTTTCTCATTCATCTTTACCAATTGGTTGCATGTTCTAGTTGAATATGCGCCATTATTTACATATCTTCGGTCAAATATATTGTCCTTAACTCCATAACATAATTTCAATGCCTACCAATGTCTTTTCTCCCGTTTATAAGGAAAGTATTGCATGTCTCTCAACTTATTCCCAAGATATCTATTGCCTGCTCCTATAGTACAGTGGCATCTCAACTCAATAATAACAAGAAGTATTCCTCTGCATTCCATCCCCAAAACTAATGCTCACTCGGCCTTGACTTCTGGCCTCTTCGAAATAGTGAGCCACACATCTCTCCAGTACCCAACACCACCCTTGACCATGAACTTCGGCTCAGGTTTGCCAGGTACAGCATTAAACTTGTACTGACGGAAGAACTAAAAGCAAATTAGCAACGATCCCAATCAAACACCAAAACCACAAACTCACCTGCAAAGGACCCTTGAACAATTCCATCATAGCAATATCCTTCCCCAAGCAAATTCTAGACCCATACCCAAACGCAAAGTTATACTTATTAAACAACTTAGCCTTCTCAGCATCCAACCACCGCTCAGGCCGGAACTCCTCAGCATCATCCCCATAAAGCTTCGGATCCCGCTGAACAAGATAAGGATTACAAGTAATCTCCGTACCAGCCGGTGCAAACTGCCCATAGAGCTCAATCCCAGGCTCAGGAACATACCGCGGGAAAATATTCGGCGCAGAAGGACAAAGCCGCATAGTCTCCTTAACACAACCCACATAAAATGGCATATGCTCCAAAACCTCGCTATACTGTGGCATCTCAGAGATCAACCCCTTCCGCGTCGCATTATCAATCTCGGCCATCATGCGCTCGTACACGTCTGGGTTTGCCAGGAGAAATGTCATCAATGCCTGGAAGGCTGTCCCCGTTGTATCGGCGCCAGCGAGGAGGACTAGAAGGACTTCTGCGCGGATATATTCCAGGTCAAGGGGTTTGCCTTCTTCGGTTTGGGCTTCGAGGAAGGTTTGCAGGAGATCTGTTCGGACGTTTTTGCCTGTTTCGATGTCTTTGATGCGTTGGTCGATTAGGCGGTCGCGGAAACGCATTAGGACACCGATACCGGTGTTGTCTTCGGGCTTTGCGACTAGATATTTCTTCATGAAGGTTGTTTTTATCCAGGATGTGAAGGGGTGTAGGCGGGCCAACAGGCCGAAGGCTGGGAGGCCGTCATGGAAGCCTTGGATTAGGCCGCCGATGTCTTCGCCTTTTTCTATGAAGCCAAAGGGCTCGCCGAAGCCTATTTCGCTGATTATGTCGTAGGCCATGTAGCTATTTGGGTCGTTAGTTGGTTTCCTTTTGGGGGTGATCTGCTACCTACACTGCCCACCAGGAGAAGTCGAAGGCTTCGCCGGATTTGATGAACTTTTCGTCGAGTTTGTTGGTCCATTCTTGGATGCGCCTGTCGAGGAGAGGTTCCATTTTCTTGATGTTCGTGAAGGAGTACTGCATATTGTCAATTGTTTTAGTTCGGGTATTACTGCGCGTGCATTATATCGTACCGGTCCGGCAATATGTTTTCTGAATACTGCATGGGTCTTGTGAGACCTCATGTTGAACAGAGATTCATTTTCTCCAAAACTTCCGGTGATGTAATGGCCGGTCTTGTCTACATTGCGGTGGTAGACTTCCGGGAGCTTCTGGTAATCGCTGACCAGCAACAATGTCGGGGTAATACGAACGACGGGACCTGCACTTGTCAATTCAAGATCTCAAGACTCAATTGAACAAGTAAAGCCTAACCATGTTCCTTCGCCAGCTCATAAACAGTCGGCACTTCTGTTTCCTGCAGATTATGCCATGCGATCCAAAGTCGAGTCACCGAACCCCAGAAAGGACCGGGGAATTTCGAAAGCGGGTGGAAGAAACGATAATAAACAATCTGATAACCAAAATTGAACAAAACATAAGCAATCAGACCCAAAATGCAATTGGGCACTGTCACCAGTGACAGGATATTCCCAGCGAGACCCATGGCGGTTTAGAAATGGCAACCAAACATGAAGAGCAGATGGAATCGACTTCCTTTAGAAGGGGACCAACCCCGCCGAGAAGTATTAAATCTCCAAATCTCCAAATCCCCTAACCCGTTTAAGGGCCTTGCATTGTAAGGGGCACAAGGGCATTGGCCAGAAGGCTATGCCCTGGTAGCCATGTCCACTCCCATCAGTTCACTTCCTTGAATCATGCAAGCCTAGACCTACTGGGTCTAGAGGTGGAAGCTATACTCCGTACTCGGCAAGGACTGCACCACGGAGTATACATCGGGGAGTCCACCGTTCTCCCCCTGGAACCTAGTGTCTTCGGCACGGAGGACAGTCAAAGCATTGACAACTGTGTGGATTTGATGACGACTCCGCTTGCTAATTCGGAACTGGCGAACTATTTGTGGCTGGTTCTCCGTGCGTGTCTAGCTACAGTGTACGGTAGACGGCGGATAGCGGCTAATGATACACATTCCTATTGTGGTAGTGATGGTCTGTACAGAGAATAAACAATGGAGAACCTGCATCTGTCAGGACTTGAAGAGTTGGCTTTGCGGAGCCTCGGCAGTCGGCATCCTTCGTACAACTGGGTGTAGCAATGCCATTGCCTTGTTTGAAAGTATGTGGATCAGCATTGGAGATTGAAAGGTCTCCACCATGAAGAGGGTCTTGACTTGCGAATCCGAAACAAGGATTATCCGGCTCGGGTCATTTGCACAGGGCAGGCCTGGTACGGGTATGGAGAGGTTGCCTTGTAGATTTAGAAACAAAAGTACTTGACACTAGGGCGGGGTGGACTGCAGGCTGTGGCGTTCTCCACTGTGGAATTGCCAACTTCTGACTTGGCGTAAACCGGAACTAAATGAGGCTGCAGACGCCAGGACAAGGGTGGACTTGTTGGGTCTTAGCGCCAAAGGACCGTTAATAAGGGTCGAACACGTTCTTCGTGAAAAGAATGTGGAGAGAATAAATAGTTCGTGGAGGAATTTGATTTATCTAATAAAATGTAATATGTGATACGTTCATTATAGATCAACTGAGACAGATTACTGTGGTTTCTGGCTGTGGAGATATCAGGAAGTGTTCTCCACTAGTTTTCCCCGAGGAGAATGTGATGCGCCAAAGCCCAATGCTAAGCTGCCACATACGCTGTACATACTGCGGTTCAATATCCCGGTGCAAGCTATTGTCCGAGGACCGCCAATGGTACAATTCATGATTCGTTCAGGGGGTTGTTTTGACAGCCGCCGATCCCAACGGTCGTAAGTGGCCGAGTACACTGTTTAATTCGGAAGAAAACCTTGAGCTTTTCAGTTTCGGAAATACCAAATAGGTTATTAATCGGGGATTTGTAGGGCAACTTCCGAGGGCGCACTGGACCACTTACTTAGTACGGAGAGCGGAGACCAGCAGTGTATACTTCCACTATAAGAGGCTCAGGATTTGTCGTGCAGATATTGACTGCAGCTTGAATCTCATGTATAAACATGAATTATATCACATGTACCCGCGGCTCTATTCTTTCCAATGACCTTCTCTTAGTGCAACGTCTTTGAAGGGGCCTGTTCGCCATTCAGCCAATTTCGCTTAGCTATTGTTGAGGACGACCCGCTCTCCACCAAGACGGCTCGGAAGGCCAGTGCAGATCGGAAGCATTAGCCTAGTCTAGCGTCATGTCTGCATTAGGGGCAAGCCCATTTGTCCCGGCACATCGCGAACGGGACAGATCTGTCGCGCACTGAAACGCCCGTCCGCGCAGATCCCACCGCCACTCTCGTGTAAAAACCGTCTAAGCAATTCTTCGGGATAAAACCCTTTTAAACTGTGTTCCGTCGCAATTTCTAGTCGCTCCGGGGGAAAGGATAAGGTGTTTGACTTTTTAGCGGCGTCCTGTCAACTGAATTTAGTTTGATGTTTGAACAAAGGGGTTGTTTTACACAGTGCTCCATACTACTCGACCAAAGATCGCTACTAGGGACATCAAGATCACCTCATCTTGATAAAATTTATAAATAACTTGAAATCGGAGATCAACTCGGTCGCTTTCCGCTTACACTCATTTTTCGGTCTGCTCTATCTGATCACCTTTTCTTTTTTTCTTATGCAAGTCGGACATGTACCCCCCAAATATGAGGGAAAATTTCGCTGAGGAAGGATTTCTAAATGATCGTCGAGACGTTGAACGTGTCGACCCGGCCCTGTCCAAGCCAATGCCAACCCTGTCTTGGTGTGGATATTAATGTACTAAACACAGATATTCCTTGTCCCCCGAACTACTGTATGTAGGACCCTATTAGTTAGGATTGAGCTGGGATTGAGACTAGGCAAAATGATTTATCCAAAATCCTTTCTAGTACGTAACATTTGAGCGAGCAAAACTCATCTCGGTGTCTGCGTAGCGAACCGAATCTTGCACAGGCTTCCAGTCTTCGCCTTTTGGATCGCCATGTTTCAAGCCCCTCCCGGAGAGGCAGGCGGGTTAAACAGGTAATCCTCGGGTGGAGATAGGCGCCTCTGACAGTCTCGTGTCTCGTGTTTCTACAAAGGGAAAGCCCTTGTCAATCCCTACCTTGTTTTTGCGTACTGATGGGGTATGGATCGAAGAACTAGACCATGCATAAGGCGCATCGTTAGCATTTTACACGGTCCTTTTGTTCATGCTAGTCCAGGGGAGTGCAGAATCAATCTCTTTATAACTATAAGCCGGGGTACCGCGAACCATTTTTCTTGATCTTTCCGATGGTACTTGCAGTTCTCCTTTTTCCTCTTCTCTGTGAGACGGGGATGTGAGACGGCTGTCTGTGCCATTCTTTAATAGACTTATTCGCTATTTGTTACTTTCCCTTTCCTTCTTTCCTGTTTTCCATTCCTCATCATGACTGCCAATGGATCCCAAGGCCCGGTGGTGGTCGGCATTTGTGTTGCCTTTGCCGTTATCACATTCTGTGTCTTGTGTCTTCGTATCTTTGCCCGTGTATATGTCCTGGGCAAAATGGGCCTCGATGACTGTAAGTTATCAATCGATACACTGTGATCAGTGCTATGCTGACTCTTCCAAGACCTCATTATCGGAGCTTGTGTAAGACAAAATCTGACCCAAATCTCAACGAACCGTTCACTGATGAAAATAGCTATTGGCTTGGGCATTCATCGCTGTCACCATTGTTGGTGAGTCCATAAACGCCATTTAACGATGCAAAAGCTGACAATATTTAGCCGTTCAAAATGGACTTGGAACACACTATGTCGATACGGACAAGACAAAGCTCATTAACTATGCTTTTGTAAGAAGACCAATCTTGAACTTCTCTTGCATCGCTCACATTATCTAGGCTGTCTGGTTGAGTTCAATGTTCTACCTTGCATGTCTCGGTTTCGTCAAGACATCTGTCTTATGGTTCTATACTCGTCTCGGAGATCGTTACCTGACCCGCCTCTCCTGGATCATGATGGGAGTCATTGGAGCACAAGCCACTTCATTTGTGCTCGTGGCTGCATTCCAATGTCGACCTGTCAGCAAGGCCTGGGCAAGCACCAAGCCAGGAACATGTGTCGATATCAACGTGTTCTATCTTTGCAACGCAGCGCTGAACATTTTAACTGATGTTCTTACCTATACTTTGCCTATCAAAGTTATTTTCAAGCTTCAGATGCCCAAGAAGCAAAAGATTGTCCTCGGTATCATTCTCTGTCTCGGTCTTTTGTGAGTGAAAACATCCAGCCAAGGAAAGCCGCAGCGACTAACGTCCCGTCTTTGCAGTGCATGCGTCTCCTCCATCATTCGAATCACATATATTCCCGCCATGCTCACATCCACTGACTTCACTTACGCCATCAGCGGCGCCATGTATTGGTCCGTCATTGAGACCAATGTCGGTATTCTTGCCGCATCAATTCCCTCATTCAAAGCAATCGCCTCCCGTTTTCTGCCTCGCTTCATTGGAGAATACAGCAGTGGAAAGAAGTACGGCCCCTGGTCCGGGAACACCACTGCCAGACGGTATGGCTCCGGCTTCACCAAAGTCACTGATCCCAGGAATATCACCATGGGCACCATCGACAAAGACGATACGAACATGGGCACTGAAATTGGGGCTGCTAGTAACTCTAGCGAGGAGAGAATTATTCCCGATGGCAAGATCTTCAGACATACGGAGATTGAGACAACCGTGGAAACAAACCATGAGTTCAGAAGCTTCGGTTCTTCATCGCTCGAGCAGGCTCGTCGGTAATAATTCTCCAAGGTTAGGTGGGATTTATGATAAGTTGTAATGGGTTGATTGTATAATAGTTTCCGGGTACATAGGTATACAAAATACCCTTTCTCATGTTCATGCATCGCCTGCCCATATTCATTTCACCGAAGAACAGGAATGATTTACAAAAGCAAGACTGTCTATGATAGTATATTCAAAACTTAACTCATTCTTCATAGCCTATTGACATGTCCACCTCTCACCAATACTTGCGCCAAGCCGCAATCCCAACGCCAAGAACAGCAAAAGCCACAGCCCAGCGAGTCAACCCCCTGCGCAAATGATACTTGACCGTCTTCTCAATAGCCTCGGAATCATTTATGCGAGGGAACGCCTGGTCCGGGGGCACTTGAGCCCCCAGAGCCTCACACAATGGCTCCCACCCATCCTTAACATCAAAGAAGACCAACCTCTCCTTCGGCACAACCTCGGTTAACCAAGCAATATGCCTCTCATACGTCTCGCGGCCATGATACCCCGAAACACCCCCATACAAGCGTTCCCACTGCGCAGCAAGCAAATGCCCATAAGGAATAAAATGCCGCATGCCCTCCAGCGGAAGCAATGCAAGCCGCGCAAACCAAACACCCGTTAGACTCTGTACACGCATCATACTGGGTTCCCAGAGAAGCGGATCACGCGTCGTGCAAATAACCTTCGCATCCGGATACAATTCCATCAGTTCTGGGACGAACTGAGAGCCTGGGGAATCCGTTATGGCAACGTAGCCCCCCAATCGGTGGCGCAGGAGTGGGAACATTGTCGCGCGACTGACCTGGTCGCCTTTGAGCCACTTCTGAAGGATTGGTATCCAGCCTTTAATTTCGGCTGGTGGGCCCATTGATGATTGCGTACCGCAGTGGTAGACTGGGCCGTCTAGCAGCATTTCTAAGGCCTGACTGAAGGATGACGTCCCTGTGCGTGGTAGGCCTGCGCCTATGACTTGAATTGTCGCGCCTTCTTTTGGCTTTGATGGTTTTTGGCCCATCTTGCTGTGTTTCGTGTACGTGTTGCTCTATGCTTGTCGTGTTTGAGTTGGGGCGTGTTGGGGTTTCAGGTTTACCGACGTCCCTCATTTCCCTTTTTTGTAACCTTTCCTCCCCGGGCGCTGATGATCTGCGCTTTCCACGGGCTAATTTTGGATAACCCGAGAGACAGATGTTTCGCGAGAGGCTATCAAGATGGAGTCGGGGGGAGCGGGTTGATATAAAGCGAGTTTCGGAGATCCTTTCGGCCCCCACTCCGGGATTCCCCCTTTGGGGCAATGAAGGCACTTTAGCCTGCCACATTCCATTTTCTTTCTCTCTTTTTGTCAGGCATGCATAACTTTCATAAAGATAGCATGTATCAAAATCATTGCGACGTTGCATCGCATATTTCCTTGGCTCCTCTACGATGTTATTACCCCCCAGGACCTTTCCAGGGGGTACGAATACGAGCGATGGCTTTCGATCTTTTTGCTTTCGCCGTCGCATAACAAGAATGATGATACTAAGCAATAACAATAATTCACAGCCCGAAATCTCAACTTATGGGATAAGAATTGAGCCCTGAAAGTCAACGTAACAGCTCTCCAAGCTATTCCCTTTCGCCTAGTCACTGGTACTTTGGTAATGATCTACCCATGTAAGAAGCTTATCAAAGGCAACCTAATCGCTCAACTCAATCCTCTATCACAAAGTGCTTGACTATACTATGATTCCCACGGTTTATCTCGGTGACACTGCACTTGGGGTCAGAACTGGCAAACCCCGGGCTTGATAGCAAGTCAACTATCGCATGATGCCCATTTGACGCTATTTATTTCAAGGTGGTTTCGGGGTAGATATCCTCTTCATGGACCTTATCAGTCCCTTTTTCAAGACCCATGGCCACGGGCAAGTGTCCATACTCTGCTGCCCAGGATAATGGGGTGCGATCCTGTATTTATCAACCATGTATTGCGCGATATACTAAGCCATTAGCTAGTTATGGCAGGGCAATATTGAATACACGTACAATCCGTGACATGGTATACACCGACACACATAAACATCCATGGCTAGATAACCATTTTTCAACTCCAGACCGTGGCACTGTGACAGCAAAAGTCCCACCTCCCCCCTCTCCCTCGATTGCTTCGCATTTTAAACCTTCAATCTCAGCATCATCATGGGCCTGAGCCATGAAGCATTGGCCCAAAATATGGTCAGATGCCGAGCGTTTTAAAGGGGAAGGTACGGACTGTATCAATGAGTCTTAGCATGAACTGCTATTGTTGATCGGTCAAGGGGAACAGTGCACCAACCGCGCGATTACTGGTAGTAACTCTATATAATTCCTTCTTGCGATGTGTTAAATACATACGACCACAGGGTGTGGAGAACAGGGCTTCCCGTCCGCTCAGCCGTACTTAAGCCACACGCCGGTAAGTTAGTAGTTAGGTGGGTGACCACTAGCGAATCCTTACTGTTGTATGTTTTTGTTTTCTTTTTGCAAGTTTTCCAACTCATAGAAAGGTTGGTTGTTGAGATATATGATCGTGGAATCTCATTTTTAAGGTGGTGTTCTAGCTGGACCACTCGGTGGAATACTTTAGTTGCGCGACCAGTCCTCGGGGCGCCTTATACCTGGCTTGAGAGTTTGAGTCGAGAATGTGGTATATATATTATTCTAAACTTAGGCGATATATAGATACTTCATTCAAAATCAACTATCTATTCCATAATATCGAGCAATTTCAATCAGACCTGTGCCTCCAAATTCGACCCAAAGATCCACAAATCCCTCTTCCCTGGCTCGCGCAACGTCTTTACTATCCCAAGCTTCTTCCAAGTCTCTTTCAAGGTAGATTGTCTGAAAGCCACATTTTTTGGCGGCTTGCAAGTCCTCAAGATGGGCTGCGACCAGACAACATTCCGAATTTTCAAGACCGAATCTGCGAGAAGCACCACGATAGACCTCTGGCGACGGCTTGTAAGCACCAAAATGCTCTGCACTGGTGATGTGCTTGAAAGGCAAAGAATTGTGTTCTTGCAGGTCTTCGAGCAGTTTTACATTTCCATTGGATAATGTAGACGTCAAGAATTTAGTACCCAGAAACGACAGGCCTGGCACACTATCAGGGTATGAGTCAAGTCGGTGCCAAGCGAGTGTCAACCCTTGGAGATCATCTTCGCCAAATAAACCTGGAAATAGCCTTGTGTTGAGAATATTTTCCAAAGAAATGCGGTTGTACTCGTCTACTGAGACAAAGGGCTTAGATGTATCGTAAGTGTCTCCGAATTTCATATATTCGCGATGCCACTCTTCGGCGATCTCCTGCCAGCTAGAGGTGGACATATCACAAACACGTTCTCGCACATCGGCGCTCAAATTTCGAGCTTTTTCTTGCAGAGCCCTTTGTGCTGCAGCATGCAGTTCGGTCGCGATGCAATGCCTCCATTCCACAATTGTCCCCAGAACGTCGAAAAATATCATTAAAGGGAGCCCGTCCTGTGACATCTTTGTTGGAACTCTTTTTAAGAGATTTGAAAGAATGAAGGCTTTTGCGCGAACTGTAGACTATGTCTACAAATTCATCGTCGGTCAGTGATAGACACATATTGGCCTCAACAGACGACTTTACCGTTAGTAACTGGTGAAAATGTTGGTACAGTATTATCGCAGGTGGGATTGGGCCTCTTTAAATGTTGAGCTCATCAACCTCGGGATTTTATTGGTTATGGTTGCATGTGATTGATAAGTAGAAAATCTCAACAACGCCCAGGGGTATCGCGGTTTCGGAATACCAGGCAAGACGCCTATACCAGTCAAATGAATCTGCCCGAGTAATTAGACCTCGGGGCTGCCTATCGGCTGCCCATGGACGAGAAAAAAGTAGTATCTACCATAAAAGCAAGGACACTATCGATTATCTGATGCAAATATGGCATTTCAATTAGGATAGAACTAAATTTAGCTTGCGAATGGAATCCAGAGATTGATTGAAACACAACCGGAGCCTCTTGGTTATTCTATTCTCCTCCAACCAATTTCTATTGATTGCGTTGCTTGTGGGCTCTGGCTATCGGAAGATCTCATGAGCCTTCCCGCCTAAAATAACAAGGAGGAACAATCACTCCGGTCAAAATGTTCTCTTTGACTTATTTTACAACAAGCTTAGACGGTCTTTTATATAGCGATTTATTCATGAGTGGGGTTCATGAATGAACAGATCTATTCACGGCGTTGACGCCTAAGCATCAACCCGGGTTTCCTTATCCATCTAGTCCCAGGCATTAGTGTGGACCAACCCTTAGTAGTAGCAATATATTAAGCTAATACCCACTTATCGGTAGTTCTATGCCATTTGTGGGCCATAAGAGGGAAAAGAGAGAAGGATACTTAGTCTATTGAACCCTCGTAAGGAAGAGGGTCCATATTCAGCGCTCTGACGAATTGTGGCAAGCACATACTGATTGCGTGATAAACATTGAACCACAAAAAACAAAAACAGCCTGAGAGCCGTATTTTCTCTCTTCCGCCACTTTATTCTTCATTTATCACAGCCATGTGCCATTCCGCCCTCGCGATCCATCTTTGAAATAATTTCACACACTGCCGCCGCTCATTCACATTTCCAGGTAGAAGAGGTGGAAATGTTCGCTCTGAAAGTAGTGGAAGTGAAAATGACAAGATAAATCTTCGCAACTCCGGCAGCTGATACTGGCTCTACTTCGTCTTGAGAGAGGTAGATTCCGGTCAAGGTAAGCAGCCGAGCTTCGTTGCGCTGTCGTTCGAGCAGTGTACTAGGCCTGCCAAGTATTCCCACCGTAGATCTTGATTGATTCGACAGATCTTATTTGAAAAGGTTGAGAGACTCGGCCCTCTGAAGTTGCTTGAGATCCGGAGGGAAATAAAGGCAAACAAGCTTACCTCGGATAATCGTCCAGCGTAATTTTGTACAAGACCTAAAGAGCCGCGTATTGTTGCTGCGATTCTAAAGACCATTCAGCAGATGAGTTCTGGAGTCATTGTTCTGTCTATTCAAGTTGTTGCTCCGTACTCTCAAGGAGGTTCCAGAGTCTCCAATGCATAATAAAAAGAAATCGCTGCGGCCAGGTTTAGCAAAGAAATAGAGGACCGTTTGTTATCCGATTAAGGCAAATTTGTCTTGCATCTGTCATGCGTGGGGTGAAGGAAGTGATGAAAGCTCGATAGCCTTGATAAAATTTGACTCCAGGTGAAAGAAATTGTCGCGTACGTCGGACGATTCAAAGTCCAAGTCTTCGCGTGGCTACCCCGAAAGGACTGTCTCAGAGAGACCAAGATGACAATTAGGACTATCGAGGTCGTTGTGATTATAGTCCACCGATGGTTGTGTTGGTATTTTCCAGTCCAAACGATATGTTACATATACAGACAGAAAAAAAATACAATAGTAATGATTCGCTGGCGGTCACCTATCCAACTACTGCTGAGTGCTTCACAGTCCGGGTAAATTTGAACTGTATGTAGTCCCCTTCACCATAACACCTAGTACATACGACCACAGGGTGTGGAGAACAGGGCTTCCCGTCCGCTCAGCCGTACTTAAGCCACACGCCGGTAAGTTAGTAGTTAGGTGGGTGACCACTAGCGAATCCTTACTGTTGTATGTTTTTATTTTTTTCGTCATATTTTTGTTGTGCAACTTCGCATGATGCGATCAAATCTGGGATTCTCCTGTAGCGTCCAATAAAGTCTCATATCGTCCAACCAGTTTTTGCTGCGGATATTAGTGCCCTGATAGAACAATCCGCTGGCAACAAACGGACTCATTTCAGTTAGTCACATTGTCGGATCTGGCAAAATAGTTCAAGCGCCTTGTGTTTACGGTAAGTTTAGAGGTGGGGGCGAAGGGTTTTGCTTATAGAGAGATGTATCGGCCTTTGGTGTGTTTGCATGAAATATCGATCCATTCTCCACTCTTATATATATATGTGAGGGCAAAGGCCGGATACACTATCTCTCAAACTTAAAGATATATCTTGTGATCATCGTACCTCTCAACATCACCTTCCATACAGTATATAGTCCGAACAAGGGTTGTTACTATTTTTGTAAATATAAATATACGAACAGTTTGATCTCATAAAAGACGCAACGCGGCTGGCAATACGTATTGTCTCAGATGAAACGGGGTTGTTTTCACCACAAAAAGAACCGAATCACTCAGCGTTTCGGATTGTTGAGAGCAGACTGCGTAGTAATCTCAGTGGCTCTGAGCTCTACAGCGTTTATCCTCGACAGAACATGTCCAGAATTCAATTTGAGTGACCGGTATACGAACAATGTTCGCACACCTAGGCATCAAAATAAAGTTGAAGGCAAAATCCACATGGGTTTTCAGCCGCACTGGTGGCTGTCCCGGAGACTTGGTCAAGATCCCTTCAAACCTCAATCTACGAGGTCCGATACAATACGGAGTACAAGGAGGGATAAAATTCGACCCTTGATCACATGTAAGGTTGACTCCCTTGAAAGTAAAATACCAACCCCTCCAAACATTCCAGCTGAAACTGTAGCATTCCTCACATAGCGTGTCTAGCTTCTAGAAAAATGTCAAGTAGGCAACCAAATAAAACAACTGGCACCCCTTGCACCCTATCACTGCAACAAGCTGCATAAGCCTCGATCCGCCAAGGAGAGAATTCCAAACACTTTTACTAAAATTATCGCAGTCTTTGATCCTAGCTGACGAATACAGTATGTACGTGTACCACAAGCCACGTGACAGCTACTGAGTCATGGTGGACAATGATAGCATAATCAGAATTACAAATAACCAAGCCACACATGCAATCAATGTCCATTAATGACAATCACAACGCAGCATGAAAACTCTTCAATCATGCAGCCAAAGAAAACTCAACAAAAAAGCCCCGAAACGAAAGAAAAAACCAAAAACCAACTTACGGCGATACCCGGAGGCCGACATTCCGGCACGAAAATAGCAAGCTTCCAGAAGCCCGAAAACAACCGCACCAAACCCAACCAGGAAAGGCCTCAGCCACTAATACATCCCCTTCTGGAAAGGTCTGGAAATGACCAATACATGCAGACGCACACCTGCAGCCATAAATACCGTAACAAGGCTAAACCGGCAACGGGGAACAGCGTAACGGCAATACCGACTTTGTGGCTGTACACCTACAACAAACACCAATGAAAAGCATCGAAAATTTTTTCCTTGCATTAGGCTGTTTCTAAATATGAGATTTTAGTCTCGCTAGTTGGTCTGTAGGGCTTGTTCATGCTGCCCGAAAACCCAGCTCAGGTGATTAGAGTGCTGACACTTTTTTTGGTCGGGATTGCTTGCCGATGGGAAAATTTTTCTCATGCAGGGGTTCTGTTTTGGTAACGGCGTTGGGGTTTGTGCTCAAGTCGGGTGTGTGCTGGCTTGATGTAGAAGGTCGCTTATTCTTGTTTGGTTTGGGAAGGTGCTTTACACCAGGTACATGCGCAGACTGCGGTCACGTCTGATTTCCCTGTTTATACTCCATTTTGATCTAATCTATGTGGGCTGGACACTTGGATCAGCTGGTGCTGGCGCTCAACTTGCCACCCCCAGACTTTGGATCGAGTAACCCGAGAAGCCCGAAGCCACGTCTTCATGTGCACACTTTGTTTCGGGGTTAAGGGTGTTTCTGTGTTAGCAGGTGTACTCGACGCCAAGATCTCGGATCTAAGAAGACTGCAGAAGTGCAGAATCCGGAGATGGGCTAGACTGTTCGGTAGACACGGCACACCCCCGGACCCGTCTCGGCCTGTCCAGACCGGGGTTAGAGGCTCATCCGAGGACTTGCCGATTCTCAACATTCTGGTCACATGGCTAGTTGCAGTATGCTAATGGTCTGCAGTAGTGTCTCATTGTTGGTCTAAGGGAATGCTCAGGTGAAAGAATCGGGATTTGCCACCCTTTCGCGTGTTCGGCTCGGAGCCCCTCGATCCGATCTGATATTCAATTAGAGCCAAAGCCATATGCACGGTCGGCGACTGACAGCGCTAGTAGAATTTTTTTGAGTCTGACCTGCAGTGCATTTTTCACACTTTGCACGGCTAACAGTTCCGCGTGGCAGAGGGATCTGATCTACAGGGAAAATTCTATCCCATTCACATTTTTAATTACTGTTTTAATTAAATTTTCTTACATTGACATCTACTATATTCTACATCTAGAATCTAGACATACCTGATTAGGTGGTTGTTAGTACATAGTCACATATGAGTCGATTGACCATGTGACCATTCCAGTCCCAAAATGGGCGTTTCCCGCCGAGCCTATCGCGAACTAGAGACAAGCGCTTACCATCGAAATGCAGTTGTCCATGTACTAGTCACAATATCGTGGGGTGACTCAAGATCGAGTCAGCTGGTCAACGATCCATGGACTGCATTGTCCGACTGCACTATCATGCCATGGTCAGCTGACTCGACGGCTGAAAAGTCTCATCGGAACCCGCCGATTGGAGACATATCAAGACAATGACTTACTTCACAGCCACACTCAACCAAGTCTGCAGATCCGATCTACAGATAGCAGTTGGGGGAACGTGGACAAGCCAATGCTAGTTTCCCCATGTGGGAATGCCATGCCGTTGGGGCGGCGGTCCCGAGCAAGTGACACTAGCCACTCGATGTGGCTAGTGCAGGGATGAAAGAGACGCACAGTAGGATACGGGGATGCGCAAGGGGGAGCACAACTCTCCGACAATCCACTAATTCACTGAGTAATCGGCTAGTGATGACTACCAATCAGTTCTAGCAGGTTCTGCTTGACTCACAGTTGGGCCGAATGTCAAGTCCCGAAAAACTAGGTGTGGCTCAGCCCTAAGGAATCCCTCGGCCGACCCACCCCCATTCTACGTCCTAATTTTGGCGCGGTCACCCGAGTAATCTAGTTCTAGGCAAGGGAAAATTCTAAGCGAGCTTGGCCATGGTACGTGTAGTTTTTCAAATTACCAGGAAGTCCAATACAGAATGGTGAGTGTGACTTGGAAGTCCAAGTCCAATACTCACATAGATAAGTACAATAAAATAATAATAAAATAATAATAAATAATTCATGTTGATGCCCACTGGTGGAGTGTGGCTTGCTCATGTAAGCCACGAAGATCCCCAGATCAGTGGACTCGGTATGGTATGTAATATTACCGGGCTACTCTCGATCTGGACTAGTGTAAGATCCTATACGGTATTTCGGTCACTCCGTTACCTGTGAGGTCATGGCCTACTTATAAGGTCTCCCTCCCTCTCTTTCATTACTCATACTTCCAACTCTTGATATCATATATCTCCTAACTTTCCTCCGGTCGAGTCATTACCCAGAACCAAACTCAACCTCACCCAGTACCAACCCAACTTTACTACTCAATCATTCGATCAGCCTCCCGACATTTCCAGACTCTTCGCTACCCCAAGCTTCGAACCAAAGTCTCTTACAAACCCACACGGCAATTGATCAGGAAATCTTATTCGGATTTTGCGCCCTCGGATACATATAAAAGCTCGCCTTCCCCGGTGGCGAACCCTCTGACGTCCCCCACCATAATGCTTATGTACCCACGTAAGGGTCTCATCACCGATCCATACAACTCAGAGGACATCATCATACAAGACGACCAGTATCCACCTGAGTTATATTCAGAGTACAACTGTCAACGCCTGCAATCGCCGTTCCAGTGCCACCCTAGTGTACAGCTTTCTCCGCCATCTTCCGCACCTTCCTCGCCTTCCTTCTCCTCTCCGACCTTCTCTATTCCTTACCCGCAAACGTCGGACTCTCAGTCGTTTGGGGCTCCTTCAATGACCCCAGCTTCTTCTTACAACCCGTCGTTTGACATCCAGGGTTCCAATTCGCCTCACTATCTTCCTCAGTACCCTCAACAATACTATACTCCAATGTTGGCGCAACAGCCTCTCGCCACCAACCAAGGGTGGGATAGCAACTTGCAGTTGTTGAGCCCTGCGCGCATTCCATACGCCGGTGTACAGAAGCGCACTTCGCCTCCATCACCCGCCAACAACTTCCACCGTCGTTCCAACAGCTCCAACAAGCCGTTGCCCACGCCAGTGCAAACCCCGCTTCAGAACTCCTTCCTTGCGACACCCTTCCAGAATTTTGATCCTTCCTCCCAGGATGGCCACAACGCCGATGCCGAGTCTGCGATGAGAAAGGCCATCATGGACCAGCAGAAGCAGTCCCCTCCCCAGCAGCTGCAGAGCGATTACTCTCTGGCGCCTTCAGTGTCAACTATGAGCCACAACTCACCAGTGACTCCTCAGACAAGCTTGGATGAGCTCGAAGATGCAGCTAAGATGAATGGTGAGAATGGAATGATCAGCCAGTGGATGGACCAGTACTTACAAGTCGACGCAGAATACACCTCTAACGGTATGCCAATGGGAGTTCCCAAGCTGGACAGGACCATTTCCGATATCTACCAGGATGAGCTTTACAACCCTGCTATCATGGGTGCTCCCCAAATGAACAAGCAAATGGCTCAAAATCAGCTCAATCCGCGCAATTTTATGGCCGATCGCCTCCAGGCTGCCAACCAGGGACATATGTCTGCTCGCTCTCAATCTCCCGCCAACCGCCGGGATCGTTCGCCTTTCCGCCCTTCTTCTCCTTTCGCCGGTGACATGGGTAGCAACATGCAGCAGCCTCAGATGGCCACCAGTGTGCCGATGACACAGAATGCCATGCAAGGAATGAACCGATCTCAGCCCAACGCTACCGGAGATATCAAGACCATGTCCCCCAAGGACGCAGTCTTGGATTTCCAGGATGGTGAGGACCCAGCTCTTCCAGCTCTGTTCCCCTCCGGTATGCCCCAGGGTGACTTCAACTTGGGTGATGCTCTTGGTTTGCGACGCGACAGTGGCTCAATGCGACCAGTGGAAGCCTTCCCGCAATATACCACCGCCATGTCGCAGCCTCAATTCGCATTCGCTCAGCCTCCCAGCCACCGTCCTTCGCAGAACAACCTGCTGCAGCAAACTCCCGACTTCCCATCTCTATCGGTGGAATCCAGCGAGACCTCGCCGCAGGCCCAGGTCAACATGTCAATGGAGATTCCCCGACCGAGCAACACCACCTCCGACGCTGGCACCTATACCTGCACCTATCACGGCTGCGCATCTCGCTTCGATTCTCCTTCTCGTCTACAGCGCCACAAGCGTGAAGCCCACCGTCAAACTACACCGGGCGGCCACCTCATCAGCCGCGACACCACACTACGCAATTCCCAAGCCGGCCCGCACCGGTGCGAGCGCATCAACCCATCAACGGGCAAAGCGTGCAATTCAGTATTCTCCCGACCCTACGATCTTACCCGACATGAACATACGATCCACACGGCGGGCAAGCAAAAGGTCCGCTGTCACATCTGTAACGAGGACAAAACATTCAGTCGAAACGATGCTCTGACAAGACGTAAGTTACACCCCGTTGATCTATTACATTCCCAAACTAATTAATTACAGACATGCGAGTGGTGCATCCCGAAATCGACTGGCCAGGCAAGCAGCGCAGGAGGAGAGATTGAGCGCGCCTTCTACGTCATGGTCCACCGGATCGGCATGCCGAACGTCATAGGGCCCATCGCCCCACTTTTGGGCCCCTGCAAAATCCGGGGCTCGTCATCATGACGATGTGTATTCTTATTTTATTTGTGTACGATTTACGAGTTGCATGCGTTGCATTGTACGGTTATGGTTATGGAAACGGATATATGGTGTTGACTGGTGTATATTGTTTTCTTTTTGGCTTCGGCTTTGGTTTGTTTTTCGCGTTTTGTTTACAAGCGAAGCGCAGTACAGTTGCTGGTTCTCTTGTACTATAGTACATTCCTCCCAAAAAAAATGTACATTAGCTGAACATTGGGATCTGTTGGAATTACATTAAATAAACCGTTTTACTTGGACGTTCATCACATTCACTGTATGGTCATTGTTGATCGCGATAGTCTGAAACACACTGCTATCTCCCCTCTTTACTACTGCATGTATGTACATCCATCCCTTGATTCACGGTTTCAATTTCTCGTACCTAGGTACCATCTCAGCCACAATATGCGTATACCCTTGTTAGATAGAGTATGTCACTACCCGCTTAAGAGTAGTACAGTAACACAACAACATTCACAGATGTCATCAGTCATCGGGACAATCAGAATCATAATATTATCATAATAGTATCATAGCCCCCACGTTCTCAAGGATAATATCCAGTTCTGAATCCATCTTACAAGTTATGCTTGAACAGCTGATGAGTCTCAAAACTAATTCTAAAGGTAATGTTCTTGCAATGAATCTGAACTTGTAGTTTCGTGCCAAGACCTCCATTGACATGTATGATCCCATCATTGCGTAGACACCCGATCGCGGACCCTGGTTCGCATGATTCGTGAACCACTTGGATTTGGGCTGATAAGATATGAGATACATAATTATGGAGGGATTGTGACTTGGATTCATTATTTAGATTTAGTTTGAAACTTGGCTCTGAGGTGGTTATTGTTCGATTTGGAAGATCCTTGGGTTTCGTCGCTTTCGGTTGGGTATTTTGTGTGGTTTACGTATGTTGGACGGGTGTTGTATACTCCAGTCCAATCATTGTTCTCTTAATGTCATTGTCGATTTCAACCCCAACTCGTACTATCTCCTTTTCGGATTTGGGTTTGACATTGAGTGCAGGATGGAGCTGGAGATAGTGAGTACATGAGCCGTATAGTAGCTGTCAAGGTTTCGGGTGATTTTATCCTTGCTCCCCGGTTTAGTTTAAAGTGAAAAGCGACGGTTAACGTAGACGTTGGTTGAACTTGGTTCGATTGTATTAACACCGATCATAATTATTGTCATTGTGATCCAATCTTGAATTCATCCCTAGAGCAAACCTGCAATCCAACAAATCAGACACAGTATTCACCCTGTGGGACATCCCCTGCCTACTCTGTACACGTACACATCTAGGAACATGGACCTCTGGACATGCGGAGTACTCCCCTCCCTATTCCCTTACCCCCACTTTACATTTACCCCGACCCCAAATCCAAAACCAAAATGAAGTTCCCTGCAGTGGAAAGCTCACCCCATGCCAATCGCACGCAAATCCAATGTCAATCCCAGGCTCATGTGGACCCCTAATTCCGTACAGACCAGCGTGGAGGGATATCGAAAGAAACCCCTATCTCATTGGAAAGAACGACACCGGATTATGGGCCCATGGCTTGTCTCGCGTGTCGCGTGGGTCGGGGATCCTGGATCTACAATACAATATTTTTTTACAGCTGAGCTCAGCTCAGCTTACAGCTTACGGGGCGGACGGAGTACATATGGAGTACAAAGTCCATAGCGCGAATTACTGTTCGATTCTCGCTCTCGCATTCGCGGGTAGTGGAGATTGTGGAGCACGTTATTGTATTGTACTACATGTATTGTAGGGTGGAGTTTATACCCGTGGGATTGGTGGGGTTACTGTAATTGTGGTGGGTTTGGTGTTGTGGGTTTAGTGGAGGTGTGGCTTGGTACGAACTCGTCTGTCATTTCTGATTGCGTTGTTGATCTGTGCCCGTACTACTGAATTAGCCTGTGAGGGGAAGTTTGGAAATGAAACGGTCGGTTGGTGGGGCTTGTGGCTTTTTGATGATGCTCTTAGTCGCGTCTTAGTTTTTGACTTTGCTGTTCATGTTTATGTTGGTTTAGGGCAGGTATTGAGGGGTATTATTGTTTTTCATTAGGGGCTTACATATGTGGCTTGGGATAGGGGTGCTTGCTCTATTTTGGGTTGGGGGTACGTTTGTGGCTTATTCTTGTGGTTACGGCTCTGCACTGCATGTATGGGTAGTGTAGGATTGCACGCCATTTTCCAGGTTATCGAGGAGGGATAGAGTCACAGTGACGGATACTCTATTGTAGTAGATCTTCTAAAGGTCATTTTGATTACAATTAAATGGTGTAGTACAGTACAGAACCAAAATAGACAGCAAAGGCCTCACAGTTCACATGAAAAAGAAAACGCATATCTAAAATGAGCACAACAACTCATGATAACAGTGATAGATTAGACGTATCCTCGATTCTCATGATTGATGATTCTCATCGAGAAATGCTAGACAACTGATCGGACTACTGAACCGAAGAGACAACTACTTGATCGGGCTGATAATACTGTTACTGTCACTGGGTTGTGATCAATCCCCTCCTTCACAAAAGCATAGAAAGTGTCATTGAGTGCCACATAGGAAAGCATCAAAGTGTATACTGTTTCAGGACTTTTATTCGGCCTCCTTTGCCTCTCCCGTCTCGCCTCGACTGCTGCATGTTCGAGTGCCGCAACTCGCCTTGCGACTTAAGTCCTTTCCTGCATCTTATACATGCGACATTTCCTTCGTCGACAATTTTTTTTCTGTCTTAGATGGTCGGCAATACAATTAACATGGCAGAGTTAAATAAAAGATGGGTTACCTCTCAAGCACAACCAGCCAAACTGTTGACTATTGACCAACCACGCCCTAACTATCATTAAAAGGCAAGAGTGGATTCTCTTGGTTACGCTTTGTATGGCGCCCACAGATCTTGAGCAGAATGCGATGGTTGGTTGTACGACTCCTGGAGCTCGGAAAGCCAAGTCTACGTACATGAGCCTGAGGAAATAGCCGATTAACCCCCTAGACAAAACCACTCATCACCTTTCATTGCAGTGCAGAATAAATGAAAAACTACAGAAAAGAATGCAAAAATAAAAACATACAACAGTAAGGATTCGCTAGTGGTCACCCACCTAACTACTAACTTACCGGCGTGTGGCTTAAGTACGGCTGAGCGGACGGGAAGCCCTGTTCTCCACACCCTGTGGTCGTATGTACTAGATGTAGTGCTGAAAAGAAATATATAGGCCAAACATGGTGGCCGCTTTATCGTCGCGCGACTAGTATTGAGAAGGGCGAGTGCACAATAGACAGGGTGAAAGCGAGGGATTCTCATCCTCCGTCACTCTTCCACCACACATTATCAGACTCCAACTCAGGATTGGCCAGATCAACGGCGAGGCTGACTTGAACGTCGCCTTGGGCCAAAGTATTGTGCTTATTGTCTAGGCATCAGCATACTCACGTGGAAACCAGCGTTTTTGTTGCATGAGGCACGATGTTGTGAGATTAGGCCATGTATGCGAGCTTGTTCAAATCGCTACTTAGGGAGCATAGCAATTCAAGACCTATTGTCAATCTCATCGGTGTAGCAGTACAGTGATATTCGAAATAATTTCTACCTCTACTCAGACAGTTTTCCAGCACCCCACTAGAGGAGCACTATTCCCAATCAGCAATATATATACAGCCTCGACGAAGGTTGTGAAGAGGTTTGAATTGCTGTCGAAGTCCACCATAACATCCGGTACACCTGGCGTAAACATAGAAGATGCCAAAGGGCTAGGTCCATCAATACAAGATATTGGTTTCGTCATAGATATGCAGAGCGCTCCCTGACTTATGTTAAAATGTTATAGACGAAATCATAGGGATGATAACCCATCTACGAATGGCTCCCCAATTCACGGGACTCGCAGGATCTTGATTCAAGGGCTCCTCCCAGAATACCTCCATATTTGTGTCCGTTGCTTTACTTTTCTCAACAATTTGAAAAGTGTCGGTGGGATTTTCAGGATCATGGCCATGGTCCCGAGATTGAGAGTTTTGTAAGCCTGTGTCCACCCGATATGACTTCCTCTCCCTCTGCACCTAGGTAGATCGGCAAATACAAGAGTAAGTTCTTGAATGAAGTACTGAGCTTTTTTGGGTGCGTTGAAAATAATTATATATGCCGTACCAGCTTCTAGGCCTAGCTCCTTTGATAATTTCATCGTAAGCGCAGGTCGCGGTCCACTTTTATAAATAGCGACTTGAGAACATGGTAATTCCACGGGATCCTTCCCCACCCTAGGAGTGCCGCACGAGGATTAAGTGAGTCCGACTAAACACAAAAGACAAATCATACTCGGGTTCGGATTTCAATGATTGCCTCTCAATGCACGCAGGCCTCGAACCCCATGGCCAAAGGAAGAAGTCTAAGGGACACATTGAATTGTGAATTTGTTTCACTCCCGATTGCCCAAGTGGAGGCGGAAAACAAGCCAACTGTATTCGTATCTTCGACTAGATAGCCTCGTTTCCTTATATATACAAGCCTTAACATTCTTCACGATCCTCGGGTGTTTCCACTCTTTCCAAGGTCCTGAGATGCACCCAGTCTGGTTTGCTTATAATTCCCCGACAATTCTCTGGCAGATACCAGATTGCCCAGGCGCCCAGGACCACGACCATCTGGTAGCCGTCAAAAGCATAGGTCGGCCATTCATTTTCGACCAGAAATGGGATTCCACCAGCCATTGTCAAACGCATCACATTGCGGCCGAGACCAATGATAGAAATAGAGAGGCCGAAAAGCTGATTCCAGGATCTCCAACGAGAATATAGAGTTTGGCTAGGATAAGTCGGGTCACGACGCAATCGAATAGACATGTAGATGTTCTCTGCGAAAGTAAATGCCCAGAAAAGGGTCTGCGCAACGTAGATGGAAATGGTCATCTTGGTTGCTAAGGCAATGGTAATGCGGGAATTGGATGCCACAACCATTATACCTCCAATGGCCTGCAGGACAATCAAGATCGCATTCATGGTGGAATAGCCTATCCGTTGCCATGTAATTGGAAACCAGCAAAACTTTCCAGCGCCGAGTGCTTGGTAAAACTCGGTCTGCACCAAATTGACAGAGATCATGATCGAGCTTGGCCCAAGGAGCAAGAGGACTGATTGGATGCCATAGGCTGCATGATTACAGGAGTCTTGTGTCGAGAATGTGCGTGCGGTATAGCCTGCTAGTTGCACTAGTGGAAGTCAGACAATTGTTGGCCACCATCGTTGATGTTTACTCACTGAATGCACCAAGCACGAAGAATATGTTAATCCAACGTTTGGTCTGGATCACTCGATAGCAGTGGATAGTCGCCAATCCCGAGAAACTGATGACTGCGATCAATGCAAGAGGGAGATTCACAGTATACAAGTATAGTTCGCATTGTCTAGACGCCATGGCCAGATGATTCCTGTGAAGTGGCGAGATTGAGAATCGACTGGAGAATGGATGGGCTGTCAGTGATCCCGTTGTAGGAGTGTTTATAAAGACAGAAGCCTAGGCAGCCATTTTGAAGAGATGAGCCTGAAATAATCCAAAATTCGGGGGCTTCGACTTATCACTAGTACATACACGCATGACTGCCATCTTTGGAGACGAACTCTGCAAGGATTAATGATCGACAGGCTTGACCGAGCCTTAGCTGACCCCAATAACGTTTGCATCAAGCTAGGCTTAAGCTTTTACCATGGAAAGCTCGAGTATTGGCCATAGTCTCAAGATAGGGTTAATCCTTCAACTTTCGACTGCTTTTCGTGCCCAGTACGGTATACTTTTGCTTGGCATTTATTTGCGGAAGAACGGGTCGAGTTCGGCTTCGGGATCGGCTTCGGGTTCGTATTCCTTCTTGACCGTGCCGATCAATCATACCTTTTAATTGTTAATTTTTTAGATTGAAGGTTTAGGAGCGGTGCGGGACTATGCGTCCTTTGAACGGAGACATGGGATTATGACAAAGTACATAAGCTGTCCTGGTCTGGACCAAGACCGGACTCGTCTAACACAGCGATCGACAATGCTTCAATCAATCACTCTGTCGCTGGACCCAAAGTATGCACTAGGGCTGGCTGTTTCCTCGGTATTCTATGTCTCCTGAGTTAAACAGTACAAGTTTTCTAACCGCTGCAGTTGTCTGTTTACTTTCTGACAAAAGTCATCTACAACGTTTACTTCCACCCATTGAGCCGTTTTCCGGGCCCAATCTCCCACGCCATTTCTCGGCTCCCATATTGCTATCGTGCAACCAGCGGCACTCTGCCCTTTGATATGCTGAAATTGCACAAACGCTACGGTAATATTGTTCGCATCGCACCGGATGAACTTGCCTTCTCACACCCCGATGCCTGGAAGGACATCATGGGCCACAAGAATGGAGCACCCGAGATGGGCAAGGCTGCCTGGTTTTACCGACCTATTGAGCAGCCTTTGCACATTGTCAACGAGGACCCTGGAGAGCACAAACTTTTACGTCGTCAGATGGCCCACGGCTTCTCCGAGAAAGGAATGCGAGATCAAGAGCCTATGATCAGAAAGTATGTTGATATTTTGCTGAAAAATTTACAGGAGTTCGCCGAACTTGACGAACCCGTTGTACTTTCTGACTGGTATAATTTTACCACCTTTGACATCATTGGGGATCTGGCATTCGGCGAGCCGTTTGGCTGTCTGGAAGATTCGAGCTACGACGGCTGGATCCAAAGCATTTTTGATTCAGGGCGTCTGGGTACAATCCTGCAAGCACTGTCATTCTTTCCTTTGATAAAAAAGCTCTTGCTGTCCTTTGTCCCTCAATCCCTGAAAGACGCCCAGCATAAGCATACCAATCTAACCAAAGCTAAAATGCTGCGCCGGATGTCTATAGCCGAAAAACGTCCCGACCTCATCGAAGGTCTGTTGGTAAAAAAGGATGAGCTGGTACGTCATAGCCACCAAAAGTGCCTAGAATTTTTGCCTCTTCTAATAAATATAGGAGCTCAATCTGGAGAAGCTGGTTGCAAATGCTGAAATCCTGATCATTGGTGGCTCTGAAACCACGGCATCGTTATTGAGTGGAGTGACTTACTTACTCCTCACAAACCCCGAAGCCTACGAGAATTTGAAGGGCGAAGTTCGCTCAACGTTCCAAAGCCAGGATGACATCAACCTGATAAGTGTAAACAAACTTTCATATATGCTTGCCTGTCTCGACGAGGGCATGCGTATGTATCCTCCTATCGCCAATGGTCTTCCTCGGGTCTGCCCAACAGGGGGATCTACTGTCCTGGGCGAATACATTCCACAGGATGTAAGTGTTTTCATCATTTGTCTAAACATCGTAATCGATCATGTACTAACACGTGGAGTAAAGACATTTCTCTCAATCCATCAATGGGCTCTTTACCGCCGTCAAGAATATTTCAGTAAACCTAACACATACCACCCCGAACGCTGGTTGGAGAGTCCTAAGTTTGCGACCGATTGTCGAGATGTCTTCCAGCCATTCCATCTTGGCCCCAGAAATTGTCTCGGAAGGAAGTATGTGGCCATTTCGACTTTATTATAAATATGCTAACCATATCCCAGTCTTGCATATAGTGAAATGCGCCTCATTCTTGCTCTAGTAATTTTCAACTTTGATATGAAGATTGCAGATGAAAGCCAGGACTGGATTCTACAGAAAAATTTCTTGATGTGGCAGAAGGGCCCCTTGAAGGTGTGTTTAACACCAAAGGCACAGAGCTCTTCATGACTTCCTATGAATTTACTTTGAAACAAATATATCAAGCGGTGTTTGTGACTATTATTGAAGTTCATTTTAAAGGTCGAATCTTTTGTTCTTTTTTGGTTTTGTGGCTACTCTCGACCTCGCAAAAGTCCAAGCGACCCATTTATGGACATGTCCAAACCTGTCCACGGGCGGCTTTGGATACCCTTCTGGGGTAGATACCCTACTGGTGTCCAGCTCGTGGATACTAAAGCAAGTAACTTTGTATAATTTAAGTGATTTCATTCACTCAATAGGCGGTAAAGACCAAGCCTATTATATCGCATTAATTCTTTTCGCAACAATAAACAGCAACACTAGAAGACCGAGAATAAGCCCCAAAATACTAGGCCACCAAGCCAGGTGTTTCACATATTGTCCAGGAACTTCTATGTTCATTCCAAAAAGACCGGTTATGACCTGCATCATGACCACGACAACCCCGACAACCGTCAGTCGGCTTAGGGCGGCCGCGATCTCGTTGCGGATGCGCGTGGAATCAAATGATATCTGGGCCAGGTACTTGGATTGCAAGCGTGACAGCATCTGCTCCGCATTTGCCAAGTTTGATAACATGGTCAAGATGTGGTCCTGGATATCACTCAAGTGGACTCCAACTTCAGTAGGCGCAGCCCCAAAGGTTCCACAGTGACGAGCAAAGCACTGAATGGCATCGGTCTTCTCGTGTAAAAGTTGGCGGATGCGAATGACCTCTTTGCGAGATTTGAAGATGCTCTGGAGGGCCAGACCAATGTCGTCGGGCCGTGTGACTGACACGCTGTCCTCCATGACTTCCAAGCCAGCTTGGATGCGGTTTATGAAGGGGGCAAAGCCGTCTACAATATCGTCGCTGGGGTTCGTTAGCATAAGGTTCTATATCGATGTGGTTATGACAGCGTCCTACATTAAGGCATAGCAGATCCAGTCACTGGTCAAAGGAAAGTGGCTTCGTTGCTCTTTAATGCGACCCAGCACATTTTGTGTGTGTTGGCTGTCATCAAAGGAGAAGCTCAGTATGCCTCCGCGAAAGACAATGGCGTAAACACTAAGCGACGATGCCCGGACACCTGCCTCAAGCTGCTTTGGCGGGCGCAAGGAGACGAAATAATAGGGACCGAAGAGCTCGGTTTTCTCACGAGGCTCGCGGATCTTGATATCCTCGGTAGTCAGCGGGTGGATATCAAGCATGCGCGATAACGACTCGATATCCCCGTCGGTTGGCGATGTAACATGCAGCCACCACAATCCACTGGGCATATCGGTCCTTAGAAGAAGATCGAGGGTGGGGTATGTGGACTTCAATGACTGAATGCTGGGGGCATGGGCGATCACGTCGAGCTGGGTACTAAAAAGACTGCAATGCGTTGTTTCGGGGGTGTCCTGCTTTTCCAGGAGAGCAGAGTCTCCATTACCAAGGGCGACTACAGGCGCTTCGGCGCGGATGCCCGTTGTCGAGCCCATGGTGGAATATAACGAAGCAGCTTTTGTTGACTCATGTAGAATGTGAGAGTAGTATAAATGACGTGTGTTGAGGAAAGAAAAAAAAATGAGGTCCTAACGCGATAATCCAAAGTCTCCTGTCTTGGCATTGTGGCGGAGTACTCCCTGCGTCCACACATTGTAAGGAAACCCTCCTGTCTATTCAAATGATTGAAGTGCCTACACGGCTAGGCAAATCCATCAGCTTATATTATACTTATACAATAGTTTGTCGGTCAGTTAATGACAAGTTTTGAGAGGCAGGCTCAGGTATTAAGTCAAAAGTCATACATTTTTGTCGGTACAAAAGCTGGATGGGCCAATCAGCGTACGTTAAGAACCACTGACTTTTATATGGGGTATGATTATATAATGGACACGGAACAACAGATCCTCCGGGTTTATATAGTCATCTGTAGACATTAACGTTATAACGTAATTCACATGCGAGCTGGACACACAAGCGAGCTGGACACCCCACCTAATCAATCAATTTTAAATGCATTTATCTCAACCAAAACGCCATTAAATTCAATGAATTAAACTCGAGATCTATCAGGACATGTAGTCATTCTATGACCCTGAATTCCACAAACGCTACACTTCGGTAAGGCTCTCGTACGTGGCTGAGAAGGTGTCGGAGCTAGCTCTGCCTCGCGGGGCAATGGTGCTAAAACTGCTTGCTCTGACTGCGCTATTAGAGTAGAGGCCTCTAAAACTGAGAGGCCTTCTCCGGAGGGTATTTGCCTTGTAGAACGAGCCCTTTTTTGCCTCTTCTTCTCGTTTTCAGCGCGTAAATCGCTTACTTCTTTCTCGAGTAAGGCAGCTGATTGCATCGTGCTTTGACAGGCTTTTAAAACCTGATTAATCGCGGAATTTAGCGGACTCGGTGGGCTTTTTGAGCGTTGTTTAAGTAAGGCTTTTATTGAAGAAGCTTATTTTTGTAATTGGACGTAGTTCGAGGGCGTTTTCGGCGACCACTCGCTTCCCCGGCTCGAGGGGGGTGTCGGGGTTCGAAGCTGAATATCAAGCTTTGAAATCACTCGATCGGGGTTATACGGTATTAGACCGGCAGCGGCGAAGCTATTTTTAATAGTCTTTGATTCAAATGTCTCGTTTCGGGCAGATAGGTAGGCTTCGAGGAATTCTAGTTTATCGACGTGATTGATATTCAGCCGAACTTTCGATTCGACTAACCGACCGTACGCGCGCTTTAACCCCGCAAAACAGCCAATATCGAGAGGCTGTAAAAGGTGAGACGAGTGCGGAGGCATACAAATTGCGATAATATTGTTCTTCTCGCAAATTTCGTCGAATTTCGCGGTTAAATAACTTCCGTGGCCGTCGAGTATCAAAAGTCTATACTTCCCTTTCGTACGCGAAGAAGTAGACGGAATAAACTGCTTTTGAAGCCACCGAAGGCTAATTTCGTCGGAAGTCCACCCGTTCGAACTAACATCGAGTCTCCAATCAAGCGGAAGGCCGTCGAGCCAAGATTCAATAAGGACTTTACCCTTAAAAATAATATACGGAGGAAGCGCCCACCCTGACGCGTTTATACACTCGATTGTAGTCACCCACGCGCGATTTCTAGGCTGTAAAAGCGATCTCCGACCGTAGAATTCCTTTCTCGTAATAACTTTTGCGGTCGCAATTAAGCCCATTGCAAACCCGGTCTCGTCAAAGTTATAGATATCGTCGAGATCGATACCGTACGTTAGAATCGTTTTTTGAACGAGAGAGAACCATTCAGAAATAATTTTTGGGTCTTCGCATTTTGCTCGCTGATAATCGTAGCGTCTCGAGAATCGGGCCGATAGGTCAGAATACCTTTTAACGAAATTCGTAACCCAATTTTGGCCGACCGAAGGAGGAGGGATAGATCCACGCGCCGCGAGTAGTAAGTCTGCTATTTCTCGTACAGTAGAAGGCCGAGGGGCTGCTCCACGAGAATCCATTGAGAGAATCCATTTTCGAAGCGATTCCTCCTCAATTTCAGTCAATTTGTATGAATTTGCGCGAGATTCAACGCGGTTTTTAACCCCATTAAGGCGTGTAGCGAGAGTTGAATTCGGTACTTTGAATTGGCGTGCTGCTTCACGAATAGAGGTAAATTCTTGCTTCCGAATAGCCTGAATAGCTAATAAGATCCTACCCTCTTGCTCCGTACGTTTTTGAGAGGATTGAGTACGAATTGGTGGCATAGTGGGTGGTTAAAGAAGAGAGATCTAATTAACTAACGCGTTTTTGGTGGGGTGTCCAGCTCGCTTGTGTGTCCAGCTCGCATGTGAATTACGTTATATATTCTTAAATTCAGTCACACTCTTGTTTGCGTGACGTGACAGTATACATAGATTTTGGACTGATGAATCTACATACATTGTTCCCTCGCTTCTAGTCATATGTAAGCTCCCACTAGATGATGCAAATACATGAGTTTCTCCAATGAGTGTTTCAAATTTCCTTCGGTAAACTTTAAGCCTTCGCGGTGTAGGGCTGTGAAGGCTGTTACGTTTCCATATGAAGAGGCTGGAGTGTGCCAAAAACTGCAAAATCGCAATCTCGTGTACTTGGCTGGCAGTGTGTTGACGACCTGACGACCTGACGGTCTGACGGAGATAGGCCCCGGTCCTCGACTCTTTGGGTTCTTTCTTCCATTGAATGTGAGTCTATTGTCTGAAATGTTCTCTCTCATATGACAGCAAAAAGCAGAGCTGCGTACCTTAACCAATATGGTTTTCTCCTTGACCAGCAAGTCGGCCATGTCATTTCCAAGCACGGAGATATAGCGCAGCTATCGTAAATCACATAAGAGATGGCGCTTCTTACTCTAGATCCATCCTCTTGACCCCTGATATAAGTCATGCTGTTTTCCCAGGGCACAAAGTTGCTATGTCTTCTAGTCCGAGGCGCTGTAGTCGGATCAAGGCTTTATAACGCGTCGGTCGCTGCCATTCCTCTGGTTGTACGAGGGTGTTCGGGAGCACCCGTATGTGGGTCCATCATCCTTCCCGCTCGGTGCACAACAATAATTTTATATCGCAATTGTATCAGCCACGTTTTGAGACGCGCTCCAAATGCCTTGACGAATACCAGCAAGTACAGCTGAATTCGAAAGATTTACTATACCCTGTGTTATAGTACTTCCCGTCCTCAAGCTACAGCGAAGTGCCACGATGCCGAAAAATACAGAGGCGCGGTCCAAATACAGTGATCCAATCTTATACACTGAAATTCTCAGCCATACAGTTCTTCCCGAAAATGACACCTCACCACCACACTCTTCTCTTCAATCGTTTCTCGAACCCTAATGTCAAGGCATATTGCACCATAATAGAGATAGACTCGGAATATTAATAATTCTGTAAGGTTACCCGTACAGCATTTTACTCTCAAGGTTACTTAAATTCATGTATCGTCACTGTATAGAGTAGCCACTATAGCTGGAACTTTCCATATTGACGCGCACAAGTCATACTGCCATGAAAATACTGTATCTTCACCCGCAGAGAATGACTTGTTGCGATTGAATACACCAGCATCATCTGCGTAGCAATGGTGTCAACGAAGACCACAAGATTTGATTATCACAAAAGTACGACAATAAAGTGGTGCTGGACCAACGCCCACCGGGGTAGAGGGCAACTGTCTGTGATGGCGTGCCTATTCCTACTGATACAGCTTGCCATGACCAATGGGGCCAAAGGACTTCTCAAACCAGGAAAAGCGAAATGAAAAAGTCGCTTCAGTGACTACCTGGCCAAAAATGAAACAGTGGCATGATAGAAAAAGTATGGACGAACGGATAGTGTCTGGTGTTGCGTCCATGGCGCACAATGGGGCTCCAAACCATAAGCCTGTTATCAAATTAAAGAAAAGCGGTCGAGCAGTAAACTTTCGTATCAGGCATAGACCATGGGTTTTACGAGGGGCAAAATGCTGCGAGGGGCAAAACGCAGCGCTAAAAACAAAGAGAAAGAGAAAGAAAGATCGTAATGTAGAGCGAGTGAAAGTGTCACATATAGTTGAGGGCACACCAGGTCTGCTTTAGGTGGACAAGGGTAATGAGTGAGCGCTACACATCTCTAGCGACGGCCCAATCTGCGAGCATCCGCGACACAACCCTGTACAGAGTACAGTAGAACTCGCAGGGGCTCACTGTATCCTTAATTTCAAGTGATGCGGCCAATTGTTTCACTTTTGTCCCGCAAGATGGAGTTTACAGCTCTGCTTACTATATGCCCTTTCTGTGCCTTTGTGTAACCGGGTGAACAGGGGTGTGTTGTTAGTGCCGATTCAAGCGCCCAACATCTGGCCCTCATTTCTTCGAAGCACCTGACGTGGATTGATTCACTGCAGGTTGTCCTTGAAACTCTCTCAGTTGAGAATCATAATAGGTAGCAGTCGATATTTGTTCTGAACGAGTGAACAATCATGGGGAGGGAAAGTACGACTCTCTTAGAGTTCCGGGGCTGCCCGTCGGGCATGACCCGTCCTTTTCGGCCCCCACAGGGCTGGAGGCTTGGCGGGCCGCAAAGATGCATGTACTCGGGTGGACGGGTTACTCTTCCCGCAATGTACTACAAGCCAACGACCACCGTATCTCCCCGGTATATATCGGAATTGCATAATCTCAAATATGAAAATGGTCATTTGATATCAATTTATCCGATCATGTTGGGCGTAAGACCATGTTCGATGGACGGTCGGCATCTGCACTAAAATATTCGCGCCGGCGCCAATGTAGCTCCAAATCAATCACGCAAATCAATCACACAGTTCGGTTCGCAAATATGCTATTCAATTGGCAGCTAACATAAGCGATGGCCCACTCTCTCGCGGGGCTCACATATTCTTTGTTATAAGGCCTAGTCTCGGCGTTCAGCCGCCATCTCATGTGATTGCCTTTGTGCCTTTGTGCTTTCCCCTGAGCCATCAGTAGGCCATATTTCACTTTAATCCTCACATCCATGCTATCAAGCCTCAGTGAATATGCTCGCGATAGCCCTCAGTAGCGGCCGTGAACGGCGCCGCTTAGCGTTACTTGGATCATTTGTGCTAGTAACAATACTCTTGCTCGGGTACGAATCTTGGCTACCAATCTCAACTTGCGAATTTCGTCAGACAGCCACAGTCCTCACTGCTGCCAAAGAAAAGCAATCCCTGAGTCTTCCTGCCGAATACACCACCCTTCCTGCAGAATCAGCATTCTGTGCAGAGAGGTTTGGAACCACATTCCTCAACAATCTTCGTGATTCGGCGACACAATACTGCAACCAGTCGTCGGCTCTCACATGCTTTCATACTTGGACTGTGGGCGATCGATGGGATTCTTTCTGCTTCGGAAAGGGGGTCAATTTTAACCACGACGGAGGTAAATTCCACCTACAGTGCGATCTGGCCCAAAAAACAGACTCGGACTTGGAGCAAACAGTGTTTGAGAACGCTCCCAGGTTTCCAAGATTCGATAAACTTCAGAAATACTGGTATGATACTGGGCCACCATTAGTATTAGATGGCTGGGTCCAAATGGATCCTGAAATCCAATCATCCCTGGAAAAGACTGAGAACTACACCATATTGGTCAAACGAGAAGGCGCCACCAACCATTGGCACTCATTGATGGAGATATATTCCATGACATTGAGTATGGACGTTTTACAAATCACACCTCAATCGACAGAGTCTACTCCCTTCTACATCGCTGAACGTGACATACCAAACACACAAGTCGTCATCCTTGATGACCACCCAGACGGACCATATTTTGATATGTGGTCGCTCTTTACAAAGAAGCCAGTTCTCCGTTTCAAAGATTTGACGGGGAACACAAGATTTGAAAATCTCATTGTGCCACTTGCCGGTGCAGGAAATACGCTATGGCAAGGTGACTGGAAGATTAACTCTTGCGAAAAGTCAAAAATCCTAGACACATTTGTCAATCGGGCTTTGACTTTGTACGGGTTGAATGATACCAAGCCGCGACAGAGTGAGAAAATTACTTTGACGTTCATCTATCGAGTTTCCGGGCGAAAGCTCGCCAATCATACTGAATATCTAGAGCAGCTGCAACAAAAGTTTCCTTTGGTGAATGTTCGATCGATCGACTTCGCCGCAATCTCCTACAAAGATCAACTGAAGATCATTCAAGAAACTGATATACTGGCGGGTGTCCATGGAGCAGGCCTCACACATGGTATCTTCTTGTCTCCTGGATCTGCGATGGTGGAGATCCTGCCACCTGGGCTAAATCACAAGGGCTTTCGTAATGTTGCTTCGCTTAGGGGCCATGATTATTTCAGCGCACATGCGGAAAGTCCCAATTCAGCCCACGGCGGTGACTGGCACTCCGAAGATGTCTACCTGGATATTGAGCGGTTTATTGATGTGATGAATGTAGCCATTAAGGCAATGTATAACAAGGGCATGCGAAGTTATGATGTTTGAACATATAAATTTTGCCCCAAGGGGCTTTTTCCTTCTCGACCTATCCCGCTTCGAGCCTGTTAATTTTCAATCAAATCTTGACAAAATGAAATTCAAAAATTATCCAATAAAATACTACATAATTTTTCCTTTTTTAGCGTGGTAGATTCGGTCGCACTACCTGGGCTGAGCTGGCCACGGCAACGCCTGCTAAATTGCCAAGACAAGCTTATCGTCATGATTTGGATTTTGGTGGGATTTCTGGTATTGTTGCGTCTTGTTTCTAACCAGGTCAAGAAGCCATCTCAATGTCGCGGCCTGTTCATTTTCCAATGGCCGAAACCCCCACCAGCAAGAGCATCACCAGGTAATCGAGACAAACGCTGTTCAGCGTGGGCGATCAATGTTTTGCAGATATCTTTGGCTATATGGCCTAATGGGCACGCGGACGCAGGGAAGCTATCTGGTACTTTCGTTATTGAGGATTATTAAGTACGGCGCCCCAGAGGCGATATATATGCACTGGGAATTGCAAATTGGCCTTTACCTCTACGAACTGCACGTCGATAGAGATATGGAAATAACATGGGTATATGTGGATGCGACGCGATGGGGCTCATGAGGTCCCATACCCCGGAAAAAGTCGTCGGTGAGACGTCCGCGACAGATTCTGAGCTTGCAAGTATGGGTAAGCTGCGCCCTACGCTTCCGATAAGTACTCGGCTCTGGGAAAATCCAACGTATTTAGCGGAGAGAGTGTTGTCGCAAATTAAATCTAGCGGCTTGGGATCTTCTTCCCCCAAGCAAATTATAACTTTGTGTGGAAAAACTGTCACAGAGTCGCACTCAGGATTCTCCAGGCCTCTATCTGCTTTGATATTGGCAAAGCGGATCCATTCTAGTCGCTTGCTTTGGCGTGCCGGAGAAAGTTGAAAGCTGTCTCGAGCCACCATGGCGTTAAGGAAGTGTATGATTCTCCAAGTTCGTGCATATGAACAGCCACAGACATGTGGAGGGGCAAGCTTCGAGAAAAGCATTTCGAAGGATTACTGGCTGACCACGATATGGCGCTGTCAGAGACGGAAAGTTCGGAAGATGGTGATTTAAGAAAACAATGAAGTCCCTTAATACAACATTCTCCAATTGTTTGAGCCTTTGGAGACCCTCAAGAAGCTTGAGGATAATGCTCTGATCAGATTGCCGCGCCCGAAGGCTGGGTCAGGAAGTGGGTTAAGAAGCACCACCTGTCCATGTCCACCATACGCTTCATCTGCCGTGGCAGTGCCATTTCCAGTAACTGTCACACGGAACAAATAATCCAGGACAGGGTGTTGGAATATTGCGACCATGGGTTCTTCTTGGTAAACAAGATCATTATCTGGAGATGAAGCAGAGGGCAAGTCGAAGTTGCAAAGTCTTATACTAAAGTCTGTATTATCGGAAAGACCAGCATATTGAACAGAAAATGTCAAATTTGATAGAGTCTGTCTCAAGAGATCGAGCTTTGCTAAAGGGACACGCCAGTGCCGCTATTCGGACGAAATCACCGGTTAAGGAAAAGCCCAATATGTGTACCACTAGTACTGAGAGTGCTTCACCCTAAGTTCTACCAGGGAGAAAACTGTATAATAATTATTATAAGAAAGAGTACAAACTTTTGAAGATGGTAGGTCGATAGGAGCGGAACAACCATATGAAAGAGCTTGTGACCCCCAGTAGAATATATGTGAGAGCCATAGCACGACTGACTATGCAGTTAGGCGCCAATTTGGAAACCCAAAATGCGGTTCAAAACCCGAGCCGCAACACCGAAGGTGTCTGTGGCGACTAGCTTGGTTAAGCATCAAAGTGGCCCGAATACAGTGGCGCGATCCAATCTAACACGTAACTAGTCTACTAGTACGCACTCATTTCCCCACTGCTTCATATAAATATTTATTTGCATATAGATCTCATTGTTAGATACCGAGAGTCTTCATATATTTCAGTTACGCTACGCTAATGCACACTAAGGCAGAGGGGTAGCATTGATTAGAGATTGTACTTATTCAAGGATATTCCGAAGGCCGTTTCCATAAGACATCCTTCAAATTTCTTGTATTGAAATGTAATTCAGTCTCTCAATTATGATTTTCGTCTCTAGTCCTTGTTTTGTGATGCCAGTCTTAGAGGGGTGTGACAGTGCATGACTGCGGAGGTCAAACAGCTGAAATGAGGGTTTCATCTAGCAAAGCCCAGATTCACTAGTTCACTGATTCACTGCGCCCATTGAAGCCCGCTTGCCGCCTTTTTCGGCTGATTTGCGTTGGCGCATCGACCTACTGCAGTAGTTGCAGGATTAGGCCCCCACAGAGGCCATTGATTTGATCACGCTTCCACCCAGTTCAGCCTCGTGTAACGAGAAACAAATTAGGCAATAGGGGAGGAAGCAATTGCATGAGTGGGCGCAGCTTGGCGAGCGGGCCGTGTGGGGTACGGCCGTTCCTTGGTGCCATCAGCTCAAAAGTCGTTCTGCCACCTATTCAGTAATATTACTATTTCTGTACATGCGAAATACATCACTACCATGTACGATCTTCCTAATCTCGTAATTCTAGAGCGTTGGGATATAGACTTAGCTAAATAAACTACTACTAAATTTGTTATAGTAGAGTGTTAGGTTAGATATAGGCTATGTTACTTGTTCGAAAGGATTGAATATTCCGTACGCGAAACTTCCAAAACGAGCGTACCTTGGATATTATTTTTACCTTCACCTTTTCTTCCATCTGTTCTTCCACCGCTTTTCTCACCTATTTCCCCCTGTTTTTCAGTACCTTGAATTATTGGTTATACTCTAGTTACCAACAATGGATAAAGGCGGTACCTAACGCGGGATTTCGAGCCGATGGCACCAACAGCCTGCCGTAGTATGGCACGAAACGTATACCTTCAGGGTTCTTTTGGCCCCCGCGTCTCGAGTGGGTTTTGACATTCTTTCTATGGCCTGATAGGCAGTGTGCCTTCAGGCGGCCCCGTGGGAAGTAACAGGAAGTCCGGCTCGTCGCCGTAGCGGAACTACTGTAAACACCGCCCATCCAGACAACAGGGATTATCTTGTCTCAATGTCAGCTTCACACCTTGCTTTAGTGGGCGACTCCTAATCAGTACATACGTACATAAATTCTCACATAGTAGCCGTGTCTCATATGGACACCCTGTAAAGAACCCCTCATCTGCGGGGATTTCTTGCATCACATGTATTTGATCTCCTATTTCGAGTCCTAGATTCTCATGGAATTAGATTGCATCCCGAGTTTAATCCAGGCAGCAAGTGAAAAAGATGTTCGGCACTATCCGATACGACAAGGACACTGATAGTCGTGAGCATGTGGAGCTCCAAAGAGCCGATGGGATTGAGGCCAGAGGTTATACCCCGATTGCCTGTGACCGCTGTCGTTCGCGAAAGGTCAGTGAATCTACATCACCTTCTTTCTACCACTGCAATCTACATTTACTCTTCACAATGAACAATTATATAATTCCTAACCGCAGCAGAATGCTGCTGACATGCCTCCAGCTAAAATGTAGCGGTGACAAAGATGGCTGTGGAAGATGCCAGACTGCCTCAGTTGCCTGCACTTATCGAGATGTCTTGTCGAACAAGGACAGCAGGAAAATGTCTAAACGGGTGTGCACTTCGAACAACCAGTTGCCTATTCCGAGCCCACGTCGCGCGTCCAGCCGCAGCCAACCGCAGCCCTTGAGCACAGAGGTGGACCGAGAGCGTACGCGAAGTACGTCGGACTCTGAGCCGTTAAATTGGCTATCCTCCTCCTCCGATGCATTTACGGAATCACCCAACACGTGGGTGAGTTCGATCTTGCCAATACAACCTACGTTCTCTGAAATGATAAATGAACGGGCAACTCTCGGACAGGATATATCATGTGGGATGTCTGGGGTTCCAGAAAGCAATGATCCCTCCTCGACAGACGTGGAAAATATCTTTGACGCAGTCCTCGATACGCAGGCGGCCTACCACCATACAAACGTCCCGTCTCAGCAGGCCTTTCTTAACGGAAATACTCCAGAGAAACGGGCAGGACGGACCTCGCTGCCAGGAGGTAATCTGTTATCCACTGTTGGCGCTGGCAAGAGGATTCTCTCAAAATGTGAATGCCTCAGCGATGTGGCTAGATTCCTAGAAATCATTGGCGTAGAATCGACAGAAGCGAGAGCTGACATGCTCCTAATGTGCGTGAGTCGAGGGATGCGGATCTGTGGGGAGGCGCTTCGATGCTCAGACTGTAGTGTTCGTGGGGACAACGGCATGTTCCTGGCCGTTGTCTTACAACAGCTCGTGACATTGACACGTACGGCATCAGACAAGCTTTTGGCTTGGACTCGCGAAAATAGGAACTGCCAGGGATCCGCTGCCGAGATCCACAGTCCCACCGTTTGGCTCGACCAGTACAAAATCGAAATGCCGGATCTCAAGGCCCCGCTTATTCGTCACGTCGTTTTGTTGCACTTGTTCAGTTTACGAGATCTATCGAATGGCATCAAGGATAAAGTTAGACCAAACAGTTTGGCGGGGCACCTGATTACGGATTGCGAAAGCAATATTGTTGATGCACTCGAGACAATTCAAGACAAGGCATCGCATTCGATGCCTATGAGTTCTGCGTTTTAGATGGGAAAGAAGTTCAGAGTGGAAAGATATATGCTCACTTGACACTGGCTTTCTCGCAGTTTGAGCGATGCCAATCATGAACAGAGCAGCAGATAGAAGGTTTTAAACAAGATAGCCCAAATGAATCCATTGATTGCTGTATAAATGGCGCAAGGCAAAGAGAAGTACATCTTCACCACACAAGAACCGGAAGGGGACTCGGCACATTGGCAACTCTTCGATAAGTTGAATTTCAGGTTCGCATACCGCTATTCCGAAGCTCTGCTATAAACCGTCGCTTATGCTCAATATAATTTTTATTGGGACGAGCAAGACTGCCAGTGGGATACAATGCTGTCAGTGGCACGTCGCGAACAGCAATCTCCGGAGCCGCTTTTGTGCCAACCATCTGCGTCTCAACAATACTGCCGCCACCCCATTGGGGCTCCTGAAGGACCCGCAAGATGATTGCAGCGCATTCAAAAGCCGATAGAGATACGTCATCCAATGTCAACTTTTGATTCCACTCGGGCTCAAACATAGGGGTCTATAATTACGCAGTTAGAGATCGCTGTGGCCAAGCAAAAAAGAAGAAGAAGAAGATGCTGAATCGATGGAAAGGTCACTTACAAACACAGCTCCGGGGCACACGGCGGAAACCCGGATTCCAAATAAGTCCAGAAGATCACCCAAGCACCTAACAAAGCTAATAATCGCCGCTTTGCTGGCCATGTATAACGGTGTATCGATTGCATGAAGATAGCCGGCCATACTTGCCACACACAGAAGATTACCCTTCACGTCCGGATTTTGAGTCCAGTAATCCACGGCAATCTGGGACAGTCGAATGGGCGCCGCTTGATTAATGGCAAAAATCTGGTATTGACCGGGCGCCGCGTTGATGGGATCCGCAGACTTGGGCGAGAGCCCGGGCGGTTCCCAGAAGGAGCTGAATGGTGATTCATATATGCCGGCTATATTGGCGACAATATCGATCCGCCCGAATGTGCTCAACGCGAACTCCCATAAGGCACCAAGTTGAGCCCAGTCGGCCACATCTGTTTTGTGGAATACTGCAGTCGAAGCTCCGGGCGTGACAGCTGGACGAGGATACTTGGCAACCGTAGAGGCGGCCTCCGGGCGCAATTTCAGGTCGGCCAGAATGACAGACGATCCTGCCTCGAGCAGCATGCTGGCCACTGCGTGACCAATCCCTGAGCCAGCGCCCGTCACTACAGCAAATTTTCCATTCAAATTATAAGTAGACATTCTTCAGAACAATCGCAAGACCTGGAGTTTGTTGTTGAGCTTCAATGATACTGGTGAACACAAAGAATGAGACTTCCGCGGAGATGGACTAGAGCAAGGTGAACAAATAATTGAGCATGAGGCACCATGGCGTTCTCCGCCACAACCTGCTGGACTAAGGATGTCTTTGTATAGTATCAGTGGCTTCTAGGCGATGCATCGGAGCTTCCACAACCGGTAATCGCCGTCCAAGCCCTAACACCGGGCCCTAAATTCGTTCAAAACAGCATCAACCGCGTTCGTGAGTCCATAGTCTTCGGCGTAAACCTAATTGGGGCCCTACTTCAAGATGCCGAGGGTTGTTTGCTTGATGATGCATACAGAGCCTCGCCTTAGACACCAAATCGAGGTGGAATGGGGTGGAGTGGGGCGAGGTACATCCCAAAAAGTACTTCCACCAAATCGACCTACCCGATCAACACAACAGCTAATTCCACTTATAATTTACGTGCGTTTGGCAATCCAATGTGGAAAGTCGCAATCCGAAATTGCCCCTATTACCAAGGAGGACCGCAAAACGATATACAACACTTTGCAGCGTTTTGAATAACAAAATAACTTTGATCACCTTCTCGGAGTAGCCAGCTTAAGAAATATGAAAATCGCATAAGACATCTATAGGTTTTCTTCTACTAGATTTAACGACTAAATAGCATGATCGGAACATGGCTTTAAGTATGATGCACTCCCATTTGTGACGCACAAACCGATGTATAGATAGTACGATGGAGGGGATTAGGTACGAGTGTTTGAGTCGCCCTAATCAAAAACGAAATTATTCCTCTTGCAAAGAACTCAGATGCGCTTCAGTCCTGCGACTGGGGATGATTGCAAAAAAAGTAGGATTTCCCTACCTGAGGAATGGAATACAACATGTCAGACCAATTTGTCATTATTCACGGACGGCTGAACGCTTCCCTTTCGGCGGCGTACTCGTAGCTTGGCATTGGAAGATGGAATGCGCAATATCCCAATCCACCTGTCACCGGGTCTCGAGTCCATAATCTCCAGGTCGTAGTACATCAACGCGTACGCCAACATTAGTTTGAGCTCACTGGCCGCAAAGAATCGGCCGGGACAGGCTTGACGACCGTTACCAAAAGCAAGATAATCGCACCCAGTAGCGGGAAATGTCAAGCGTGCTCGCTGTACGTGGTCCTTGTTGGGATCGTCGCTGTTGACATCACGCCGCAGTCCAACGAAGCGGAATGGCTTGAAGGTATCTGGCTGCTCATACACATTGGGGTCGTGGACAACGCCTAGGTTATGGACAGCGCAGAAATTACCGCAAGGTAAATGGACACCAGATGTCGTGGTGAATCCCTCCTTGGCTACGACTCTGCGACGCAGCCCCACGGCAACCAAAGTGTTGAGACGAGCACTCTCGCGAAGCACCGAGTCGAGCTTCTCCATCTTACCCAATGCCAGCTTCGTCCATTGTCCTCCACACTCATCCAGAACTTGTTTGACCTCGGCGCGCAGCTCCTCAAGGACTTCAGGTGTAGAGGACGCCAGATCCAGCATGACATTCACGATGGTCAAGGAGGATGTGTGGATAGAGACCAGATTCATTAGAAGTATGCGGCCTGCAAGGGTCCTGGGCTGCCACATGCGAGGGTCGCCGCTTTCTTTCGCCTGCTCTATACACCACTCTAGAAAATCATTCTTCTTTTCCGCTTCGCCAGAGGTTTCCTCGGCACGCAGCGGGGAGGTAGGATTGTCAACTTGTTGTAGGCGATGTTCAATCTCTGGAATTAGCATTTGAGTGAACCGGTTTTCGTAATATCGACAGGGAAGCGTGAACAACAATGATGCCAAAGGACGTAGCGGCTTCCATGTAAAACTCAATAACAGCTGGCTGAATGGTAGTGCACGTGCAAAGCCAATACCGGCATTCAGCAGCGCCGAGTCACGACAGTATGGGAGACCAACAAAGGCGTAATTTGTTGCTCTGCTCACAATAGCACCCATACTATCCCATATTGTGACGTCATGAAATGACTCTGTGTCGGTTCCCCATTGTTGCTCAAAGCCTCGAATGGTCTCGTTAGCCAAGCCAGGAAGGAGATTAGCGACTTGGTTGGTTAACGTCGTCGTAATGAGCTTCGTGTGCGTTGGGTTTGAGACGATGAAATTGTCGGATATAGTGTACTCGTAGAGAAGCCCTTGTACAATAACCTCACGCAAGCTGAGCACAGTATTGGGCTGATCCGTCACTAATTTAGTCTCAGACGCTGGAAGCAACACAAATGTTTGACCGCCAGGTCCTGCAATAGGCAGAATTGCGGCCTGGTCCTTGTGCGTTGCGTAGGCTTCCAAGATATTCCCCCGAAGGTTGAGAGCGTTGCGCAATGCGGCTTGAAAAAAGGGAAACCAGTCGCTGTCTTTGGCGCCAATTATGGGTAAACCCTTGGGGAGATGTGCGACAGACGGAAACAAGAGTTTTCGGACAATGTAAACGCAAATCAACCCCGCTATTATCTTCGTGATGAGAGCCATATTTGCGTCTGCACTGCTGATGCAGTTTGGAGACTTGTAGCCGGGAGTATAACCAGGGAGGCAATAAAATTGGGTGGCATTCACAAAATACTCAAGTTGACACGGCATCACGTCCAGAAAGTTGTGATGATATCTCGGGTTCTCTTAATGTGGAAAGAGCCGAGAGTGGCGCCCTGCAAACAAAAAAAGTGCATTATTACAGATAACTGGCATGTACGCGCGCTCCATTTGATCCGAGGCAGAGAGAGAAAGGCTGCCGAAAATGAGGATCCTTGCTCTCCACGGTCTCGGCTCGTCATCCTCGCTGCTGAAGGAGCAACTGGCGCCCTTCGTGAGGGCATTAGGCAAAGAGTACCAGTTCAAGTTTCTAGACGGAGCAATACCTTGTGGGAGAGGCCCAGGTACGAGTTTCTATCATTCCAGCTCCAACCAATACTGAATCATCCCAAGGCGTCCCAGCTTGGGCCTCCGGGCCCTTCTATTCATACGCAACTGGATTCACTCCAGCTGAGATGCGTCAAGCTCTCCGTCACTTGGATGATTTTATCAAAGAGCACGGTCCTTTTGACGGTGTGTTTGGCTTCAGTCTGGGCGCTGCCCTTGCGATAACTTATATGCTGGATCAGCAACAAAAGCAGGCTTCTGCGCCATTCTGTTTTGCTGTCATGTTCTCGCCCATATTTATTGTTTCACCTGATGATAATTATTGCGAGCAGCTTCTGCGGCGATGGCTATCAGACGACTATGCAGTATTTCGGTCCAAGTTCCCCAACGGCGAATTTATGACGGAGTTGGAAGATGCGTCCGAGCGAGCACTTGCCCAGTATCTGCAGCAGGTCTTGTCTATGCAGTCAATGGGTATTGGAATGATTTTGCCAAACACAAATGTCGATTTCCTAGGCACCAAACGGCCCGAGGAAATACCGCGCTTGGTACATCCAGATTTGTTCGACTCCCGCATCAAAATACCAACGGTCCATGTGAGCGGGCTGAGTGACTCACCTTACATTGGAAAGCAGTCGGGAGTTGCGCGAGACCTATGCACACCTTCGATTCGGCGGGTGCATAGTCACGATGGTGGCCATGACGTACCTTTTAAGATATCCGACGTGAAAGCTATTGTTCCATCGATCAAGGCGATGGCCGAGGAAGGTACTCAGATACGAGCTTTATATGGGCTTTGATCTACTCGCGAACGGAAACGGGATGTCATAGAAATGGCAGTTTTCAAGCTGGACATTTCCCTAGTTGAACTTCCATCATCCGAAACATGTTTTCAGGTTCACAGGCTCAAGAATGCTTTATCATATATACTGCCATTTGTCTCCTTCGGTTGCTATTACATGCGTAAACTATATTTCGTGAATTCACCGTCCTTGTCGAGGAAGTTCACTTCTTTGTCAGATAAATTCATAACAAACTCGATTCCGCCATAAGATTTTCGAGGTATGACGAAACAGGTGCGAAACCCACCGTTGCAATCTCCCATGAGCGGCCGAAAAGCTTCCGGTCGACCACCAGCACCGAATGTCTGGGCTCCAAAGCAGGTCTCATTGAACGGAAGCGTTGTTGGAGCCAGGATGCCCACTGAGGGGGATATCATGCGAGATGCTCGCAGCTGCGGTAGACTTTTGTAGTCTGGGACCGAATCGAGTAGTCTGTACGCATCCAGTAGGTTGTCGTGACCTGCGAAAGTCGCTGCATGGGTCCGTATCGTTTGCGCGAGCTGGGGTATGCTCGTATCCCTGCCCACAATATGGCTCAGGGAAAGGGCAACTCTGTTTTCAAAGTTGACATTGCCCAGATAACTGGTTGGCAGCAGATCCTGTAGCTGCGGCCGCGCATCAAAGGGGATGCTGACCTCTGACATAGCTGTGCCAAGCCCGCCGTTGTTGTGCTGCGCGTCTTGAGTTGCCATCCAAGCCCTGACAACACTTCTCCAGATCAATGCACAAATAAGGTCGTTTCCAGAAACTTCCGTAGCACCAAGTTCAGCAACGCAGTCTTTGCGTAGGGCTGTATATGCTCCCTGCGGCAGATAAAACAACGTGGGCTTCATTGTGTTGGGCACACCAGGAAGGGCGTCGGGAGCGGTGGAAGTCATATCAAGAATTGCGTGTTCGGAGTCAAGGCCCACAAGTCGACAAATTCCTGCTGCCATATGACTTGAAACCTCACCTCGCTTGTCCCCTTTGCATATCCTTCTCAATGCTGTCCGTTCAAAATCCGAGCTCAAGCCGCCATGCGGTTGAACACTGTTGTCCGTCTCTGCGTTTGTCATCCAAGAGTTGCAATGGTGAGCCCAAGTTTGAGTCACGGAGAGCATAGCTGTGCCGTCCGAGGCCGGGCTCGCGACAGAGAGAACCAGAGCACAGCCTCCAGGCAAAAAATTGGCCTGGGCCGACAAGACATCAGCCCCTTGCTCGAAATCTGGCTGAAACGGCACCGTCCATAACAAATTTTTATCTTCGAATGTGTCCAATGGGAAACCTTGATCTCTGAGATCAGAGAACTTTAGATCAGTTTCTAACTCATTGAATCGCAGTTGGTGTGGTGACTCTTTCGAAGAAGGGGACTCGAAACGAATTTCCAACTGTCCGGGACGCCACCCCGGGGTATCCTCACTCCAGTGTACGCGACCATTCAGCCAAGGTATTTGAGCAAAGGTTCGACGCAGGCCTTCTTGGAGACGTCCAAAGGCCTCCTGCACCGTGACACCCTGCTTCAAACTCAAGTAGATCACGCTCTGTGGAATATTCCACGCAGCTATGTGGTCGAGGGGGTCAAGCGCGATCTTCGAAGTCGAGGCCATGGTCATCACAACACAATTCTAAGGGTAATTGAAACACCTCGATTTATGATTTTCTTTTTAATTCTTCTCAATTTAGGGGTCTTAGCTCCGAAGCATATTCAGTAGCTGAGAATATTCAAGTCGCTGGGAGGTCGGATGTTACTTGATTCGGTCATTCCAGATTATCTGTAAATGCAAATGCATTGCTACTAGTAGTGGGTAGAGCTAAGCAACCAATATCTTCCTGAATGTCTCAGCCAGATCTTGTTTTGTAAGTAGAATCTGCGGGTATGGCCAAGTGTGAACCTGCTAGATAACCGGAGCTCGATATCACCCTGCTTTATCTTGTATAATCCTCACACGGATTCCCTGCCCTTCGAGGCTCGGGAGCCCAATTATAGAATCACGTTTGACATCGACGTCCCGCTCCCTGATTGTGTCATGCAAACGCATGTCAAAACGAGTCACGAGGCGGGCTATAGCGAGATAAAGTTCGGCGTATACAAGACTGTTGGATGGTCAGATGGCGCAGGAAAAAGACCGATAGCTAATGAACACTGACTTGATACCAAGACATATACGAGACCCTTTGCCAAAGCCCATAAAATAATTCTGTTTCAACGCAGGATTGTCAAGCCAGCGATGCGGGTTGAACGTGTAAGGATCCGGGAAGATATCGGGATTCATATGATGCAGATAATGAGATTGCATCACACGTGCCTATACCCGTTAAACAATCAATGAGAAATCGATTTGGCCTTGTAAAATGTACTCACCCCCGCGGGTATAGTCCATTTGCCGTAGCGTAGTGTCTCCTCCGGTGCATATCGAGGCATTCGGCTTGAAACCACATGTGAGAGCCTGATTCCCTCTGTAATTACTGCTGGCTGATTGACCCAACATGATTAGCTTATATCTTACGTCGATGAAGGTTGACTTTTTCTCAATGACCTACAAAATATCTCAAGGCTTCGAGGGCAGCCACGGACACCCGTGAATCAGGGTGGGGCATGAGAGGCGCCAGTTCTTTCCTCAGTTGCAATAAAGTCTGATGATTATCCAGGATATGAAAGAGGACAAGCGACAAAGCCCTGGCAGTAGTCTCAGTGCCTGCAATAAGTAAGAGATTGGCCTCTGCCGCTAAGCGGGCGGGTGCTTTCTCGCCGGGCGGAAGGTTGCTACGTAGAATATCCTGGAAAATGGACTTGTTCTTTTGAACTTCCTTCTCTGCCTCGAATGAATCTTCGGATTTGCGTCTCTTCTCTTCTTCCTGTTGATGGACAGATTCCTCAATCATACCGCGGAAGAAAAGCCGATTCCTGGGAATGAGGGCAGCGGCAGGGCTGATTCGATGCATGAGGCTTGACGGAATCAGCGTAAGACATGCCTTGGCAAGCCAAGGGAACTGGCGACCGACAGGGCCAAATTGACTCAGTTTGCTATATGCCTCGAGATACTCCGCGCCGAAGTCCTGGCGCGTTAAGTTGTCCGTCTCCGCGCCGAAAGCGTAGGCCGAGATGACGTCCATTGTTAGCGCACCGCAAGCGAAGGTTAGAGGAACAACATCGCCTGCGCGACAAGCCTCTGCAAAGCGACCACACAAAACTTCAATCTTCTCGATTATCATCTGTTCGTGCTCTTGAACGGAACGCTTGCTGAAGAAACGATTGAGTGCGGCCCTTCGCATCCGGTGGACATCGTGATCGACAGTCTGAAAAACCGACCATCCTAGAGGGCCATTTGGCTCAGAGCGGTAGTACCAGGGATCTCGATTGCGCTTACGCTTGCCTCCGGCATATATTTCATCGAGGTAGTTGGGGTCGTTGATATGTAAGTGAATTGGGTTGATGCGAACAATTGGCCCGTATTTCTTGTGCATTTCTTCTATCTTCCACAAGTAGCGCAATTTGTGTGGGAAAAGGTCATAATAGAACTCATACCAAAATGTCGCTGCTGCAAGCTTGGGGCCTGGGAACTGGGCCAGCGGGTGAAGGGTCAAGCGATAAATATAGAGGAGGATTCCGTAGACGAGGTACAGCGATATTCCACCGAGGAGAACATCTTTGAATGTGTAGTGGACTAGAAAGCCGGAGAGGTCATTCGAGGACATCATTTTGACAGGTAAACTAACTGTTCGTAGATGGTACACGTCAGGGTTGCTGTAGTTCCATTTCAAAACCCAAGGGCGGTATACGCCGGATATAACCAAGAATGGAAAGTCCCGACAGCCATGAGAGCGCAAGAGAAAAGGCTCCAACGCCTTGACAGAAACTAGACTATGAGGCATCATGAAATCATGATATGAACTAAGAACAGACGAAAGCTAATAAAATTATTACTATCTAATGATAGAGAAGAGAACTAATCAAGGAAGATAAAAATCACAGGATGATCATAGTCATCAGGTACCGAGAGAAAAACAAAACAAAACAAAACAAAAAGCATCAATTTGATAGTCCCTATCCGATCGGACTTTTTCTTACAACCGCCAAAGATTCGGGGTCCCCAGCTAGAAGATTCACATTTCGCCCAAATTCTGCAAGCCGACAAGCTCAAAGTATGCCGACCGCTTCTGCATCAGCTCAGAATGAGTTCCACACTCGATGATGCGGCCTTGATTGAAGACATATATCATGTCTGCCTTTTGCACCGTGCTGAGACGATGCGCGACGGCGATTGTCGTGCGGCCTTTAGCTGCGGTATCCAAAGCAGCTTGCACGAGCTTTTCGGACTCTGAATCGAGAGCGGAAGTGGCCTCGTCCAGCAAAAGGATTCTGGGGTTGCGGAGCAATGCTCTAGCTATTGCAAGACGTTGCTTCTGGCCACCTGACAGCATGCTGCCCTTACTACCAACGAGGGTATCGAAACCGTTTGGCAGACTGATGATGAAATCGTAGATGTTTGCGTTCTTGCAGCATAGCACCATTTCGTCTTCCGAGACATCATCTCGGTCCGTACCCAGCATAATATTCTCGCGGATGGTACCTTGGTAGAGCGTTGGCTCTTGGCTGACAAGTGCGAGATGGGAGCGGTAGTTGTTGATGTTGAATGACGAGATGTCCTTGCCGTCGACATAGACACCGCCGAGGACTGGATCGTAGAATCTCTCTAGGAGGGCAATTGCAGTAGACTTGCCACATCCACTAGCTCCGACGAACGCAACATACTGCCCGGGCTTGACGTGCAGATTGAGATCTCGCAGAACGAGCTGGTTTGGTCGCGTCGGGTACCTGAAGTGCACGTTTCTGAACTCGACATGGCCTTCGATACTCTCGACCTTCTCGCCATCATGGCTCCAGCTATCGATTTCCGGCGTCCGGTCGAAGAGAGCCTTGACACTAGCAGCAGCGTGCCTGGCTTTGGCAATATCCGGCGCAAAGCTGAAGATGGTTCCTGCAGACTGCGCCCCGAAGATGACTGTGCTGAAACACAGGAAAAATTGGAACCTGAATATGAGGGTTAGAACTAATCTGGCGTCAGTTCGGGGAATCTTTATTTACTCACATGGAATATTCGTGTCTGCCGAACAAAGTACCTCCATACCAAAAGCCGAGAGCCATGCAAAGAAATTGAAGTGACTGAGATGCCGCATAAAGAACGGATGACTTGAGAACCGAAAACACTAACCTGCGGCCTTGCAAGAGGAGCTGTTCATGGTAGTGATTGCAAACGTCGGCCTCGCGGGTCAAGGAAGCCACAGTTCGGATGGCTGAGGTGGCCTCGCAGGCATAGCTTGCAGAATCTTCGTAGGCTTTCTTCTTCTCTTTCTCGAGTCGGACCAGCATAGCCAAACGGAAGTACCCACAAGCGAGAAGGAGAGGAATGGTGGACATGCACACCAGACTAAGCTTCCACCCTACGGCCAGCCCAATGGCGCATGAGGCAACCAAGGTCGTGACCAGCAAGAGAATCGTCATAAGAGTAATCCCAGAGAGCCCAGCCAGGTGGGAGGTCTCAGTGGACAGGAAAGAAGTGAGAGCACCAGAGGAACGTTTGTCGAAAAAGGCAATGTCTTGCCGAAGGATATGTCGAAATGCTCGATCGCGAACCCGATGGGTAAGTCGCTCTGCGCAGTAAGAGAACGCAACACCCTGAGATATAAGAGCGAAAAGCTGTACAAAGGCGAGCATCAAATACATCAGCGACCAGAAATTGGCTTGTCGCCGTATCTCAGAGCTCTCGGAAAGAGGAAGCGAAAGGGCTGTGATGCACTTGGCGAAGAAGACAGCCTGTGTTGGATTACCTCCACCACAAACGGCCGAGAGTAAAAGTCCAAAGAGCATGTATTTCCACTCTTTCTTGTTCAAGCCAGCGACGAATCCTATCAGCGTGAACAAGGTATAGTTGTCGGCAATGTCATCCTGCCCCTTCTTCGCAAGTGCTGTTCTCGATGCGGTCCTGTCTAATCGCGTCTTGTCCACTTGAAGGTCATCAGGATCTTCTCCTTCAACCTCTTTGTCTGAGACGTATCGATTCTCTTTGAAGTCGGGTTGCCGTAAATCGTAATCTATTTCAGGCAGTATAGGATCTTCGTCTTGGTTTCTAGACTCCTGCTTCGTCGCGATTCGCTGCGCCTCGGCCAAGTTGTAGTAAGCCCCTTTCTTCTGGAGAAGGTCATCGTGGGTGCCCTGTTCGGCAATACGTCCATGGGACATGACCACAATATTGTCCGCATTCTTGATAGTAGACAGTCGGTGAGCGATGATCACGGTGGTTCGTCCCTGGGCAGCTTTGTCCAGTGCGGCTTGTACAACTCCCTCGCTCTTCGTGTCGAGTGCGGATGTTGCTTCATCAAGTAGCAGGATCCTAGGATCGCTAACCATAGCCCTAGCAATTGCAATACGTTGTTTCTGACCTCCCGAAAGAAGGAACCCTCGTTCGCCAATGTCGGTTTCGTAGCCCTCGGGAAGGGAGGTGATGAAGTCATGGGCCTGAAAAGCAACCATGTCAGAACATCGTATCGTATATGGTACAAGCAGGGAGGGTGTGTCTGAGTCAGGGCATCATGCAATTTGCCTTACTTACGTTTGCCATCCGAGCAGCACGTTCGACTAGCTCCCAAATTCCTTTTTCGGATTCATTCTCGTGCGTTGTTCCGATCAAACCGTGCTTGATATTGCCAAATATCGTAGTAGCGAATAAGGTGGGCTCTTGGCTCACCAGAGAAATTTGTTGTCGCAACCAGCGTAGGTTTAGGTCTTTGATATCGTGGCCGTCAATGTGTACGCATCCACCAACAGGATCGTAGAAACGCTCAACCAGCCCGATGATAGTGCTTTTCCCAGAGCCTGAAGCCCCAACAAGCGCAGTAGACTTACCCGCGGGGATCAGCAAGTTCACATCATCCATCACAACAACTTCGGGGCGGGAAGGATATATGTGTCTGATATTCCTGAGTTCCAAATTTCCTTGCAATTCCTCTAGCTTCTGTCCTTCGTTCGACAAAGGGTCGAGAGGAGAGACACGATCAATGGTTGCGTAGATCTTGTTGGCTGCGGCGACGGCTGTGGTGATGGCCTGGATATTCGGTGTGATATTCCCGAGGGCAAAAGCCCCCAACATGATGGCCATTTGAATAGTGAGGATTTGCGCTAATCCAACGGACCCATCCACCAGGAAGCGGGAGCCCATCCAGAAAGACAGTCCGTAGTTGAGGTAGATGTATCTAACAAAAAAAGCGCAAGGTTAGAACACTGGGCTGTTTAAGGTAATTCAAAGAGACCGCCATTCGGACGGCGAAATGTTGCGCTCCTCGCTGCACTTACAGAAAGAGAAAACCAATCATTGAGCTGGTAGTGGCTTTTAGCTTGAACCCGGATTTCTCTGCTTCGACAAGATATCCATCGTATCGTCGAGCCAGCTTCTCTTGGGTATTGAACGCTGCCGCATTTCGGATCGAGCTGATGACCTCTTCCGCAACCGTTCCTCCTTCAGCAAAATGACCGAGGTATTTCTTGCTGAGCTTAGCGACGAATGAACCCACGGCGCCCAATGTCACAACAATGGCTGCGACAGTGGAACACAGAATCAGCGTGAGCTTCCAGTATCTGACAAACCCAATCACAAACGCGGCCACAAAGGTAGCGACGGCTGTCAAGGTCAATCCCACTTTCTCTGAGATACCTTCCTGGACAAGATTGGTGTCTGCTGTGATGCGTGTGGTGATCTCACCCGCGCCGAGCTCGTCGAAAAAGGCAATATTCTGCCTCAGAATGGCGGCCAAGAACTGCTGCCTGATCTTTGCTGTGATGTGTTCACCAGCGTACACGAAACCGACCGTGGCCAAGTACACCATCACAAACTCGCCAATAGCGAGATAGAGGAAGTAAAGAGAAAATCTAGCAAGCTCGCTGGTGAATTTGCTGTCCGATATGTCGCCCAGTAGGAAGCTGCGGAAGGTGCCTGCAAGACCTCCAAACAGGACGGTCATCAGAGGCATGAGTGCACCACCGATGATTGCTGCGAGCGAGGCGATGACCAGGATGATCTTGTCATTCCGTGTCGCATAACGATACAGCGTCATGTAATTGACCTTGGTGGCGGGCAGATCCAACTGTCTCTTGAGAATGACCCTCTCGTGCTCAGGCAGATGCTTGAACGGATCACCATCTTCCTCATTTCTGTCTGCATCTGCCGGCGATGAGCCGACTGGGTTCAAGGGAGGGTTGGCAGGCATAGCTTCTTGGCCTGCCTGGACAGGCGCTTGCTGGTCTCCAAGTTCGCGGCTCTGCATAGTGAGGTATTCCAGCAATCACCCAAGGGGGCAGTGGTAGTCAGCTATGGTAGTCAAGTCCAGGAATGGAGGGAGGATGAAGCTGGAGGATCGTTGAGGCGAGGCTGAGCTGAATGCTCGGGTTTTGTTTATGCCCCTGAATGTCCCTGAGTGCCCCTGCCGACGCGTTTTCTTTGTTTGGGATCAGTGGGGAGCGACAAGGATACGGGTACGGTAGCCTGTGTAAGACTGTTGTATTGCAAGGATGTTGTACTGTGTGGGTCACGACCCAGTCTTAGAAATATACTAGGTGCTGTAACCCTAATGCATGAGTGGCGTGTAGAGTCACAGAACAGTTCTTTACAGAGTCCAGACAAGACTTCCAAGACTTAGTGGCAGAC